TGGAGCGGAGGTGGAGGTCATGGATGGCAGCCATAGCAAGGACAACACGAATGGTGGGCATACGCACAGTTGGAGCAAATATTTCGACATAGTCGAAGCCAGGACGCTGGTTGTAGCCCTTGGCAACAAGTCTGCCCTTGTAGCGCTCAACAGAGCCATCAGCATTGCGCTTCACCTTGAATATCCACTTGGAGCCAATGACCTTGATTCCAGCTGGTCTAGGTACGAGTTTCCAAGTCCCATTGCTGCGATGAGCATTGAGTTCCTCAAGAGCTGCTTGATTCCACTGCTCTGCATCAACTCGAGTCAATGCCTCCCTATAAGACAATGGCTCGGTGGAAGAGCTGGTAGACAAGGCAAGCTCAAATCCTTGAGCAAAGTCAGCGTCCTCAGTCTCATCATCAACAACATCAGTCAGCTGAGCTGGAGAGAGCTTCCACCAGTCTCTGGGAGGTTGCCTATTGCGTCGAGGGAGTCTGGCACCAATGCCTATGGGAGATGGTGGTCTAGGAGGTGGATTGGGACGAGCTGCAGGAGGAGGAGTGACTGGATCAGGAACAGGGACGACAGGAGGGACATCAGGAACTGCTGGAGGCACCACATCTCCCCCTTGATCCAGTGACTCATCAGAACTAGGACTCATCATAGTCAGAGTCAGAGTCAGAGTCATCTGAATGAGGAGGATAGTAATAGGAGGGCGCTGCTGGGGGCTCAGAGGTAGTCTTCGACTGTCTGGGAGGATGGGGAGTGTCGACAGGAGGTGCTGGAGCGATGGGAGCTGGAATGGATGGACCTGGATGGGCGCTTGGACAGAGGGAAGTATCTTTCATCAAAGTCAGCCCTTTCACAGATGATTGTCTTCTTGGAGGTGGGGTTGTAGAACTTCCAGCCCTTGTAGCCAGCAGGGTAGCCAATGAAGACGCACTTTTCCATGTGGGAGCCAAGTCCATCTCTCTTGTCCCTCTGGACGTGCACATAGGCAGTGCATCCCCAAACTCGAAGGTGCGAGACATCAGGCTTATTACCATGCCACAGCTCATAGGGTGTAGCGCTGTCTACAGCTTCGGTAGGGCATCTGTTCCAGACATGGACCAGAGCAGCAAGACACTCGCCCCAGAAGGCCTTGGGAAGCCCAGACTCGTCCAGCATAGCAGTGAGTCGCTCAGAGAGGACTCTGTTAGCTCTCTCAGCAACCCCATTCTGCTGTGGTCTAGCACGAACAGTGTGCTGCCTCTCAATGCCACAATGGGTGGTGAATTCAATGAAGGCATTGCTCATGTACTCCCCTCCCTTGTCATCTCTGAGGATCTTGAGCTTTCGCTCTGACTGGTTCTCAGCATAGGCCTTGAATGTCTTGAAAGCCTCAAAGACATCAGACTTAGCTTTAATAGGGAGCACAAAGCGAAATCGAGAGAAGTCGTCGATGAACGTGACCCAATAGCGATAGCCAGAGAAGCTGGGGTAGGGGACCTTATGGACATCGGTGTGGACAAGCTCCAGAGGTCGAGTAGCACGCCATTGAGATGAGGGGAATGGGTTTGCATGCATCTTGCCAGCTAAGCATGGCTCACAGATGGGATCTGGCATTTTCTTTGAATCTAGCTTGAGTCCAGTGACCATGTCATGATCAATTAGCTTCTTGACACCTGCTAAGTGATGGTGGGCGAGTCTCCTGTGCCATAGGTCCAATGTCCAGAGGTAGAGTGGTCGCTGCAGAGGCATATTCAGAGAGAGGGACGGTGGAGCCATCTAAGAATGCTGCATTGCTGCTGCTGATGGGTGCAACAAACAGTGTGGTGCCTGCAGGACGCTGAAATGACATCTTGGTGGAGTCAATGGTGACATGGAAGCCACTGTGGCGAGTGAGGTAGAGGACAGAGAGCAGGTTGTTGCGAAGGTCAGGGACATGCAACACTCTTGAAAACTCGACAGGTCTAACGCTCTTGCCATCAATGACTGGGTTGAAGACCACAGTGCCAACACCAGCAGAGTAGACAAAGGTGTTGTCAGCTAGCTTGATAGGGATGCGATTTGGAGTGTAATTGCGAAGCCAGTGACGATGAGGGGTCATGTGGGATGTGGCACCTGTGTCTGCATTCCAGTCGACAGTAGCATCAAGTTGAAGGGGACAGATAGTGCTTGAAGGGTCAAAAGAGCGAAGACAAGCAGTGCCAGCAAACTCAATGATAGTAGAGTTGATAGGAATAGGAAAGGAAGTGGGAGAGGGCGATGCAGTGGGGTCTGTGAGACTCTGAGTCTTCCTGGAGAGCTTCTTGGTCTTCTTCCTCCTGCTACGACGCTGTCTAGAGTACAGGGAGGCAAGGGTAGACCAGATAAGCACAGGATGATCTTCAATAGCATCAATCTGGGACCTCATCTCCAATGGGCAAGCCAGATAGAGTTCCCCAGCAGCTTGGTCAGCCTTAAGGTCCCATACAGCCTGTGCCTCAGGCTGTGAGTCTGCAGGACGCTTCTCAGAGCCACTGACAAGCAGCCACAAGCCCTTGGAGCGCAGGTAAGACTCCATCTCTGATCTCCAGATAAGATAGTTGGAAGAGCTGAGTTGAGCGATAGTCATGGTTGACATAGCAAGGGATTGGGTGGCAAGTAGAACGTTCTAGGATGATGCAGGACGTTCAGGAAGGCAATGGATAGGACAGAGAGCGACAGGGGGTAGATGACCAAAAGGGGCTATGGAAAATTTCAACAAAGCCACTTGGTTGAACTACTCAAAAGCAACACAATGGGTGTTCCAACAGTCCAAATGGTGCTCAGACACAAAGATAAGGGTTTCCTGGGGCGTAGAATGCGATGGAATACACTAGGGAAGGAGTGGAGCAGCAGTTGGATGAGGAATGAATGACTTGAGGTCCTTAAAGCGCAGGGCTCATAACCTGTTAGAATAACCAAGTGAAGCCAAGCCACAAGTGAGCTAATGAGAGTGAACAGGACTATAGTCCAGTGTCAGTTGCTATTGTGTTGTGTAAACTAATGAGTGTACTATACCTATAGTCCAGTGTCAGTTGCTAAAGAGCAACCAACACAGGACTTGCTACCTATGGGCGAGTCTATGTAAACAAGTGTAAACACTGCCTAAGTAAGTAAGGAATTCACATCACATGCTAAGTGAGAGTCCAATAGAGGAAGCAACATCATAACACAAATAACTCGCACCATAAGGTGCTCAATCACCACAACTAACAAGATGTGTAGAGGTGCACAATCAGGGGGGAGTGTTAGTTGTGGTGATTGAGCACCTTATGGTGCGAGTTATTTGTCTTATTATGTTGCTTTCTCTATTGGACTCTCACTTAGCATGTGATGTGAATTCCTTACTTACTTAGGCAGTGTTTACACTTGTTTACATAGACTCCCCCATAGGTAGCAAGTCCTGTGTTGCTTGCTCTTTAGCAACTGACACTGGACTATAGGTATAGTACACTCATTAGTTTACACAACACAATAGCAACTGACACTGGACTATAGTCTTGTTCACTCTCATTAGCTCACTTGTGGCTTGCTTCACTTGGTTATTCTAACACTATCATGAGTCTGCATTGGCAACATTCTGTGACAATCAGTTGACCAGATGTGCCCAGGGATCTGTTCTGGCATCAACAAGGCCTTTGTCCCATGGAGCACCATTGTACAAAGTGAGGATGACTTTGTATCATGCATGTATCTTCCAAGTGGCATGCATTTGAAGGAGCCTTCAAAGTTGCAAAACTCAGATGCAACAGCCTTACTGAACTTCAAAGTGGTATACTCGCCAGGAGAAAGGTGAAGATTTAATGTTCTGGTGCAAAGCATGGAGGAACAAACATGGCAACATGGTAAAACCAGTCTCAACCGGGGGATTGGATGTGTCATTGTCCAATGAGTCTCATGGTTCCATCCCTCATCAGGGCATAATGATGGTTGGGAGGGTGATGACTCTGATATGGATGCAGATGATGCTAGACCCCTGCAACATGTGGCTCGGGTAGTGCCAGGATGGCTGTCAGTCTGGAACATTGAGCAACGAGTGCAACACCTGATTCTGAAGCCTCACCCGGTGAAGCTAGTGCAACATTCTGAAGCCTCACTCGGTGAAGCTAGTGCAACATTCTGCTGGTGTACTGCTGGGGTCAAAGATGGGAGATCTCCTGGCCTGGTTAACTTGGGCAAACCAAGGAGTTGACCGTCAAGACAAAGCTGCTACTGAGGAGGAGATGAGCATGTCCCTGGTGCCAAAAGTAATCCAGTGACAGAAACAGGTGATTGTGGGACCTCTGAGGATAACTTAAAGTAAGACAATGGAAAAGCCATTAGATAGTATACTAAGAGAGTCACTAGAGCGAGGGCAGGGAAGTAATTGCATCATACAACACTCTGTATTCCAGTTGATCTCCATGTTATTGTAGTCAACTGAATCCTCCAAGAGGACTGATTGTCAAGCATCAATTACCCCGTAGTCAGTACAATGCATGGAGCTTCAATGATCATGCCCAGTCAGAATGGCACATGGCCTGGCACGATGACATCGGGTGAGATCGGACATCATTAGCCTGATCAAGAAAATCACCATCCCCAACATATCTAGTGAGAGGACACCGTATATATTGTATGCGGAGAACGGGTCCCACCTGGTAGGATCTGTCATTCTTCTAAATTATCAGATTAGGCCATAGCACACAATATAGTAGAAAACATGCAATATTATTGAATCTGCTCAGCTCGGGATTGACAATACATTAGGTAGTAGTAGGTAGCACTTGCGGTAATACAGGATGCGGGTGAATAATGCCAAAATAACTCGAAAACATGGCAAAAAAAGAGAGAGAGAATGATACATGCATGCTAGTGAAGGATGCTGTTGGCGACGAGGGCGTCTGACGGTTTCTGCCACTGTCTAGCACTCTCAAGTCCCTGGTATTCATCTTTCTGGGCCACCAAAAGAGCACACCAATAGGAATCAAACTCCTTTGTGGTCCCTTTTGTGTTCAGCTGCTTCAGCCACCTCAGAGCACACAGGTTCCTATGCAACTGAGGTAAGCATTTTTCTTGGGGCCAGGGCACATCTTCGAGCCTTTACTTGTACTTGCACTCATGCCCGAACTGGTGGTGGGTGTAGGTGTGGCTGTGCTCAAGGTGAGGACTGCGCTCATGATGGTCGTGGCTGTGCTGGCACTGGCACTCATACTAGGATTGGTACGTGGGTGTAGTGGAGAATTCAGGTTGTTGAGTAGGGGTGGGGGTGGCTTCATTGTAAACATATTTGCGCTGTAGGAGATAGTAGGATATGTTAGCCCAAAACTGTAGGTAAGATAAAAACTTACAGTGGATTCTTGAGAAAGACGGGTATGTTTTCCTTATTATCTCTGTGAGAAGGTGGCTGCGGGAGATATACACCGTGTGGGGGAGATGAGTCAGGTTGCCAAGGGGTCAGAGACAAGATCAGTGGTAATGCTGAGAGGTTCCATAAAAGAATGAAACTGTTCGCAGGTTTGGTGGCATTGTGAGGTGATATGGCATCTGTATTGTGGTCTGCAGCAGGAGAGAAAGTCCCGAACTTGTGACTTATGGTGTCCGAACTTTCTGTTGAAAGAGGCCACTGTCAGTGTTGATATGAGTCATACAACAGAATTACCTTGAGTCTTGTCGTTGGATGAAAAGCTGGATATTGCGGAGTCCGTTGGGGCATCTGTTGCACATCTATCAATAGAAAATCATTTACGCCAATAGCACATACCTTTCACGCGCTTGATTAAGCTTGTGCTGTCTGGTGAGTGAGCACATGTCTTGCCTTTGTGCTTAAAAACAGGTTTTTTCTCTGGTAATACATCCATGTTGTCTTCGGAAAGTGTCTCCTGCTTCGCTGCTTTCTTGTCAGAAGTTTTTCATGTCCAGTGCATGCCATCGAAGGCTTCCAGCCATCTGAGTCGAGTCGGAAAATTGGAAAGTCATGTTCCATCATTTGATGAACAACAAGGTTGCCCATTGAGCCCAACCTTGCCCATGTGGATGGTGTAATATCCCTCACAACAAGTTCAGCCCATGCTACACGGCAGCCCTCACGGATAGCCTTGAGCATTTTGGATGAGATTGGTTGGCCGCTCTCGTCTTCAAGAAAAGGAACTGTCCTGCGCTGGGCTCGTTTGGCTGCTGGTGAGTCAAGCCATGAATCATAGTTGACATGATGCCAAAAACAGATGTTTGGATGAGATGTTGCATTAGGTCGAGGCTCATCGCAAGCCTTGATGGAGTTGAGGCTGAAGTTGAAGGGGTCAGTGTTGCTTGGGAGTTTAAGCACCTTGAGGAGGTCCTGAAATGACTGTCTGTAGTGATTTTTGGTGAGAGAGGCTATTGAAGGTACAAAGCAGCCTACCTAATCATGTTTCATTTACCAGTTGTTCTGGCCAATTCAGTCTGTATGAGCTTATATCGAAGCTCAGCAGCCTCCAACTGCTCCTGGATAAGCTGATGATGGGGTCCTGACATATATTCGATGGAGGCAGGCGCATATATACACCTTGTGCATGCATATATCCATCCTGCCAATGTACTTAGCTTGTTGTATTGGTATACGTTAACACTCACATCATAATACATGTGCGAACTTGAAGATGGCTGAGAGAGATGTTTCAGCTGTCTACTCAGAGACTCATTTGAAGAGAGGGATTCGGAATCGCTGGTTAGAAGGGCAGTAAGGGACATAGTGGTGGTCGGATAATAAGAGAACGTCCATATAATCATGTGTTAAGCCATTTCGGCAAATTCTGATGTCTTTGAGAACATTGCTCGCTGCTTGCATCTTGTCATGACTCTCCCTAACATTGTGCAGCAATATTTGACTTACCCTCCGAAGATGAGCTTGACGAATATCTTCGGCAGGATGTTAGGTATGGTCTAAACAACCTACATGTCATCTCTACTCATTTGTTTTGACTTGCTTGCTAGTGCCAACACCAGTCAAAGTGTCAGCAGCAGTCCTCAATTAACAACTTCTGACAATCATCTTCTTGACCCAGCCTTCTGGATTCATCACCCCACTCAGCTCGACACTATAAGACAACTAATCTGTGACTCAGGAAAGGTACCACAGCCTGCTGCAGAAGATGACTGGTTAGACAAGTTGTAAGTGAATCACAAGGCTGATTTGATTTCGCTGATTTTACACTGATTTAAAGGTTAGTTGGACCATTTGTATGTCACTCCAATCGTGTTCGTACACAGACTTCCAGCTCTAGCACCGCACCCAAATCAGATATTATTCTAGTCACATTAAATCAACCTTCGACTCCTTGACGCAATTGTGTTCATACACAGACTTCCAGCTCTATCACTGAGCCCAAATCAGATGAGATCCTGTCAAACCCATTTAACCAGCCTGTTCTTAACTGTAACAGTTTCTTTGCAACCCCCAGTCAACCCCAACCAGGTTCACTCTATTGGAATTATTTCATGCATGAGGAAGAGGCAAAGTTTTATGACCGCTCTCAAAGCAATGAAGCATTTTGTGGAATGGGTCAGAAAAAATATGAACTACAGGTCTCATTGGATAAATGGTCAGGAATATTACTTGTAGTTCAATCAATGTCATGTCCTCCTCGCTGTCATTCAATATCATCCATGTTCTCCTCATTGTCATCATCTTCATCATCCTGAGCACCAGGTCCTTCATGTTAGAATAACCAAGTGAAGCAAGCCACAAGTGAGCTAATGAGAGTGAACATGACTATAGTCCAGTGTCAGTTGCTATTGTGTTGTGTAAACTAATGAGTGTACTATACCTATAGTCCAGTGTCAGTTGCTGAAGAGCAACCAACACAGGACTTGCTACCTATGGGCGAGTCTATGTAAACAAGTGTAAACACTGCCTAAGTAAGTAAGGAATTCACATCACATGCTAAGTGAGAGTCCAATAGAGGAAGCAACATCATAACACAAATAACTCGCACCATAAGGTGCTCAATCACCACAACTAACACTTCATATGGCACACCGAAGGTCGCAATGTCAAGCCCTGGTTTTTCAACAAGAAAAAACCAATTCTCTACCACTCCGGATGGTAATGTGGGCTTGTGGGGTACCATTCCAACTACAGCTTTGATTGACTTGATATTGACGACTTGAATGTCATCTTCAAGATAAGCACACAAGCTTACTGCTTGGAAGGAGAGATCAAGGATGGCCACATCAGGTTGAGAATACATCACAACAATAGCAACATCCTTCCAGCTCCATATTGGTCCATCTTCACTGACACCAGACTCAGCTGCAAGCCGGGTGAAATACTTTACTTCGGCAAGTTGGATATCACCATCAAGAACTAGCTAAAGACAGGTGAGTGAAGGGACAAACCAATAGACATATATGTACCTTCACATTGCGTGAAATACGTATAGGTCTCTCAGGTGGCCACAATGTCGCTCTCCATGCAGTTCATACAATCTGCCCGTTAGGCAGCTGCAAGTGAGCCCACCGGTGAATTTTGTGTGCATTGAGACCAAGGTAGGCTTCAATGGCTATAGTTTCAGCTTGGGATGGATGAACAGCATGATCATCTCGCTTCCAAAGGAGAACATATGTTAGTTGTGGTGATTGAGCACCTTATGGTGCGAGTTATTTGTGTTATGATGTTGCTTCCTCTATTGGACTCTCACTTAGCGTGTGATGTGAATTCCTTACTTACTTAGGCAGTGTTTACACTTGTTTACATAGACTCGCCCATAGGTAGCAAGTCCTGTGTTGGTTGCTCTTTAGCAACTGACAACTGGACTATAGGTATAGTACACTCATTAGATTACACAACACAATAGCAACTGACACTGGACTATAGTCCTGTTCACTCTCATTAGCTCACTTGTGGCTTGGTTCACTTGGTTATTCTAACAGGTTATGAGCCCTGCGCTTTAAGGACCTCAAGTCATTCATTCCTCATCCAACTACTGCTCCACTCCTTCCCCAGTGTATTCCATCGCATTCTACGCCCCAGGAAACCCTTATCCTTGTGTCTGAGCACCATTTGGACTGTTGGAACACCCATTGTGTTGCTTTTGAGTAGTTCAACCAAGTGGCTTTGTTGACATTTTCCATAGCCCCTTTTGGTCATCTACCCACTGTCCCTCACTCCCACCCCTGTCGCTCCCTGTCCTGTCCATTGCCTTCCTGAACGTCCTGCATCATCCTAGACCGTCCTACTTGCCACCCAATCCCTTGCTATGTCACCCATGACTATCACTCAACTCAGCTCTTCCAACTATCTTATCTGGAGATCAGAGATGGAATCTTACCTGCGCTCCAAGGGCTTGTGGCTGCTTGTCAGTGGCTCTGAGAAGCGTCCTGCAGACTCACAGCCTGAGGCACAGGCTGTATGGGACCTTAAGGCTGACCAAGCTGCTGGGGAACTCTATCTGGCTTGCCCATTGGAGATGAGGTCGCAGATTGTTGCTATTGAAGATAATGTTGTTCTTATCTGGTCTACCCTTGCCTCCCTGTACTCTAGACAGCGTCGTAGCAGGAGGAAGAAGACCAAGAAGCTCTCCAGGAAGACTCAGAATCTCACAGACCCCACTGCATCGCCCTCTCCCACTTCCTTTCCTATTCCTATCAACTCTACCATCATCGAGTTTGCTGGCACTGCTTGTCTTCGCTCTTTTGACCCTTCAAGCACCATCTGTCCCCTTCAACTTGATGCTACTGTCGACTGGAATGCAGACACAGGTGCCACATCCCACATGACCCCTCATCGTCACTGGCTTCGCAATTACACTCCCAATCGCATCCCTATCAAGCTAGCTGACAACACCTTTGTCTACTCTGCTGGTGTTGTTGCACCCATCAGCAGCAGCAATGCAGCATTCTTAGATGGCTCCACCGTCCCTCTCTCTGAATATGCCTCTGCAGCGACCACCCTACCTCTGGACATGGACCTATGGCACAGGAGACTCGCCCACCATCACTTAGCAGGTGTCAAGAAGCTAATTGATCATGACATGGTCACTGGACTGAAGCTAGATTCGAAGAAAATGCCAGATCCCATCTGTGAGCCATGCTTAGCTGGCAAGATGCATGCAAACCCATTCCCCTCATCTCAATGGCATGCTACTCGACCTGTGGAGCTTGTCCACACCGATGTCCATAAGGTCCCCTACCCCAGCTTCTCTGGCTATTGCTATTGGGTCACGTTCATCGACGACTTCTCTTGATTTCGCTTTGTGCTCCCTATTAAAGCTAAGTCTGATGTCTTTGAGGCTTTCAAGACATTCAAGGCCTATGCTGAGAACCAGTCAGAGCGAAAGCTCAAGATCCTCAGAGATGACAAGGGAGGGGAGTACATGAGCAATGCCTTCATTGAATTCACCACCCATTGTGGCATTGAGAGGCAGCACACTGTTCGTGCTAGACCACAGCAGAATGGGGTTGCTGAGAGAGCTAACAGAGTCCTCTCTGAGCGACTCACTGCTATGCTGGACGAGTCTGGGCTTCCCAAGGCCTTCTGGGGCGAGTGTCTTGCTGCTCTGGTCCATGTCTGGAACAGATGCCCTACCGAAGCTGTAGACAGCGCTACACCCTATGAGCTGTGGCATGGTAATAAGCCTGATGTCTCGCACCTTCGAGTTTGGGGATGCACTGCCTATGTGCATGTCCAGAGGGACAAGAGAGATGGACTTGGCTCCCACATGGAAAAGTGCGTCTTCATTGGCTACCCTGCTGGCTACAAGGGCTGGAAGTTCTACAACCCCACCTCCAAGAAGACAATCATCTGTGAAAGGGCTGACTTTGATGAAAGATACTTCCCTCTGTCCAAGCGCCCATCCGGTCCATCCATTCCAGCTCCCATCGCTCCAGCACCTCCTGTCAATGCTCCCCATCTTCCCAGACAGTCGAAGACTACCTCTGAGCCCCCAGCAGCGCCCTCCTATTACTATCCTCCTCATTCAGATGACTCTAACTCTGACTATGACTATGATGAGTCCAGTTCTGATGAGTCACTGGATCAAGGGGGAGATGTGGTGCCTCCAGCAGTTCCTGATGTCCCTCCTGTCGTCCCTGTTCCTGATCCAGTCACTCCTCCTCCTGCAGCTCGTCCCAATCCACCTCCTAGACCACCATCTCCCATAGGCATTGGTGCCAGACTCCCTCGACGCAATAGGCAACCTCCCAGAGACTGGTGGAAGCTCTCTCCAGCTCAGCTGACTGATGTTGTTGATGATGAGACTGAGGATGCTGACTTTGCTCAAGGATTTGAGCTTGCCTTGTCTACCACTTGTTGCCAAGGGCCACAACCAGCGTCCTGGCTTTGACTATGTCGAAATATTTGCTCCAACTGTGCGTATGCCCACCATTCGTGTTGTCCTTGCTATGGCTGCCATCCATGACCTCCACCTTCGCTCCATCGACATCTCACATGCCTATCTCAATGGGGAGATGGACTGTGACGTCTACATGGAACAACCTGAAGGCTTTGCTGAAGGTGATCCCAAGAAGATGGTCTGCCTTCTTCAGAAGAGCATCTATGGAACCAAGCAAGGTGGCAATCGCTGGAACAAGAAAATGCGCTCTGTTCTTGAGTACATTGGATTCACCCAGTCCTACTCTGATGCCAGCATCTATATCTATGTCAAGGGTGAAGTCAGGATCATCTTGCCTGTCTTTGTTGATGACATGACCTTTGCATCGAAATCTGCTTCTGCAATTGATCAGATCATCAAGGACTTGTCTCAGCACTTCAAGCTTCGAGACTTGGGCCCCACCACCCAGCTTCTAGGCATCAAGATTGACAGGGATCGCTCCAAGCACTCCATCACCATCTCCCAGCGCCAGTACTGCCTTGACATCCTTGATCGCTTCAGCATGGCTGATTGCAAGCCTGTCTCCACTCCCATGCAGCCCAATCTTCGACTCACTCGTGCTCAGTGTCCCCAGACTGCTGATGAGACTCAGGACATGCGATCCACTCCTTACCTTGAAGCTGTGGGTGCTCTGATGTATCTTGCCACCACCACCAGACCAGACATTGCCTACGCTGTTGGCTGTTTAGCTCGATTCAACTCCAACCCTGGCCCTGCCCATTGGCAAGCTGTCAAGCACCTGCTTCGCTATCTGAAGGGCACTGCAGACTACTCCATCACCTATGCTCCTGATCCCAATTCCATCGAACTCTTCTCCACATTCTCTGATGCTGATCACGGTGGATGCAAAGACACTGGTCACTCCACTGGTGGCTACCTGGTCAAGATTGGCCTTGGTGCTGTCTCCTGGTCGTCGAAGCTTCAAAGCATTGTGGCCTTGTCCACCACTGAAGCTGAGTACATGGCTGCAGTTGAGGCAGGCAAGGAGATCCGCTGGATGCGAAATCTCTTGTTTGAGATGGGCTTCCCTGCCACTGCACCCTCTGTCCTTAGGATCGACAACCAGAGCGCCATCTCTGTGGCCAAGCACCCAGAGCACCATGGTCAGATGACGCAGCTTGATCTCAGCTGGTATTGGCTTCGAGATGTGGTGCACAAGGAGATTATTGCACCAGTGTTTGTGCCCACTGCTGACCAGCCAGCTGACATCCTGACCAAGGCATTGGCTCGACCCAAGGTGCAGTTGTTCTGCCAGATGATGGGACTGAGTAGCTTGAGGGGGAGCTGAGATGTGTAGAGGTGCACAATCAGGGGGGAGTGTTAGTTGTGGTGATTGAGCACCTTATGGTGCGAGTTATTTGTGTTATGATGTTGCTTCCTCTATTGGACTCTCACTTAGCGTGTGATGTGAATTCCTTACTTACTTTGGTAGTGTTTACACTTGTTCACATAGACTCGCCCATAGGTAGCAAGTCCTGTGTTGGTTGCTCTTCAGCAACTGACACTGGACTATAGGTATAGTACACTCATTAGTTTACACAACACAATAGCAACTGACACTGGACTATAGTCCTGTTCACTCTCATTAGCTCACTTGTGGCTTGGTTCACTTGGGTATTCTAACAGTGGGTTGGCTCTGAGATGAAGATGCCGCTTGAAGAATATGCAGAATTGATAGGTGTGTCTCCCTTCATGCACGGTGACAAAGCAGTTGTGAACATAAGGTTGCACAGTAGCTTCCTCGAAGAGGCTTTCAGGAACTGGAAAGCACTGAGCACTGCATGAGTAACCGGAGCATCGTGTCAACATCATGACCTGATGAGGTCTGTTCCATGACATAGAATACAACCTGCACCGCAGGTGAAGCTCAGGGGTCTGATCTGAAGGTAAACAAGGGTGCGAGAAAGTGGGGAATAACTTATGGAAGATGTCGGAAGGATATATGTGCAAGTGTTCACCATGCTGATAGATTAATGGCAATACAAGAAGTAGGCAAGGCAATAAAAGTGGGCAATGAAAGTGGGCAATGAAGGCTATAGTAGCAGTCCAATTTAAATTCAAGAGCTTGGTGCCTGAGTCACCAAGACAATAACCATAATGCATTTCTAGTTCGGGGACGTAGTTGCTGGCAACAGCGGGGAGCCAAACCAGTAATGAAGCATGACAATAGTATCTGAAATGTACTTCTGTTAATACTGCAATATGGTGAGGGTAATTGTACGAACCTCCATAAGTCTTAATGCTGCAGCACAGGTTGGTAAGAGTAATTGTACGAACAGGGTCTTCAGGTGTGCGTTGGCAAGGGTAATTGTACGAACTTCCATAAGGATTTTAATGCTGCAGCACAGGTTGTTAAGGGTAATTGTACGAACCTCCATAGGGTCTTAAAGCTGCAGTGTGTGTTGGCAAGGGTAATTGTACGAACTTCCATAAGGATTTTAATGCTGCAGCACAAGTTGGTAAAGGTAATTGCAGCGTCGCGAAGGGCAATTGTACAGTACTCTGAGATAATTGGAAGTTGTTACTTGAAAACAAAAGTTCAGAAACAAAAAGTCTTTGATAACAAATAAGAGGTGCAGATAAATATGCCATGAGTGGGCGACTACAGTAGATCACCTTTATCCGCAACAATGTCTCTCTTTGCCACATTTTTCAAAAAGTCGACACAGCCACAGTGTCATTACAAGACGCTAGCTCATTTAACCACCTACAGTGGTTCTGTTCATGCACTTGCCATTTCTAATGATGGGCATATTCTTGCAGGTGGTGGTAAGTAGGCAGGGACTCAGCCACAGCTAGTGCTAAAAACAAGTAGGCATGAAGGGCATGAAGCTCTGGGATATTAATTCTCCAAGGAACTCCCATGTTCATCTCATCATGAATCCCGGGGAACAGTTAGTTGTGCAGTCTGGGCCACAACAAGGCAAACTATAGTAGAGACCCTCTGTTATGGAAAAGGCCTGGGTTATATCACATTTTTGTGATGTGGTCTCATAGATGTAAGCGCCCAGGCATGTCAATTGACCTTCTATTAACAATTATAGAACAATTTTCAGGAGATTTGCGCAAGGAGACTTGGATCAGGTTTTGAGATTACTTGCCTGTCATGTCATCCAACTTCTTCCAAAGGCAACATGCAGATTGCAGTTGGAACAAGAGACAAGATGGTTCAAGTTCTCATGCTCAATATGAGCACACAGCTCCAGTCCATCTTCACAGTGCAGCTTGAAAATACAGTACCCAAGTCTGTAGCATTTGCGGATAACAGAGCCATCTATGTCTTCGGGCTGTATGATGGCAAATTGTTAGTCCCGCTACTGCAAAATTTTTGCCTGATACTAATGATCAAACAGCATGAAACTGGACGATGAAGATGGTACTATAGTGGAGGAGATTAGCTGTAAATCAATGATGTAAGCTGCCACTACTCTCAACATGCACATTACTGACATTATCTAGTGGCCACGCAGCGGTGAACCAAAAGTGTGGGGTTTTCATCATAGACAATGCAACTGATGGCTTTACATTGTATCGCCTCAAAGGCAAGGTGGAGCCCATTCGAACATTCATGACTGCTTTGCCAAGTGTGTCAGTCCCAAAGCAAGTGGCATTTGGAGAAGAAGGCAAGGTAGTTGTAGGAGGAAGTGATAATGGACTAGCATATATATTTGATAGGAAGACGGGGCAGGTACTCGAAACCCTCCATCATGCAGATGCTGGCCTGGTACAAACAATAGCTGTAAGTATTAGGATTGGTCACAAATAATGTCACTGAACTGGTTTTCAGACACACGATCTTGATGGCTGCTGCACAATTGCCTGTGCTTCGCTGGTGTCAGGGTGGGAGAAAACTACAATCAAGATATGGGTGCACAACTATGCAGTGCAGAAGGTATCCAAGACTCCTCCACAGAGCTATTGGTCTATCTCACGAACATTGATGTTCCTGACACAAATACTGGCACTGTTGTCGATGAGTATGTTCCTGGTAAACTATAAAGATGTGTTTTTTGTAAGTCGACCATTTGCTAGCAGCAGTTTGACTAAGTCGCACCTCAGGACAGAGCAATTAATAATCTGCACCAGTATATGACTTCAGCAACAATGGTTAATGCAGCCAATGACTTTTCCCAACGTGTCAAAGTGGCCATGATCTTGAACAACTACAAGTACTTAGACATGCAGAGGGAAGGCCAAATGGAAGGACACATGGAAGGACCCATAGAAGGACCCAAGAATGACATCAGGATGCTCCACGAATTGCCAAAGAAGCTCATGGAACTAGCTGAAAAAGCAGGTGGAGAAATCAACGAAGAGAGAGACACAAGGGCCTGGAGGTGAAAGATCACTAGACTAATTGGTGAGTAGCAACGGCAGATGTAGATAGGGAGGTCGTTGCTCTTGTCCTAGTATAGTATGGTTGCACCATTACAGAAATAGATTGACCTATGTGCGTAGAAGGTGTGGATAGTTGCTGCCCCCTCCACTGTATGTACGGTGGAGGGGTTGACAGGATAGATGGATCCACACGATCTAAAGGATTGTAGCTGTTGGAAATAAAAGGCAAGTCGACTGATATGTGCGATGAGCCACTGCTCCACACATATGGTTGAGAAGTTGACAGCTGGATTGAGGACATCAGGCACTGGCTTTCATAGGCCGAACTGCATACCAAAATTATGCATATTGCTGCACCCACATAATCCAAAGGATTGCTGAGCAGAAAAACAGAGAAAAAGGTGATGTGCTCCATTGGGAGGTGTCGCAGACGAGGTGTGGCATTTGATGTTGGCTTGAAGGTTGTGAGGTGGTGGTTGAAGTCCCAGTGATGAAGAGGACGATGGCACATGGTGATTGAGTACGATGAGGTCGACGGTACATACCGTCAAGCTCAGAGAATGTGTGGAATGATGAAGTGAAGCTCAACAGTATTGATGCTCCTGGGAATGAAATTATTACATAAGTTATTTGTGACTATTGTGCACTGTCATCACCAAAGTCGTTAAGTCTTATGTATCCTTATCCAGGTTATGGTTTCCTTACTCTTATGTATCCTCATCCTTATATTTCCTTACTCACATGGGCTCGACTGTTTGTACCGTCGAGTCCATTGTCCTCGATGACCTTATACCATCTTCCACCTTCCCAACGGCATGACTGTATGTACAGTTGTGTCTGCCTTTCCCTCCTGATTTCTTTGTCAATATCTAACCTTTGCTACCCCCTGGCTCAACGACCCAATGGCCTTCCGCATCCCACCCACAGCATGACTGTATGTACCGTCATGTCTGTCCTTGCGACTTTACTTCGTCTTTGGAACGATGAAGGGCCTGGGTGATTATTGATCAAGGGTTTGACATCCTTTCCCTGAGGACAACTGGTGATCCATCTCATACCTGGTTGAGACAGCTGCCAGCTCTTCCACCACAGTCCCAGGGCAGATGGCTATGAGGTTGTCCTCAGCTGTACCAAATTTGGTTGATGAGATGCAAGAGGTACACATCCTTCATATTCTGCCTGGCATCTGCATCAAGGGCCATCCACCCCATCTTGCGGAGAACTTGCCTTGCCTTTCATTTCTTATTCTCATAGTCACTTGATTTTTTCTGCTCTTACTCAGATGATTATTGCTCAGCCCTGGACAATATCTGGAACTACTGGTCCTCAGGAGTCCCTTCTCCGCTCCCCTTATGCATCCTCGATCTTGCGCCTGCCATTGGAATCGAAGGCCATCATTTTGTGTTTGATCTTATGCCTGTTATCAGGCCATCCACCTTGTGGAGAACTTGTCTTGCTTTTGGATTCACACATGCATCTGTGATATGTTTGTCTGGCATCGTTGTGTTGATGGCCATACATTATGCAGAGAACCCGTGCCTTGCCTTTTCAATACACTCCAGCGTCTTTTTTCACACAAGGCCGCTATTCAATGTAAGTTTTTTCCTGTCTTTTGTTTTCTTGTCTTACTGAAATTGTTAACGCTCCACAGCACCTTTTTCCAGATACTCTGTGGCCTACATTGTTCTCCCCCTTGGACTCCTGTCTTTTGTTTTCTTATCTTACTGAAATTGTTAACGCTCCACAGCACCTTTTTCCTGAAGTAATACTCTGTGGCCACTACATTGTTCTCCCCCTCGGACTGATATGATAATCACTAATTGAAACTCTGCCATTGATATATCAAGGATTCATCTGGCCTGCCACTTCTTCCCAATCTAACACAACTGTCTGTACTGTTGTGGTAGAAATCGGCTTCTTATTCTACATGTTAGCGCTATCCTTGACTAACCTAGCACAACAGTTTGTACTGTTGTGGTAGTGCTTCAGTCTACTATTCTACACATCAACCACCCTTTCCGATGGCTACCAATCTCAAAGTCTTTTGTCATGATGACAAGGTCTACATGTCTCTCACTGCACACTCTCTTCCAGAAGTGATCCCTTGCCAGCCTGTCTGGGACCCATGTGACCCTCATGACAGTTCACCTGACGACAGTGATACGCCACTCACCACACACTGGGCATATGCAGCTAGACCATGGTTTCCTCTTGTGCCTTTAAATCCTAGCTTTGACGGGCCAATCTTTGCATGCCTGAACCACTCCGCATTTTCACTGCGAACAGAGGTCGATAGACAGGGCAAATACATACTCCATCGTGACATCAGAGAAAAATGGTGCAATCTAGAGCAGAAATTTCTCTGGTGCCAGGAGCATTTGGGTGCAGGACTGCTTGTTCCATGGGGGACTGTACTTCCATGTGCTCTGACTAGTTATGAGTACCAGAGATCACACACGGATGCTAGGCTGGTGAAAAAAGTAGCATTGAGGTCACGTAACACATTTCTATGTACATCCACCCCATTTTCATTACATTGCTTGATGGCTGACATATTTCTAGTAATTGTCGCTGCATGTACATGGCACATCATGAGTCGTCGATATTGAGGTTCCGATCGTACCTGGACATCTCTCTTAACCACTAACCCTGCATATCCCATACCAGCTGAATGGGTCCTCAAGTTATCTTGCTCATTTGTAGGGGATTTGTCAACTAATATACCATGCACCGGGGTCTTCATCTCTTCCATCTCCTGTCCTTGGGAGGCACAATTACCCATGCTTGAAGCATTCTCGATCCCAATCTGGGTCTGCTATGACGGGAATGCTGCTATCGACATGAAGTTGTGTCATTATATCCCGTCCCCAAAAGCCATTGCCGATGTGATTGAGGCACAGAAGTTGGACCAGATGCATGGGACATGGGGTCAGCCGGACGGGATGTGGGGTCAACTGGACAATGGAAGTGAGAGCGTTGTTGATTGGGATCAGGCTTGGAGTCAGGGTGCCCTTGGATGGGATCTGGATGGTGGAGAACACAGGCTCATATCAGCAGGTCCTCAGCAACATGTAGACCCCCGGTTTCCGGTCCCAGAACAACTCAGTGGGCAGAAGCCAGGACAAGATTACAAGGTGTTCTTTACATGGCAACGCAAGGAAAATAAGATGAAGGAAGCCAGTGAGACTCCAACTTGCCAGCAGTCATGTCAGAGCCATGAGTGTTCAGCAATGAACCATGGTATTCCAGGCAAATCCAATACAGCCGTTGTATTCAAATGGCAATCCCAAGATGAATTCAATGGCTTTCTTCTGTGCATCCGCCTCACAAAGGCCCAGATACCAATGACTTGGGGAAACTATAGTTGATCTACTAGGATCTATGACTCGTTTCATAATGAGTGGGACTTATGAGATGCGTTAGATCCCAGCAGCATTCCCGATAGCGACTGGGAAGAAGATCATTTCCTGCCTGTTCCCACTCCTTCTGGTCCTCCTCCGCCCCATCTGCCCCCACCCCTGCTGTCCAGTTTCATGCAGGATATCGAGAACTACTTTGGCCATCATGGGGTTGCACCCTCGTCAAATTACACTCATGGCATTGAATTTTTTGCCTCAATCCTTCATTTCCATCTCGGATTTCAGCTCACAGCATCAACCCACACAGCCCGTGATAGATCAACCATGTTTGAACAGTGGATTCAGAGGACTACATGGATTAACCTATGCAAACTCATCGGTGACTCAGGCGACAACGTTGAATTGGTTGCAGACGCATGGAAGCGCATTATCACATGTTTCATTGGTTACCTTGTTACCCTCCCCAGCTCTCAGTTGTCTCACATACTGTCTGATCTCTGGGACCTAGGACCCGATTCCCCCCTGTTGGCCTTGAATGCAAACATTTGAGTTTCTTACATCCACGTGTTTGAGCAGCATCAGCTCTATGTCATTCAGCCATGTCTATCACCAAGTCTGGTCGCCTGGAAACTTGTTGTTCCTGATGCTGCCACTGCTGTGATGTGCCTTCTGACTCGTAAATTATTTTCATGGAACATACTGTTGTGACAGTCGTTTTTATCTTTATTCAGCCACCACCATTTCCCTGCACTCCGTCATCTACTCCCTCGGCTATAATCTATTCCCACCTAGAGCCCACTGGGGACTCATCCTTTGCGGTCACTGAACCCTTGACCCATTGGTGCATGGGCTATGATTGAGTGAACCGGGCAGGCAATGGGCGGTGATGGATGGGCAATTCATTTTGTCTGTGAACGAAACTTGAAGTTTACTCATCGCATTTTGTCGCCAGCATAAACTTCAAATTTTCAGGGGCATCGAATTGTTGGACAAAACTTAATACATTGACAAGCATGTAGTGATGGACTAAACTTCAAGTTTTGTCCAATGCCTCATGTGATAATTAAACTTCAAATTTACGCAGACACTGAAAATCCAATTATATTTCATATTTTCATTGATGTGTGATTGGTGGGAAAATGGTTGTGGATGCTTCATATTTTAGATTTCACACAAAACACTGCTGAAATTTGAAGTTATGTACCCATCTTTATGTTAGTTTAAACTTCAAATATTTTCTTTGCATTTTGTACAGCATATAAATCTCTCCTAAATATTGATAACCCCAATGTGCCTTGGTCCACTCTCCTTGCCACTTGGGGCACTTTTCAAAGACATCAATGGGAGGCCATAAAGAACCATTTCCAGTGCTGCCTAACAGAAGGTCAATATCAGCATCAGTCACCATGTCATCAATATCGCTATCAATACGGTGGATACAGCAGTGCAGGTAAGCATTGGTGGATAGCCCGACCAGGGTGGTGGCAAGCAGACTTTCCGGCCCATAGTGCAATGCAATCTGCCAAACTAAAACACCCATGGTAAGAAACCAGTGTGCAAATGGAAGGGCAAACATGGCCTTGACACAGGTGTGATATTCCTGGAAAATGTTGCAGTGCTAGCACAGGGTTTGACCCCGGGCATTGAGATGGGTGGGGACAGGAATGTGTGTGGCAGGGATAGGAAGCACAAGATCATTACGGCTAACCAATACCTGCCAATCCAGGCCCTGGATAGGCAGCGAACGCCCAAAAACCAGTGGTACATCTGGGTATTGGGCAGTCCACATGTGTAGTCTCACTTTTGTCCTTTTCGATACTACTAACCAACCACATGAGACGACGTGCAAGGAAGGGTAGTTGAAATGCGCCAAGTCAATGGTATTGGCTGCATCAAACTGACCAAGGCACTGAATGAGCCAGTGAGTTTTAGTGGTGTCAGCGGCAGAATGGCTCATCCTGTCGAAGCCTGCAATTGATGTCACGTTCGCAAGAGGCAAGACTTGTGATGGAGTGATAGGAGCAAGTGTTAAGGTCATGCTCAAGGGAAAGGTAACTCAAAGGGCTTTGGCTTCAGCTTGTGTGCTGTGCCCCTGACCCAAGTACATACCCTTAATTTCCAAGAGGCAGAGGGGAAATCTGACAGAAGTCCAGGTAAGTCTGGAGGTCAGACGCAGGGGGAGTTCGGCAGAACTCCGGAAGGCTAGGAACAAACAGAATAAGGCTACTACGGACAAGTCCAGAGTAGAAGTGGAACAGAGTTAGACTACCCTGGGGTAGAGCCGGAGATATAGTCCTAAGGATTAACCCTAAGACTCAAGTCCGGAGAAGCAGGAATGAGCAGAACTAAGATGATATTCAAACTGAGGAGTACCAGAGTATTACAGGAGTTTATATACTGTAGGTATCATATAGGTAAATCAGTCAGCAAGGTAAAAGCTATGCCCGAAGCATGTGGAAAGTCTATTAGTAAGTGTATAATGGATCAAAGCAGCGAAGTCGGAAATGAAGTACAAACAGACAGATCAGTAAGCAAAGCAGAAAGACATAACCAGTAGCCGGAGAGCGGTATTCTAAAAGGAAATAATTGTGAGTACAGAGATAAAGGCGGAGCACCGGGTGGACAATAGAATGGAGAACCAGACTTCTGCAGGGGAGATCCGGAATTCTGGGTCCAGAGGTATGGGATATGACAGCGAGTGACGAAGGGCCAGGAGTGGATGGCATGGTAGACACTGCTTGCATCAAAGGACCGGCGATAGGATGTATAAAAGGGGTCGCTAGAGACATTTCAAGTTAGTCTTAGAATCACATTAATTATAATGTGAAACTCATGTGGATGGGTTACTCAACAGTTGTGATGTGATGAGTAGCTGTGAGCAGTGTGCACTACAGAGACACAAATTAGTTGTGTCTAGGTGTGTGATTGCAGGATACTTACAGTCGCAACTTCCTCAAGGATTCTGGTAATGTGACCTCTGATATCCTCCTCATGGTCTTGGTGAGGGAGAATGGCCACACCAAGGTGGGGAATGGGATCAACTTCGATGAGGGGACATGACACGCTCCTGCTGAGATGGGGCATAGTCTCTATAGGACATCAACCTACCGCAATTATCAGGGGGAGAGACTGGTTGATGAGGGGGATAGTCCCTGTAGGAGGATTCATGAGGGGGGGAGCTAGGACATTGTGTGTCGTGATCAAAAGGAGGGGGAGGGTTGGCTTCTTCACCAGGCGGGACATGCGTGGACTCATATGGAGGGGATGCACTAGTGTTGCCATGGTTATGGTTTTTGGCAGGTTTAACCCAATTTTAGAACCCGGTTTGTCACTGAACCTGACTGGACCGAACTGTGCCATAAACATTGGCTCCACAAAGTCAAGCCACAGTCTTGCTCTGGTTCCAAAACCAGCTCAAACCGTTTTCCAAAGGTAAATATAGATTATTACAATACTACCCCAGCATGCGCCATCTAACCTCCTCCCTTCACATGTCCCCCTCCCCTTGCCAAAATGCCTCCTGTCCGACTCACTGCTTATGGTGCCGCTGTCCAAGTATCGATGGGCCATGAGGAATTTTTGAAGGGGACCAGTGCTAGTGACACTGGAACTCAAGGTATGTTGTCACTTTTTATTATTTTTCTATATTCTGACTGAAGCATCTTTTTACGCAGGTGTCCCCAGCCCTATCTGACGCCAACATAGCTGCTGAAGTCCCAGTTCAGTTGAAATTCACGATGGAACCTGCCTTCTCAATGCTGCACTCACGCCGGTTCAGGTATCCACATAGCAATCGCACCCAGCCCGTTCCCAGAAAATGTGTTGATGCCATCTCTGAACATTGTGCCTCGATATGGCACCATTCTTGTACTGGATACTAACATTATCCTATCTTCGCTATCCAATGCTGCATCCATTATCGAGAGCCTCAGATGGACCGTTGTCCTGCTGCTCAACTATGTGTTTTTCTTCTGCGCTATCACAACCCCCACTCCATCTTCACCCTCCAAGTCCTCTCAGCACCCAACCACACACAACCGCACCCTCTGGCACCACCCAGCTCCCTAAATGCACCATTCCAGCCCTCCAGCACCTTTCCCTCACTCAAATGCACCCTCCCAGCCATCCAGCACACCAGCACCCAAAATGTGTCCAAACACGCTGCTCCAGCCTTCCAGCACCTACCAGCACCTTCCTCTCACCCACTTCACCCTGAATGTGCCCAAATGTGCCGTTCCAGCCCTCTAGCACCTTTCCCTCACCCAAATGCGCCCTCCCAGCCATGCAGCATGCCAGCACCCAAAATGTGTCTAAACATGCCGCTCTGGCCTTCCAGCACCTACCAGTACCTTCCCCTCACCCACTTCACCCTGAACGCGCCCAAATGTGCTGTTCCAGCCCTCTAGCACCCACCAGCACCTTTTCCTTGCCCAATCATGCCCAAATTTGCCCTCCCAGCTATCCAGCACCAGCATGAGCTACACCTCTGGTGTTATCCTTGATGCTACATGCTCCAAGCCAACAGTTTGTGGACAGGCAATTGACATTGCATTGGAACAGAAGAATAAGTCAGTATTCGTAGTGTGCAAAGTAATCTATCTACTCACCAATTATAATGCGCACTCCATATTGTATCTCATAGGCTCATAAGATGCAAAGGATGTGAATTTGCATTGTAGTTTGCTCGTTGTACTTGGAAGTGCAAAGTTGGATTGATTTGTATGTTTTAGATTTCGGTATGTTTGGGTCTACAATATAAATAGAACTGCCATTTTGGTACACATGCAGGGTTGATTCTTTTCACTGAAACTTCATGCCCGGCCTTGATCACCCGTCTCTGACACTCGCCCTCCTTCTAAGCTGCCTTCCAGAACCCACAAGAGTTTTCTACCTCTGATTCGCGCAGTCATCGACCATGTGATGGAGTCACTGCTGGTCAGTGATCTATGGGATCTTACTTTTTCCACCCATATGTCTATAAGGATCAGAGTCCCAAATGCGAAGCTGGGTGTACCCGACCTTCTTCTTGAGGTGGATAGACCGGGTGACAACGTCGCCTTGTGGATATTAGAGGTCGGCTTTTTGCAGACAGACAAGGACCTCATGAAGAGAGTCTGAAGGTTCACTAAGAAATGCAAGACCACACAAATAATCACCATGATTGACGTCTGTGAGTTGCAGCCATACAGGAGGCCAAAGGATACATTGGAGTTGGTGATCACGATGAAGGGGCGAGATGTGTTGACGAAGAGGGAGTGGAAGGTTATGTTGGACAATCCAGCCTTTGGGTCAGTTATGTCCTCGGCACCACATCCCTGGGTCATGCCCTTGACCATCAAGGTCAAGGCCTGGCTCTGTCACTCAGATGGAGAGTTCTCTCTCAATGAAATGAACAGCAGTTCCTATTATGTGTGTGCAGTAAGTCCTTACTACTCTTTTTTAAATTAAACACTGAACCTTGACAGGAAATTTGTCCAACCAGGGACTCCACCGAGATCGCCCATCTCAATTCAGTGTTCCGCCAAGCCATGAAATTCATACATGACAAAACCACCAGCTACGTGCAGGAGCATTGTGAGCTCGACGAGGAGAATATCATGTAAAGATATCCTCTTTCTGCATAATTACATCTCACTTCCAGTCGACTAACAGTGCCATGTGCAAATGGATACCTCCAGATCCTCTATTTGACTGGGACAAGGTCATGAATCATGTTTGCAAGGGAGTGATGCATGATGGGTTTGACCGGTACAGTGACTGGCATGAGGATCTAAATTACTAAGCAGATGAACTCCAGGAGCAACTCCCACAGGGCGGGTCCAGAAAAAGGCCAAAGAGAGGTTGATTACTGTAGAACTCATGTAGATGACGTTGAGTTACCCTTGATCTACTGTGGTAGTACGTAATGTGCTTACATTGTATACAGTACACTAAGGCATAGCTATGAATGGCGAGAATGAGTGAACGACGCTCCAGGGGTATTACTACATAGAGTTTGTTGTGTGCCACCATCAGTAGGTACTTCCTCTTTTGACCTTTAGGTAAATATCCTGTCACCACCCTACCACATTAATTCAGCCATGATCTATGCAGCAGTGCAGTCTATGCCTTTCATGAATGTCCATGCACTTCCCGCTATTTGTACACAGCACTCAGCATGTGCAAATCATCTGAATGACAGCCCTTGACTGCTCAGTTTCTTATGTGGCAGGGTGTGTTGTGTATGATGTAAGTAATTTCCACACCTTTCATCCTATTAGCAGCTGCTGTGACATACAACCATTGCTGTGCTCATCCTTCAAATATATTGTGGCTACTTTTCAACTCTCCCACTCTCAGCATCTCACCATGGCGGCACCACAAAACTGTGCAGTGAATGCTGCAAAACCTCGCCACCAAGGTCAGCCTGCTCCCACACCACCTGCAGCACCCGTGGATGCCCCCGCACTCATGCAGCCACCATTGAAGATGCGCCTGATGAGGAATTTGATTTACAAGACATCTCTGCCGATGAAGAAGAAGAAAGTGTCCCACCGCATGCTTGCACCTGAGTCCATGCACCCATTGACCCCCCTGTGATTGAAGACAACTGTTAAGGTCATGCTCAAGGGGAAGACAACTCAAAGGGCTTCGGCTTCAGCTCATGCGCTACGCCCCTTACCCGAGTACGTGCCCTTAATTTCCAAGGGGCAGAGGGGAAGTCCGGGGAAGTCCAGAGGTCAGACATCAGGGGAGTTCGGTGGAACTCTGGAAGACTATGAGAGAACAGAGTAAGGCTACTATGGACAAGTCCGGAGTAGAAGCAGAATAGAGCATAAACTACCCTAAGGTAGAGCTGGAGATTTAGTCCTAAGGTTTAACCCTAAGACTTGGAGGTAGACAAGAGATGAGACTCAAGTCCAGAGAAGCAGGCATAAGCAGAACTAAGATGATATTCAAACTGAGGAGTTCCGGAGTTCTACAGGAGTTTATATACTGTAGGTATCATGTAAGTAATCAGTCAGCACAGTAAAAGCTATGTCCAAAGCATATGGAGGGTCTATTAGTAAGTGTACAACGGATCAAGAAAATGAGGTCGGAAATGAAGTGCAAATGGACAGATCAGTAAGCAAAGCGGAAAGGTGTACAACTGGTAACTGGAGAGTAGTATTCTAAAAGGAGATGGGTGTGAGTCCAGAGATGAAAGCGGAGCGCCGGGTGGACAACAGGACAGAGAACCGGACTTTCGTAGGGAGAATCCAGACTTCTGGATCCGGAGGTATGGGATATAGTGTCAGAGAAAATAGGGGTAGTGTTGGAGAAGTGGAATAGAGTCAGGTGGAGGTAGCAAGGCTAGTCCTACTGAGATGCACTTCGTGCATTGTCAGAGAAGGAGGGATGGAGCGGACAGGGAAACAGGGGGTCGGACTAGTGGTAGGGATGTCCACAGGTGGTATTGGAGGTGCTCAGATCCGGTATATGACAATGACCCTCTCCTCGACACAGTAAAACGCACCAGTCGATCTCACTCTTCATCAGCGGAAGATATTGAGTACTTCTTCAAACAGGAAACAGCCAATACAATTTGTGACCACTGCAGGTAAGCTTATCCGTTACACAACCATCCACATAGCATTGCTGTGGCTTAGAAGACCTTTCACCAGATTGGCACGTGCAAAAGATGTAGCAGCATGTGATGTTTTATATGGCCCATTGTCCACGAGACGTAACTTCATGTATGTGACTACTACAGGAAATTCATCGCTACGCCCTCATATTTACAAGTGGCACTTGCTGGAGTACTTAATGCAGGCCCTTGAAAATTCATGGCCAATTGTGTTGAAAGAGGTCAAATTGTTACAAAGTCAAGGATGCTCAATCGAAGAGATGAAGACCCACATCGAGAAGGGAGGCAATTTGACTTCGCTTCCTGGCCATCAAAATGCAAATGCTGCATCTAAGCCAGGAAACCGAGATTCAATACCCGAATTCTTGGTGCCAACTTTTCATTGATTTCTTCTCTCATTCATTGTCGTGGACAATCAGGTGAGTGGGGTTTACTTACACATATTTCATATCTTATTTCTTTAAACAGGCCATAAATCTTGTTGAATGTGTTGAGTTCAGATGGCTTCTGTCATATACCGGATCCGAGTACCCCCAGTACCACCTATAAGCATCCCTACTGCTTGTCCGACCCCCTGTTTCCCCATCCGCTCCATTCCTCCTTCTCCGACAATGCAGGAGGTGCATCTCAGCGGGATTAGCCCTGCTACCTCTGCCCAACCCTGTTCCACTCTTCCGACACTACCCCTATGTCCCCCGACATTATACCCCTTCCATCTGACCCTATCTGGGGTTCCACTCCTCCACCCTATTGATCCACCTGATCCTACTCCTACTCCCTCCGCTTTTCTGACCTGCTTAGATCCTTCAGTTCTGCTCATATTGCCCTACCCGACTATTAGTCCATCCGACTGCCTCACTGGTCCACTCCTAGACTAGGAACCACTCAACTGGTCCTATCCCCATTTAGTATCATAGTTCCGCTTTTTGTATCACTGGTAATCCCTATACCCTAGTGATTCTGATCCGTCGTGTACATACTGTTCCCCAAGCCTTATTCTCACATGTCTCAGTCATCCTATTGTATTCCTGTACACTCAGCACATAGCCTTCTGCTATGCTATGCTCATCACTTAGAGTATATAAACATATGTACATTTGTCTGTAGATACTCAGTCTGAATATTACCTTTTCTAAGCCCTGCTCTCTTGTCCTTGTTCTTGGGCAAACCCCTTGACAACTCCTGCTTGCTGGCCTAGGGGATTGACTCCCTAGGTTGGCCGCCTCCTCCGCTTGTCCGACTTCCCGTGCCTCCACCGCCTTTTCTGTGTGTTGGACTTGTGACTAGTACTCTCATATATCTGTCCTCTGTGTTCCCATTCTGCTTTGGACTTCGTCTGAACAGTCTCCTCCGCTCTGCTCCTACTGTTAGCTCCAACTGCAGTAGCCCTCCGACTCTCCCCTGTAGGGCGGACCAATCTCCACCTGATGTTCTCACGCTTATCCAGTAGTCTGTTGGTCCTCCTTCTGAGGACCTCAGCTCCAACGTCCTGTCGGAGCTTGTAGAACTCGAGTTGGACTACAATCCAAAATTAGGGGCATGTACTCGGGTAAGGGGCACAGCGCATGAGCTGAAGCCAAGCCCCTCAGACTCAGCCTTACCCCTGAGCATGGTCTTAACAGCTTCTTCTCCTACTCCAGGAGGATCTCTGAGAACAAGACATACCTCACTGCACCAGGCTGCAGGAGCAGATTATAGAGGCCTGGCAAGACCATTTTGCTATGCTGAAAGAAGACTTGGAGGCATGTACTATGGATTTATAAATACACCGTCGCTTTAACAGTTCAACTAACTAACTTTCTCACTTTGGTCTAGCATGCACTTGGAGATATCTCAATCACCACTGATATTTGGTCAGATGGTGGTCATAAACCGTTTCTTGCCATGACTGCACATTGGATAGCCGAGATCGAGAACTGCTTGGAACTCAAAGCAGCATTGATCGCATTTCAAGATCCCTTGCACGAACTGTCCTATTCCTGCTCGATTGGGCAGGTATCACTGTGAAAGTATGTGTTTGATCAATGAGCCATGGATGTCGCACTCACAAGGAGTGATGTTGGTACTTTCTAGATAGGACACATCACTCTTGATAATGTGGAGAATAATGCCACGATGATGCAGGAACTTGAGCATTTGTTGAGAGAATGCAATATCGAGTTTGATGCACAGGATCATAGGATTATGTGTTTTCCTCACATCATCAATATCTGCGTCAAACACGTCCTCACTGCATTCTCTGGCATCAACCTTGCTGATCTTGCAGATACTTTTGTTGGCACATTTGCAGACAATGGTGATGTCAATATTGATGAGTACTTGGAGGCTCTCAGCAATGATCCAATTGCACTTGGTTGCCAGACTGTCAAAGCTATCCGTGCATCTGGTCTGTGGCGTGATGAATTCACGCACATCATCAGGTCTTGTAATTCCAGTGGTTTGTTCAAATTTCAGGGTAAAGTCATCCAGATACCAGAGTACCAGCTCCTGTGGGACATTGCAACGCAATGGGACTCTGTATATTTCATGATCAATCGTTTACGGGCAATGCGTGTGGTATGTTTTTTTTTATAATCATCATGATTCAAGTCCGTTTCTCACAATCTCTATGGCAGGCTATAGATTACTTTCTTTCCTCCCCGGATCAGCAGGATATTGCACAACACAAGATGAATGATATGGAATGGTTTGTCCTCCACAACTTTGAGGCCATTCTAGAAGTAAGCATACTGGTCCTAGTGTTTCGAATTAGTTGGTTTTACTCCATGCAGATACCTCATGGGGTTCAACAGAGTATGTCTAGTGAGAGCCGTCCTAGGCTAGGCAATGCTGTACCTGCACTTGGAGTTGTTCATGACAGCATGGGAGAATAAAGCTGAAGGGACCCCTTGCCTCAAACCTTTCATTTATGTTGGCCTAGAGTTGGCTAAGAAATATTATAAGTGTATGGATAATACATGTGCTTATGTTGTTGCAATGTGTAAGTTCACTTAGTTCATTCCTGAGTCACAATTGATTGACTCCCATGCCCATATTCCACACAGTTGTTGACCCATCAATACGAATGGGTTGGGTTAAGGCTTATTGGGAGAAGACATGGATTCAGGATGCAGAGGAAAAGATCGTTGAACTCGTAGGATAATAGAATCCTCATCAAGTACACTGCTGACCTACAGATCATCTAGATGAAGCACTATCACAAGACAAAACTACCTCAAACTCTGGAACAGCAGGGTGTACCTCCACGCGGCACACATTCAATCAACACCCTTGTATTACATTATGGACTCAGGGATTTGGGGTTGAGATGCCAGCCCAAAAACAGACCTCAAACGGTTGAACAGGAGTACCAATTGTATATCACCAGCGATCTCTTTGAGGATGGTTTGGATCCCCTCAGGTTCTGGGAGGTACACTTTTCAACATTCAATTTACATGTACACTCACTGACTCATCACTCCCAGATGAAGAGGATGGAGTACCCAACCATATTCCAGATGGTGATGGACTATCTAGCAATTCAGGCCTCTGCTGTTCCCTGTGAACACGTCTTTTCTTCTAGTGTGGAAACTGACACAAAGAGGTGCAATTGTATCAGTCCACATCTCATGGAGGCGCTCCAAATGCTCAAGTTTCATCTCAAAAAAGAACACCTCAATTCTACACATGGCTGGGTAACATCCCAGAAACTTCTTCTTGAAGATGAACCCAATGAACCTGGCACTCACAACATGTCTGGTCAACACAACCCTCTTGACCACATACTCAGCATGATAATGCAAGAGGAGGGTGATGGAGTTGCAGATGCTGTTGAACTTGTTGAACTTCTAGAACACATAGCTCATTAGTCTTGTTCATGAATTCCGACCTTATATCCTATGTGTACATTATGTTTTAGCATGCTGTTGCATAGATATGAGAACAATGTTTGATTGGATGAAGCTCATCATGTGATGTGTGACACATGATACTGGTGGAGGCTAGCTAGCCTTCACCTTCAAAGTTCAAACCCTACAAAGAGACAGGCTGAAAGATGGCTGATCCTTATATCTTGAAGCCAGGACCACAAAGTGGTCCTGGCAAGCTGCCTTTTTACACCCATGCTGCTCATGTATGGAGCTCTCCCCCAGGGGCTGTGTCTTCACTCCACAAACCTCAGCCTATTGTCAAAAGGCACTCAGCACCTGCAAATCCTCTGAAGGACTGTCCTTTAATTGCCAGTTCACAGAAAACTACCACTGTAGTTTCCATGTCAATGGAAGCCCCTTTAGTCTCAAAATTTGAGACCAGGCTTGGTTTCTCATCAGCACCATCTCCAAGTGATCCCCCGACTAAAGATCATGAGTTTTCTGCTGCCTTTTGTATCATATTCTTTGCTAAGTTGCAACAGAATTATGCAAGCAAATTATTGCTGCCCTCAAGGTCACTGATGGGGGCAACACAGAGACAGACATTGTAAGATCCATGAGCCACTTGTAATCTCTGAGACTCTGACTCACTCTGCCACAGTGGTTCTTGCATGTGTCACAAGACGATTATGATCATGTCATGAGCACTATTGCAGAAACTGAGGAACTTATTCACAAGTGGGTAATGCCTTACAGTGGCTTAGACGCAGCTATTGATTAATAATATTTACCACTCTCAGACCAGCATACATTCCAGATCTCAAATGCTTCATTGCTTACAAACTGCCATCATGCACACACAATAGTTTTCTACCCCCGATGACCAGGGTCATAGAATGTGCAATTGAATCAATGCCCATCAATGCACTTTGGGATCTTATCTTCCCTATACATATGTCATTGCTACTTATTGTTATGGCAAAGAAGCTGGGCATGCCCGACCTTCTTTTTGAGATGGATGGACCGGGTGGCAGCATCCCCTTGTGGATAATGGAAGTCAGCTTTTCATGGGCAAAAGATGAAGTGATGTCTAGTGTTTGTCATTACGCAATGGAGTGCAAGGATGTTCAAGTAATCACCATGATTGACGCCTGCAAGTCCCAGCCTCACAAGATGCCGAAGGATATATTGGATTTGGCAATCGCGATGGAGGGGTAAAATTTGTTAACATTGAAGGAGTGGAAGGTTGTGTCGGATGATCCAGCCTTTGGGCCAGTTATGTCCTCGGTACCGCATCAGTGGGCCAGTCCCCTGACTATCAAGGTCAAGACCTGGCTCTGTCAATCAGATGGAGAGTTCTCTCTTGATGAAATGAACAGCAGTTCCTATTATGTGTGGGCGGTAAGTCCTTGCTACTCTTTTTTTATTTTTAAAAAAATTAAATGCTGAGCCTTGACAGGAGATTTGTCCGACCAGGGACTCCGCTGAGATCACACATCTCGATTCAGTGTTCCACCAAGCCATGAAACTCATATGCAACAAAATCACCGGTTATGTGCAGGAGCATTGTGAGTTCGATGAGGAGAATTTGAGGTGAGATATCCTCTTTCTACATAATCATGATCGCATCTCACTTCTAATCCACTAACAGCGCCATGCGTGAATGGATACCTCCAGATCCTCTATTCAACTGGGATAAGGTCATGAATCACATTTGCAAGGGAGTGCTATATGATGGGTTTGACTGGTACTGTGACTGGCATGTCAATTTGAAGTGCCAAGCAGATGAGCTTGCAGAGCAATTCCCACAGGAAGAGCCCAGCAAGTGGCCCAAGAGAGGTTGATGGGCTTAGATCAGTGAGACACTTAGAGTGTGATGTGATTTGCCAAATCTCTGACTCTCCTCTTATGTTTTATTTGTTGTCACTCGTGTTGTTGACTGTAATTGTTAAGGTCATGCTCAAGGGAAAGACTACTCAAAGGGTTTCGGCTTCATCTCGTGCGCTGCGCCCCTTACCCAAGTACGTGCCCTTAATTTCCAAGGGGCAGAGGGGAAGTCTGATGGAAGTCTGGGGAGTTCCAGAAGACAAATGTCGGTGGAGTTCGGCGGAACTCCAGAAGGCTACTATGGACAGGTCCGGAGTAGAAGCAGAACAGAGTTTAGACTACCCTAAGGTAGAGCCAGAGAATTAGTCCTAAGGTTTTACCCCTAAGACTCGGAGGTGGACAAGAGATGAGACTCAAGCCTGGAGATTGCAGGAATGAGCAGAACTAAGATGGAGAGTCGGAGGTATAGTTAAAGGAATCAATCCTAAGACTCGGAGATTGACAAGAGACAAGCTCAAGTCCGGAGGTACAGGAATGAGCAGGAACTAAGGTGATATTCAAACTAAGGAGTTCTGGAGTTTTTTACAGGAGTTTATATACTGTAGGTATCATGTAAGTAAATCAGTCAGCACAGTAAAAGCTATGTCCGAAGCATATGGAGGGTCTATTAGTAAGTGTACAACGGATCAAGGAAATGAGGTCAGAAATGAAGTGCCAACGGATGGATCAGTAAGCAAAGTGGAAAGGTGTACAACTGGTAACCAGAGAGCAGTGTTCTAAAAGGAGATAGGTGTAAGTCTGGAGATAAAAGCAGAGCGCTGGGTGGAACAGGACAGAGAACCAAACTTTCATAGGGGAGAATCCAGAATTCCAGATCCGGAGGTATGGGATATAGTGTCGGAGAAAATAGGGGTAGTGTTGGAGGAGTGGAATAGAGTCGGGCGGAGGTAGCAGGGCTAGTCCTGCTGAAATGCACTTCGTGCATTGTCAGAGAAGGAGGGATGGAGCGGATGGGGAAACAGGGGGTCGGACTAGCGGTAGGGATGTTCACAGGTGGTATTGGAGGTGCTCGGATCTGGTATATGACAGTAATTTATGCTCGTCCTTTTGGTGTATCCCTTACATAATCAAAGTTGAAAGTTCAACCCACCACTAGTTGTGAAGCCCATTGTCATTATTCTTATTTTCTGATTGCTATTTTTCACAACAGATTTATGTTGTGATGTTGGTTCGCATCGATGGGAGGTATAGCCTAAAAGAGAAAGTTGGATTGGGCTCATATGGTATGTTAGAAACTAATTGTCAATGGACTACACCTCTAACTCTCACGAAAGGCGAAGTCTATCGTGCAAGCGACCTTGTATATAGCCACGACATTGCAGTAAAGATCGAGCCTGAAAGCATTGATCCCTCTGTCTTGAAGTACAAACACCATGTTCTCCATCAGCTTGATGGCATAACTGGTATCCCTAGGGTGCATTGGTTTGGGTATGAGGCCAGATACAACACTCTTATCCTTGATTGTCTTGGCCCCTCACTAGAGGATGTATTCAACTCCTGTTGCCGCTCTTTCAGCCTCAGTACTATTGCATTAATCGCGGACCAATTGGTGAGTCTTTCCAACAATACCTTCATGCACATCATGTAATGGTATATGCTGTCCAGATTTGTCATCTTCAGCACATTCATACTCGCAACTTCATTCACAGGGACTTGAAGCCCAGGCATGTATTGATTGGCATCCGAAATAACACCCACATCATCTACCTGATCGATTTTAGCCTCTCCAAGCAGTACAGAGATCCAAACACACATATTCACGTTATGCCCGGCCATACCACTTCCTTTATTGGCACCCCTGCCTTCACTTCCATCAATAGCCATCTTGGACTTGAGTTGGGACGACGCAATGATCTCGAGTCACTCGTATATTTATTAATATATCTTGTCCATGGATGTCTCCCATGGTTAGACCATGAAATTACAACTGACAACACGGTCCTCAACATGAAACTCAATATGGATGAGCTATGTCGTGATCTTCCCTGTAAGTTTCACCACATGCTCGACTACTTATGCAGCCTTGCATTCCATGCTAAACCAGACTACGACTACCTTCAAGCACTGGTTCAAAAGCTTCATCCAAGCTCATCCAAGGCAGAAGCTGCCTTACTAGACTGGCTTCCTAAAATCAAATCAGAAACAACTGTGTTGCATCAACTGGATGAGACAAGGGCTGCATCACGGAGTGTAGAAACTTGTTTGCAGTTGTAAGTTTTTTTTCATCATCTTGTTCCTTTTAATGACTGAATTACAAATTAGCGACCCCAACAGTCAGCAGTCACAACAAGCAGTGTGTGAAGCACCACAAGTATATAATGCCTCTTCTTGACGTAGTGCCCGCCTTGCTTCATGTGTCAAGACTTCGGCCTACATGTAGTCCCCATTCATTTGCGCATAGCATGCCTAGTGTAGTCTGTGACCCAGAGTCTTGTGACAGCCCTTGTAGTAGTGTAGTCTGCAATGTATAACTACAAAGCTCATTTGTCTCAATTTAGATTTGCCTGAAATCCAAAACTTGGATAGAAAGGACGGTTTAGCTGCAGTTTAACTGGTTTAGGTGATTGAACCGAACTGAAAATATGACATAACCGGTAGAAGCCAGAACCAGTTTGTGGTTAACTGAACCCTGGCAACACTAGGATGCACGCATGTCAGTATCCATGCTGTTGTTGTTCATATCAACATCATTCATATCCACACTGCATTTGAGGGGTTCTGCCTTTGCCTTCTCAACCCTTTCCTGTTCAAGCTGTTCTGTTTCTGCCTTCTCAACCTTTTCATGCTGTTCCTGGGCCTGTTGTTTCCAAAGATATAATTTTTCTGCACATGGAAGCGATGGCCCACCGGCAACCCAGGATGAGATGATGGCCCCACCTCATTATTAGATGCATCCAAGGCAAGCGGGGCTCTTTGATGGTCCATCTGATCTTGCGAGGGCGAACAGAACCACCTTGCACGCTCAGCAGCAGGGTTGGCAATGCTGAGCTTATATCCAAAGACATCGTGCTCAATGGTGTTGATTGTGAAGAGACCGCATGATACAGTGTCTGTTTGGTGCCCATGGGGCAAGGTAGGCCTGTCGTCGGTAAAGTCTGTGCCAAAGCGGGAAGAGAGCCACTATGGTTCTGCTCGACCGCCTCGTCGATTACCTCCTGCATTGTTTCCACCCTTCTGTAAACTCCATCCCCATTTAGGTATATACTTTCCCCATTCGCACATAGCACTTACTTCCCAGATCACTGGTACTTTCTATAACTGCTTGACTAACTGATCTGACACGTACATATTGATATCCGCCTGTTAGGTACCGTGCCGACTCAAGAAGCAGAGGGGTTGGGGCTTGGCTTCAGCTCTTGCGCTGCGCCCTTAGCCAAGTACGTGCCCCGAATTTGGAGCGGGTCTGATGTTGTCCGACAGTAGGACGAGTGGACCACTTTGGTCTGCTTGGAGGGTAGGAGAGTAAGAGCTACTAGTGGCGGACCGACTAGGAGCGGAGTGGAGAAGGCGGGGAGTGATGCAGAGGGTGGATATGAGCAGGGGAATGTTTGGTAGGGGTGGGAAAGGTGGAGGATAATGTGGAGGGACAAGGGAGGATAGTTGATAGGGGCGGAGTATAAGGGGAAGACTTAGAGCATGGCTCTAAGTCGGAGTGGAGGGTCGGAGGGTCGGAGGTGACAGCAAGTTGAGACTTGTGTCCAGAGGAGGCAAGGTCCTACTGAGAATTCTCATAAGAAGTAACTGCGAGAAGACAAGTAATATTAAGGCTGAGGAAAAATATCTAAGTACATGATATGTTATATACTACTATGTATGAGGCAGTGATCAGGATAATTATGTAGTAAAGCTATGTACCAAGGATATAGTTTGTAAGTATTTTACATAGGTGAAGACATAAGTCGGGGCGGATATCAATATGTATGTGTCGGATCAGTGATCGAGTGGTAATAGGAATTACTGGTCATCCAGAAGTAAGGGTCTATGTACCAATGGGGAAGGTATATATCTAAAAGGGGAAAGAGATCCAGTTGAATGGAGAGGTTCATGGAAGGGGACCGGTTGAGCGGTTGAGCGGAAGCATAGGGCAGAGTGTGGACTTGTGATTGGACAGAGCGGAGGATGGATGGGGCGGAAGGGTCGGAAAGCGGAGCAGATATTAGTATCGGAGCAGTCGGATCAGGTATATGACACCACCCCGACTTATGTTTTCCACCTGTGTCTACTTACAAATTATGCTCGGTACATAGCCTCATACCAAGGACTAACTAGTCACTGCCTCCTACATAGAAGTATATAAAAACATATCCTGTACTTAGCTACTCCCCAGTCTTAATATTACTTGTCTTCCTGCAGTCTCTACTAGTGGGAATTCTCCATAGGACTTTGCTCCCTCTCCAGACACAAGTTTACCTTGTCGTCGCCTCCGGCCCTCCACTCCAACTTAGAGCCACGCTCTAAGTACTTACTCTTACCTCTTCGACCCCATCAATCAATCCCCTTACTCCCCTCTGTCCCAATAAACTTCCTCTGCCTTCCCTGTTCCGCTCCTAGTCGGATTACCACTAGTAGCACTTACCTCCCGACCCACCAAGTGGACCAAAGTGGTCTGCCTGTCCTATCATTGGACCTGCTCCAAATTTGGGGCACGTACTCGGCAAAGGGTGCAGCACAAGAGCTGAAGCCAAGCCCTGACCCCTCCGCTTCTCTGTCCAAGCACGGTCTCTAACAACAATGTGCAATGACCACCAGAGTTGGATCACCCAGAAAGGATACCGGAGATTGGGGGTGCGAGGATCGTGCACCAACAGGTTCCCATCCAGAAGTGCTTGACTGAACTTCATATGAAGCTTTGTGACATATGGCTGGGGAGGAATCTCTGCTTGCAAGGCCCACTGGCCAGCAGGTGGGTCTTCTGTAAATGAGATCTTATCTGTGTAATGCCAAGTGGCAATTTTGGGGAGCTTAAAATCCTTTAAAGCTCCCACAGAGAGATTGTTAGCAGGCAGTATTTCACTTAGGGTATTTTGTAGGACAGCATTGACCAGAGAGATAAGCCTAAAGAGATCATTTGGGAGTGGTATCTGGTCTGGGAAATATCAACCCTGCTTGATCCATCTCTTAGTGATGGCAATGTTGCTGGTTGAGAGCACTCTCTTGTCACAGCACCATTGAAGGACTGGCGGGGTGGATTTCAGCCCATAAATTTCCCAGTCCTCCTCCTCATTCATGTCGTTGTTGTTGTGTTTTACTCACTGTGGAGTCTGTTGCAGGACGAGGGATATCGGATGGATCAGAGGACATGTGGAGTACATTGGAGCAGGGGCCAGCAGCCTAAGCCAAGAGCAGGGCAAGCAGCTACAATGATGATGAAGCTAATAGCTAGCTACAAACATGCTGGAACCTAGTCTACATGCTGACTAAGCTATGGAATCATAATTGGTAATTGGTGTTTGGTGATGCAAATCTTCTCTGACTGACCATAGCCATCATTGAGAGCAGTGGTGAATACCCATGTTGAAGGGACAATTGGGTAATATCCCAAGGGAAGGTCAGTCAGTTGCACCTTGCTGTGTGGGAACTCTACCAGCACACAGGTGGCATATATGAAGCCTACAAGACATACTTCTGTGAATATCTTGCGGACAACCCCTTGAGTGCCATTTGTGATGCCAAGGTTGGTGGACAGATTCCAGCTTCGCAAGATGATAGGCATGCCCTCATACAGAGAAATGTGGCCAGGCAGAGGTGAGCTGGATTTCAGCGCTGTTACATTCAAGTGAAGGAGGTCACTACGTTCTTTACAGGTGAGTTCACGACTGGCCTTATCCAATGTGCCACAAACCACGAGCGTCTGTGAGCGAGGGCATGTGGTATCTGCTTTGTGTGCATTCAGGACCTCCCAGAGGGCACTTGTGGTGACAATAGCTGCCACTTCCCAGTTGTCTTTGTCTCCCATATCCACACCTGCAGGGTAGTCAGCTGATCTGATCAGTCTAGAATTGAACAATTCCACATCTTTGAGTGTACACTTGCACTCACGCAATCAATTGACAGAGTCTGCGTAAGCTGGGTCTTCTTTCATCTGTTGTTGTTCTGTGAGATTGTTAAGACCGTGCTCAGGGGTAAGACAGAGTCTGAGGAGCTTGGCTTCAGCTCATACGCTGCACCCCTTACCCAAGTACGTGCCCCTAATTTCAGATTGTAGTCCAACTTGAGTTCTACAAGCTCCGACAGGATGTCAGAGCGGATGTCCTCCAAAGGAGGACCAACGGACTACTAGATAAATGCGGGAACATCGGACAGAGATTGGTCCACCCTACAGGGGAGAGTCGGAGGGCTACTGCAGTTGGAGCTAACAGTAGGAACAGAGCAGAGGAGACTGCTCGGACAAAGTCCAATGCAGGATGGAAACATGGAGGACAGAGGTACAAGAGTATTAGCCACATGTCCGACGCATGGGAAAGGCGGTGGAGGCACAGGAAGTTGGATGAGCGGAGAAGGTGGCCAACCTAGGGAGTCAATCCCCTAGGCCGGCAAACAGAAGTTATCGAGGGGTTTACCCAAGAACAGGGACAAGAGAGCAGGGCTTAGAAAAGGTAATATTCAGACTGAGTATCTACAGACAAATGTACATATATTTATATACTCTAAGTAATGAGCATAGCATAGCAGAAGGCTATGCGCTGAGTGTACAGTATCACAAGAGAGATGACTGAGACATATGAGAAAGAGGCTCAGAGAATAGTATGTACGCGATGGATCAATAATCACTTGGGTATGGGATTACCAGTGATCTGAAAGGAGAAACTATGATACTAAATGGAGATAGGACCAGTTGAGTGGTTCCTAGTCTAGGAGTGGACCAGTGAGGCAGTCGGGTGGACTAATAGTCAGGCAGGGCAATATGAGTGGAACTGAAGGAACTGAGTGGGTCGGAAAAGCGGAGGGAGTAGGATCGGGTGGACTGATAGGGCAGAGCAGAACCCCAGATAGGGTCAGATGGAAAGGGAATAGTGTTGGAGGGAATAGGGGTAGCGTCGGAGGAGCAGATTGGAGTCAGGTGGAGGTAGCAAGGCTAGTCCTGCTGAGATGCACTTTGTGCATTGTTGGGGAAGGAGGAATGAAGCAGATGGGGAAACAGGGGGTCGGACCAGCAATAGGGATGCTCACAGGTGGTGTTGGAGGTGCTCGGATCTGATATATGACAGAGATTGATCATGGCATTCAACGATTTCCACACGAGGTGGCCAAGCCTTTTCAGAATTTCTGTGTTATTCTGTCCAGCATACAAGGATATTGGGGTGTACAAGGCACTGCCCCAAACAGGTGGAAATTGAAAGAAATTGCCAGAGAATATGATGGACACTCCCCTGAACCAGAGATGAGGCTTTTCTGTAGCAAACTGCAATGCATGGTTGATTTCAGCCATCAACTGCAGGCCTACCAATGACACCTCATCCAACAACAGAAATTCAATGTTCTTCCACTCATCCTGCAGTTGTGTGTGGTTAGACACACTAATCAACACCATGTAATCTTCTGCAGTCGTGCCAGGATCCTGATTTCCCTTCCCTTTGTTTTTGCTTTTGATTTTGATCCCCAGCCCTTTGTGGATGGTCATTCCATTGATTAGAGCAGCTGCAGATCCTGTCAGTGCCAGGAACCTGATAAGATGAGATGTGCACAGCCATAATGCTGCAGGACACATTGAACTGCTTTTACAACATGAGTTTTGCCAGTGCCTCCAGGTCCTGTCATAAGCATCCTGAGCTGCTCGTCTTCTGGCAGATTCTTTTTGACATATTTAGCCACAAAAAAATCAGCGATCATGCAGAACACCACCCATTGCTTGGTGTTGAGATTGAACTCTGCACCGACTGCGTTAATTACTTCATGGGCTGTCAACACTTGCTGTGTCATCTCTTGACCAGTGGGCATTTCCATCAGCAGGGAGTTCTGATATGTGCAGGGTGATGTGTTCTGTCCAAGCTCGGTGGCCAAGTCGGAGGCAACTGTGATGGCACACTGGGCATCTGGATTGAGCGCATTGTGACTGACAAGCACTTATGGAGGAGCATCTTGCCATGGTCAATAACATTTGCCCTGACAGTTGTTTGCTCAGGTATTCGGGCCACTGCATGTGATAATAGGGACAGGACTTCATAAGTCTTCACATCCATCTTGGTGATGTAGTCAGAAATACAAAACATCACAGCTTTAGCACCCTTTCCAGACAAAATACACTTAATGTTGTGGTTGTGATGATGAGAAACAAGAATGTAAGGATTGAAATAGTTCACAGTACCATCACGACACATAAGAACAACAGAATTTGTATCAGCGTCAAAATGAGAGACATCCACTACCTCATGTGGGAACAAAATTCAGCAGCGTCCTTCATTTCCATATTTGTGACAGACTGGCCAACAGTGATAGTGTTGAAGTACCTCACCACATTTCTTGACTTCAGAAGTGTGCATGGCCTGCAAGTCATTGATCACATCTGAAGATGGGTTAGGCTCAGCCAGAGGTGCAGGAGGGCATTGTACTTTGGGTTCAAAATGGTCTTCAATCACATCATTCACATCAGGCAAGTGGTGATGGATAGCAGCTTCAAAGAAATGAAAAAAAAATCAATGTCTCCTCAAAGGTGCATGTGAAGTTCTGTCGGATTCATGCCACCCTCAAGCCATATGAGAAAGTGACCATGCAGAGCACCACATTCTGTGAATTTGGTGGTACAATAGAATGCCCGAATATGGCCCAGAATGCCCCCACCTTTGACAGATTGCTCTTGATCAAAATCCCAACCTAACAAGAAGTGAAACAAACATCGGAAAGAAAACTCATAGAAGTCTGCAGCAGCAACAGGGTCATGGGCAAGGCGCATGGCATGCACACGTCCAGCAGGCATATGAGGAAAGCCTTCAGACAAGTCCACTGAATTGTCACCATACATCACCTGAAATATTGGACTGTGAGCGGCACTCAGATTGAAAGTGAGGAACATGTGGGGTAAGCCATAGTATGCATAATAGCTGCAGATCTCATTTCACACATAGATCTTCACAGCTTTGGAGCCAGGTATGCAAGCAGACATAGCATTTACTTGGCATAAAAGCTTCAGTGCATTCTGCTCATCTGTGGACAGAGCTGAGAGTTTCCATTCTTGTTCGAGGCAGGAAGCCAGACAGACGAGAATGTCGGCTGAGACTGTGGTCGGATTGTGCGTGATGCTTTCAAAGTTTGATTCCCATACAACAAAAGAGGTTTGCAGACGAGCCTGTCATCTCTGGATCATGTTCAATATGACAAACATAAATGTTTTGTGATACCGAAAGTGCCAATCACCTATGTTGAGGAAGTACTTAGCCTGCCTTTCAAAAGCCAAAGGAGTAACACATTCAGAATCCTCAAAGCCACCAATACTGTACAGAAACAGGGTAGGATACATACCTGGAAATAGCGAGGTGTTGTGGTATTCAGGCACCACTGACTCCATATGATGGAGAACCAGATCAGGCAAGGTGGGTGAATGTGTATTAGGAAGCAGGTTGCGCAGGGCAGAGGCTGTAAATGCCCATCCACTCATCTTGTCACACTCAGGGTCAGACACACCCATTTTCTCCACCAAAACTGGGACGGGGTCACAGGTGTCAGACACCATGGGGGGGATGTCAATGTCATGCATGAGATTGGCAGGATGGTACTAAAACCATCTGTCTCAGTGGCAAAAACTGCCTGGGCATATAGTTCATGGTCTTCAATCACTCTGTCTTGTAGTCCAGGGAGAGTGCCATCCAAAGGGTATAGATCCATGATGGACTCGTCCAGTGGTATGTGAGCATACATGTGGTTGTGTGCCTTCAGCCACAGCAGGAACGACCATGTCTTGTGTTCTGCACACGGAACAGTGTACCCATTTGTTTGGGATCAAATGCCTCAGGACCAATAAATATGACACTCAAAAACCCATTGATATCAGCAGGGGTCCGTGGTAGAACAGAAGCAGTGGACATAATATTCATGTCATGAGCACAGGTGTTTCCATGAAATACCTTTGGTTGTGCAGGATCTGAGGATTGAAACAAATGCATCACATGGGCAGTGATTGAGTATATCGCACACACCTTTTCCTCGAGCCAGGTCATGTCAGAAAATCTGTTTGGAAGACTTCCATGATTTAAGTGGTTCACCAGTGCAAGAGCAGGCATCCTGTTCTGTGTCAAGAACGTGCAGCAAGGAGGGCACATTGTCATGGATACACAATCAGCACTGTCAAAGATGAGTCCAGCTTTATCTAACATCAGGCTGTTGAGGAGTTCATGGCCATAAGAGAAGCATGTCAACAGCGACTGCATGATGCACTTCTGGATGATATAGGGGTCAGAGACTCATAACAAGTCAAGATGGAGAGATGACAAGTCACCAAATACTGAAATCTCAACAGCATCCATGTCATATTGTGAGCTGTCATATACCTGATCCAACCGCTCCAATATTAATATCTGCTCTGCTTTCCGACCACCTCTGCTCCATCCATCCTCTGCTTCATCAAATCATCATCTGCATCCGCCCCTACGTTTCCGCTTGACCGCCCAACCAGTTCCCTTCCATAAATGTCTCCATTCAACTGGGACTGCTTTCCCCTTTTAGATATATACTTTCCCTTTCGGTACGTAGACCATTACTTCCGGATCACCAGTAATTCCTCTTACCGCTCGATCACTGATCTGATGCGTACATATTGATATCTGCTTCAACTTATGTCTTCACCTGTCTAAGTACTTACAAATTATATCCTTGGTACATAGCTTTACAACATAGTTATCCTGATCACTGCCTCATACTTAGAAGTATATAACATATCCTGTACTTAGATATTTTCCTCAGTCTTAATATTACTTGTCTTCTCGCAGTTACTACTTGTGAGAATTCTCAGTAGGACCTTGCCTCCTCTGGACACAAGTTTCACCTTGTTGTCACCTCCAACCCTCCGCTCTGACTTAGAGCCGCGCTCTAAGTCTTCTCTTTACCTCTCCACTCCTATCAAGTATTCCCCCTGCTCCTATCCACCCTCTGCATTGTTCCCTGCCTTCTCCGCTCCGCTCCTAGTTGGTCCGCCACTAGCAGCTCTTACTCCCCGACCCCCAAAGCGAACCCAAGCAGTCCACTCGTCCTACCATTGGACAACATCGGACCTGCTCCAAATTCGGGGCACATACTCGGCTAAGGGCGCAGCGCAAGAGCTGAAGCCAAGCCCCGACCCCTCTGCTTCCTGAGCTGGCACGGTACCTAACATGAGCACATGGTGCAAACAGGTGGTGTTTTCCATGCTGAACCTCGGACATAGTCTTTCAAGCACCGGAAGATAACATCTCAAGGAACAGGAACAGGCCATTGTTCCTCTCTGGAAGCTCATTGGTCACGGGCATCAGCTAGGACAGAGTGTTTCACATCTGCACGTGCCTCTTTACGCCGAGCAGAGGGTGATGGGATGTGTTGTGAAATGCATTGAATGACCAGAGCACCAAATTCTTCCTTCAGTATGGCATTTAAAACCTCATCCTGCGTGGCAGAAGAAGACAGTGGGAAGGGACAATAACACAGATAAATGACACACAATACTGTCCCTGTGGAATCATGGAGGAATATTCCACAGAGATGCACGCAGTTTTCCAGAGCATTGCATGACTTTCGATGGGAGCGTGAGTTGTACATAAAGTGGTGGTGGCAAGGCAATTGACAAATATACAGGTGGATATCAGGCTGAGAAAGCCTCTTGAGTTGCTTGGTGAGGTCATCAACTGGAGACAGCCACAACAGGAGGAAATCAGGATGTGAGGGTTGGGCACCTGCATGAGCCAGTTGGAGAACAGGTGTGCAGAATGCTTTCGTAATCTGATCTCCATAGGTCAACTTGATTTCAGCAGCCAGAAAGGTAGCTCTGGTTTTCAAAGAGCTGGAAGGAAGGGTAGCTGAAATATGATGAGAGAGAAGTTGATCAGGAATCACCCTAATTTCAGACCAACGCTGTGCAAAATCCTGCAGGAGAAACTGCACAGAGCTATCTTTCACACGTGCAACTGATCATGGGCACCCAATGGCTTGAGCTGCAACACGCAATACAGGAGCCGAGTGTCATATACCAGATCCAAGCACCCCCAATACCACCTGTGAACATCCCTACTGCTAGTCCAACCCCCTGTTTCCCCGTCTTCTCCATCCCTCCTTCTCCAACAATGCACGAAGTGCATCTCAGTAGGACTAGCCCTGCTACCTCCACCCAACTCTATTCCACTCCTCCGACACTACCCCTATTTTCTCTGACACTATATCCCATACCTCCAGATCCAGAAGTCCAGATTCTCCCCTATGAACGTCCAGGTTTCCATCCTATTGTCCGCCTGGCACTCCGCTTTCATCTCCAGACTCACACCTATCTCCTTTTAGAATACTGCTCTCCAGCTACCAGTTGTACACCTTTCTGCTTTGCTTACTGATCTGTCCATCTGCACTTCATTTCTGACTTCATTTCTTTGATCCGTTGTACACTTACTAATAGACTTTCCATATGCTTCGGGCATAGCTTTCACTTTGCTGATTGACTACTTACATGATACCTACAGTATATAAGCTCCTGTAAAACTCCAGTACCTCCTCAGTTCAAATATCATCTTAGTTCCTGCTCATTCCTGCTTCTCCAGACTTGAGTCTGATCTCTTGTCAATCTCTGAGTCTTAGGGTTATTCCTTAAGACTACATCTCTGGCTCTACCTTAGTCTATCTCTGTTCTGTTTCTACTCTGGACTTGTCCGAAGTAGCCTTCTGGAGTTCTGCTGAACTCCCCCTGCATCTGACCTCCAGACTCACCTGGACTTCTGTCAGACTTCCCCTCTGCCTCTCGGAAATTAAGGGCATGTACTCAGGTAAGGGGCACAGTGCACGAGCTGAAGCCAAGCCCTTTGAGTTACTCCTCCCTTGAGCACAACCTTAACACCGAGAGCACACTTAAGTTTTCTGCATGACACGTGTGAGCTGGCCAGACTGGATCACTACTCAACCCAGACAGAAGGTATATGTTGCATCTGGGAATGGCAAACTGTGTGAAGATTGTGCAGTGACTGTACGTTGATGCTTCAAAGTGAGACCTGGGAAATAAGACAGTATCATGCCCCAGCTGCACAATAACATCTGATGGCATGACCTCCACAGAGATAGTATCTGGAGGTGGATGACAGACCAAACAGGACTGGCAATGAATGGGAAGCGTCATCTGTAACCAGGCACAGAAACTGTTGGTGGTTGCAAAAACAGCGCTACGATACATGGGGTTATACAATGGATCATAGCAAACAGGGTAGGAGGGTATCTCATGTTCAACATCATGGGGTGGTGTTAGATACCGTGCCAGCTCAAGAGGCAGAGGGGTCGGGGCTTGGCTTCAGCTCTTGTGCTGCGCCCTTAGCCGAGTATGTGCCCCGAATTTGGAGCAGGTCCGACATTGTCCGACAGTAGGACGAGTGGACCGCTTGGGTCCGCTTTGGGGGTTGGGGAGTAAGAGCTGCTAGCGGCGGACCAACTAGGAGCGGAGCGGAGAAGGCAGGGAACGATGCAGAGGGTGGATAGGAACTAGGGAGATATTTTGGTAGGAGCGGAGATGGCGGAGGATAATGCAGAGGATAGGGAAAGGGGTGATAGGAGGATATTGATAGAGGCGGGGTAATAAGGGAAAGACTTAGAGCACGGCTCTAAGTCGGAGCGGAGGGTCAGAGGGTTGGAGGTGACAACAAGTTGAGACTTGTGTCCAGAGGAGGCAAGGTCCTACTGAGAATCCTCACAGGATATAACTGTGAGAAGACAAGTAATATTAAGACTGAGGAAAAATATCTAAGTACATGATATGTTATATACTTCTATGTGTGAGGCAGTGATCAGGATATCTATGTAGTAAAGCTATGTACCAAGGATATAGTTTGTAAGTACTTTACATAGGCGAAGACATAAGTCGGAGTGGATATCAATATGTACACGTCGGGTCAGTGATTGGGCGGTAATAGGAATTACCAGTGATCCGGAAGTGAGGGTCTATGTACCGAAAAGGAGAGCATATACCTAAAAGGGGAAAGAGGTCCAGTTGAATGGAGAGGTTTATGGAAGGGGACCAGTTGAGCGGTCAAGCAGAAGTGTAGGGCGGAATGCAGACTTGTGATAGGACAGAGCGGAGGATGAATGGGGCAGAGGGGGTCGGAAAGCGGAGCGGATATTAGTATCGGAGCAGTCGGATCAGGTATATGACAGGTGGACAATCATCAACATCAAGAACTCATGCACATGTGGACAGACTCTTGCACAAAAATAGGGACATGTCAGCTGGTGAGGGAAAACATTGAGCAAGACAAAAACCAGTGATACAAAAGGGACAACTTACCAAGCAAAAGAGGTGAGAGGTGGAGAGTGCACGCGAGTACATGATGAGGCAAAGGGTAGCATTTAAATAGTAAAATGTGCTTTGCAGAGACCCGCACGTCAAGATCACCATGTGAAACCTTCTGAAACAACACATGTCAGCCAGCCAAACATTGCTAGAACCTTCTGGATGCAAACCGAGACTCAAAAAGGAAATATTTTCAGGCACACATTTGCATACAGGTGCCTGGCCGTTTCGTGCATACAGAACCCTCCCTACTTCATATAGTCGGGGATAAGCATATGTAAAATTCAATGTCCAATAGAATTACAGAACAGATTTGAATACTTATGCAAAATCTTCCTGTACATATATACCAATATGTCTGCCCAACAGATGCAGTTGTGCCTCTGGTGTCAGTTTCACATGTCGTCTACCTTGTGGATTCAATGGCTAGTGTTGTTGGCAATACTGCACCATTGCGCCGTGCCAGTTTTGCCACCCTGGCAATTGCCGGCGAACTCAGAGGGGTTCGTGGCAAAACTTGGCACATCTAGAGACTAGTAGTAGGTAGAGGCCGACTCGGACATATTTTCTTCACAGATCCGCCATCAATCTGCCGCTCAGATCAGTAATACTAAGTCTATCCCTATGTTTTTACCATGTGTTGAACTGTATTGTTTGTACCATCCTGTCGTCCATACTCCCTGGACTTCGGGCATCTTAAAATGTCTGACGAAAAGCATCCTGGTGGCCGCCCACCAGCCAGAATCATCGCCGATAACTTCACGGAACTTGAACGAGTCAATAACAAGTCTCGCCGAAAATTCTGGATGTGCAACTATTGCACTCCAACCAGTGGCAGTGGTCAACACATCGAAGGCCGAGACAACCGCTGTCTCTTGCATCTCACAAACCCGAAAGAGTGCCCGTTCAGCAGGTGGGATCTGACTCGGAGGATGGTTTGTCTTGGGATGTGCAGTCTCTGTTGACTATGAAGCTTTGAAGGGTGTCTCGTCAATGTAATAATCAGTAGTATTATGCAACATTGATGCAACGTGTCTGGGAGTTTTGCCAAGTTTTGCCAGTGCGCCAAGTGCCAGTTGTGCCGGCACTTGGTCGCAACTCAGCCCAAAGTAGTTTTGCCCCCTACACTAATTCAACCATTCGGTGAGAATACAGCAAGGAAGCAAATGCAAAAAGACTAGGTAATACCAGGGTTCGAACCTGGGTTTCGGGAAGATTGATACAAATCAAAATCCCGAGTGATAACCACTACACTATATCACCTTGCGACACAAAGTGCTTTGGTGTTATTCAGACACGATCTCCGCGGAGCAGGGCATTCTACTTGATTCAAGCTGCGGACGTTTTGCACATTTGCACGTCGGACTAATACTTTCGTGATTCGGATACTCGTTGTGCTATTGGATTCTGGTTGCAGCCCGGGTGAACCGAAATAGTAACTGTGACGTTTCGTGTTTCTGTTCCGAAATAGCGACGGTTTCCATCCATCCCATCGACCGTGCGCAGTCAACACCTCCGTCGATACTACCATGGTTAACAGCGACGAGTCTTTTGCAGCACTCGTCAATACCGCCAATCCAGCAGCGTCCGGATACCGCCAGCGACAACAACACTCGAACAACCCATACATCCATTCAGATTCTCATACTAATACTACCACGTCTGGCTATCCCCCTTCCCAGCAGCCAAATCTCATGGATCCCTTCTTTGACGATGACGACGACGATGCTTCTCACTCTAATTTTGCTATGTACTCTGCTCCCCAACCAATGCAGTCACAGGAAAGCGGTCTCCCTCTCGCACGTTCAGCTGCACCCCCCGCTGGCATAGAAGCATCTTCTATGACCATTGCAACAACAGCTAACGGTCAACCACAAGGCTGGGCATTTGACGACAACGCCCTGTCGCCCACATTCTCACCTGGCCCTTCCTATCTAGCGGAGCCATCCTCAACACGACCGCGCCCGCTCAAGCCACGCAGAAGGTGGAAATGGCCCTGGCAGAGGGACAAGGAACTTACTGGAGAGCGTATAATCGCTCTCAACAATCCACTCATGAACGACAACTATTGCTCTAACTTCGTCTCCACGAGCAAGTACAACATGGTCACGTTTCTTCCCAAGTTTCTTACTGGTGTGTGCCGTCTTGGATGATCTCCTGGACGAAACTCCAGCTGATACATCGTTCGGGAAGAACAATTCTCGAAATACGCCAATTTGTTCTTTTTGTTTACAGCGTGCATTCAACAAATTCCCGGTGTATCGCCCACAAATCAGTATACCACCATCGCGCCCCTGGCCGTGGTCCTCCTCGCTTCTGCATTCAAAGAAGTCCAAGAAGACCTCGTGCGTTTTCCCTTCATCTACTGACCCATTCTCACCTCATCTCAGAAACGACACCAATCGGACTCTGAGCTCAACGCGCGACTTGGCAAGGCGCTCTCCGGGAACACCTTCGCCGCGCGGAAATGGAAAGACTTGTGCGTTGGCGACATCGTGCGCGTGGAGTCAGACGAGTTCATACCGGCTGATCTGGTACTCATATCCTCGAGTGAGCCCGAGGGATTATGTTACATAGAGACCTCCAACCTCGACGGGTGCGTTCCTCCTTTTCGTTCCCGTATGTCCCTGACAGACGCTCCTCTCCAGCGAGACCAACCTTAAAATCAAACAAGCTTCCCCACAAACGTCCTCGCTCACCTCTCCATCCCTCGCAAGCGCTCTGCACGGTTCGTTGCGGTCAGAACAGCCGAACAACTCGTTGTACACGTATGAAGGGACGCTGGAACTATTAAGCGATATGAATGTACCGAAGACGGTGCCGTTGGGCCCAGATCAGATGTTATTGAGAGGCGCGCAGTTGAGGAATACGCCATGGGTGTATGGAATCGTGGTGTTCACGGGTCATGAGACGAAGCTAATGCGAAACGCAACGTGAGTGGTCGGGCTTGTTCAAGGCTTTGCAGTTTGAAGACATATATTTCATCTCTGTGGTTTTCGCATCTCTCGATACAATATGCTTTCCTTCTTACATTTCCTTGCAATGCTAACATCTAGTGCAGCGCAGCACCGATCAAACGCACGGCCGTCGAACGTCAAGTCAACATTCACATTATCTTCCTCTTCGTCTTCCTCCTGGTTCTCTCAATCGGAAGTACAATCGGCGCTAGCATCAATACGGTGTGTTCCATCCAATTGATCGGTGATAGGGGCTAACAGAACTTTCGTAGTGGTTCTTGTCCGGCCAGCAATGGTATCTGGCGGAGCCAAGTACATTCACTGGGAAAGGTGAGTACCTTCTTCCGAGTGGCTTACTCCGAACATCAACTGATCAGCATCTGAGTAGCAAAAGCATTTATCGAAGGTCAGTCATCCCTTTTCCTACTCACTCACACTCACTCACTCAAACTCCTCAGATATCCTCACCTTCATCATCCTCTACAACAACCTCATCCCCATTTCACTCATCGTCACCATGGAAGTCGTTAAATTTCAACAAGCCCAGCTCATCAACGCCGACCTCGACATGTACTACGCGCCCTCGGACACGCCCGCTCTCTGCCGTACCAGTGCGCTCGTCGAGGAGCTCGGGCAGATCGAGTTCGTGTTTAGCGATAAGACGGGGACGCTGACGAGGAACGAGATGGAATTCAAGAAGTGCTCGGTTGCGGGGATTCCGTATGCGGATGTGGCAGAGGAGGGTGGGGAGGAAGGGGAGGGGGCGAGAACCTTTGAGGAGCTGAAGGGGCTATTGTACGGGGACGCGGAGAAGCCAGTCGGTAGGGGGACGATTGAGCAGAGGGAGCGGGAGGCGGCAAGAGAGTTTATGACGTTGCTGGCGGTGTGCCATACGGTGATTCCGGAGGTGAAGGATGGGAAGACACGTTATCAAGCGAGTAGCCCGGATGAAGCGGCACTGGTGGCAGGGGCAGAGATGTTGGGGTATCAGTTCCATGTGGGTCATTAATCCTTGCCAGACATTTCCAACACCTTCCACCCATCCCTTTTACCGCCTTCCTTATTCACGCCCGCCTTCCTTTGATCAAACCTCTTACTTACCCTACCGCAGACTCGCAAGCCCCGCTCCGTCTTTCTCTCAATCAACAACACCCCCGCCGAGTACGAGATCCTCAACGTGTGCGAGTTCAACTCGACCCGCAAACGTATGTCGACAATTGTACGTACGCTCAACGGCTCGATCAAGCTTTACTGCAAGGGCGCAGACACCGTCATCCTCGAGCGTCTCGCCAAGGCACAGCCGTACACTGAGAAGACGCTTGTTCATCTCGAGGTTCGTTTCTTTCCCTCCTTGTTCCATCGACATTTGTCGTGCTCACCCAATCAATACACAGGACTACGCAACTGAAGGCCTGCGCACGCTTTGCATCGCCTATCGCGACGTCCCAGAGGCCGAGTACCGGCAATGGGCCGCCATATACGAGCAAGCTGCTGCAACAATCAACGGACGCGCCGAGGCACTCGACAGTGCGGCTGAGTTGATCGAGAAAGACATGTTTCTGCTCGGGGCGACAGCCATCGAGGATAAGCTCCAGGATGGCGTGCCAGATACGATACACACGTTGCAGATGGCTGGGATCAAGGTGCGTATGTCGCGGGGGCTTCTATTTCTGCGATTCTCATGTGGCACGTAGATCTGGGTACTCACGGGTGACAGGCAAGAAACTGCGATTAATATCGGCATGTCCTGTCGGTTGATATCGGAGTCTATGAACTTGGTAAGTTAGGAATGCGGTAAAGTTATTCGAGTGCTAATACTCTGCTTCTACAGGTTATCGTGAACGAAGAAAACTCGCGTGATACTGCAGATTTCATCCAGAAGCGACTTTCGGCGATCAAGAATCAGCGGAGTACGGGAGAGCTCGAAGATCTGGCTCTGGTTATAGGTTAGCACGTGCGATCAAACGATGCCCTTCGACTAAGCCCCCCTTCCTTTGCAGACGGCAAAAGTCTAGGTTTCGCACTCGAGAAAGAACTCTCCAAGTCATTCTTGGAGCTCGCGCTCATGTGCCGCGCAGTCATCTGTTGCCGAGTTTCTCCGCTGCAGAAGGCTCTCGTCGTCAAACTCGTTAAGAAGAACCAGAAAAGCATTCTGTTGGCAATCGGCGACGGTGCGAACGATGTAAGCATGATCCAGGCAGCACATGTGGGTGTGGGGATCTCTGGAGTTGAGGTACGTTTTGATTGGTACCCGGCAATTGTTTGCATTTGTGTTGAAAGCAATTTGTCTAGGGTCTACAAGCCGCGCGGTCTGCAGATGTGGCAATTTCACAATTTAGGTTTCTCAAGAAGCTATTGCTGGTTCATGGCGCGTGGAGTTACCAGAGACTGTCGAAGCTCATTCTTTGTACGTAATACGTTCCTTTTCTCTTTGACGGCAAATCATTATCATCATCCACAGACTCATTTTACAAGAACATCACGCTCTATATGACGCAATTTTGGGTACGCATCCGCCCGCTCACCTGGCGAATGTCTGGCTGACCATTACCCCGTAGTATTCCTTCTTCAATAACTTCTCGGGGCAAATTGCATACGAATCATGGACAATATCATTTTATAACGTCATCTTTACCGTTCTCCCCCCTCTCGTCATCGGCGTCTTCGATCAGTTCGTTTCCGCGCGGATACTAGACCGGTACCCTCAACTATACGCTCTGGGGCAGAAGAACGTCTTCTTCACAAAGACAGCATTCTGGCTCTGGGTCGTCAATGCGCTGTATCACAGTCTCGTAAGTGTCGTTCTGAGCAATGAAAAACTTAGTGACATAACAATCGCATCTTTAGATTTTATTTACATTCACTGTGATTCTGTTCTGGGGAGATTTGAAGCAGGCGACAGGGTTGGACTCTGGGCATTGGTTCTGGGGTGCGATGCTTTACCTAGCTGTCCTGCTTACTGTCCTTGGCAAGGCTGCTCTGGTTTCTGAGTACGTGTCACTCTTCGTGTTTAACCATCGTATTACTCACGCAGAATCTAGTTTGTGGACAAAATACACTGTTGCTGGTGAGCGCAAGTCTCCCTTCATAAATAAACATCCACTTAACACCTTTTCCTCAGCGATTCCTGGGTCGTTCGTGTTCACCATGCTCTTCCTTCCATTATACGCTGTTGTTGCCCCTGCCATTGGATTCTCCACCGAATACTACGGCCTTGTTCCCCGTCTATGGACCGACGCTGTGTTTTATTTTGTCCTCCTCCTCGTTCCCATTGTCTGTCTGAGTCGCGACTTTATTTGGAAATAGTGCGTCCATGCCCGCTCGAGCGAATGATTGTCTGACGCCTTTCATATAGCTACCGACGGACATACATCCCTCTTCCATATCACATCGCTCAAGAACTACAAAAGTACAACATTCCTGATTATCGTCCCCGGCAAGAACAGTGGGTGTTACCTCAAATGACGTCTCCCAGTCGATGCTGACCCTTTCTCCCCTCAGATTCCAAAAAGCGATTAAAAAAGTCCGTGCCGTCCAGCGCATGCGCCGGAATCGCGGATTCGCATTCAGCCAGACAGAGAACGGGCGGCAGGACCAGGCAAAACTCATCCGTGCATACGATACGTCCAAGTCGAGCTCACGACCGTCGGGATATTAGGCACACGAGAGAGAGCATCATCTGCTTCATCTGTCATTCATGGACTGTATTATTGTATCACTGGGACTAATTCATACACCAGCATGTTCTCGCTATTTGTAGATCAAATTTTTCATTAGTTTTCTTTTCTTTCTTCTATTTCGACGGTGATACGATGACGCTTACATCTTGCAGCAATACTTCGTCCAGAAGTTCCCGCACATTTGGACGTGATGCAAGATCTAATGCAAGAGAACAATGCATATATGCAACAATACTTGGTACATCGACCATACATCCTCAAGGCTACCAGTATAAAGTCCCATAACTCATAGAAGTATACCTTGACATGCGACATGAATCGCTATGAGAAGGCACTTAACTTATAACCCTTCTACTCACCAGTCTTCACTGGCTCAGTATTCCAATCTGCGAGTGCTAATGATCCTAGTAGGGACTCGACTATGAGTCGGGCTGTCGTGACCAAAGAGGTGGTAATAGACTCACAACTAGTAGAACGTGAATAACTAGATACGCCAGGTGGAAAATTCCATGCATTCTGTCGAGTGGCGCGGACCAAGAGCTTCGAAGTTCTCATGGCGCGCGAAATATTACGAACAAATGCCTCCCAGTCGATTCTCAACCTTTGCAGATATGTAGTAACCATATACATAGGCTAATAATGATCGTCAGAGCTCAGAAAGAGGCTCTTCAGTGACAAGAGATAGTTGTCTCAGCATTAACTGTGCTTGAGCAGTTATGACTCGTGACGACTCATCAAAAGGGAACGACTGTCGTCCTTCTATATGGTCTGCCTGGGGAGGCAAATAGGGGCTTTCCATAGAGCCGCAAAAGGTGCACTCTACACTGAAGATTGGCCCATCGTGCACCAGTGTCGCTCGATCGCCAAGTTGTATGTAAGTACCAGAACACGCGTTACATACTTGGGAAAAGTCAAACCCTGCGAGAAGGGCACGGAGGTTTAGACAAGTCTGGATGGCTAATTCAACCGTCGATCGGGGAAGTACACCTCTATTTCCAGTTGGCATAGTATGCAATACGGAGACGTACGAGGACAACAGCAGTAGCGGTAATTAGAACTACGGACATGCTAGCGACAGAACGGACAAACGGCATGTCATAAATCTAGTGCAGGGGCACTTCAGTGATCGCGGGACTTCCTAACAAGATGTGAGCGTATTGGTAAAGATAAAGGAGAAAAATGTTACCTGTATTCTCCCTCTGCGGCAACACTGAGCTCTTCAATTTCTCCTTGTGCGGAAGAGAGGGCTTCGGCAGCAGCAGCAAAGTACAGCAGCTGGAGACGAAAGTTAGCCCGGAGCAACTTGTTTCGTTATAGAACACGTACCTGAGCTTTCACAAGTTCATTGAGATTCTTCACGGGTTCTGGCTGCAAACAATAAGGCAAGGTGTTATGGAAGCGAATACTTTTGACATACGTTCTCAAGAACTGTCTTCATAAGGGTAATGGCAACCTCAGTCTTCTGAACGAGGTCATCCTCTGCGTTCTCAACATCAAGCCTTGCCTGCTCTTGCCTGGCGGGGTTTGTGGACTTCAGGCTGTATCAGAAACATATAAGCACTTGAAGGGACAAGACTTGGTGAAAGTAATGACGTCTGCTTAGCGGCATCCAACTCAAGTCTGCTGACGCGGACAGCTTGGCGTGCTTTCATGGCGACGTTAATAGACGTTGAAAGCGTTGTCTGCCACGGGTAGAGGTATTGCCTCTGAATGGAGTCGTCTTGCTGAATGCGAGCCGACGCGATGTTGTCGAACACCTCCGCGTACACGGTAAGTGCTTTGCCGAGTTTATCCTCATTGCCGCCAGGGGTGTGTTGCAGGGCAGCGGCAGCGTTGGTCGCAGCGCGACCGAGAGCATGAGGGAGAGTCTTGTGTTGGGCAAGTTGAGGGGCGACAGGTGAAGGCGCAGGAAGATTGGTGCCCTTGAGGTTTGTAGCTGCGAAGTTGGTGATGCCATGGCCAATAGTGGTCGAGAGCTCTGAGATAGACTCCTGAATTTGAGTCGGGTAGTCATATGACTCGTTCTCATAAGCCTTCGTTACTCTGATAGAGGTCAGACATTGGCCAATACACAAACGAAGGGCACGTACTTGAGAAGCGCGAGGTGTGCCTGACGTAACGCGTCGACGCGAGTCTCCAAGTCCTTGTACTCTGAAATGAACATTACATTTCAACATCCAACCTATAAGTGAGTTGGTTCACCTTGAGGCAACTCGGTAATTTCATCTGGAGCAACTTGGCCTAAACGCTCCCTGGTTGCCTGAACGCTGGAGTTGAAGCCCTTTGCCAGCTTGTTGGCAGACTGCCCCAGGTTTAGGCCGGAAAGACTTGACTGAAGTTTATTCCACCCGTCCATTTAGTATTCTTGAGTTCTGGGGATGATGATAATGATACAAGTACTTGAGCAAGAGGGTTGCACAGTAACGGCGAAACAGACCGCAGCGAAGCAGCCCGGCGGTGCCAATTGTGTTCGAATATGGAAATGGGGTTCACGGGGTCCTGCAGTCCGACGCGTAACCCGAATGCATAAGACTAGACTGACTTTCCTTGATCATATCCTCTACAATGTCACCACCATCGGTCTTCAGTTCTCCTGGATTCGACTTCTCTAACTCGGTTAGGTGAGCAGGACATTATATTATCCATAGCTATTGTCTCAGCAGTCATGTAGAAATCACTTCTTCCAGGAGAAGGGTGTACCCCTTCCAAAGGCCACCAGCACTGGTACCACAATCGTAGGCTGTCTCTTCAAAGATGGCATCATCCTCGGTGCGGACACGCGTGCCACAGAAGGCGAAATAATCGCAGACAAGAACTGTGAAAAGGTCTGCGAGATCAATATCATCATCCTACTCCAACTCATGACGCGTCCCTAGATCCACTACATAACAGAATCGATCCGGTGCTGCGGTGCAGGTACTGCTGCAGATACCGAGTTTACCACCGCGTCAATATCATCAAATATGGAGCTCCATACTCTGTCCACTGGGAGAAAACCAAGAGTGGTCACTGTGATGACTATGTTGAAGCAATACCTTTTCCAGTGAGCCCAACGGTCTTCAGTATTTATATTTTACTTATATATACGACGCATAGATACCAGGGCCATGTCGGCGCTGCTCTCGTCCTTGGTGGGGTTGACTCTACTGGGCCACATCTTTTCACCATCCACCCACATGGGTCCACGGACAAGTTGCCCTACGTGACGATGGGCTCCGGAAGCTTGGCAGCCATGGCTGTTTTTGAAAGCAGTTGGAAGCCAAACATGGAGGTATGTTCTACTTTCGGTATACTTGGCGAATATTCAATCCCGTCCCATCTAGCGCAACGAAGCTCTAGCTCTGGTATCAGCCGCCGTCTCGGCTGGTATCTTCAACGATCTTGGATCAGGGTCCAACGTCGACGCGTGTGTCATTACCGCCACGCAAACGGAGATGCTTCGCAACTTTGTCATGCCCAACGAGCGGGTAGAGAAGGAACGCCATTACACATTCAGACGAGGGACCACAGCATGGAAGACCGAAAACATAAGAGACTTGATTGTTAACGAAGAGATCACACTTGTAGGCGCCAGCGGTGATGCCATGGACACTAGCTAGACGAGATCGACAAATAATACTTGGTTTCCTTGCACACAGACAAGATTTGGTTGGGTGGCAATGTTTTGATCGTACTGTCTTCTTCGCTGTATGCTGACGTTTGCTATGTTCGCCTGATTGTTCAATTCAGAGACTCGAGAGAGACATGATCTTTCGGACAAGTTTCGGTGCGCCAATCATTTTCGACCGTTCGCTCTCTCAATTTTGTACGATCAACAGTCTCCATCAAAAACATGTTTCGCTAACTTGCCGGTATGTTCGCGCTACGAAACGCATGTGTACAGTGATATACATCGGTGAAATTCTTTCGTCAGAGACAAACGCATAAGCCGTCTCTGGGACACTCCCTTGGGCGATTAACATATACGCGATAGCCTCCTGCGGCTCGACGTTAACATTGTTGATCAAGTCAATGCAGGAAGTGTCGCTGGAATCGGCAGTACCGCTTCAAGTCGAGCAATTTATCAAACATGCCTCGTAGTATCGGCCATGGAAGGTGCCCCATATACAACATGTAGGCTCTTTCACTATGTTTTCTTGTCTCTTGCAATGGTGGACTTAAGTCGCAAATAAGTTGCTCCATACCACAAAAAGCCAATCAAATCGTGAGGGAGAGGAAGAAATATATAGTAAAAACATTGATCACACAATGTACAGCGAGGTGCTCGGCCTTTATATTGGAAAACCGTGATCATATCCGGACCCTTTCAATGTTCAAGTCCTCGGGCGCCGATTGTACCATTTGTGACTATGTACTGTCATAGCATCATGAGAATGATACTCAGCCGGATTCAGATTCTTGCAGACGAAACAGAAGAATTGCATTACTTATACTCAACACTAATGAAGAAGTTGGTACAAACCTTCTAAATACGCCTGATAGACAGGCGACACCTTGCCAGTGCTTCCTCCCCTGCGGTATAGTACTCGGGACACTTGCTTTGGTATTCCAGGAAAGGCCTGACAGTACAGATGCAATTAATGTTGTCACGGTGGTGAGGCAAAATAGTTGCTTGCGACAAAACTGATGATCTAATTAAGTATGTCTCTCAGTCGCCACAAGCAAATGAGTTGCAGCATACATATCCAACCGCAGCCTTCTCCTCTCACTCGCAGATGCAGGCGGGAGACTTATGTGAGCATATGAGGACTTGCAAGAGGTTGCTGGATTGACTGGGCGGTGAGTGGGTTGTCTATGTTCTTTGTACGTCGATGTATCTCATTTTACTTAGCCATTCTCACCCTTAGTGTTTGAATAAAATGCCGATGGGATTCATTAAAATAGGACAAAATCGTTCTGCCACGCCATGCTTTGATGAATGAAAACACGGAGGCACTCATTCATCATTTCAAGGTATTCTCCTCCACTTGACTACACCTATCATCACTTATCATTCGTTACCGTAGCTCTTCAACCAAGGCCGTTCAATGCCGCCAGAGACTTATAGTTCCATCGAGGCTCCCAAAGGAGAGATATCTGTATACCTCGTCTCGTACGTGATGCTTGAACGCTCCCTCATTTTAGTATCATTGATCGCATAATACCTAGGGATGCAACCAATCGCCCATACCGATGCAAAATCCGTGCTCCCGGCTTTACCCTCCTTACAGGTTCAGAGTTCATGACGAGACGTACGTTGTTTGTCACCTTATTCAAGACATTTACTGAGATACGACTTGTCTTCTAGATATAATATCGACAAATTGCGAGCGCTGACGGTTCCTCTCTCTATAGCACATGCATGCTGACGCTGTGGCCATCGTGGGTGCCATAGCATGTACCCTATGGTTTCATTCTTCATGCCGCTTATCGTTGTTTTCGAGGATCTTGTTTGGGTGCGTTGCTGATATTTCGTTCCACATGAGCTTCTGAAGTACGCCAAGGCATATTAATTTAGTGACGTCCACCGCCGACAAAACTTTGATGTACTGATATCATGGTTCTGCTAACACGTTGTGATATCATGCGTCCACACTGATGATTACCGAAATAATAATATTGCATCATGTGACAGAGCGTTTGACCCACGGTTTTAAGGATGCACTTGATGCGCATTCTCGATCTATTCTCCCAGCATTGCATGTAAGGGTGTGCTTCGCGTTCAGTATAAACCTGTCTCTGAGTACTTTGCAGATAGTCTTCACCCTCATAGCCTGATTTCTGCCCATCTGGTACTCAACCCGTAAGGAGCCTCTTATCTTCGCGAGCGCATAGGACATACTTGAGATCTTAAAGGATGGACACATCAAACAAGAAAGGAAAATATGTTCATACAAAGGACACAGCACCGCAGGCGGGAGATACATAAGGACAACGAGGCACCTGTAACGAAGAGTAACCTAATGTGATCACCTACGATACACTGGGGCGTCTCGGTGACAGCTTTTAGTCGCTAAGAATGAACTCGATGATAGGCTTCACGTATGTCGATCTAACATCTATACGAACAAACTACTATAATAAAGTAGGGCTAGACATATCGATTTAGCAACTGCGAGGGACAATAGAGCAGCGAGATACTCACGGATTGTAGCAATGAGACCAGTGACTCCCATGTTCCATGCGGGACAAATCGAGTTCTATACCTCCTCGCGGGATTACCAACGAGGTTCCAGGACTGTAAAACAGCTGTCGGGAAGCGGGAGGTACCCAGAAAAGGAGCCGACAATCAGGCCCTACTATCCATCCATCATGTCCCAGCACGAAAGGGGTTGACTTGGAATGATGATGAGAGGTGCCCTCGAGTATCTCAGCAGGGTTGTGAAGTGCATGGTTCAGGCTGGATGAGAAGCAAATGGAGTGATTTCCCCAAGTATTGGTTGACCTGATAGAGCTTTGTTGTGTGCGAGGCGGGGTGTAAATTGTATTGAAAGGGAATGAGGAGGTCTCAGGAGCCACAACATGCCACAGCCGAACAGTGTGATCCCGCGAACCAGACACGATGCGAGTGCCATCCGGCGAGAACGAGACTGACAGAACCGAATCTGTGTGCCCCCGCAAGGGCTCACCCAATGGCTGCCCCGTTGCTGCATCCCACAGCCGGACAGTGTGATCCCACGAACCAGACACAATGCGAGCGCCATCCGGCGAGAACGAGACTGAATTAACCGATTTTGTGTGCCCCCGCAAGGGCTCACCCAATGGCTGCCCCATTGCTGCATCCCACAGCCGGACAGTGTGATCCCAAGAACCGGACACAATGCGAGTGCCATCCGGAGAGAACGAGACTGAATTAACCGATTCTGTGTGCCCCCGCAAGGGCTCACCCAATGGCTGCCCCGTGGCTGCATCCCACAGCCGGACAGTGTGATCCGAAGAACCAGACACAATGCGAGTGCCATCCGGCGAGAACGAGACTGAATTAACCGAATGAGTGTGTCCCCGCAAGGGCTCGGCTAATGGCTGCCCCATTGCTGCATCCCACAGCCGGACAGTGTGATCCCACGAACCAGACACAATGCGAGCGCCATCCGGCGAGAACGAGACTGAATTAACCCGAGAAGTGTGCCCCCGCAAGGGCTCGGCCAATGGCTGCCCCATTGCTGCATCCCACAGCCGGACAGTGTGATCCCAAGAACCGGACACAATGCGAGTGCCACCCGGAGAGAACGAGACTGAATTAACGAAAGAAGTGTGCCACCGCAAGGGCTCGCCCAATGGCTGCCCCGTGGTTGCATCCCACAGCCGGACAGTGTGATCGTCCGAACCAGACACAATGCGAGTGCCATCCAGCGAGAACGAGACCGAATTAACCCGAGAAGTGTGCCCCCGCAAGGGCTCGGCCAATGGCTGCCCCATGGCTGCATCCCACAGCCGGACAGTGTGATCGTCCGAACCAGACACAATGCGAGTGCCATCCGGTGAGAACGAGACTGAACGAACAAAAGAAATGTGTCCCCGCAAGGGCTCGGCCAATGGCTGCCCCGTGGCTGCATCCCACAGCCGGACAGTGTGATCTGAAGAACCAGACACAATACGAGTGCCATCCGGCGAGAACGAGACTGTATTAACCGACCAAGTGTGCCCCCGCAAGGGCTTGGCCAATGGCTGCCCCGTGGCTGCATCCCACAGCTGGACAGAGTGATCCCGCGAACCAGACACAATGCGAGTGCCATCCGGCGAGAACGAGACTGACAGAACCGAATCTGTGTGCCCCCGCAAGGGCTCGCCAAATGGCTGCCCCGTTGCTGCATCCCACAGCCGGACAGTGTGATCCCAAGAACCAGACACAATGCGAGTGCCATCCGGCGAGAACGAGACTGAAATAACTGAATCTGTGTGCTCCCGCAAGGGCTCACCCAATGGCTGCCACGTTGCTGCATCCCATAGCCGCACAGTGTGATCCCGCGAACCAGACACGATGCGAGTGCCATCCGGCGAGAACGAGACTGAATTAACGAAAGAAGTGTGCCCCCGCAAGGGCTCACCCAATGGCTGCCACGTTGCTGCATCCCACAGCCGGACAGTGTGATCGTCCGAACCAGACACAATGCGAGTGCCATCCGGCGAGAACGAGACTGAATTAACCCGAGAAGTGTGCCCCCGCAAGGGCTCGCCCAATGACTGCCCCGTTGCTGCATCCCACAGCCGGACAGTGTGATCATAACAACCAGACACAATGCGAGTGCCATCCGGCGAGAACGAGACTGAATTAACAGAAGAAGTGTGACCACTGATCACGGTCTGAACCGCCGTCCAGTTCAAATCGTAACCACATGTTGGACGAAGATTATTTGGAAACCTTGCTGTAAATTTAGTGGCCATGGTGGAGTTGACCGGCGAGAATGGCAGCGCTGATACATACAGATGCGGTGTGCTGTGCAAAATCATGCCGCCAAACACTTGAATAAATCTCTGCACGTCCATTGCAGCGGACAACACATCTTCGTATCCAGAGCGGCCCTGTAGCTGTGCGTAAGCGCTTCATCTGACACTGCTCGAGAACTTTGTGCTCACCTTCAGCCACTGGGCAATCAGCGAGCGTGTGTAAACTGCGTAGTTCAGTGTGTTCAGAAGGGCGAGGATTTCGATCCAGAAGAGCAGTCGCTCGTGGTTGAAGAATGATTTTATTTCCTTTCCAAGCTCCGTGTCGAAATCCGCGGCTTGTACGTGTGTAGCCCAAAATCGACAGGAATAGGACAGATGTGGGAGGATGCATGATTCGACTTGTCGGGGCAACCCACTGTCTTCGCGATTAGAGAGGTATGAAGACTTTAAATCGCATATATTGAAGCGAAGGCCACGTTCCATCGCTTGAAGTGACGCAAAGGCCAGGTCCCGATGTTGCATCTTCGACACCTCGACGAAAAATTCTTCGCTGGATGATCTATCTGTCAGAAATTCTTGAAAGGATGCGTGAAGGGGTCGGATTGGAGTACATGAATTAGCGGTGCCGCTCAGGAGGGATCCCAGATGTTTGACCACGCTCTCCACTTTATAGCGCTCTCTTTGGTCTGGAAAATGGATCCGCATGGCATTGAGGGCATCTAAGGGGAGGGGTTCAGCTGAGACAAGTATTTGTCCCATCACAGAACGGAATTGCGCTAGAGCCCGCTGGTACTCGACATCGCTATATTTATGCCTCGGTATGGTTTCTGTCAAAATGAACCGATATATATCATATAACTGGTCTGCCCACTTCCCAGGATCGCGGTTTATGACAGTGTCGAAGCGAGAAATTGGGTTTACTCCAGGAAGATCCTCCTTAATGTATTCGCAGACAATACGCGCCCACTCGAAAAGTCCGTCGGCTCGAGCAGCGAGGGTTGTAAACTCTTTGTCCCCAAAAACCGACAGTTCGTTTAGCTGTTCAGATACGTAAATTCGGATATCGTGCTCCGTGACCTGTGGTGGAATATCGTCCATGGATAACCGTAGAATATGCTGAGCACCGCCAAACGCTTTCTCGATATCGTGAAGCGGACGAGAGGTGACGAGAACCCGAACGTTGGGTGGGAGTTCAGTGATGTCGGGAAAACCCTGCTGCTTAAGTTTACCGGCAAGTATGCGCAGAAGGTTGAGCCGCGTCTCGGGCCCGCCGCTCTCGTCCAGCGCTTCAATCATGATCAAGACAGGTCCCGCACTTGACCCGGAGAGCTTCCCCAGTGGTTCCATGAGAAGCTTGCGCCACTGCTGGATGATATCCGTTGTGTTCTTGAGCGAATTAGCATTCTCGACTGCATTTGCCAATGCTCGTCTCATCTCCGGATCACGATCCGCCAGGTCGCGAGCGATAGTGGAGAAAACCTTCTCGTGGCGCTTGTCGGCTGCACTGTGCCGGTCGAAGCAGACACATGAACCAAGCCCCCCCATCTCATTGAACCAATTAGCAATCGTGTGAGCGATGGCTGATTTGCCCTTGCCGGCAGAGCCAGATAGCCACAACACACGTTGAGCAGTAGCTCCACTATCATTGATCCAGTCAGTGATCTGGGAGAGAACGTCCGCGCGCGTCCCTGGCAGGCATTGTTTCGTGGTATCTAGTCCCGCGCCCGCTGCGTAAGTCATACCGCTGAGATCCAATGTTTCGCCTGAAGGGGTATGAATGGATGTAAAGTCGGAAGCACGTGCGAAGGCTTACCCCTACATTGGACGAAGATGCTTGCATCCCGAAGAGCTTGGTCCCGAAATTGTTTCATAAGCCCATCCAAAGCGTCACTGTACTGTGTAATCATGACATCCGTTTCCGACACAACATTTTTCTTGAGTCTCTCCCCTGTCATTACTTCAATTAGCCACCATGCGCGAAGTGTAGTAATTCGAGTCCTCACAATAGCTCTGGGTCTTCGAGTAGTCCCTAATGAAACGCGCGCACTCTTGAGTCTGCTGAGCGATCCGTCCGACGATAATGTGCATGGATGAGATCTGGTCAAGAGAGTCGTCTTGGGTTATGAAGCGGTAAACTTCATCTAATTTCTTGAGAAGATGATGTAGCGATTGGTCGCGATCCGCTTGAGCAAGAATAATCTGCACATCATCAACGACTGCTGACCAGGAGGCGAAACCACACAAACCTTGGAAGCAGCAGACAGCATGCCCAGCGCCATCTTTGCGTATGGATGTACCTATCCAACTTGATTAGTTCGCTTCCCATCAATGAGAACGGCACATACCTTCGCGATTTTCTCGATGGCAGTGTCGAAAATCCTGAGCGGTTCGAGATATGTGGCCTGGAAATTGTCTGCGATATCGACATCCGCTTGGGCATTTTGGCCGGAGGATGCCATAGATGTCGCATGGTTCTCGAGTAGATTCATGCGTTGTAAATCCTCACAGACATCCTGGAATTTAGAAACGGCCGTTTGGTGACTAGTCCCTTCCTGCAGGGCAGAAGGGGCAGCCTGAACCTGTGCGATCACTCAAAGTTAAAGACAAAAAGGGCGAATCAGTAGACAAAAGTACCTGTGAAGCAGGTTCTCTGGATAGTGCTTGGTTCATGTAGCCACTGGAATTCTCAGACATAGTGGGATGCTGGTCGTCTTTAGCAACACGCAGATGTGATGTGTCCTGGGCATGGCTGAGGAAACTGAAGGACTACGGTAATGAGTTTGAGTGTGTACCTCTATACTCTGATGCGACGAAGCTCCATGAACGACGTTCTCGACAACAGGGTCATGGTTGCGGGACCGCTTGAGGGGTTTCTACACAATATATGAGATATACGAAAACTCAGCATTCACGTCTACGCACTGGACGTTCTTCAGTGAAGTCTTTCATGACTTTCCGTTTTCTCTGGACAAAGAACGCATCAGAGGCAGACATGAAATTGAACTCATCAGGTCGCATACCGAGCTCTCTGAAACCTCAGCGGTCGCTTCGCCGGATCTGCGGGCTTCTGGAGGAGGATGTGGCCTATGGTGTTCGCTCATTATGAGTCGTCGAAGATTTGCTATCAGTGTGAGCGAAGTGGGGTGCAAGACTTGAGGTTGTGCGAGAAGGGATTGGACCTAAGTATCAGACATTCGGCAAATTCCTAGAGACAAACATTGGCAATACCGATGCAATGCTGTGGTGACGCAAAACAATTGCTGGCTACAAAGACTGAATAAGCTTTAGCCATTCAAGATCGTCTCGCCAGTAAATGAGTTGCGTCTGTTCACGATGATGCACAATGATGCACATCTCTGGTGAATCTGACCTTCCTAGGTTCGTTTTTGCGTAGTTGGTGTTTGCAGAAGACGAGTCTGTTTGGCCGCGTACTAAATAGCCTACACAAGAAATCACATGCGAGAATCACCTGCTTGCTCACTGTGTGATACAGTGAGCATGGCTATATTTTCGAAACTGATGTCGCCTGTTGATCAACTAAAAGAACTAGTTCGATTGCGTGAGTCGTCCATCTTTGTTTCTCTGCCTTATCTTTGCATGCCAGTTGTAAGCCCGTTGGACGTTAAGGGACAACAGTCTTGACTACTTACACCAGTTCCTTCAACTCTCCTATCGCACTTCAGGTGGGTTCTCGGTTTTCTTTCGCATATGCAGGGCATCAAATTTATCCAGAAGCCTATCAGCAATACCAGTACTACAATCCTAGTAATTATTACAGTAGTAGATGAACCATGATACTCAATGATTTGCCATATCCAAGCCTTTCGCGATGCGCAACACTTCAAAGTTTGAAGCCTGCGGAGAGTGAAAGTCAACTGTGCCGCTACTGTGCCCAGGTGTGACAAGACGTGACCACATGCAGGGAATGATAGTAACTCATGTGATTTACTAGCGAGTGAAGTCTGAATGACTCAGCTTGTGAGGGCTTACCATTTACAGCCTTGTTCAGGCTGTGAACATGGAGGAAGGACTCGGTCATAATCAAGCCTCGTTGCAACTACCACCACCATCGACGACATGCCTGTCGTCCAGTTCGCGCCTTTTGCATCCCTTGTTCAGCCAGGTTTTTGGCATGAGCTCACTCGCATGAAGATAGATGTCCTTCGTCTCTCAGACGAGGCTGTTACCATGACTGGATCTTACTCTGTTGGTCGTTCAATCAGAGATCGCGAAACAGGGCAAGATATCGCTCTTGGATGTAACCTCACAGTTGGGGAAGATGCTTACCAGAAGGCACCCCAGTATGTCGCGATCGGACACGCGTCGAAGCTGATATGCTGACTCTGTCGTAGGTTGCCACCCATGTCCGTCCCGGCCACTGGCATCTTCAAGAACTACAACACTATCGAGGATTTCAAGGCCGCGGATAAGGCCGCACTCGTTAATGACATCGTTTTCAAGGTGCGATCATGACTTGACGCGCCCTATAGCAAATAGTCATGGTCATCACAACAGATCTGGGATAGCATCGTCACGAACAAAGACACGTCTCTCCTCACGCAGTTCTTACTAATAACATTCGCCGATCTCAAGAAGTATCAGTACTTCTACTGGTTCGCGTTCCCCGCGTTTGTATCCAAACCAGCCTGGCAGATTTCAGAAAATGGCTGGAAGTCAGCGGACGAAGAGATCGAGGGGGTATGTCCTTCTTTGCGGAGCATGTTTACGTTCTTACAAGCTTTCTCAGATGGAGTCTATCCATGACTCGCTTCTCAACTCAACTCAAGCCTTCTTCCTCGTGAAAGAGGTCGGCGGCAAATCTGTGGTGGGGTCTATAGAGCAGTATGAAGAGTTCTTTACTAGTGTCACTCCCGAAAACGTAATGTATACATTCTGTCCTCTAAACTAACCCTGACTCCCTTTGGACAGCGAATTATCGGCTTTTTGGATCCATCTGCTCTTCCTGACAATCCAGGTTGGCCTCTCCGTAACCTGCTCGCCTACCTTCGCGCGGTGTATCCATCGCAAACCTCTTCGGTCCGAGTTCTTTGCTGGAGGGACAGCGAAAAGCCCATCGCCGGCAAACCATGGAAGAGCCGATTTGGAGTGGTCTCCATTGGAGAAGGAGATCCCACTGCGAAACCCAGTGCTATAGGATGGGAGCGCCATCCGACAACTAACAAGCTTAGTGCTCGAGTCGCTGATCTTGCACCCATGATGGATCCGAAGAGGTGCATGTTGTCCAGCGACGCGGTGAACATCGCTGACAGCCTTCTAGGCTCGCTGATCAAGCTGTAGACTTGAACTTGAAGTTGATGCGCTGGCGGATTCTGCCCTCCCTAGACCTCGAAAAGGTGGCATCAACAAGATGCCTGCTTCTTGGCGCTGGGACGCTTGGCTGCTACGTTGCACGTACCCTCATGGTTCGTGCCTACGAGTTCCAACCCACAGTTCATACTGATTTCCATCACTAGGGGTGGGGTGTCCGTACGATTACATTTGTTGATTCTGCCCGCGTATCATTCTCGAATCCCGTCCGCCAACCCTTGTTTGAATTTGAGGATTGCCTCAACGGCGGCAAACCCAAGGCCGCTTGCGCTGCCGAACGCCTGACGAAAATCTTCCCCGGTATTGTAGGTACCGTCTCACTCATGTTGAACGATCTCTGATGACCTGGACATCAGAACGCCTCTGGCCATGATATGTCGATACCCATGCCAGGTCACCCTATACCCCCGGCGTCCACTGAGCAAGCGAAGAAAGATGTCGAACGTCTAGAGAAGCTATTTGATGAACACGATGTTGTCTTCCTCCTAATGGACTCCAGAGAAAGTCGCTGGCTGCCAACCGTCTTGGGCGCTGCAAAGGGCAAGGTACAGTACATGACCCGACCCATATTATTCGTGCTGAACCCCCGTGCAGATAGTTCTCAATGCTGCCCTTGGGTTCGACACCTACCTCGTCATGCGCCACGGCGCCCGAGCATCTACGTCGACGGGCAATCGACTGGGTTGCTATTATTGCAACGATATCGTCGCTCCTGCTGATGTATGATCCCCCAATTGTCGTACCAGCGTTCACTCAAATATATTCTCTTATAGTCCTTGACGGACCGCACCCTTGATCAAATGTGCACGGTGACAAGACCAGGCCTTGCCTCGATAGCAGCTTCCACAGCAGTCGAACTCCTTGTCTCTTTGTTACAACATCCTGATGGGTAGGCCTCGGTGTTCTAATTAGATACCGTATCTCATGTCGTCCGCAGGCTTCATGCACCCCCACCCCCTCCTCAAGCCAATGGCACTGTCGCAGACCCTAGCACATCGGGCAGTGTTCTGGGTCTTGTCCCCCACCAACTGCGTGGGTTCTTGGCACAGTTCAGGAACCTCCCGATCACGGGTGCAGCGTACGACAAGTGCACGGGGTGCAGTGAGACTGTAAGCGGAACAATCCAATTTTCACATCTCTATACCAATCAATGGCACAGGTTCTCAAAGCCTACGAGGAGCAAGGCTTTGACATGCTCTTGAAGGCATTCAACGAGCCCAGATACCTCGAGACGTTGACTGGACTGGACGAGCTGTATAACGAAGGTGACGCGGCGCTGGAAAGCGTAGATTGGGATGAGGAGGACGAATAGATAATTCTAACGACTGACGGAAGGCAGTGAACTTTTTTGTAATTCTACGACTACCCAATTATTCATGTACTGTCCTGTGTTGTCTTTATGACGTTGCAATGTGCATATATACTATATACTACATTTTGCTCTGTAAATGTGTTTCATTACCACGAGGCTGTCCCAGATACCACAGCGTGGCATCCTTCAGCTCACGCATCCACTCCACGATGATTTCATCACTGAAAACGTGCTGATCGTAGAAGGCAAAATATTGCAACTGCTGGCGCGCAGATGACGCTCCAACATATAGCTCGGCAGGACGCGTATGAAGATGAGTGCGCCAATACTCAACATGGAGTCGCGGTGTTTTGGCGTCCTCGACAGCAGCAGCGGGCGGTGACCACAGTGGATAACCAGCCCGATGGTGATGAGGCGTGCTGCACAGGGGCGACAAGTACTGCTCGGGAGGTAGAGGATAGTCCACGGGTACCGTGTCATCCATCTGGAATCATTATGCTTAGTTCAGTTGAATCTATATTTTGAGAGCCACTGACATTGCCCAGGGTGGATCCTATTTGCGTGAAAATTGGGTTTAAAGCCTGAACGGGTCTTATGCTTCCGCAACTATCTTCTGGGTGAACGCTCTCTTCCCTTTCTAGCCACTTCAAAGCAACTTCCCTCGCGAAAGCAACCCGATTGTGTCCGGCGGTGCATATATCGACTAACCGCGGGTGCTTGAGCACCTTCTGTGCTTGTGCCTTCACATGAGCACACCGGAGAAGAAACCGATCAAAAGACATGAGTGCCGCGAAGTCTGGTGCCCCGTTGACAAGTTCCAGCCTACTTGCGTCCCCCCTAGACATTTCGCCAAGAGGCATGAATGGAAGCGTGTACCGGAAGACGCTCATATTAACACCAACATCACCCGAGCCGCCTGTCTCAAACCAGTCCCTGTCTTGATACGGGCGCAAGTTCAGCGGCCCTAGTACATGCATGGGTTGGCGCTTCCTGTACTCCCACTCTTCTTCCGAGATCTGGCCCCTGAGGTACCGTCGACATAGAACCCGCGAGAAGGCCACTTGGCTGAGGGCATAATATGCGGAGTTCATGGTAATGCTATGACGACGACAATTGGAGAGAATGAGTGATGACACTGCTCTCGAAAACCCAGAGACGTGGATGCGTGTTTTAGCGGGGGTATGAGGTGTGGATTCCCTGAAGTTTCCAGGGAGGGTATGGCCGCCCTGCCTCAATGCTTTAGCTCTCTACGATACCACTGAGCAAGTGGAATGCTAACCTTAAATTTGGAGCTCCATACTGAAAAAATTGCATGACCTAAAGCCCGCCTCCACCGTCGTTTGACAAGTGGAAGATCCCCAGAACATGAACGACTCTCTAAAGGCTGGTACATATGCACCCTCTCGCTTAGAGGAATATACGGTGGCTCAATCCGCGATGACAATGTGTCAAAGAACGTCCTAAGCACTGTGCTTGTGGCCGCTGCATCCGTAATGCAGTGGGCCATCATAATCACGACGTGGAAATGGTCATTTTGGTCTGTTCGGCGCAAAATGTAAGCACGAGCAAGTAATTGAGATGAAAGGCGCCGGGGTCCATCCATAATGTCGTTTATGAAACATTCGGCTTGATGAAAGGAATTGACCTCCGTGAATGTGACATCATTAGGTCGAAGATTCATGACCGATTCTTCACGGAGAATGAATCGTGGACCAGACTCGTGTTCTTGCACTTCAGTCGCGATGAGGGGAAAGCGTCTTTTGACAGATGCCCAAGAACGCATGACATTCTGTTGCGAATGAACGTCTCGGTCATCAGCTTGTGTGGTGCGAAGGTGTATGTGCATCACGGTATCTGCGGTGCTGTTGAAAACGCTATCCCAATAGAAGGATGTTTCTGTGTTCCCGAGGGGACGAAAGAAAACGCGCCGGCCTGGAGTCGAATCCAGTGTCGCCCATGGAGAGGTCATAACGAAGCTGACAGTGAGTCCAGAGGGAAGTGCGAGGGAACCCAAAAGTGGGTGGCAACGGGGTAGATTAATGCACATGCTATATCCCCTCTCCGAGTAAAAATAAACATTCTGGGAGGAACGTCATACCAGAATATCACATTGACTGTCAGGTGCTTTCAAACCCAAAAAAACACGCACCGGTTGCGAATGCATGTACCATACACAAACACTTTCTTCGCTTGCCAAGGGGCGGAAGTTTACTAGATGTTTTTAAGGCTGGGAAGGGTTGGGACTACACGGTCACACTCTAGTCCCAGCCCTGTTGCTGTCTAATTGTGACAGCCGGAGGCCAACGATGTTGATCGCAGGACCTAGCGCTGCTAGCAGAACACCTTCTGGCTCACTGCCGTCAAAAGATTAATTGAGCTTCAACAGGAATGCCACGCACATGGGAAGCGCAATCGTCGACATGAACACAATACAAGCCGCTGGGATTTGAATTTGAGGCTTGGCTCCGTTTCAGTTGTCCATATCAATCTCTATCATGATGACCATATTTGATATAGGTTAAGTAGGGTCGAGGACCGAGGTGGAAGCGATTATCCGCTGCCGCCGCAAATTCGACGGACATTGTGCAACTTCTCTAAGTGAAAAGTTTAAGCACGCGGCACACGGTGATACCGACATCCGTCAGATAGTCCTCGGATTGCGTCGTACTAAAGAGCGATGCAATAGCAAATGTGTCGGATCATGTTATGGCCCGCTGGTGGAGCTTAAGGAACGGTGTAGCACTAGTAGCACGTGTACATACTAGTACAATTGCGGAAGTAGTCTGCCGTTTCTTACAACGCAAAAATGAGTCAGGGAACTACTCACTAAGCGGCAGTGGGGTACGTAATTGGAGTCGCGTGCAAGCCTCATACTCGCATTCGTTCGTTGGCTCGGCCAGCTGGGAGTCTGAGATAAACATACATGTCGTCGTATAAAGATAGGAAAGCGATATATATTTTCCAGACAGAGATACCTGCGTTTCCTTCCTTCCTGCTCATTGCAAACAACAGGGATCACTTCGACTCGCAACCACATGCTTGACCCTGCTTGGAACATTCACAATTTTCCCCTGTACCAGCGCAAGAGCACTGCAACGGGTCACAATTAGTATTCTTCCAGTACCAAAGGATCGAAACTATGCCGTACCTGTCTTAGAATGCGCGCTGTTGACACATTTCTGGCAGTTACATTGGTTCTTTGGGCAAGCACAGCCAGTCCCTGAGGGGCCACAAGCCCTGCAAGAAAGTTTAAAGTGACATCACGGTAAGAAAATTAGCACTCACGGGCATTCGCTAGCGCACGTACATCCACTGCAGGTTGCCATTGTGGTTTCTGTTAAATTTCAAGGTGGTGGTAAATGGAGCGTTAGGTCCAGTATTTGTCGAATCCCCTATGACGATGACGTTGACGGAAACAATGGAACAAACAAACATAGGGGCAAATAGGGGTCACAAGCTGTCAAGTCAACACATCAAAATAACGCTGGGGCACAAATGATCATCAATAGTTTTCAGCTAATCGTCATTTTATAGATAAGTTCAGTTGCAGTCGCGTATCGCCTCCAGTCGTCCTTTTGAACTCTTGTGGAATATGCCCCTTTGTCATCTATGCATAGACTGGTGACCAGCACGCAAGATATATATGAACACGGGTACGCGGACTTGGAAGGATAAGGTTGCATGTGTTCAGAACGGACATAGCATTAAACAAGGATTGGCAAGGCGGAAGACAAATATACATTACATGGTCTACTTACAACAATTTTTATTACGCAGAGCAGCATGCTCACGCATCATACACCAACCGCGCACCAACCCACGGGTACGGATAATTAGGCTGATAAAAGTTCCTGACCGTCCGCCGTCCAGCAAGACGTGGGATCGTAGCGTACGATGCACCGAGCTGTGCAACCCACTGTCAACCGACGGCAAGATGAAGCGACTGCAGAAGGACTTACAACAACATGATGCTTCCCATCAAAGAAATCCGTCGAGTACCCTGGGAAGTGCTCCGTTGGCGACAGTCCATCATGGGTATCAAGTGGTGTCGAAGTCCACTCCCAGACTCCGCCGTTGCTCCCACGACCGCCGTTTGCCTCAAGACCAGCCGTCGCACTAATTGCCGAATGAATGAGAAAATACAATCGGGAAAGCTTGACCAGGCGACTTACGGAACGGGATGCCAGTTTCTGATACCCACGTTTGCACCACCTTCGTATCCAACCTCATACGTATCAAGGAAGAGCCTCAGCTCCGGTTCGGTGGGTAGTCGTCCGCCTTTGCTCTGTGCATATGCGCTAAGCATGTCGTAGCTCGTAAGCACCGCCCAGTGCTTCGCGACGCTTAGCGGAACTGGACCGTAGAGGGTGCGGACCTAGCAATTTGACTTAGTCCCAAGCATCCATGACTGATGAAATGACAAACCTGAATCCCCTCCTCTCCCTCCACCCAACTGGGTGGCAGACCGATTTCCTTCCTGTTTACCCACCAAGCATGGAACTCCCCATTGGTGATGGGCCTCCACTCAGCACGGAATTTCCCGACCTGCACCTGTCGTGAAGGGCTCTCATTGTCCCAGCCGAACTCGTGTCCCTCGACCTGGTCACACACGCCTTCATCAAAGTCGTTTCCCTCGCAATCGTCGTGCCCAAGCGTGATCGTCACAGGGCCAAGCGTGACAGTCGATGAAGCCGGGTGTGTGTGAGTGGCGTCCCACTGTGCGGATAGCGCTTCCCAAGGCGGGCTAACAAATCCAGGCGGGGGGAGCGTTCCTGTTCCAGCACGCTGAATGAGCATGTAGAGGAGTGTCTGAATATTCAACTCTTGTAAATCTCGATCAAAACCAAGAACGACATGCCATACTGACCTCGACGTGCCAGCCCTCATGCTCGAGGGTCATCGCAAGCATGCGACCGATGTTCCTGTTGATTTTGCGCTTTCCCGATGCTAGATCGTCGTACAACGCGAGAAGCCGCGCACGCACACGGTCACGGAAGGCGAGGATCAGTTCCAAGTGTAGGCCAATCCTCGTCCTTTGTGGGAACTTCAGAGTGTCTCTTTAAGCAAGAAATCGACGTCAGATAAAAACGACTATGAGGGAAGTAAATACTTACGTGGCAGTGTTCTGGGTCATCGACATGAGGATCAATACCCCGCTAAAGTAAGGAGTCAAAAACTATGTTTTGAACAACAAATTGGCTGGCACCTCAAAAATCTGCGCGAAGTAAGGCTCAGCATTTGGCTCGTTGAGAGCACGAGCCATGAGCATGTCGAGGAATCTATTTCAACACTCAGATACAATTGAGACATCATTTCAATCAGGAACTCACGTAGGGATGTGGCCGATGTAAAATAAACATTTGTGTCTCAGGTCAATAGGTTTCTGGTGCAGCATATCGTTTGGGATCATGCCAAGCGTAACGAGATCCCAGGTAGCCCACAGGTCCTTCCATTCCTGCGACGATATCCATCAGATACACAAACAGGACACGAAAGAGAGTCGTGAAATGATGAACACACCTGCGTTGTAGGGACGCCCCACGGGCTTGCAGGATCAAGAGGCGGGAAGGATACAGCTGGGCGCTCGAGGACGTATAGGGTGCTGCTTCCACACGGCGAACATTGTCCAAAGATAGAACGGAGGCCAACGGAAGCAAAGATATTCAAGGCATGTGCTGGGCTTGTCTGCAGTAGGGAGAATGAGCGCGGATTCAACAATGAAAAGTTACTTGTCCCAGTAAGGAGCAAGAGAAAGGGAAAGGATCACAACTTACGGCCTTGCTAGTGCTTGCGCAAATTTTCACCCACTCATCGACTTCGACACCCTCGTGCGCTTCAGTGAAGTAACAGCTTTCTGCGACGGGGTCAGTATTGTCTCACGAGGTTACACTTGTTCGATACCTTCAACAAGATGCTTCTCCCAACGCTTCCCCTCAGCATCAATACAAGGCAATGTTTTAATGGCGTCTTGAATCCACCCGTTCGCAGGTGCGTCAAAGTGATTAATAAGAATGACAACTTTGTCTCCGGATCCCTTATCCAACTTCTTTGAAAAGTCTGTCAAAAATTGAGTGTCGAGCAAGATGGGGGGGAGAAGAAAAAATTTCGTGGGCTGGAACTCAGATACAGAGGAGGATGAGGATGGCGTATTTGACCTGGAGGTCGATGGAGATGTGGAGAGAGAGGAATCGGAACGGTAGGACATGGTGATGTATGCGCACTCAAAATATGCAGTTGGGAGGATGAAAATATTGAGGAGCTCAATGCAGATCCACAAAAAGTGAAACAGTGAATTTATATAGAAATGTCAACAACGAAGCGTATTTGACCTAATACAGATCTAATGGCAGTCTATATATGTAGTTAAGCGATTGAGTCACTTATCTGAATTCTGAGGTCGTCACCCAGTGGACATCGCATCAATTGTGGTGTGACGATAAATGTAATTCCCGAGATTATCCATCGAGTTCGGAGTCTGTGCAGTGAAACGTGAGGACAGCGTTCGCCAGATGCAGAATAGGAAGGGCAGTTTTATGCGGCGTAACGCATACGAAGGCGTGAGCTTTGGTTTTCGAAGCGAATAGCAACCTGAACCGAGCGTAGAAACCGTCAGAAAGGCATAAGAGAAGCCTGAACACCCGATCGGGAGGTCACAAGGACAACGACAAGATATCGCTAGTCGGACAATATCGGGACAGACGACATGATCAGATAGCGGAGTCTAAAAAAACTCAGGTATGGTGTTGCCAAGGACGGTCACCTGCTGAAGATGGGACACGTTAATAAAAAATGGGGTGAGTGATACGCTTGAATGATGTCTTGCGAAAAAGAACCTAGTGTCGTGCGATGATTGAGGGGAGTTACTGACGTGTTGCAAGTGAGATAGGAATTTAGATGGCTATCAGCTCTTCTGTGTGGGCCTGATGGGTCGGACTGCATGTGAGCATAAGCCTTCCAGGAGTGAAGCTTGAGGGACGGTAATTTAACCGAACTTGAAAGCCTTAGAAGACCATCGAGACTACGCCGATACTGTATAAACGCTGTGAAAAGAACGCGCCAGGTAGAAAGGGCACAGTAGACCATCATAGGCCATGGACGCGGTAAGATGATGGGGAAGACTATATTCCAATGCTTTGCCATCTTATTTATATGCAAGTTCAACATATGGCGTGCTATGTATCTGCGATGGTGTGCTCAGGTCCCATCACGTGATCAGGTATACCGGCCCGCCCATCTCCGACGCAACCAAAGTTGTCTGGACTGTGTCAATTTTCAACGGTCAACCTCCTGTTATTTCACATATTCAGAGAAACGGTGCACGTTAGACGAAGCGCATGTAGACTTAAGAGTAGATTTACGTCTTCAAAATTCAGGCTCCCCCCACCAGTTCTAGCCCTCCCACTCAGCACTCGAAGCTTCAGTTCAGCTCTGTTTCCGTTAACCTCGGGCTACAAATTGGTGCAGAGGATGACGCAACCTATCACTTCCGCGCACCAGAGTACTATCTTTGTGTCCGCAGTATGTCCAATATCTTGCTCAAGGGATGATGATTTCAACCGTCATTGGCAGTCTCCCTGTCAGAAATACATAGTGTCAAATCCTCGCAGCATAAAGCTCCCTAACGGTCATAGGGTATCTATAGAGCAGCCGCAACGAGGGAAGAGGACCCTACGCCGTGGGATGAGTGCGTGTGGCAGCGTGCTGGAGCGCAACGAGCTGACCGGGAGTTCCGTGGGACAACTCAGCGTGCCAGTGGCAAAGCATAATTAATACGTTAAAACGAGGAGAACCAAATTGTTGAAGGGCGACTCATCACAGCAAATCAAAAGAACAGCAAGTGTGAAGCTCCGACGTAAGTCGAATTCAACATCGCCTGCCGTTAATACTATTCATATTAATGAACCACAAGGTCTCATTGCAACCTGAACAAAGACAATTCCTTTCATCGCGACAGCCTAGTCGTACCTTCATTGATCGATGATGTCGTGTGGCGATGAACGGTGCTTTGTTGGAGTGCCACACGACCATACCTGGTATCCGTGTGTCCACAACATGCAACCCATGCATGTCCCTGCCTATATAAGAGATATCTGATACAACACATATCTTCGTCAGTACCATCTTACCTGAGCATGTCATCTGCACTCACCTATCCTCTTCCTCTTCTCCCTTCTATCCCAGACGATCTCGAGAACCTCGACGCACGCCAGGCTCTACCTCATTTAATGGCACTAATGAAGAACACCCTCATCCGTGGTCTGAATCGCATTCATGCATGTGCGCCTCTTGTCATCATCGGCCACCCCGCTCTTCCGCCTTTCCTTGACTACGTGCACTCGCTCCTCGTGCAATTGGATGTGCATCTCGAGGAGGACGCTGCTTTTTTCTCTGCGAACGCACTTGCAGAGATCGCTACATCCGACGCTAACCCAGATACTAAGACTATCAGGGAATCTATAATTTCATTGACAAGTTTGGTGTCGACGTGGATCAACGTAGGTGCTTCCCTATCCTTTCGTTCGCAATTCTTCATTCGTGAACAGGATGACTCCACTTACTGTTCGAGTGCTCTATGCGACGGACTCTCGTTTGGACCTCCTCTGGTTGTGGTTATGCAGGCACAGATCAAGATGCTTACCCCCACGCTGCTCAGCTCGATTATATCGCACCTGGACCTTCTTGAATTGATTAAAGGTGTGAACCTCCTTTCTCCAGTGTCTCAACCACTGAAGATAGGACAGGCAGCGTCGGTCGCGTCAGCGAACGATCCGATATCACCTTCTTGCTCCCTTTTGTTGTCTCGCATCATGATCATACCACCTCCACCCATTGGCCCAAGATTCCCGAAGATGGTATTGAGACGCTCCCGACCCTTATTCTCAGTCATCCAGGGTACGTTTTCCTTCTTCGCCTTAGTTAACTCCCTCATGACGCTTGCATACAAGATGCTGGCAATTTGCGCCGTTCAATCCTATCACTCGTGAGACTCAGAGCTTAATCGCCATCTCTGCTTAGGTGTTTTCTTTATTCTTTATACCCTATTTGACCGCTGCTCCTCCATACCACATAATATTATTCATCCTTACTAGTGTGCGTCTTGCAGCCCTACCATTTCTCCGGGTCCCACGAGAGAACTTAGAAGTGTGCACCGCGCTTATCGGAAATTTGAGGCTATACTGCAATTATTTGCTCACCGTGCTGACAGTTTCGAGGTTACTGACTTCACTCGGATTACAGCCTGCGGGCCGATTCAAGCCTCGTGCAGGAAACTTTGTCTTGGCAGGAAAAGCTTTGATGTTTTCATCAGGTGCCTTTACATCAACATCGCCCGACCTCAGAAATCAAGACACCGTTATTTGGTGAAGACTGCAGAACGATTTGAAGAGTATGTACAGTGCCGCAGGTACAGACTAGATCGAATTTATCATTCATAAGCCCCGACGATCCAAGCATGCCACCGCGGGTACAGCTTAAAGTTATCCCTACGCCCTTGAGCTAGGCTTGGTGAAACAAAACAATGCACATCAATGTACTCATGTTTCGGAGTCGACAGGAGGGTTCGACCCTTGTATACTGCAACTTGTGCTACAGGTGTAGATCGAGAACTATGTTAATCACACACGTTGACATCGGTATCTGTGCAGAGCGCGACGATGGACGTTGTCGCTGCCTGTCAATGGAACGAAGTCAAGCCGTATAAAATGAATGCCTGAGGGTGCCCATCTTTTGTTCGACCATTTGGATCAATTTTGTTGCGATACCCTGACGTTGATACTTTGGATCAACACCAATACAATTTAGACACCAGGAGCTCTCAATGGTCTGAAATTATGTGCACTTCCAGAAGAATAGGTCACATGTTAGACTTGGACACACGGAGAAAAGCTGTCTCGAGAAAGGATCCAATGCAGAACCATAATTTTTTTGATACGCTGTCAAGGAGAACAAGTAAATCTTGGTACTGATTACAGTGTCAGTCCACCATTCTTTGGTTTCGGGTGACAGAGACTCTAAGAACTGGTTGAAGCCAAGCACCTTCTGCGCATCACTGATGGAGCTGAGCACTATGTAGCCCAGAATGGTCACACCTGACCTATTCCAGAACGCTTTGCCTGGAGGAAACCAGATAGTTATTCCAGCGATAGCGCTTGTGTCGATAACTGTTGCGATGTATACTTCTCCAGCTGACAGGCAAGCCCTGATCACCGCCCAGAACAATGCCCCCTAGAGACTTTTGTTTCCACCGCGGTCACGAGATCAATAGATGGGGCTGGATGTGCAGATATCATGACCAGACGCCCGACGATCGTGTCTGAAGGTTGTCTTACAAGCGACGTAACCTTTGACACGCATCGCAACTGCCTCGTCCAACTGAGATTCTACGAGGTGCTTGAGCTAGTAATATATGATAAGTAAATATGCTGTCTTTACCTTTTGGCTGGTCAACAGTGGACAGATGATACGGGAAGTTGTTTCTCGTATCTTGGTCGTGGTAGGGCATTGAAGGGCATTGATCGATGATCAACCGATCATGCGGCACAATGAGAGCCAATAATACGGCGGTAAGGCCAGATAAGGCTAACCCTGAAAAAATCACTGAGCATCTTAGTATGCACGTCACGGATTCCGATCACTGGGAACCTCTCCATATGGCGTTCTACTACACCGCACCAGGCCGCAGAACCATGGAACTTCTAGACAGAAGCAGTGTGTTCCAATCAAATCACAAATTATTTGCAAGGCGGAAACCTACTGGCTTGGTGCCAAAATTTCAAGCTTTAAGCCCAGTTGGAACAGAAAGTGTGATGTTTCGACATTCCGGCAATATGTCCATCGTTGATACTTGCCAGTTGATACCGCTCGTAAGCAAGTACTCAAAAGGTAAGCGCGGAGTTTGAAAGGGCATGAGGTATTGATGCAACCTGTCTGGTCTGCAAGTACTGTGCAGACTACATAATTACACTGGCAGTTCCGGGTCACCGGTCGCCTCAAGACAGATTCACGGCTCCCGCGGGGAAATTCCAATTGGCTGATTGGACTGAAGGCCATCGAAGTTCCCTGACATCACCACGTTTTGCACTCGTTATGGGTTCAAACACTAGGCATCTTGCGTTCAGCTTAGTATAAATCATGCCAGCTTTCGCAGTCGATAAACCGCCACCAGAGTACCCATTAATATTCCCGAATAAGCACAGTAAGCAGGCTTCTGGAAGCACGTAGACGACTTGCACTTCATTATCTCCACAATCACCTAACCGCTCACAAACCGGTGCAAACCTGAGGCCTGACTAACAATTCACCTAAGCCAAACCATGATGCAGCGTCAAGCCGCATGCAGGATGGAGCACGGGAGCCTCGTGTCCTACAATTCTTGAGAATATATCTCTCTATCCCAGCAGGCGCTACTCTACAGATTTCCCCTCCAATGTCTCCCAAAAAACAAACACGAAAATGGAAAGAAAAGAAGATCAGGAAAGCTGGCGATGTGACACTAGACACTAGTATTGCAAAATCCGATGATATCATTATACCGTAGGTTTATTCATGGTCCAAGACGGTGATGCATCTTATTGAATTACCTAGCGTAATGGGGCCAACTGGAGTTGGGAAAAGCACCGTAAGACCATAATTCATTCATATTTTTCAGAAGCTGACTTCGACGGATAGTTCATCAACACTGCAGCCGGGAAGGTCGTGACACCTGTCGGTCATGATTTGCAGTCGTGTACAGCAACAATCCAACACGCATTCTGTCCATATCCCGGCAATCGCTCCCGCCGCATAGTCTTTGTTGACACACCGGGTTTTGATGATACGTTCGTGGATGACTCGGAGATCTTGAGACGCATCGCCGTTTGGCTGGCAACTTCGTAAGTACATTTTCATCACTGAAGTATATACGTTCATAATCCCATCCCAGGTATGGCAATGATATGAAGCTGGCTGGTGTCCTCTACCTTCACGACATCAGCCAACCTCGGATGTTCGGTACATCGCGCAGGAATCTTGATATGTTTCGAAGGCTGTGCGGTGAAGATGCAGAGAAGAACGTCATTCTGGTGACCACAAAATGGGGCGATATCGTCCCGGACGTGGGACGAAGGCGCGAGGAACAACTAAAAAGCAGCTTTTGGAAGGAAATGGTTGAACATGGATCAAGACCCGCTCGGTTCGAAGGCTCGAAAGAATCTGCTTGGGAGGTCATAAAGCCCATTCTCGCGAACAAGGAAGTTCTCGAGGCCATCCGCATTCAACAGGAAATGGTTGACTTGGGGAAAATGATACCAGAGACCGACGCAGGAAACACCTTGCGTGCCGCATTGAAGGAGGTGGCAGCTACACATAGAAGGGCCGTCGAGGGATTGAGAGCAGGTGTTGGAGATGACGAAGAACGGCAAAGATTGAAGGAGACCGAGAAAGAACTTCGCGAGCTCTTAAAACAGATTGAAGATCTCAAGTTGCCATTCATGAAGCGGTTCTTGTCTTTGTTTACTGGTCGTTAACTCGGTTCCCGCTCACATACATCACACCTACTCTTTCTGTTCTCTATGCACACTCCAAAGGCATGTGTACATACTTAGTTGAGTCTACGCCGTGTAACTTACCTGAATCCCGACTACTTATAATAATTAGCTGGCTTGATGCCCCGCTCACGAGTCACTAGTACTGGTAGTACTGTCATCTGTGGTTCGAATCCAAGCCACTCGAAGTTAAAATTCCCTTATGTACGCAAACAAATTTTGTCGAGGCTCAGTTTCGTTAGCCTGACCAGGTCATTTACCCCTGCGGCGCATTATACACTTAAACACAGCAGTAAGATTTACGATAGCCTAGAGGTAGTAATAATAATTGGGTATAAACCAGTAGTATCCTTGCCGATCGCATTATCACTTAGGCGAGTCTGTACTATATGTGACTCGCAAAGAGACCAAAAAAACTATTCTTGAACTTATCCCAATGACTCCTAACCTTCCTGAGCGTCTTTGCGGCTTCAGTTTCGGAGAAACCCTTGCGGTACCGACCCATCTCCTGCTGAATCTGTAGGCTATCAATTGGGGGTTTTTGTAGAATTAGCTCGACAATGTCTAAAGCCGACTGCGTTGTACCATAGAACCGTGCCATCCTTGACCCGTGGTCAAGCATGCGCGTCCAGTCAACCTGTAGCTGTTTCTCCCGTTTCTGCGCTGCAGCTTCCACTTGAAGGTCGTTCCACTTCGTCGTTGCGAGAATGACATTCTTGAGGCCAGCTTCCCCGCAGAGCCTACTGATGATGTCTAACGCTGTTTTCGAATAGGCCCCGTGGCGGGTCAGTGATATCTCGTGAAGATAAACGATCCCGGCTATTTTCGTTTTTGCTCTATAACTATTGAATGGTTCAACATGATGCCAGGTTCAGTCAGTCGGTGCGCTTACGCTCTCGCAAGCCACTCTGCAATATGTTGCAAAATCCTCTCGTCATCGCCGGATGAATGATCGAAGCCAGGGGTGTCAACGAAGATAATGTGGCGGCTACTGTCGTTAGGACAAAGACAAGGAACACAACTAATGTCTTGTGTGCACGAATCCAAGGTGTGGCCAACGTCCAATACATCTTCTCCCATAGCTTTGTTGATGAACTAGCACTATGATGAGCGTACGAGGTGATCCAAAGCAACAAGTTCGTACAGTGCTTTTTCCAGCGCCGGTCAGTCCCAATACACTGTCAATCTGAATTAGCATTTACTTATCTTATAGTACTACAGGCTCGGGAATGACACGCACAGAATCACGATATCACTGGGCTGTAGTTTGCGTGTGCTCTTCATTTTTGTCGGATTAGCTCTCTACTTACCCGTCCTTATATCTTGCTGGACACGTGTACGGTGTATCCTGACAGTAAAAGAGAAGGCGTGCGATGGATTTTCGACCTGCCAGGGGTTCGAACAGGTACTTAATATTAAACTGCTGTGACGCTGCTGTGGTCGCGGCAGTGCTATAAGTATACTATAGCCGAACTTTATCTAAAGGGTCGAACCAGATCTATCGGTTCGTGAACCACTGCTTTACGATAGAGCGTGCTAAGGACATTCAAGACCCTGGGGTTTCTAAACCCTGCACCCTGGCGCTCATCAACATGTGCTGCGAAGCAGCACAGGATCTCCAACGCTGACTCAGTACTCACATGACGATAGGTTATGCTTCTCCTTAGTATGCACGGCCCCTGGTGACCCGGTATGTTAGTCTCTTTTAGGAGCTTGACGTATACGCCAGGCTGGTGAGCGAGTCTAATCACAGGCAAGCTCCACATCTAGCACCAGGAGTGCATCGGCATTCGGCTCTGCGCTGACAAATCACCTTGTTCCTCTCCGGATCTACATCTGCTTGCTGAACTCGCTAGTAGCAAACATCAAACCTATTAATCTACTTCCACATCTCCTGTGTGACCCACCCTCAGACCCATATCCTCCGCTACCAGATGACTCCAAAGAAAACCAGCAATCCTGACCTGGACCTCGGCGATTGGGAGCCTAGAGACAGTGATATCGTGATCCTGTGGGATCCGTCCCTGTGTCTGGTGGCCAGTGTATCTGATTCTTGATATGATAGCATGCTAGGACAGACTGGATCTGGGAAAAGTACAGTAAGAGCATTATCGATGCCACACTGCCGATCACTCAACGGTGATAGTTTATCAACGTTGCTGCTGGAAGGGCTATAGCACCAGTTACGGATGCTATGACATCCTGCACCAAGTTTATAAGGCCTTTTGTCATCACACACCCTCAAAACTCAACCCGTGTCATTCTCGTCGACACCCCTGGTTTCAATGACACATGGGTCGATGACCGGGGCATATTAAAGCGTATCGTCGACTGGTTAAAGCAGCTGTGAGCGACCTAGCTCAGGACCCCTTCGAGTACTGATTATATCAAAGGGACGAAAGAGGAGCGAGAGCTACAGGAATCATATACCTCCACGATATTACTCAATCTCGAGTTTCAAAGGAGGGCCCGAAGGCCCCCATGTCGCCAGTGAAGCTCGACCATCCGAGTATGTCGAAGAATGTTGTTCTTGCAACAACAAAATGGGAGGAGCTTGGGCTAAATTCTAATGGAGCGCAGCGTGAAGCAGAGCTATTAGACATCTACTGGAAGACGATGCTCGAGAAGGGATCAACTGCAGATCGGTTTACGAAAACACATAAGTCTGCATGGCAGATCGCTGACTGCATCAAACAGGGCCAGATCAACGGGTCCTCGATTTGTTTGGAGTTAGCTAATATTTTGGGACAACTCCCCGAAAAGCCAAGAGCGACTGTGTATGGATTTTTCACGTCCCTTTTTTGGCCGCAACATAAGGTGAGTCCTCGTGGCAAGGCAGGACACATTCTTAACGTTGTTCAAGTGAGGAATGTCATATGTCGCTCCTGCTAGGGCTACGGGTGAGACATGTCAAATTTCTTTTGCTTATTATGCTGCTGGATCGGAGCTATAGTATAGACAATGCGTACAGAGGAACTGGGAAATTGCATGAAGCTATGTACTGCCTATCTTTGAAAGTACCGGGAATTTACATAGCAGTGCCCACATGACGACTACCATGCATGGCGATCAGTAAGAAAGAACAAGAGCTATGGCTGCAGTCAGGGCGCAGAGGTATGAATAACGCTAATTCCTGGCGACAGAAAAGCCATTAATCGACCAGAGACATGCGGGCCATACATACTTAAGTGAGATACAGTATCAAGCATATTACCCACTAATTCATCAAACGGTGATACGACGAACTTATTACACTAGCAATGGCACTGAACGAGCTCATAGATGAGCTCACTGATCGTTCATCATCTTGAAGCGCTGTGTGCTGACGCACTGCCTCAGTGAGTTGGCGTTGAACTGCGCGCCTATTACTCGACGACCGAGAGGTCTTCCGAAGCAATTGTCGGAAATGAGCAACGAGCTGTGTCCACCAGCGTGTCAAAACAGCATATGCTGACGTTTCGGAAAGCGCTTTTCCTTCGTCTACCATTTCTTTTTGCAACTGGACGGGTCGAGGAGTTGTGGCGTCAAAATGCTTGACGATCTCCCATGCCGAATCAAAGGAAGCGGTGAATCTGGCTGTTCGGGATCCATGCGACATCATTTCCTGCCAAAATTGCGTCTTCAGCTGTTGTTCCCGCTGTGATCCAATATGTTCGAGAACTTCGTCCCACATAGTCGTGGTCAAGATGACGTTTTCAAGTGCGTTCGTACCACACAACTCCTTGAACACTGACAAGTTCCTCAAGGGTGTCCCACGCATTCGGCTCTCTGTAATTCGATGAAAGAATAGGATGCCGCTCAAGGTGACGCGTTCCTTGTAGCTGGAAATAGCGAGAGGGTAAGTAGTTTAATTTTGATTCTTGCTGCGGGTCGTACTTACGTTTTCTTCAACCACGCAGCAATTTCTTTAAGAACTTCATGATCTGTTCTCACACTATCGTCAAATCCAGGGGTATCCACAAACACCACGTTGCGCCCACTTCCATCGGGATGAGGGTAAGCAAAAGAAGTAACACCCTGAGTGCATGACTCCATGTCGTGGCCAACCCTGGCACACTCGCTTCGTGTTGCGGCGTTGATGAACTAAGTCATGTCGGAATCTACCATAGGTGAAGGCAATCAAGATGGGTGCTCACCGAACTCTTCCCTGTCCCGGTCGAACCCATTACTCTGTATACCCCAAGAATTATGCGTTGTATCAGAACATGCTACGAGCCACTCACGCAATGATGGTGTCCCGATTAGTGATAGAATGCTTTATATCCTTGTTTAAAGGCGGTGATACTGAAGATTCGTCTGTATGATGACAGGATGTTGGTTGACTAGCGAAGGGAATCAATGATTGTTGCGACTGTTCACTTGGATCGTCTGCCAAGGTTTCTCTTGAATCATTTTCTTCCGTCGGGTTAGAGTTTGAGTTCGTGTCTGGGTTAATAGGATCAATGATTAACCTGTGCGGCATCAGAGATACCCTTTGCCCAGTTATAGAAGGGATGGTGTGTGCTTGTGATTCAGAGCCTTCGTCGGGGACCTCGACGGCAGGTCCTGCCAGGATATGATCTTCATTCGCACTAGTATTACACAGGCTGGAGCCAGGATTGAGGGGGATAAATGATTCTTGCAACGATTTACTTGTGACGTTCGCCGAGGTGTCTCTTGTATCATTGGCTTCCGTCGGGTGAGAGTTTGAGTTCGTGTCTGGGCTAATGGGGTCCATGATTGGCATCTGCGATATCGAGGACACCGTCTGTTCAGGGATGGAGTGCGCTTGCGACTCCGAGACTCCGGTTGGGACCTCGACATCACGCCCTCCCAGGTCGTGATCTTCATACATATTAGCATTACTTAGGCTGGGGTCAGGATTGAGCTCTACGGGTGACGTACCTCCTGCATTCGTGTCCATAGATTGCAAACATTGGACAATGTCTATTGCACAAGGGCGAGATGCAGAATTCTTTTGCCAGCATTGGTTCATGAGGTTCCACATATCGTCATCCAACTGGAGTGCCACAGGCCGAGAAGGTCGCTCGTCGTTGACAACAGCCGTAATGAGTTGAGGAACACTCATTTCAGAGAATCGTGGATGGCCATCAAAAATCTGTAGTGGCATGAGAAGACTTGACAATGACATATATCAACAATACCTCGTAGCACACACAGGCGAATGCGTAAATATCGCTTTTCAAGGTTTTCATATTCGACTCGCTTTTAGCAGAATCCAGTAATTCGGGAGCCTTGTATATTAGGGCACCCATTCCGTTTGAAGTCGTAGCGGATTGCGCTACAGATTCTGATACAAGCGTGCAGAGGCCGAAGTCTGCCACACACGCCCGGCGAGATGGAGTGATTAGGATGTTGTTCTGCAAAGTCCATCGTGTGAAAACTTGACTCGAAAGATGACCGGGAGATAACGAACGCCTTTCAAGTCGCCATGAACCACCGGGGGGTTGAAGGAGTGTAGATATCTGAGACCACGAGCCACATCCATCACCTAAGTAAATTGTTCCTTTAAGATCTGGCATGGCATGATCTGAACGTCACGCACCAGAGAACGTCGATTTGCGTCTGGGTATATTTTGAGGAAGTCAACGATATTTCCATTTTCCATCCATGGCGACACGAGGCACACGAAGGACGGTCTTTCGGGCCAGCAGTACACGCCGTAGAATGGTAAGACGTGCTCACTGAAAAGTTGCCTCCACAGCACGGCTTCCTTGCAATATGCCTGTGGATTACAAAGTCAATCGGTGTGTCGGACATACAGGTGGATAGGAAACCTTGATCACACTCTCAATTCTCCCGATGGGACGCATGACCTTGATCGCGATAACATCCCTCCCCATGTCGCCTTTCCATACATCTCCAAAACTTCCACCAAAAATCGGACCTCCTGCTCGGATATGGACGCCCTCCAAAATCAGGCATCGAGGGAAGAGACCTGAATTCTTGGACAGAGCAACAATTGCACGTATGATCGGCGATCGCATTTCTACGTCGTCACTGTGATCAAGCAGCTGATCAAAGGCACCACGGTGAGCAAATTGTGAGGACGGGCTTAAACGCTCGCGACGCCATGGACCATACCTCCTGCAAAAGATCGAGCAAAGACTGGGCTTGCGGCCCTGCTTGATGTTGAAGTAGTTCGCGCTTTTTTTCATTTTTTAGGATGACCAGAAGGTGAGCTGTGATGCATAGCATATCGAGTCTCAATATCTTATCGATGCGAGCTGCGTCATTTGGGTCGTTTTGCTGTTGATAATTCAACACAAACTGTTATTTTTTGTTCTTTGAACTCACCTTCTCGCACTTTTCGAGGAAATTTTGCAACGTAGTTTTTATGTCGCAATAGCGAATGAGACGAGAAATCTCGTTGGCTTCAGTATTCCAATCGGAATGATTTGATAGGAGACTATTCAACAGGCTAGAAACAATGTTCGTGGTCATGCACTGGAACATGGGTGACCAAAGACCTACCAAGGTTTGCATGCCCTCACGTATGCTGCGGTATATTGAAACAACCGCTAGTACAAGGTGATATATTGACTAGATCACGGCAGACGAATATGTGAATGCTGACTGGGAATACACATGAGCCTGACAGCTCATGATTACTGGCCATTGTGCCTGCAATCAATGCGTGTATTTGCCTGGCGTTCGCATCCAGCCAATCGCTCGGAGCATCAACCAGAGAAATCGATGGATTGAAGACCCCCAAGGCATGTGCTAACTGGCTTGGTTCGTCGCCAGAATCAATCAATGACATGGCGGAGAAGTCAAGAAGTGCCAGGAGATCCTTCTTGAACACTTACTACTAGTATATTTCAACCCCAACGGGCCCTAAACCACCAGTATTCTATAAGCGCGCGCTAGCGTTGCGTGCGGGTGGCGCCGAGATGCAACGAGGCTCGAGCATTGCGAACGACTTCCAACACAAGTTAACTTTCAGTTCGAACTGGACGGAAATTCGAATATGTAATGGTTCATTTCGGGCTTACTATATACAAGAACGGAGAACCCTGCCCAGGAACTCATCAGACAGGCTTCCCATGATGCCATCGAACCGCAGTGACCGGGCCGTGCCACTTTCTGAATCAGCCATCACTACTACTGTGAGCGCCGTGAAGCATCCTAAGTTCGCATCCTTTCCTTTTGTCACATTTTCCTCCCCTCTTACTGAAAGTTTCAATGACACTCGCTTCTTCAGTTTGTTTACATAGTATATATTTCATCTCCTTTAACGCGATTGTTCTAATCGATCTACTAGACTAAATGCACGACCAACTTGAGGTCGATCATCCTCGACTCCAACCCTCGTGGAGTACGTACTAAGTAGTGGAGAACCCCACACCGACACGTCTTTGCAGCACCAGTACTAGCCTTCGTACCAGCTACAACAGGTCATCTGAGGAAGAACAATTGCATTGTCCCAATATTAATCCGCAACCTCCTCCCCCATCCCTGGCAGTGGAGGGCTGAGGCAATTCAAATCCCAAGACAAACTCAAAATCCTACTCCCATACGAAGTAATCATAGCGAGCGCGATGATGACAATTGGCATGTTCTTATGCCATCCTGTCTCATTTACTGAAGCACTGACCTGTCCGAACTCCGCTACCAAGCCTATACACATACTTAATATTGCAAGCAATAGCTCGACCTTTGCAGGATCATCGACGTCTACGGTATACCCAACCGACTGTCACAGGCATGAGCACGTCTTAGACTCGTGACCAGTCTGTCTAATGAGGTGAGCCGTCCCATCCCAGATGCCAGTCTGCGCAACTGCGAGATCGAGATTAGTACGTGCACTGCTTAGCTCCAGCATCTTTCAACTCCAGCATAAGGTGTTCATGTATATATCTCATCATATTGTCAAGTTCATACGAATTCGTCGTCTTTATCCTCAATCGCGCGTGTCCACGGGGGTGTGCGCTGTGAGTATGGAGTGTCAAACCAAAAAAACTGCGAGTCGTCTCCCGACCGCACCCAAGTGCCGGTGATCCCTTGTATTTATGTAAAATAATAAATCTCACTCTAGATGAAGTTCTTGTAGTACATGGACTGGATACATACTAGTACTACCTGTGAGGAACTTCATCAAAGCTGCAGTGCACTGTCGATTTTGAAAGTTACTCTAGTCATCAATCGATCGGAGACTATACGGTATCAAATAGATCACGCACAAATTTATCAAGCTTCGATACGATGAAGTTATCACACTAGTAATAGCACTGAATGAGCTCCTAGATGAACTCACTGACCGCCCATCATCTTGAAGCGCTGTGTGTTGACGCACTGCCTCAGTGAGTTAGCGTTGAACGTTGAACTACTACTCCAAGTAGACTTGAAGTTCCGAAGCCATACTCGAAAATGAGCAACACTTTTTTTTTTTCGAACCAGCTGGTCAGCACGATGTGCCGACGTTTCGGAAAGCCCCTTTTCTTCGTCTACCATTTGTTTTGCAATTGGACGGGTCGAGGAGTTGTGGCGTCAGAATGCTTGACGATCTCCCATGCCGAATCAAAGGAAGCGATGAATCTGGTTGTTCGGGATCCCGCGACATCATTTCCTGCCAAAATTGCGTCTTCAGCTGTTGTTCCCGCTGCGATCTAATATGTTCGGGAACTTCGTCCCACATAGTCGTGGTCAAGATGACGTTTTCAAGTGCGTTCGTACCACACAACTCCTTGAACACTGACAAGTTCCTCAAGGGTGTCCCACGCATTCGGCTCTCTGTAATTCGATGAAAGAATAGGATGCCGCTCAAGGTGACGCGTTCCTTGTAGCTGGAAATAGCGAGAGGGTAAGTAGTTTAATTTTGATTCTTGCTGCGGGTCGTACTTACGTTTTCTTCAACCATGCAGCAATTTCTTTAAAAACCTCATAATCCGTTCTCACACTATCGTCAAATCCAGGGGTATCCACAAATACCACGTTGCGTCCACTTCCATCGGGATGAGGGTAAGCAAAAGCAGTAACACCTTGAGTGCATGACTCCCGATCGTGGCCAACCTTGGCACACTCGCTTCGTGTTGCGGCATTGATGAACTAAGTTCGGAATCTATCATAGGTGAAGGACAATCAAGACGCGTGCTCACTCTTCCCTGTCCCAATCGGACCCATTACTCTCTACACCTCGAGAATTATGCGTCGCATCAGAACATGCTGCGAGCTACTCACGCAATGACGATGTCCCGGTTAATGATAAAGTGCTTTATATCATTTTTTGGTGGATATTGGTCTGTGAGGACAGAATGCTCGTTGACCAGTGGAGGGGATAAATGATTGTCGCGGCTGTTCACTTGCGAAGGCTGCGGAGGTTACGCTTCGACGATGATCTTCCATCGCGTTGGAGTTTGAGTTCGTGTGTGGGTAAATGGAGTTCGCGATTGACCTCTGCGGTATCAAGCACGCCGTGTGCCCAGTTACAGAAAGGATGGTGTGTTCGTCGGACTCTGAGTCTTCATTTGGGACCTCGATGTCAGGTCCTCCCAGGTCGTGATCTTCGTACATATCAGCATTACATAGCACACACAAGCGAATGTGTAAATATCGCTTTCCAAGGTTTTCACCTCGCATGTCGCAGATCCAGTAATTCAGGAGCCTTGTGTAGTAGGGCGCCCATTCCGTCTGTGCTTGAAGTGGTAGCGGATTGCGATACAGATTCTGGTATGAACGTGCAAAGGCCGAAGTCTGCTGCACAGGCCCGGAGAGATTGAGTTATTAGGACATTGTCCGTCATGTTCGAGCCTCAATATCTTATCGATGCGAGCTGCGTCATTGGGGTCGTTTTTCTGTTAATAATTCAACACAAACTCTTGATGTTGGTCTGAGAACCCACCTTCCTGCACCTTTCGAGGAAAGTGAGCAGGGTGGTTTTTATGTCGCGATAGAGAATGAGATGAGACATTTCATTAGCTTCAATGACCCACTCGGAATGCTTTGATAAGAGGTCATCCAACAGGCTAGAAACAACTATGGACTTGTCATAACATGGATGACCCATGACATATTACCTGGGTTCGCATGCGCTCACATATGCTGCGGTGTATTGAAAGAACCGCTATAATGTGATATGTTGAGTCAATCAATCAGTAGACGAATATCTGACTGACTGGGAACACATATGAGCACGAAAACTGGCCCTCGTGCCCGCAAGCAATGTATGGATTTGCTTGGTGTTCGCATACAGTCAATGGCTCGGAGCATTGGGCAAAGAAATCGATGGATTGAAGACCCCCAGGGCATTTGCTAATCGTCTTAGTTCGTCGCCAGAATCCATTGACACCGTGGAGAAGAACGGTGCCGCCGTGCCCCATAAACGTTATGTGCCGACATCGATCACGTGGCGCCGAGATGCAACGAGGCTTGAGCATTGTGAACAACTTCTAAGACGTCTGGCAAACCCAGCAGCCGCGGCGTTGACGCTGTATGCCTCTGACCACCACCACCATTAACGAGTTACCATGTTGAACCGAATACGCTCCTCACGTGCACCCTCCCCGACACCTACTACCTTCTCCGGGATTTCTAACTACCGTACAGAGTCCTATCGTCCGATCAAGGATAAAGGCAATGTCCCGGCCGTGCCAGCCGTAAACTCGAGGGTAATCGCACGCACACATTTTGACGAGTTGGCTAGTTTTCTAGTATCATATCTTGTGAAAGGTGCGGCCTGGTTGTTCCATTTGGATTCCACAGCCATTTTTACTCAGATACCGCGTACCTTCAGCTCCGCAGGAGTCGCGAGCCCACGCACGCTCAAAATTGACCAATCTTACGAGGCAGCAGTTCCATGAATTATCAACCGATGTGTATGACGAACTCGTTCGACGTCGAAGGAACTCCCCCGAGAACGACGGTAAGTCACATAATCTAAGCATCATATTTGACACCAAGTTGTATCTCCAGTTCCATTCCTTCCCGTACGTGATGAATTTCATCCGAAGCGGAATCAGGCGCGCCAGAAATTGGCAACGCTGCCCAGTGCCAAGTTTGAAGATCTTTGTAGCGACGTCTACTTTGAAATCATGAGAAGATATCCCGAATTCACAGAGGTAGGTAGTCAAATCGTTGTTTAATTTATGCTAAGTCTGGTGCCAGTCGGAGGACCAAGGGGTGGCGTCCCCTGCGTCAGCATATGACGACGTGCCCTCGCCTGAGTTCCACACATCCCCACGGTCCGACATACCCATACTCCCACCCAACGCCCGTACTGGGCGACCATCTGAAGATCGGGGCAGCGCACGCGAGGAAGAGATTCGGCGGAGCGAAGACACCTACGCATCCCGGCGAAAAGCATCCCAGGACTACGGGGCGGATTTTGGGCGAAGACCAAGTGCCTCCGCGAGTATCCGCAGTGACTCGACAGGGACCACAAATGCGCAGAGTGCGACTGCAACGAGCGGGATGGTGATCCCAAACAAGAGTACTATCGCAGAGGAAGAGATTGAGGTACCGTACGGGCGGGAGATGCGGGAGAGCTCTGGAACAGCAATTGATACACGTGAAGGCGTCAGGGAACTGGATACCACCGACGGCGAACACGAGCACTGGGACCAGCGGGGTACCCTGGGCGGGCTTAACGGGTTGAGCGCGCGGCTCAGAAACGTACATACTGAAGACGATGATGCAGGGGACGTGAGGAGCGACGAGTATGATAAAGTCTCTCTGGGGCGCGCCTCAGTGACGTCCGATCGCTCGATTGGTGGGTCGAGGATACCCAGTGTAGCGGGTGATGAACAAGAGCGGCTGAGGCGAGATTACGAGTTCAAGATCGCCACGATGCAGAGTCGTATCACGAGTCTCGAACGAGACCTTGAGCAACGGGAGCTGGACACGCAGCAGACGGCACGCCAGTTAGAAGAGGAACTGGAAGGCTTCCGAAAGGCACGTCCTGAGGATTTTCCCTCTGATAGTCGCTGAGTTTAGCTTACAGCGTGCCGAAGAGCATGGATCCGCTATGAAGGCGCTGCAAAGGGAGCTGGACGATCTTCGGGACCTCCGTGCAAGAGAGAAGGAACGCGAAGCCAGACGAGCGCAGGCTGATGAGGAAGAATTGCAGATACTCCGTGATCGATGCGAACGCCTCGAAGAAGAGCGCATTTCTGGCGTCGGGATAGTAGGTCTGTAATTTGAAGTCAACGGCAGTTAATGTGACATCTTTTGCAGGATAACAGCGAAATCATCGAGCAGCTGCGCGCCGATATGGAAGGCTTGATGATTGAACTGAGCGATCTGTCACGCAGGAATGACGAGTTGATGACTGCAAAGGATTCGGATCTCACTGTGATTCGTGATCTGGACAGCCAGCTCAAAGAATACAAGCGCAAGTATGAGCAAGCCAAAACCGAGCTCAGAAGTGTTAAAGGTCCGGAAAGATTTTTTTTCTAAATGCAAGCGACTGTTATCTGATATTGTCTTGATCAGCGACATCCCAGCTCTTCCTGCAGGCGCCCAAGATGGAAGATCAACTGCCAATGGGTCCTGACGGGGGCCTCGTCGACATCCACGTCACTGCCTTTGTGTCCGCCATTGATGGTCTTTTGACTGCTGGACGTTCCAGCGCTCCTACACGCGTTCTAGTGCCGATGAAAGCCGTCGTCACATCTACTACCGCCATCATTGATGACGTCCGGGCATACGAACAACGCCCATCCCGTGCAGATGTCGACCTCGAGATCCTACACACTCTCCGCGAGCGCGCTGAGGCGACTCTGACCAACCTTGTAGCCGCATCCAAGACGCATGCCACCGCATCCGGCATGTCTCCCGTGAGCCTATTGGACGCAGCCGCGAGCCACGTCTCCGTGACGCTGACGGAGATCGCAAAGATGATCTACATCCGCAAGGCTAGCCGGGCCGAGCAGGAGGAGTTTGTCTCTTCCTCAAGCTCTGGTTCACTGTCGTATCTATCGTCTGCGCGCTCGACGGAAGACGTGAGACCGGCCTATGAACGCAAGACCTCTAACTTTAGCATAAAACGATCAGAAGATGTTGTATCGCCCCCTATGACCGCAGCATCACGCTTTGCGGAGGCTCATACCCGACGAACACCGTCCGAGCCATCTAGCTCACTAACAAGTTCTCCTCCGCCTATATTTGACAAGTCTCCTATCACCAGCGCAATGGGTGCAATCAGCGATGATTCAGCACCACCTGAAGGCGGCGAGGACGCATGGTCCGAGCTCAAGGTCAGCTCTACCGGCACATATATCTACTTTCCTGACTGACAAGTACCACTCCCCAGCCCTACCTCGAAGCCCAGACTGAGTCTATTGTCTACGCGATCCAAAGCGTCCTTTCCGGCGTACGCAGTCCTGTGCCGCCGCCGACGTTGAACGAGAACCTGACGCAGATCATCACGATCGTGTCGAGTATCGTCGCGGTGTGCAGCGACAACCTCCCGCCCGTGTCTGCGCAGCAGGGTGCAGAGCTATTGCGGGAGCTAGGCGAGCACGCACAGAAGCTGTCTGAGGTACAGACACTGCCGGAGGTGACCAAGGAGTCGCGGCAGGTCATGGCGAAGTCGAGCTTTGCGGTCGCGAATGCGATGAAGGGGCTTATGAAGTTGTAATTTTGAAGGAAGGTGTGATGCGATTAGAATGGGTGGCTGGCCCATGCATTGACGTGTGATGGTAGAGGATGGAGTAAGAGACGTGGATCTTCGTTAATTATGATATGCTCCTTGTAGTTCAGTTGTTTAGATACCTTGATTTCAAGGATCTATTTCTGTCATCCATGATTATTGGTAGATCTATGTAGTACTTGCAGCTATTTGCAAGAAAAATACAAGAGAAAATACCCTACCAATATTAGTAGTGCTGTTGGCACAGATGTCCTAGCAATGAGCCTGTAATGTTGCCCATTTGAAATCCTGTGGTACTTTGCAGCACATCTTGATGAGCGCCAGGTAGGTCTCGTCGAATTCCTATTCGTAGCATGTCTTATCGTGGTTCATGCAAACCAAAACTTTCGGTTCGATCCTTCAGATAAAGTTCGACTGATATAGTACAACGTGGGAATGTTGAGGACACTGGCGCGGACGACGAGGCTCGGATGTTTGGAGCCTCGAGGGTCGGAGGGTCGGATATTCTAGGATTGACATGTCCTCGCATTAGCCCACCGGCAGTGTAGAACCTGGAATTCGAACCCCTAGCAGATCCAAAATCCATCGCACGCTTTCTTTCACCGTCAGGATACATGTGCCCACTCTCCAGTAGAAGTATAAGAAGCGTGAACGCCAATTCAGATCGGCAGTCGCTGTCGTACCTACTTTCCGACCGTTTTTGCATGCACGTGATGTTGCTACTGCCTTTGCCGCCAGGTTTTTACCAAAGAATTAAGGCAACCCCGGAGGTGAGCACATCTTTCTCTGGAAGTCGACCCCCTCCCATAACCTATTGTCCCGTTTTACCGCCCATGACGTAGCTGCCTCGTACCCGCACTCAGGCAAGTACCATGTGAATATTCAAACTCAGCACAACTTATCGGTTCAACCAACACCGATCTCCAGCTGCAGTGGTACCACTGGCTACATACTTCAAGTACGGGCCTGATCGAGATTAGTGTAATGGAGAGTCTAGGGTCTCGAACTCAACTGCCATATGGTCACATGTCACACAGCAGTGCCCACTGGCAGTGTCTAATATTCTCGAACGTCCTGACTATTCGTATAAAATCGTGGTTCAGGCGTTCATTCGGTTAGACTCGAAGTTCAGTACAAATCAAGTCAAGTTTGTTCATGAATCATATCAGCGTGCAGTGCTCGCTGCTCAGTATTTAGTATTAAGCACATGTTCGAACTGCAGGTCAAAATCCATTACGCGCTTTCGCTTTTACCATCAGGAGACGTCCTCTAGAAGTATCAGGAGGGTAACGACTCAGAGTCCGTCCGAAAGAAATGCAGCAAACAATCCCAAAGCCCAATGATATCGTAATTCTGTACGCATCATTCAATCATTCCCGAGCCTGCACTAGTATGCTAATTCAGATTAACAGTGTGATAGGAGTGACTGGAGGTGCGAAAACTACTGTACGAACCTGTTGTTTTGCATACTGGTAGCCTCGCGTGCTGATGATCGCAGTTTATCAATACAGCTGTTGGAAGAAATGGCGACGGTGTTGGCCATGCCTTGGAGTCTTGCACACAAATCATTAATTGCGTTACTTGTCTTCGTCCCAACGACAACAGTCGTCGCATTATTTTCGTTGACACTCCTGGCTTCAATAATGAATCCGACGACTTACCCGACTGGAAGATTTTGAAGGATATTTCAGAGTGGCTTGCGAGAGCGTAAGCACATCCGACTGAGCCTTGGCGTTGTATTGAATTAAATATTGGTTACAGAAAAAGAAAGAAAATAGCTGGGATCATTGTTCTTCACGACCTAAAATACCCAACTCCGAAACATGTGCCAACATTCATTGAGAAACTGGGGCTGAGTCATCCCCTCACGAATGTCATTCTCGCAACGCAAAACGTTCAAGTGGAAGCCGAAGGTCGGAAACAGGAGAAAACGCTGGAAGATCAGTGGAGGAACACTTTTGATCGCCGGCCAACAATGATCCGGTTCCAGCACACAAGGCAATCAGCTTGGGAAATTGTCGAGCCTATTCTTCGTAATCACTCGATTGATAGCCTACAAATTCGGCCGAGGGTGGAAAATGGACGCTCTGATCGCAAGGCTGAAGCCAAGTTTAAGTGCAACATTATGTAGAGTCACAAATGAGATGGTCAGCTGCGAGTGCCTATACTAGTAGTATGCTAAGCTTGCTAATGCGTCGCATGATTAGTTTTGTAAATGTCAGACCTGGCTCTTGGTCTAACAAAACCGAGACTCAACAAATTTGGCCTGCTTGGCTTTGGTTTGTTTGGTCGTAACCACAGATGAGCGCATCTATGATACCTTACCCAACTTATCCAATTACTTAGGTACCCTCTACTTCAACTCTACTTTTTGATATGATGGCTCAGCATCAAGTCAGCTAATTGTAAATAAGTAGGCAGAATTCAGGTAAACGGCGTAGGCTCAACTAAGCATGTTTCTGATTCTAGGAACGTGCACGGTGCGGTAGAGGCCCGAGGGCAGGGGTGATGTTAGTGAGCGGGGAGTGAGTTAACCAAGACCAAACCAAGCCTTGATCCGCGTCCCGAGTGGCACCTTGAGCTCTTGGATCTCTGTTAAGAGCTCGAGAAGTTCTTTCTCGTTGTCCTTCATTCTTTGCCGTTGCTCGTCATCTCCGACATTTCTCTTCAACTCTTCGACGGCCCTTTTATGTGCCTCTGCCACTCCCTTCAATGTAACACGTAAGGCGCGTCCTGCGTCGGTTTCTGGGATCATTCTTCCTAAGTCAACCAGTTCCTCTTGAATGCGGAGGGCGCCGACAGCTGCATTGTTGGCGAGAATGGGCATCATGACATCCCACGCAGATTTACGCGACCCATCGAACCGAGCGACTTGTGATCCATTTTCAACCATTTTCTTCCAGGTGGTGCTCTTCAGTTGTTGCTCGCACCTTTCTCCCACCTCCTGGGTGACCTCACCCCATTTTGTGGTCGCTATAATGACATTCTTCTCTGCATGTTCACCGCACAGCTTTCGAAAAGTATCAAGATTGTTGTGCGAAACACCGGACAACCGAGGTTGGCTAATGTCATGGATGTAGAGGACACCAGCCAACTTCATATCATTGCCATACCTAGGATATGATCTTGAGCTTGTATATACTTCACCGATGGAGATGTACTTACGAACTCGCCAGCCAAACGGCGATGCGACTCAAGACCACTGAGTCATCCATAAATGTATCATCAAAACCAGGTGTGTCAACGAGGACTACGCGGCGGGAGGGATCGCTGGGACATGCACAGAAGGCATGTTGGATTTCGGCTGTACATGAGTGCAAGCCATGGCCGACAGGTGTCACGACCTTCCCGACTGCAGTGTTGATGAACTATCCGCCTAAGTCAGCCTGTGAAAAATATAAATGAATTATGGTATGTATTACAGTGCTTTTCCCGACTCCAGTTAGCCCCATTACGCTGGATGATATAATAAGTTGCATTATCGTCATGCAGACGCCAATCAACATTCAACCCACGGTATAATGATATCATCGGGCTTCGCTCTGAATCCCCGGAGTACATCATCAACTTTCTTCATCTTGTGACTCTTGTCCTTTCCATTCCATCTGCTTCGCATCGTAGCTGGGCCGGAAGTCGTTGGATGAGGGGAATATGCAGGAGAGCGCTTGCTGGTAGGGAGAGATATTTAAGAATGGGAATGCTCCATCCTACATTCCTGCATGCAGGCAAATGCAGCCCTAGGCCTCGATGGTTTAGGTCAAAAGATGAATCTAATCACCCACTCACCTGAGTCACTTCATAATCCAATTTGAAGGAATGACTGTTTTCCTTCCAAATGGTCTGGGTAGTAGGGGAGACTACTAGTAGTGACTTAGTAAGTATTTTCATATCATATCCAAGGACCATATCTAAGGACGTGGTTTCACCATAAATCTCTCTTCAGCATGAGACATGTTGGGACCCAGATAACGGTTTACTTTTATATACAAGTCCAGTTCAAATTGGCACGGGAACCAATCAAACCTCCTTCGAATCAGTGGTAATGATTCCAATTATAATATCACACCCTATCATCCACTGGCGGATGGTCACGAGTGTACTCTTCTTGTTTCTCTGCTCTCTCTTTTGTCATCCCCCTGTAGGCACGCGACATGTCATGCGCCTTCATATAGTCATGCGCTCACAAAGAAGACATGCGTCTCAGGCAGTTTCTCTCCGGAACGGGATCATACATATAGCCCAGTTAATCCTTCGGAATCATATCTGTACTATCTCCCTCTCCCAACAAAGGCTACAATCATGTCCTTCAGAGAGAAAATCAAAGGCGTAGGTGGCGACGCGTTGTACGAGGTAAAGGCTCGTATTTTCCAGGAACAACTTGAAGCCAAGATTCCAGCAAGTCTCAGACTCCCACCAGCCATTCTTGAGGATCCACCTCTTGATGTTACTCACATCCCTGAGACATGTGGCTTGCTCACCCCCCAAGAGCTGGCTATTACCGAGCTAGATGCAACCGCCGTGTGCCAAAAGATCGCCGCAGGCCAGCTGACAGCAGTCGATGCTGTCACTGCCTTTGGAAAGCGCGCAGCTATCGCCCATCAGCTCACAGCCTGTCTCATGGACTTCTTCCTCGATGAAGGCATAAAACAAGCGCAGCAGCTGGACGAGTACTTCCGGAAAGAAGGCAAGGTCATCGGGCCACTGCATGGTTTGCCAATTTCCTATTAAAGTAAGTGCAAAATGACAAAATCGTAATCATGTACCTTACATTACTGCCGTCAGGGCATGCTCCCGATCAAGGGGACAGTTGGATCTTCAGGCTTCCTCGTGAGCATCGAGACTTCGACGGAAGACTGCGATATGATAAGAATTCTGCGTTCACTAGGCGCAGGTATGTAATTTATGTCTGGAACTATATGCTGTTGGTCGAACATATTGCTAGTCTTCTATGTCAAGACGAATCAGCCGCAGACTCTGATGCACCTTGAATCTAAATCTACCTATGGTCGGGTGGTAGGTCGTCTCTTAGTGAAAAACGCATTTCGATGACTCAAATCTAATAGTTAAACCCCCACAATACCGACCTTACCGCGGGAGGATCTTCTGGTGGTGAATCAGCACTTGTTGCCATGAAAGGTTCTTGCATAGGTGTGGGCACGTAAGTCGGTGTCTTACACGTCACACCAGAAGTTGATGCATTGTCAATAAAGCGACGGTGGGGGATCAATTCGATGCCCGTGTGCCCATTGTGGCATATATGGATTCCGTCCATCCTGTCGGACGACGCCCCTCCATGGGGTCCTGTGGTAGTGAGTATGTCAAGCTCTGTTATGAAGTGGTTGTTGAATAACCTCCTTAGTCAACCTGGCCAGGACGGATTTTATAGTTCCGTGGGTCCAATGTGTCGCTCAGCAAGAGACATGCGACTCTTCCTCGAAGCTGTCCTTGGAGCCAATCCTGCACTCCAGGACCCAGACGCATTGCCCGTTCCACTGAAAGTGCCAGACCTGACCCAGAAGAAATTGCAGTGTAGGAATCATGATGCACTGACGGGGTTGTGATGCCCCATCCACCAACCATTCGAGCACTGAAATGGGCGAAAGCAAAGCTTGAAGCCTCATCAGAGGTTGAGGTAGGGGACTACACTCCATATGACCACGACCGCGGATACAGCATAGTTGTGAGTTTGGTAGTCTGTAGGTCAATAATGTCGCTCACCTGTGTCTAGCGCGCGCTCTACTTTGAGGATGGAGGAGCTACAGTTCGACGCCTTCTGAAGGAGGGTGGAGAAGAGATGCTCCCTCTGACAGAATGGGTCATTAGTCCACCACACGTGAGAGATCACGATGCTGCGCAAGTTTGGAAAGTAAGGCGACATTTTGCTGTCTATCGACACTCGCGCTGACCTTGATCAGCTGCGTGATGAACGTGATAATTATCGGAGGGAGTACTCTGATCACTGGTGGTCCCAAAACGTCGATGTCGTCTTGTGTCCACCCTTCCCAGGCACAGCCAGCCGTCACGACACTGCTAAATACTGGGGGTGCGTAATGGTATGTTGCATGATATCAGACATCTAACAGCTCATTAGCTACACGGCCATCTGGAATCTGCTGGACTACCCGGGGACAGCTTTCCCGTCAGGTCTCGTCGCTGACCCAGCCATTGACATATATCAGGAGTCACCCAGCCCGATGAGCGCGGCAGATGAGTACAACCTCTCCCTTTGTTAGTCTCCCTCGCATTGGATGGCATAAGCTGACCACTACGTACACATAGATGATGCAGCGGCATTTAAAGGGGCCCCCGTATCACTGCAGATCGTGAGCCGCATATTTAACGACGGTTTAGTGTTGGCGGCACAGGAAGTAATTGAACGCATACTCAAGTCTTAGGCACGTGAGGGGTGTCACATTCAATTTATCCAGCTTTCCGGTACCAACGTTCTTAAACGCAATAACAACTGAAATACATCCTTTCTGCCTTGACGTATCCAATAAATGTAGTCGGAGAGCAACAGATCAGCAAGATACAAGCCAGAACTAATAAGCCTAGTCAGATGAACTCAAAATGTAGGGCAGAATAAGAAAATAGATGTAGCGGACCGTGCACAGCCCTTCGCGTGTTGATATCAAGTAGCTACTTGTAATAGCCTGGCTTGCTCCTATCAGCCAATTGTTTTGCGACTTCCGGAGAAAGAGAGACAATATCCTTCCTCCTCACTCGCAAATCCTTTGCAAGCAGCTCCTTCAGCTTACGCATGAAAGTAGTCAGAATTCAGGTAAGTTACAGTAGATTCAACCAAATATGTACACATAGTCTCCGGTTTTGGAGGCGTGCGCGATGCAGTAGAGAACGAAGGGAGCAGGGGTGATGTAGCTGAGTGGGAACTGCGTTAACCAAGACCAAACCAAGACCTGATCCGCATCCCGAGTGGTACCTTGAGATCCCGAATCTGTTTCAAAAGGTCACGAAGTTCTTTCTCGGTCTCCTCCAATCTTTGCCGTTGCTCGTCATCTCCAGCCTTCCCCTTCATTCCCTCAACGGCTCTTCTATGCGTATCTGCCATCTCCTTCAATGCGGCACGCAAGGTATTTCCTGCGTCGGTCTCCGGGAGCATTCTTCCCAAGTCAACCAGTTCTTCTTGAATACGGACGGCGTCGACAGCTGTGTTGTGCGCGAGAATGTGATTTATCACATCCCAAGCAGACTTCTTGGACCCATCGAACCGAGCGGCTTTTGATCCATGTGCGACCATTTCCTTCCAGAAGCTGCTCTTCAGTTGTTGTTCGCGCCTTTCTCCTACGTCCGGGAAGACAACGCCCCATTTTGTGGTCACCAGAATAACGTTCTTCTCTGCATTTTCACCGCACAGCCTTCGAAACATATCAAGATTCCTGCGCGATGTACCGAACATCCGAGGTTGGCTGATGTCGTGAAGGTAGAGGATACCAGCCACCTTCATATGATCGCCATACCTGGGATATGATCATGAGCTTATAATATACTTCAGCGATGGAAATGTACTTACGAACTTGCCAGCCAGACGGCGATGCGTCTCAAGATCTCACAGTCATCCACGAACGTATCATCAAAACCAGGTGTGTCGACGAGGACTATGCGGCGGGAGGGATCGCTGGGATATGAACAAAAGGTGTGTTGAATTTTGGCTGTACACGACCGCAAGTCATGGCCGACAGGTGTCACGACCTTCCCGACTGCAGTATTGATGAACTATCAGTCGAAGTTAGCCAGTGAAAAATATGAATAAAATATGGTCTTACGGTGCTTTTCCCAGCTCCAGTTGGCCCCATTACGCTGGTTGATTCAATAAGTTGCATTATCGTCTTGGACCATGAATAAACCTACGGTATAATGATATCACTGGGCCTCCCGCCGTCTAGTGTCACATCGCCAACCTTCTTGATCTTTTTCTTTCCTTTCCATTTTCGTGGCATCGTAGCTGTTTTGGAGTCGTCTAATGGGGGCAAATATGCAGAACAGCGCTTACTGGTGTAGAAGATTTAACTATTAGTAACATAACAGCACAACAGGCGTTTGAAGGCAATGCACCTTGTACAACAAATCTCGAAAAGTTTGCAGACCGCCTCGTATGATTGGTCGTGACGCTGCTGGAGTTCATCTGTTGCATCTTTGTTGATGGTCAGCGTAGTGATACATGCATGACCAGCAAAGGTCATCCCGAATTTGGAGATGGATTTCTCGTTATCCTTCCACCACTGCTCCATTTCTGGTGTTTTGTTTTCCAAACATGTAACGACAAGGACGATCGGAACCTGTCCCTCGACCGCGGAGTGGCATAATTTGTAGTTGCGACGAAGCGCCTTGATTGCTCTCTCGCCATTTTTCGAGCCCTGAACACAGTACATGAGGAGATGGATGCCATCTTGCTTCCTAAGGTCTCGAAGAAGCTTCTCCAAACGTCTCTGACATTCTTTATCGGGGACTGTGCCCTCAGAGCCCTCATCAAGACCTGCAATCTAGTTCAGCAGCACCCACCAAGAGCGGCGACCTGCACTGACCGGCTGTGTCTAAAAGCTTCACCTTCAAGGTCTTGTTTTGAATCGAAATGCCGTGCACGTACTCCTTGGTTTCAGATGTACATCCCAAACCATCGGGGGATGTCCGTGCGGTTTCTGTCCCAGCGATCAAATTGATCAAGGAGCTTTTGCCAGCTCCAGCTCCTCCGAAAATGACAACATTGCATGTATCTGAAACTTCCCCGACATAGGTGGAGCCAGCAGCACCCTTGTTTGAATCTCAAGTCAACTTTGAGCTGAGGAAGAGCTAGACACGGCTTACAGTAGACAATCCCGGCCTGGTCATTGCAAACTTGAACTTGAAGAGGTATTCAGGTCGAGATAAAAGCGCGTCTTGACTTATTTTTTCAGTAGTGTCGTCAGACTTGTCTTCACCTATGTATTCCCCGATTCATTATTAGAACAACTTCGGTGGGTCCAGGTGCTGGCAGATCGGAAGATCGGTAGCATGTACAACGCATGTCTGGGGTGTGTCTTCGTTGTTTCAAGCTCCAACAGCCTGTCAGCCACTTGAAGCTTGAAAGATCGATCCCGAAACATGGATTCAGCACGTCTCCGGTTGCCGTTGCAAGCATGTGTATGGTGTGCATACCTTGCAGCAGCTCCCACGTTTAATCCCTTGCGGATTTCGTTCTCTAAACCAACTCTAGATTGTTGATTTTATTGTCGACCCTCGTGTTGCATGTCGTTGGACGAAATATCCCATGCGCCATAATGTAAATTTCGTCCTTCTGCATTGCGGTTAGTAATAACTTTCGTTCGCCCGGCACGGTGACGTGTCCTTAATAACGTAACGTTAGGCTCTTCGATATTCATTCCGAAAACACGACTTACTTACCATGGCACAATACTCAGTAAAGTACTTGCGTGTGGTGACTCGAGGCTAGTCTCCCCTAGCCAGGACCAATCGAAGGAAGATAGTCGTTCCTTTGTATTAACTCGAGGCTAAATTTTACGTAGGAAATATTCGTGGCTGGTTTCAAACGATAATTCTGATCCCTCGCCTTTCCACACCACGTCTCAACGGCTCTCTCGTTTAATCAAACAGCCCAGCCGATTAAATGATTCAATCACTAAGTTAGTAAACTAATACTACATAAAATAGGTTCAGGCAAAAAAAATAGATGAATGAAAACAGACCGCCCCTCGTTTGGGTTCCTTAGGTCTGCCACTTCACAGGCGTCTGTGCGAAGAAGTCCTCATCGCTCACCATTTCTATTCTGTGTCTGCAATAGTTGAGTTCAGATCATGAGAGCTATCCAAAAAAAACCACTCACCGTTCCTTCAAATGCGAGCGAAGCGCATTGAAGTCCATTAGCCTCAACGGGCTCTTCCTGTTTCTCTGGCGTTTCTTCGGGTCCCCCGTTGGTGTTTCCTTCGCAGCAGGTTCCCCCGCAGAGACTTGCCCCCCACCATCCACGCTGGCACCAGCTGATTTGCAGACTGGAGCGCAATGACGGCACCGATAATTCGCCTCGCTCCTCAACTTCTGTGGTCTGAAACCCTTGTCCAGAAGTTTCGCAGACAAACCTGACTCGAAGGCATGCTCTGGCACTTCTCCTTCGGACAGTATAGCTACCTGCATATCATCATGCCGGTGAGCGTGACCAACCTACACGTGGCAATGGTGAGCTTTACTCAATGCACAGTACAGCGGCCAAATGGAAACGAAGAAGAGGTGGTTGGTAACTCACGAGGGTGGGGAAGTCCATGACAATGAATGCGTGTTCGCAGGAAAGACACTGAATGCGCGCTCCAAGCGTCTTGACCGTATCCCGTGCCTCCGCATCCTCGTCTGTGACCCCGACGAGCGTCAGGAGGCGCGCAACTGCATCTGACGCCTGTGAATGCAATAAAACATTCGAGGAGTGTATCCATTGAGCTGAAAAATCATTCTGAGAAATATCAAACCACAAACCTTCTCATCTTTCACGAAGCGATCGACACTCCAATCCACTGGCTTCTTGTCTTTCTTGTCATGATTGGGACATTCATGTGCACAAACGCCCGGAAAATCAAGACATTGTTCCGTGTCGTACCGTTTTCGCGACTTTCCCGCATCTCTGGCACCTAAACCGGGCAGTGATCCTGTCTAGCGGATGCAGCTTCGTCTTGCTCGCACTCCTCCACCTGGGGAACCCGAGCAATTCGGACAGTTTTTCCCGTGCAGGCTCCATCCACGATTTCAAATCGGCTGTAACAAGTTCTGCGACGAGGGCTGAGTTCTTCATGTCCTCTGCAAGGCCCTCGGAATTGGGCCTCGAACCTGTTACGCTCCCCTGCATAGTTTTCATTACAGGAAATTTGCGGAACTCATAAAGCGACGGGACGACTGTTCCAGCGGACCGTAGGCGATTATAGTATTGTTCGACGTCGTTGCGACGCTGGCGGTAAGAGGCTTCATTTTGTTTATTTTGACGGTGTACTTGCATTTTCACCAGCTGGGCCTCAACAAGCGGTTTAATTGAAAGGAAATCTGAAAGGATGGCACTGAGTAAGATCATCTATGAACTGAACGCATTCCCGTACCGCGTGGTGTGACTTCCTCCAGCATATAAGTCTTGCGCCTGTGCAATGAACCATAGGATTGACAGTTAAGCAAATCATGCACATCCCAGCCTTCCAGTAGAGCACGCGATTTTGCCCTAAACTCCCATTAGGCTTCTTCTTTGTGATAAAAAGTCGAGTCCCACTTACACCTCTTCGTTTTTGGCCCTAATGGTGCGGTGCATTCTGTCATAAGAGCACTTCCACTTCTGTAACGCAACAGCAAGCTTGACTGCTGGTCAGTTTGGCTCAGATGCTTGCAAAAAATGACACACCCCCATGACCTTTGGAAATTTAGCGATTTGATCAGCGCATGCCTAGGCGACCAAGTCAGATAATTCCTAGGATGCGAGAATGTCCTCGTCAAACCTTCCGCAGCTCCTCGGATGGAGGTGGAGACAGAGCTGAGAATGCTGCATATTCGGCCCGAAAACGCTCCCACTCGGACTTCTTCATCAACACAGTGGGAGTCTCGGGCCCTGCAACTTCAGGTAAGCCACTAAAGATTCAAGAAACGCGCACAAAACATACATGCGTTGTCGGGGGTTGATGCTGGAAAGTCATGATGAATGGTCGGAAACTGGAGTTTGGTACCAAAGCAACGGGTAGACTCCACATAGGGAATCCATATCTCATCGCGTGCTCGGCCTTGGAACATAGAGACAACGTCTATAAGATATCTCCTGCAACAACGTAGTTAATAATTACACCTATACACTGAGTTAAGACATGTCCCACTCGACAATATCCTTCCTGCAACGCGACTGTCGTAGTACGATAATCATGCTCAGCGCAGATTACAAGAAGATAAAAAGCTAAGACTCACGCTACGACATAATCGAATCCGCGTAGCAAAGCTCGCGTAGAATTCGTTTGTGCTTTTCTTACACACCTGCATAGATCAATTGCATCACCGTCAGTCCATATCATTTCCGCTCAGGGGAAGGGATGGGGAATGCTTGCTCACTTCACAGAGCCCTCCATCATAAACGAATGCTGCATACGCCGCCTCGGTAAAGTTTGGAGTTGGATCAGGCAGTGCGTGAGGTAAGCACTTCTTGCGAACGGTCCGCCATATGAAGTTGGCAGCGGGATTGCAGACAAGGGTTGAGCATATAAACTTGGATGTGCGAGCAACAGACAAAACATCACGAGGGGAATTGGTTTGGATCAATATTTCTGCAAGGAGCTCGAGCGGAAGCGTTGGAAAAAGGCACCGTCCTGATGTACTTTCGGCTTCTGGGGGACGCTCTGATACGGAAGTACGACGTTTCTTCGTCAGAGGGAGAGTGGAAACCTTGGGTTGCGAATCAGGATCGGGGCTGGGCATGGCTACTGTTAGCTGGTGGTAAAGTGGGCAGGAAGAATTGCTGAATTTTATTCAATTGCATGTGACTGTGCAAGGAACAAAGGTAATCTACAACTAGGTTCGGCTCCGATCGACTGTTTACATAAACGAGCTTCTGTCTCATGTCAATCGGTATCTGTCTCTTCGACACTGCGCAATTTATGCGTCTTGAACGAACGTTTGAGCCTCCATTTGCCTCCATTTGACAATCGTGATTCGTGACACTTGCAAGTGACGGTAGCTTGAATCTTAGAATGAAATGGACACCTCAGGCGATTGGTCGACCCTAACTGAGACTCAGGAGCCTGGACTAGTCTTCTGCGCTCTGCATATCGTCTGCAATGCCAGGGAGACTGAGGAGTTCAGATGGACAAGTAAGGATTACCGACGGCTACGCCTTGCCTCCCGTGGGGATCAAACAAGTCCTGAAGCTCAAGTTACCTGAAGACTGGTGACAGGTGATGTAATACTAGCATGGAGATCATAGCATATGCGGTGGTGGCCATGGTACGATTATCGAGAGTCCGACCGCGGTACATCCAGCAAGGAGCCCACCCAGCCACGTACCTCGATCGGTGCAGATCTCCGAGTCATTGCGAGTCCCTTAGGTTTTGGTTATGCAGCCTAGACTACAACTTGTGAGTTAGGGTGGTCGACTGGAGATGTTAGAGAGCTACCTCGTCCAGTCTCGTTAGGAAGGTCTTTGATTAGTCCTGCCGCAGCCTTCTCTTCTCAGAGAATCAATGAGTGCTGCTACCTCTTCGGAGACAAATTTCATTCTTTCAGATGCAGGCGGATAATTGCTCTTCTACACCCTACGCTTGTGCCCGCGAGCGCCACTCTTATGTAACTGCTATGATTACGGTGAAGGTAGAGTAACACAAGGTAGATTAGATGACGGAGCATAGCTTCACCCCTTTGTATGAATTTATGCATGTTAGGAACCCTCGCAACAGGCTCCCGAAAGGTCGTGACTCGCGAGTGCACTCATTACTTCCGTGTGTTAGTATACCTCAGGCCTCAGGCTTAGACCTCATCATGCTCATAGCTCCAGCTTGCGTCTGCCACTCCGTTTCAACGACTTATCTGGAGCATTAACAGGAGTGGCCAGGCAATCTCTAGATGTATGATATCGCGAGCGTGTATGCCGACAGGGTATATGGAATTCGATTACAATAGAGGCAAAATATGGCGAACGAGTACTTATCAAACTATACACCTATATGAATAAATACGATCCGCCGTTCTAGTGGAATTTTCTTGCGTAATTTCTTCACAGCCTTGTGCAATGCTACAGCAGCATATGTGCAGTCCATTCTCCCCTGAACCATCAATCATGTTCTTGTAAAAAGCAGAAACAACCTGGCTTGCGACTGTCATCGTCGACAGACCACATAGAACCTATCACACTGCGAAATCCAGGAGAATTGCATCGCAGCAGCGAGATGTATAGCTTCATCAGGGCTCCATTTATCGCCCACCGCAGTGTGGCAAGCCGATAAGAATGCAAACTCTCCATCCCCCCCGCTAGATCGGATGATGTCCAGGATTGTCAAAGGCCCGTCGCGCATTGCGAAGGAAGAGCTAGACGGTTGTTGTCGATTCGAAAAACCATGGCAGGCGAGATGAAGCCATTCATTTTGGCTTAATGCATTTAATGTTATTTGAACTGTGGCATCAGTTGTCCGCGAGCGATGTAAAGGACAGGGCCCTGAGCAGGCGTGACACACTGAGCGACAACGTCTAGCTCATCAGCGACACACCGAAGTGGCTTCCCTGTTTTTGGAGTTGCTTGACCAATGGCAACAAAATGCGAATCAGACGCGACTCGGGAAACTTGCTGTCTCGCACGAATGAGTGCCGCCAAAGTAGGGGTGTAACTGGAGACGTAAATGTCGGGCAAATTCTTGCTGCCCTTTCTCGTAGAGCCCTGCTGCATGCAGAGGAAGCAGCACGAACTGGGCGGTAGGACACCACCAGATGCGTGAGCCAGGTTCAATTAACTTCCCGAGAACTTGAACCACGGGGCCGACGATGTGTTCCCAAAGTTCGCGTAGGACGCCGACAATCCCGTATAATTCAAGTTGATCATCAGAGAAACCACCGTTTTCTGTGAGGGACTGAAACTCAGGAGGACCACTCCGAGACCTTGCCTTGTTCGACACCAAGTGGAACATGGACAGGATATTGTGCGCTGAGGATAATCAAGGCGTCGCAGCTGTGCTGGCTTGCATTGACAATGATGACTGGACCTTCCCCTGCGGCCCTCCGGAGGTCAGAGAAGAGCGGAGGCATGAGAAAACGGGAAAATCCCGGCTAACGCTGCGAATGCGGGAGATGGCGTCATCCCATTGCACAGTCAGCTGGTGGATTCGCGGGGACTGGTCTTTGGATGCAGTTACGAATGCTAAGCCCAAGTTGCTTGAGCTCTTCCCCCAAGGCTTTGCCGGTGTCACCCGATGCAGAGAGTTCATCAAGTGGTTTGCGGAAGCGTGCTAACTGGGTCCAGAATACTGCACGGCCTTGCTCCACCAGTTCCACAGCAGTCGTCAGAGCGCCGTGACGAACACTATATGAGAAAGCATCCACTGCGGAGGATGCAGTGAGCTCCCTGATCCTTCCAAAATGGTGTTCAGAAAACAATGTAGTAGCTACTAGGTGCTGAAACACGAATTTCAATGTGTTGCGATAGGCATCCAAAGCAGAGCTATGCCCGAACTGCTCGGCGGAGATGGCCCATGAGGCGGCAGCAGAAATATCCTGACGAGAGACTGCAGAGGATAATGGGGAGAGTCGTGGATAAAGGCTAAATGACTCGTTCAAGTCTGATGGTTGGCCCTGCCGACAAAATCTGTCTTGAAGACTGGAAGCCAAGTTGTCGATAGATACCGATCGATCAAAATGGCCAGGAGGACGGAGTAACAGTGCAGCTCGATGGAGCTCGATGGCATCATCAAGGTCAGACAGCGCACCCTGCTGCAGGAATCTGGCTCGAAGGCCGCTTGCAAGGTTGTTGAGAGACGTGGATCGATCAGAATGGCCAAGAGGACGGAGGTTCAATGCAGCTCTATGGAGCTCAATGGACTCATCTAGGTCAGACAGGTCTCTCCGCCGCCTGAACCTGTCTTGAAGGCTGGCAGCAAGATTGTTGAGATACAAGGATCGCTCAGAATGACCAGGGGAACAGAGAAGTAGTGCAGCTCGATGAAACTTAATGGCTTCATCTAGTTCAGACGGCACACTCCGCCGCATGAATCTGTTTCGAAGACTGATGGCAAGGTTGTTGAGAGACATCATTCGATCAGAATGACCAGGGGGACGGAGTTCCAGTGCAGCTCGATGGTGCTCAATAGCCTCGTCAAGGTCGGACGGCACACCCCGATGCAGGAATCTGTCCTGAAGGTCAATTGCCAGGTTGCTAAGAAACGAGGATCGATGAGAATGCGTATGGGGACACTCCTGCAAGGCCATTCGATAGAGCTCAATGGACCCATCCAGGTCAGACGGGGCGGCACGCTGTATGAATCTGTCTCGAAGGCTCGTGGCAAGGTTGTTAAGAGACGCCGACCGATCGGAATGGCCAGGAGGACGGAGTTCCAGCGCAGCTTGATGAAGCTCAATGGACTTATCTAAGTCAGACAGGACGCCGCGCTGCACATATCTGTCTCGATGGGTGATGGCAAGGTTGTTGAGAGACACGGATCTGTCAGAATGGCCAGGAGGACGGAGCTCCAGTGCAGCTCGATGGAGCTCGATGACCTCATCAAGATCTGACGCCACACTCCGCTGCAGGAATGTGTCTCGAAGGCTCGTGGCAAGGTTGTTAAGAGACGCCGACCGATCAGAATGGCCAGGAGGACGGAGCTTCAGGGCCGCTCTATGGAGCTCAATAGCCTCATCAAGGTCGGACGGGATACCCCGCTGCTGGAATCTGTCCTGAAGGCTGATGGCTAGGTTGTTGAGGGATGAGGAATAGTGAGAATGGCCAGGGGGATATAGCACTAGTGCAGCTCGATGGTGCTCGATTGCGTCATCCAGGTCAGCCAGTACACCCCGCTGCAGGAATCTCTCTCGAAGGCTGTTAGCAAGGTTGTTGAGAGATGAGGGTCGCTGAGGATGGCCAGGGGGGCGGAGCTCCAGTGCAGCTTGATGGTGCTCAATGGCTTCATTCAGGTCAGACAGCATTCCCTGATGCTGGAATCTGCCTTGAAGGCAGACAGCAATGTTGTTGAGAGATCTGGATCGATCCGGATGCCCAGGGGGACAGAGCAGTAGGGCAGCTCGATGTTGTTTAATTGCATCGTCCGAGTCAGACAGCTTTCCCAGCTGCTGGAATTGTTCTTCAAGGCATATGGCAAGGTTGTTGAGAGACATGGCTCGATCAGAATGGCCAGGGGGACGGAGCAATAGTGCAGCGCGATGGAGCTCGATGGCCTCGCTCAGGTCAGACAGCATGCCCTGCTGCTGGAACCTGTCTCGAAGGCTGAGGGCAAGGTTGTTGAGAGAAATGGATCGATCAGGATGTCCAGGGGGACGGAGCTCCAGGGCAGCTCTGTGGTGTTCAATGGCATGATGCAGGTCGGATAGGACACCTTGCTGCTCAAATCTTTCTGCAAGGCTGTTGGCAAGGCCGTTGAAAGACATGGATCGGTCAGGATGGCCAGGGGGACAGAGTGCCAGTGCAGCTCGATGGAGCTTAATGGACTCAGACAAGTCAGACATGTCCCCCCGCCGCCAAAACCTTTCTCGAAGGCTTTTGGCGAGGTTGTTGAGAGAAACTGGTCGACGAGAATCGTCGAGGGAACAGTCCTGCAAGACCGCTTGACACTGCTCGACATTATCCCCCATTAGAGAAGTCTGGAATGTCTCGCCAATGAGCACAAACTCGATCGATCGTGAGATCAGTGAATACGCACGGAACGAGAGCCAAGTTTCAGCACTTGAAAGTTCAAACGGTGGAAACCTCGGAGTAGAAAAGTTCTGAGGGAGCAATTAATGAAGTTCAACACTGCTGGCAGAAGCTAGCATACCTGCACTTGTCCGTTCTTGCAGCCCTTGCAGACCCTCTATCGACCTCACAGCTTGAAACTTCTTGTGGGCAGTCTCTTTATTCACATCTTACTGCTCCGCCGCAGTTAGAGTCTATGTGCGCGCTGTTTCCCGGGCCAATTGCAAATTTGGAGCTTGTGGCACACCTACCTCCAGAAGTTCAGAACGTGATGGCACTGATGGGCCAGCCCGAGTGATTACCTTCAACCACTTCTAGGTCAAGCTATCTCTGACCTGTTAACCCTTTGTCGTATGCTCATAGAGGCTGAACATATTGTACTGACACCCAGGCAAGTTATTGCATGAAGTCAGTGTGGACAGTGGACACGAACCGCGATCTAGTGAGATCATCATATCTAATTTTATCGGGGTAGATAGGTATGAGGCACGGGTGAGAAAACGGCGACGGCAAATTCGGTGTCCACCGAGGCCTTCTGCATGACATGGACTCTTTCGAAGACGAGTCTGTCTCATGTACTGTGCAATGTGAATGCCTTTTAGTGGTTGGTTTGTACTAGGCGCTACCAGCGAACTGTATTGTTGAGGGTACAATCCTCCTGTCGGACTCAACGTGGAAGTGATCCGTTGCGCTGCTCGCAACGTGTATGCACCGGAGCGAGTACTTCGACCTGATTAAATTCCCCGATATTTATCGCATTATGCTATGTTCGTACCACTAAGTACTTAGTATGCGTCCATAACATACATCACTTCACATTAGGCACCCACTAAAAAGTACCTGTACCTCCTGAGCAAGCTTTGCATGGTCTACATCGACACCCTCCACGCTAGCTCCTGATTCCATGCTGACAGTCGTATCCCCCTCCCCGTTTTCGCTTGCCTGAAGGAGAGGCTTGAGCGACTCCCAAAACTCCGTAAAGTCCATATCAGCAAACGCATTCGGTGCAAAAGCATCTGCAAGTTCCAGACCAGAAGACTCATCCAAGATCAGCATTCCATCCATGTCCCCTCCACCATCATCATCCGAAGAAAACCAATCCGACATCGAGGACGGCGGAAGCTCGCTCGCGTCCCCTAATGCCCCATCCGAATCGCTGAAGAACGCGTCGCTGTCCATGAATTCTTCCATTACATCGTCAGTCGAGGGAAGTAGGAATGGACTTGTAGGCGGGAGCGGAGAAGAGGGAGGAAGAGGAGATGGAGGTAACACTGTGCTGTCGTCGGCTTCGGGTCCGTCCGCCGTGTCCTGCTGCTTGACCTCTGGGACTTCCATCCCTTGAAGCGCCTCGTCCAATTCTTTGTCAAGCAGGTCTTCTTCTTCGCGGTCGACAGGTTGCTCGACAGACTTGTTGGTCCATTCAAGGGATGAGCGCGATTTGAGTCCGAGTAGCAAAGGAGATGTTGTCGTGGATGGTGTACGGAAGTAGATGGGAGAGAAGACAGGCTTCTTGCCCTTGCGGGAAGGTGTGCGGGGCTGGGGGGAAAAGAGCGGTGTCTTTCTAGTGCTCCCCCAGAGCGACTTGGGTGTCGGGCTGAACAGTGGAGAGGTACCATCAGGTTCAAGGCTTCGTGGTGTGGCACGCAAGACTGATGTCTTCCGTGGAGGTGTACTGGGCATCGGAGGTGTCTCAGACACAGGGGAGGAAGGCGAGAGGGGAGATGATATAGTGTCGGATGCAAATACAGGCAAGGAGAGCGAAAGAGCACTCTGCGGACGCGGCATGGTCGTCTCTTTGATAGGTTCATGTACCATTGCACTCGAAATGTTTCCCTCCTCCGAAAACAATTCAGTCGTTGTTCTGACGCCTTGTTGCCAAGATCCTGGTTTCTGCATTCGCCGTGCAGCACGTTTTTGCTTCTTCTCCTGCTCCACGAGTGCAATGCGTTCTTCGACCTCCTTCGAGAGCTTGGGCTGGGTAGCGGTGCTCGTACGCGCCCACTCTGGCACAACGAAATTCTTGACGGGCTTTACAGGTTCCTGCGCCTGTGGTGGTATGGCGAAGGAGGCTTGGGATTGAGATGCAGAGCGAAACATCGACTTGGAAGGAGAATGACCTTGGGCGGAAAAGCGAAGAGCTGGTAGCCGTTACAGATGGTAAACTCGGGTCAAAATCTAAGCGAACGGAGCGGAGATAACCTGGAGGAACCGCTGGTTGAGGTACTTCTGTTCGCCCGGATTCTGACCGAGAGTGTGTGCGTCTCCTCCGTGCTTCGTCTTTTTCTTGTTCTGCCATGAAGTCACTGAGCCTGCGCTTGCGGGTCACGGGGGACGAATATGTATTCTCTTTTCCGCCCGATGGAATACGGGCCCGACGCTGGCGCTGAGGGGTCATTTCTGACTCATCTGCAGTGGTGGGGGCAGATTTGCTTGAGTCTTCCCTTTCGATACGTCGTCGGAATGCGGTCGGATCAATGTGTTCCTTTTCCAATATAACAATATCATCATCTTGACTATTCCGGGATACAGGCTGCAGTGCGTGTGAAGGCTGCTGAGTCTGACTTTGGGCTGCCAGCAAATCCCTCAGGGCGTTGAGTAGCGCTGGGCTTGGCTCTGACCCTGGTGGTGTCGAATCCACCGTGGAAAGAGCAGCCAGAAGAGCCGTGTTGTCTCTCCCTCCGGACAGCGCAGACAGTAATGTAAGTAAAGGAGCAGTCGCAGGAGCAGGGGATGCTGCGGGCTGTTGTTGTTGTGGCCGTACAAGCGGAGCACATATAAATGGTGGTGCTGCCGGCCTCACAGGAGGTTTTCGTGACTTCGTCTGCTTTGCTTTCTTGTTGGGCCCCTCAGGGCGGCCCCGCGCACGCCTCGGAGGTCCGATATACACCTCAGGAAAATCAGCGGATCTGGTGAGAGGTTTGACTGGTTCTTGTGACGAGGGTGGGGTTTCTGAGATGGTGGGTTTGGCAGGTGCAATTAATTTATTTGGCTGTGATGTCTTGGGTGGTTGGCTCCAAGATTTCAGGGCATCAGAGAGGTGGGATTTCTGAATGTGTTTAGTCTGATAGCACTATGGGTAAGAATCAGGGTGCAACGAAAGTTGTGAATAACCACCTCTCGGAGAGCAAAGACCACTTCGAGGGCATCAAGACCCGTGCCCAGAGTTGTGATCGTGCCAGTAACTGTTACACTGTCTGATTCGTCCGCTGTGAGTGCCCATGACATCAGCCCCAGTGCTACGGCCACCCCTCGTGGTTGGACTGCTTGCGGCATTGAAACGGGTGCCACGTTCGATTGGGAGAAGTTTACAGGGGCGGGCATAGTCTGCGACTCCAATGGGTCCAGTACGTAAATGGAAAAGTCCCTGGAATTGTCCAAAAGAAGCTCTGGGCTACCAAGCGGTGGGTGGATGAACACAAAGCCATACCCATACGAGAACACATACCTTGAGTTACAGATAGCATTGAGGCATGCTTTAAGAGGTGCCAATGCGTACTGCGCATTTGCCACAGATGGGGATGGGCAAAGGGTAACCTGCACAGAAGACGGGGACCGGGCGAGGATATATTGAGGAGAGCTGTTGACCGTGTAAAGCACTCGTACTAATACAAGTCAGCCACGGGGAGAACTAGACCAGGCGTGATAGATACGTACGAGGTAGCTGGTACATTGTCATCGTCCACGTCGGCGGTGATGGAATATAAAGTCGTAGACATGTACGTCAAGCTTAAGCTTGAAGTAGCAGCTGAGATTCCAGTCAACAATCAGTGAGCATCACGTCGCGTCGCGTAACACCGTGACTGTGACATTGTCCGTGACCCGACGCGCCTTCTGTATAAGGTCCAAAGTTCAAACCCCTGAACGTCCTTTTTTTCTTCTGCGCGTTACTTATTAGCCTTCCCTTCCCTCTCTTACTCTTCCGTCTAGATTTCTACTCCAGCAGCATGGTCGATTGATCTAATACGATTATATAAACAGCAACAATCTAGAATCTAGATCGCTGTATGTTCTGACATGCTCTCAAATTGAATTTTGACTCTCTCATTTCACGGTAAATTCGCAGGGTAAATTTGCCGGGCCCACCTCAAATTCCTCGAACCCTAGTACTAGATCTAGGGTTGAAACGGCTGGATGCAGCATGTCGTCCAAGTTCTTCTTGTGGGGTGCCATGCAACGTTGCCACATAATTCCCTCATGGCAGCGCCGTAGTGGCCATTCGTTCTTGTTAGGCCCACCCTAAATGCACGATCATGCGTTCAAGGTTCATCCATGCTGGTAGGATGTTGACCATGCGTTTCAACCGAGTATCGTGTCTGGGTCTTGCGTGGTCACCTCACTGCGTTATCACGATTATCATGCTGACATGAAGTGATGATTCTAGGCCGAGACCAATGAGCATGGCCTCCTTCGTGTGCCTAGACAACGGGGCGAATACGTGTTGAAATGTAGGCTATGTTGATTCACGCCAATGATACGATTACTCCGGTACATGATCTACAAACCACGCATATCCATCATACATAGCACTCGAAAACCACAACACTTCAACGTCGGCATGGGTGCATGTCACAGCTCTCCCGAACAGAAGAAACCCCTAGCTACTAATGAGCCGCCGAGCCAAGGTCAAGGGACACAAGCAAAGTCGGAGCCAAATACCATTCACATAGTATGCGTATCCACCATTGAGATATCCGGCGGTAAAAGTTAACCCCTGGGCCACAGCGTGATGGGTGCCACGGGCTGTGGCAAAACAACGGTCTGTCAATTCTCTGTACTCCAGCCGTCAACACTGATCAAAGATACGAGTAGTTTATCCACGCCGCGTCCGGCACAGAATCGAGTGTTGACACGCTCGGGGATCTCACGAGCTGTACCACTCAAGTACAGGAGTTATGCCCCTAAGTGAGCTCGTGGCTCTGCAACGTACTCTCATTCAACTGGATTTTAACCGTACTTCGACTCAATTGTAAATTTAAAATAAAAGTCAAAGGGACAGGCATGTCCTGTCTTTCTTGCGGGACTATTCGTATGTTGTAACAGTACTAAGGCTTGATTGGATACAATCAACTAATGAATACATATGTCATCAAGGTGAGCTAAGTCTAATCAAGCAGCACCTTCAACTCTTCAATCTGTTTCAAGAGCTCGCGAAGTCTTTTTTCGATCTCCTTCAATCTTTGCCAATTTTCGTCCGCATCTCCAACCCATCCCTTCAAACCCTCGACAGCCTGTGTCTCTGCCACCTCCTTCAATGCAGCATGTAAGGTGTCTCCTGCGTCAATTTCCGGGATTATTCTTCCAAATTCAACCAGCCTCCTTTGAACGCGGACGTCGGCAGCTGCCTTGTTCGCAAGAATGGGCTTCATGACATCCCAGGCAGATTTGTGTGACCCATCGAACCGAGCAACTTGTGATCCATTTGCAATCATTTCCTTCCAGAAGCTGCTCTTCAGTTGTTGCTCACGTCGTTCTCCCACCTTTGCATCGACATCGCCCCATTTTGCAGTCACCAGAATGACGTTTGCATCTTCACTGCACAGCCTTCGAAACATATCAAGACTCTTGCGCGATGTACCGAACGTCCGAGGTCGACTAATATCGTAAAGGTACAACACACCAGCCAACTTCATGTCGTCGTCGTACCTGGAGATAAGACCATAAGCTTATAAACTTCAGCGATGGAAATTTACTTACGAACTTGCCAGCCACACGGCGGTGCGTCTCAAAATCTCCAAGACATCTATGAATGTGTCATCGAAACTAGGTGTGTCGATCTGGGTTCCGCGGCGGCGGGGATCAAAGCCAGGTGTGTCAACGAGGACTATGCGGCGGGAAGGATCCCAGGGACATGCACAGATGGCGTGTCGAATGCATTGTGTACACGACTGCAAGTAATGGCCTACGGGTGTCACGTCGTTCTCAACTGCAGTGTTGATGAGCTATCCGTCGAAGTCAGCCTGTGAAAATATGAATGGATTAAGATCTCACAGTGCTTTTCCCGACTCCGATCAGCCCCATTACACTGAATGGTACAATGAGTTGAATATCGTCTTGCAGCACGAAGAAACCCACAGTATAATGATATCATTGGGCCTCGCTCCCTGTAGTACCACATCATCAACGTTCTTCATCCCACCCACTTTCTTCCTCTTGTTATTCCCCGTAGATGTCCTCGGCATCATGGCTGGTGGAGGGTCGTTGGATGAGGGGAAATATGCAGAACAGCACTTTTGGTAAAGAGATATATAGGGTGCACGAGGTTCCCGTGCTCCATCGTGCATGCAGCCAGAATCAGACTGATACTGTTTCAAGGTATAATTTTTCTGGTTTACTTGGTGATGAAGACTCTTCTGGAAGAACCTATACGACCGTTAGTGCCCGCTTATGCCATACTTGCTCGGGCAGCACTTGAGCACACTGATGGTTGGGCGCTAAAATAGTAAACATGGGGAGATAAAGGTAGTGGGAGGCAGTACATAGCAGGCAGCAGGAGATCGTGGCCAGGGAGGCAGAGAAAAGCTGAAGCGCAGAGCAATAGCCACATTTAGTATCAGTAAATTCGATCGACCTCGACAAATTACCGGGCTATGCCACTTCCAACTTCCGTCTCAAGTACTTTTCTTTGGCTTAGGTATGTGTGCACCTTTTTGATGCATGGCGCAACGACTCTTCATCCAGCACAGCTCCATGCAACAATGAAAAAACAGTAGTTTTACTGCATTAATACAACAACATCATATAATCAGGCATAGGGAAGTGCACTGCGGAGACGCGTGAGCGAGACACAGCAAGGGATAGATAAATAAACACATACCTACGCACATGAGAGAATAGGGAAGCTGGGATGATGATACAATGGAGCGTGAAATGAAGGAGCACATTGATCTTGAACACACTCCAATTGGATGGGAAATTTGAGAATAAAAACAGATAAAAATGGGGGACTGGGTACGGAAAAAATTACCAGCAAAAACAAGGGAACAGACACAGCGTTTTGACAACCGATAAATCCAGGAACTTTCCCATCTACATGCTGGATTCGTTGGAGCAGACTATGCCGGCCCCCTGTAGACTTTTCCCAATCAAATCCGGCAACCGTTTCAGTGCCGCAATCAGTCCAACCGCGAGGGATGGCCACGTGTTAGATCTGATGTTATGAGCGCTCACCGCAGACCGTCACTTCGTGTCCTTGCCACGACCCCTTCGATCTCCGCACGTCCTTATACTCGCTCGCTATCGCTGCGGATCTCATGCACTCCATCGCCTTCGATGGCTACGTGGACAGAGGGCATTGATGTGGATGCAGATAGAGAGCAGCCACCACTTTCTACCTCTGCCAGTGCGCCCGTGCCCACTCCTTTTCACACGCCAGGGGGTTCTCGATCACGTCGGGTCACACGTTCGCTTGTTCACTCCTCACCATCCACCTCACCGAACCTCTCGACTTCATAAAGGGCATCACGGCTCGGCATATTATTGCCGAGGTCCTCCGTGGGGTGGGTGCAGTGGGAGGCGAGGCTGTGGTGATCGAAATTCGTGTCTAGTCGACGGTTAATCTTGTTGTGCGGCCAGACTAGAAGAAACTCTGCATGACTGTCAAGCGGTCAGTACGAAAACAAAGTCATGCGAGAACACATACCTGGAGTTGCAGATAGCATCATTGAGGCATGCTTTAAGCGGTGCCAAGACGTATGACACATAAGTTACCACAGATGGAGATGGGCAAAAGTAACCTGCACAGAAGATGGGGACCGGGCGTGGATGTATTGAGGAGAGCTGTTGACTGTGTAAAGCACGCGTAATAATATAAGTCAGCTACGAGCACCAGACAAAGTGTGATAGATACGTGCGATATAGCTGGCGCATCGCCATCGTCGTGAAGAGAAAGTCGCGTCGCGTAACGCCGTGACTGTGACGTTCGCGCCTCGACAAGTACTTCGTAGTAACTGCCGCACCAAATCAGTACCTCAGACTTTTCCTTGTGCGGCCCATGATCTCAAAATCATTGCCCAATCTGGACGCCGAGAACGACAACTTTTATGGTTTCTCAATGGACGACTCGGAGGATGAAGTGGCTGGTAAACTGTTCAAGTTAGATGTTGCGAGACTCCCTACTATCGTCAAGGACGACGTGACAATACGGAGGAAACTAGGCAAAGCGAAACAACATCTAGTGAGCGCCTCGAACAACTATCAATAGATTCCTTCTAACAATGGGACAGACTCACGAACGTGGTGTGATATACATGGGCTCCCTACCACATAGTTTCTACGAAGATCAACTCAAGGCCTATCTATCTCAATTCGGGGATGTAACGAGATGACGTATTTCACTGAATGAAAAGGTATGTAAATGATTATTGTTATGATGGTTTAGTGTATATTACTACTGTCGGCGGACAAGACTGCCAGGTCGAAACACTACGGCTTTATCGAGTTCGACTCGGCGTCCGTCACGCAAATCATCGCGAACACGATGGATAACTACCTGTTGATGGGGCATCTACATACTTAAGTGCAAGGTAATACCGAAGGATGAGGTGCACCCCGAGTTGTGGGTAGGGGAAAATATGCGATGAAAGGTCATTCCAGGAGACCAGATTGTGCGGAAAGAACACAACAAGGTCCGTCGAATGTTTTGGCTGAATGCGTAAAATCTTCTAACTAGGGCTTATTCGTTGGCAGCCGCGAACTCGGGAAAGCATACGGAACGCCGAGAAGCGTCTGATTCAAAGGGAGAACGAGAGGAAACGAAAGCTGGTCGAAGTCGGCATCGAGTATGATTTTGACACTGTCAGCTGTGTAAATTGTTTCTCAACATCCAAATTATCGTGACTCACTCTGTTATCGTACAGAAAAAGAAGGCAGTAACCTCATGAACTAAAGGCGCGCCTGACGGTGACGGAAAATAGTTTGATACCTAGACAGACTCCGTAGACGAACTTATGATGCTGCTGAGCGCTGAGGGTGCGCATGGCGTCCTAGTTTCACATCTTAGATCTCAGCGTCCCGGTCGGAGCTGACCGTCCCGGATGTGCAGGAGTCCCATGTGTAGTTAATGTTCACGGTTGTCAGTTCGCGTCCGAAGACTAGGTTGTGCGATAAGATGGGATAAAATACCTTGCTACCTCGGACACACGAAGCCTGGGTGTTCTCAATTCCCTTCCATTGCAGAGTCGGACAGACCAATCTTGTTAACGCCGTCACGCCATGGATGTCGAGCAGTATGTCGTCTGCAATTTCCCTAATCCTATCAGAGTCAATCATCTCTGGTATACTACAGATTCCGCAGAGCTGGTTATCAAGCCATCGACAGAATATGCGACTACTATATCTCGTTGAGGGAACGCCCTGTCTCGGCCCAAGTGGAGCCAGGGTACCTTAGAAAGGCACTCCCAGGTGTGCACTTTCTATTTTGGCATATGTTCTCTTTCTGACCATTCCAATCTCAGCGTCCGCCCCTACTGAGGGTGAGGACTTCCAACTCATCGCGGACGACTATCAGAAGTACATCATTCCTGGTACTTGACTCTGGTTTTGCACGAATTCACCATCTCATCCGGACTGACAGGCCTGACCCACTGGCAGCACCCCTCGTTCTTTGCCTACTTCCCCACGGCATGTACATTCGAAGGCATACTTGGAGAGCTATACGCCTCTAGCGCGCCTACCCCCGGATTCAACGTGCGTTCCTCCATCATAAGCCTCTCGGTATCTTTGTGACAGTTGTAGTGGTCTGCGAGCCCCGCATGCACAGAGCTTGAAGCTGTGGTCATGGACTGGACTGCCCAAATCCTTGGACTCGACAAGTCATTCTATAACATCACCGAGGTCGGCGGCGGCGTCATTCAGGTTCGTTTCTCATTCCGTCTTCATCACCAATTACACTGATCCCCGTTTCATACACTAGACAACAGCATCCGACTCTGCATTGATCGCAACTGTCGCTGCTCGCTCACGGTATATTCGTGAGCACCCTCACGTGTCTATGGAGAATCTCGTGCTCTATACCACCACCCAAACGCACTCGTTAGGGAAGAAAGCCGGGCTTGTCCTAGGTCTCAAAGTACGCGCACTGGAAGTGACAGCAGAAGATGACTTTGCACTGTGTGGAGGGACGCTAAAAGTGGCACTAAAAGAGGATGTGGACGCTGGGCTCCACCCTTTCGTCCTCAGTATGTTTTCCCAATGAGTTACATATCTTGGGAATTCATATTGCTATTGTGGCAGTCGCTACGGTCGGGACGACATCTTCTGGTGCTGTCGATCGGCTCGAAGAGATTGCTGACGTTGGTGCGTATATTGATCACGCACTTATAGGACTTGAAAAAGAGCTCATCCCTACACGCAGCGAAACAATACCCTTTCTTGTGGCTACATGTTGATGCCGCGTGGGCAGGAGTTGCCCTCGTGTGTCCCGAATATCGCGAGGCATGCCAGCTTCCCGCTGTTAATAATTATGCAGATTCCTTCTGCACCAATTTCCACAAGGTTTGCTCCTGTCAGGTGAATATCAGTCTAGGGCTTACAAAATTAAATTTGTCCAGTGGGGTCTAATCAATTTCGATGCCTCCTGTTTGTGGGTGAGGCATAGGAAACATTTGACGGATGCGCTAGACGTCACGCCTGAGTTTTTGCGGTCAAAACATGGGGATGCTGGTGCGTTTCTGTTGCTAGTTTTTGGGTCAATTTTATTTGATGAAATGCGTTGTGGACGTGTGTAGGCACCGTCATCGATTACCGCAACTGGCATCTTGGCCTCGGCAGGCGGTTCCGCTCGCTTAAATTCTGGTTTGTTCTTCGTTCCCGAGGGGTTAAGGGGTTCCAAAAGTATATCACTGACGTGCGTCGAGTATTGTTTATGATGTAACACGTTTTAACATTTGATCTTACCTCACCAGTGCATCAAGCTCAACGCCAAGTTCGCACAGCGCATACGCGAATCTGATCAATTCTCATTCGTCGCGAAACCATTCCTCGCACTGACCGTTTTCAGGCTTGCGCCCAAGTCCCTCCTTCACCTCACGACTCTCGAACTAAACTCTTTGAACCGTGCGTTTTACGCGCGACTTGCAGCACGGAGCGATATTGCAATCACGCAGACAGACTTGAATGGAGTATATTGTGTTAGGATGGCGATTGGCGCTGAGAAGACTGGGGAAGGGGATGTTGATAGGGCGTTGGATGTGATTGGGCAGGAGGGACGGGCTGCTTTGGGGGAGTGGGAGAGAATGTAAAGTTGAAGGATTAATAGATTGATAAGGTATACCCTGTTGGCTTTCTGCCTGATTTGAAGCTGAGCGCCGAGCTTTGCTAAGAGCGTGGCGCTAATAAGGCACTGATCAAGTTCATAGATATCTACACAACTCTGGATGCGGTTTTCTGTGGTGTTTCTCTCGCACGATACTCTGCTTTGGGTCGCGTTGAGTCTACTTATACATGCGGCTGCCTATGCGCCGTGTCCTCGCATCATTTTATGACAGCTGGCGCGCTCAAGTATATTTCAGGCAGGATCCCTGAGTACCTGCTTTGTAGATTCAGGCTCGCAACAATTACCTCCCCTGTCTTGCATGCGCTTGCTAACACCGCCGTGGTCTTGGTCAAAATGATGTACCTGTGGTACCCAGAGACCACATGCGCCGCTGGCAACCAGTTTTGCATAAATCTGTCAAAAACTTTCCCGATTCCATTTTAGGCAAATAAATAGCCGCTAGGCACAAAAGTCGTCTCACTCGGGCCTTTGCGCCTATATGCTACTTTGATGGGGACAATTCAATCATATGGCCTAAATACATAATCGTCGCATCTTTTTCGTACAATTTCTTCTTTCACCACCATGGTCCCCGCTCCTTTGAATGTCTGCGCACGAGCCAACGACGAGCATTGCCAGCTCAGCGTGCGTTTCGACGACCAATGCGTCCTCATTCCTAAGCATCCCCACCGACACCGCATACCAAGGATGGTGACAAAGTCGTATTCTCTGCCGCTGTGGAAGCGGCGTTCGTCAAGCTCAGGCGGGTCGGCGTCTCCAGAGACAGACGCATTTGTGCCAGAAGACAGCCATATCGTTCTGCGAGTTCCGATTCCTAGGTAAGTCTCCTGGATGCTGTTGAAATGATTTACATCTGACACCGAAATGTGGAGCAGTTTCTCTAGCAAGGCTCAATCTCCGACTCCTACCCGTCATTCGGATCCTAAACCTCTCTCCCCGTGCCTGGTTCAGCGTTCCCCATCTAGTTCTTTCGCCTTCCCGCAGGCAGCGTCTGGATCTCCCCAGAGTCCACGACGCCCGACTCGCACAGCGTCATTGTCACCGTCCCGCTCGGATATCATTACGGTCCCGCTGAGACCGTGCTGCGCGGCATGCGAAGCCGTGACGGAAGCATCTCTCTCCCAGGGAGATACTTGGACTGAGCACTTCTCGCGTTCAGCACGCAGACGGCGCTCGTGCAGTCCAGATGAGGGGCCGCGGACCATCACAGTCGAAGGAAGCATCGCTGCCGCATCCTTTGGGCTCGGTCGTGGTGTCCCGATTAGCGTGGATGAGGTCGACAAGCGCCGTCGGTCAAGCGACTCCGCGGTGACTACGGCAGTGTGGTTGAACGGGGAAGAGAATACTACTTTAGGAGAAATGAGCGCCGTTCGGATGGACGGGCCTCTGATGGTTGATACGCAGCGCTCGTCATCGCCACTGCGCTTACCGAACTTCGCCGTGCCATCCACTCCCCGGATACCTGAGGAAGAGGACGGCGAGGACGATGAAGATCAGCTCTTCCCTCTTCCGTCGCCTCGTCGATCACCTGGGACATCTCCCGCACCCAGCCCATCTGCTTCTGCATCGTGCATCGGGCTTGGTAGGCCGAGCGGGAGCCCAGTGCCATCGAATTCGTCGTCGGTCAGTTTGGGCACGAAGATGACTAAAGACCAGTTCCTTGCACCACCCGTTTCAAGGTCATCTTCATCTCTTTCGCTTGCCAAGACAACAGAGTCCGATGAACTTTCACCCCGTGCACCATCACCTCATGTCCTTGCCACGGCCCCTTCGATTTCCGCACGCCCTTATACTCGCTCCTCGTCGCTACAGACCTCATACGCTCCCTCACATTCGACTCCTGCGTGGACAGAGGGCCTTGGTGCGGGTGCAGATAGAGAGCTACCACCACTTCCTTCCTCTGCTAGTACGCCCGTGTCCATTCCTTTTCACATGCCAGGGGGTTCTCGATCACATCGGGTCACACGTTCGCTTGTTCCCTCCTCACCATCCACCTCGCCGAACCTCTCGACTTCCCATAATAAAAGACGCCACGGCTCGTTATCGTTGGCTCGCCCTCGGCATATTATTGCCGATGTCCTTCGTGGCGTGGGTGTAGTGGGAGGTGGGGCTGTTGGGATCGGGGTTCGTGTTTAGGTGAGGGTGGTCTTATCGCGCGGTCAAGCGGTTCCCGGCACCCTGCGCCTGTTACTTTGTTTTCGCTGGTAAATATTTTTCCAAAAATTTCCTCTGTTTTGATTTGCCAATTTCCCATCCACTTGGAGCGCGTTCCGAATCACACTAGTACTTAATGTCATACACATGTTCCCCCTCATCCATTTCACACTCCATTGTACTTATCATCATCCCGGTTCTCTTTTCTCTTGTGTACGTAGGTATGCATTTATTTCCCTGTTACTCGTCACGTCTCGCTCAAGCGTCTTCGCAGTGTACTCCTTTATACCCGATTACATGATAGTGTTGTATTAATGCAGCAAAACTACCGCTTTTTCCATTGTTGAATGTGCTGGACGAAGAGTGTTGCATGGTCATTGCATCCAAGAGAGGCACCTCCATCTCCAACTCAGAAAGTACTCGAGACGGAAGTTGAGCGGAACGACCGGGCCCGGTAATTTCGTCAAGGTGATGGTTTGCCCCGTCAAACTTGTTAACACCGGATCCACCCCCATTCGTGATGCGGAAGTTCGGTTCTCCGTTCAGTGATCTCTGAACCGCTGTGAACGCGTTCGAACACGTCCGAATGATGAACGCGAACTTACTTCTGTGCTTTCGTAGCTCAATGGCTGAGAGATGATGAGTGAGTCGTAAAGTCCAACCAGTGAATGGTGACCTGACCTCTCTTGTTCGCCTCTCTAGCGGTTATTAGTTGATGTCCATGACAGGATGTGATTCGAGCTTGAACCTTGCTGACCGTAGAAATTGCCGATGCCAATTGACAACGAGTGAGTTCGTTGATCGTTCAATTGTCGAGCTCGAACGTTACTGACCGAAAACACTGCTGATCCGTTGACAGGGCACAAGTGTATTGGTCGTAGCTGGAGTCATTATTTTCGAATGCTCTTGGGGCTGCAACACTATCGTCAGGCCCAACTGAAGTCCGCCAACGTTGCTCTCGGACAGTAGGGCTTCATAGTGTTGTGTAAATGCACCCAGCCACTGACCCCCCGCTACCTTTGTGCTCCCTCGGGCGTTTGCTAATTTAGCGCCTGTTCCCAAGTACTGCCCAAAGCACAGCATAAGCACACCCTAACATCCACGTTTTTCTAGAAGAGTTTCTGTCATCAGCTAAGCCAATTCATGATACCATAAAACGGCATCAGGCTGCATGCACGATGGAGCACGGGAACCTCGTGCCTTCCAGTATATCTCTCTATCAACAAGCCCTGTTCTCAATATTTCCCATTCAACGATCCCTCAACAGCTACCCTCAACAGCTACGATGCCAAGAAAAAGTAAAACCACGTACAGGAAGAAGACACTTGATGGGATGAAGAAAGTTGACGATGCGGTACTCATGGGAGCGAGGCCCGATGATATCATCGTCCCGTGAGTTTATTTGCGCTACAAGACAATAATTAACGCAACTGATTGTATCATTCAGCGTAATGGGGCCAACTGGAGTCGGTAAAAGCACTGTAAGACCATACATAATTCATTCATAGTTCTCACAGGCTGACTTCGACGGATAGTTCATCAACACTGCAGTCGGTGAGGTTGTGACGCCTGTCGGTCATGACTTGATGTCGTGTACGACCAAAATTCAATACGCCTTCTGTCCATGTCCCGGAGATCCCTCCCGGCGCCTAGTCCTCGTTGACACACCTGGCTTCGATAATACATTCTTAAGTGACACCGAGATCTTGAGACGCATTGCCGTTTGGCTGGCAAGTTCGTAAGTACATTTCCATCATTGAAATATTAATTCATCATCTTATCACAGGTATGGCGTCGATATGAAATTGGCTGGCGTCCTATACCTTTACGACATTTGCCAAGCTCGGATGCTGAGTACATCGCGCAGGAATCTTGACATGTTCCGAAGGCTGTGCGGTGAAAATGCAGAGATGAACGTCATTCTGGTAACCACAAAATGGGGCGAGGTCAACAAGGATGTGGGTGAAAGACGTGAGCAACAACTGAAGAGCAGCTTCTGGAAGGATATGGTCGCATATGGATCACAAGCCGTTCAGTTCGATGGGTCGCATGCATCTGCTTGGAATGTCATGCAGCCCATTCTTACGAACAAGGCAACTGCCGCCGTCCAGATGATCCCGGAAACGGACGCAGGAAACACCTTACAGGCGGTCAAGGGGGTGAAGGAAAGGGTTGGAGATGTGGACGAACAACGGCAAAAATTGAAGGAGATCGAGAAAGCACTTCGGGAGCTCTTGAAACAGGTTGACGAGCTGAAGGTGCTGCTTGGTTAGCTCACCTTAATGACATAGATACTAGATTTATTATGTAGTTGATCCAGCCTGTCAAGACCGAGCTTAGGTTACCTTTATGCTCACTTCGGACATCACCCCTTTGCCCTTTCAGTTGCCTACTGCGCTGTGCGACGATCGGAAGCATCAGCCCATCCTCTTATTATCTAAAATATACATCTTCACTGCGACATGCACGGTTATATGGGAAAGGGTTCTGTTGGGTTTTGTCAAAAATAAATCGGTCCGCGGTAGGTCCGCGGCACGCGTGTCGAAGTTCCGAACCACATCAAATCACCTCCTTGATTCGATTAACCTCATGTCAGAATCTATATGCAACAGCAGCATCGGGCTTTCTTTGTATCGGAAGTGCTGCTGGTCATATTCCAGTATGTAAATGCGCACCTGGATATATATCTGGACTCAGATGGAAAATCAATCTCGAAAATCCCTTGTAGCGCTTGCCAGCACATGCAAAAACTTTCACGAGCTTGCAATGGATTTACTTTGGGCTGACATGGATGGGCTAGAACCACTGCTAGGCTGTGTAATGAGACTACATCCGATGACATATGGTCGCGGCGCAGAGGTCAGTGCGGACTAGTCAAGCAATGTCCTATATATTCATTTCATAATTCAGCACACTTTACTACATTTCGAAAGCCGAATGCAGTAGCTAGGCTGTCCTTAAGGGCTGCATCTCTGTTCTCAAGGTGTTGAACCCTTACTCGAACACGAAACCCGTCAATTTTTGCGTCATACCGTCCGTGTGCGCTCAATGAGGATAACCACTCCATCTGTATCCCCACTTGCAAAGACTGCGAGTATTTGTGGACGCTGTAAATATCGACATCGATCCTACAGCCGAGTCGTTTCAAAACACCTCCATACACATGTTGGATCTGAACTCCTTTGATGTGGCGGACGCTGAAGCTGTCGCTCGCATCATCTTCTACATGTTGCCTCGCGTCGACAAAATCAATTGGCTACATATTGCGATGCACTGCCAGGAGGAGTGGGACGAGGTCAACAGGCATCTCGAATCACTTAAATCTTCTGCAGTTCGCCAAATCACAGGAGAAGTCCGGAGTTTTGATACACTGATGTCCCGGTAAGTTGTCTGAATCTGTCCTCTCATCAGTCCTCTCATCCTGTTTCAACGCTGAAGTACACACGGACGATACACTCGTTCTAAGTATGATTTTTTAACCAGTTTCTCTCCATGGCATAGCGGCCTCAACAAGATGGTGCTCAGGTATGAGTTGCAGAGGGGGCGGTTGAGAGCACATTTCGAGTGTCTAACGGTAAGTTATGCGGCCCACGCTTAGAGAGAGTTGAGATTTTTTTTAGCATCCTGTAGTCAATTTCGATAAGAAATTGGCAACAACCCAACTTAAAGAACCCAACTGGCGCGGAATTGACAGGGTAACCGGGCAGTTTTTGTGGATGGAAAGCGAACAGACGAACATTATTGGCAGTATGGCGAGGATGAGGAAAAGGTTCTTTGTCGAAAAGAGTATGCGATATTGTTGAGGCCTCACTGGAGTTGAAGAGGGAGTCAGTGTGATAGATAAGTGAGAATCTGAGCTCCACTGAGAGATATCTCATATTGGTCTTGATGCCAGAAACATATAATAACTCCTATCTCCCTCCATCGAAGTATCACGGTGATACGTCAAGAGATCTACCATATAGGCATAATCTTTTACTTTTCTTTCTCCGAATCCTTACCCAGTGATGCACCGAGGGTGCTTTCAGCTGCTGGAAACTTTTCAGTCCTATAGGGTCGTATTACTATGTAGATATTTACTGTTAGTTGGCCCCGCACCAAGCTGACGACGGCATGATCATTGACTCGGATAAACACCATATGTGATCTTGAACAACCAGCTGTAACTTACTTAGTGTTTGCGACTTTCCGAACTTTCAATTCAGCTGAACATAGAGCATGTGCCACCTAGGCTGACTGTTCTTTCACTCCCGCGATGGGCAACGCATTCTCCCTCGTCCGCCTAGCGCTAACCGAATTTCTCGATAACCTACGCACTTTCCAAACTCTTCAAGACCGCATACAGCGTTCTCCAGGTCTCCCCCTACCAAACCCAAGTCGTTCATTTTGGTCCTATCCACCTTCTCCTATCGCTACCCACGTTTCCCAGCTCCCAGCTCATGCAGACTTTGTCATCATTGGCTCGGGTATCACTGGGACGTCGGTAGCGAGGACACTCTTGGATAAGCGCGCATGCTGACGGGCATAATGTCACTGTACTCGTGTTGGAAGCTAGAGATGCGTGTTCAGGTGCGACTGGCAGGCAAGTATTGTATCAACTCTTTCATAGACCAGCGCATAACATCCTCGATAGAAATGGCGGCCACATCTCACCTCCTCTATATCATGACTACCCCTCGCTCAAGCGCGATCACGGGCAAGCCGTCGCCCAAAAGATGATCAAGTTCAGGCTAGCGCACCTTCAAGAACTACGCAGTGCCGCCGAGCAGGAAGGCATTCTTGCAGAGTCTCAGTGGCGGGAGGTAGAATCCGTAGATGTGTTCTATGACTCGGACTTGTTCGAGAAGGCGAAGGCAAAGGTCCAGAAATACAAAGCCGACCTTCCCTTCGAAGCTGAGCACCATCAAGTGCACGAAGCTCATGAGGCTATTGAGGTACGTCTTACAACTCAGACATAGACCGGAACTCACGCATCTCATCAGAAATTCCGCCTAGCACCCGACACCCTCGGTTGCATATCTTCCAGCGCAGGCGCAATCCATCCATATCAATTCGTCACCGGTATCCTCGCAAAGCTCCTATCACGATACCCCGACACGTAAATATCCCCCTTCCCTCACATCCCAACCAAACTGACTTACCACCCCCACAGCTTCTCACTCTGCACCAACACACCATGCACCTCCATCTCACCTCCAACCTCCAACACCCCATATTACACCCTCTCCACCCCCCGCGGCATCATCACAACCCCCCACGTCATCCACGCAACCAACGGCTGGGCATCTACCCTCCTCGAAAAGCTCCGCGCTAAGATCGTTCCCTTTCGGGGCAACATGTCAGCCCAACGCCCTGGTCAATCCCTCCCTATCCCTCAATCTACCACCCATCGCTCCTTCATCTTCTACACCAGAGCCATAGGCTACGATTACCTCACCCAACTTCCCACAGGCGAACATGAACTCATGCTAGGCGGTGGATTCGCACAAGACGGGGACGAGGGGTACGAAGCTATGGGGAACACGGACGACACGTCGTATAGCAAACGTATCGGCGCGCATTTGTCTGGTGTCCTTCCTCAGTATTTCGGGGAGGATAATTGGGGGAAGGAAAGCGTGCTTATGGATGAGGGCGAGGATGCGGGGGAATGGGCGGAGGGACGCGTTAAGGCGTTGTGGAGCGGGATTCTGGGCATCTCGGTCGATCTAATCCCCTGGGTTGGTCGTTTGCCGCGTGTAGTGTCTGGAAGGAATGAGCCGCCGTTGAGTTCGGTTGTGAAGAGTGAGAAGGAGGAAGAGGGTGAGTCAGTGCATGTGGGTGCCCCGCCGGGGGAGTGGATTGCAGCGGGGTATACGGGTGAGGGGATGGTGCATGCATGGTTAAGCGGGAAGGCTCTTGCCGAGATGGTACTGGGGCGTGAAGTGGAGGGCGGGCTTGGAGAGTGGTTCCCGGATATGATGCGAGTTACTGAGAAGAGGTGGAAGAAGGCCAAGGCGGAGAATTTACTCGATGCATTGAATGATGATTAAGTGTAATTTAGGCCTGACTGCTGTTTTTCTCTTGGGTCTTACACGGACCACGTGGGATGTTTGCCTACTCAACGAGTTCAGAATTCCTCAGTTTGCACGGAGAAATGCCCCCCTGGTTGGAGCTCGCCTTTTCTGAACATCAGTACACGACAAAAATTCCAATTCCATAAATTATACCGAAGTATTATAATCGAAGTCCATTCAGACTACCATACCCGACAGTCTCTATTTTCATCACCGACTCATCAAAAGACCAAGTTCCGATCCCCTGCGTCGTGGTAAAGCAGCCCAGCGATAGAATTCACCGGAGCTGAAGCCTCTCGTGACACAACTTCGCCACGGCAGCTCCATCTATAGGAATGCTTGTTCCCTGAAACCCATCAGGGTACGCCGGCAGTGGGGTGTTAGGACTCGTAAAGTACCTATACACATATCTCAGACGATGCAGGCTTGAAAAACAGACGCGACTCACTCGTCGCCCCAGAACCCATAATGCGTCATTCCAAGTGCGCCGGTGGTGTACTCATAGTCATGGGCGAAGCCTCCAGGGAAGAAAAATTCCATTACCGTAGCTCGAGGCGATGGCCTCATCCAAACTAGTGACGTGAGCCCATTACCGTGGACACCCATCATGATCTACAAAACGTCATCATCAGTCGGCCCAAACTAACAGTAAAAGATAGTACGAACGGTGGTCCGCGCTGCAAGAGTAAGCTGCTCGACTCGAGAAAGCTTGTCCATGCTGACGACGTTCACCTCATACCCATACAAGTCGCGAAGCTTATAAAGCTCCTCCACAAGGCGCTCATGATCCTCTTGTATAAGCATACGACGGCCCCACTCTTGGCGCGATATGTACGTGATAACAGGTGTTTGCGCCATATCACCGATTACGTTCGGATCTAGCCCACAAACGCGAATAACGTTCGCACGAATGGTGCTCCACCAATGCGCGCTGCCAGGCAAGGCAGACGGCTCTGATGCTGTTCGCCCGGTGGCAAGGAAATGGTTGCCATGCATGGCGGCAGCTCGGTCACTAAAGATCACGCGGTCCAACATGATCGGGCGTCCCATAGCTGCGCGGTCTTCCCAGTCATTCAAGTATTCTATCGTCAGAGAGGGAAAGGCGCTGCGCAGGACCCATTGGTTCATCAAGGCATAGTCCCTCCAATGGTCCGCATCCGCATGGGGAAAGAATATTCGGCGGAGAGCGGGAAGCGACGATTTCCCCATGTCATTGATGGAAGTGTCTAAAGAGGTATATGTACGCCAGAACCCGAAAAAGAGTTCGGCCGACCAGTGATAATAGTGGGTAATGCTGGAATTTGAATTGAGCTTTAGCTTTCGCAGTACCAGCCCCTGATACTTACAATTGAGGAGGATCGTTGACGAGCCACTGTAGCATCATATAATGTTGAGCGACTAGCAGGTATTATTATAATCTTTCACTCACTGTTACACCATCAATGGACTCCACACTAGAGCCGAATAGCTTTTGAGCTTGATCAGGGGAAATAACTCGCATCTCGCGGTTCCCTGGTGTTCGACTATCGACGGCCTCTTTTCCATTGTGAATTTCTACGCCAGTCGAGGTGACGGTGAGAAGGTCAGGAATACTTGATGGGAAATCCGTCACGACAAAAACAGTGCCGTTCAAGACAAAGAGGTTATCAAAAATAGTCCATCCTATGAAGACTAGTCAGCCACAGAATTCTCTAACAGAGGATTGTGATGAAAAAAATATACCAGGTACATGAGATACTACACGGGTATTTGGCATACGCCCATTCGACCACGATATTCGCGTCCTCCAAGGCTCGACAGACGCTGGAAGACGTGCATTAGACGCATCTGACTTGTCGTCATGCCAGAATTTCGTCTCGCGTGTACCATAGCCCGCTCTCGAGAACCATAACAGTGAAATGAATACGAGGAAGAGTAGAAACGCATCTCTTCGTGTAGGCGCCGACAAATTATGCATGAGCGGGCAGAAACAACCTTTAACCAGGCACAAATCCCGAATCGGTCATATGTAGAAGGAGTGTAAAATTTGAAGCGGCTTGCTTCTGCTAGCTTCTACTCCACTTTATAACCTATGTTACATACAATCAGAGAATGTCGCTGTCGCCTGTAATATCGACGACCGTCCTTGGGAAACGCAAGGCTACAAGATATATTCTGCATCTATCTGCAAGTCCACAACCCGAGCCATCTACTTCAACTACCGTCAACGATACCCCGCGACCAGCCTCAAAGAAAGCACGTCATCCTTGCACGTATTCTGGATGCACCAAGTCCTACTCCAAAGCTTGTAGGCTTGCAGAACATATACGGTCTCATACAGGAGAGGTGATATGGTCTTGTATGGAGTTTCCTGCTATCTGTTCGCTAACCAGCTCAAACAGCGCCCATACGTCTGCTTGACTTGTCAAAAGTCATATCTACGCGAATCCCACCTTCAAGCACATGCAAAGAGCCATCTTCCCGAGTCAGAACGTCCTTATGTATGTACGGAGTCAGCGACCTGCCAGAAACGGTTCTGGACGTTCCAGCATCTCCAGGTGCATGAGAATACTCACAGCGGGGCCAAATGTTATGCTGTGCGTGGTTCCTCATTCATCCAAGTCATTCGTACTAATGTCATTCTTAGTGCTCGGTAGAGGGCTGCGACGAAGTATTTGCCAAGCACCATCAACTCCGCTCTCATACCTGTGAAGCCCACGCACCCCCAGGCACAAAGCCTTACATGTGCACACACCCTGGGTGCACCAAATCGTTCGATACGAATCAAAAGCTTAGAGGTCACCTCAAAACCCATGACGGTTTGTACATCTTCACGTCTGTTTACACGATGATTTAAGATCCGTCCAGACAAACGTTACACGTGTGCCCATCCAAACTGCTTACCTTCATCCAACACTGACCCTATATATTACCCTACCTGGACATCCCTCCAGGCTCATATACGCGATGCCCACCCTCCGACGTGCATGCATCCCTCGTGCGACGGACGAACGTTTGCTTCCCAACATAATCTGCGCGCTCATCAGAAATTACACGAACAACAAGATTTAGAAGCCGTTCTCGCCGGCGCAGAACTATCAGACGCAGCTGATTCCCCCCGAAAACGTAGACGCGGTGGAGAAGTGGGTAGAGACTGGAAGTGCGACAAATGTGGGAAGGAGTTCAAATCTGTATGATTATCGACCGACGATTCTTTTCGATCAATGCTAACGCCATGCGCAGATAAGGGCCCTCACAACGCACAACAACGTGATTCATCTGGGTCACAGAAATCACGTCTGCCCGCATCAATATTGCTCCAGTGCCTTTGGCTACAAACATCTCCTCGAAAGGCATCTGGCTAAGATTCACAGCACGATGAGCGATCAATCTGTCGCAGAAACGTCTGAATCAGAAGGCGACATGACTACTGACACTGATGGCCCCGACAACGATCTGCCAGACTCAGCAGCGCATTTGAGCATTGACCGCATCACTGGACAAGCTTACTCCCTCCGCAGTCGCATGCCAACATCAAAAACCGTACGGTGTCCATACCCCGATATCGAGGGCTTACTGTTATTGTCTCCGGACCCTCCGCTTTCCAGCTCTTCAGTGCGTTGCGAGCACATTTTGACTCGCGCGTATGATCTTCGTCGGCATTTGAAGGCCGAGCATGGACTCGTTGGGGACAAGAGCAAGGTAGACTCTTGGGTAAAATCGCATAGAGGGGTCGACTAGAGAACGCTCGGAACTTTCGGAACTTTCTGTTACGAGAGACGTCCTGTTTATAATGCTAATGCCCAGCTAGAGAGTTGGGGATTTGAGCCAGTGTCGCTTGTAGCTAGTTCACACTCTCAGTGAATCCGATTTTATCTATTCCTTTGTCGTGGCGAGTGGCAAGCTCCCCTATTGTTGTGTGCATCACTCACACTCCTAAACGTGCCTATATAACTCAGACCCACTGAAGGGCTTCAAGTGCTAGAACTCCCGGGCAAGACTCATAGTATGCGATCTTCTCGTCGACGCTGCGCTATCCGACGAAGTGATAAGTCAGGTCTCAGGTTATATCGCTGAGACACCTGGTGACGAGACTACTTCAACTGTCAAGGTCACCCATTGCACCTTGCTATGGCCACATTACCTGCAGAAATTCTACAGTACATCTTCACCTTCCTCTCGGTGGAGGACATTATTCGTCTTCGGAGGGTATGGTTCATTAGCAGTGAACACGCCCTCACTGGTGCTAATCAGTGATTGAATACTTACATTGCAGGTCTGCGGGTACCTCCATCAAGCTAGCCAGGATCGCTTTGTCTGGAGCATGGTATACAAATCTTGCCGACTACCTCGTTTCCCTGGTCCCCTTCCCGAACAAACCACGCTTCATCTCGAAAATTCTTTGACTCAAAGTGCGAAGTGGGCATCGTCGGCCCAAGCCACAGTAAAGTCACACTCGACACGACAATCTCACGACCTCTACCGTGACTCAACCCATGGTAGCGCCCTCTTCATAGATCACTGGGTCGTAGTAGCAACATCGGAACAAATCAGCTGCTATGACGTGGACTCGGAGAACGCTTCCATCATCTATAATGCTTCCCAATTCAGAATCGCCGGTTTTCAGGTTGTCGAGGTACCATATTCTCCAGGACGGCGTGGCGCATTTCTGCTAGTTCAAGAGTATGAAGACCACGACACTTTGTATAGTAACAAGAGGTAATTTTTCTTCCATCTCTTTCAGCAATTGTGCCAGTGCTCAATAAACTACTGAAGGGCCACAGAAATATTTCAGTTGACGATTCCTGACCACCAATTACCGAATATTACACACGAGTTGCTTTTAGCGCAACACAATGCACCCCGGGAGCCATTTGTACTGACCGTTGGTCCTAGCTGTTTTGCTGCTTCACCGATGCGTCTTAATGTGTACCACGCTCACGTCTATGTCATCGACACCAAACATTGGTGACGTTTGTATATACCCTTTTCTGCCAGCAAATGTCTATTCTATGAGGTCAGTCAGGGAAAGACGACCTTTAATATATCAACTAACGACCGGGTTGATCCTCAAGTCAGCAGGACGTTTCGGCTCGGATTGCGCCGCACTACTCGTGTGCTCTAGCCACGTCCTAGTGATGGAGATGGAAATACTTGATGGGCGTTATTACGCGTCCTTCGTCAACGCTCTGCAGCTGTCTTCAGACGAGGATATGGATCGTGGAACCTCCGCTCTTCAGACCACACGTAGGGCTCATGGATGTCGCCTGTCTCCGTGAATCAGTTGCAGATGGAATGACTGGAAACACGTCATTAACGCTGATCGGCTATACACTAACGGAGCGCGACTGTGCGAGTGGGGCAATTGATGTCGTTCGCCTTGAGCTTACAACTGATGGCCATACCCTCATGCCGGAATGCCGGAGGCTGGTGCAGCTGCGGATTCCTATTTGGCGATGCAAGATCTACACTCATTGTATCCAAGGTCACGGTAGAGGTCTACTGAAATGTTGGCCGGGTGGAAAGATTTAGCGCTTTCCGTGGACGACGCTGGTCAGAATTGGCCACTGAGAAAAACTATTGACAAGCCCCTGGTGTGGCGTTTGAGTTTGACGGGATTAGAATCTTCCTATTTTCGTCGGATTTTCCACCCGTGCTCGAGGTAGTGAACTTCGTTTAGTAGGCCTTGGTGTAGCATTACTTACAGAGGTCAGGTTACCTTTTTATGTTCCAATTGCAAGGTACCATATACCATCTGAAGTTGATCTGAAGCTGCCGTTACTTATGGGAATCACAATGATTTTCCTCACTCAAGCTTCAAGGTCGACAGAGATTTTAACTACACCATTTTCACGAATTAAGCTGAACATGCTCTCATGAGACCCGGGAATGCGAATCAGATCTAATAAATATCTGCGTTTCTTTTTCTACTATTGTCATCGTATTCTGGAAGAAAAGTTGCACCAGTTAAGTGTGAAAACCTTGATATGGTGGCTAAAGTTCGGCGACATCAGAACCAGCGTCAACAAGACGTGTCTCTAACTGCAAGAGGGCAACTCCAAAGCGTGGCAGAACTTGTCGAAGGAGATGGTATTGCAAGTAGACTGAATGCATATCAATCGAAAGAGGTGATTCATGAGTTCACACTGCAGACAAGGACGTCAACTTCTAATGACATACCTTGAACGTTATAGTAAAGTGTCCAGGGGTTTTCTAGGCGCTCATCGGTCGATAGCACTGCAAGGTGGCGAAGGAGAACTGCTTTCAAGTTGCTCGGCGATGGCTCATCCTCTCCACTGGGCGGGAGATGGGTCCGAAGGAGGGCGTTTTTCTGACCGCGGCTGTACCCAGGAATTTGTGGCTGGCTGACCAACCAAATGACTTTCTTTTTCCTGTTGAAGCAACCGTTGGCGCGGAGAGCGTCTAGCGTCCGCTGGATCTCAGGGAGAAACACTGATAGAGTAGCATATACTGCGGCATCAACGATCTGAAGGAAGTTTGGTATTGATGAAGGCATCTTCGCATGATAACTCCCCGTGTAAGATGAAATATCTGAAAGGAATGACCAGTTCCCTGTATACGTCAAGGGCGGTGCGCTAAACGGCCCCCTTCCGAGGATAAGGATGTCTGCTTTCCTGGCTGAAGCTAGCCAGTACGTTTCGCGGGATCTTATTCTGCTGAAGGCATGAATGTATGGGACAGAATACTCTGGCGCTTGTGGATCGGGCAAGGCAAGAAGGGTGTCGGACAAGACGTAATTAACCAGCGATGAACCAGTTTGCACGAGCTTTTCGACGGATGGCGAACGGATATAGCGTGTAGGTTCCTCTTTAAAAACAGGATTGTTTCTCGCGGCCCGTAGACATAGATGATGGTGGGTACAGAACTCCTTCCCGAGGCATGAGAACCGTTTTCCTTCGAACCTCTTCCGGTGGTCGAGGAGGACGTTGTGGAAGCGGTACACATGCTCGCCGCCTACCATTGTCAGTCTCTTTCCTGCAAGGGAAGAGCACAGACACGAGATGGGCTTGACGTGAGAACCAGAGAACTTGTGGATCTGAGCGTCATTTGAAGGGAACACTGTTGACAGCGTGTTAATAGCGTTATGTGACAAAGAGCGTGAATGGAGTTGAGAGAGGCCAGAGAAACATAGTAGAAGTTCTTGAGCAGCTGCGTCTTGTTCAAGGAGGCGTCCCGAGAAGCTCTCTCCCGCTTGCATGGATTGGGAGCGTACATAGTCATCTACGACGGCATCCAGGGTATCCAGTATGTGTGCTGCGACAGTCCAGGCAGCGCTCTTAGGTCCCGAGACCGGTGTCGAAGTTAACCAGAGCCAGATAACGGTAGCACAGAGAAAGATTACTATTACTACGCTCTGTAAGAGTCGCTGCGACTTCTTGGGTCGAATACCGTTCCAAAACATGGCGGTCTTCTATTCAAAGCTTCCTGCTGCTGGGCTTCGTCGCTGATCAGGCTCCTGTAATATTCGGGCAACTTGAAGGTATAAGTACCTGCAGGCTGCAGTTGGAGGGTCCAGGAGAAGTTCGGGGTTTGAATTGTGGCAAGTTGATGCTAGCTTTGATTTAGCTTATACTATCTAAGTACCTTACATGCATATGTACGCCACACGACGTTTAGAGCCCGAATTATTCGAATCGGAAGCGTGCGTCGCGCTCGACAGAGGATGCCTTTCTTCGTTTATGCACGCTAGATACTATTCCTTTCCTCAGGGACGTTTGCGACAACGCGCGCAACAACTGAGCGACTAACATAGTGAAGTTCAACCCCTACTAGTAGTCAGGATGCGAGATCTCGCTATATATTGCTCTGCTCCATGCTTTTATTTTCTGGATAACAAGCTTCGAGACTCAAGTGACTTGACCCAACTCCAAACCATTGGATCTGTGCCCGACCTAAGATCCCCCAGCGAGTCTCCATACCTCCATCCCGCCCTCGCCCCCAATACCCACCACATCCCCTACCCAATCCACCGCGAGCACCTTCATCCCATCCCACACCCTGAAGCTGGTAACAGCGCCTTTTGTGCTCCGCAGGTCCCACAGCCGCGCAACGCCATCGTAGGCGCCGGTTACTACCTGCTGCTTCCCACTTTTAGATGTGGCGATGCAGGATGGAGTCGCGGGGTGCATCATGACACCTGTGGAGGATGAGAGGGAAGATACGCGGTGGTCGAAGATAGACACTGTGCGATCTGTAGATGCAGCGAGAAGCACGCTCCCTTCAGGGGTTTCAGCGAGATCGAGCATCGGTCGCTCAGGGACGTTCTAATAGGGTGGGATATTCAGCTTGGTTTGCATGGCGCAAAGACAGGACTTACAATAGTATCAATACACACACCACTCTCGACATCCCAGGTCCGTACCGTTGAGTCGAAACCACAGCTGTACGCCTTACCTTTTGCGGATTCACCGGCAGCAAATAGTGCTTTTGACACGCGCGCGGTATGTGATTTTAGCACTGCGATTGGTGCTTTCCGTTTTATGTTCGCGGGCGCGGTCTTACGCCGCTTTTTTCGGTCATCATTGCGGTCTAGAGATACTTGGTGGTCATCGGGTATTGAGGTGTCCCAGACACCGATGAGGCCGTCCCACGAAGAGGTGAGGAGATGCGAACCAGATGCATCAGTCGATATGGAGGACAATGGGCTGGTGTGTAGATGTAGAGAAGCGACGGTGGATGCACTGGGGCCCTCTGAACTGAGAGATATGCGCGTGAGACACGCGGTGAGGTCATGCGACGAACTCGCTAAAATGCGAGAGTCAGTGTCTGATGACGAGGATGGCACGACGCAAACGGAAGTGATGGGTGCTTGGTGCACGGAGGTGTCCAGGACGGATTTTTGGGAATAGTCGAAGAGACGTAGGTGGCCGTCATATGATGCTGTTACAAAGTGCCTGTCGTGATATTTTAAGGTATAGCGAATGGACTACAAAGTGATAGAACATACTGAGGTATTCGGCATGATACCGATGACACCCAATCCTCATGTGGAAGCTCAGACATTCGCTGGGGAGGCATAACACTCTCGAAATACTCGATCTCTAACGTATCTTCCTGCCGCATCGTCAGTCTCTCTTTCAAACGTCTTGGTCACTTCGCTCACCTCTCCAACACCCTTCTCTGCGCGCCATTCCCATAGAGACGTTCTAAGGATCTCGCCATGGACAAGGAAGTCGAATGGAATAGGCTTGGGGAGGTCGAGTGCTTTGTTGATGAGCTGGGAGAGCTGGTAGCGTTTCCAGTCCAAGGGAATCATAAATTTTTGGGAGGGTAGTGCATAGGGCGTTTGGGTCGTGAATACGACGGGGTGTGAGGGCGCTGTAGACGATGATGTCGACGCCATGATTGACAGTCACAGACGAAGATATCGATAACCTCTTGACCACCTCGTTCAGTGTAACCGCCAATCAGAACGCGTAGATGAGATTTTCTTGTGACAATGTCACACCATGTCACACTACTAATAATGTGCTGGCCCTCCTCTAATAGTAATAATGTAATGACTCTTAAGGCAGCTTCTGCCCAACCGACAGAACAAGATCCATTTAGTCCTCTTGCACATGATGCACTCCCTGACTTCAACTCGATAATGTCTAACGAGAAGCCCGCTACTGAGACTGGGACCGATTTCCATGACCACAGTCTGACGAGTCGCAGATATGCCCTTGCTGGAGTGGCATTCTCGAGTATCGTCAACTATTGTTGCATCGTTGCAGGCATTTTTTGCACTCACGGAAGTGCGGGTATACACGACGACGAACCCGCTGAAAGCATTTCTCACTAATCCCCTCAGGCTTGCCCTTTTCATCGTGAAGCCTGTACTATGTGAGTCATTCGCGACTGTATTTGACCAGTTGTCTTGAAAAGGGCTGTAGACTGGATGTTTGGGCTTCCGTTCGAGGTCATTCTTGGGGAAGAAGTGGATGGCAAAAAAAAATTTGCGGTAGGACTCTAGCGCAAATGATTGTAATTCAGGTTACCATGTAGTGTCCAAGTACAGCCGCTGCATCATTCCCATACACCCGCGCAAATCTTGTGCTTATGTATAGCGCTACTGATATTTGCCTATGTCTTCACTCTCGTTGCATTGTGCCGACTACGTGGCCCCCAGCCGGCCACATACGAGTACCTGAGTGATCGTCTGTGAGGTGGTGGGGTCACAAGAAGGATGGAATCCAGTGTTGTCATGCTGGTAGGGCATTTTCATATTTACCAGGATCGTGTCTGATCCTGCGTTGACACTCTTAGACACGGTCAAGTACAGCGAGGCTGGTGGTGTGGAGGGATGTGAAGGGCGAGAGTCGGCGGTCATAAGCTGAAGATCGCGGTAGTTAAAGTCGGATCGTCAGAAAGGCAAGTCGCAACTCAAATCGTATGTTATTTACAGGCCAAAAGGAAGTGATAAGCTGAAGGTCGACAGAATCACCGGTCACGGTGTCACCACCTGTTTAGCAGGGACAATTCACCAACGCAGGTCCTTCCGGTTTCATAGTGTCGCAAAATGTAGACTCTCGTGAGTCTCGTCTCCGATCCCCTCGAGTTTTAGTAGTGATGGTCCGAGACTACGCCTAATATATCTCGTTTTCGCGGACACCCTCAAGCTTACAAGCTCAAGTGCTGGGAGTCGCATCTCTGAAGTACTACGCACGTCGCTCATTAAATTCCAAGTCAGGTAACAGGTCTACGGGATCGAGAAAGCATACCATCATTGTCTATATGGTCTAACTACGGGAGACGAGTTCTGCCATGTAAGGCTGACTATTGGTTCGAAGGGGAATTGGAGCGAAAACGAAGTAGATAAGAGACGTGCGAGAAGGTAATCGAGACGAGTAGGATAGATGTATAGGACGAAGGCTTTCTGTAAGGTTGTTTCGGTCGTGCTTGGAGCGGGGAATCTAGTATAGAATTCGCTGTAGGTATGAGAGTATAGGCGTTGTATATATACGTTTGCGAACGATTAACCAGGCCGGAATCGGCGTGAAGAGCATATGATGAAGTGAAAGTACTCTGTCAAAGAAAGGGATAGTGAAGTGTGAGCAGTAGGTAAGATAACGAGAAAGAGATGGAAGGAGATGTATCCACGTAACTCGGATGCGAAGAGTAAAGGAGACACGTCGTCATCGTTTCGAAGCGTGATTGGTGCGTAGAGGATATGCAATCCCTTACAGCCATAGCAGTTTTGCCGGGTTCTGCCGGGTTCTGCCCACAACACTAGTCTGTGACGGCAGGTAGAAGTTTGTTAGACTTCAGATGGCGGCACAATGTTAAATAGAATATGATCTCGCGCAATACTAACCAGATACCAGCCTAGTTGTGATTGGGAGAAATTCTAAGGGCTAAGTACAATAACACGACTCTAAATAATGTCGAAGCATACGAAGCCTGTGATAACAAATATCAGATGTAAATAGGAAATACTAATTATACGGTTTCAGATGGGTAAGGTCTCAAGCTCTCGAACATTCTATCTCTCGATCTTCTAAGACCTTTCTGCTGGCAAGGTACGAACACCACATACCCCCCTCCAGGATGTGCAACATCCTTACTTCTTCTTGGGTCTAGTAGCCTCCTTTCTAGCGGCGTCCCCTGCGCTTTTTCCATCCACTGGGTTAGGTTCAGGCTCGTCGTCAACCTCCATCCGAGTATGTGTAAGGGACCTGGTAGAGGAGATGGTAGAAGAAGAATGAGTCTGCGGGGTGTTTTCGCGGTTGGGATGAGTGTTTCCCCGGATCAAGCTCGATCCTTCTCCGCGGTCCGAACTAGATGGTGCGCTGATAGTGTGGCGCGCGCGTTTGGCAGCCTTTCGCTCAGCGATGCTACGATCTCGCCACTCCCGCTGACGTTTAGTAGTTTCTAGGTTCATCCAAACCGCTTCTTCCAACAGCTCTGCACGATGTGGATTAATCCATCATCCTCCTTCAGGGAGCTATGGAGTAGGGTTGATATTGCTTTGGGAAGTGGGAGGAACATCCTCGCCGACAAGATCAGTGAACAAAGGTGAAGGCCCAGTAATCTGGGGACCTGTGACCGACTCTTCAGCAAAGCGAGAAGGGAGCGAGTTGGTTGTTTGCATCATGTTGAAAGATAGCGCGAAGTCACCATACCCTGCCAGGGTTGCTCGTTCAGCAGCAGTACCTGCACGAAGGTGGGCATCGTGCTCGAGGTAAGCGCGGAGCATGTCGAGGACGACCATTAGGTAGTGCAACCGCAGCTCGGCTATGGCCCGCTCCAGCTTGGTCTTCATCGGTTTGCAAGTATTTTGGCTATCCTAGTGAGCCAGGCTACTTATATATAGTTTGGTCTGGTTTGTTAGCCGTTTGGAGTCCCACGAACCAACTGTGAGCCAAAAATAAACAACAGCAGCTCAAGCTGATTTATAAATATGAAATCATGTCTCTGTTGAAGTCTCATTCCCGGTTAGTTTGACTGTTGCTCCTCGAGGCCTCAAGGCTCAAGTTATCTCATAGTATACCCACCATGAACCATAAGGTCCCGATACGAGTTGACGGTAGATTCAGACTCGGAGATGTTTTGGGATCTGGTTCATATGGTGTGTTGTTCACAAGCTGACTATGATTATAAAAAATTAACATACTATGGACCCTACTTAGCTGTTGTGTACCACGCTTGGAATATCATCAAAGATGATGCAGTTGCCATCAAACTCGAATCCATCACAGCCCAGCCATCTTCTGTACAGCGCAAATACGCCATTCTGAAATGACTTGAAGGTGGAGTTGGGATACCCTGCGCTCTCTGGTTCGGTCGAGAATCAACATATCATGCTTTGGTTCTCGGCCTCCTTGGGCCATCACTGCAAGATCTTTTCCTTGCACATGATCGAAAATTTAGCCTTCATACTGTTGTCAATCTAGGAATCCAACTGGTCAGTCGGTTTGTGCTGGGTTGTTGCAGATAGGCTAACCCATTTTCCAGCTCTCATGTCTTGAGTACATCCACTTGAACAATTATGTTCACTGCGATATCAAACCGCAGAATGTCTTGGTGGGCCTTGGCCATTTGAAGCACACTGCATTTATAATTGATTTCGGTATCGCGAAGGAATACTGGGACACTGCAACCAGAGTCCATATTCCCTTTTGTCAAAATCAACGTCTCACTGGCACTCCTGCCTTTGCTTCAATCAACAACCACTTAGGAGTTGACCCGGGTCATTGTGACGACCTTGAATCGCTTACATACATGTTGATCTATCTGTTATGCGGCTCCCTTCCATGGTTAAATAGTGACCACAAGAAACTCTCCAGCTCTTCCATACTCGAGCGCAAGGTCAACACCATCATTGAAGTCTTATGCCATGGAATTCCCGTCGAATTCGCAAGTGTTCTCATCTACACGCGCTCTCTTGTGTTCTCGGAAGACCCTGACTATGGGCATCTTCATTCATTGCTTTGTGGTCTTCAAGCCACCTTGGCTGCGCCATCTACATGCTCGCTGGATTTCAGCATGCCTGATAATCACATCACACATCACCCTCCAATCTCCAATGAACACTGGATGGCCGAGGCGGCCCCATGTCTGCTGGATGCAACACCACTTCGCAGATCTACTCGTGTGTGAGTATTCTGTCTCATTTTCCCATTCACAATCTGAAGCTAATGTGATTTCGAAGTTTACACCAACGTAATACCTCTCCCATGCACCCAACTGCACTGCGGAAAAAGCCATTAGTTGCTAGATCATGCTGTTGAATATGTCTTTCTATCTCTACATAACTGTACAGTGTACAAGTCTACAATGTGTTTCTCATAGGTTTCAAACCGTTCAATGCGGTCAAATACATGTCGACAAATTTGCGTCTTGAATGTTTGAACCCTAGGCCTGATTCCCGAATCCTGACTCCCGACTCCCGAGGGCTGACTCCACGCTGAGTCATGCAGCTTCTTATCTTTTTCTCACCCTACCATCTCCTTGCCCATCCTCCTTGCAAGTTGCAAGTGCTGTTTTTCTGCAAATCGGTTGGCCTGCTACAGAAACAAACTTGTCCTGGATACCTGTACCTTACTCCTGAAGCCTGATTCCCAACATCTACCAGTTTCGCCTTATTGAATCATATCACTGTCATGACTCATGACCAATGACACATGGGGGATTTTCCACAAACACCCCAATCCCCTTGCACTGTATCACAATTAAATGCTCAATCAATCAGTCATCGACTCCTGGAATAAAGGTAAGCATTAACTCGCTTGACCCATTGGTTGATATTTGAAACATGTGTTCAGTGACCGTCAAACCACCCACCCTGACAACCATGGCAAACCCTCTGCAAACATGAGATGTCCCTTTCACTGGATGTCCTTGCTATATCGCAATCTGGCTTCTGGACAGCCAGTTGACTCTGAGGATGTAGGTAAGCTTTACTGTGCTTGATATAACCAACTGATTGCGAGATCTAGGGTACATCAGAATGCACATCTTATGGTATCGGTATCCCTATCATTGGGTAAGTAGTGGGCATTGGGGAAACCCCACACATATATTGTGCTGCCTAGGACCACTTTACTGTGCTCGATATAACCAACTGATTGTGAAATCTAGGGTACATCAGAACGCACATCTTATGGTATCGGTATCCCTCTCATTGGGTAAGTAGTGGGCATTGGGGAAACCCCACACATATATTGTGCTGCCTAGGACCACTCGAATGAACAAGATCTTACGGTACATACCCTGGGCATACGTTCAGTTGACTCAGCACTGGTGTTTCCCTGCTGTTTCCCTTGATGAAGATACATAAAGACTGTGTCTTTGAATCTTTACTGTCACTCAAACATGCCTCCTCGTCGACGAGGGCAGAAGTCTCAAGTTACCACTGTGCCTACTCATGCTGCTGTAACTCCTACTGCTGCTGCTCCAATTGATGCTACCCCCATCATTACCCCCATCACTGCCGCTATTGTGCCCATTGCTGCCACTGTTGCACCCATTGCTGCCACTGTTGCGCCCATTGCTGCTGCTGTTGCATTGAATGCAGCTATGCTTCAACACCCCCAAAGGTAATGGCAACTGCCTCTGAGGTTCCGCAATAATAGCCCAGTTCGTACTGGCACTAGTCGCACGCCAGATGACAGAGAATACATTGACATTGGTGATGTCTCCGGGGACGAAGAAGATAACTTGCCTGCACCCAGCGTTAGGGCTCCTCCAGTTCCCAGCCCTCTGCAGACAGTTACAAGTACCATCTACTCCACCCAAGTCGATCCCTTGGCTACGGGTGTCCGAGGAACGCAGCCTAAAAGCACTGCTGATATCAATCACTTCTTTAGGGAAGATTCAGCTACTAAACGCAAGATTTGCTGAATTTGCGAGTGAGTTTTGCATCTGTAATTATTTCGTTCTTTCTTACGGCCTTGTCCAGGGATTTGCAGAAGGTGGACAGTTCACATCAGGTTATGTCATATAAGCACTCAACCAGCACTTCTGCCTGTCATACTCATGCTTTCTATCACCACACTGACATTTTCCTGCAAGAGGCGGAGCGCCTACGCTGGCCTATCTATGTACAGCCACTCAATGAGTGACTTGCTGAAGGGTGGACTTTGGCAGCTATCCATGAAAGGCTTTGGACCCTGCATATCACATTGAGTCGCTTGGTACCATCCCTAATCAGGGACATGGCAATTTTCTGCCTGGAACCACCTTATCTCCGGACGATTATATCCCAGATTTCAGCATCGATGAGATGCACTGTCAGTTGGTGAAATTCATAGTTGCGGATGATCAGGCAAGTTGATATTTACTTTCTACGTGCCCTTGCTAATTCATTTTCTGCAGGCAATAAACATTATTGAATGTGTGGAGTTTCGACGCCTGATACATTTTTTGCGGAAGGATTTGACCGATTCAGACATTCCCCACCACACAAAACTTCGTGAGCTCATAATTGTTGCGTGGCAGGAGTATTTCCAGGTGTTGAAAGGTGATCCTGCCATGAGTGTCTAGTTATTGAGAATCCCGCCATACATCTTATGTATTCTTACAGAGGGTGCAAGGAAAAATATCCTTTACATCTGACCTCTGGTCTGATCAGAAGCTCCGCCCCTTCATGGCACTCACCGCTCACTGGATTGCCAAGGAAGAGCAGACATCAGTGCTCATCTTGAAGGCAGCCTTGATTGCATTTCACCATGTTCTAGGAAGTCATAGCGGCAAATCTCTCGGTTCGGTAATACTGCATCTCCTCGATCGTGCTGATGTTGCAAAGGATGTGAGCGTTCAGCTGTACCGTATGATGTGCTCTGACTTCATTTAGCCTGGACACTTCACATTGGACAATGCATCAAACAATCAAACATGCATGAAGGAGCTCTCAAACTTACTCGAAGAACACAAGATCGAATATAATGCAATCGAAAACAGAATCCCTTGTTTCCGCACGTAATCAACATATGTGTGAAACATATTGTTGACGACTATGCAACAGCGGATTTCTCATCCGTGGAGAAGACCTGGAATGTTTGTGGTCAAATCGTCGACAAGAATGAGTATGTTGGCACCATCACTGGTAAAGCTCTCGAACGGGCCAGACATCTTGTGTGCTCCATCCGTGCATCAAACCAACAATGTTCGAATTTTAGGGATACCATCGTGATAGGTAATGAAAACCATTGGTTCCGAGGAGACACAGGCGAGCCTATAAGGCTCCCTGAAGTCGAACTCCTGCTCGATGAGCCAACCTGCTGGGATTTGGTATATGTTATGCTCAATTGTCTATGCAATCTACGTCAGGTGAGGTCTCATCTCACTGAACATTTGTGGTGGGCTAACCATTGCCCAGGTGGTTGATATGTTCTTTGAGTCTCCCAATCAACGCTCTATATATGACAAAAAGTTGAGTACAATAGAATGGCATTTCCTACAGGACTTCAAAGTAATTCTGGAGGTCAGTATCGACATCTTCGTAACCTATGTTGCATTTAACCTTGTAATTTCAGCCCCCCCACAGAGCTCAGCAATCCATGTTGAGTGAGAGCACTCCCATGTTGGGTCGTGCGGTTCCAGCGTTTGAAAGGTTACTTGAGGATTGGAAGCAGGTGGCCAATAGTGTCCTGCACTGTGCACTGCTCATCAACATTGGTTTGACTTGGGTGGAGAAGTATGACGACAGGATGTCCTGCACAAATGCATATGCCGTTGTGATGTGTAAGTCCCTCGCATTTTTTATAAAATTTGATGTCTTATGATCGGTTTATAGTTGTTGACCCCACATGCCGAATGTCATGGGCTACGGATCATTGGGATGAGAACCGGATAAAGTCAGCAAAGGAATTCATTCTCAAACTAGTACGTCTATCTAGCTAGCAACAGCATGCGCTCATATGTCCTGTAGATGCATGTCAAGAGAGCACAGTGGACCTCCAATATACCGGCTCCAACCCAACGACCCTCAGACTACAATCACACACGCTAGGCTCCCGTATCTACAGACTTCGTGAGGGGGATGCACTGCCGGTTTGCGACGATATCGTCCAGACAGTCGATCAGGAGTTTGGGGCTTATAGCACAGCTAATATCAGCCCCAAGGGAACAAATATACTCTCCTTCTGGCAGGTGAGAGTCGTCTCCGTCAAGTGACATATTTTGTTGTTGACCACGAGGTTTTGACCAGATGTCTGAGGGGATGTTCCCAACGGTTTATGCCGTTGCTATGGACTACCTCCCAATCCAGGCATCTGCTGTTCCCTGTGAGCGAGTGTTCTCGTCGAGCAGTGAAACATACACAAAGAAGCGTAACTGCATCAGCCCGATCCTCATGGAGGCGCTACAGATGGTGAAGTTCTCCTTAAAAAAGGAGTGACTCAACTTCACCAAAGGTTGGGCGGCATTGCAATGGGCCATGGAAACTGCGATGGTATCTGACAATAGTTCCAACGAGCTTTTGGGACCTGTCTCAAGTGGACCTACAGATGACAGCTGTGCATATGACGCTGTCCTCAAAGCCATTGCAGAGCATGAGTGTGATGACATCGACGACAAGGTTGTCGTCTATGATACCTGACATCTCCTTGATCTTTTATTTTTGTTTCTCACTTTTTGTTTACCATCACGCACCTTATGATTCTTCTTGCATTGTGTTTGGATATTGAATTTCAGTTGTTATCTGACAGTCTCCTCGTCTAGGCAATCCGGATATTCTTCAGTCCACTACTGGGTAAGATCCTTGATATATGTTGAGCTCGAGGATCACCCTTCTCCTCAGGCGAAGCTAAGTTGTCGGGGATTTTGAAGGTTCTGTTTCGGGCATCATCTTGCCCGTACCAGAGAGTGCCCCCTATGACTATTGTGAGGCTCTCGTTCATATCATGGTCTTGTCTTAGGCTCACTTTCTGACTGGTGTTCGCAGAGTTCCGCCCCCCGACGATGTACTACACGACAATTCCACTCGTCTCTGAGAGACCTAACAACAGGTGCTGGGATGCCTCAAAATTGTGCGAACTCCGGAAGAGGTTAGATTCTGGTATGATGACTGGTGGAGGAAACTGATCAAGTTGCTGGTGACTTTTTGGATGGCGAGATTGTCGACTTGGCCTCAGACTGGCTGGGCAACACGGTGGGTATCCCCACACCGAGTCCGGTTGCTGTGGCTCGTTTCACGCCCCACCTGTCGCATTTGTGCACACACAAATTGGCATCTTTAACCATTGTCAGGATTGTCAACCAGAAGATCAAGTTTGAAGCATCCCGTCAAATCGTCCAGGCATTGTTCTCGTCTCCCGGGGACCATGTTCTTACTGACGTGTTGGGCAACCAAGTGAATGGTGTGGCGGTTGTGCACAAGATCTTGACTAGCCCATTCATCGACCCTATTGACAAGCCAACTTATATCAAAGCCACTAAGCGGGTTTTAATCAAGCTCCCATCTATTGCTCTCGCCGATCTCAACAATCTCAAGGTCCTTAATGTTTCACCGGGGCAATACGACACACATCATGGATGAACGGATCTGATAGTACTCAGCTGACCAGCGCTCGGTAAGTGACACATTTATCGTTTTGATTGAGGCTTATTGAAATGTCGTTTCACACAGTGACGAAGCGAGATGGCAATATGTATTCAGCCCAGAGGCGAAGGCGAAACAACAAGGAAGGATCTCTACTTGGTACGTCTGCTCTTGACATCGCGCTACCCCCAGCTCAAATGAAGCTTCCTCAACACCCCTTTCACCCATTTCTTCACCCACCCTTTGCCCACTGCTCCCTCAACTCCCTCGACGTTTCTTCTCACCCCCGTTTGCGATGATCTTCAGCTTCGCAAAACTGCATTCCTTATCTCTGCTTGCTCCGCCTGGATCCTGCGAGCGTGATCCAAGCTACAGTACAACTAAATCGGGTAAGTTTTCCAAACATCGGATCAAAACATTGACTTACATCGTTTTGGGGGCCCATATCGAAGGATGATTGTCGATATTGGATACTATCATATGAGTTTAGATTCTAGCGTGTGTTGTAGACAGACGTTAGCGCTGCCTAATTCGGAACCCAGGCCTTGGGCCTTTGCTATTATTATCACTTAATGTATTTACTATTTATAAATCAATACAAATATATCATATATCTATTCTAATTTTAAATGTGGCTGGAGCTGGCTTGAAGACCTATGAAACGGCTCAAATGACCGGACCGAGCCATGTATTACATAAGCTTAGTTTGGTACACAGCTAGCCTAATTATAGCTCCGCTCTCAGCTAAAGCCGGCCACAAGCCAGAGCCACGGAAGCACTACCATTAGGTCCCCGTTACCCAGTCCGTTGGGAAGAGTGAAGCGGCGCGCTCCAATGTGAGTTAAGAGAGGAGCCATAGTGGGGTAAGGGAGGTGACAAGCGAATAGAAGGAGTGAGTCGTCGGTGAAGGAAAAGAGTGATTCGGGAGAGGAAGGGGCGGCGACGAGACCTTTATAGGCTGCGTCATTGGGGGAGAGGTGTCCTAACGACAGCAAGAAGTCCCCTGCAGGGGGCTTCCCATTCCCTTCCTCTAAGTCTGAGACATTTTCAATCCCGAGTACTGTAAAATAATCTTTCAGTGCATCTAGTTCCTCCACTCGATTGTAGGGTAGCCAAGTAACATCACTGCTTTTCCACTGAATTTCAAACAGGGAGTCTGCTCATCGTCCTGCATGAGTCAGAATTCGGTCAATAGCCCATTCCGCTTCAGACTCCTCAAAATCAGCTATCTGAGTTTCCATCCATCCAGGAAAGAGTTGATCATCATTTGGGACGTGGATACGAAGATAGGACGAGTGAAATACAGGGTGCACTCCCCGTTGCTTGAGTCGGTTGGGCAAATCCAACTTGTAGGAGTTATTGCGATAGTTCTCAATAATCCTGTATGGTCCCACGAACTTGGGCGTTAGCTTTTGGGCCGAGTTTTTAGGTAAAGATATATTCTTGGTTGACACATATACCAAATCGCCTACCACAAGCGGGCATGCCCTGCGGTGTTTGTTTGCCTCGTGCGTTTGCTTAACTTGGGCCCCTAAAATGGCATCGTGCGCTGACATAACTGCAGACTTCATCCTCTGCGCAAATGCTCGGACCCCTGGGTATTCTTCTGATCTAGCTGCCTCCCAGATCATAGCCCTGGGTAGTCTACCATTCACTAAGAAAGGTGAAGTGTCTGTTGATTCTGACTTAGCCATATTAATGGCAAATTCGATGGCGGGCAATCTAGCCACCCAGTCCCTTTGGTTAGGGCCAATGCAGGACCTAAGCATTTGTCCTATCGTTCAGTTGGCTCGTTCGGTAGCGCCGTCCGTTTGTGGATGATATGTGCTAGACATTTTAAGCTGCACTCCGATGAGCTTATTCAGGTGAGTCCAAAAGTTACTAGTGAAGAGAACATCTCAATCACTTATAATTGCTTTAGGGATTCCGTGATACTTATACACCTCAGCAAACATAAGTTCTGTGATGTCTTTAGCCATGTAAGTCGTTTTGCTAGGTATTAAATGTACCATTGCGGTTAACAGGTTGATAACGATGGTGATCTCATCATACTCCCCATTTTGGTCTTTGGACATGGGCAGCGGTCCCATGAAATCTACTCCAATCACCTCCCAAGGCTGGGAGGGCACAGATAGTGAATTTAATAGTCTGTAGGGTTTCTGATTAGACGGTTTGCTTCGTTGACATGTCACGCAGGATTGACAGTAAGCCCTCACGTTTGATACCATTGTCTTCCACCAGACGTGTTCTCGCAAATACGACAGCGTTTTGTCTGCTCCAAGATGAGCTAGTATTGAATGAGCTTGGTCTATCAGGACCTCGATAAGGCGTTGGTCTTCTACTTTCACATCAGGTATGCATAGCGCGGTTCTATCTCTTAGTTTAATGTAAATTAAACTGTCTTTTATTTCAAAGTTTCGAAATTCTTTGGGTGCCTCTAACACCTTCTTTAACATGGGGTCCTCTGTGTACTGGTGTCGCATTTGATCCAATAGTCCCACTTCATGCGGGTAAGTTATGGGAATTCATTGTTCCTTTTCTGTATCATGTTGGTGGGTTGTTTCGTGGGTTGGTCTTGCAGCTTCCTGCACCCCCCCCCCTCCAGTTGCGATGCCTGCGGGCCTTGCAACACAAATCGATCTCGGACCCGGTGGGCAAACTCCTTACTAGTCTCGGGCCTCCCAGTCTCCGTGGGGGGCATGACTGCAGCGGGTCACCATTGCTGTGGCTTTGGAGGCATCCCCTCGACCACCACCTGCTGATTCAATGCTTCCACCGCATGGTGCAGCACCTGCATCATGGCTTCTTCCCTTGCCTGTACTGCGGCCTTGGCTGCCGGCATCTTACCTCGCGGGCGGACCCCAGCAGCTGACGCCTTCATGGCATCAGGCACTGACCTTCGGGGTAAATTCGGTGTCTGGCGGTGGGTCTGTCCCATATCCATTTCCGCGGCTAACAAGCCCAGTTTCCCCTTCTTTTCCGCCACCCTGGCACTCCTCCTAGGAGCACCCGCCCTTGCCTCCTCACTGACCAACACAGGCATGCTCACAATGTCAGACACATTGGTGGGAGGTGCGTAGTCATCATGGGCGACGTACTCACTAACCGCGCGCATGGTTCTAGCAGCATCGAAGTTGTATAACCATGATAGCGCATCGGGCAGCACATTATGCGCTCCAGGCACATATTCTACAGTGAAGTCAAATTCTCTGATCTTTTCCATCCAGCGAGCTTGACGCCCCGATAGGTTTTTCTGATTCAGTATGTATATTAAACTTTTGTGGTCAGTCAGCCAGATAAATGGGGAACCCTGTAAGATGTCCCTGTGCCACAGCATAGTTTCCACTCCTGCTAACAATTCTTGCTCATGCACAGCGTAATTCCGCTGCGCTGAATTCAACTTCGCAGAATAAAACGCGGTGATCTTTGCCGTACACCAATCTGTACCCTGTGCTATGACCCCACTGACGCCCGTCGGGCAGGTGTTGGTCATCATCCATACTTGTGGGGTCCCTGGCCCATAGACCAGTGGGACCCTATTGTGTCCGGCGCATGCGGACATGTATTGCTTGACCTCGTTGAACGCTTGTTGTTCAGTTTCCATCCACCGAAAAGGGACACTATCCACGCATACCGCGGACAACACCCCCAGTGGTATGCGGACGCGATATATATCATCTGCGAGGTAACCCACCGCACCTATGAATCCCCTGCATAGGTCCCGGTTAGTCAGGACCTTCCAGCTAAGAACCTTATCTACTTTCTCCTGGTCCATGCTGATGCCTTCATCGCTAACCACCCTTCCCAGGATTCGCATTACAGGTTCCAAGAACTTTAGTTTCTTCTCGCTCAAGTAGAGCTGCTTGCAATCGAGGATTTTGAGTATGGTGCGTACGTGTTCAATGCACTCCTCTAGCATGTCTGAATATATTATTATATTGTCTAGGTACACATCCATGAATATACCAATATGCTCGCCAAAAAGGTAATTCATTACCACTTGGTAGGTTGCTGGTGCGTTGCAGTCACCCTGCTGTAGGACATGACTGACCATATTCCCATCAGGGGTGGTCATCGTAGTCCAAGCGACGTGCTTGGGAACCACCTGAATTTGCTCGTAAGCATCCTGCCCATCCATCAAAGATCGGTAGGGTTTTCGGGCAATGCGCCACAAGATTCCCTCCATGTCTGGCAATGGCAAGGTGAGTTTTTTGGTGTTTTTGTTATGTTCGTGAAGATCCACGACCGTTCGCAGTCAATCAGTCCCCGGTTTTCGAATAAACAGCATTGGGACTGTGTTCCCCATGCTAGTCATTTCCCACCTACCAGAAGTCAGGTAAGCTCAATGTTTCTCCACCCACTGAGGTCTCATGGGCTCAGGGCACTGCGATGGGCGCCATGGATATATTTTAGACTCATCGATCAGGGGCACCGTGTGGTTTATCGCCCGTAATGGGGGCAAGCTTGTTTCCGACGCTTTAGCGCACAGCGGGCTAGCTAACTTTCTCAATAGTTCCCACATCTTTTCCAGCCCATCGCTGACAACGTCGGCAGCGCGTGATTCCAGCGTTGTGACCCCCTCCCCTCTCAATGGGAGGGGCCTCTGCTCATCTAATATAACAAGTGGTGGATTGAATCCAACCATGACGTGGTGTTGATAGAGGAACAGGGTTCCTAAGATTAGATCATAATTTTGTAAGTTAATCATGTCAAAATATCTTTTATAATTGGTCCCTTGATATTGAAACCTCACAGACATCCCATAATTCACCTTTGATTGTGAACCTTGGACGGCCAATTGAATTGTCAATGGTTTCTCCAACACGGTGAGTTGGCATTTTAATTGTTCCGCGGTCATTAGTGATATGAAATCAGCCAGCGACCCCATATCTATCAAGGCCCATGCTGGTCGTCCATCGACATGCACTACAACCACTAGTGGCTGGGGAATGGCTCTGGCAATATCCCTAGTTGTCGCCGAGTTGCACTGCAGCGCTGGGTAGGTGCCTTGCGTCACCTGCACCCCAAATGCCTCGCATGTCTCATGCCCGTTCCAGCCGTTGGGCATTTTATCGATTTCCAGCGTAGGCGTGGGTCGTGGGTAGGCAGCCTCACTAAACATATCGGCGAGTCCTTCATATAGTGCCTCATTCACCACTAATAGTCCCTTTTCCAGCTGACCTTTTGCTTGGCGCACTTGCCGCCGGTACCACCACACTGGGTTCCACTCCCATTCCCAAGTCTTGTCTTTTGACACGCGCGTTGAAAAGGCTAGTGAGTGATCATCAACTCTGTATTCCCTTTCACTTGTTTTTACACAGCTAAACCTTGGGCCATTGTTTGCGGACCAGCGCTCGTCGGTAGGGGCAATGTACTGCTCCAGCCACCATACTATCCTGTCCTCAATGGGTGTTCCCATTGACGCCCTTTTATTGGTGCATTTTCTTTCCTTCCAGTGCAGCCAATTTTTATCATACCCATACTGTTTTCCCAGGTACATCCAGTACATCCGATCTACCCTGCAGCCTGGGTTTTCTAGTTTTGATCGGGGTACTTCCAACCTGAATCTGCGGTGCTTATGGTGATAGTCCACAATTATGTACGTCCCATCCCCTCGTTCGCGTACACAGAACCTGTCTGGGTCATCCCAGGTGGCAATATGGTCTTCACCTTCTCTATCATCGCCTGGGAACTTGATGCCCTGTAACCATTCTTCCACCCGTCTCGCAATGGGGTCTCGGAACCTCGTCACTGAGGGCTGGTCATTTTGGTCTGATTCGTCCTTGTCAGTTCCGCTTTTGGGGACCTCCTCCATGAATAGACCTACAGACCCCAGGTATACTCCATCCTGTGTCTCACTAACGTCTGCTAACTTACGCAGGCGTTCTTCCTCACTTGGACCCACGTGGATCCCATAGCTAGGGATTCCAGGGGGCTTGTCAGGGGAGTCTGACTTTATATGCGTGTTCTTGGGGCACTGTCTTGACACATGTCCTAGCTCCCCACAGATATAGCACCTGCCTTCTGCTCTTTGGCATTCGCGTTCTGCTGGACTAAGGGTGTCGGTTGATCTAGCGCCACCCTTCCCGATACCTCGGGAGTTGTTGCCTGTCGGTAGGTACCTTTGCGCTTTTGCTAGCTCATTTCGTGGCTCCCTTGCAGGATTTTTTCGAGGCATTCTCAAGGTCCCCCCCACGTGGGGCCTGCGAATTATCCCCATGCGTCCGCTCTCTTTCTCTGAACCTTCTAGAGGTTGATGGCCTTCTGATCGAGGGAGATGCGCTCGACACTTCCACAGCGCTAGTTTTGTCTCGCTGTCCAGACCGTTTGCCTCACCCTGTCGGGACTGAGTGGGCAATTTCTATGATTTTGGCTGCGACCTGGACCTCCTTAAAGGTAGATATTTCCGGGTTTAGCTCCTTCTTCCATAGCTCTTGCTGAATGTCTGTATTCAGCCCTGTCCATAGACGCGTCACTCGGTCTCGTTCATCCACATCCCCTATCATGTTCCAGAGCTCGTTGAGCTCGTATACATAGTCCCTCACAGGTTTATCGTTCTGAAAACAGCACTTCAGTTTTTCCCTCTGTTTTGTTCTAAAATTTATAGGAAAGCAGTAGTTGAACATTTCCGTGAAGAACTCGCGAAGCCTCCACCGGTAAGGGTCTCCAGAGACTTCGCGTATATAGAACTCATGTGCTTTGTTTTTCAAAAAAATGAGACAGCACAAACACCTTTTTCTTGGATTCCACTTTCCCGTCCTCGACGTACGCCGTCCCTTCAGTTATGAACTGATGGAAAGCTCTCAAGTCGACGGCTCCATCATACAAGGTGGGCGGTATTGGCCGCAAGGTGGTCTCCCTTTTCTTCAACCACTTTCTGCTATCCTTCTTGCTCTTTCTTTGGGCATGTTCGCTACTGGAGCTCAATTCGCTCGTTGACGAGCTCAAGCTCGAAGATGAGGACTCTGAATCATCCCCGTCGCTGTAGGCCTCTCCAAGGTGTCCCAGAGCTTGTCCAATGTAGGACTTCGGCACCACTTGATGGACTGGCTCCATCGCCTAGGGCATACGTCAGTGGTCTCGTCGGTCACTGGTAGGCCTCACCACCTTGTCTACCATCCGGGTCACTGGGTCTGTTATCCCTGTTTTCCTTCTGACAGGATTCGGTTCTTTTGGGGCTCGGGAACTTGTGAGTTCCTTTAATTTAGCCTCATATTCCTTGCGTAGTCGCTTTTCTGCTCTAGCCACTGTGGCTTTGATGGCCTGGTCTCTTTCGACAGTTTCCAGGACTGAGTCCCTTTGTCTCCCGGGCTTGGGAGGCAAATGCTTTTCAACAGGGGTTTCCTGCTCGGTATCAGAGGAGTCCCTTGACTCTTCAGCTAGGTCCTGAGCTTTCCTGTATGACTCGAGCGCTGCTTGTTGCTCCTCTAGGTCTATCTCTTCTTCTTCTGCAAGAGCTCCCCAATTCCCAGGGTTAACACCCTTGCCTTTAGAAGTTCCTTCTTCCCAGGTCTCAAACCTGGGTGTTGTCATGGTCTCTTCTTGCTGACTTACACTTGTCTCGTGTCGTTCCCACATGTCTCATTCTGTCGAGGTAAGCTGTTCTATTGCAGCGTTTACAGTTTCTCTTTGTTCACTAAAGAGTTCTTCCAGTCACCGTCATTGTCATCACTCGCGGTCTCAAAGGTAGCATGCTCCAATGTTATGTTGGGCATTGTATTATTATTATCGTTGATTTCAGCGCTTGTTACAGTGTTCAAGGCTAGGGTACTCTCCTGCTCGTCCCAAAGGTCTCAAGCAGGGCTACTCGCTCTGACCACGTCGCTATACGAGCAAACTGATCTTAAAGCAGACTTTTCCTCTTTATCGATCTCGATGGATCGCCCCTCAGAGGTCAATGGAGACTCAACAGAGTCGGGCAGCTCAGCTTTATTGCCAGGGCCCTCCACCGGAGTTTTGGCGCTAGAGAGTAGGTTAACTATGAGGTTCCCAAAGGCGTCACTTAATTTAGCATTCTTATCGCCTGCAGGAGTTGATAACGAGCTAGCTCTAGCGCGAGTTCACAAGCGCAGGTTATACTGGGTTTTCTGGGACATATTTGGTGGTTATGTTTCTCGTCACTATTTGTGGAACGTGGTGGGCCAGACCAGTTGACTGAGTGACGAAAAGATAGTTGATAAAAGAGGAGGAAAGGCTTGGAGAAGGTTAAAAAATATGTGACGGCAGGTAGAAGTTTGTTAGACTTTAGATGGCGGCACAATGTTAAATAGAATATGATCTCGCGCAATACTAACCAGATACCAGCCTAGTTGTGATTGGGAGAAATTCTAAGGGCTAAGTACAATAACACGACTCTAAATAATGTCGAAGCGTACGAAGCCTGTGATAACGAATATCAGATGTAAATAGGAAATACTAATTATACGGTTTCTATAATGGACTTGGGCGGACAAAAAGTTTTCGTGGTTTTCCTTGAAACCTTTCATTTCCAAATAAAGATTTCACATTGCTTTGTAAGAGTTTTGACTTCGACTTCGGCTTTCACTTTCAGCGTTCAACGTTCAACGTTGACCATTTCTCAGCGCCTGATCGGGAAGTTCCAGGCTGTCTCTTACATCATCATGACCAACCCGCCAACCCTGCCATAAGGTCCAGTCTTCGCTGAGGGCCATGCCCGAGGCAATTCAACTAACAAATATCTATGATTCTTTCACCCAACTTGGCGAGAGAGTCCACGTCACACTCAGAACACAGCTTGGTGATATTGGTCGCTTGAATGCTCAAAAAGCTGTCTGCCTTCAATTCCTCGAAGCTATTGAACAGGTGTAGTTACTTGTGGTGTCGCTAGGACATGATCTGATGGTTATCTCAGCATTTGAACATCATCCCACCTGCAGAAAGACATGTAATCGAAGCCAGTGTGGATCGCATGATTCAAGAGCTAGATGTTGCCACAACAATATCATCTGATCCACCAGATGCCAGCCCTGTCAACCTAGGAAGTCATACCCATACCGGTGCTGTCGGGAGACCCAGCATTCACATTCTTCCATCTGATCTTGCTGTACTCTCGTCGGGAAGGGTAACGAGGAGGTGCCTGGCTGAACTCTATCAATGTCATCCCCGCACCATTCGCCGTCAACTACTCAAATTCAACCTTTCTTCTCCCGGACCTCCAGTATATGTGGATGAGCAGCAGCCTGATGGTAGTATCAACCGAATATACCACCGAGGATCTTCAAGTGATCTCTCTACAATTTTGGATGCTGAACTCGATAGATTAATACTGGAACTCCATCAGCAATTTCCGTCCTTTGGACGACGGATGCATGATGGCTATCTTTTGCAGCTTGGCTACTGCATCCCTCACAGTCGTATTGAAGTATCATATCTACAGGTTGTTGGTCCATCTCCTGCAACATTTGGTCCACAGCGAATCCAACGTCGTAGCTATTCTGTCCCAGGCCCCATGGCCCTGGTTCATCATGACGGACAGCATGGTGCGTTGTGTATGAGTAGTATAGTAAAACTACTAATTTATTCACAGGTCTCATCCACTGGAAGCTAGTCATACACGGCTTCATTGACGGATTTTCTCGTTATGTTCTAGGAATCTGTGTTAGTAATAACAACCGCTCTGAGACTGTGCTCTCTTTATTTGAAGATATTGCTATGATCCATGGGTACCCGAGCCGAGTGAGAGGCGACCATGGGACAGAAAATTTACTTGTTGCTGCCCGGATGGAAGAGGTACGTGGAATTGAGCGTGGCTCATACATATGGGGCAGGTAAGTATTATTGAGCTTTCCACATGCTAGCCTGTTTTAATTATATCTGCAGGAGCGTTCACAACATCCGGATTGAACGTCTTTGGGTGGATGTGACAAACGGTTTAGGGCAGAAGTGGAAGGAATTTTTCCAGACTCTTGAAGCCTACGACAACCTCAACATGAACAATGATTCACACCTGTGGCTACTTCATTTCCTATTCCTCCCTTTGATCAATGATGATGCAAGCCAGTGGGCAGCCTCGTGGAATCACCATGTTCTTGGGCGTCGTGGAGAGCCCCATCGGTCGCCCCATGACATGTTCATCCAAGGTATCATTGAGCACGGGCATCGAGGGGTATTTGTTGAGTCGGCTGAGGACCAGGAGGTAGAAGATATTGTCAGCTATGGCATTGACTGGAACGACCTGGATGACCAGCGTCTACTGGCTCATCACAATACTCATAATCCCGAGGACGGTGATTCAACTAATCCATTTGTATCAAATCATCCTGATTCCGATCTATCCCATGTTGAGGTTCCTGTGTCCCGTTGTCCATTTACAGACGCTCAACTTCAGTCTTTTCTCTCTGATGTCCAGCCACTTCTCGATTCTAGTCTCTATATTGATATGCACTCACGCCGTCTACTTTGGATTCAAACATTAGCATTAGCTTCTTCTAGATCCGAGCCTAATACTTGAAATTTGTATATACTACAAGGACTCCCCTTCAGTCGGTACTTTGTGTTTATAGTAGCAATTCAAAAAATACAATGTTAGCGCAGTCTTGCTTTTCGTTCTTTCATTCGTCTCCCCAAACAGACACAGCATGTCTCTTCTTATTCTGAGGGGCGGTGTTGAGTTGAGCGTCAATGACCTTTCGAATAGCATGCCCCGCATCGGATGGATTGAGATATTACTCCCACAGCTCTGAGAAAAGAGTCAAACATCTCGACGCACGTGTCTATGGCGCTGGATCTGTTCAACTATTCTTCACATGCAAAACTCACACATGCACAGACGCCACACACACACAAACGAGACGCACACACATAATCACTCCGTCACATACACATTCTTGTATTGTAAGAAAATTAGTACTGCACTATGATCATTCATAAAATTCATTGATGCTCCAAGGTATCCAACTCTGCACGTGTCAACATTGGGCCAGGCTCCGTGATCAGAGCTGCTGACAACTGCTGAGCCGATCTTGAAACGCCTCGCAAGGCTGCCGTGAGGTTGAAAGAGTCTGGTGAGGCCTTACGAGACGAGTATGCGCACCAAAAACTTCACCAGCAACTTGTTGATCAAAAGGATAGGGTCATCCAGTCCCTGGATCTGCACAAGAGATTCGGATCAGCTCTCTGGCGCTTGCCAACCGAAGTTCTATCCCACATTTTCATCTTCTGTCTCCCAGAAGTCAAGTACTTGTCGCCCGCATCAAAGTTGGCCCCTATGCTGCTGACCAGAATATGCCAACGATGGAGGGAGGTTGCTGTGGGCATGCCGAGTTTGTGGTGTATGCTCAGAACTGTGGAAGTCGACCACAGAGACTGGCAGCGGCAAGCCTTCTGCTATGACTCATGGCTCAAGCGATCACGAGGACGTCCGCTCTCGTTAGCACTCAAGTGTGTCGCAAATGACACGACTGACCTGCGAAGCCTTCTTCAGCCTTACATCAATTAAATTTCGTCTCTCTCAATCTATTTTTCCTGAGAAGCGGATCAACCTCATCTTTTCTTAAACGACCTTCCAGAACTTCAGGAGCTAACCATTATCATGCTACACGGGCCAGCTATTTCACACATTTCACAATGAATCTCGCAGCTGCCGTTCACTCTGATCAGTCTCAAGTTCATATGGCTGTTATTCGACATCAAGCTCTTATCTTCTTTCACTCCCATATGGGCCCACCTGACGCATGTCAAGATCACGGTGGATCAACCAAATGCATTCCACCACTTGCTCCAGCTAGGTCCTAACCTCTCCTCATTGACGATCGATTCAGTGCGAGTAAAGGTGAACTGCTTGAGCTAGCCAAGACTCAGGTCAGATATCATCTTTGAGATTCTCATCACATCCTGATTTTTCTTTGCAGCTTGACATCATTGGCGTCAAAGTAGGTCATTTGCCCCAAACACCGCCCTTTGCAACCACATATATGGAAGAAACGCCTGCCCTGCCTTTCCAACGAATTGGTGAATGCTCATCGACGCAGCGAATAAGCAATCACGAGGTCATGCTAGCTATTGGGAACGAGGAACCTTTTTATGACTTGTATTGCACAACTTTGAATCGTGCCATCGACATGTACGTGAAGGCTGGCCGTCGCAAATTCGCGCTAAAGCTGCATGGCTTCCTCGCCGCTCTAGACATGTAAGCATAGTGTTTGACATACGATCCACCCTCTCATTGCAGGATAGTCATCGAGGACGCCTAGAGAGTGCTCTGGCAATTTTTACATCCTTGCCTGCTCACTATGCACCTCATATGTGGACATCACTAGAATCCTTCATGCTCTCTCATGCAATCAACATACATGCCGAGCTGGAGCAACCCTGAGACCGAGAATGGATACATATCTTGCTTGCATTTCTAAGGACATGCACAAATGACGTGAGCACAGAGCTAGTAACAGAAGAGAATGGGGAAATGGGTGTTACGCAGCTTGTTGGAGCACTTCACACTGCTGTGATGCGTTTAGACTCAGGTATGTGTTGGCCGAACGCATTGACAATCTGATCATGATCAATAATTGGCAAATTGCAGACTTGATTCACTCAGATCATCCTATCATGGCAGTCCAAGTATCCAGCGATGCTACCTGTAGTGACGATGAAGACTTAGCCTTCGTTGATGCTATAATTTCAAACCACCTCCCATGCGTGCGTGTTCGCGTGTTCAAACATTATTTCTAGAGCTGATGTTGTTTTCAGGACGTGCTGGTTGACGAAGTTAGCGTGACAATGGGTGGTTGAGATTCTGAACGTCTGAAGTTCATCGCAAAGGTGGATACACTTCCTCCTGGCCAATCGACTGTAACTTTATCTTGCCCAGTGCGTCTGACCATCTCGAGGGTACTCCGTGAACTGACCAGCACATCATTACAGACATCCTCTTGGGGTCTCTATGCTCTTGAGAGCAGCGAAGTGGTGATGTCCCATCTCCACTTTCGATGGCAACATACGGGTACCATGGCCACTACTTCGAAGAGGAATCATGTTTCATTGGTGCGCGTGCCACGTAGTTTGCACACTTTAGATGTACAAACACGACAACCTCAGCAAAGTAAGCGGTATGATTTTTTGTTCTGTAATAATTCTAACTTATGGCTTCAAGCTGAGCTTGGAACGACATCGCGCCTTTTACTTGTTATTTCTACTGACCAGAACGACATCTTGTGGGTGACTATTACTCCTGTCGACACGGACATTGTAATTTCGCTTCCTCACTCTGATGCTTCGAGATATCATACAATGGTAGGTGTTTTTCCCCAAAGGAGAGCTCTTATTCATTGCTGCACTGAAGAAAATCGGACTAAGTGTGATGTATAGCACACAATCCTCGCCGGGTGTGATCCGCACCCTGCAAACCTCCAGAGTTGTTACAGTCTCACTACCCATAGCAGTGAACGTAGAACACTTTTTCCGCGGCAAAAGGTTCGACCACTACCTCGCCTCGCACTTTGTTCTGAAGTCCTTTTAGATTGTTTTCGAAGTTTACTATCTCGACCACTTCCCACCAGTATGTTCGAATATCATCGACGGAGCTGCAGGGTCCACCGAGTCTCGATGGGGTGAAGATCTCAGGTTGTCGTCCAAGCCGTCCTGTTGTGGTAAGATTCCTATCCTTTTGTTGTTTGCTGAAGAAGCTAGATTCTATGTAGACCGTTACGCCAGAACATCCCGTGAACTTCCTGCTCTCCATAGAGTCTTCAAATGGACCTGGTGCGTTGCTAGTCAGTTTGCTTGTTGAGTGCTAAAAGAAACGCAGTTCTGGAGCCACTGAACCTCATCATCAAGTACCGCATACTACGTGACGGTGAGGATTCTCTCACATCTAGTGTTGCCTTGACTGCAACTAGTTATTCAGAGGTTGAGGCATTGATTTGACAAACGGTGGAAGCTGTTTTGTCAAGTATGTCAGATGAGAAGCCCCAGTACAGCTCACTATGACGCATACTCATTGACAAGCTGGTCGCACACCTGGAGAGTGACGCTGAATGGGTAGAAACGTACAGGGCTACTGGTGAAATTGTCTTGCCTCATTCGTTTGAAGATGGCGGGGATTTCCAGGGACCTATTCGGGAGGTTCGTTTGTCGATTCCTCGTTCTGTTGGTCTTGCTCACCGCGCGTTACCTTTAGGCATTGGCGCAATGTCGCTCCGAGACTGCATCGCCCTGTCCTTGGAGAGAGATCAAGATACCGGTTGATGTCCCAAGGATGAACGTTGGTGTTTCCCAGTTGCCCACCATGCACACCCAAATTAACTTGGTTTGTCTGTGATAGATCGTGACCGCAGCACAAATCGCTGTTCAACCATCACTCCCCAGTGACACACGATCAGATCAACTACTGCCAATTTATGCAGGCCAACCAATCCCTGCGACCCTCATCTTCAAGACCTCTTTTCATTGGGCTGAGAAAGAAGGTAAACAACGCAGCTATAAGATGCGATACAATGTCGAAGAGCATGTCAAGGATTGGCTTTTGTGTGGACGAAAGCGTGGAGATTTCGTCGCAACTGTAAGTCCTTTGATAGCTCTTCACCACGGCGAAATTACCTTACCCAAGGTCGACGTCCAGCCACTGCCAATATCAACGCAAGGCTCGATGAGATCTACGGTGCCAAGCGCTGACACTTGTCAGGTCCATGGGGCTGAAAAGGTTTTGATTTTGCCCAGAGGTGGCAGAAGTACATATATCGTAGGTATGGGAGGCGAAACCGAATGAATGTACTACTATTACTTCAGGGATAATTTCTTTCTTGCGATTCCACTGCAGTCGTCGCTTGCATTTTGTTGTTTTCTGGACAACTTTCCTTCTGGATATCCAAACCAAATCCCGAGGAGCATCAAGGAATCCACTTGTAAAGGAAAATGCGTGATAAATCAAACGCATTCTGCATGGAGGACTTTGCATCAGCAGCGAGAAAAGAGCGCGCAAGGAGAATCTGAGTGGATGCCAAGACGAGCATGTGTCGAATGGTCACAAAGAAGCCGTGTCGTTTGAAGATGATGACAAGTAGACCTGGCAGATACAATATTGCCGACATTTTTATAGAGAGAGCCAGGCTAAGTGTACAGTTATGGACGTTCTGAGGAAGAAAGTATAGTGCTCACCTGAATAACAAGATGCCTATGTCATCCCAAGCGCTCTGGAAGGCTAGAATCGCCGCTTGGACAAAGATTATAGACCAGCAGTCATTGAACAGGCAGCGAGACAGCTAATACATATTTTTCAAACATTTCGTGGCGTTTCTGACTTATCGATCAGTCAGGTTCATCAAGTAGTAAGTACCTCCCTTGAATTTCTACTCGTTACAAGTTCATGTAGTTTAGCTATCCACGAACAGAGGAAGGACCTGTGAAGGCGAATGGTGTAGGGTGTGACATGGGTGCACCTGGGTGGCACCTGTACCCAATCCGCGGGTAGGTGGCACTCTGAAGGCCTACCCGTACCCATACGGGTCAGACTATCATGGGTGTGGGTGGATCCGTGGGTGGATCCGCAGGTGGTACAGGTCACCCGCGGGTGACCTAGCGTATATTTTGTAGAACTGTAGGTATGAGAACATATGTATGAAATATATGTAAATCAATTAGAGTCGACGTCAATTGTGTCACGGCGTGAGTCCTTCTCTTTTCCCTTCTCTTTTCCCTTCTTCTTTCCCATTTTCTCTCACATGATTTTTGTAGCGATGCTGAGGTCAGGCATGAGGGGTGTGTTGAACCAAGATCCGACGGCGACCTGTGCCTTGAAGGTCTGCGAGCTAATACCGTGCTGAAGGTGGTTAACTTGCAGACGGCCACCGGAGAATGCCCGTTCGGCGTCAACTGAAGAAGCTATACGAGTGTCAGTACTAGTAGTGGGTACAAGCACTTGTGAGCTGTCATACCAGGTGCTGACAAAAAATCAAGTGCCATTTGTGCTAGTCGAGGTCGAGTGGCATGGGCATTCTCCCAATACTGCAGAACTCCACCTGCAGCATTGAGCTCAGTCTTTGATACACGCGGGGAATCGAGGTAGGCTTCAATGGAGTCTGGGCAGATGAAATTATCTTCTCTGTCCTCTTCATCACTCAGGCTGTGGGCAGCCCATTTACTAGAAGTGCAGCGGAGCTGCGAGACAGGTGGGTCTGGAGCCTTGGTTGGGACTGGTGGCGCGAGCATCGCATATGACTCAGTCCACCGCGCATGAACGATGCGCTTACCTTCCTCACGGTCGCTCTCACGCCAATCTGGGTTCCGGTCGAACCAGTTAAATTTTCTATGGGGGCACATCACTAGTATAATAGCTCAACAATCAATAGGGTGCTCGCACTACAGCTACTTGACACTCACCGATGGCAATTCGGTAGACCTCGTTGTCATCTGTCAGGGCATAATATTTGCCGACAACTTGGAGTGCTGCTTTGGCAGCAATGTGGACGACGGGCGGTGAATCATCGGTTGCATTGTAAACACGGTCCAGAGCATGTTCAAGACTTTCAAGCATAGGGACGACTTCATATATTAATGGTACCTCGGCTTGTGAGAAAACGTTTGTAAGGTCATTGAAAAGCTAGAGGCTCATATCAGCGTCGACATTTGTGAATCGATGACCTAGAAAATGACCTGACCTTGAGAACAGGTACAAGATGTTTTCACTTATAATCTCGTCATCAGTATTGCTCCAAATCGCTATGTCAGACTGCTCTGCTTTGGCAAGCCGCTTCTTTTTTGGAGACTCTAGAACAGGAATCGGAGATGCCGATCTTTTGGTATTTGTTGCTAGTGACTTGGGTGTCGAAGACGCGCCCAAAGCTGAGTTGAAACTGGGAGTCCTTGCGGGCATGGAGGATCGAGGTTAACTGACGACGAGAGAGGGTGACAACTAGCTGTGAAGTGCGCTGCACACATCGAATTTAAATATATATGCATCAGTTGGTGGTATATTGACAGGCACCCTCTGATAACGACCAATATCCATCTGAAACTAGTTTATGAGGACTGTCGTCATACAGCAGTACTCGAGCTTGATTTTGACATCGGATAAGTGCAAGTAGGGAGGCACAATATTCATCTGAAACTAGCTGGCATTCGGCCGTCAATCGTTTCCTATTGGGGTACTAGACCACCCGCGGGTACCCGCGGATACCCAACTTTAGCAAGCCCTCTGACCCGTACCCGTGCGGGTGAGCCATCCGTGCCACCCGCCACCCGTACCACCCGTCCCACGTTCCATCCGCAGGTGGTACCCGGGTGGGTACCCGGGTAGCCCTCACCCATGTCACACCCTAGAATGGTGTTGGATCCGTCATATGGAAAATGCGCTTGTAGGCTGCCACATTCTATCTCTCAACCGATGACATGATAATGAGGGCATTACTAACTTACAGGTTGTCAACATAGGCGATGCAATGGACTTCCTTTCTGGTGGGTACTACAAGGGCATGATCCACCGCATTGTCCAGCCCCCAGTGGACCAGCAGAACTATACTCGCCTTGGAGTATTCTACTTCACCATGGCTAACGACGATGTCAAGTTGATGCCGATGGTTGAAAGCCCAGTCTTGCAGAGAGTGGAAATCCAGAGACGTTGCGACGATAGGTGAAGTGCCCTTTGTGCAGGTCCGTTAATGCGGTGTTGACGACCATTCCTATTGGTGTTCTTGCACAGTCCGTTTTCACTCGTGTACTTCCAATGTTCCTTGCACAGGACCCTTCGGTCCCCTTCTACTTCAGGTTGTAGAGCCAATACATATCGTTGTCATCCCAATCTGAAATCGGGAGGTGATCATAGACCACCTTGTGCGAGTTCCTCTTTGAGAACCACAGTATGGCACGTGAGAATTTATTTGTCATCGTGAATCTGATCAATTTTTGCTTCGCATCTTCTTGGACTCGCTGATCTGTGTTGAACGTGCTGTAGGTCGGCGCTTTGACAGATACAGGTCATCCATTTACTGGCTTGATAGTCGTTATTCTTTCATACCATGGCTAAACACGGCATCCGCAGTGCGGCTGGATGAGCTAAAAAGGATGCACGATCCCGAGCCTTCTGGGACCCGAAGAAAATCAGAGCTGCGGTTGAAAGGGATTTGCGTGAGTTGATTTGCATGTATCCACATAGTTTTCTACTAATGTGCTTGTCAGATGTCCATTACATCAAACAGTTTCCATCAGACTTCCTGCACATCCAATGCAATGGAGCACTCGTTCGTGAGAGGGTTCAGCAGGTCTACCAGTCTTCTCCAGACCAATTGGAGAGCATGCCTCAGCAAGGCAAAATTCTGCTGCCGCTCAGTCATCTTCCATCTGGCAGTGTCCCTGCTGGTATGCCTCCCCATCTGGCCATGCGGTATGAACACTTTGTATCTGAATTGCACCAGGGACGGCTACTCCGACGGTGGGATGATGTAATCGCAACCCATCCCAAACATCATCTTAAGGCAGATGGCAACCGTTCCACCACTGATGCATTTCACTTCGGGGTGTGGGAGGTAACTGCCTCGAAACCACGCCTGACCAGGGAGACGAGGGAACAATCACCGGAGGCGAAGAAAGCCATTGATGAGCTCCTCGGGTATGTCCAGTCGTTCATAGCTCCCAATATTGGCACTGCATTGGAGCAGCACGCTCCACTCCATGCTGAGGCAATGGCAAAGTGAGCTATTTGTTGTAATTGTTGCGGTAGGCAGTTGATCGACATGACAATCACCAGAGCCCACTCTCGTGTCCGCCAACATCTGAAGCAAGACCTTCTGCTCCGGCCCATGGTGGATATGGGCGGATCATTTTTTGCTGTGGCGGTGAAAGAGTTTGGGTCGGGTGTGGTGCACATTGACTGGAACGACAGTTGTGCGCTGTACGCATACATCTTTGCAGTTGGTGACTGGGAAGGAGGTGAGTTTTGTATCCCGCAGCTGGGTATCAAGATTCCTGTGCGTCCTGGTCAAGTGCTGGCTGTGCTGGCCCGGGTGCTGGCCCATTTCAGTGCTCCAGTGACCTCAGGGCGGTGCATTGTCTTTACCTGCTTTACTGATGCATTGCTATTTGAACACTCCCATCCTGATGTGGTAGTTGTTGGCCATTAGATTCTGCTCTATTGCTTATCATGCAGGGTCAATGACCCTGCAGCAGTCCCTACTATGCTAATTCCATGCTTTCCTCTGGTTTTATGTACTTGCACTCTTGTAAGGTGTTGGGAAGCTGTGCATGCATATTCTAACCCTAACCCTAACTAAATGCTGTATTCTAGTTCGTTCCTCAGGAGGTGTCAGTTGGGCTGTAGGTGGGCGGGCTAGCACCGATTCAATGCTGCGGTGGGCACAACGATTCATCAGGTCAATAAACTCTCAGTGATTGGACCTAGGAAGTTGCAAGAAATGAGGAACCTCAGGAACAGGACAGCACTCGCAGAGTGGATGATGCTGCTAGGCCTCCCCATCATACAGCCCTACTGCAAGACAATGCGCAAGCGGTCACGACAGCCATACAGAGCATGTTCATCTCCAACCATAATGTGCCTGCTGATGTGAATGCTGTCAAGCAGGCGTCAGCACTCCACTTAATGCTGTGTTGCACACTAAATCATTGTGTATCGTGCAATTTATTAAAGTTTGCTTTGGAGTATCATACGAGACAATACTTTATGTTCTACAAGATTACTGAATTTGATGGTATGAATGCGATAAAACAGAGCTGCTGCAATATGAGTGATAACTGGTACCGACAGAAATTAGTAAAAGGAAGCGATGACAAACATCTGCCATGGTAATGAATATTTAGCGTTATTGATAATGTAGAGAGTCTGCAACATGAACGGAGAAACATATGAATGTGCAGTGGAATTATATCTGGTTATAGGAGTCAGAGGAATTTCCACTGATGACAGAGTGGATCCATCGATCAAAATCAGTTGCGGAGTCGTTGTCTGGGATTGATTGGTTGATAATGTTGGCAGTAGTTTCGTTCAGCAGTACGTCTAATGTGTAAAAACACGTATGCAAATCAAACTTGATCTGCGCAGTGAAGTCAATAACTTGATTTTTTAGAATTTTTGCCAGGGGACACGTACATTGATTGTTTGTGTTGGATTGATCGGAAGATATTCATGTGCAGTGGAGCTGCACAAGAACAGGCGGGATCTCAACAAAGTGTCGTCACTGTGAGATGGCTCCTCAAAGAGTATACTACCATCTGAAGCATGAGGGGCACCGCATCCATGCAAGTAGCACTTTAGATGCGCCATGAACTGTTCAGCTAAGGTAGCATAGTCCAGATCTGGAATATATCCCATGCGCAAATGGATTGAGCGCTGCTCAATTGGCCGATAGGAAATGAGGTTGATAACTTGCTGAGGGGAGGTTAGTGTACGACCAGCGAACATCCCTTGTATGATAGATTGGGCAGAGCCAGGTCCATTGATGTGAAAATACTGATAGCAGATTAGAAATATCCAAATGCCAAATCACTGACTCACGTCACGAAATTTCATGTCATCGTGGATGACATGATTGAATGCAGACTCTAGAGCAGCATAGACTGCATGCAGTCCATGTGCAAGAGGCGTCTCATTCCCATAGATCATATGACATACCAGCCGCTGTCCAAGGCTTTCCTGCGCTGCTTCAGACAGCTGGCGTAATTGACTGATCTGCAATGTAGATAGGTTAGATGTGTATCATCTGTCCGGTGATCAGTCATCTACCTGTACTGTACCATCTACTTCCAGGATCATCGTGTATGGGTCACAGGCAAATGCAACATCGAGCTCCCTGCGGCCTGTAGAAGGATTGGTAATGACGGGCGGTGGCCATGAATGAAGACGATGACTTGTCAAGGGAGACATAACATCTAAAAATGGTTGTGCTACAGAGGTTTGATACGCATCCAGCAGGTATACGAGTACATGGGGCGAGATAGGAAGAAGCTCCATCTCCAGTATGAATCCAGTGCAGATGATGATACTATAGGCACGGAATGAAATAATGTCATCATCTGATGGGGGAAGCGATGTTACTGTTGGCACGTAATACCCAGTGTCAGAAACCAGTTGCCAATGACCAGAATACTGCGTTATGAGTGTGATTAAGGCACCCCAAAAGGTGCGCATAGGACCATTTCCAACGCCATGCCCTCTGTTAAAAAGCTAATTAGCGCTTATGTTGACGATAATGAATTTGAACCTACATATTTGCAGTTATTGAGCCTATAACCATGTTCAAGGGCGTGCAGTCAGTTATCTCCACATCCTCTGGCAAAACTGGCTCGTCACTGGTGCCTACTTGACAAAAAGCCTTGCACACCGCCAAGAAGCCTTGAGCGGCTAGCATAGCGCTGGGGGCTGTGATGTCTATGACACGATTCTGAAGTCCAGCAGCAACTCTACTGGAGTCAAGATCGTGTCCGAGTGAGGTGCGCCATGCATGCAATGCTGCACGTGGGGACTGATGAGCAGCCACCACAGACACTGATGATGAGGAGGCCGATGGGGAGGAGGTCGATGGAGGGGAGGTCAATGGAGAGGAGGTCAATGGAGAGGAGGTCAATGGAGAGGAGGTCGATGGAGAGGAAGTCAATGGAGAGGAGGCTGAGAAAGTTGAAGAAATTGGCGATGTCAAGGCTGATGAAGGTATAGATGCTGGTATGGATGAAGGTTCGCTGGCGCCAGCTGCTGGCAGCAGAGGAGAATTAGAAAGTGATGGCAGAGACGCAGATGCAGCCAGGAGGGCATCTAAAAGACTTGATTGCCCAGTCTGATCAGCCGCTGGAACATCAGTGTTTGCAAGCAGTAAACTGCCATCAGGTAGCTGTAGCAAATGCGATGCTCTCCTGAGTATTGTTCCTGATATAAAATATAAGTGCGTACCTCCTCGGAGTCAGTGATACACAAAGAAGAGCAGTTGATCTCCTCGAGGTCTTCATGGAGCGATGACTCATAGTGGCCATTCCACATCCGAGGCGCCAGACAGCAGTGCATGCCATGGCCATTGACTGGCCCAGCAATGATATCCCACAAAGGGACTGTAAATATAATGTCAGCAGGATAGCGCTTGAGTAAGGATGGACTCACAGATGAATACAAGCTGATACTCGTGGTATGGTGCTGATGGCACAGGGAGTCTAGATCCGTTCTTTTGAAGGTCTCTATGTGTCACATGTTCAGGTGATGATCTTGAAGGAAGAAGCTTAGCCCCACGTGCAGAACATTGTCCTTTTCCTGTCATCATGAATGACCAAGGGAACTGAGAGGTTGGTGTTAGTTGGCCAGTTGATGATGAAGGTGAACTCGATCCAGAAAATGCGAGGCTGGCGGTCTCGAAGTGTGAACAGAGGTAGTGATGGAATGAAGAACCTGCTGCGTTGTCTTTCTGGAAGTTGCCTTCAATCTGAAACACGAGGCCCAAGTTGCGAGCCTGCAAGATAAAACTTCCAATTTTTTGTGGAATCGGTGCGCGCATCTCTCTGAACAGCTGCTCATATTCTGTGTGAACAGTGCCATGCATCTAGCACAGATAAGCAAAGATCAGGACAACAGGTGGACAACTCACAGGCTCAGGATGTACCACCACTAGGTACTTTGTGACTTCGCGCTGTTGGATGACATTTGATGACCTGGAGTTTCGACTGATACGACATGTTGAAGAAGAGGCAACAGCATTAACAGACCGTGCTGCCTGATTTCTGCAAAGGGTCGGGATCCCTGAAAGGGGCGATGGAGAAACACCAGGTCCATGAGTTGATAGACGTCAGTCATTGGTGGTTCCTGGTACTGGTGGTCCAGGTGGACTCCATGGAGTGAGGGAGGCAGCAGGCCATCCGGTGCCAGTCGCTGACATATTTGCTGGTGCAAGAAGTAGGCCAGTATTGGTTGAAACTGATGCTAATGGTGAGGCTGGAGGCTGAAGGTAGCCGTGCATGGGATTGGGAAAAGCGACTGGAGTTGAAAGTGAAGGCAAGGAGAGATTTGCGGAAGTGCTTGTGCTGAGTCGGCAGCTGCTGAAAAAAGAGGGTGTGCTGGGTTCTTGATTGAGTGGTGCAAGTGGTAGATGCTCATAATATGGACTAGAGCACAATAAACACGTCGCTCGAGGGTCTGCAGAAGAATCATTCTGACAACATTTCAGTCTGAAGCTAGAATGCATAAATATAAATATTGAATACGCACTGTCACAAATTGTTGTGCTGCTGAATCTGAACAACGACGAGGAGGAAGGGCCGGCACTTCAATGACTGCATGATCTTGCTCAGAATGCGAGCAGGCACATGTCTAACAAGATCATCAGTTTCACATCAAAGACGGATTCAGAAGCTTACCCCCAACATCTCAATGTACCCAGTGCAGCGACACCCGCTTCCATGACGGCACCGGGACATTTGTAGACTTGGCATGGACGTGGTCAGAAGAAAAGGTGGGGTTGTTCGAGTTTATTTTTGTTACGCACTTTTTGGCACTGGCCCGTGCACTTTGCCATCATTCCATCAAAAGTAAGGTCGAAGGACAAGGGACTCGAGTGGTTGTTGCAGACATCAGAGGCGTAAAGTTATCGTTGCAAAGAGATAAGTTCATGATCTATCAATGATTAATGATCTATTGCCAACAGTATCCTAAAATGGAAGTGTAATCACATCTTCCGGAAAGCGAAAGTTGATTTTGCAAAAGTGAACTCAGTGCTCACACAATTTGAAAGTGAAGGCATTGATATCAAACCCTTTTGAATTTTGTCCGCTCCGGCCCTTCATAGGTTTCAGATGGGTAAGGTCTCAAGCTCTCGAACATTCTATCTCTCGATCTTCTAAGACCTTTCTGCTGGCAAGGTACGAACGCCACACTAACTGCATCATGATATTTCAAACTTTCGGATGACCGTGACGGTTCCACAAACATTTGGGGTTCAACGAAAGTTCAACGAGGATCAACCTCCGATGATCACCCGGTCCGAAGCTACTATTTGTTATTTCTCGGACAATCAACCCACAGGACAGGCCGTCCTGGCATGAAATCTGCTTTTGGAGCAACATGCCCGGGGTCACGGAGTTCATTATATGCGTCACGATAATGCCTCCAGAGACTTCAGACTGATATAAAAGCCATCCGTTTGGATGGCTGAACTTTTACACCGCTTAGTTGAGCGTAGCATTTCACTGCTCTTGCTTGCCCCACATGCCCATCGACGAAGAAAAGAAATCAGAAAATGTGGTCACAGTGTCGAATAACGCTGATGACTCCAGGCTGATGACACTGGACGCCAGCCTGAGAATGGCGGAAGAGCGAGCGTTATTACGCAAATTGGATCGCCGGCTGATGCCCACTGCCACGGTCATATACCTCTTGAACTACATCGATGTATGCAACCATTCATCTATGACCTCAGCGTGCTCATGTGTAGGCGTAGCGTGTCGCTGTTACTAGTGCACGGCTGCAAGGTTTAGAGGCAGACCTCGGATTGTCAAGTGAGTGAAGTGGACGGCCGTGCTTACTGTCCATGCTTACTCGATCACATAGCCGTTCAGTATGAAACTGTTCTAGCTATTCTTTATGTAACCTATTGCCCAGCACAAGTGAGGAATGTTTCTGGACAACCTATGCGATCACACTGATAAAATCACACATGTGACTAGATACCCTCGAATATGGTTTGTTGTGCTGTTGTTTATGAATAAAGACTAACCGACTGTCTGCAGATTTTGAGTTATATTTCACGGTTTGTTGTGATTGCAAAATATTTTTGCTCTAGTCAATGCTAAGGAGACGTGCTCAGACCATCGCTGTATATTGGGGCTTGCGTTGTAACATGGGGTCTTACAAGTGCTTTAACCGGGGTGAGCCTAGGCGGAAGTTGTGACTTGTGCTTGCTAACCGCCGCACAGGTCACAACAAACTTTGCGGGCATCATGGCTTGTCGTATATTCATTGGTCTTCCTGAGGTAAAAGTGTCCTTTTTTTTCTTTTACAAACACGTGGGAGCTCAACGAATGTGGCTTTCCTCAGGCTGCATTTTATCCTGGCGTCATGTATCTGCTCTCGCGATGGTATACTAGGAAGGCGAGCATCCGGTTTTTAGAAATAAAATAAGTCTCCACTAATGTAACGCACGCAGGAGCTTACTGTGCGGTCAGCTTGGTTCTATGCCGGACTTCTAATCTCGAATGCATTCGGAAGTGTAAGTCGTCGCGGTGTGCTACGGCACCCGCTAACCATTCGTTTTAGTTAATTGCAGCTGGAATTCTCGCAAACATGCAAGGCAAACTGGGACTTGCGGCCTGGAGATGGTAGGATGAAAACCCTATTCTCATAGCAGTACCCTAACCGCAGTGTTGTGCCGCAGGTTATTCTACATAGAGGTATATGTTACTCATCCCCCGGATCTTGTGTTTTGATTCGTGGCTTAGGGAGCTATCACCATGTTCTTTGGCTTCTTGACCATGTGCGCGTCTCCTTGCTTCCATTCTTACTCAAAGTTGACAGCTGCGATTTCATCCAGGTGGCTTCTTCCAGATTTTGTAAGCAGTGCATCTTTAGAACGAGTTTCGGAGGATCTGACATCACACCACACAGCCCCACAACACTCGATGGCTTGACGCAGCGGAACGCCGCTTGGCTCAAGTTCGCCTCGCCGAAGATGCAGGGGAAGCCGACAAGGATGCTGACAACCTCACGTACGTCTAGTTTGAGTTCCATCGTTGCCTATCACTGACAAGGCACTGTTCCATATCACTTCCGTCAACTGGCAATCGTTCTGGACCCTGGTGTTACAGCATTTACGATGGCTTGTTGCTGGCTATCAAGGATCCAAAGACCATCATATTCATGTTTATGAGCTGCTCGCAAATCCTAGGCAACAGTGTCGTCAACTTCTTCCCAACGTAAGTATGTGGACAATCTTGAATGTATTGTACTAACATCTGGCGGCATAGCTTAACTGCTACGCTTGGTTTCAACACTACAGATACATTGTTGATGGCGGCGTAAGCATGCCATTCCGCTGTTGCATTCACAGTTGTGGCTCACTGTCATCGTCATCTAATCGCTAGTCCTCCATGGGTACTGGCGGCAGCCTTATGCGTACTCAACGGATGGCATGCAGGCAAATCTGATTCCTGGTAATGCAACACATTCATTTTGACAAAATGATTAGATAGGACTGGAGAACGGTTCTTCCATATGGCTAGCTGGTGGTGGGTGGCTATCGTCGGATACATCATCTCGCTATGCACTATGAATACGGGCGGGCGATACTCTTCCTTGTTCCTCATGACCACTGGGTATTGTGGTAAGTGCTCGTTGGAAAGCTGAACGCAGGGTTAACACGTTTCCGAAAGGATTTGCCTTGACATTGACCTGGGTTTCAAACGCCATTCCTCGTCCTCCAGCAAAACGCTCCGTAGCTATGGGACTTGTCAATGGGTTTGGAAACCTAGGTAGCATGTGAGGTCTCTATGTTCAGTGAAACGTTGGATTACTTACAGGTCTTCACAGCATGGGCTCCTACGTCTGGAATGCCGCGTGGGGCCCTCAGTACCATCAATCCATGATTATCTCATTGTGCAGTTTCGTTTGTTCCACATTCCTGGGCTTGCGTGAGTAAAATCACAACTTGACGATTTTGATGTACTCAAGCACCGATAGTAATGCGGTGGATATTAATCAAAGAGAACAACCAAATAGATGGGGAGGAGAAGAAATTGATGGAAGGCCCTGGACGCGAACGTATCGAGGAGGCTGCTAGATTGGAAGGAATTTCATTCGAAGAGGCTCTGAAAAGAAGGAAGAGCTTCAGGTATCTGTATTGATCTTTTAAGAGACTGTAATCATGTACGATAGATCTACTATGATAGGGTTGGACTCTTGTCACTTGGATTTTGTACTCCACTTGATTTAGAGGTTGACGTCGACTGCAAGAGTTTGAACTCGGACTATGTAACGGTTTCAGGAAGTTATTTGGCAAGAGCCTTGAAATATATGAGCAGTTCGACTTCCAGCCCTGTGACCAATACATGCCTAGAACTATCCACTCTCAATGGTTTTCGCTCGCAGGGGCAACTACATGATACGCTGTAGATGCCGTATTATGCTCCGTTTACACAGATTGGTTCCAAGGGAATCAATGTTTTTTTTGAAAAAAAAGTTACATCCTCGATACCAAGTATTACTACTTACAATGTGTATCTAAAGTCAGGCGCACGGTCTCCCAACTCCCGTAATTCTTCGTCCGAATACTGCACTTTCTCTCCCCGTTCCATTGCTATGCGCTCGGCGGCGTCACGCTGTGCGTTGATCCTCTTGTAAAGGAAAACCACAATTGGTAAAAAGATGAATCCAATCCCAACAAACATGAGCTCCACTGCGTCTGAAAAACAGTGAGTCAGTAGTGACAATGAAGTTGAAGTGAAACTTACGGCCGAGAATAAAACGAGGTGAGTCTTGTGACCGATAGATGACGGATGAAATTGCACCACTGAAGTTTCCGATGCCGATCTGGAGGGCCATGCCGACACCTCTCTTGTACTGGCCGGAAAGATTGTTCCCGAGCCTTTATTACCACATGTTAGCCTTGGTAGTAATGCGAGTGACAACGACAGACCAAGAAACTAAGCCAGGAACTGCTGCATAGCTTCCTATGACAATGAAGAAAGTCCCAAAGTACTTGACACCGTCAGGTGCGGTGGATATATTTATTGAAAAGCCGACGAGACACATTACAAGGCCGGCAAGAATGAAAGGGAATCGCATCTTCAACTTGTCCGAGTAATACGCAAAAACGAGCAATGTGATAGCTGAATCCAACAAGTCAACGCACGAGATTGCAGATAGAAACGTAAGAAGACTGACTTGCGGCGATATATGGTGGTACAGTGAGCAACTGGCTGACTGGTGTGCTATATCCAAAGCTGAATGCAATTGAGTAGATGGATCATGATTCACTTGTGATAGCAGACCTCTGGATGATCGTTCTGGCATTGAAATATTTTTAACACCATCTCTGAAAATCCAGTAATGGACTTACGGGAGAAACAGAGTGATGCCGTACACTGGGGGTGCTTCAGATCAGCGTCTGCCATCTCCGAGCAGCAAATGTGTATCGCTTACAAGGCCCAACAATTGACATGTAAACGAGGATGTGAAGCCAGACCTAATCATTTTGTTGAAGCACAAAACACGACGACGCTCGTAGTATCGGTATCTTACCTGCCAGTCCCCGAATGCGGCCCAGACGTGCCTGGCTGCAAAACCCTCTTCCTCGCCCACTGATGAATTGTCGTATTCTGAAAGAAATCTACATCGTATCTGCCCACTCAGCATCTATTGCCCGACTCACTTTTCTTCCAGACGATAAAAGCACGCTCTTCCGGGGTCAAGAATGTAGCTGTGTCCGGAAAGTCTACCAACACTGGGCGATCATATGAGTGAGCCCTCTGGGTGATCAAATAAGTGGTGTACGCACCAAAGAGAGCAATGATGGCTACAACTATTGTTGCAAGGCCTTCAAGCAACTGCATGCAAGTTCTGAGTATGACTTCGGTCTTTGATCATAAACGAACTCACGAAGATCCAAGACCATCCTTCGAGTCCCGCGGTGCCACTCATATGACCAATCGCAAATGCCAGTAGACCGGAGAAAGCACCTAAATTTTCTTTCGCCATTAAAAACTTGAGAACATAGCAAAACAACAAACCTGCAACTGTTGCGGCGCCAACGAACAGGCCAACTATCGGAACACTTCAACATATCAATACGGACAGTTAGATGTGGGATAGCTTACTTCGATATTGTAGCATGTGTCTCGGGTACCACAAAGTAAGGCTGTTGATCCATCAGCACGATTTCGCACATAATGCTCGAGTTATATGTTACACTCACTAATAAACCACACCAGGAAACAAACCTGCCTCCGCAATGCCAAGACAGGCTCGCACTCCAACAAGCTGAGGGTATCTGATATGCAAGATCAACATCAAGTCAAAAAATATGGCGAGAATCTTACGTCTTCACTAAACTCATGAGTGTCCTAACAGTAGACTCGCTTAGCTATTTCAGACGGTAATATGATTGAATGACGCACATAACTATCCCCCATATAAACTATCGTGTGTCAGATAAAATCAGAAGCTACCATACAAGACTTACACTAATCCCTGGAAGCCATCTACAAGAAACGAGTTAGTCATGCAGTGCTCGAAGGTTGGTATGAACACTTACCTGGATGGCCTGAATACTTTGAGAACAAGGCTGGAGGTTGCCGTCAGAGCGCATACAATCAACAATTCGGGCCAGAACGAACTTAGCGGGGCATTCACACAGACAATACGGCTTTATGGTCTTTTCAGAACATACCGACAATCTGTCAGCATAAGGACGCTTACTATGAAGAACATCGTCTGCTTTCAGCCATAAGTTGTCAATTCTGTCAACAAAACACACAAGACGTACTAATGCTATGTTATATCTGTTTCCCGTGAGATCCAGCTGAGTGACGAGCCCGTCCAACTTCGCATTACCGATGTTACCTGGTTGAAAGTGAGGAACACGTTAGATATACTTACTACGAGAACCACGCACCTCTATCAAGAAAAGACAGCAAGTACATCACAGTGAGGATGGGCATCAACTGCACGTCAACCTTTCTCCACAGTTTTCTCTCCTGTTCTGGCGTCAGCATCGGCACATCTTTGAGATCCGAATTTGAGTCCCCCGGCTGCTCCTCCGAGGCATCATGCTGCTTGAGTTCAGAACTGATAGAATTCGGGTGATCAGTAGAAATAGTGTTCGAACTTCCCAACGTACGTCATGGCAAAACCGTGATGGCAGGAAGAAGGGAAGAAATTCTTCCCTGGTAGAAGCGCGACTGATGCTTTTAAAGGTTCGCGTTGAATTCGGTTGTTCAATCATGGACTGGGACATTACGTCCCTCGAACCGATTAGATCAGAACAGGTTAGTTTGGTCCCGCGAATTCCATTTGCTCAGACTGTCCACCCGTTAGTAACAACTGGATTGAACGAGATTGAACGCTGCTGTATCGACGGACGCCTCACTTTTCGCCCTTTCGTCAGATAAGTAGAACCAGTGGCTTAGAATTCATTTCCACGGTTCCGAGTGGCTTCCTGTCCGTCAACAGGAACTCAGGATCGGTCCAGGAAGGTCGACGGAGCTCGTGGCATGCCAATGACGCTTCGTGGAGTTAACGATTCATTGCGCTGCGCCGCAGTGTAAACTAGTCTCCCCTAGACAGACAATAGACGAACGAAGATAGTCGTTCCTTCTTATTATATGGTGTCAAGATTTGAAGAGGTCAATTGACCAACACTTCCAAAACAGTAAAAGCACTGCCACAGCTCACTCATTCCGAAGAACGGAAGTAATCATCGAGGCGACGTCGACTGCTGGTGCGCCATGTTGATTACTATCACCTAGCGCATTCTTCCCACTAAGGGCCTGACCGTGGCCTGGGGAGCTTTGGTAATGGCTTGGCTTTAGTTCTTGGATGAAGTTCTCCTTCCTTCTCCTTCTCGCCTCTTTGCCTCATCAGCGTCATGCTCATCTGCGGCATGCAGCCTTGTTGCAGCAGTATAGCCCTTACCATGCAAGCTCCTCCCCTCCTTCCACCACTAGCATTGGCTCTTGTAGTGGCCCCACATACTTTAGGCGAGAGACTACCATTTTCATTCCATTGAAACTTATCATTAATAGGTTAACCATTGCCTGCCTGCACCCTCGCTCTATGTTAGCCGCTTGCTGCGCTCCAGCAGAGGCTTACGGTTTGACTCCGAGGGCTAACATATTTAACTGTAAGTCTACTTCATGGCTATCGTCAACGATTCTTATAATAATTTTTTTTCAAGGTTTGGATTCGGTCATGTTATGAAATGCATACCACCCCCTTGTTGTTTGGCCCGTCTCAAATCCACGTTCACACTTCCACTATCCCGTCCGACTCTCTTCGTTTCTTCCGTTCGATCGACGAGAAGTCCATTGACATCGCCTTTAGCCTCAATTCTTGCTTGCGGAACTCACTTGGCACTCGGGGAAGATCTCAGTGGGGCCTTTGACCCTCTTAGATCCAGTGTATCCACGGCGGAGGGCAGGCTGTCATTTCAATCGCTGCTCGGTGATTTGTCGGCATCTTTAAGAAGTTCGCAAGAGGCCCTCTCCGGGTTTCTTTCGTCATTTCACCTTCGGTATGACTGAGACTTGGTGAGTTATTTTTGTCCTTCCTCGATATCATTTTAGCGCTGGGTGTATCTATGGTCCCGTCAACCTCGGCACTACTCAGCCGAAACACGGATTCCTCTGCCCTGTATGCGGTTGCGAGATGCGCATCGCCGACCCCGAAGATGGCAAGACGATCCGCAGGGACGGAGAGAGTGGTGGGTTGCAAGTACACGGTCCCATTATTTTTGTTTGCCATAACAGAAACGCGGAGGCCACGTCCAGCTTCGTCGAGGGTGGCTGGTACCGCACTGGCGATGTCAGTATTATCGAGAACGGTGTTACGCGTCTCAGCAGCTGCACCAAAGACGCTGTCGTCGTACGCGGTGTGCCGTACGGCATTCCAGAGCTGTAGATGCACCTCCAGACTGTCGAAGGTACCATGTACTCCTTCCTTGCTGCTTCCCTTGACCGCCGTCATGCAACGAAGCATCCGAATGAGAGCCTCATGGCCTTGCAACAAGTTAAAAGCCTTACTGAGCACAAGTGTATGGTAAGTGCTTCTCTGATTGCTTGGCGTGCATACTAATTGAAGATCTCGACAGTCTTCTCCTACGCCCTCGCACACTTGTCGGAAACGAGAATATATGGCCAGTAGACTACTATCTGCGAATCAAAGTCGACTCTTTCCCAATTAGACTTGTACAAAAATATCAAACTCGACAGAATAACATTATCGACTGAAACAATCAATGTCCACGTACTCGGCCAGCCTAACATTGTCAGTCACGACGATATATAGATATCGCTCCATTTCGAGTTGGCTAGCTTTCTCGTGAGTTGATGGATAGAAACCAGGGTGCAATAGAAAGAGGAATTACATATCGTACCGGTGCCCGGCACCGCCACACCATCTCCTGGGGCAGTGGAACTATTATAAATTCCAGACCTTGAAAGAAGGAAAACAATCATTCCTTCTGTTTCAAGGTGTACTTACCTGCGTCATACCGCTATGATACCGGCGAATAACAATTCTTTTAGATAGAGGGTATGGCAAAGGCAACGCCGTTGATTTGCCCGTCCAATGACCTGGAAGCGCAGAATCTCGTAAGATCTGCTGGTGCTAGAGAAAATTACTTCGCGTAATACTGTAGAAACTTGAACGATGTGACAGCAAGAAATCGATAGCTAGTAGACAGTGTGCACACATGTTGCACAAATCCGGTAGCTGCAGATCACTGAGATGACCAAGAGATTACCCTGCAGGAACATGGAGAATATGTTCCTATAAGTTATACTATAAGTATGCGCGGGCTAGCCTGTTGCGAGTCTAATAGTAAAAAACAATCGGAAACATTACGTTTGTAAGTTTCTGGCCATCCGATAAAGTAATAGGGCAAGACTGAACCTTCAAGCTTCAAACACCACTGTCTTTCGAGCCAGGAGAATCGACTCGAAAAAAGCTATTAGCCTTGACACTTAGTATGAATGACCTCCATCATGACGTCGGTTAACTTTGGACCTCGTGAGCAAGAGTCATATTGGATGTTGAAACGTTGAACAATGGAACCGTTCGTCACGGACATATTTGGCGGGTAGTTAGGGGTATTTTTGCCAGCACAACTGACAGAACGGCAAAGCTAGTCTCGGACCGTAGTCGGGCCACACTAGTACAATCGTTCCTTCTTTATTACATATGGAGTTAACCGGATGTCTTGCGTTAAGGCCCAATGATCTCAGGATCATTTCACCTCTGCACTACCACAAGGTCATCGTTTTTCACTATCTGTGGTTTCTCGAACGATGAACTTACAGGAAAGGCCCCATGACGTGATTGATGCTTTTGTTCTAGCAATTCCAGCAACTTCTTGTACTAAGCATCTGAGTATCCTAGTTCCTCGTCCACCGGGACCCGGGACCCGTCCAGGTCACGGTGAACTTACCCCACTTACCTTCCTGGCCACTGGTGTCCGATCGTCTGTTTCCATAAAAGTCTTGAGGTGTCAACCCCGCAGGGGTAGCCACGTATATTGAAACTCAGGTGTACGTAAGTACTGTACTCAGCCGGTGGGGCGCACATTAATTGTCATTTACACGGGAATGTGACATCCATAAACTTATGCGAAACACAGATTACGCACCATCAAATCTTCTCACATAAGATACCTTCTCGCTTGTTCTTTGGGGAGAGTCTCTTGCACCAGTAATAAGAACTTGTGTCATACATGCATGGATCCAGCCTGACCAACTTCGAAGTAGCTCTCGGAAAGAATGCTTTCCCCGGTCGATCTGAGGTGTTCCTGCCTTCATATGTGTCCGCTCCCCGGTATGGTATAAATAGGCACAAATTTCAGTGATCAATATTTCAATCTTTGTATATGTCAACATTGGGCCATGGAGTTGATTGATCAAACGCTGCCACCGCTCGCCAAAACAAATTCCCTTCTGATATCATGGTTACCTTCCGGATCTGCTTTTGGAGCAACACGCCCGGGGTCACTGAGGCATCGCGATAAAGGCTCGAGTGACCTGATATAAAAGCCATCTGTTCGAGTGGCTGAATCACTGCGTTACGTTGAGGGTAACGTATCACTACACTCAGGCTTGCTTGCCCCACATGTCCATCGACGAAAAGAAGAAGTCAGAATCTTTCACAGAAAATGTGGTCACAGCGTCGAATCAGGATGACTCCATGCTGTTGACACTGGACGCCAGGAAGGCGGGAGAGCGGGCGCTACTCCGCAAGTTGGATCGTCGGTTGATGCCCACTGCTGTGGTCATATACCTCTTGAACTACATCGACGTATGTTACCATTCATCTATGACCTCCTCATGCTCACGTGTAGGTGTAGCGTGTCGCTATTACTGCTGCACGGCTGCAAGGTTTAGAGGCAGACCTCGGATTGTCAAGTGAGTGAAGTGGACAGCTGGGCTTACTATCCATGCTTACTCGATCACATAGCTGTTCAGTATGAAACTGTTGTGGCTATTCTTTATGTAACCTATTCTCCGGCACAAGTGAGGAATTTTTCTGGACAACCTGTGCGATCTCACTGATAAAATCATATGTGCGACTAGATACCCTCGAACATGGTTTGTTATGGTGTTATTGTTTATGAATGAAAGACTGACCGAATGTCTGCAGATTTTGAGTTATATTTCACGGTTTGTTGCGATTGTAAACATTTTCGCTCTAGTCAATACTGAGGAGACGTGCTCAGACCGTCGCTGTATATTGGGGCCTGCGTTGTTGCATGGGGTCTCACGAGTACTTTAACCGGGGTAAGCCTAGCTAGGTGGAAGTCGTGACTTGTGCTTGCTAACCACCTCACAGACCACAACGAACTTTGCGGGCATCATGGCTTGTCGTATATTCATTGGTCTTCCCGAGGTAAAAGCATCCTTTTTTTCAAACACGTGGGAGCTCAATGAGTGTGGCTTTCCTCAGGCTGCATTTTATCCTGGCGTCATGTATCTGCTCTCGCGATGGTATACTAGGAAGGCAAGCATCCGGTTTCTAGGAATAAAATAAGTCCCCACTAATGTAATGCACACAGGAGCTTGCCGTGCGGTCAGCTTGGTTTTTTGCTGGACTTCTAATCTCGAATGCATTCGGAAGCGTGAGATTTCTGCCGTCACGGCGTACTACAGCACTCGCTAACCATTCGTTTTAGTTATTTGCAGCTGCGATTCTCGCAAACATGCAAGGCAAATTGGGCTTTGCCGCCTGGAGATGGTAGGATGGAAACTCTATTCTCATAGCAGTACCCTGACCGCAGTGTCGTACCGCAGGTTGTTCTTCATAGAGGTATATGTTACTCCACCCCCTGGATCTTGTGTTCTGATCGGCGGCATAGGGAGCCATCACCATGTTCTTTGGCTTCTTGACCATGTGCGCATCTCCGTGTTTCTATCCTTACTCAAAGTTGACAGCTGCGATTTCATTCAGGTGGCTTCTTCCAGATTTTGTGAGCAGCGCAATTTTAGAACGAGTTTCGGAGGATCTGACACGACACCACATAGCCCCATAACACTCGATGGCTTAACGCAGCGGAACGCCGCTTGGCTCAAGTTCGCCTCGCCGAAGATGCAGGGGAAGCCGACAAGGATGCTGACAACCTCACGTATGTCCAGTTCGAGTTCCATCGTTGCCTATCACTGATAAGGCACTGTCCATATCACTTCCGTTCATTGGCACATCGTTCTGGACCCTGGTGTTACAGCATTTACGATGGCTTGTTGCTGGCTATCAAGGATCCAAAGACCATCATTTTCATGTTTATAAGCTGCTCGCAAACTTTGGGCCTGAGTTTTACCAACTTCTTCCCCACGTAAGTATGTGAAAAAGCTTGAATATACTGTGCTAACATCTAGCGTCATAGCTTGACTGCTACGCTTGGTTTCAACACAACAGATACACTTTTGATGGCGGCGTAAGCATGTCATTCCACCGTTGCATTCACAGTTGTGGCTCACTGTCATCGTCATCTAATCGCTAGTCCTCCATGGGTACTGGCGGCAGCCTTATGCGTACTCAACGGATGGCATGCAGGTAAATATTATTCCTGGTGATACAACGCGCTCATTTTGACAAAATGAATAGACAGGACTGGAGAGCGATTCTTCCATATCGCTAGCTGGTGGTGGGTGGTTATCGCTGGATACATCATCTCGCTATCCACCATGAATACGGGCGGGCGATACTCTTCCTTGTTCCTCATGACCGCTGGGTTTTCTGGTAAGTGCTCGTCGGAAAGCTGAACGCAGGCTTAACACGTTTTTGAAAGGATTTGCCTTGACATTGACCTGGGTTTCAAACGCCATTCCTCGTCCTCCAGCAAAACGCTCCGTAGCTATGGGACTTGTCAATGGGATTGGAAACCTCGGTAACGTGTAAGTCTCTATGTCGAGTGAAACGCCGGATTGCTCACAGGTCTTCACAGTATGGGCTCATACGTCTGGAATTCTGCGTGGGGTCCTCGGTACCATCAATCCATGATTATAACATTGTGCAGCCTCATTATTTCCACCACCCTGGGCTTGCGTGAGTAACATCACCACTTGACCATTTTGATGTACTGAAGTATTGATAGTAATGCGATGGATATTAATCAAAGAGAACAAGCAAATGGATATGGAGGAGAAGAAATTGATGGAAGGCCCTGGACGCGAACGTATTGAAGAGGCTGCTAGATTGGAAGGAATTTCATTCGAAGAGGCTATGAAAAGAAGGAAGGGCTTCAGGTATCTGTATTGATCTTTTAAGAGACTGTAGTCATGTATGATAAATCTCCTGTGGTTGAGCTGGATTCTCGTAACTTCGAATTTGTACTTCGCCTGATTCAGATGTCGACATTAACTGCAAGATCTTGAACCTGGAATAGCGCTTCCAGGAAATTGTTTGGCAAAAGCTTTGAATCCAAACAAGTGGGCGCATTCTAAAGTCTATTCTCAATGGTTTTCACTCGCAGGGATAACTACACAATACGCCGTAGATACCATGCTCGGTTTACATAGGGTTAGTTCCAAGAAGACAGTAAATGTGTTTTTTAAGAAATATATGTATATTACATGACATCCTCGATACGAGGTCATGAGGTAACTAATACTTACAATAGATGTGTATCTGAAGCCAGGCGAATGGTATCCCTTTTCTCTCCCCGTTCCAATGTTGCTAGGCGCTCAGCTGTGGCGCACCGTGCGCTTGACCCTCTTGTAGAGAAAGACCACAATTGATAAACGATGAAAGTCACTCCCGACAAACACGAGCTCCAGTGCATCTCAAGACATTGGGTTAGCAGTGCAAGCAGCGAAACGAAAAGATTGTTCCTGAGCCTTCATTAACATTACCACATGTTAGCCTTAGTCATAACGCAACTGACAATGACGTACCATGAAACTACGCTAGGAACCGCTGCATAGCTTCCCATGACGAAGTACTTGACATCATCAGGTGCGGTGAAAATATTCATCCAAAAAGCCAATGAGACGTATTACAGGGTAGGTAAGAGGACCGACTTGCGGCGACATTAGCTAGTACGGCGAGTAACTGGCTGATCGGTAGTGCTACATCCTGAAGTTGAATGCAATTCAGTAGACTGGATATTACGTGCCAGTCCCCCGAATGCGGCCCGGACGTGTCCTGGCTGCTAACCCCTCTTCCTCACCCTACGGACGAGTTATCGTATCGAAACAAATCTGAATTGTATGCGCCCGCTCACCTGACTCACTTTTCTTCCAGACGACAAGACGGCAGGTACATTGGAGTGAGGATAGGCATCAATCACAAGTCAACCTTTCCTCTCCTGTTCTGGCGTCAGTATCGACACATATTTGAGATCCGAATTTGAGCCTTCCAGTTACTCCACCGGGTGGTCATGCTGCTTGTGTTCAGAGTTGATATGGTCAGCGGGAACAATGTTCGTAACATACGTCAAGGCAAACAGCAGGAAGAAGAAGGGGTGAGATTCTTCCCTGGTAGACGCGCGCGACTGGAGCTTTAAAGGTTCGCGTTGAGTTCGGTTGCTCAATCATGGATTTGGACGCTACGTCCCTCGACCGATTAGGTCAGAATTCCATGTTAGTTTGGTCCCGCGAATTCCATTTGCTAAGGTTCAGGCCGTCAGCATCGATGCTACTTATCTACCCATTAGCAAATAGATTAAACGTTGTGATATCGACGTACGTTTGTGGCGCATGAAGCACTCCATGCCACCTAGAGTTCCCCGCTGTAACACCCGTGACAAGCCACTGAAGAAACAGATTCTCGTCCGATGACAGAGGCCTTTTGCTAAGTGGGTTGAGTTTCTTGAGTTCAAATGGATGGATGGTTCCGGTGCTGTGGAGCGCTCGCCGGATGGTGGTAGAATGCAATTGTCGCAATTGGAGGACGACTGAGCGGTCATCTGGTTGCAGGAGGGCACGAGGCTCTGAGAATGTGGCCTTGCCTGGCTCCAACACAGCCTGCCAGAACCAGGAGGCGCCGTGCTCAACCAGGAATGAATTGTGACGTTGCAGGAACTTGTTAGTTGCAGAATCGAGTGCAGGACGTTTGTAACACCCGCTGTATTGAACACCCTCATATTACATCCACAGACTAGTAAGTACTTGGAATAGTGAGTATGTACTTACGGTGACTAGCACATTGACATGATTCCGAGTCGGTGCTGACGGACTTCTGGGGTTGTTCACGGCGTACTACGTCCATATCTGTAATCCAAATGCGAAGGGCGTCGGTGACACAAAAGCGGTCAGGACGTTAACGTGTCTTGAAGTGCAATTGAACAATTTCAAGTTGAAGTGGTGCGTTGAACGGATGCCTTTGCAGGCACAACAAATTTTGAATCAACTACATGGTTCGTTCTACCATGTACGTACCGCCGCTTCGAATATTAAACCTAGAATCTCAATAGTCAAACTGAACACGGGTCTGATGTCTTAGTCGTGACTCGTACCGTGCAAAGTACTCACAAGTGACCATCCAGCTATAGAACATATCCTTAAGCTTGACGCTCGTTCAGTTGAAATACTCCAGCTTCACAACGCATGTGGCTTCTACAATGTTAGTGTTCCGTCTAGTTATCCACCACGGTGAATATCTAGGTAGATAACCCAAGGCCAAAATTGATAGGTGGATAACGTGGATAACTCGTAAAATGGTGTGCGTGTGTGGGGGTTACATGCGCAAAAGCTTGAATCCCGAACACTGCGGGTCTACGGGCTCGAACAAGGATCCAGTGTACTCGGTTGGGCGGAACTTCAAGATAATGTTTGTTTGGTTGAACATTGACTCGGCAAATGACCAAAATAACTTCAAGTTGTCTATCCTCCTCATTGTGATCAGTAAACATGGAACCACATCTCAAGGATCAATTAGTTGATTTACGACTCCGTCTCAAGGCATTGCCAACAGATATTCCGATTCTAAAGACATCAAAGTACAACTATTCTAACCTCGAGCCGGATAGGTTTGGTAATCGTGTTGACGGCCTGAAACTCGTAGAGCGAGGCCCGGAGACAGAAGCCGTGCCAGTGGATGTGTTTAAAAAATAGATTCAAAAATATCCAGGTGATATCATCCTCTAGAAGTGGGTGGCTGATACCCTCGAAGCTGCACAAGGCCTCATTCTCGCGGCTGGAAAAGCTGTGAATCAGATTTACTTTTCCTTCTGGCGAAACCGAATTACTAACCCGCCATTCAATTACCGAAGTCTTCGCCTGAGGTCGAACTGTCAACTCATGACCACCTAGACATAGAGCTTGTGTCGGGTGGGTCACAAACACCTCACAGCCCCCCAATCAATAAACCGAAGGCAACAAAGAAGAAAAAGGCCAAGATTGTGGAGTCCGACACGTCTGTCGTGCACCTATACAGAGACGCCAAACTAATACCTGCGAAAGGGAAAGGCGGTGCCAAGCTTGATCCTCTGATGGATCTTGTCTCTGTCAATCCATACCTCAAAAGTAACCCACAAAAGATGATTGTTCGGTGTGCTGGCCGAATATAGATGTGCCACCACCTGGGCTGCGCCTCGCTGGAAGGCCCGAATATTCGGACATGTGTTACAATGCGGGAAAACCGGACAAAATCAATTTGATGCTACGTGACCGTGTTCGCCCTATCATGGCCGAAGAATCCTTAGGTAGTCGTGTCGAAAGTCAGAGCCCATTAGTGTCAACTGCCGAGTGGGTAGAGTTACCTAGACAAAGACCGATCTGGTGATGCCCAGCCACTTGCGGTATGTAAGACCCACAATTGCATTGTCCCGAAGCTGATCATCAACTGACTAGAAACTCGCTAGTTCGGATTTTCTCGCTTGTACCTAATTTGATGGCTGACGAGCGGACTGGCTCGACGTTCACTTAGTTCAACTCACCACTCCGCAGTCGGCAGCAGGTGAATCGCCGACAAGGATTTGGCACCCTCTAAAGAACTACCAAGGAACACCATAACTCTTCCGCCAGCAAGCAGTGTGGTAAATATGGATTCACGGGTACATTTGTCATTTCATTCAAAACGGGGTTCACAAACCTGTATCGGCGAGAACTTCTTATATCACTTACTTAGAGGTCATCAATCGTAAGTTTTGCACTATGCATGTGACAGTCGCTGCCTTCTAACATTACTAGATGAATTTCAAGTCACTGGGCGACGTTCCTACCATGAGCGCCTCTACTTTTGCAACAGACGACCTGAAAGACCTCGTTCAAGAAGTACTCGATGGGTACATTGCCAACGAAATGCCCATTTGTCTCGACACGCAAAATCATCGCAGGTGACGGAGTGGACGCCTCCATCCGACGAAATTAGCTCGGCTGCTCACAAGATTGAGTTCTCCCCGAGGAAGTGAACTATCTGCGGGATCAACTGATGGCCCTCATATGTAAAGCCATCGTTTCCTCACGGACTTGGCCATCCATGGTATGGAAGGTAACCACGACATGGTGGGAAATGACGCGGACGAGGAAGTGAGTCTCGATTACGTAGCCCTGGTACTCTCCGATTAACTAGGTGCTGGTTCATTAACCTATGCGACAAGTATTGGGTGTATCTATCTTTCTTAGAGTCTTATTTGATAACTACTTGACCATAGTATGTGCGCTTATTGCTACTTCAACAACGTTGAGGGTGATCAATGAACGCATCTTCGTGCGCGGGTCACATAGAGAGAATTCTACATCAAAGTGAGTGTAAGACGCGGGCTGTAGGCTGTGTGGGAGTGTTGTCAGGGAGGATTAGGTATAGTCAATAGCCAGCGGTCGCGTTTGATGGTTTTGGTGTGCGTGTGGCTTGTGGCTAGTATAATATACACTTTTCTTTCTCCCTTTGATCTCCTCTCTCCTCTTCCCTGCACTTCTGCCTTTCAGCTTGCCCTCTCCTTTCCCAGTCCTTTGTTCATGCGACCGAATGCGCTGGTTCTTGACGATAGCCTTATGCCTTCTCCGTACCAAAGCGCGGGTCCATGACTCATCAGGAGTTCAATGAGGTTTGAGCCTTGGCTATTGCAGAATGATGCGAGGCAAGGTGATCAAATGGCTATGCCCAAGAACCCAAAGAAACACGATATTATCGCTATCAGCGAATAGGACCGCGGCGCACGTGTGTCAATGCAAGCTACTGGGCACATTGCGATGATTCTGCGTGTCGCTGCCTTTACTCGGAGATCAATACAGCATTTGCAAGGGCTGAAAGGCGATCAACGCGTCATGAAATTCGTCAAGTTTTCACTTAGTATGACATGATCAATTCTATCTTTTCCAGGTCCTCCTCAGTAGTGTTGCCGCAGCTCGGCTAAATCCGGCTCAGCTTGGTGGCTTAAAGCATGAGCCATTGGGAAAGAAATTCCAGGCAATTATTTGAAGTATTGGATCATGTAGAGTTCATTTTCTAGTTCCCATAGCTGTGCTTTTCATTGGGGAAATGTGCTTCAAATCCCACAAAAATACAATAGAAGAACCGGCAGCTTGGAGCTGCGGCAACACTACTCCTCAGTGGGCCGCGCATTCCTAGATTGTCCGAAGAATGAGTTTTTGCTTTAGCGTTGTAGTAACTCGATGCTGATCGCTTTTGTGATGCTAGTTTGCTCAAAGAAGATGACATATATGCGCATGTATCGACAAATGCTGAACTCCACGTTATCCTGCCAGGCGGTGCGAAGGAGCAAAGTCCAACGTGTACATATCTCAGAACACATACCTATAGTAAAGTACTTACAGGACGACAAACACATTCGTATGACGAAAATGTCTAACATATGGTCTACCAAAGGATTCGTCACGATCTCACGCCAAAACAACGCTTCACGCAGTCCACGAGTCGACCCTCAGATCTACCAACGCACCCAGCTTTCCAAGCTGCTTCACCACCTCCCTCGTATCGGATGTGCGGTACCCCGTCGCATCATTCACAATTTTCCTAACCGCTATCAAATCCCTTACGTCCTCCTTCGCTCCAGCTCGTTGAAGCCCATAGCGTATGATTACCGCGGGCAGCGACAGCCCACTTGCGTGTCGGAGACGCAGCCACTCGGAGAGCTGCGGGAGGTAGTGGAACTTTGTCATGGGGGGCATTTCAATCGTCAGCCGCGACAGGCACGGCCATAGCGGCGGCGCTATCTGGTTGTATGATTCCAGTACGAGTTGATCAGCAATTTCCCGAATATCGTGGTCAAGCACCACTTCTGTCACATGAGGGAGCGCGGTAAATATAGAGCATATGTTTTTCCCGGGGCCATGCATCGACTGGAGCATGTTCTTCATCGTCAGCTTGCACACAGAAGGGAACTTCGGCGTCTGGTCTTGCCGGAGGAAAAATGCGGGTGAGGAGAAGTCAATAACACTGCCTTCTCCCCATGCCAGAGAATCACCGTGGACTGCGAGGTGATGTAGATTCGGTGCTGCTATGGTCCCGAGGACGCTACTGAGATAGGCTGGCTTCTCTGTGCCCATAATGATGCTGAGAGTTTGGAGAGCGGGAAGCATGATAGGGTCCAATTCATTGTCCGTTTTTGCGTGCTCCACAAAAAAGACGCGTCGGTGCACCTTGAGGGAAACGAGATTCCGTGCACATGATAGGAAGTTGCGAAAGGCGATGAGACTGTTTGGAGTCGGAATGTAGCTAAATTGACGCAAGAAGTTGAGACTGATATGCGTCAAAGACGATGCATCGAAGTGCCGAGGCAATATGTTCGAATCGCATCCCTCCAATGTCAACATCTTTAGCGAGGGAGTATACGTGGGCGATAGAAACTGAAAGGATTCCCTCAACGAAGTGATCCAACCACTGGTGTGACAGACGATCTCGACCTCACTCAACGCAGGCGCGTGAGGAAGACCCAGCTCTGACAATACAAAGCCAAAGAGGCCCGAGTGATTGTCCTCCTCATTGATAATTTTGAGGCTCCTCCATCTATGGCTGCACTCCCGCAGCACTTTGAGGCATGTCTTGGTTCCGTCAAAGACCAGAGTCCAAGCAGCTTGGCCCCATGGGTTGGGAGGTCTTGCGACGTATATGACAACGTCAACTAGCGCATTCGCAGATCTCGTCACATTCCTCTCGAGATGTTCCCTCGAAAGGGAACCGAGCCTTGTCACCATATGCAGACGTGTCCAAAAACGAGAGGTGCCGAGAGCAAGTGACCGCCATCTACGACACACACTCGCAAGTGCTATGCAATCAAGGCGTAGCTGCTCGTTGGTGCTGTAAATGTCGTCTGCAACTGCTTGAAAGATAACGAGGAGGAGATCGTCTGGCAAAATTGAGATCAAAGTGATATATTGTGCCAGAGAGGAAGGTTTGGCCATTCTTGCTGCATGACGGCGATTCAGCTTGAGAAGGAACCATGAAGAAGGATTTCATACCTGCTTTTGCGAGATGGGTACTGCGTTAGCGGTTAATACCGTGATAACACGAGCTTTTAAGCTGACTGACTTAGCAGAAGATGCAATTCGCGCGAGGAAGTCTCACAGACTGATGAAGAGCTTGCTCGATTCCAACAAAACGGCACTGTTCGCGGGTGAACCCACGGTGATTACAGCGGTTTTTTCCGTTTGCGTATGAAGCTTTCCTGGATTATATTCAAACACGACAAATTCGACGTAGCATCTCACCCGATTCAAAAATTAAGCTCGAGGTCTCCTAGGATCTCCTGTAACATTTGCATATTTAGCGGTGGTCGCAAGGTCCGGGCTCTGTGAGGGTCGTGCAGTCTTGTCACAGGTCACTGGTCCATCCAAATGAAAGTAGGTTCGTTGTAAGCTGCCTTTTTTCGACTGCGGTTGTGGGAACAGTATGCGCTATCTGTGCGTGGCAAATGGTTGGCCGCCAATAGTAGTCTCTAGGGCAACGCGTATGTTAGAACACTCGTAGAGACTTGTAGAACACAGCTGTAGGCTGTTCCCGGATTACCCAAATTCAAACTCTACCTCACACCTGTAGGGTGGGGGGAATCGGGAGAAGCCTCGAGTTTGAATCTATTGGTGGGATATATGCTGATAACTTACCTACAAAATAACTATCAAATAGCCGCTCACTCTCGAGACGACCGGCGGATGAGAGCGTGAAGATTGATTTCTTTTGCCCTAAGGTTTCCGAGGCCCTTCCAACGCTATGACAAAAAATAGTAACCAGTCGCATAAATGAACCACAGTGCTGGGGGACCAGGGGCGAACATCTAAGACGCGATGTGTGTCGCAAAGAAGCATTCGGGAAAATATCAAATAAGCTCACCTCAGAGGTAGGAGGTTTTGCCACGGGAAGCGGCGCTACTAGTAGTGTGAATTTTGACCACCAAGAGCTCGAGGGCTCTACTCGTTGGCGTGTTCACTGTTGATGGACGCGCTTTAGAGTTGGGGTGTTACCACAAAGACCAGCAAACTTCTTACGCGATTGTCATAATGCCGTGGGGAGGAGGTTAATTGACGAGTGCAAGGAGCAGCAAATGTGGGTCATTTCGACAATTTTTCGGGGGAGCCCCAGGATATGAACGCCACCCAGCTACATACGTGGTGCAGAAGCAGAAGCGCAAAGGCTACACCAGAGGTTGCCTAGTGGTCGACAGATGACCTACAGTGACCAGTTAGTGATCGTGAAGAGCCACACTACATGTATTCTTGGAGGGTAAAAGCACATGGAATACATCAATTCGAATATGTCATTTCAGTGATCCAAACGCTAAAGACAGTCTCGTGTGCGTCAAGAGCTCGCCTCAGTTAAAGGCTTTCGGTCGACATTGCGCTACTGAATCAGACTGTCGATCGCGTCCACATGCTCTGCAGATGGTAGCCGCATCATACAATTGTGGTTCACAAGTACAACTGTCATAGCTTTATGGTCAGTTGTCGCTCGAGACGTGCATTGGCTTCATAGCAATTCAAAATATACCACCAAAATGTTCCCATGCAGCCAGTCCGACATACACACCGCCGGAGTCAGAAGAGAAAGTTGTGTCTAGCCCTGCTGACCCAGGCCCCGAGCATGGCCTGACTTTTCCTTCAGCCCAACCGCAAGTCCTGAGTACCGCCGGTTGGCGTTCCCAATGGCAATGTTCCATGACGCTCCCACCGCGTGCGCTCGAATCAGCTATCATGCGTGCATAAGTCAGAGAGAATTACACTTTCGTCTTCTTCGGCGGACATGCGCGCAATTATTTTCATGAAGTTCTGTGCGACTTGGCTTGTCAAAAAAGAAAAAAGAACTGGAAATAATGATGGAGTGGTGATCCATATGCTGCATCTGTATCAATGACCATCGGGGCGTGGAAGAGATGCACAGCAGAGAAAAAGCACGAAACGAGCCCAAAACAGGAGGGGTCGTGCGTGCTGGATTCGGCGTGGTAGTATTAGTATCTGGAGTATTGGCAGGGAGGTATCGCGGATGTTGAGGTAGTGGTGGGCTGAGATTGCGATGACTCGGCCTGGGCTAACCGTGCGATTGGCTTTGCTGCCGCTGCTGCAGTTTTCGATTCGCCGCCGCGATGCGATACACAATGCCTGCACAGAAATCATTGAACCACAGTGATTGGAATGCACAGGAAGAAATACACACCCGTTTGTCTCGTACTAGCGACTTCAGCGACCACGATGAGAGAAGGCAGATCGCCTTGGGCATTACTAGAGTGCGGTTAATCCATAGGTGTTGGAGTAAGGGCGGCAGAAGAGTGATGAAAAAAAACGAAGAGCGCACGCAGATTCGCCGAAAAAGGTGCCATGGCTGTGCGCAGAGGAACGATGATAGATCCCGCGCGTTGCAGATGACTGAGAGATCAGATCTATCAGATATCAGAACAGAAACCGATCGAAAAAATGCTGACGATGCACATAATCATCATTTCGTGTGTCATCGAGGAAGTCTGGCTGTAGATGATCATCGTCAAACTGTGTAGCGTCGGCCTAGAATATTGATATAGCAATCATCGAAAGGCTGGGAAACATGTCGCATACGTCCATGAATGACTTTCCAGCTGCGACCTGCGAGTGGTAGATTAGCGTCGTCTTTACCAAAAAAGCCATGAGATCTACACTCAAGAACGGGGAGTAGGTTTTCAAGCTTCAAGGCCCGCGTTTTTTAGGATGGCATGGACACCCCACACGTATGCATTTTCGTCATCGGGGCCAGCGTCTGGCAGGTCCATCGATGGAAAAGGCTGTGCACCTCATATAATCTTCACGCTGGATGGGAGGACCGACAGGGAGGATTCCACAGACGCGCAGTTTTATCATAAGATGCACTCGCAAGGAGGTGGACAAGGAGATCTGAGACTCTGAGTCGCAGACCCTTGTGAGAAGCAAGTGAGAAGACTCAGAAAAGCGAGTAATTCTGCCGAGTTGCGGTGTCGGATATACTTAATTTGAACCTCCACTTCCGATGACCAGGCAAATTAAAAGGATCCATGATATCGCATTGCTTGCCATCTGCTCAAGTTGCAGGCTGTTCCATGAGTTACATAACGTTAAAGCTGTGCGGCCCAGGCCATTGACCAACGTTACAACTACCACCGCTTTCAGTGTTGGGAAGTCGTCACTTCTTAATTATGGGATTTGCAGCCAGTCCTCTCTGCGACTCGGACAAGTTGCCCAGCTTTGCCCAGCCAGTCGTTCCCTTCTTGGGTCTGCAGCCAGGGACGCCAGTCCAGGCTTCAGGGTCTTTAGCCAGAGTCACGCCCGTCCGGGCCTCAGGGTCTTTAACCAGAGTTGTCAATCTGAACAGCCATAAGACTCCCTAAAGCCATAGCAGGCATATAAGAACTCGCAGTCACGTAGAGGGCGTACAAGGGCAGCAAGAACGGATACGTGCAGGTATGCTAGCTTTGGGTGTGTTGGATTTGCTATTAATTCCTCCCTCAGGCCTCAGGACTTGCCCCCTCGGAGCTTTCCACTGTTTCAATTTGCAAATGTTGAATTTCTACTTGTTCCGTGTGTATTTGCACTGATTTCATTTATTTTTGTGCTCATTGGCAAGGTGTCTAACAGTGAGTTGGGTCCGTTGCAAGCTCAGGCTTGCCTTTCAATTCACCCGCTCCGCTCCTCTCATTGCAGACGATGTCGAGCAGTGTCGAGCGGTCTTGCAGGAGTGTCTCCTCGACGATTCCCGTCGATCAACTTATCTCAACAACCTTGCCAACAGCCTTCGGCAAAGGTTCCAGCAGCAGGGAGAAATGTCTGACCTGTCTGAGTCCATCGAGCTCCATCGAGCTGCACTAGCGCTCTGTTCCCCTGACCATTCAGATCGATCCTTATCTCTTAACAGCCTTGCCACTAGCCTTCGAGACAGGTTTCGGCAGCGGGGAGACATATCTGACCTGTCAGAGTCCATCGAGCTCCATCGAGCTGCATTGGTGCTCTGTCTCCCTGGCCATCCTGATCGACCCATGTCTCTCAATGGCCTTGGCAACAGCCTTCGGGAAAGGTTCCGGAAGCAGGGAGACATACCTGACCTGTTTGAGTCCATCGAGCTCCATCAAGCTGCACTGGCGCTCTGTCCCCCTAGCCATCCTGATCGATCCTTGTCTCTCAACGGCCTTGCTCTCAGCCTTGCATACAGGTTCGAGGAGCGGGGCGTCCTGTCTGACCTGTCTGATGCCATTGAGCTCCATCGAGCTGCACTGGCGCTCCGTCCCACTGAACATCCTGACCGATCCATTTCTCTCAACAACCTTGCCCTCGTCCTTGGAGACAAATTCCAGCAGCAGGGCACGTTGTCTGACCTGAACGAGGCCATTGAGCTTCATCGTGATGCACTACTTCTCCGTCCCCCTGGCCATTCTGATCGATTCATATCTCTCAACAACCTTGCCATGTGCCTTGAAGAACAATTCCAGCAGCTGGGAAGGTTGTCTGACTTGGATGATGCCATCGAGCACCATCGAGCTGCACTGCTGCTCTGTCCCCCTGGCCATCCTCATCGATCCGGATCGCTCAACAACATTGCCGTCTGCCTTGAAAGCAGATTTCAGCATCAGGGAATGTTGTCTAACCTGGATGAGGCCATTGAGCTCCATCGAGCTGCACTGGAGCTCCGGCCTCTTGGCCATCGTGATCGACCCTCATCTCTCAACAACCTTGCTAAAAGCCTTCGAGAGAGATTCCTGCAGCGGGGTGTACTGACCTGGATGACGCAATCGAGCTCCATCGAGCTGCACTGGTGTTCATTCTCCCTGGTCATTTTCACCATTCTTCATCTCTCAGTAATCTTGCCATCAGCCTTCACGACAGATTCCAACATCGGGGCAACTTGTCTGACCTCGATGAGGCTATCGTCCTCCATCGAGCTGCGCTGCTGCACCGTCCTCCCGATCATTTGAATCGGTCGACAACTCTCAACAACCTTGCCACGAGCCTCCGAGACAGATTCCTGCAACGGGGTATGCCGTCAGATCTTGATGAGGCCATCGAGCTCCATCGAGCTGCACTACTGCTCCGTCCCCCTGGCCATTCTGATCGATCCATGTCTCTCAGCAACCTTGCAGCCGACCTTCAAGAAATATTCGTGCAGCGCGGCATCCCGTTCGACTTAGATGAGTCCATTGAGCACCATCGAGCTCCATTGGAACTCCGTCCTGCTGGCCATTCTGATCGACCCTCATCTCTCAACAACGTGGCCAATAGCCTTCACATCCGATTCATGCACCGTGGCGTCCTGCCTGACCTGGATGAGTCCATTAAGCTCTATCGAGCGGCCTTGCAGGAGTGTCCACCTGCCCATTCTGATCGATCTTCGTGTCTCAACAATCTCGCCAGCAGCCTTCGGGAGAGATTCCAGCACCGGGAGGTCCTGTCTGACCTAGATGAGTCCATTGAACTCCATCGAGCCGCACTGGGGCTTCGTCCTGCTGGCCATTCTGATCGGTCCACGTCTCTCAATAACCTTGCTACGAGCCTTCAAGAGAGATCTTTGCGGCAGGGTGTGCTGTCCGACCTTAATGAGGCTATTGAGTTTCATCGAGCTGCTCTAATGTTCTGTCCCCCTGACCATTCTCATCGATCCTTGTCCCTCAATAAGCTTGCCGCTAGCCTTCGAGACAGATTTAGGTGGAGGGGAAATCTGTCTGACATAGATGAGTCCATTGAACTCCATCGAGCTGCGTTGAATCTCTGCCCTCTTGGCCATTCTGGTCGATCAGCGTCTATCAATAACTTGGTCCTCAGTCTTCGAGACAGATTTCATCGGCGAGATCTATCATCAGACTTGGACGAGTCATTCAGCCTTTATTCACAACTCTCCCAAATATCTCATCCAGCCTCTCGCAAAGATCTTCATGCTGCCATATCATGGGTCTCTTTCGCTGAGCAATTCAAACATAGCTCTGCATTGGTTGCCTATCAGACCGCCTTGAAATTCCTCGATCAGCACCTCACAATTATGTTGTTTTCCCCACACCATTTTGATGCAGTCAGGGAGGACACTGTATCCCTCGCAATGGATGCTTTCTCGTATAGTGTTCGTCACGGTGCTTTGATGACTGCTGTGGAACTGGTGGAGCAAGGTCGCGCAGTATTTTGGGCCCAGTTGGCACGCTTTCGCACACCACTGGATGAACTTTCTGCCCAGGGTGACGGCGCCAATGTCTTGGCGGAAGAGTTCAACCGTCTTAGCTTTAGCCTTCGTAACGCGTTAGATGCGTCTACCGGAGACCAGTCCCCGCAAATCCGGCAGCTGGCCATGCAGTGGAATGACGCCATCTCCCGCATTCGCATGCTTGCAGGCTTTCCCCATTTTCTTCTGCCTCCGCTCTTCTCTGATCTCCGGATGGCCGCAGAGGAGGGGCCAGTCATCATTGTAAATGCAAGCAAGTACAGCTGCGACGTCTTGATCATCCTGAGTGCCCAAGATCCCATCCATGTTCCACTTGATGTTGAACAAGCCGATATCTCCGAGTGGTCCTCTGAGTTCCAGTCCCTCACAAAGCATGGCGGTTCCTCTGATCATCAGCTTGAAACATACCAGATTGTCGACGTCCTTCGCAATCTTTGGAACTATATTGTTGGCCCTGTAGTTCAAGTTCTCAGGGAGCTGATTGATCCTGGCTCACGCATCTGGTGGTGTCCTACTGCTGAGTTCACGCTGCTTCCTCTACATGCAGCAGGACCATACGAGAAGAACAACCAGAATTTGTCGGACATTTATATCTCCACTTATACCCCCACTTTGGCGGCACTCATTCGTGCCAGACAGCAAGCCTCTCGAGACGCGTCTGATTCGCATTTTATTGCCATTGGTCAAGCCACTCCGAAAGCAGGGAAGCCACTTCAGCATGTCACTGCTGAGCTAGCCGTTGTCGCTCAGCGTGTCGCGCCTACATTGTCCTTTACATTACTCGCGGACAGCGATGCCACAGTCCAAGGAGCATTAGATGCACTAAGCCATAACCAATGGCTTCACCTCGCCTGTCATGGCTTTCCAAATCGACGACAACCATTTAGCTCTTCCTTCGCAATGCGCGATGGGCGTTTGACGATCAGGGACATCATCCGATCTAGCGGGCAGGATCCGGAGTTTGCATTCTTATCAGCTTGCCACACCACCGTGGGTGATTGGTCGAGGCCCGATGAAGCTATCCATCTCGCTGCTGCAATGCAATTCTCCGGATTTCGCAGTGTGGTAGGTTCTATGTGGTCTGTCGATGATGATGCCGCATACCAGATTGTTTCTGCGTTTTACAAGAACATGGTTGATGATACAGGGAGATTGGACTGCAAGCGTGCTGCCGTAGCGTTGCACAAGGCTGTGAAGAAATTGCGCAAGAAGATTCCACTGGAACAACAAATCGTATTTATTCACATAGGCATATAGTTTGATATTTAGTTCGCTATGTTTTGCCCCTGTTGTAATCTATTCCATCATGTATCTTATCCCATACCCTGTCGGCATACACACTCCGCGATGGCATGCATCTATGTCTGTGAGAACAGGATAGACTCATATTTGAAATTGCACCATAGTGCTCAATTACCTCAGCGAGTTGCCTGGTAAAGATCACGAGAGGTACTTCATGGAACAAGTAAGCACGATGTTAAGCAAGTCTTCTTGCGACTCCACGACAAGATGTTGAAACTCAAGAAGAGAACTAGACCAGAATACAAACCTTGATTGTCACATAAGGAGCTCAACAAAGCAACATGTGTATGTGGTACATCTCAATGCCTGTGCTCTCCCAAGTCCGATGACGAGACCAATCTTGTCAATCTTGCATTCAGATCTATAAGACTATAACCCTGACACAATTGCGGCATCACAGTACTGTACACCACTTTTCCCTTGGTACTCGAAGACGTACCATGTGTTCTCAATGTGTTCTACATAGCGTTCAGCAAACTTGAGCAAAGCCACAACTATTGGTAGGTCCGTTGTTAGTTGTTACCATTCTCGCACCACTGATCGTGCACAATGTTTGCTCTGAAGGTACGTCTGTTCCTTGATCCTATGAGCAGCGACTGCACTAATACTCTCAGTCTGCACTCTACTGAGCATTGCTAATCAACATACTGAAGGCCGACCACACCTGCTATGCAACTCCAGCCGCCGAGGCACCTACCCTGCCAGCCAGATTGAATGTATTGTCCTCCGTTGGAGATACTGCCGTCTGCCCTGGCCCAATGACCCGCACCCGAACACAGATCACCATAAACTCACTGGGGTTGTCGCGAAGGATTTGCAGCACCAATTATTCGATAGAGGCTGAGCTGAACGGTCCAAGGATATATAATGGTGCGTCCCTTGTCATGAGCACAATCGATTGTCATGTTCATCTCACCTCTATTGCCTGCGTTTTCCCCATCCAACTCCTCAGCTATCAACTTACCTATGTGCTACCTATGTCGTGCCCACACCACTTCCTACGCTTCATTCCTTGTCGGTTTGGCTTGCTGTGCAGTTCGTCCTCTTGTTTATTCTTGTCGATTCAATAAAATTATGTTCAACTGTGAAACGATAATCCGATACTGTATGCCCTGACGACATCGCCAGTGTTGTCAGTCGTGTACACCGTCAGGCCGGTCCGCTTAAGCGTTGAAGAGTACTGAACATACGCTGAAGTCCACAGTAGGGTCATTCCTGAAAGTAAGAATGAGCGGTGATCACTTGACGAGTGCGAGTATGTTGTACAACACAGAAAATGACATAACGAGGCCTGAAAGAAGGGTGTTGAAACCCAATAGCAGTACAGTCTACAGTGCTCGGTAGTTAAAGCCGGAGTACTTGGTATAGTACAAAGTATGAGAAGGAGCATCAAAACCTTGAAAGCAGAACACAGCACCACTCAGCAGTTGAAGCTGGCGTGCTCAGTATCATATACAACACGAGCACATAGCATGGGGAAAGCATCAAAAAGCAGGAAACGTGGCTCGAGCATCGCTTAATTCCTTGCGATCAAGTCATTTGCTGCACTGCTGGTAAACATCGAACTTCGGGTTCAAAACAAGACGAGGGACATACACAGGCGATTTTCAAGGATGAACTCAAGAATCTTCTTCCTCAACTCCTCTTTCTTGTAGCCTCCATCAGCAATTTCCGTCGCGACTTCCTCCACAGCGACAGCTGTAGAAGAATTCATGTAATAGTCTACGCCAGACTTGATAAACTCTAGTTCCTCGTCATGCCGTAGTAAGGCGGAGTATTCGAGCACGATAATGGTAGCTGCTTCTTGTTATTGAAACATAGTTGGTCATGCGGCCAAAACTAACCAATGCCCGTCTGAATGATTCCACGCGGAGTAGAAAACCATGTACCCTTTCCAGCCTAGTAGTATTGCAGACTCTTAAAAATGGCAAGGATCAATGCGGGGAACCGTACCCACCAAATGCTGAAGGAGAGACAAAAGGATATCTTTCCGGGCATCGATCTAGTTGTTGAGATAGGTGGTAGGTGTTACTATCAGAACCAATTCAAACAAGAGTGCTCGCCTCCTATTACAAAGTAATGTCAAAATGGTAGCATTCTTGAAATTTATCAACAGAGACTTACATTCTATTTGGTTAATAATTCTGATGATCAACCACGAGATAGTGATCACTGTGGCTGAATGACTTACAAACTATTAGGGAGTAAGAACCAGATTAGTACACCATACAACAGTCAAATATATGCAATCAACAGACATACAAGCTATGGAAGACCAACAAAATTGCATATCAGTGGAGTGTCTATATCAAGATAGAAAGCATCATATAGCTCATACCGCCTGTTAACACACAATGAATACAAGGGAATGATGATATTACTAGAATATCTGGAAATATACTCACAGGCTAGATAGAAAGTGCCAATTAGAATTGACACATTACTATGAGGGTGTCAAATGGCTCACATTCTGTACAAAGCATCATGCATGAGATGGTGCAAGGTGAGGCAACAGAAAAGAAGCTATAAAAGGTAGATACTCAACAAACTATACATTATGTAAGTGACAAGAACTCGATGTTGACAGCAGACATACATTAGCAGGCTATGTCAATTCAAAAGTTAGTTGGAGTAATTATATCAGCATCATTTTAATGCAAAACAAAAGCAAGAGACTTACAGTCTGTCACAGAACCAGCAGTACATGTCAGTATGGAATCAGCTTGAGAGGCCATCAAGACACTTACTCCCTATTGAAAGGCCCACAGCAACAAGGCATCATGATCATTAGCATGCACTCAAGATGAGGAGCTATCAAGGCATGCACCTTCTGTCAAAAGGCCAGCAGCAATGAAGCATTGGGATCATCAGCATGATAAATAACTGTCAATGCACATACTGTCTGTCATGAGGCCAGCAGTAACAAGGCAGGAAGATCATCAACATGTCAGTGGGTCAGTATGAGAAACCATCAAGGCACTTACCCACTGTCAAGAGGCCAGCAGAAAGACATCATAACCATTAGCATGGGTTCAGAATGAGATATCATCAAGGTACTTACATACTATCAAGAGGTCAGAGCATTGGAATCATCAACATGGGCTCTGTATGAGAAACCATCAAGCCACTGACCTTCTGTCAAGAGGCAGGAGCAACAAGGCATTGAGATTATCAGCACAGTGCATTCAGGATCAATAACCATTGAGGTACTTACTGTCTGTCAAGATGCCAGCAGCAACAAGGCATCAGGATCATCAGCACGTCAGTGGATCAGGGCAAGAAATTATTGAGGCACTTACTCCCTGTCAAGAGGCCAGCAGCAACAAAATTATCAGTAGAGGCTCAGGATGAGGAACCATCAAGGCACTTACATCCTATCAAGAGGCCAGCAGTGACAAGGCATTGGGATCATCAGCATGGGCTCAGGATGAGGAACTGCCAACCACTTACCTCCTGTCAACAGGCCAGCAGCAACAAGGCATCATGATCTTCAGCATGGGATTAGGAAACTGTCAAGACACTTACTCCCTGTCAATCAGCCAGCAGCAACAAAGCATCACAATCATCAGCATAGGCTCAGGAAGAAAAATCCAAGGTACTTACTCCCTGTCAACAGGCCAACAGTAACAAAGCATCATGATCATCAGCATGTGGGTTCAGCCATCAAGGTACTTACGATCTGTCAACAGGCCCACAGGGATGTGCCATCAGGATCATCAGTATGGGTTCAGGATGAGAAACCACCAAGGCACCTACCCACTGTCAACCAGCCAACAGCAACAAGGCACCAGGACTATCAGTATAGGTTCAGGATGAGAAGCCATCAAGGCACTTACAGTCTGTCAACAGGCCAGTAGCAAGAAGGTAATGGGATCATTAGCACAGTGTGTTTAGTATGAGTAGCCATCAAGCCACTTACCAACTGTCAACAGGCCCACAGGGGCATACCATCAGTATTGTCAATTGGGCTTTGTAAACCACAATCTTACCAGCTATGATGAAAGCACACCTACAAGACATCAGAATATCTACAGTTTCAGTAGTGCAATATTTACCATTGGTTAGCACCATCATGAAGGAATGGTCATATTGAACCAAATCATCATCTTACTCTGAGATATGAAAACCACTTAGCAATCTCAATCTGGTAACGTTCATGATCAATTGGATGCAGGTGGGATTGCTGATGAGCACGATCAATGAGTGTTCTAGATGATGTTAGAACACAAGCCTGTGAACATGAAAGTCTGCAACTCACTCAACAGCACACTTGATACACAGCTCCAGATTTGACTGTTGCGTTGACACCAAGCACAACTGCAATTCTTCATCATCCAGTGCAAAAGTAGTGCATTCTAGTAGCATGGCACAGTTTGTATCTGCTCGGTTCATACCTGCCAGCAGGTGTTGGCTTTGACACTCAGAAAATCAATCTGAACCACTTACTCTCCAAGCATACATAGCACTTAGGACGGGCACGGTTTCTGGTGTCATACAACCGATCCAAGACACATGTATTTGTGAACAACTCTTCAACACGCTGGGCAATTCTTTCCGAGCGCTCCGCTCTCGGCAACTTATTGAACCCGATTAGTTGCCTCTTGAGTTCTCCGAACGCCACTGGACGCAAGGCTTCAAACTTGGTGAATACCGCGATTACAGGAACTGAAGAATGTTCATTTAGTACGAGCACCACAAGGCACATGTTTCACAAATTCACCGTTCCCAGTATTGCACTCAGAGAAGAACTTCTCCTCTGCCCGCTGGAATGTTCGACAATGGTCGTCCATCGGAATACAGTACCTGTATGACAGCAATCAACAAATGGCGAAAGGGAGGAGGGGTCATTTACCAGATAGCATGGATTCGCTCCTCCAATTTCGTCGCATTCACACGTTCGGAGATAAATTTCTTCATGTCATTAAATTCTTCTTCAGAGCCCGCTTCGAAACCACACGAATCGTGAAAGACGAAACCAGGATTGCTTTTGAACACCAACTCGTTCGTGATATCGTGATTTCCACGCTGAATATCTATCAGCGCATGCACACTCATAAGATAGATGGGGCACACACCATTCTCGAGCCTTCCACGATGGCGGCATCAATCTACTTACAATCAGTGCTTGACGCCCGCACAGTGGTATGGAAGATAGTCCGCACCTTGTGTCCTTTGGCGTTGTAAATCTCTGGATTTTCCGTGGTGATGCAGACCTTCTGAAGGATAGTTGTTTTGCCTGCATTCGCTCTTCCCATGATCAGAACTCGAAAACGCCCAAATGTCTTTCTGATGTTCTGAGGGTCGACTTTGGATGCCATCGGGAGATCTTGATGTACTTCCTGAAAGGGGATTCTGTGCTCTCGGTTCTCGTGCAAGCAGGGGTACAGGAAACGAGATCGCAGTGAGGTATGAGAGCGAACGGAATTAAGGGCACCGATATGGTGCACGACACAACAGGTACAAACGGCGTCTAACACGTTGCAACATACAATCAATTCTGCACTTGCACGAGACGAGCTCATCATTTACTATTAGAAGGAACGACTATCTTCCTTCGTCTATATAGGGCTGGCTAGGGGAGACTGATCATTTACCTGTTCGAGAGCCGTTCGTACAATAAAGCACAAAAATTCAGTACACAACAAACAATTCTCAATTATAAGACCATTGATAGGGTAATTACTATGATGATGATCAGGTTATGATGGAAATGATAAAATTACCGTCTTCCCTACCCATCTCTTCAAAAGGAAGTGATGCTGATCTCGGGTGAGATCAATCTTTCAAGCTCTTACGGATGCTCCCTCTAGAACGGGAGAGATTTCGCAGTGCTCGATAGGTTCTGCATGCTTAGAGTTCTCTCCCTGGGGAACGGCGGTGCTAGGCATGTAGAAACTACGAAGGCGTGTTGAAGCAGTAGGTGTTGCGTGATCTCGGACATTGGCCGCGCTCGTCGCTGTTGGGGGAAAGGCCGATGTGGCGAGCTGCGGCAACTCGTGGGATATGCTTGTATGAGTTCTACAGTTTACCGAAGCAGTGCATAAAAATGCAATACTATTGAATACAAGAGAACACGTACCAGTAACCACTGGCATACATCCTACTAAATCACAATGAAAACGCTCCCAAAATCCTCCGATACAGTGTGCACAAAACTTCTAGTCACTGTAGCATCATCTTGCAGTTCTGTGCGCCTAGTCACTGTTTGGCTTGCCCCTCCTTCGACTCCTCCAGCCCTGGTGCCTCCTGCGATGAATGGTGACGTTGAGGGTGACTCCTCTTCGCACATAATGTAGCACGGTGAGCTTCCTTCTGTCTTTCGACGGGTGGACTAGGTTGTCGCGTCCACGCTCGTGGTAAGTGATGAAAGCCGTGGCCCTGGGACTGGAATTGCGAACGAACATATCCACAACCCCACATACGAGCGCGTTTCGAGTCCCGTGCGAAATAGCCTGCTTTACCAAGGCTACGGTGTCTCTGCGGTTTTGGTTTATGATCCAACACGCCGGCGCATATTCATATTTGCTCATACTGGCGATTAACTTTCAAGTCAGAGGGGACGGCAAAACATCAGCAACACCATTATTTTGATGCCTGGAAGCGTATGATCTGCCGGTACTAGAAAAAAACATAATTACTTCACATGGTACTGTAAACATTTGGACAATGTGAGAGTAAGACATCACAGTACTTGTGACGCGAATTGCACAAATCCGACAGCTGCAAACAAGTCACTAAGATAACCCAGGAGCTTGAAGAAGATGTTCCTATATACGCAGGTCAGGTTGCGAGTCTAAGAAACCACCGGAAACGCACCTTTGCAAGTTTCTGGCCATCCGATAAAATGAAAAGGCAAGACTGCAGATCCTTCAAACACCACTGTCTTTCGAACCAGGAGAGGAGACGTCGATTCCAGAAAGACATGAACGTGTGGGTGAGCGTCTCGTCCCATGGATTCGGAGCTCGCGAGAGATGAATAGCCCAGTGTTGGCATGCGTAACTGAGGGCGTCGGAGGCTGATCGACTTCGTGTGCGTGCTTCGTACGTGAAATTCGAAAAGGCTATTATAGCATGGATGACCTCCAGGTCTGGTGAAAAACGACCTTGTGGTAACGCAGAGGTGGAACAGTCCATATGCTTTAACGCCAGGAACGCCGGAAATATCAAGAAATCCGGCAAACTCCTGAACTGCTGGATGGCTTGAAAAATTGGCTGTGAAGGCAATTCTAGGAAAACTTTGTATTCTCTGATTGCTTCCAAGGTGCTCGAGAAGTCTTCCATAGTCACCCAGACAGTCGTCAACCGCCATGCTTGACCATGTGGGGTCTGCAGCCAGTCCCTCCCGCCCTGGGTCTGCAGCCAATCTCTGCCGCTCTGGGTCTGCAGCCAATCTCTCCCGCCCTGGGTCTGCAGCCAGTATCTCCCGCTCAGAGTCTGCAACCAGTCTCTCTCACCTTCGGACTTCAGCCAGTTTCGCCCGCCTTCGGTCGGCAGCCAGTCGCTCCCGCCCTGGGTCTGCAGCCAGTTCTTCCCGTCCGGACTCTGCAGCCAGTCACTCCCACTCTCGTTCTGCAGCCATTGTCTCCCACTCCAGAACTGCAGCCAGTCTCTGCCGCCCCGGGTCTGCAGCCAGTCTCGTGAGCCCAGGGTCTGCAGCCACTCCATCCCTCCCATGGTCTGCAGCCAGGTTTTGCCATCCGGACTCTGCAAGTACTCCTCATCCGCAGTCGGCAACGAGGATGACTGAACGGGTGGCATCAAGCATGACAAAGAGAGCGGAGGTTGTAAAACGGGTGTCAGTGCCGGAGGGGCTACTGGTGGTGGAATGGAGGGTATCAATGGCAGACGGGATGGCGGCATTTGCGGCCACCGTCGCCAGGACCGGAACTCCAGCCAGCCTCGAGCTTTCTTTATGCACAGCCAACGTTGTCCACCTGGGGTCTGCAGCCAGTCAGTCGCACCTGAAGTCCGCAGCCAGTCGGACCCAGCCGAGGTCTGCAGCCAGTCCGTCCCACCCAGGGTCTGTAGCCAGCTTGTCCCACCCGGGGTCTGTAGCCATTCTGCCCCGTCCGGAGTCTGCAGCCATTCTCCCCTGTGCAGCCAGTCCGTTCCACCCGGGGTCCGTAGCCAGTCCGTTCCACCCAGGGTCCGCAGCCAGTCCGTCCCACCCAGGGTCTCCAGCCATTCTCCCCCGTCCGAGGTCTGCAGCCAGTGGTTCCCGGCCGAGTTCGCCAGCCATGTATCCCCACGGGGAGTCTGCAGCCAGCCTTCCCCGCCCTCAATCTCCAGCCAGGCACGCCACAGGGTCTCTAGCTCGGTAAACCCATACACGGTGATCATCCAGTCTTTCCCGGCCGAGGAACCCAACCATTTGACCCCCTGCACTGTCTGCAGCCAGTCTCTCCCACCCTCAGTCTGCAGCCAACCGCGCCCGACGCAGGTCTGCAGCCAGTTTTCCCCGCGGCAGGTGTGCAGCCAGGATCGCCCGCCCGAGGTCTTCAGCCAGTCTTGCCCGCCCTGTATCTCCAGCCAATCTTCCACTCCTTCAGTCTGTAGCCAGGCATAACCATCTGGGGTTTCTAACCAGAACTGTAACTCTGGACTGCGATTCCCCCGGAGCCATAGCAGAGTTATAAGCACTTGCATTGGCTCCGGCGGTTCGACTGTGAAGGATAATGATTGTGTTAAATTCTGGGGGTCGTGGGATTCCATAGCTTGGCTGTGCTTCGTCAATCCTGAGAGCGCATACAGGAGGGCCGTGCTTTCGGGAATCTCACGGATCATCAAGCGGAGAGAGGAGAGAGCGAGTAGAGAATGAGGTGATGTGATGTTTTTTACTTGACGGAGGTTGCAGTTGGAGCGGTGGGAAACGTAGTCACGAACGGAAGAGTGATAGATATTCACGGGGAGACTGCTGTCGCTAGGAACATCGACGATAGACCGTAGCTGCACCAGCACTCTTTCGACATCCCTTCCCTGACTAGGGCCAAGAAGTTTCGATATTTGTGACATCGGCAGAGGGTCTGCAAGGGCAGAAACTACAGACAAGTGCAAGTATGCCAACGAAGGGTCGACGCACGTGGAGAGGATACGGTCGTATAACTTATACACTTCCGTTCCTGGTAGCAGTTCGCTCGTTAGCTCGAGCATGAGCTGAAGTCGATCTCGGGGATCATGATTTCGATCATCGATGAACATCATCATCGTGGACGCAACGATAAAACGTCTGCCCGCTCGGCTCGCCAATCGCGCAAATTGATCCTCCGATGGCTGTGGGAAATCAGGATCGCGACTTTCTAAGTCTCTGAACGAATGCTGCAAGAAGATATAAATGTCATGGTCGACATCTGCGCCGTCTAATGAGATAGTAGCAGTAACACTTTCTCCAGAAGTCTTCGCTGGGATCTCGCACACCAGCATATGCATCTCTTCTCTCTGCATAGCTTTACGGATATGCTCTTCCGAGCGACTCGTGAGCAGAATGTGGGTGACGGGCAGATCAGGTTCACGAAGAGCTTCGCCAAGGAGGGAGATGAGATCGGCGAGCTCGCCTTCGGAGGTGGATTCATCGAGGGACTCAGATTCGAGTGATTCGGGTGTACATTCATCAAGGGCATCAATAACAAACGCCAAAGGTGGACACCCACGCAGTCTGAATCGAAGCCTCCGGAGAGGTCGGAGAAACAACGCCTCCATTTGGTCGCGAAGAGACTTGTCGGGGTCTAGAAGTGCGGGATTCTCCAGGATAGCGCTGTTCACCTCCTCCCGGACGCTGGGGAAATTGCTCGCGAGCTGGTAGGCAAGCGTCACAAAGAAATGACCAGTCGTGCGGCGTTTGGTGTGCTTGCGCGAGAAAAAGAATGTTCCTCCGAGTCGCTTTTCCTTGCTCCCTTCTGTCACTTTCAGACATCTCATCCTTTCAGCTGCGGTGAATGCAACGGCAGATTTTCCGACGCTCGCCGTTCCATGCAGCCAAATGATTCGACTCTTCTCTTTGTTGTCTAATAACTCGTAGATATAGTTGAGAAGGACAACCCGAGTCCCTTCCAAACATTTCGGATGGGGTTGGCGTTCACGAGAGTCATGTTCAGCGCCCTTCACAGCGACCTGTGACAACTTCTCCCAAGATCCTTCAGACATATCCAAGAACTGTTTGATGGGATCGAATAACGAAAGAAGAGATAAAAGACGGATATACTGACATTCACTCCTTAAGAGAGGTTGATGGTAAATCGTGACACAGAATGTGGGATGGAATCAAGATGGAATGGAACGACTCCGAGAAAACCTAGTCGTATACGATGGTGCGGTCAGAAATCAGAGGAACGACGGTGACTTAGCGACTTACGAGGATACTGCTCCAAGGATGAAAGGCTAAGCTGTCACTAGGAACTTTTGAGGGCGGGTTTGGGGCGGGTACTGAAGTTGAAAGATGATGTTCTGGAATAGTTGTGCCCGTTATCGTTGAGTCTAATGGATGGGGTCCCAGTGCTGTAAAATCAGGTTGCTGTAGGGCACAAGGCTGCACAATGCAGTGCGACCTCACTACCCAACGCTTGCGGCAACACAGCCCCACGCTTAGACTCAGGAATCGAGAGACATGAGTTACTGACACAAGGCATTGCGAGTCTGCGACAGCTTCAAGTTGTTAGTTGCAAAATCGAGTGCAGGACGTATGTGACACCCGCCGTGGAACACCCGGGCCCGATATTACATCCACAGACTTGCATCCAGGCTTGAATATTTGAATTATGTTCAAGGAGCGATAACTATCAGTATATGTTATGCGGTGCTGAGTTCTGACGAACTCTTCTGTTATTCAACGTCCAGACTCCACCATGACTCCACACCCAATTCCCAATGTTGCCGAGGAGTATCAGGTTACTTGAACCTGACATCGAAATTTTAACATGATTTTATACATATGACCCTAAAAGTAGAAAGCCTTGATCGAGATCCCCCTGCTAAATCAGAATGCCAGTTGCGTTCACAAGTATCTGAGAGACGGCCTAGTTTACGTTCACATTTGAAACTTTCTTCAGCCATAAGCGTGTGCTCTCATTGGTGGAGAGGTACTTAGGCGACGCTAGGCGCTCGGCTACATATAGGCTTCTGTTGAAAAATGTGAACGGGGTATGGGTTTGGAAGAGAGTAAGAGAGCACGAACCCCTACGTGAGCAGCGAGCGACTAATGTTCGAACAAATGTGAGTCAACAAAGAGAGGTATCGAATCAGCGAAAACCTCGAGTCAGCTGCCATACGTGTACTAGTCAGAATATATCACTCCACGAAACACGAGGTATAACTCACGAGATATCATATCGTACACTTTCAATAATGTAGCAGGAGGCGCCGCCGTGGCGTACTTGGCATTCCTGGATGCACACGATAGAGCACTTGAAGGGATCTAGTCGCTTGAAGCTATGTCCACGTTCTGGAGCTCACAACGAACCAACAGTGAAAACCTTAAGAGCGGCATCCTCAACGGGGCTCAAACGCGCAGAGTTTCTCGATCGCATCATCGGCGTCGATACCATTTGCACGCTACAGAGGCTCAACGCCGAGATGGCAAAATTGATAGTGGACACTGCCGAATCTCGCGTACGTCAAGACCTCGCCACAGTAAAATAAAATAAAAAGAGCCTTGATCGAGATTCCGCTGCCAAATCAGACCGTCAATAGCTCTGCAAACGGCACCCACGTCATAGACTTCTGATCTAGTCGACAGGTAAAGCCCTCATCACAAGGTCAGACGTTGCTCGAAAAATGGTGCATCTTCATAACAGCACACAACGCACCCCCATGAAGCAGTCCTATGCACGCCGCCACAGTCAGAACAGCAAGTTAGGCTCAGGCAAGCTCAGGCTCAGGCGGCAAGCTCAGGCTCAGGCGGCAAGCTCAGGAGGACCGGCACCTTCCTTTGAGCATCCTGAGAGTATAAAAACCGCCTGGATGTGGCGGAGACATGAGTATGGGTTTGGGAGAGTGAGAGGACGAACGGATATATGAGCGGCGGGCGACTTTAAGTGATGTCACGAACAAATGTGAGCAAATAAAGCGAGGTGTCGAGTGCCTTGGTACGTCTGCGCTCGAGTCAGCTACCGAAACACAAAGTGGAACTCACGATATACCATGCGCTACACTTTTAATAAGGAGCTGTAGCGGTGCGCGGTGCTGCGAGCGTGCTTGGTATTCCCACCTAGATGGTTCTGGTAGAATGTGGTATCCAAGCAATAATATTATTATTCCTAAACCAATATACAAAAATCCATGTCCATCACCAACACTCACCCACTACTACTCGGGGTATCCACCTCCGCATTATCACACCCAGTCTTCTCATCACCCACCTTCTCCCACTCCTTCAAGGCACCCTCGAAACTCTCCCACACCGCCTGTCCAAGATGCACGCCCCCCAACTCGCCATCGTCCGGCACCTCAGCATCCGCAGTGGCAGGACTCGGTATCCGCAGGTTAACAACCGCACATTCGCGATAGAGCGCGCCTGCTTTGAGTACTTCCTCTGGGTTATCTGTGCCTTGACGAGCGGTGCTTTTGAAAGGCGTTGGGAGGAATAGAACGTGGAGTATGCTTTGGACTGCTGATGCTGTTGATTTTGTGAGGAGGCGGAGGAGGGGTTGAAGAAGGATGTATCTGAGGAAACGTCAGTATCAATGTATGCGAGTTAAAAGAGGACTCACAGAACGAAGCCGAATGTAGATTGATCCCTTCCCCGGACTGCACTCAATAGCGGCGCAATGGTATCAGACCTAGTAAGCCCGGGACACACGGACACAGCTACGATGTTTGATTTCTGCACCTTGTCGCTGACGACGTGGATGGTAGCGTCGTCTGTCTTTGGTATCTGTCCGCCTGATGGGAGAGCATCGAGGATGCGCTGGAGGTGGCGGGTGAAAACGACCATTTGAAGAGACCGCCAGCCTTCTTGGTGGAATAGTGAGGATGGTTTGGATGTGGGAGAGTAAGAGGGAGCTGCTGCTGCGTAGAAAGGATTGACGACGTTTATGATGCGTATGTCGCGATCTGTGGGTGCGACGAGGAGGACTGGGAGGAGGAGAGTAAGGATTAGGAATGATGCTAGTGAACCGTCTTGTCTCTGCTTTGCTAGATCCTGACTATGTATGATTGAACCTAGGTGTTGATACTCGTGTGCAAATATGATTGCATCCAATCTTGTCTCTTTGAAACGAGAGCAGAATGAACGGATGGAAGAAGGTGAACTGAGGTCGCATTGATCTGCGAATATGTGTTCGTTCTTGGTCGTCGATCGTAAGAGGTTGATGAGAATTTCTACTTGAGGGACATTCGGAGAGAGTGCAATGATATGTGCGCCTCTTTCAGCAAGGTTTTGTATGATAGTTAAGCCAAGGGGAGTGAATCCTCCCTGATCAAGTCAATAAAGAGAATCTATGTGAGACGAGTACATACAGTGACGAGGACAACCTTGGCATGCATTTCCCGTTCCCTGTTCGTAGTTCTCCCTTGTGCAAACGCCCTAACCACCACGATGACAAGGATAGAAACGATAGCGTGCACATAATATTCAGACGGAAGCAAGACATTCACCGAAGCTGCAAGTACTTTGAGGACCATGATCAAGAAGGCGGAGTCTAAAAAAGTAAAGTAGAAACGCGTCTGGAATAGATCGCAGCTCATCATACACCATGTCGCTCAAAGTACCAAAAGCTAGCAACATCCAATTATTCAAAGACGGATACAAGGTACTCTCCATCATCCAGATCTAACTTCCCCTTGACGTCCCCCCTAGCATCTCCAAGGAATCGAAGATGCAGTCTTACGAAATATTCAAGCCGTCAATGAATTATCAGATCTAGTACGCACGAGCTTTGGTCCAAACGGTACGCGTCTTCCTCTTACACAGCGTATAAACTCACTCTTTCTAGGCCGGAATAAACTCATCATCAATCACCTCGGCCGATTATTCGTAACTTCCGATGCAGCTACCATCATCAGAGAAGTCGAAGTAGTTCATCCAGCTGCAAAGCTCCTCGTCATGGCCTCACAAGCCCAAGAATCAGAAGTACGCCTCCCAATTCCACCCCTACACTTGCTGACCCGACCCAGATGGGTGACAGCACAAACATGGTCATCATCCTCGCAGGCGAACTCCTCAAGAAATCAGAAAACCTCCTCGTAATGGGTCTCCACCCAAGCGAAGTGATCAAAGGTTACGAACTAGCTTGCATTAAAGCACTCGCAGAACTTGAAAGCGAGTCCCCCTCCCCATCCAACTGATGTTCTTATGACGAGCCGTGACAAGCAGATCTATCAACATCAAACCTCCCATCTCCATTCACCCACGAATCCCTCATCGTAGCTCTCAAACCCGCAATCGCATCAAAGCAATACGGCTACGAAGACGTCCTTTCATCACTCGTCGCAGAAGCCGCTCTAGCCGTAATGCCCAAGAACCCAAAAAACTTCAACGTCGACAACGTCCGCGTCGTAAAAATAATGGGTGGAAGCCTCTCGGGTAGTAAAGTAGTCCAAGGCATGGTATTCGGTCGCGAACCAGAAGGTAACCCCATCCCATCTTAGTCCTCGATCTCGACACTCACAAACAAACGTCAGGCATCATCAAAAAAGTCACCCACGCCAAAGTAGCCATCTTCACAAGCGCACTCGACGTCCCCCAAACAGAAACAAAAGGAACAGTCCTCCTCAAAAGTGCAGATGAGATGCTCAACTTTACTCGTGGAGAGGAGCAACACCTTGAAAAGGTCCCTTTCCCCTCCCCAGATCTACTAACACAGCCACTCACCCACTATCGCACAGATATTCAAAGAAATAGCAGACTCGGGCATCAAAATCATAATCGCAGGCTCCTCAATTGGCGATCTCGCACTCCACTACCTCAACCGCTTCAACATAGCAGTCTTAAAAGTCCTCTCCAAATTCGACCTCAGGCGCCTTTCCCGCGTAGTAAACGCAACACCCCTAGCCCGCCTCGGCGCACCCACACCCGAAGAAACCGGCTACGTCGATATCTTCGAAACAACAGAAATAGGCGGGGATAGAGTCACCGTCCTACGTCAGCTTTCACAGGGGGATGAGGGGTATACAGGGGAAACGGAAAAGACGCGCACGGCTACTATCGTGCTTAGAGGCGCTACTGCTAACCACCTCGATGATCTCGAACGCGCCATCGACGACGGTGTCAACGTCATCAAATCGCTCATCAAAGACCCGCGACTCGTGCCTGGAGCAGGTGCTACAGAACTGGAGCTTGGAAAACGCGTAGAGGCGTATGGAAGTGGAATGAGAGGCTTGGCGCAACATGCTGTGAAGCGGTATGCAACAGCGCTAGAAGTCATCCCTAGAACGCTGGCTGAGAACGCGTTGGGAGGTGCGGAGGGGAATGAGGTGCTTAGTCGGTTGTGGGCGAAGCATGAATTGAAAGGAGGGGAAGCTTGGGGCGTTGATGTAGAGGTGCGTTTCCCCCCTCTTTTCTATCCCACTCTGCGTTCCCCCCTTTTCTTTCTTTGCTATTGAGACTCTCGCTCATTATATACAGGCTGAAGAAGACGGCACGCTCCTAGCAACAGAACACAAAATCCTCGACTCACTAGCAGCTAAACAATGGGCTCTCAAACTCGCTACAGAAGCAGCCGTTTCCGTCCTCAGCGTCGATAGCATCATCATGAGCAAACCAGCTGGTGGCCCTAAAGTTCCTCAACAAGCGAGTAATTGGGATGAGGATTAGTTCACGCTGGGACGAAGATGAGTTTACGCTGGAAATGAAGATGAGCTCGAACTGTGATGAAGACGAGTTCAAATCGGGATGAAGATTAGGAGGGTGCTACGACCCTATGGAGCATCAAACTGAGATGAATATTAGAACGAGAGTGCTACGTGCTACAGAGCAATTGTGTAGACTGCTTTACTCTAATTTTGTGCAGAACGAGTAATGAAATGAATGAAGCCAAAATGAACGAAAGAATGAGGATGAGCAGGGTGTGGTGTGGTGTGGTGTATGGTACTGTACAATGTCCATGATAGATCCTATAGCCAAGGCCCAAGTATACGGAGGTGAAATGAGGTGACCACGAACAGGGAATACGGAATACGGAATGCATGCAACAGCTATGAACACAACACAGAAAACGAGTCCGGGGGTTAGGTGTGGTGTGGTAGTGCGAATGAATACAAAGCGTCCATGTCTATGACTCATCGCCGCCATTAACACTGACGCTGACACTGACAGAAGAATCGATCTCCTCCTCTTCTTCATTTTCTTCAAGAATAGGCTCTTCAATCTCATCTTCTTCTACATCGTGGTCAGCTTCAAGCTCGTCGTCAAAGATTACATGGAACTACATCAAACCCATCAGTATCAGTACCGTTGCAATATAAACTTCGAACAGAACCGACGTACATGAGTGATCAAAGCCTTCACAAGTTTATGCGTATGTCCCATATTCGCCAAAATCAGCGCAAAGTCATTCTGAGGCGCGCGCAGAAGGTTGGGGCTGAACACGATAGCTAGTGCTTCGGCTGTCATCTGATTGTGTTCTTCGTAATCTGTTACTCTGCAGCGCCGTCAATATCAATAAGACATGATGCGCTATGACGCTTTGGGGAGAAAGAAAGAACACGAACCTATCGAGGTGTTCAGCGACCCTTTTCAAGAGATCGAAATTCGCTTGGGGGAGTCCGTGTACTACGCTTCGGATGCAGGAGAGTCGGGAGGTAAGGTTTTCGAGCTCTGCGAGGACATCATCAGCGTCAAAAAAAGGCATTAATTGAGGGGACGGATCTTACTCATCGCCTCGATGATATTGAAATAAGACGAGGAAGGGAAGACAGGCTCAGGGAGTAACCTGAACCACGACTTGACCAAGTCGCACACGGCATGGATATCGGCATCGGGGGTGATCGGTGACTCGCCTAGGAACAGTCAACTACGTGAGGCACATTCCAGATGAAACCCTTACCTCTGTTGAAAGCGTCGCGGAGAGTATTGACTTCGGAAGTAGCCCCAGCAATACGATCTGTAAAGCAAATCAAACCTCTGCAGGCGTGAATGATGCCGGAAACATACAAATCCCAACTTCATCAAGCCCACGAAACTCGACTTCAGACAAGCAAGTCTGCATAACCGATGGTATCGAGCCGATCTCAGGTTGCACCCCACCAGCTTCACGCTCCAGAAGAAAGTCCAATTCCACTCCAAACACTAAAAATCCCATAAGACACGCCACCACAGAGAACACAAAATACCTTACCAGCTCTAGGATCTCTCGAAGCAGTAGTAGCAGATGGATGATGATCATGGATATGGTCCGCAAGTTGCGGCTTTGGTGAATTGCCAAGATACGTCAAGCGGCGTTTAGCAGCAAGTCTCGCAACGCGATTGATTTGCTCGATCCATCGTACCATCTCTTGCTTAGAAATAGCCTGGAGTAAATAATGTCCGCCGTCTTCTGTGTCCAGCTGGAATGTGAATGATCTCTCGTTATTGATAAATTGGGCAACACGAGCGTCAACGACTGAAAGAACCAAAGAAGGTTTACCACTTGGCAAGAAGTCCAATTCAGTGGGAGATCGCTTCAATGCCGTAGCGTGCATGCTATCGGTGAATGCGCTGGAGATAGGTCTCATCAGTTGGAAGAAGGCGGAGGAGTAGCTTTTCTTCATCCGGTGTTGCTTCTGAACCTGGGTCATCGGCTTTCGTGACCGCATCGCCTTGTTAATTTGATCATCTCTCCGCTCATTGCGCAATTGTTCTTGCTTTTTGTCTTTGCTGAGCCGGTCGTGGAGATACTTGTCTCGTTTGTACTTCTCTTGCTGCACCGCCACGAGCCTCTGGAACGGGCGAACGGTCTTCTTGACAGATGCCGAACCAGTGCCTTGAGCTTGGAGCGCCTCCCGCTGTGCCTCGTCTTTGATACTCCGGTGGTCGAGTACGATCAAGTTCATCTCTCTCTCGATGTTGTTCAACCGTTCGAAATCTTTGCGATCGACTTCTTCGCGCGGACGGTTCCTCTTCGAGGCGAGTGACGGGGTATTCAAAATGAGATTGCAAAGATGTCTATGAACCATATCAGCATACCGTATCTCATAGCCCATCATTACCTCACCTGCGCTTATCCAAATTTATGATACACTGATCGTTGTCGCCCGCTGTAGTGACCACGTTCGGTATGCTCACCAACTCAAGTATACGTTCCAGAATCCAACTAATATCAAGAGCAAGAGGTTCTCCATACGACTTTCTGGGTACAGCTGGTCTTGAGAGAAGCGCTGCGAGGCTGTCGCACTGAACATTCCGGATATTCGCAATATTTTGCCATGGGCGATGATGCATACGGCTCTCAGAACTGATAATAGCCGAACTTAGGACGGCCTCGACGAAAGACCGGACGCAAGAACGGTCCCCACACCCGGATGAAGAACCAGAGTTCATGCTCCTAAGACGGGCGATCTCGATGGCTCGAAGGAAAAGGTCCATCCTTGTCTGCCGTACTCGGATCCCCAGTTTCGGCGCGACGAGCTTGGAAATCGTCCATTTCCGAAGAATAGTAAAGGCACGGATACAGCTGCGGATGCTAGGCGGTAGGAGACGGTAGATTGTATCCTGAGAAAGCTCGGATATCAGCGTGGATGGCTGAACCTCCGTTAAGTGGGAATACAGGGACTGTATGTCGATGTCATCTGTCGATGGCACTTCCCGAGTTGAAAACCAACCGGTACGATCTGCACTTTGTACCTCTAATAGATCAGCGGTGATGAAAAGATCCTGAAATGGAATGAGCGCCCATATGGAAGTTAGTGAGGGGAAGACCAACCTCCTCGCTGATATTACTGAACGCGGCGGAAACCATGGCGTTCAAATTCTCGACGAGCTCCTCGGCACTGATTTCATTGAGGTCCGGTGGTTGGTTACCAAAGGATCGTGTCCGAGGCGTCGAGTTCAAAGGTCGGGCATTACCCAAGAAAATAGACGGAGGTCGTTGGCTGTGTGCTGCGAACGCCGTGAGAGTTGTCTGACGAGTGTTGTTAAGAGCATCCCAAGCTTGGCCAAAGTCGTTGTCATCCGCGGTCGAAGCATCAAAAGAAGAGCGATCCAACGGACTTTCCAGAAAAGACCGCACTGCTTCAAATAGCTGAACGTCATCGAGACAGTCCTGGGCGCCTCCTCCAGATGTTATCCAGTCCTTCATTGTATCTAGGACTTCTGAACGGAAGTGTATCACGTGGAGAGAACTGTTTGAGGAGGGCTGGCTGGAGGGCCGACTACCTAAAAAGCGTTTACGAAGTAGCTATAAAATGTATGAATTAGGCCAACTCGAACACGGAAATAAGACTCCCATACCTCAAAGAATACGATAGGCGTCACAAAACTCCGGAATACGTGCCACCATACTCGCGCAAACTCAACCCGATCGACGACAAGGTCCCTGGTTTTGCCGTCCCTTAAAGACGTCTCACCATTATCATCAGCCACAGCTACTGATACGCCCTGAAGGCCATGCACAAGGACATTAACAAGGCGGTCCAAGGTCCCAGCTTGAACGATGACCCGAATGGGCCTCTCCGACGACACCTCTGTCACCATAGCGTTCGGTCGAGAAGAAATAGAAGGCAGCGAGCTTCGGCGTGCAACGCTGCTCTTCCGCTCGAGACCCTGAGACGATCCAGGCTTTACACGGATGGACGGCGAACGCGTCATAGGTTTGTCAGCATTGCACGCCTCCACAGAACTCGGAGGTCTGGACGGCGCACGAGAAGCGGGTCGGGATGAGGACAATGGATCCAAGTCGCTGCGAGCAACGAGGAGAAGCTCGCCGTCATACACAGGAATGGCAGTCTCCCGAATGTCGACATCGCCGATGTTGAACAACTTATCCTTACTGGACGAGGCATCCATCCTACTACGAGAAGCCGGAGTCAGCGCAACATCAAGTCCGCGGAGACGCTGAAGCTCGTCAACACTAAGCTTCGTCGGTCCGCTCTCCAATCGACCGCGCCAAATCTGTGCGCGATCAATGAGCGAGACGGTTGGCAGCGGATCCACGAACAACAGGGGCGTAAGGGGATGACAAAGCGTATGCGGCGTGGACATGGAATGCGACCAGAAAAACGGCTCGAACAAGCCTTTCCGCCTCGGTTCGGCAGCTAACGAGAGGGCCATGAATTGATCCACCCTGTTCCCAAATCAACATTTTCTAGCCCGAGATGGTAAGCGTTCAACGTACCGTTGGAACTTGGACGCCAATATCGAGTTCTGGTTAACTTTCTCCTCCACGAAATCTTGCCAAAAGTCGAGGAGCTTTTCAACGTCGTGAGGAAGATCATCCCTTGAAGTCTTTCTAGGGCACAACGAAAGTTTCGTCCGAAGGCCCTCAAACAAGTCCCTGGTCTGCAAAAGAGGCTTTGCCGCCCATACTTCATCTGTCCTTTCTTCTCTAGCCTGATCGAGGAGATGCTTGGCTCGATCCCTAATCTCTCCACCCCAAGGGGTCAAGACAGGCTCATTGATAAGCGCGACCTGCCCATCACCCCCAGGGTAGATCCACGACTCTACAACCATGATACTCTGACGATCCGCTCGCCTCCACGCTTTGCCAAGCCGGGCAATAGGACGCGAACACAGTGCAGTAGAGATAGCCATCCACGAGCACTCATCGCCTGCAACACGACAAAGCTCTCCAATCCTCGCCCACATGGAGATTACTTCAGAACGCGAATGCGTGCGTGATGATGCAGTGCGCTCCAACCCAGAGTTGCTCGACGAATCTGCACCTAAAATCTGCATGAGAAGCAGCCTCGTGAGCCAGTGGGGTCGGTCGTCGCTTCCAAACAGTGCTGCTGACGGCGACGAACCGGCTGGTGCACCAGCACCTGAATCAGGGGAAGCGTCAGGATCGCTATCTGCTTTCAAGATATGATCTGCCGTGAGGTTATCAGGAAGCTGTTGGAGGATGCGTCGATGGAAGACCCTCAAACTATGGGCAACGGCAGTGGGGTCAAGGAGAGAGAGCACCTCGCGGGTGAAGCCGTCTTGCGCTAGCAAGGCCCATACACGCTGCTTAGACTCGACAAATGGATGTTTTGAGCGCTGTTGTTGTGGGGGGAGAGGCTTGGCAGGTGATGCAGAAACTTGCAATCCTGAACCCAATGCTTCCATAAGAGATGCCAGCTTGGCATCGTCGCCTGGACGAGGGGAGAATGTGCCTAGGTTTGGAGAGAACGTACATCCGGTCATCGAGGGCGTGCCCATGCCGGGGTTTGGGGAGGGCGCAAAAACGGCTTGTGTAGAGGTGGATTTGGGCATTCCGGAGGCATACCCTTCGTTCCAAGAAAAAGTGGGTATCGTTTCCTTTCGCCAAGTATCCCAGGCAGGCTCGTCAGCAGGCGCACCATGGTACCGGAGATACTCCCCGGCCATCCATGAGACGCACGAGCGCTCAAAATTCTGTGTTTTCTCTTCGGCGCCACTCACGAGGTTGTCGCATAGACGAGTGAACTCGTTCTCAAATGTCTCTCGCCCTACAAGGATGGGCAAGCAGAGCAACACAGCAGAACAGAAGTCTTTCCACTCCGGTCGGCGAGGCTCGTCTGTGAAAGTACTTTGCTCTTCGTCCTCAGGCTGGAGGAAGGTCGTGGCGAAGACAGCTTCATGTATGAGAGCCTCGAAGGTCCCCTTCTCGATGCCATCGTCACCGCGAGCTAGGTCAGGATGGGTCCTTCGACCCCAATATGCACGCTTCTTCCTCCCTCCTGTACCGTCATCTCTACCCCTACCAATCCTTATATCATCCAGGGTATCGGCTTCACCATCCACTTCGCCCTCTTGGAGGGCAGGGACGATCTCAGTAGGAAAGAGTTCCTTGATGGCAGCGCTACGGTCATGGGGTGCTTTATAGAAGTATAACTTCGACCCTTTGAGTTCTGCCTTGAACGCCTTCCATCCCTTGGACAGCGTCAGATTCGTAGCAGTGCTGTACGGCCGATAATGCGCGTAGATCGATGGCGCGGCGTCTCCCATACGGTTGATGAAACCAGAGTTATAAATGATCTGCGACGTACGACGCGAGTCGAGACTGTCGTCGTTGCCATCAGGTTTGAGCATTGAGGGCGCGAGTAGTGGGGAGGACGAAGACGTTGTGTTTTGGCCACTGACGGAAGTTGGGGTGGGCGTTGGATGTTTGTTGGAAGAAGGACTCGTAAGACTGAAAGGAAAGACACCACGCGTGCCACTGGGGCCACTCCGATCATTATCTTTCTCCTTTGTTGATTCGGCATCTCGCTCGGAACCAGAACCCTTTCTTTTGGGGCTTGTTGGAGAAAACCCGAGCTTGGATGCGGATAGCTTGGAAGGTAATCGGGGTGCAAATGACGTGTTGCGGACATGAACAGGAGATGCTTCCTCTGATGCAGGGGGAAAGAACGCGTCCGAAGTGGGTGAGGAGACAGAGATAGAGATACCGGGATCAGGGGAGGAGAGCTCGCCCTCAGGAGGGGAAGACGAAAGAGGGATATTGGTCACAATGGTTGGGAAAATGTGCTTCGCGGGACTTCCAGGACCAGAATTAGGGGAAGCTGGATGCAAGGTCGCGCTGCTGTTACTTCTATTCCTGTACTCTTGCACTCTGTGCTGAAAAGAGACATCTGCAGAGGTATACGAGGATGTCGAGAAGCTTCCAAGATCATCTGCAGATTTTGACCAAGTTCTACGGGATATCTCGCGAAGATCACCGAGCCCTCCATTGGTATCAGGAGAGGAGGGTTGTGAAGTGGGAAAAGGTCGTTGTAAATCGAAGGACTTCTTAGAAGGGAGATCTAGAACCGACCTAAGAAGCACAGCGAGTGATCAGTACATGCATTACGACGCACACGACCGATTTTGATACGAAGAATACGCCGCAAGCACGCGAACACGTATCAATTCAAAACATGCCATAAGAGACAGGGTAGCAAGCGGTGACCTTCACCCGAAAAGCGGTATAGTCGAGGAAAGGGTCGATCAAAGGCAGGCTGAAAAACGAATACTCACTTGCTGGCATCGCTGATACGGGTTTCCGATTGAGATTGAAAAGATTGAAAAATTGGGCGTGGGTCTGTTGGGCGGGATATCTTCGGCTTGCGTACGGCCACAGAGCTCGTGCTACTTCGAGGTTCACTTGCGCACGACGCCAAGCGTGGATCAGATGGTTTTCGGAACCATCTAGAAGGCTTGGAGAGCAGATTGGCAAACCCGGAGGGGGAATTGGAGCGTGCTTGAGGAAATTGCATGTAGGCAGAAGAGGTTGGGGTGGAAGTAGGGTGCATCGAAGCATCCTGCGGGCTCAGAGAATTGAGAGAGGATGCACCTCGTCGAGGTGGCATTTCTTTAGCTAGACAATTAAAAAACGAGCGATGGCGGTCTTGGACGACTGAAATGTACAATGAAGATGATAATCTAGGGCGTTCTGTCAAATGGTTTCAGATAGTCAGACGGTCAGTACGAGGTCACTGTTGAATACGACGAGCAACGTACCTGCTGGTCGCTGTCCTGGCCAACCTCATGCAAAGTTCATGAAGCGTGAAAGTATTAGTCGAAGAGAGGATGGAATAGGAAACGGGCAAAACGGACATAAGTACTTCAAGCTGTCAATCTGCACAAACTGGGAAAATGTGTCTAAGGCGGCGTCGTGTTCATCTTGATCCTGAACTCAACCCTTGATTTCGCAAACTCTAGTACTAATATACTTATCCGTTTCCACGTACGATGGCATATTCTACGACCAGTGAGTACCTGTAAGTACTACCGGTGACTCTTTCTGACTTCCTGCAACGATTAACAGACGAATGTTCGACGAATGCATGGCAATAAATCAAAATCGACTAAGATACTCCGGAACGCCCACTGATTAACCCCAAGCTCGATCGGGAAGGAACCGCATGGCACCGCGTCGTAATTTCGAAAAGTCTCGAATGAGTCTCGATTCGAGTCGAGGATGTAACGGAATGTTGATCAATGGTCGTCGTCGACCCGGCATCGTGATATGATCCTGGGTGCGGATGTACTAACGGTATTTCTCCGGGTAAACTAGCCAACGAGTTGGGACGTACTTTGCAGTTATTTGCAAAAGCGTCTTGGGCAAGTTCCACGTCCCATTATTGGCCCAAAATTAACCGAGCTCCCACTTCAACCAAGCTTTATACCTGCTGTCAATTATTTTCTCGGCCCTTTCCGGCGTTTTAAGCATCCCCAATCAACTCAAAATCAACCATGGGCCGTCCGTGGCATCCACTGGGCATCCGCTGGATCTAGAGATATCAGAAGCCATCAGAAGTTGGAGATACGTGCCATTTATGCAGTCGGTGTCACTCGGTATCGCATCCGCCGGCATGACGCAAGTCTGGGGTCGATCCTCGTACTTCGCTGCTATCCAACATTAATGTGTCCAACCACGAGGGAAAAATTAAAGCCTTCAGAAGGCCATGTGCCCAGAAGATACTGCAGGGAAGTTCATTTAGATGGAAGCACTGGATGCAACTGCACCGCAAATGATTCTTCGAGGAGCGCATCTCGTAAATCATGATGTTAATTCAGCTGGAATAACCACGCTTTCAATCTTGACCGAAGTTATGACAGGACTTCACTTACATATATCAGTGCGCTACTGTCAAAATAACCCTTGGCTTGGGAGTTTCATGTTCAGCCGCGGTAAAGGAGTGCGACACTAGCTCGTACTAAGTGCAAAGTTGAAGTGGGTTAAATATTGTGTCAGCAAGTGCTAGTCTTGAATCGAACTAGCATCCCAAGAGTGTCAGTAGAGCCAGTAGTTTGCTGGTCTAAGACTAAGAAAGTACAAAGGTGATGTTTTAGCGCAAGCACGCTGAGCGCATTCCGCCCCCAAGGAGTGAGTGCTAGTGAGTAGCCTAAGAGCTAGAAGAGGCAAGCTGCGAGGGCAGGCGGGACTCGAGCGGGACACCAGCTTACTTCGAACCTTCTCAAGAATCAAGATGTAAGAAAGGAGAAAAGCGAGCCATTGCCCGTATCTGAGAAAGGACGAGGTAAAAGAAATGCGAGAACGACGACTGCATGACGAGCTACGCGATGGCGAACGATGGTCACACAATACTACTTGAAACAAGAGGCGGCCCGTGTTTCGGCACCAGTACTACGTAATAGTGTCAACTCGTACTTACAATATTATGTAATGCCGCTGAATTTGACATATGCATATAGACACTTCAGTCTTTGCAGAGATTTCCAGAAGTATAAATTGTTATTACTGTTACAGACGACGACACATCACTGCTTCACGAGCATTTCCTTGAATAAGATCTTATGCACCATTTTTGACGGCAAGCCAAGCAGGCCTGTTAGAAATGGCTTTCCACCACCTGCGCATCAACCGATTAAATTGTATCCACGAGGGCCAGTATCTCAGTTCTTACCTGGCAACATTGGGCCTGCTCTCAAACTCTTCAGCAAAGCCAGCGTGGCAAAACGCATCGCCGTAAGGCAAGTGCGTCAAATCAGCGAGCGTGACGGACTAAATTTGCGGCAGGTGATGTTACTTCATAACCAGGGTAGAGGACGAGAAATAGAACGCACATCACCAGCAAGGTACTGCTGTTTGCCAAGGATCACGTCATACACGTCCAGCTTGGCCTTGAGCATGCCCAATAGCTGAGCGACAACCGCCTCATTAGTTGCGATACCACGGCGCCTTCAGAAGTCTTCTAAACTGCGTTCGGTCGAGAAAGAGAACTACTCACGGCTTGAAAATCTTTTCAGCGACGATGGGCGCGACAAAGGCGTTGAAGTTGGAAGTCTCGATCGAAGCTGCTTGCTCGAAGAGGGCTTCCGCCTTAGGGTCTGTGGGGATCAAGGGAGTGCCCTGGTTGGGGTGTTTCTTGATGAGGTATCTTGCGATCGCGCGGGACTCGTATAGAATGAACCCGTCGTCATCCTTGGAGGGCGAATGTGAGCGAACATCATAGATCTGGTTACGAGTTGACTCACGATGTACGGGACCTGTCCGAATGGCTGAACCGCGATGAAAGCCGCCTCCTTTTGTTCACCTTTGGCCAGGTTGACGCTGATCAATTCATATGGAATCTCCTTTTCCTTGCAGACGAGCGCGACAAGGCGCGTGCATGTGGAATGGGTGAAACCATGCAACTTAACCATCGTGTTAGATTACTGGGGGGGATGGGAATAATATGGAAGTGTTATGAAAGATAGATATCGATGAATTCGAACGCAAGATCATTTATACCTACGACTCCACATGAATTACATATTACGATAAGATCACAGGATGCTGAGTAACCTGATCTTTACCCCCGCACTGCACCTATTCAGGCAAGGGTTCGTTACTTACCTAGGCTTTAGCTGTTGCTAGTGCCAAAGTCTACATATGACATCAATGATATCAGAGCAGTGCCAAGTGAAACTAGATCATACGACCAATCCTGCATCGATCATACAGATTTTCGGTTAACTCCGAAGAAGGTCTGGCCCACCAAAGGTCGCTCAATCGAAACCGGTCGTTGGCATGAGGATCTCCAGGGTGCAGGCCCGCAGGGACGATGAATTGCCTTGAGCTGACGAGTGCGGCGAGCCCGAGCGCAGGCCGAGTTGCTGAGTGATTCTTACTAATTGCTGACTAGTGATCAAACAGTATTTGCTGTCCATTTGATGAAGCTGCCCCGGAGATCGGCGTCCACGATATCGGGCTCTTGGTAAGATGATGAAGCAGTGCGTCAGCATCATTAATTGTCATCCTAAGGCCCGTGACCTCAACGTGATTTCAAGAAGGCCTGTTGACTACTTCAACAAGCATCAAATGTAAGTACCGCTCGTCAGGATCAGGTGGCAGCCTGATGTGTCCCACTTTGATAGCGATGATGCGGTTTTGATGGATGACAGTCCTGGACCCCAGAGGTAGAGCGGTGGCAGGGCTTAGCAGGGTCTCGTCGCTGTTGGAGTGTCGGAAAGGTTGACTGTCACAACCAGCGGTAAATAGTGAACTATACATATTAATACTCGAATTAGTAGGTTACATACGGCCTATTTGTCTCCTACGATACCTATTTGACCAATTCCTCAGCGCTGAGCTGTCGTCCGTCACGCGTCACGGTCCAACCGGACATTAGATCTGGTATAGAATGGGTTGCTGGCGCGGAAAGAGGACGCAATGGTGGAAATCGGTGGTTTTTAATGATGTTCTGCCTTCCGCGGGATTAATATTCTGATGCTCGATCACAAGAAATTAGGCCTCAGTCATTCCCGTGATGTCTCTCCACTCAGGCCTGGCATACCTCGACAGTTTTTTTTCGCACGGTAAACAAAAGTTTCTGACAACAGCGTTCTCCTGTATACCTTCTCATGTTCAGCGTCTCATGTTCAATCCACAATAAAGCACAGATCATCATCTGATGCGCTTCTCACAGACTCTCAAGTAGCACTATGTGACCATGATCAGACGGTGCTTATTATCCGAGTGACATGATGTCGATATAATGCCTTGCCGTCAAAGAAAAGGCATGCGTCCTCGCGGAGCCGCATCCTTCGAGGCCGCCATGAGAGTATTTGGTCATTACTGTGTGGGGCATTGTTCTCATACTTGCGGATTGTGAAGTCGATATCCCTTGTCACTTTTTATCTGCCACCATTTCACTACGTGACCTCTTCGACAACCAAGCTGCTTCTCTAGATGGCGCTGCCGGTAACTTCGATAGGAATGGCGCGACGTGTGCGGCACAACGGCCAGCAGGCTCAAGCTGTCGCCATCACCCTTGTGAATCTACTCCCAGGGAGCTATGTGACTACCTCGAATGCATCTATAGACTCGCAGTATGAAATCTCAGTATCAGGCGAGGGCGTCTCTACAGTCACGCCTGGCCTTGTGTACCGCTTGACCACACATGAGACACCCACGTGGTGGAGCCAGGCGAAGTATGGAACCTTGTAAGTACTAGATGGCTCTCTTGAGAATTTAATATGATTTGTGGACTCATGCGGCATTCACTGGGGTATCTTCAGCGTCCCCGCTTGGGTGAGCATGCTTGTGCTGTTGGTAACATTCTCGTTGGTTGATGCGTTTTATACAGGGCCCGCCTGGCTCATATGCGGAGTGGTATGAATGAGGAGGTTCCTCGTCATGCTCTGCAGGCTTTTCTTATACCAGAACAGCTGGTATATCCATAATATTACGAACCCCAGCTCGCCGACGTGGGTACATCACCTGTGTGCTTATGGGAAGGTAACCATGATGAGTTTCCGGTCGGCGTTAGTGTTCAGACCTGTGAACTGCAGGACGTTGTATGCGATGATTTATTATGGCGTCTACTTGAAGTCCCAGCGCTTAGTTAAATTTGTTCACCGAAGTTGGGACAAAGTACTTTGTCCTTATTACTGTACGAACGGCTTTTTATTGGTTGTCAATAAAGTCGAATTGTGTCGCATTACAGAAACATCACGACGGTTATGGACTATCTGATACAAAAATACCACACATGGAAGTACTCATGTCACGAGCTTGGTTCCTGTTTCTAATCTCCCTGCAGGTTCAATCCGTACTTTTTCAAGCACGGGTTTGATATATGGCCAGGAGGCTTGGCGCACGATGCATTCAATGCGTTTGAGCTGGAGCCTTATAAAAGAATATCGAATATCAGCGATTATATTGAGGGGTTTGCAATACCCGCAGATGCTGTCTTTGGCGCTGGATAATGATACAGAAATCATGGTGAGCTCATTCTGACATGCGCTGACGGGGGCTAGTGGTGCGACATCGGAGGCCCCAACAAGACGTTGGAATTTGCCGCACAATTCTACAACGAGGCGATGCGGAATGGCTACCAGGTTGCTATGAATGGCCGTAGGTCGTTTTTACTGCAAATGATCAGGTATTTCTGATGCGACATCAACTTAAGGCTGTGGTGTAGTCCCGGACTTTGACACACCTGAGTATGCGACGTTCGGTTCCCTGTCTACTCGTCGCTGGGAGACAAGCGAAGGCATGGACCCCTTCAACTACAGTTTGAATGCTGCCAGTACAAGAACGGATCGACTATTATCTAAATGCTGGTCGATGTTGTCAGCAATTGTGTTTATGCAACAGTAGGTCGCGAATACCCCTTTGGCATCCCTCTCTTACGTGTTCGCACTAGAATTACTGGACCAAGCATCCCAAGATCCGACAGGATCATTCCTCACTACACCAAAGACATTATGTGTCATCGCATTCAACAACCCAAGCGACGAAAAAATCACGGCGGATGCAGGTGGCATGGTGCTGCCAATTCAAAAGGGGGACAGCGTTGTGCTGCTTTGACCTAGCTCAAGGAATGCGCAGAGCCTTGAGTGGGACATTGATGGGTCGGGTGTCTTGACCATCATGATGCCACAGGATCAAGTCGATTACTCCTGGGCATTCCAAGTATCATATTACGGATGAACGTAGAACATATACCTACCTACCCATAGTACCAATAGATGCTGCTAGCATGCTGTCTGCTTATGATTGCTGCGCTGGTAGAGGACGACACCAGTGACCACGTGCATGAATGAATACTATTACTTATATTTGGCACATTTTTAGTGGACCTCGGTCACAGTGCCACTAGCTCCGAGTCCCGGAATGCTGCCGAGTCCGGCTACTTTTTTTTTCTTCCTTGGGTTCATCCACCACCGTGTATTAAAGCCTCACAATGTGTGGACGTCGCCAGTCTCAGTGAGCAACTGGTCTTTTCCCCGGCTAAGCCATGTAAATGAGGTGCTTCATTATGTTATCTCATTCTTCTCCATTGCCGATTGAAGTGAACTAATATTTTACGGCGTACGCCAATCCACACTAGCATTACCTACAATATAAAATCTAGCATATCAACAGAACCATCTTTCAGTCGCTTAAGCCCCAATTTCCCTCATCATGTCTGTGCAATCTGCGCAATGCGCTCTCGGAACGACCGTCCCTCCCGATACACCAGCTTTCACATCAATCACCGGTTACGGCCACTACTACACATCTCCAGAACCCTCTACGCTTCTCGGTACAGGAGGAAAGGATATTCCCTTGAACTTATCTTTCGAAATTGTGGAAGATGATGAGGGTATTTTTATTTCGAGGGCAGCAGCGGTTTGGCAGGGTGCTATTCCCAAGAGAGCAATTATCCCTCTTCCTGTTCGAGTGCGCGCGCTGCCCACAGGCACCGTTCAAGGTCATACTGTCGCTAATCTGGCCGATTCCACTTCCTCCAATGACACTTCCACCATGTCACACGACATGCAGATTTGCACCGATGAAGTGGCTCAAGAGCATTCCGACGTGTTTCAGAGTATCTCGGCGACACCAGGTCTTCGGTCATGGAGTTTTGAGGTACGTCGGCTTTCCGGTCAACATTGCTTGACCCACTGACATATTATATTCCGTACAGGAATTACGTACAGAATGCTACTCACAATCTCGTCTTGCCACTGGCTGTGCTCCTCGAGCAGTCCCTCCTGGCGCGCCGTCCTGGATGATCATTCCCCCAGCTTTCACTCCCTACAAAGTGATGACTTAGCTTGGGATATGCATCCAGTTGTGGGGTAGTCATATGTGAATGGTTGTTCGATCTCGAGTGTGTACACGGTTATAATGTGTAGTAGTATGTAGGTATAGACTCTATAGTTATCCGTCGCTCTATTCAGCTATATTTGTGCCTAGATACCCAGCTGTTCTATTAAGATCATGCCATCTCTTCCGCAACGCTAGCATATGTTTCGTTTGACTGGACCGCCCTCTCGAAACGTCTCCGTCCCTCATGGAGCACGAAAGACGTTGCAGCTATGAGTAAGATGGTCAAGAGATCCTCCGAGCCAAGAGCGTCCGTCTGGAAGATCTTTTGCATGAAGGGAACATAAACGAGTGCCAACTGGACGAGAAATGATACCGATACGGTTGTGACGAGCATCTTGTTTTGTAACAGTCCACATCCAAGACCACGGTTTTGCACTGCTGACACGAGGTCAAGGAAGACGAAGCATGTGAAAGTCTATTCAATATGTAAGCTGTGATAAGCAAAAATCAGGCATCGAAGAACTGACCATAGTTTGTTCCCGCCTCGATACATGATCATCGTCCAACGCAGTGGTATAGATGAAAGAGGTTCCACAGACGATGGTGGCCGCCGAGAAAAGGACGCGGTATAACAGGCGTCGGGTTATTATGGGCTCGGTTTTCTTCCGTGGTGGTCTTCGCATTACTGCTGGATCTACTGGATCTACACCTAACGATTGACTTGGGGGTCCTGGGACCAAATCAGACATCTGCTAATCGAGAGCGATCCATAGGACGCACCGTCCATCAAAATGTTAATGAAGAGTATCTGCATGGCGTTGAGGGGGTTGCTGAATCCAAATAACGTGCTAAGTGTAATGAGCGTCAATGCGGCAGCAGCAGTGCTAAGCTGGAAAGACAAGAAATTTTGGATATTGTGAAAGATAGATTTGCCTTTAGAATCAGCTTAGGTCAATTACGTGACTATTATTTGAAAAAAAAAACCACTCACCCTCTTCGACAGCAGGTAATATTGTGCTGAAGTTGTCATCCACGAGGATAGCATCGGCGGCTTCTTTCGCGACGTCAGTGCCACTTTTCCCCATCGACACACCGATGTCAGCCATTTTTAGTGCTGGCGCATCATTGACTAGCGAAACGGGTGGACAAAGACAGGCAACAATTATATAAGCCTACTCATGGCGTGATATAGACAGCACTCACCCCCGTCCCCGGTCATAGCCACAATAGCCCCACGAGCTTGAAAAGCTTCAACAATCGCCATTTTATGTCGTGGCGTCGTCCGCGCGAACACGCTCACGCTGCCTACCCGCTCGATGAGCTGCGCCTTGCTCATCTGGTCAAGATCCTTTCCAGTCAAGCAATAGTTGCGGAGCTGGCCATCATGAGTTCGTGTAGGACCAACGCGGAGCCCCAGCTTTTGCGCGATGGCTAAGGCTGTCTGCTCAGCATCTCCGGTGATCATAACGACTTGTACCCCGCCGTTCTGGAGCAAGCCGATAGCATCCGCAACTCCCTTGCGTGGGGGATCAAACATAGCCTGGAACCCAACAAAGACCAAATTGGTCTTATCTTCATCAGGAACTGGAGTCCGCGACAGCGGCGTCAACTGGGTGGAACGGTGCATTGATTGCTGTGACAGTGCAGAATCCTGACGTGGAGAATCGATAGATCCGTATCCATACGCCATGGCGATTACTCGGAGACCTCGTGATGCTGTTGCTTGGGCGTTCTTCAGTATGACGCCGCGCGTGCCAGCGTCCAAGGCAGGTGTTGAGCCGTCGGTAACAAAGTAAAACTTGCAACGATCCAAGATGGCGTCGATGGAACCCTTGATGTAGTACATTTCGCGAGGAGAACCTGAATAGAGAGTTGTGGAGTGGGTGTGAATACCACTGACGGCCATGTACTTTTGTTCCGAGTTGAAAGGTTTCTCTGAAAGGCGGGTGAAGGACTAAAGGTCGATTTTAGCACAGAACACTGACGACGTTGTGACTATAAACCTACATGCCGTTGATCTGGCACGTCGAATGAGGACAGAACATTCAGCAGCGCTACATCGGTTGATTGACCGACATATGCACCCTCGCCATCCCTGGACATCGAGGAATTGTTGCACAAAGAGCCGATCTCCAGTACCTTTCTGACTGCCGGGGATATCGGTGACCGAAGTTCATCAACTTGAATGTTCTCATCGACGACGTATATCTCCGTAACTGTCTGTTCATTCTTTGTCAAGGTGCCTGTAACATCGATTTGTAACAAAGATAAAGATAAAGCATTTATTCACTGACCAGTCTTGTCAGAACAAATGACAGAAATACAACCCAAGGCTTCGACGGAATGAAGCTTTTTCACGATGGCCTTTCTCTTTGACATCCTTAGAACTCCGAGAGCTAAGGTGACAGTCGTGACAATGGGAAGTCCCTCCGGGATGGCTGCTACCGCAAGAGATACTGTATGCAAAGTCAGACGGATAAGGCGACACTAATAGAATCACCTACCACCGATGGTGAACATGTCTAACCAGGGCCGTTGCTGCCATGTGCCAATAAGGCAAATAACTCCAATAATGCCGAAGGATATAATCGACAACTTCTTGGCCAGCTCATCCATGCTCAATTGAAGAGGCGTACGTTTTTCCTCGACCTGTTTGGAGCTAAGCACGCTCCTGATCAAGAGCTGAAAATACACATACGTCTTGAATCATGGAAAAGATCACACCAAACTCTGTTTGAGGGCCAGTCGCGATCACAACACCCATGCCGCGACCTTAGGGGAGTATGGGGTCTAAGCACAGAGATCCCGCGCTTAGTGTCCACTCACCGTTCCGAACCAAAGTTCCCATGTATCCTATGCACGAACGGTCAGCTAGCGCGATATCTCCTGAGTTCTCGTGGCCACTCGAATTAGTTGTGGGAGGCATCGAAGCTTGAGAGATGCAAGGATTAGAATCCTTTCGGCGTGCGTTGGTCTCCCCAGTCAGACTGCTCTCGTCAATCTCGAGATCTACCGCGGTGATGATGCGCATATCCGCGGGAACACGGTCTCCCGAAGATAGCGAGACAATGTCACCAGGAACCAGCTCATTGGCAAGAACATGTATATCACGTTGATCACTAGGAATGTTCGTGAATGGTGAGATAATGGAATGTCTAATAGAATATTCGTGTCGCACCGAATTACGTGGCAGTGGTGTGGTACGAGCTTGTTGAGCGCTTCTAGGCTTTTCTCCGAGCGCTGTTCTTGCACAAAGCCAACTAGGGGTGGAAGATGAGCGTATGTCAATGATTAACGTTTCGTGAGTACCTACCAGTCAATACTATTAGTACTGCTACTGTGATGCTAACTGCATCATCAATATTACCCATTACCGCACTAATCACAGCACTGCCGCATAGGAGCAGGATCAGTGGGCTCTCGTAAATCGTCTTCGCAAACTTGAGCAGAGCTGGCTCAGGCATAGATACGGAAAATTCATTGAATCCATGGGCAGCCTGGAGCGCGAGAATCGATGAACTAGGAAGACCAGAGACTGGGGATGTCTGAAAGTGTGCCAGAGTGTCCTACGAAGACAATTTGGTAAGTTCGTGTACTTACCTGATACCGGAACGGCTATCTAGATTTCACCCTTTTGGCGAGATCCTTTTTGGGGAATAACGAGAAGGTAAAAATAAAGTGTGGATCAGAAGGCACAAAAGAAATCCGCGCTTCTATCCTGAATTTCCAGAAACATTGGATGGTGGTGGGGAAAGAGCGGTACGCACAAGCAAGAGGAACGGATGAAAAAATCTACACACCTCAACTGTCCAATGAACAAAACACGCAGAAGGTGTTTCTGTCCTGTCTCGATCCTCTCGATGCTTCGAGGGCGGGCTAACCCGCCCTCCCATTGACACTAATTCATATCGGTTTTCTGTGGCGACATCTGAGAGTTGACGTGTCACAACACCTTTTGCCTTCTGCCATAGCGATGGTAATCCGTCTGTCGTGACACTGGAAGTGATATCAGAGAAATTCGGAGGTAGTTGAAGACCGAGGGAGCCTTCATGGTGATGTCTTCTGAGGGTTGTGCTATATGCAAAGTGCGTAGAAGCGCCTGGAGCAGGCTGTGGTTCACCACTCTGCATGGTGGATACAGATGGGAAATAGCTCGATGCCGGGGGTGAGGGACTGCGTTGTTGTGGATATGAGTGTGCTGGAGTAGACGAGACTGGTAGTATTGAATGAGCGGACGTGGACACGAAGGAGGACTCTGGAATGTCGAAAAGCTCGCTGGCGGTTGCGCCAGAGCTGGAGGTAGCCATTTGGGAAGAGCGCTTGCCGAGTGCACCTGAGAGAATACGGCGTGACTTGGACATCCTGCTCGTAGCGAGAGAATAGTCCTTTCTAGAATCTGGATGGCAGGTGCTTCAGAAGTTTCGTAAGAATGGTACTCGGCCCCGCAGTAGATTCTAGAAACGATACGCCGGTGCTGCTGGCAGCATATTCCATTTTTGGTCTATGTTTGGCAAAGTCTTTAGAATTAAACAAACGCCCACAACGCCACCTCGGTTAAAAAATCTCGAAATTTTACACTTGACCACTACTGAATAAGGACTTTAGATTTGAACACGAATGTGTCGAAGGGCTCTACCATATGAGGAAACTTAGCCACCATCCCAAGGAAGGCTTCATTCATCTAGGAACTTCTACGTGTGGATTGTAGACCAGGATGTTGAAGACAGGTAAGCTTCTTGCGGTATATGCGCGGGAACGCTCGTTCACAGCGAGTGAAAATATTGGAATAGTGGGTGTGATCTCTCCTATGCACTCCCCATGACGACTTCTCTGACATGAAAAGCTTGTCATGGTGTCGGTCGCGTGATTCTAGACGCTGGGTGGATCTCATTGAATCTCGATCACTGGGTGCATGTCCTAAAGTGCTATGATGCAACGAGCATCCATCATCAGTCGAGCTTGTGCATTGCTTGATCAAGTCAAGTCGCAGAGATCACGTGAACGGGAGGGTTGCTGGCGCTGATCTGAACCTAAAGAGGTACATGAGTTCATTCCGATTCTACAAAGTGTCAAGCAGGGGATAGTAGCACCAGTGATCTGTCTGGTACGAGTTCTTAGTCTGTAGTTTCAGTCAAAGTAGAACAGTTGTATTGCCAGTACATTCGAGTGCTTTTAGTTCACACATCCATCCATAGTCGCACAAGCATTTTTATCTGCTTTCGAGGGGGAAAATAAGTTGGACAGCAGCAGGCATAAATGTTTCGATATAAGTAGTAATCTTACAGATGGAACACGCAAACCTATGTAGAACTATAATACAAAGAAGAAGAAGAAGAAATGTCCAAACCTCGCCAAGCAATCAATCTGAGGCTTGATTAGAACTCGACCACTTCGCCAACATTCACCTCCTGTGCTTCTGGGCCTCTTTCAACTGTCGCAACGCCATTCCTGCACGATTTAACGCGTTCGAAGTGTCTCGCAGAGGCATCATCGCGAGACAGCTTGGCACGACACACCGAGCAGCGCCATTTGATCTTGAGATGGGTGGCGATAATATGTCGGACAATGTTTTCTCTCTTCATTAGCTTTCCACAGTCGCCCCAGCGGCAAGGAACCTGTCTCTGACCGTGTCCCGCGTGTATCCTATGCCATCTCTGTATATGCCTTGCCAATCGGGCACGATCACCCATAACATGCATACCGCATTCCTGCCCTGCGTGCGTCCAGCGGCAGAGATAAAAGTCAATGAGACCGCCATTAATGTTCCTGGTCTCCCTGACATCTTCTTCATCGACGATAAATCCGTTCCACCGCAGAGCTTTTGTGGGCCTATCGGCGTAACTCGACCACGAGGCTCTGCGTCTCCAAAGCGGTGAATGGGAAGCGAGGTCATGGCCAGCTGGCTCCGTCCCAGTCGTCTGGAGACCCACTTGATTTGTGTCGTGATGCCGGGGGACTGTCCTCCGAGGTGCGTTTCCAGGTTGAAGGGTCGACACCATTGATCTCGATCGGAGGGGAGGAGATTGAAGCATAGCGGTCACGGAGCTACCCACAACCTCTACTTGAGGATACCATGAGATGTGGTGCGGTACTTGTGTCAGGGGCTGCGGACCTCCTTGCAGCGTTGCAGTCCTGTGGTCTTCATGCAAGACTTCTGGTCCCACCAATGAATGGATGGTGCCGATATGGACCGGTCCATGCACAGACCACACGGAAGAGCTGCTAGCAACCGCGTGGGAAGTCGGTGAAATTAATTCGGGTGAATTGTAAGGGGATGTTCCGAGTTTCGGAGGTGGAGGTGAATAGGTATTGGTAGACCAACCACTGTCAATAGTTTGAGAAATCGCAAATTTCGACATCGTAGTGCCAGGGGAAGCCACCGGCAACCTATCATCGACGTGCCTCGATGCGCTACAATCAACGAAGGGGGTAGGGCGCTGCAATAGCATCTTGCCCTGAAAATTCTGAGGGCTTCCCGCGACAAAAGGATGATCAGGCGGTATCATCCCGGTTTCACTGTTCTCGCTCATGAGGGGCACATAAACAAAGAGGAATACTGCTGCTCACGATGCAGTAACTACATTCATGTGGGACGAGGTGGAGCTAAACAACGGTAATGATAAGCTGAAGAACTAGGCAAACAGCGAAGAGACCTAACGTACAATGACCATGGTGGTCCGACACCGAAAAAAGGCGGAACGCCTGGGGGGTTCAGAGACGTCGTCTCCTGCCTGTGCGCATAATGGAATGTTTCCCGAACGCTGCGACAATGCATGATGAGCAACTCAGGGTGGTAATCAGTCGCTGGGTTAACAAGGCGTACTAGGAATCCGAGGAGGGTCTTTCTTGGAAAGACATGGGAATGGCGACGCAACTGTAGTAATCAAGATGCTACAGATGAATAGTACTCTGTGAACCCGCAGGGGCCACAGCAGTAGAGGAAGAGCGTTTTATACTTGAAAGGCTATGGTTTCTAGGGCACACTCTGCGATATGTGAAATGCCAAAGAAGAACCATTTGGCTCACTCCGTGTATGCTTCACCGTCCTATACGGAAATGTCAGGCAAATGTGTTCATCCCTTATGTTTGCTCGCTAGCAACACCACCGTTTTGACAAACACCCAGACAGTCAATTCAATCTTATTGTAAGAACATGAATCAACTTGCAACCAAGATGAAGCTGCAACCATGTAATCCGATGAGCCAGTCTGCGAGACTGGGCGATCGGCGGATAAAGTTTAGTCGTGGTGAATAGCCAATATCACGCACAGGAGGTTCATAACGGCCATTTGGCATGCCACAAAAAATGAAATGCGCCGGTCTGCCACGCCGCGATCACGTTGTTAAAGCCGAGGCGCGACGCCTGAACCAGGTGGCGACATGTGCTGGTCCGACTCGTGCTACTCCAAACAATGGCCAGACTGCAGGAAGGGAAGCAAGCTGTACATGAAGATTAAGGAGGCGACGATGGCCATTCGTGAGAAGCCCCGAGTGTACAGGAGAGAGAGTATGAAAGAAGTTGGCAGAGCACTTACGGCCAGCTGACATTACAGCGTCCAGAACTCAAATGTTGGATGAGATGAATCGGGAATAAGGCTAGTCCTGCACGTGGTGCCACTTAAGATTGACAGTCACATTGCAGGACAAATAAGAACTCGACGGCTTCTAAAATCGTGAGCGTTGTTTGGCAAAAGCTTCTGATCCAAACAACCACAATGGCTGCAATATTCTCACGCTGCCACTCGAACCACTCCAAATCACTCCAGATCTTGTGTAGAAAACCCATGGCTTCAAATCATGCTCGGAGGAGTCGAAGTCGGTCTCGAAGCCAGGATATAATCCCCACCTATGATAGGAGAATTACGAGGGAAAGAGAGTCTGTCATAGCAGACAGACATATTTCTGGCCATAGCCGACGTTTGGGAATGAATACCGAGAGAGACGCACCTCGTCGATCACGATCCCCCATCCGCTCACATAAGCACTCAAGATCCCGGTCTCGCAGCCCCAGACATAGGCGCCAACGGCCAAGGTCTCGTTCCCGCTCCCGCGGCCCCGAGCGCTCGCACTCTAGGGAAAGGCATGAACGGCATAAAGACAGAGAAAGGCACAGACATAAGCGTTCACGCTCCCGTTCAAGTTCTGTATCAAGTTTATCGGACACGGATTCGGAGCGAAGGCGTCGCAAGAAGAAAGACAAGCACCGCAGTCGTGAGGAGAAGAGGGAACGAAAGAGAGAGAAGAAAGACAAGAAAGTGAGTAGTCTTAAGAATTATGACCACAAGCGAACCGGTTTCCTGCAGAAGAAAAAACATGGGACTGCCTCTGGTGCTCAGTGGGGAAAATACGGCATCATCAATGAAACCGAGTCAGTTCAATCGTTGTAGTCACTGACGTACGGCTAATTCGTTCCCTAGTTTCTACAACAAGACCCAAGAATTTCGTACGTGGCTTCTGGAAGAACGCAAGATCAACCCGGAGGCCATATCCAAGGACCAGGAGCGCAAAGAATTCGCTGTTTTTGTCGAGGATTATAACACCGGTGCGTGACATTAGATAGTTTCTTGCAGATATCATTTAGCGTCTGGTAGCAACCCTCCCTCACGAGAAATATTACCACATGGAAGCGTACGAACGACGGATGACGTCACTACGAGCCGGCGAGTTCGTTCCACCGGCGGAAGACTCCTATAATCCCGAAGCTGATTTGCGGGCTCACTCTTTACGACACAAGAAAGCGCCCGCCGAGCACGAAAGCTACCTGAGCAAAGAAGAGCTTATGGAGTTGAGGAAGGTTCAAAGTGAGAGAGTCGAGGTAAGTCGTTTGCGATACGGACCACTCTGATAATTTCAATATCGTATTCATTAGGTTGGGAAGAGGAAGCTCTTGGGTATGGAAGTGAAACAAAACATGGGGGTTCGAATGGATAGAACCATGTTTGATGATTGATAGGTAGTAGGTAGAGGCCATTCTGATTTCTCCAAGCTTTGAAGATAGCGAGGACGCATGATATCTGCTTGCATCGCCGGAATAGCCGAGAGTAAACTTAGAATAGTAAAAACAGTTGTATACAGACCTAAAATTACAGCACCTGTAACACGCGTTGTTCTCTGTTCCTCGTCATGGTCGACATAGTTGTTCTTGGGGCGACAGGTATGGCTACACAAGTTATTGTCAACCAGCAGCTCAGAGCTCACTGACGGTTCTCAAGGCTATACTGGTGGCCTCATAGCTCAGTACCTTGCCACGCATCCGCAGCGGTCATCCTTCACATTTGGTCTTGCCGCGCGGTCACAGTCAAGACTCGAGAAAGTTGTTCGAGGACTCAATCTCTCCGAAGACGATGTACCCGTATTCACCATGGACGTTACGAATTCTAGTGATGTGGACGTTGTGGTGCGACAGGCTAGGGTCGTGATTAACACCATTGGCCCATATTGGCGTTGGGGAACTTCTGTTGTCCGGGCTTGTGTGCAGCATGGAAAACATTACGTGGATTTGACCGGGGAGGTTCACTGGATAAAAGATATTATCTTTGAGTATGTGAATGCACATACTACTCTTGAGAAGTACCAACTTAACCGCTTTTAAAATTAGACTAGATTACGCAGCTGTCAAGTCAGGCTCAATTGTGGTCCCTTGCTGCGGGTTGGACTCAGTACCATCTGATGTTCTTGCGTTCGTCGCGAACAAGACGCTGAAATCCTCCGGTGGGCCTTCTACCACTATCGACCTCTCCACTTCGGCTTGGAGGCTTGGTGGTGCTTCTATTTCAGGCGGTACTTTCTCCACAATCCTTACTGCATTGGAAGACGTTCCTAAACATAAACTGCTCGCGACAAGGCAGAATTTCGCGCTGAGCCCAGGTTTATTTTGCCGCATTGAAAGATGCGGTGGTGTGGCTGACTTCAAGTCGTTTATCAGTGAAAGGAGCCAATTCTCCTAAGCCTCGTATGCTCTATACCCTGCCGTACTCTAATCGACCTGTCTACGGGGCGTGGTATTTCATGGCGATCACCAATCTCCAGGTCGTGCAAGCGCTCGTGGGGTCTGTATGAACTCGCACGCCGTGCCAACCATCATGATGCGACCAATGTTGCTCAATTGTCCTACGGTCCGAATTTTAAGTACGAGGAGTTCGTGGTTCTGCCAAGTGCGCTCTACGCCGTGGCATATTCAATCACATTTGCTGTGATAGCAACAGCGCTGGTCCTCTTCCAACCTGTCAGTCACATCTTTCTCCTTCCGTCCTTGTAGCTGACCGTGTCAATGGTTTAAAAGGTGAGGTGGTTTGCCCGAAAAATAATGCCTGGCCCTGGTGAAGGCCCCTCTGAGAAGTGAGCGCAGTTGAATATTTTTTGATCTTGCGGCTGCTGTCTCATGCCATGCTATACTGCAGACAACTACAAGCTGGCTCTGTCAACATCACCAACATTACTACGTCCAGTCCGAACTCCCAAGGAGAAAAGACCATTGTACGAAGCGTCTTTCGGGGCCGAGGTGATCCTGGATACTTCCTATCATCCAGTAAGAAACTTTATTATCCTGAAAATCATTAATCAACCGTTTCTTCAATTTGTCAGTAATGATTTCCGAATGCGCACTAGCGCTGGCTTTGGATGGTCCAATCCTTGCCTCAAATAAGCAAAGGTGGTGGTGTCTTGACACCCTATGACTGCTTTTGGAGACGTCCTCATTGAGAGGTTGAGGAGATCGAGACACATCGATATCGAAAGTGAGTTGGTAGTCGGGACAGAGCCACGTAAGACACGTTGAACACAGACTCTGATCGTTATACATTGAGAGTCTTACTTACGTTCCTTTGACTGACACCGATTCTGAAGTGATTTTTTATTCCTTTTTTTGTCCCGCGTTCGAACTCACTTGTGTAAACCGTGTATAATAGGTTAGTTCTGTGTTATGTATTCTCGCTAACTTATTACAGCCCAGCCTTCGGGGCATCCCTGGACGCGGGATGTTACGATGCACACTTCACTGGTTCCCTCTCGCTGTGGACTTTTTCCCCCAACCGTTGAACGTTTGGTATCCGATACGACGACCTGGTATTGACGAGCTCGTTGACCAGAGCCGCCAGGTTTGTAAGAGGGCGTTTACGTTGCAATGTGTCCTATGATACGGAAGTGAACGTCCACATCCCTCTAACAGTTCTACCAACAACACTACCTTAGATTTACAGCAACACTTCTCGCAGCTGTCCCAATATGCTCCCCATGACCCAGTTACTTGTGTGACACATCGAGACCTAACCGGACGCAGTGAGTCACTACGTGAGACTATGTAATGGTTGGTGCTGGTTGGTGTCTTCAGTTTTTCTCGTTGCATATTGATCTGTAGGGCAGACAAACACAATGAATAGATGTTTTATATAGAGACAGCTGATATACATATGAGAATGCCAGCTGTTGTCAGTGTTGAGCTCGGCTATACCGAGAAATCAGCAGTAAGTATTATGTATCGCTAGCGCTGTAGCTTCAAGAACTTGCATTGATGTAACTGAGTGGTGTAATACCAATCAGAGTCGGGGACAGGTGCACAGGCGCCGCTACGATCAGGCTGTGACTGTCTCAAAATCAATCCTGTTTGCGCCATCCAACACAGCACGTTGGTTGGAAATCATTGGTTTGGTTGTCCGTCCGCCATTCAAATACAAGTTATCAGTCATCGCTTACATGATACAATTGTGTAAGGCTCGCACCAAAATAAGGTTGGTGACGAGACTATCGTCTTCACATTCCAGCTTTAAATACTTCGATCAATCTGATGTCATTGGTAGAAAACTGATCTTTCTTTTTTCCATTTGCAATCCTTTGCGCAGCGTACCACCTGACATGCTTCATACTCTCTCTATGGACTCGGATGGTATCTATGCATTGTATTACATTCCCACCACATTTCATTTCATGATCTCACTGAGTCAGATGCCTTGCTTTCTTGGCCAGACCCGTGTCAGTGCTTGTGCATCAACCAGTGAGGCGAATTAGAAGAACCCAAAGAAATGATGAGAAGAGGATGAGTAGCCCAACACCGTTCTCTTGGTGGTTAGTGAACAACTTCCAGCCTTATCGGCGAAGCTTCGCACACTTACAAATCCTGATACAGGTGGCCTTAGTAGTCGCCGGTAGCTACGACTGACCCGCAGCACTGCTATAAAAGTCATGCATAACTTGTGTATGAGCCTCCCATCTTTCTTCAGGTACCTCTCATCAGTCATGCTACAACTCCTTGGCATACCCGTTTCTGACAACACGCAGCTCGTTCTTAGTGCCACAGCTTGTCTTGCGGTAGCAGGAGTGATCGCTCGGGCTTACTTGACTGGATCGAGGAATGTCCTTCCCCTCCCACCTTCCCCTCCCACTTGGAACCTTCGGGGGCACATCCTATCCCCTCCCTAGTAAAGTTTCCCACTTGACTCATTGCATTGTCAATGTTAATTGTGTCGTATCTCTGGTCAGCCCATTTCTCACTATAGGGCGATGGATTGAGGAGTATGGTCCTGTAATCACCCTTCGCACAGGAACTGAGAAAATTGTTTTTATCGGCCGTTACAAAGTCAGTCACTCCACGTTGAGTTGTCATATCTACACTCAACATGCTGTTGCAGGCTGCGATGGACATTATGGAGAAGCAGGGCGGAGCAGTAGCTGATCGTCCTCGCATGGTAGCTGGTAGAGAACTCTTTACTGGCGGACAGAGCATCGCTTTTGAGTCCACTGGAGAAAAGTTCCGTCGAATGCGTAGGTTCGTTGTCAAACGATACTGGGAAGGCGAAAATAGCCCCTATCTTACTTTGCAACGTGATATAGAGCCCTTCATACGCATCTCCAGCCTAAGGCAGCTGAGGCATACCAACCCCTGCAGATGTCGTACGCCAAGAACACGGTCCTCGGCATCCTTGAAGATCCGTCCCACTTCCAGAAGCATGCGACAAAGTAAGCGCTTCTCTAGGTTCGGTCTATGACGGTACATTACTCACGGATGTTTTAAAGCTATGGTGCGACAACGATTACGAAAGTTGCATTTGGGAAGAATGTGACCGACGAGGAAGTCGTTAGGGGGCGCCAGTTCCTCGAGACACTTTTTGCAGTCGTGCGCCCTAACGCGTACCTGGTGAACTCAATCCCGTGGCTCAAATACCTTCCTTGGTATGGCCAAGAGCTGAGACAACAGTTTGAAAGCAACAAGAAAATCTTCACTGGTCAGCTGAACCACGTGAAACAACAACTTGTACGCGTCTCCATCTGCCAATCTCCGCATGGTATTTGAATCGTTCCACAGCAAAGCAATGTGGACGCAGGGCCCTTCATTCGGGAGACATTTGCTAGAAAACGAAGAGCAATATGGCTTGACATTCACAGAGATGGCTTTTCTTACCGGCATATTCTTTTCAGCTGGATCTGATTCGGTAAGGTGCTTGTGGTTGTTTGTATCGGTATATGGCTGAATTCAGGGGTCAGACTGCTACGGCAATATGTACGGTACTGATGGCAGCCGCATGTTTCCCCGAGGAGCAAGCTAAGGTCCAGGCCGAGATTGATGCGGTCATTGGCCGGCACCGAGGTAGCCCGATTTCCTATTGCAGTTCCATCGATTTAATTGTGTCTCTACTCCAGCACCGACCTTCGCTGACGAACAATCCCTTCCTCGTCTGCATGCTTTCATTGCCGAGTGTTTGAGATGGAGACCGTTGGGTTCTATGGGTGGGCATCCCCATTCTTTGTTCTGTATCCGAAGTTTACATCATCACTCAGGATTTCCTCACCGAACAGGTAAAGACGTGATTTGGGTAAGTAATCTCTTAACAGTTTAGGGTGATTTAACATCTACCAACGTAGGAAAACTATTGCATTCCCTGCGGGGACTACAGTATTCGGCAACCATTGGTAAGCATCGTCCTTCAATAGATGGACTTAATGAAGGATCTAATGGCTCCCACATCAGGGCCATCTCTCGAGATCCAGAAGTTTACCCTGACCCTGACACGTTCAAGCCTCAGCGCTGGATCAACGACGAAGGCCGCATGAGAGACGATCTGTCATTCTTTGTCTTTGGGTTTGGTCGGCGGTACGCACCGTCTTCTGCTAGGCTATACTTTCTCTGACGGTCCTTTCTCCCAGCGTTTGCCCCGGACAACACGTTGCGAGCAGGTAAAGGTATCCTTCAACGCACACGACCCTCCGAGCTCATTTTATTGGTACAGATCGATTTTCATCAATTCGGTCCTCATGTTTTGGGCGTTCCAGGTCACTCTGGACGCTACGAAGCCGTTGAATGACATGGAATATTTGAGCGGGGTGATGCCACTGGTCCAGCCGTGTGCTCTTGAGTTTAAGAAGATGATACCGGAATCAGAGATCAGGCGCATGCTGAAGAATTATCCTGAGGGCACATGATCCTCATTCCAGGTAATCTCCAAAGCCTTATGCAAATTCTTGTTTGTTGTGCCACATTTGTGTATCATATGGTGTATGTTTCTAGCTTGGTTTAAAATTTTGATACATAGGTTTCAAATGCAATGAATTCAATGCAGACTCGGAAAGTGAGATACTACATAGTCTTCAGTCGTCGAACTGCTTTTCTTTTGTAGACAAGCTGAACTCATTGTCCCGCTCCTGGGACCCCTAGTCTGACGGGAGGCGCTGGTTTACGCCTTGTTTGACACATTCCCTTTAATATTGACATCGCCCTCGTCCACGCCTGATTTACACACTTCCTCAGTCGAAGCCGCTATATCCGACATCTTAATTTGCAGCACGCCTAGGGGTTGTTCGAAACGGCCGCGAACAGTCATCCGTACGTTGACGGCATAGATATACCGTAATCTCGTATAGCCCGCCGTTTCGTTACGGTTTTTTTTGTCGTTCTGTACTGTATAACATCTTCGGAATTTTCATGTTCTGTTCTGTTTTTCTGCCTCCTGTGAGTCTAAACCTACTTATCTACCGCTTGTTCGCCTGGATATACGTAGGCCGACTGACTCGCACGAAAACTCATCTCAGAACCTGGAGAACTTGAAGGGCCTGCTGAAGAGTAAGGACAAGCGTATGATTCGAATACGAACGCTGACCCTCATACATCAGATATCTCACAGGGCGCTTGAAAGAGGTGCAGTGGAGATCACCAATATTACGATCTCTACGCCTAGCGCGGAGGGACAATGAATAGTTATTAGAGAGATTCCTGTTATTTTTTTAAAAATCATTTATTGTCACGAAGGAAAACATTACATATCGAGTATACTAGTTTCGTCCTTGGCTCGTATAGCGAATATGTCATTGGCTTGCTTTCGTTGTGAAAACAGAAGTGAAGTTGTGAGCGCCGTCTTATCAGCTGACTAGAGATGTGTGTGGGCATGAGCGAACGGTAACGCTGGGGTTTGATATGAAAGGCGATAATTGTCTGAGCCAGCAGCATGAAGAGTTTTGTTTTATTCTCGTGGTTCCGGCGGGGTGAAGTCTCCGAATGCTCCTTCCATTCTCTTCGTGCCTACTATAAACTGCAGTAGGAAAGGTACGTGTTTAGGGTGGCTGAGGAGACGCTGGAGGTGGAGAATGCGGTGCGGAATCTTGGAACGAAGCCTATCCCCTCGAGCTCGACATGCGGGGAAGAGCATGATGTAATAGTGGATAGTTTCGTCATGTTCGTTGCACGCGGGGCGGGTTGGTAAGTCGGCGTTGTTAATTCTATGAAGGTGTTTGTTGAGGGGCACGGCCCGTTCTCAACAGGCTTCCACGCTATCTTCTTGTCTCCGACGTGTGGCTGTACTTGGTTCCAACATGAGCGATTTCTGATGATCGTCCGGTAATGTTGCGGAATGCGTGTTGGTACTTGTAATTGACCAGGAAAAGTTTTTGAGACTGGGAAGGATAACGGCATGTTAACAAATTCGGGGATGCTCTCGTCGACCGTTGAAAATGCGAAAGGATTAGGTCTGATTAGATTCGGTTCTGCTGTCATGGATGTAAACGCTCTTTAATGAAGAGTAATCTAAACTTGGTATGGACTTACTTTTGGGTGAACATACATGTATTTGACCAAAGATAATCTTGCGACGCTAGACCAAAGGGGACGACCGTCTAGTGCTTTCGAAGTTCGGGCTAGGGCACTTGATTACATCGATGATATTGCTCTCACGCCGTCGAGCGTCAAAGTTTTTCGGCGATGATTTCTCAGCAAAAACTACCATCACAGCGTCCACTTGAAATCATTTTCGCGTGGTTTGTTTCCCTTGCCAAGCTATCATACAAGTGCCACTGGCCCTGCCATTTGCGAATGGCAGGCCCGATAAGATGATGACTCAATTCCGCGACTCAAATGGTGCGTACCATTGAACTTAAAATGAGTTCATCACAGTCCCTTGGTCACGCTCCTGGCGCGTTGGCTGAACCAGGCCGGCCGGTGTGTCTGTTTCGACGGCGATTAGTTCGATCAACCCCGCCAGCTGGTAGGGTTCTTGGAAGCGTCCCAGGTCTCTTCCACGACGGCTCCATGGTTTTTCTATCGAATGGACATGGCTGGCGGCTTAGGAACGCGCAGAGTTACGAGGAATCGAGGAATGATTAACCCCTTGGAAGGGTCCCAGGTTCTAGTAGTCCGCAATCGCGCCGTGGACGAGGTAGTATAAAAGGGCTCTGCCTGGTGTCAGCACCGAAGGCACCTATGCACCATAATAACCAGCCGGTGACCAGCGATAACCAGCTGCAGGACTCCCACAGGTGAGCTAGTTCGCATAGTAGCCTTAAGAGGGGTTGAGTATTTTTTTCAACAGCGATGTGGTCATGACAGACATACAGAATACGGTAGATGGTGAGGATAGTGAGGCTGGCGATGTCACACTACTTCACTTCTGCGATGAGGTGCGTACATTATGGGGTTATGGGGAAAGCGATATTTTCAGACGAATGTTTCTTGTAGGATGTGGAGTTCGTCATGTTTCTCAGCAGAAATTTTGATTTTGGACAGCATCCTATAGCGGACATGTCAGAATCAGCCCTTCTGGAACTAAAGGAAAAATATGATTGCTATGCAGCATCCGTAGATCATCTGCCTCACGAGGTCAGTTCGGGTGCTGAGGAGACCCCTGAGCCCTGCCGACCCCCTGATGATCCCGCGGAGAGTGGTGTCCCGAAGGATGTGCCATGTCTCTGGGTTAACAAGAAAACAAATCAAACATGTTGCAAGCTTGTACCAGCAGGTCGGGAATCGATGCTATTGCACCTGAACACGGTGCACAGTGTTCGTGGTCCAGAGAAATTGGAAATAGAGTGCAGGTGGGCCGCATGCGGGGCAAAATTCCAACGTCGTAATATACCCCGTCATATTGCGAAGCATCTGGGTTTTCGCTCGTCCTGCAAACTCTGTAGCAAAGACTTTGCCCGCCAAGATCTTTTGAAGGATCATATTGATAAGGATCACTCCGCCCAAGAAACCAACAGATGCTGAGTTGCACAACTGGTGAGCATTTTGGACATCATGCAAAGTAGTCGAACTTACTTATCACCGACCAGGTTTTATCATCGACCAAGCGATGTGATGCATGTAATCATAAACATTCCGTTCCTCGTCGCCCAGGTGTAGGGCTGCCTATGAATCTAGCAAGGTTTTATCGATGTGATACATGTAATCATAAACATTCCGTTCTTCGTCGCTCAAATATAGGGCTGCCTATCATGATGAATCTAGCACGTGGTTAGTAGTTGAATATTGAATGTCCATCAGTGGTTACTAGTTCGACGCGAGAACGCTAAGCTTGGGCGAGATAGTCCACAATTACCCCAACCCAAGCAGTGGAGATGGAAGATACAAGTACCTGGTCCTCGGTGATGGAAAACATGTTTGTTGACCATACAAGGTCGTACGATGACATATCAGAGGCTGAAGGCCTAAGCTTTTATGAATGATGAATAGCTACTAGTGGATGACTGAGCCTTGAGGATATGAACCACGCAGGTCTGTAAAGGCTGCGGTATAACCAGGCGTCTCGCAGCGTTGGTTGAGTATGTTATGGACTCCGATAATCGCTCACCTCAAGTTGCCATGAAACATCTTAAAATCTAGTGGACTGTGACGCCGTCACATGCCTTCAAGTATACCCCCAGCGACGAACAAGCATCCGAGTCACATTCAATGTTTATAAATTCAAAGCAACTGGGCGGCTCCATTGTCGTCGATGAGTCGGATATGTTCTTGGTCGCCCGCAGTACTAATGTGCAGCTCTGAAGGTTGTCGACGTGATGAAGTGGATAGCAAGCAAGAACAAATTTGCCACATGCCAGGTCCAGTGCAGACCTATTAGACCTCAATGCAAAATATCTTCGACAGGTGAGAACAGGCATGAATTCAAATAACTGGTACCGTGCTGATTGTCACATACGCCAACACCAAGTACTATGCATCAATCTTGAATCGGGTGTTGAAGGCAGAAACTCGGAAGAATCTCGAATGCCACGTAGATGCCACGACGCCACGATATCCGACGACCCAAGGACCCTGCGTACAAGTCGCTGACCTGTTCAAACACCACCATCATTTCGCAGTGGTAACACGTTGGCAGTACCGCCCCAGCGTGCGTGCATAGCGTGTTCTGATATGTCTAAAGCCTTCACTGATTATTTGGATGATCTCCTGCTGCCAAAAGGTGCGAAGCCATCATGCAGCCCTGCTCAATGCGTCAATTTCACTGAGTATGAGGTCTCACCCACAAGCCTAAGCCGACTTCCAAAGACGCCGAACAGCAGCGAAAATTGCGGCTATCCCGATTGGATGGATGTGACTACGCACCTAGAGGCGCAGGAATGACAGCCGTGAGTGATGCGTCGAGCTTCCTCATTCGCAATGGAAAGAAGCAGGCATGTTGCACTGATCAGCATATGTAGAACAGTATCGATTGGGCGTGTCCCGGTTAACCATACATGGAGCGCCAAGTTTCAGGACCTTGTCTAATTGACGACGACGTTTCTATCCTCTTAGGCACTCCGTGTCGGTTGCTCTCTCGCAGGACTGATTGTATAACAGCATCGTAAAGGTCTCCACTGTAACGTTGATGGCACATGCAGCCATCTGACCTTGCGGATACGCAGCGGCCCTCGTTCACAGTTAAATCACGAGTTATGACGACATATGAGAAATAACCAACCTGGCAGGTGAACACCGATTACTGTCAGGTCTGGGTCCAGGCCTCCAAGACGCTAATACATCTGCACCACCACCGCCTAGTGGGGCGGTAAAGGAGGGTTGTAAACTCCAGAGAGCTATAGACATGTGTCTAAGAGGTGGTCAACGAGGGAATCGAGAGCGACCATTCTGATGCAGAGGACTTCATGGTTGGAGCTTTGAACGTTGCTTCCTGGTGTTCCCATTATCAGGCGTCTCGATGCAAGAATCAATCTGAGCCTTTCTTTTGTGATCAAGGGTTCATGCCGTGAACGCATTCAAGTTAAGTCATATTCTGTGATGGGAGCTTCTATAACTGATAGATGTGCCGTTCGATGTCAGAAAAGGTTTCAACTTTCAAGTAATGGAGGTTCTTACAGGTGGGAATGACTCACTCAAGACAACGTACTGCCCAGTCGCATTCTGGGCGACACCAATTCGCCTAAAGCCCGACGGTTTACCCCCCTCCATGCATTTAGTCGTGGACATCGACGGGTGTCCTTCCCTAGGTGCCCAACCCATTTGCAGTAAAACCCTACGGCACAAAAATCGGACGCAACCCCAAAATACAAACCGAATACCGCTCTCTCGATGGTCGCTGTTCAGATATTGCACCGGTAGTTCCGGAACTACAACTCATGGTTATCCCTTCTTACCTTCTACCGGCGTAGTCTTCTTATGGGCTTTCTAGTGGTTGATGAAGACGTGGTAGCGACCATTTCATCCCTTTATCGGCTGTGCAGACCACCAGGGGCCTACAAATAGAGCCATATTGAACCTTTCCCACTTCCCGTCATTTTAAAACGGCCCAAAAGCTATCTTAAACCTTTTGCATCTTATCTCTTCACCACCATGCTACCGAACAGTTCGACAGTTCAATGCAAATGCTTTGATCCGGCCGCGTTCTCTTCTTGAAACACTTCACTTGTAGGAGACCACGATAAATTCAATACTTCAAAACCACTCGCACTGCAAGACGACATTTTTCTCTCTTTTTCTCGCTCGCTAGGTTCTTGCGAGTGAATCGTGTCAAAATACGAGTTCTTGTTCGCAAACAACTGAGACTGACAATTTCTCTTGCCTTGTCTCGATTTCCGAGCAGATGCGTACATTCTTCGAGCCCCTCCTTTCGGGACAAGCGCATGAGCAAGTGCATCTTCTTGTTCTCCACAGTATCGGTCTGTCTACTTCTCAATTGTAAGTTTTACCTTCTCGCTATGATTTTTCTTTCAATACTGCTTCTTGTTCATCACGCAGTCATAGCGTAAGCGAAATAGCGGCGTTCACGCGATGCTGACATACGAACCGATCAATAGTCTTGCTGTGTTAATTTCGTTTGCATCACGTGTCTCAACACTGCCAACGGAATGCGATGGTTCCAACGTCTATTAATGACTTATTTACATTGGCGTTGGCAGGCATATGAAATGCCACGGCCACAATTAATTACGCCAGCCAACCAACGTGGCTTGGCCGCCATCACAATGGTGTTCCACGGGCCATGGCCCTACATATGTCATTCGTTATGCCGTTTTTTGCTCAGCGCTCGACTCAATAAGGTCAATGTTTCATTGAAGGCCAGCCATGCACGTGCCAACCATGGCAAGGCAATCAAACTATCAATGGCAATGGCGAGTGGCGTCAAAGGCATGTTATCCATATTCTGACATGGTGTGTGGGACCCGCTGATACGTGTAGGTAATCCAGGTCCTCACTATATCCGGTACATTGTCAATGGGCAACGAACTCCATTTTCGTACCGCCAGACCTGAACAGTAACCCCACGGGCCCCATCAAAATAGGCATGACTCCGATCAGGTGAGCGATTCGCGATCTTTTATTTTACGAAGTATAGCTTGGCCTCACGCAGGAACGTTCCCTCCAACAACGGAAATCGTAACTTGGCCTTCGTTTCAGATCCGTTATATCGCCTTAGCCGTCAAGTAGACTGGTGGATAATTGGCATCGGGCCCAAGCCCGACGCTTAACCAGCGAAGCTTCCGAAAGAAGCAAGCATTATTATTGGGTTTAGCCATATCGATGGCTAGGTTTACACGATGTTTCAATTTAGATTCGTTGGCAGTTCGGGAAGATGGAGCCAAACACTTCTTGGTAATCTCCCGCAGGCCAGCCAGCCAGCCATTTTGTCCGATGCGGCCACGGACTAAAGGGTTATTGCGATGTATTGAGCAGATATAAAGTCTCTTTCAATGTCGTTGGCAGGTATCCGCATCTTACAGAAACGGTCAAACAATGTCGACTGGCACACCTCCGCTTCCTTTCTGCTTGCATGATCCTCACAACGCTCTTGCAACCTTGGCTAGGCACGAATACTTGCATTATTGAAATAAACAGATCTCATATCCGTTTTAGGTTCCATGCTGAAGTACTGAAACAAGGGGACGCCTGTCCGTGCTATCCTATGTTGCAATTGGTTGGCATGTTGCACGCTTACTTGTCAGTGTAATTTCTGGGCTCTGCGCGCACGTTGACAAAGGCTTTTTGTAGGCTGTCTCTGCGTGAGGCTCAATGTCATACAATGCACTCGAACGTTACCAGTGGATGCACAATGAATGACTATTCGGGTCTAAACATGCTCAACGTGACAATGGGCACAGCGGACGCTTCTTTCCTTGCATCGGACGCAGTATCACCCAGTTTTTGCAACGAAACATCTCCCATCGAGCCCGATGCCATTTACCATCCCCTTCCAAACGCCCCTCTTAATACAGAAACCGAATTTTATTCATCTTATCTTAGTGAGCCCGACCTCATGCAGGATTACAACTTCGACTTGGAGCCTCCCCTTGTTGACGAAAGCGTGTGTCCCGATCTCGGCATGACTGCCTGTGCGGGTCATGTTTCGTCCCAGATGTGGAGCCCGCAAGCTCTCCCACAGTCATCTGACGAGGGTTTAGCTTGCGATCATAGATGGGCAACCGAGGAAACCTACAATTCTTTTGACGAGCCCTTATCCCACGACATCCATCCTCACACGCAGGACTCCAGCAATGCTCTGTCTAGTCTTTTTGACGCTGCTCTTCCTTCGCCTGCATTGATGCGGTCAGAAGGGAGCCCCTCGAGAGGGAATGAGAGTTTGTCGTGGTGGGACGATCCGGGTGGCCCTGTATGCCGCTGGGACCGGTCCTGCAGCTCAATTCTGACGGTCGAAAAGTCCGAAGTGGCGAAGCACCTCCATATAGCGCACGGTGTCAAACCTGGCGGCGACAAAAATGTGATGTCGTGCAGCTGGGATGGTTGCGGGAAGGAGATGAAGAAGGAAAGCATATCGCGACACATAGTTGCGGTTCACTTGAGCAAGAAAACGGAATGCACCAGTTGTGGAAAGCAGTTTGCTCGGTGGGATTCCAAGCTACGTCATCTAAAGAATTCAAAACGAGAGGAGTGCAGAGAATCCGAAATCCATGATAGTCGTGTCAAACGCCGTCGCTTGTCGTGGCCTTGATTTTCCCATCAGACATTCTTGCAGCGCTGTTCAGTATTATGTAGATTCAGGACCGCCATTTTCATGCTAGTTTTTATCACTCTAGCTAGCACGTACTAAATACAAGGACATACTTCCGAGTAATTATGCTTATGCTTTTGTTACCCCAGAGGGATGTGAGATAATGACCTTGTTGACCTGGCATTCAGATAATCGAGTGGGTACCCTCAGGCTGCCATGCACCAGCAGTACTACACGTTATACGATCAAGGCGGTTGAAACCTAGGGACTGACCTTTGATACTTTAGACGAACAACCTTTATAACGGTCGACGCCACAACGAAATCCAAGGATTAGAATACACATGTTCCAGTATAAATAACGTAGATGAGATCGACTAATTAAGAGTACATGGTAGTACAACGTATGATTACTGAGGATGAACAGGATCTGTAGGAAAATGCATATAAGGTTGGAACGAAAAACAATAGGGATATTGCTGTAAGGTAATACTACACGAGCTTACTGGATGCATATGACATTTTGGCTGATCGACCAACCCCCATTGATGCACTGTGTGTCAATTTCCAGTACCCCGTCTCCATACGAAATAGTGGGTCTTGCATACTGACAGGCCTCCTTTTCCTGAGTATGCCTTCGGAAGGCATCCTCTCGCGAAAGTGATTTGCTGCACAGCAAACAAATCCATCGTACTTCAAGGTGTGATGAAAGTACATGGCGCGGCAGATTTCCCGGCTTCATCTGCTCTGAACAACCATCCCAACCGCAGGATATTCTGTGCGTTTCCTCGCTCGTAGCGCTGGTGCTGACATTATGGCGTTGCTGCAGGTGTTTGGCGACATGCCTGTGCTCGACACCAACGTGCATCGTGCAACCGTCCCAATTACACGGGTGCACTTTGACTTTGGTGTGGTCGTCGGGCAGGAGATCCTGGTCAATCAAGATAGGATCCACCCCGTTATGCTCCTTGAGCATCGCGTGGAGGACGGAAATGTTAGACGGCCTGAAATAAAGGATAGTGAGCCCTGGTAAGAAATGATAGAGAAGGTCGCCACTGACCAATCTGCGTTCATACTAGATCAGAGAGGATTCGGTTTGTATGTCTTCTTGGCTTTTCAGACGAGTGCTTTTATTGGATTTATCTCTAGCGCTGTCTTCCCACCGCAGCTTGACAAGAGGGACGTATGTTGGCTGCCATTGCCAGGTTTCCACTAAGCTCTTGGCTTTGGACGATCCCCTTACAATGGTGGAAAGGATAGATTGGTTACGCGCTGTGTTTCCTCACAAGTTGAACATTCAAACAGGCAAGTTGAAAGGCTGGTTAGTACTTCTAGTCGGTATGATGATGGCATACCAGAGCGGATCAATTGCATATAACCCCATTGATCAATTTCATCTTGGAGGGTTTTCTGGAGTGGACTTTTACAACGGACGCCAGTGGTAGCGGAAGCTTTGTGGCACCGGGATACTTTGATCCGGCAAGCGATCACCAGCCACCCGACTGGCACCGTCCCTTGAAAGTTCACTGACAGCTGAGATCTGCAGGTGACGTGAACGCAACAACTAGCTGGAAATACAGCACACGGACCTAGACGAGTGACCTCAATACTGTTTCAGAGGAGCAACTGTAAGCACGCATCGTGAGCAAATAAATAAGCAACTTGAGTCTTGAGATCCATGTCATTTCTCGCGTACGTGTGTTCTGACGTTTCAAAGGTGCCAAAGCGTAAAAATTCACCGAAGTAACCGGCATGGTGGAAGGAATTGATTTCAGTCTGAAGCTTGCGACCTGTGACACCAAGATGTGTGACAATCGGACCAGGCCAAACCGACAGGTGACTGCCAGCAGCCACTTCGACGTAATAGTGCGAATTCACAAGAAACCGGTGGTAACATTCCCCCCCTTAGGACCTGTTGCTCTGTTGGGAATTGAGCATTTGTTGTACTTTGAGTGAAAGCGCCGTAATAACTTGGCCACGCAGCTCAGGGTACAGAAACGTAAGGATCTGTTAAACCACCCCAAACCATAAATGTGGTGCTGGTGATGGGAACTGTGGCATGTGAGTAGGCACCCGCGGAAGCATGCGTGGATGGACTTCTATTATGGAAGGGCAGCACGACAACAATTACATAGTTGAACACTTGGTGGACACACGCGTCCCAGACTCCCAGTTTCGCGGATCACAATGACCCTGCCACTGACGGCAGAAGGCGTCAACCACTCCGGATCCCTTGGATTCCAAATGGTGAGCTCCTGGCGCGGACGACAGAACCATCGGATTGGAGGGTTCCACAGCAGATTCGTTGGCAAGAAAACATTTGGAGTAGCCTGATCATGAGACCTTGGAAGTCAACGAGGCAGGGAATTATTCAATAGAAGATTCTGTCGAGGACTCGAGGTGCAAGCAGTGCGGCAGGCATAGAGTCGTGAGTTAGACTTGTGCTGATCCATGTGACACGGCTTAGGTTGATAAAAGTCGGAAGCCTCGGAGGACGTCAAATAGCACAGTATACTTACTCTGCTCATAACGCATAATGAAAAAAATATAAATATAAATAAAATAAACACACAAATCAGTCCACTAACAATATTAATGATATGTGGACCAGATGTATGGGCATTGATGGATCGCTTTGTGTGCCAAAACTTGTTATTAATTACATATTATGTGTTATGCGTTATGATTAGAGGATCGTGTCATTATAACAGCCACTAGGACTCGGAGCTAGTCTGTGGCCGAATTGTTGAATCATTCACTGCGGAAACGAGAAAACGATCCTAGTCTATTCCGAGGTGTGTGGATTGTATAACTACCTAATACCACGCTAAGTCACCCAGGATATTCGTTCTATGGCCTTCGGATTACGCTAGAAGTTGGTTCCAGGTGAGTTCGTTGAAAATTTCGTCAAGTCCCTTAAGACGAGCCATGAACTTGAACTTCCTGCGCACATTCAAGCATTCATCATAGCTTGATAGTCGTCGCTTCGCTTCCGGGAACAGCAGAAGATGCCCGCGAAGATGCCTCGCTTCCTGAGCCTCCTGTGAAAGAACGATGACTGGAACTAGTATGGTATGGTGTTTCTCCTCTAGAAGATGGGGTAGAGCTGATGTTTAGAGGCACGCTACCAGCGCGCATGGACTGTGGAGGTGGCTGGTAGGCACCGAAATAAGGGTAGGGAGATGGAGATGGCTGATGCATATCCTGAGGTGAGTGGGCTGGAGGAACGAAGCGCTGGGGTATCATTCAACTGACTCGGATCTTGATATGCAGGGCCAGCCAATACGCCACTGTGATCGCCCTCCTGCATGTTGCCTATTCCAAATCGAGGTGCAGGGCTGAAGAAATTATCACGTAACACGTTGAGGCAACTGTAGCACCGCTTGGTTCCCGACGTTCAGTGGAGATATATGGGACTGGGGTGTATTATATTGTGGAGGGTATGTTTCTCCCGCTGGTTGTTGATAATCGCATGCATCAACGTGGGTAGGAGCACCGCTAGGGCGTCTCTGAGGCTGGCCTTGGAACTCGTACATGGCCGAACAGGGTGGTGGTGGAGGATACTACCAAGGACCAGGGAGCATCTGTCAGGGGCTAGCAGGACAGTTCTCTGATGCATTACATGCTTATTCAGAATAGAAGCAGATCGGATGTGCGGATTCTCATAACCTGATTTGATACCACGTCGGTTTAGACGCTAAGGCAACAACCAAATCCTTACAATTCAGAGGCCATTTTGCTTCCCAAACGAGCACCTTTTTCGGTCTAGACGGGTAGAAATATCCTTGTTTTGCCTTGTCCGTTTACATTCTGTTTATAGTCTCTAAACATATACTATTCCGGTCGGTTCTAAATCTCGTGTCCGCAGTGATTCACTGCGGAAACGAGAAAATAGTCGGACCCGATTAGTGTAGGGCCAGGTAGAGCTAGGACTATTAGACATCATGATGGTTCAGCCAACAACTCAACAATTTCCGTCTTGAAGCTTGACTCAATGTGTACGGTTGCCGTAGAACTGTTCCGGCGAAAGATGATGTCTTGCACGAGAAAGTGCGCAAGACGAAGCATGTTCCTTCCCTAGGAAGACCGGGAGAGTACAGAAGCTGGCGCAAAATGTTGTCCCTTGAACCCTCCAACTTGGAAGGTCGTTAGTCAATCACGGACAGCGCAGTTATCAGATGATAACGACTGTGCGCTGTGTCTCTGCTGCTGCATGGTACCCTATGGTACCCTATGGTACCGTGTTAGTTATTGACGGAATTGGAACTCCGTGGCGTTGCCGTGGAACTGAACTTGTGCAAAATCTACCACCAACCAACAAGCCATCAATTTATGCAACGAGGTTACCGGATCGATGTTCAAAAGGACTTTCCTCGGGTACTACGTTTAGGCACTTATCTCTCCCCAGATAACCGCAGATCAGCAGATGGGCTAGGGACGACCATTGATTGGTGGAAGTGCCTGGAAGAGGCTTGATATGATGAAACTCAGCTCGCTTGAGTTTGCTAACTTAAGGCGTCTGGAAAGTTGCCTGAGAGACTCTGAAACTCTGAGCGCTCTCGAAATCGACCGACTTTTTTGATAGGCTGGTCACTGTCCCTCCCAGTATGATTGTGGCTGCCGCTATTCTTCTGGGTCTTGCGCTCCGTAGTGCTGCTTGCGCGGGCGATCACTCACATGCTCGTGATGCCCATGCTGATGAATATTTGGACAAGCGTGAATACCCACAGGTTCCACTCACACCTCCCTACCGTCCTCTCGTCTGGGGAGACTTTAACGTGATCCACACCACCGACACCCATGGGTGGTTACTCGGCCACCAGAAGTCGTCGTACCCTGAACCAAACTACAGGTGGGTGTTCAGAGGAACTAATTCGAGGCACCATGACTCAACCGCATTGCCTTGCGCGTATTGTAGCGGGGACCTTGGGGACTTTGCTAGTTTCGTGACGCACATGAAGCAAATTGCTATCGTTCGTTCATCAGTCCGGACCCATCGTTCGTTGTCTAAATTTCCTATTACAGGAAAAGGACGTCGACCTTCTTTTGGTGGACTCGGGTGATCTGCATGATGGTATGCAACAAACTGGCACTTATCTAAGACTAATTCACCTCTTTCAGGAACTGGCCTTTCTGATGGTTATCCCCCTGGTGGTGTCGACGCGCACGAGGTCTGGTTTCTTCACGCTGATGCGTACCTCGAAATTGATACCTTGCGCGTGTCTTTTCCAGTCGAACAAGTTCCTTGAGCGCCTTCCCTATGATGTCATGTCCATTGGAAAGTGAGTGTCGATTTGGTTTTTTGGTCCTCTGCTAGTCCGCCTCCTGCCGGTACCGGGTTGAACTGACGGTTTTACTTTCATAGTCATGAATTGTACATCTATGCGAATACACTGGATATGTGGGTTCTGAATATGCTGAGCGAATACCTTACAACTGATACTATCTGATTTGCACATTTCTGGTCTCCTCCACTGTCGAACCTATGACTTGTCCAATCATTTGACGCTACCTCTCTGTTTGACGCTGTGCACAAACATTGTCGGCGGTCCCAATCGCTCCTCGATACTTGCCAAATCGAACGAATCCATAGGTACACAAACTTTGTCCCTCACCTTCGTGGGCGGTACTTGTCCTCCAATGTCAACATCACAGTTTTTAACTCGGATGGCGAGCCCGAGAGTGTACCAGTCGGCAGTAAGTTTGAATCCAAAATTAAATTTACCGCTCTTGATGTCTTTTCCGTAGACCGTTACACCAAGTTCACCACAAGGAAGTAAGCGTTCTTGGGAATCCAAGGAGTCACTTCATTCATTCGATATGACAGAGGTCGTCGTATCACTTCTCTTGGAGTCATATTCGATTTCACCGGGAATGATGTAAACACGACTGTGCAAACTGTGGCTGATATGGTCAAAGAGCAATGGGTACGTTATCCTACATAGGCATTTAGGTGATCCCAACCAAGGTCCTGATTTCCGTTCACAGTTTGCGGAGGCCATCGCGGAAGAGCCCGACGTGTTCGTACTTGTCGGGTAAGCTTATTTCATTACCGCCGAGAAAATATTTCTAAACCAAAGTGGTCTCAGACACATGCCAGTTTCATATGACAACTGTAGGCCAACTACAGCAATTGTAAGGTTTAATGATATAATGAATTGGTTATCTAGGGCCTACCGTCTTCAACGCTGTTCGTGCTGTGCACCCTCGAACGCCCATCTTAGTCTTTGGAGGTGGAAGCCGCCCATTTGATGATTTCAAATATCCTTCTCACCGCGGACTTAGGACATAGCCACATTCGTGACTGTCAACAGTATGATGGTCGTTCTATGGCTCTCGAAAGTGGACGCTATATGGAGACAATAGGTATGTGAGCCTCAAACGTGAGTTAGGTTTAGTGTTTTACGCGTTCTTTTAGGCTGGATGAGTACGTTATTTGACCAAGGAAGTATCTCAAAAATCTGACCCAGGAACGTAGGTGCGGACCTTGATGCAGCCAAGGGCAACGCCAACAACATCTCTTTTACAAGGAGATATCTAGACCAGAACCGTGTGACCTACGAGGTAAAAGTTCTATTAGTTTCTCCCTCGTGTCCTAAATCCGCTTGCCACAACTAGTACCACGCCGAAATGTCAAACCAAACATTTGACACCGCCTACGGGCGCTCGATCACTTATGGCCTACAGGAACTTGCGGACCGTTTTGATTTGTCCTACCTGTACGGGACAGCCCCGGAAGATTATACTATCAACCAGTGGGTGCTGTATATGTTGCCTAAGCCACCGGCTTAGTCGTGTGTCAGGAACCCGTATCCTTCCAATGGATCTCTTCTATCTCTTTTCATTGCAGATGTAAGCGCTGATTTCCAAGTGACATCAATTGTTCAAGAGTTGACACCCTTGTTAGGCCATCCCATACGCGCTCTCTATTAACAACACCCGCGATTCTATCCCCGCCGTATTTATCACCAATTCGGGATCTCAACGCTTCAACGTCTTCAAGGGACCATTTAACAAGAATGATCAACTCACCGCCTCGCCGTTCACGGATTCATTCTTATATATCGCCAACATCTCATTTAGCATCGCAAACCAGGTGCTCCCCGCTTTGAACGGCGCAGGCGCGAATGAGAGACGGAAGCGAAATGAGATCGAAAAGGAACTTTGGAGCCGTGGAGTTGTTGATATTCGGTACAGAGCCTGGTTAGAGGAGATGGACCGCCGTGCTGGAATGGGTAGACGAGAAACAATGGCAGGCAATTTGACACTCGGATATGTCACGACTGATGTAAGTGTCCCATCTCGCGCTCGCTCAGACATGCTCATATCATTGACTTAGTCATGCCCTGGCGCTGGTGACGACACATTGCACATGGCGTTGCCCTACTACTCGATTCCAGACTTCATTGGCTCGAACCCCCCCAATGTGACGGATGACATGTCTGTTGATCTTGTCTTCGTCGACTTCATTGAAGCACAACTCCTTGGCATCCTCAACGGCCTGCAGAATGGAAAGAACTATACCACCGCTGATGTTTCACTGTACAGCCCGACGCTGGCTAACGCGGCACTGGGCCTGTATGCTCAGGCCGAATGGAACTGACTGTAGGCCGGTAGTATGCCTGTGTACTGCTGTGATCGTATTTACCTCCTTCCACAAATTTCGATTACTGTCTCAATGCCTTCTCGACTCTGAGTCGATAGTCACACTTCGGTTGTAAATGAAGGACCTTGCATGCTTTATGGGCACGATCAGTCCCCGCATCAACGTGAGTACCCCATCGGCTATATAATACCGGCAGAAGCCCGACAAAGCAGGACAAAGTAGATTCTCGTTTTCGTCACGCTTTGAAGTCGAACAATTGGACTACATTCAGTCGTTGATCTATCTGTACGAAGTAGTTTAAGAAAATGTGTTGAAATATTAACGTCGAGTGACAACTGCGCATAGAATACTATACATAATATTCTAAATGGGAATGGGTGGAAATGGATGCATACGCTACATGGAGGATATGAATAGCCTAGAGGTATGTCAATAAATAAGAATAAATTATGGGTGTATGGTGACGCGTGAGGGGTATATACGAGCAGTAACATCTACGGGGGAATCGAGGAGAGAAAGAGATGGAAAGTCGGCATAGTATGTACATAATTCTGTTAGCAGGGAACGATAGAATTTCAGATCTATCATGATACATCCACAACACGTCTCTTCTTAATGATAGGGCTCAAAGTTTTGAACCTTGAGCGCAATAACTCCAGCGCCATGTACAGGGGCTATCTGCATCCTCTGGCAATCTGATCTCGCATTGGCATGACTTCTCCTACACGCATCTTCCCTCGCATAATCGACGTTGCAAGCCGTACATTTGACTTTGTAACCGATGTGAGTGACGAGGTGACGAGCGATACTCGTACCCTTCATAGCGGCGCGTTTTCTGGAGGTACAACCGCCCCAGAGACAAGCAGTATCTCCTTCACCACCTGTGAAACCATGGAACCTGACGAGATGGTCCGTGACGCTTGGTTGGTCACCTTCGATATGCATCCCGCATGGGGCGTGGTTCTTGTTCCATTGGCATTCGTAAACGTGCAGAAGAGGTCGTCCGCCTTCGACCGCATTCCGCACGGCAGACTCGTCCACTAGCCGACCATCGCAATCCACCCTTTGTGGCGCTGAAGCTTGAATGCGAGACATCTCCCCGAGGGCAGTGACCTTGACGGGCTGTGCGCGGAGATGCAGAGACGGCTGAGCAGCATGCGGTGCTGCACATGTACGTTTTTTAATCCCAGATTCTGAACGCGAATCGCGTGCATGTGGCAGTGCGGCTGTCGTGGTTTCTCGATCTGCAAGATCAGAATCTGACGACGTTCTCCTCAATCTTTTCCCCAGACCTCCGGTACGTGGGGGATCTGCTGAATAAGGGCGAGGTGGTAGCTGCATAGACGTCCTAATGTAATGTGATGGCCGGGATAGTCCAGGGGAAATCCCACGAGAGACTGTCAAGCTGCTGGCCTTCTTGAGTGTTTGACTGTGACAAGTGGTGGACGCTAATTGTATCAAGGGAATAAGATCCTGGAAACGAGTAGTCAACAGGGAAAGGAAATGAGGCTACATGATGTGTAGGATGATGATGATGATGCAATTCAATATGATGGTAGTTCCAGGGAGGGCGTGCGCTGTCAATACTATCCAGAGAAAAGGGGGGCGACGTAGTCTGAGTGATCGCGTTGTCATCGTCGATGTTTGAGTCGAAATGAGGGAAGGTAGTGTCCAAGGACAGTGCGTCACATTGATGGCCCTGACCTGCGGTCCCCGAGAAATTGTCAGCTTCGGTGAGCTGGTCCTCACTGCTTCATGGAGCATCAGTAATGAGGCGGAATATATTTGGCCAACGGAGAACATACGATTGCTGTCCCGCAGGTGCCAAGGCTATCTCCGAGAAGGGATATGTTGAATCAGGCAACTGGAGCTGATGGCATGCAACGAACGGTTCTTGCAAGTCATGTTCCTGATAACCATGAGCAGATGACGTATTGTGAACAAAGCCGGGGTGGGTAGGAACATAATCTTCAGGCGTATGTGAAAATGAAAGTAGCGGAGAAATTAAATGTGCGTGTTGTGGACTTGGATTGAAGGAGTGATGCGTCGGACAACTGCGGTGCCGAGCCGTAATTTTAATAAGCTGTATAATGACGACAGCCGCTGTCAATAATCACCTCGCGGTGTCGACGTCATCTGAATTTTGCGGTGCATCCGCCTGATTGCGTAGCAGAAAGGTTTCTTGCTCCGCAAAAGTGTATTCTTGTGGAACGACGGTGGCCGTCATCAAAGAAAGCTGCGAAGAAACCACTTGAGGACCCAGGGCATCTCTACAATCCAAAGAACATCATTGAACATCTATTCGATACCGACGCCTATCAACGCACCTGATGGAAAAGGTCGAATAATCTGGACCCATCGGGTTCTGAGAAAGGAAGGACGTGAAGAGCGAAGAAGCAGGGAAATGAAGCTTCTATATGCTTCTATATAGCTACTCATTCTACTCTCCGAACAGCTGTGTGAACCCCATGGCGAATTGTAGTTTACATCTTGCCCCGTGCCTCGCACACACCCCTCGGGAAGCACTTACAAGGCCAATCGCATGCGTCAGCAGCATTGATCACGATCGGGCTGACGGGATAGGTGAGGCGAGCAACACACGGGCGTTCGAGCGCTCTAAACACGCGGCCGAGAGGTGTTGAAACACCCAGGCAGTACGGGTGTGAGACGTATAATCTTCGACGTTGACCTGTGGTTCTCAGGATAACCATTAGCGCTCACGCACGCACCTAAATGACCGCCAAGCACAGTGAACCAATACTCCAGTGCACAGCAATTCGCAGCGAATAAGGGACGCTCGATCATACTCAATGTTGTTGGAGTCGGTTTTGCAGGATGTTCCGCTCCACTAGGACTGTGGTGAAACTTCAGGTATGTCATTTTGTGAGTGTGCTCTGGAAAAAGGTAACGGTAAGAATAGCCCGCAATCTGATTGGTGATGCGAGTAATCAGCATCGCTTGTATGCATTGATAAGCAATGACATGAAGCATGTCCAATCAGCTCAGAAAAACGTCATTTCACTGATGAATTGTGAACACGTCTGCAGCAATGTGCATCAAATATCACGAGGCGTCCCAAGTTGGAAACCGACTACCGCCCATAGTTATAATACATAGCTTGAGAGCACATATTCGGAGACTGCGGGATGATTTTAGTAACAGGGGCATCAATTTAAGGGAAATCCCGCACCACGATGCAGAACGGGGTTTTTCGTTGACAAAGACATGTTTTCATTTCGCACAACCGAAGTGTGAGGTGGAGGAAGAGTACGACATCTTCACCCGACGTGGCACTGAACGCAGCGCATTGCGCCAATTTCATTTCACAATTCAGAACACAACGAGTCGTTGGAGGCACAGCCGAAGCAGGGAAGGCTTGCATGAACATGCTCGAGTGTCTTCAAGTTTGTAGACGTCATAAGCAACCTCTGCATAGGGATGGACCTGAAGGTGCCAAACGGTCAGGACATTCACACCAAATTTTACGAAACATGTCTCGCCGCTTTCAATCGTATCTTTGAGTTGTACTTTTTCGCCTTGGTCATGAACCATAATCACCACCCTTTCCTCTTCACGCGTTCTAGCTTGCCAGGCTCTCCGGCAACAGGTTGAGCGCCTGGCTTGAAGTGTCCTATGGACAACCTCAAACGAATTGCCCTGACGCGATCAACTTACAACCACCGCCTTGGCAAGACTCACCAACTCCAGGAGTAGTGAACGCGCATTCCTCGTACTGACCAATTTCGCCAAGCATGTTCAAGCAGTTTTTGAATATCGTGCTCGGGATCTCCGCGGTGTGAGTTTTTGGGGCAAAAAAAACGAGCTTGAAACGGGGCTACGCCATGGGAGACTTTCGGAAGTCACAGAGTTTGGACGAGACGTGAACAATATTGATTGTAGACAGCAACTTGAAGAGTGATGTCGACTCAGTTTGCAGTCATTCAAGTACTAGTACTTCAGCGCTTCAGCTTCAATTTCAAAATTTCCTTTTTTGACGCGCATACATAGTTCGGGTGCTCTGCCGCTTGCGTATTGTTGCCCAGGTTGACAAAAGGTTAGTGAAATTGCGTAACTACCGTCAGAGCCAGGTTGACTTTGCGTGGCTCATTTTGAAGATGAACCTATCACTATACAGTGTAAATGCGTTTCTCATCTTGGACGCCGAAGGACACCGTGTCCTTGCCAAGTACTACCGACCTAAAGGTCATCCGCAGGGCGAGTCGAAGGATCTCCTGACGTTGAAGGATCAACGAGCATTTGAGAAGGGTCTATGGCAGAAAACCAAGAAGCCTGGAGGTGTGTACCTGCATGTGTAACAGGAAAACCTACTTACAAGTCAACGCGTACGTGTTCAGCTGACATTATACTCTACGACGGTCGTCTTGCAGTCTTTCGACATTCATTGGACCTCATCTTCTACATTATCGGGGGTGCAACAGAAAACGAAATCATGCTCTACTCTGCTCTCACCGCGTTCTCTGACGCAGTTCATCTGTTGTTGCGGAATCAGGTTGAAAAGCGGGCTGTGTTGGAGAACCTTGACATGGTCCTTTTATGCCTGGATGAAACGATCGATGATGGGTAATGGGTTATCTTGATCAGCGAACGTATATGCTCACTATCTGAACAGAATCATTGTGGAAACAGATTCGACGACGATTGCGTCAAGAGTGAGTCGGCCAAAGGCTGACACGACGGAGATCGTGATCAACGAGCAGACGATCATGAATGCATATCAGACTGTGAGGGAAAAGGTCCAGCAAAGGATACAACAGCTGTAGAGTCACCTTTTGTAATGCCTCTGCCCATGATTGAACATTTGCATTTCGCCGTGACTCTAACCAACGAGCTTTACACAAACAATCAAAATGCTATCTTCTATATAAACGCCAGTAAGAATGATATGAAAATGACAAGGAATCTATCGGTCAACGGTTGTACAACAAAATGCTCTAACTGATACATAAGAATTCAGTAATGAAGTCCATCCGGTGGCTGCATATACCCATACACCGATAGTACACTCTTATCTTACATCCCTAGTGTTGCCTTCCGTTCCGGGTCGGGGTCTGACTATCCCGCGCCCTGCTTCTATCGAAGTCTTCGTGTGCGTACAAATCAATCTTCTGACAACAGGAGGCAATGCCTCATGTTCGCCTGTTCCGTGAGGAATGGATCACATCGACTTCCTAAAGAAGCATCGAGCTTCAAGGAAGTTTAGTGACTAATCAAAATAGATCTCAACGTTACGAACCTTCCCTGCCTGATACCAACGCGAACGATATAACCGTATACAGCTGCACTCGATGCAGCGACGGCAGTCAGAGCTGCTGCGATTTTTTGCAGCGTTGATACTGATTCAGTGGAGAGGCTGAAATCTGGGTGCTCGTAAATGGCATATGGACGCATGATGAGGAAGGATTGTGGGGAGGGTCAAGGGATTGAAGTATTTGTTGACCGCAGACAAGAAGGAAGATGCGAGACTACTACAGATGTCCAAGAGTTGGGCCTTTAATACTGCCAAATGTCGCCGGAACCGACTTCGGGTAATGAGCCACAATCGTTATCCTTGCTCGGATAGGAACCGATCTGCATAAAGGGATGTCAATTGCTAAATACATAATTTTCACTGCCATGTTTCAGAACCGCCATAACCGGGAGTTCCTAGATATTAACCCGCTGGCTAAAGACTGCCAGTCAATCAAATTATTGTCATGTGAATTTAAATTTCATTATACCAGTGCCAAGTGCTTTTTTATTTATTTACAAAGTTGATACAGGTTGCGTTCTTCCTGTAGCGTCTTTTGGAAGTACTACAAGGACAATGGACGAATTTCAAACCACGTGTGCTATTAAGTACTAGCTTGAGATTATATATAACGTAGTACTTCCTGCCGCCGCGGCTGCACGCCACAAACGTTTGGTGCCAGCCGCTGCTAGACAGATAAGATTTTTCTGGGTTTAAATGTCTACAAGTCCCGAGTCTAGTCTCTAACTTGCCCTCAGAAACCGCCCTCGAACTTCTCCATACGGTGGGTACAAGCCTGTGTACTACTATGTACCAATATGGCTCAAGTGTCGAGGGACGACAGCAAGCTCACCTTATGGGATACGGACTTCGATGCGACGCCCGCATTCCCGCAGCGTGGGAAAAATATATAGTCACGGTCGTCGCGAAGACACGTCGCGCTACACAACTAGAGACGTGTAACTGTAGATCGAACCTGTGCTATGGGAAGCAGGCGAGACTTGGCACAAACGGCCGCTGTCACTCACGCAAACACCGGTCACCCGAATTCAGCGATGTCCACGGATCAGTATATCCAACAGTAGATAAGATTGTACCACACAAACAGCATAACAAGAATCGAGGAACTCCCATTGGTATCAGTAATGAAACGTAGCAGGTAAGCAAAATGAATGATGTAAATGCAGAACGCGTTCAAAGCGAGTGAGAGGTATAACTAAAACAAACACACAAAATTGCTGGGGAACACGTGCCTACCAGCCTGTCGCCTAACCTCATCAAGCAACTCTCCACTCCACCACCCGTCCTCTGGGGTATCAGTCACGGCGATGATATCCCCCGCTTGGAAATCAAATTCTTCATCAATCGTGGCTGCGTAATCGTACAGCGCTTTCACTGTGAGGCACAAGTCATGTTATAAACATATCAAGGAACATCTTCAATTCAAAAAAACATACCGTAAAACAAGATCGGGCGGCCATCATCAGTATAGGCACCTGTGGGAGGGGCCGGATGACGTGGGAGCTGGGGAGAAGGTGAGCGCGTCACGACAGGGCTTGGCGCACGGTAGGCATTCGTGTTGTGACCGTAGTACGGTTGCTGAGAATGCTGATGATTGATAGCACCTTGACTAGGGTGACTCGCAATTGACGGATTCCGTGCAGGCGGACCGTAGTTGTTGTAAGATTGTGATGGAGGCGGAGGAGGTTGGTAAGGAACAACAGGCTGAGAATCATATTGAGGACGTGGAGGTGGTTGGTTGTAGTTGCCGTAAGGTTGTGGTGGGGCAGGTGCACTGTAAGGCGCCACAGTACCATAATCAGCGCGAGGTTGCGGCTGCGGCTGTCGGCTGTCGTTATTATACACTGGGTATGGTTGAGCGCTAGATGGCTGTGCATGGCTGTAGGGTGGTTGTCGTGGCGGCGGTTGCGCCGCCATATGATCGACAACGACACGTCCATCTGGGCCAAGAGCAATCCCAACTGGGTTGTTCGGCGTGACTGGTCTTTGAGAGGTTGAGTGTACGCGAACGAGTGACCCCGTTGGAGGCTGAGGACCGAGATTTTGAGTACCAACACCGGGATAGCCCCCTCTGCTAGTCGGGCGAACCCCATTGGGATCCTGTGTTTGATTGTTGTTAACGAGGGGTGGTGGACCAACATAGCTATTAGCCCTGCTACGAGATCGTTGTTCTCCGGGGAACGTACGACCATAGTTATTAAGGACTTGCTCGACCGGGAGATTCGAAGAAGGTGGCGGAAGTGAGGGTGGCGGAGGGGCTGCAAGGACAGGTTTAGGAGGATTTGGAGAGCTCGAGCGTGACGGTGCAAGGGGGTATGGCCCAACGACAACTTCAGCCGAATTACGGAAATCGCGATTGCCAGAGTTGACACTCGTCGCCGAAGAGGGGGTGATGAGCGAGTCAGTAGTAGCTCTGCGGGGATCTTGTCCTGATAGAGTGTCCCTGCGAACGGTAGGACGTCTAGCCAAGTTCTGAGCAGCGGTGCTCAGCTCAGCCATTTGCCTGACTAATGGGTCATTTTCTCCAACAGGAGGAGAAGTCCGAATTTGGCCTCGCTGCTGTTGCGGGTCCTTGTTCGGATCAACATCCCAAGTCTTCCCTCCGATAACCAGTTGCGTAGTAGAAACCATAGGGTCAAACATATCCCCGCGGGGCTCTTGTGTAGGTCGAAGAGCAGAGGCTGTACTATTGCGCCTCTGTGCCTGGGACACTTGAGGTTGAGCATCACGGTGAGGGGAAACATGTCCATTGACACCGTTCACTTGAGAGCGTCCACTTTGAGATTTTTGGGTATGACTTCTCACGAGCGCAGGTTCAGTAGGGGAGCTGCGACTTCCTCCACCAATCGCCCCTACACCTGCATGGTTGGTATCGTCGTATGCGTCTTCGGGCTCCGGCGGAGGTGCGTTGCGCCCTGCCGATGACCTCTGGGATATTCGAGCAAAGGTTGCAGGACGGGTGGCAATACGAGTGGAAGATGAGGGCACTGCATCGGAATTGGTATAGTTGACGAACGCCGGTGATTCGGGTATGGCACTTCCAGTTGCGTAGTCGCGAACAAAGTTTTCCATCTCCTTCTCCGGTTCCATTTGTTCCAAGGCAAGTCGCATTTTCTCGCAAGACTATAGACCGATCACTAAACAGTGATAGCCGATAATAATCAAAAACTTACCTCGTCATCGGAGACACATACTGTTGATACGGAATTAGCATAGGCCCACATATTATCCTTCATGAACTCCATTCGCTCTTCCTCGAGATCTTGACAGGTGTCGCAAAACGCCTTCCAATCCTGCTCCCATTTCTGCATAGTCTCTTGCAACACCCGGGTAAACTGCGCGTAATCATTTTCGTTCACTTGCACAGTCTGCTGGGCACGTTCGAGCTTCAGATGAATTTTCTCGAGATCTTTGCCCTGAACTAGTGTCGACTGAGCGGTGTAGGAGTTGATACGGAGGCAATCAGATTCATATTTTTCCCGAGCTTTGCTTGCGTGCTGTTCGCGTGTTTGCTTCACTTTGAACTCCTTCTCGATAGCGGCTTGGTACGTCTTCTTGTGTTGTTGCTGCCTTGCGGAAAAAGCCGCGGTTTGACCTTCGAGATCATTCCGTATTTGCTGCGAAAGCTGCAAGTGAAAGCCGGCTTGTTTATCGGTTTCGAGGCGCAACGTATCCACGGAGTTCCGTAGTTCCCTGTGAACTACGATCAGTAATGAATTCCTGGCGTAGGCCACACGTCAGATGCGCCACCACGCAGCTGGACGCGGCGTATTCAACCCGAATAATGAGACGGGCAATAACAGATATATCCATAAGTGTTCGGTGGAACAACGTGTAGTTCTGCAACTTGCGGAGCCACACACGTGCCATCCCGCCCAATCGACAGAGCGGCCCGCAGACGAAGGTCAGGGTTCGAAGAATTTGAGTGGCTCACCCTATCTCATCCTTGCCAATTGACATTTTGGCCAACTTCGCCAGTCGTTTTGCATAATCTTCCTCGATCGCAGATCTGCCACCATGTGTAAAGCTTAATGGGAAAAATATACCAGAGCCAACTCACCTCTCCTTCCAGAAGTTCCTCAGCTCCTCCATTGTCCTTGTTGCTCCTCGCATTCGAGCAAACAATACGTCTACACCTCCATCTCCAAGACCCCAGAATGAGTTACAGAAATCCAAAGAGCGAATGTTCGTATCAGGCGAAGTTGTCCGAGCATACTTGGCTAGAGATGTCGTCGATGACTGCCTCCTGGCAGACATGATTCGTGATTTATGGCGAAAATAACAATCGGGAGAGGTACAACAATTAAACTTGAAGTACGGAATGTCGTCGTTTCAATGTGAACTGGGTCGTCCTTCTGTTCTTGGGAGTTGGGCGTACACACATCAGCGCTGGTGGCAGTGCTGTTCGGTGCGTGAACTGCCACGCGAATTTGATAATTCACCCCGACGGCGTCACGGACGCAGGCGGTAAAAGTCAGAATCAAGTTAGAATTTTCTTATCCCTGCACTTGATGAAGGACTGATTGTCCGGGAAGTTCATCAAAGAGAATTCAATATAAATATTCAAGAGTATTTCAGGATGAAGTTTATTTGACTTTGTAGGGTGAAAAGGAGTGCCTGGCCGGGATGCGTTGCAGGCGCTGAAAGACTCCCAGCTTCATTTCAGTCTTAGACTTGCAGAGCGAGATAAATTTCCCTCGAGTGAGATAGAAATGTATCAGTATGTTGCAAGTAGCACCTGTGGATTTAGAGAAAGCACCATGCGTGAGATTTGCTGGTAAACATTTGCCACTGAACTCTTAATTTTCTGTTGTGTAGGCAGATGAAGGTCGTGGCAGACGTCTTGCTACATCGATGTTCATCCTTTGTTGAACCTCCTGGGCATATACAAGGCCTCAAATTGCTTCAAAAGCAAAATACGAGAGGTCCCCCTCCTCCAGAGCATCGTTTGTACATTTGATTTACTGCAGTGATCTCAGAATGTAGAGCCTCCTAAGCTATTTAAAAAACCGTCCTTCATCCAGAAGAATGGTCATACACACTTTTGTGATCGCGATGCTGAGCTCCAAGTAGACGGTGCTAACGTCATTACAAGATTTTGCTGACGAGACCAAACGTACCTGCATTGGCTGCAGCGAGCAATAAGCTCTTCCCATCAATCCACAGATTCTCGACAAAGTATTAGACCGAACCTTCTGCCTTCCTCGGTGCTATATTACGTAGTTACGGCACCATCCTCTATGTGCTATACCATGACAATATTAATGTAGATTTGACCTATTTCCTCTCAGGAATGCCGAGCGGGGGTGTGGGGCGATATGTGACGGCCTTTCCTGCGACATCTACATGTAGACAATCATGGACGAGATCTGGAAGTAGGCGTCTGTGAACGCGGTAGGGTTCTCTGCGGATGGAGACAAGGGGATAAGGGGTGTACTGGACATTCATGGGTGAGCACTTACTGTCGACGTAAGTTACGCAGTCTAATGGGCATCCAGAAGCATTGTAGAGAGCCGAGTTGCCTGCCCAATCGCCGCCTATGCAGTGCGTGAATATGACAGACTACTACAAAACAATCCAAGACTCACAGAATGTGAGATTAATGATAATGTGGTTGCTACCAAAATGAGACTTAAGGTCACATTGAGTGTTGTTAGGGAAGTAAGCGCTAGGAGTTCCCTAGCATTGAAATCATATGTGAGCAACTAATCCAGCAGAGGTGCTGAAACCATCACCCATTGGTCGGTGTCAATGATCCATGCACGGGTGGTGACGTCCAAGGGAGCCGATTCGTCGCATCTTTCCCAGAACCAAACCTTGATATAGTCTAGGGTGCGTTCCATAGCATACCTATGGAATAACCCGTAAGCCGCAAGAGTATTGAAAAATGGTTTGTGGTAATGTACCATCCTCCGCCAATGTTGTTGAATCCTGGACCAAAACTGTTACGATCTTCAGTAAGTTGCACAGCACAACCCTCATTGTAATCGACTATTGCATTTTTAGCACGAGATTGCAATCAGCCATGAGTGTGGCCTCACCTGTAGCGTCACAGTTGGTTGTCAGCGTAGTTCTAAACAGTCAGAATTTAGCCGGACGGTTCAGTGCAGTGACATATCAAAACATACCCTGACTGGGCGGTGGAATTTGGCATGGAACAGTCTGCGCAATATTGAAAATAGGACCGCTACAAAAATTATACAGAACGAACTGTGACCAGTGTGGAGTGTTGACTGGTTGGGCACCACATTGTTTGCACCCTCCAGGATATCGACTTCACCCTGGTGTAGGGATGCACGTCAGGATGATAGAACTATTGCATGCAGGAAAAGAACACAAACATCGGCAGGCCAAGTAGATTCCTTGGTTTCCCAGATAGCCTGTTGTCCGTTACTATAAGTTCGGTTCATGGGTACCACCTACTTACGGGCCATGTTCTATGTTAAAATAAGTGAGCAACAGAACTCCTCATACGAACAAAAAAAAGTTCACCCGCATCCTTCTGGCATATGTTGTATATCGAAACTATCTTCGACAACCATCAGCCAGCGAGACATCCATGAGGAATCACTTACACAACAACGTGCTCTGTGTACAGGCGGTGGGACCGAATCCTGACCGAATTCCGGCCTGGGCCGGTGGAGTTCAAAACCGTGGTGTCGTCTCCGCGCAGGATGAAGGTGTCGCTCGTGGCATAGGTTAAGTTGAGCTCCTGTGCTGTCGATCGGTTGACATAGTTCCTGTCATTCAATAAGAAAAAAACATTGTCTGCGTGCAGGATAGACATACACACGCCCGTGGGTGGGGTCAGTGATAGCCTCGAAGTCGAAGGAGTCGTAGAAGCCTTCGCCGATAACTTTCTCGCTGATAGTATAGACTGCACCTCCCAGAGCAGACCCGACAAGCGAGGCAAGGGTGAGACTACCACTAAGCGTGTTGAACTTCATGGTGAAAGGTGGATTGGCCCGGCTGACGGTGTATGACCAGGGAGAGTGAGAGGACCGGACGATCTTGTCAACAATCCATCCCCTTCCCCTCTTTAAACCCGCCCGTGACTCCCGACAGAAAAAATGATTATGCTTATGGCGAGTAACCTAGGGAGAAGTCGACACAAATATTTTCTAAATTATTTCATATGCACAATTCGGAAGAAAGACTAGCGAGCACGGACAAAACAGCGTCTGATTATTATCGCACGAGAAAGCTCTCATTTTGTAAAATGAAATGCCGCCACCTGCCGCCACATCGTGACCCGGAAGGCCGCAGCTGGTGAGCAACTTGAACGGATCCTTGGTGACCTTTGGTGACCTGCACGACCTCGGTCGGGGGTGTGATACCGATGCTATGCATTCTAGAATGCACGAGGCCTAGGAAGTTCGAACTTCAGATGGCTGCTTCAGTCGCGTCGGAGGGGCCGAGAACCGCACTGTGTTACAGTTGTGCATTAACTTGTGATGCCATGTTGTAACACGGTATCACAAACAAGGACCCGGAAATCAAGACCATAGTTATTACCAATTCGTCCATCCACTCTTTATGAAAGCTAGTCGGTTCTGCCAGTGTGACACTCCACTAGGATATTTAGTTAGAGAAAGTCGTTGAAGCGGGACGTTCGGGAATGATAATTAGTACGTCGCCGAACTTCACTCAATTGAAAGAATTACCGTGCGACTCGGACCCGGATCACAAGTAATATTGGGCCAATCAAGGGTAAATCGATGATACTCCATTAATGGAGCAGAGTCCAGACAGTCCCTTCGAAAGCCAAGCTGCCCAAGGGAATATTAGAAGGTGCTAAGAGACTACTATGCAGTAAATACACTGTGATTAGAGACAGCAAAATGACTGATCGGCGAACTGGTCGTGTGAGTTCATACACTAGTAAGTACCGTCTCATATGGATCGGGTGGAATAATTGCCAGGTCATGAACACGCCGACAATGCCGTCTGCCAGCATGAACGTCAGTCGGTCTTTAATGTTCGAGTTGAAACGGGAACAGTCAGGGGAGCTCCCCCGCAAGACGGCGGGGCCAACCTCGACAGAAGGCAGCAGACGGATAGATGATGTACATGTAGTGACATGCGGACCATCATGGCATCCCGCCCCAAATCTCCTTACAACGTAGCAGGCGCTAGCGAGAGACAGGGGAGGAAGCACGACCACAATTATCGAACACAGTCGATGCTGAGAGGATAAGCAACAGCTCCAGGTGGAGGGAATATCATATTGCTCTATGCCTATAAGATAGATTATGATCCCAATCCACCAGCGACAGTGATAGCATGCGACAATATTGAAAGCAGGGAACACAAGGGTATCTCGAGAGACGTCATCCTACTCTATCCGAGAAATCCATTGAAAAGATGGACCGATCTGGATCTTGTCTAGCGCGATCATCCTTGAGCATTCTGTAACGAGCAATCAAGTCATGAGCTACATCTCCTCAGGAGAGACCTTCACCGTGAATCAACCCGTGCATCTTCGCCCTCAACTTTAAGCATTGCCTGTGGCGTTTTGGCCTCGATGACCTATTAGTGGTACAATGAGCTGTTAAATCTGCAGTTCAGAATGCGAAGTTGCTCACATAGTGATTATCGCAGTGCGGGCAAAACTCATCGCTCTCCTCGTAGTTCGCCATATCCTTCCTGAAGGCCTTCTTGCACTTCTTGCACATGAACGCCATCTCAGCTGTCTTCCCTAACCTATGATCCTGTGTCTCCGCGTGACACTCTGCGCAATCAAACCATTGCTTGCAGCATGGTGCCCGTATCGAAACTTGAGCATTGAGGATATGTTTGCTGAAATTGAGGGGATGAATGCCGCATTGACATGGTTGGAAGGCGATACGCTACCGACCACATCTGAACAAGTAGGAGTCACTATGACAGCACTTCGGCTGGATTCGAAGGAGAACCTCAACTCCAAATCTGAAGCTTGAAGTCTTCTTGAAGTCTTCTGCAAGATGAATCTTGACATGACTCTTCCCACGCTCTTTAAGTATTACAACGACACCGTGACTGTGCTGATACTTGAGCCCACTAAATGTGTTGTCAACGCTATGACCGCGCGCACCATTGAGGACTCGGGGACATCGTAAAACTTAGAGCAGATCTCGTGCTTAATTCCCAACGCCATGGGAGGACTTACGGTATTGCAGTGTACATCGCCACGAATAACAACTTGCACTTACAGGTCTTGGATGCTTTGTCTCGACTTTCGTCTCATGCCTCCCAGGCTGTGTTCCGAGCCAGGCTTATTTTCAACTGGCGGAAATATCAGTGAGGTAAAAGTAGAATCAACACATAAGTAGTTCACTATCATACAAAAGCCTTCCCCCCACTGGTTGAAAAAGATCCTAGATAATTTAAGCGCTTGTAAGTAATGCTAGGAATGTAGTCCACAAGAATGATGATTCGTTAGTGCCGCCTATTAATGTGGTATCACCGGTGCCAAAGTGGTGGTTCTCCAATTTCTACCTCCTTCATCAGCATCCATCAACAGCAACAGGAATAACCAGAGTCCTTACCAAGCGGTGATCGCCAATTACGTACAAGGTGATGCACATTCGACTTCCGCAGAGCTGTGTTATGTCTCGATAGAGCATCGTCCGTAAGAGTGAAGACAGTTCCTAGCTGTATATCCCCATCCTTCGTTCTGCGGTTCGGCTGCAGACTTAGTGAAGGTGACACATCACGCGGCCCGTATTTTGGATTTTCCTCGTCCTCTATATCATCGATCACAATGTTCTGCGTCGGGCGGAAAGTGTATAAGTCAAGATCTTCTGCCTCATAGCGAGGCAATTCATATGCGGACATATGTTGACCTCTTCGTTGCCCATTGATATGATTTTCACTGAATGTTTTTGACTTAGAAAGTTGATGGCGCTCGCGAGCTGCCTCCCTGCTAGAAATTTCTCCCTTGATTGAACGAGGGAAGAATATCTGAAGCTCGCAGTTTGAATCAAATAACTCAACAAGAACCGATAAATGACGCACGACAAGAGTAATTCCAGAGGATACGACACAGCCTATAACCGCAATCATTCCCAATAAGTCTAATCGAGGGATTAATGATTCAAACCTGCCGAGCGCGGTGAAGTTGCATACCAGTCGGAAACCTAAATCATGTAGTTAGTATATTTCAGACACTTGGGCATGACGAGCGCACATCTTATCATTTATGTGCTGATGCGGTCTGACACCATCAATGGCCAAGATCACCAACGGCACCGTGAAGAGGAAACGGAAGAGGATCCGGATGCACTTCCGTATACCACGCATTAGTTGAGCAACAATAGTGCATCTGCGCAAAACTTACGTTAAGCTCGTGAAACTTTGTGAGTCGAGCTATCGTATTCATATCAACATCGGCTTGTTTCTGAAAGGAAATGGTCAGACTGGCTCATCTCCTTGACTATCGGAATGAATTAACCAAACTCTCTAGGAATGTGGGAAATGCCCATAAAATCGGGAGAAACCATATTGTTAGAGACAAGCTTCCGAGACTCCCAGCCAAGAATGTGTAAGATTCGCACTAGAAGGTTATCAGCGTCTAGTTCAGATATATGCATACGACAGACCTTGTATGGGTCATGCCGTGTGAATGTCGTCACAAGGGGCATACCAATGACTGCGATACCAGAACCGATCGCCCATGTCTTGAAGTATAGGCTTCGGAACCAATCTTGTTTCCCAGAGCTAGAATGGACAAGGAAAAGCCAAAAGCATAACTCTAAGGGACGTGAATTCAATTTCAGCTAAGATGCAAAGCAGTGAAAATGAACCTTCTAGGTGTGTTACCCTGAGCCAAAACGTTAGCCGACGTTGGCGAATATGCGTTGGGCATACTCACGTCTCTAGTCCCCAGGCGACTGAAAAACACAGGTACAGTGGGAGGATGGCGCTTCGTGCGCTGTCACTCCAAAGCTCGTATGGAGTGGGTGTGACTTTGACAAACTGGCGTAAGCAGGAAACGTCAAAATCGCCATTTGGGCTCACTCACTGCCCAACCCAGGAATAACAGTAAAACCATAGCTGTACTTGATAATGGTGAAACCAACAGCGTAAATTATGATTAACGGAATGGAGGTTAAATAGGAGTACTGTGAAATTGTATCAGATCGGTATGATATGTGAAGTGAAGGCGAAACTGTGACGCACCGTCATGACCCGCTTAAATGGCCCAGAATACTGTCCATGGTTCCACCTATGGAAATGTACTTCAGAGACTTATAGATCATGTATGAGAGATTCTATTAACTTCAGGCTTTTAAAACGGTCAAAGGACCAAAGATGATAAATTAAGAAGAACTCAAACTAAATCCCACAACGCTCAGTATTTTCTCCATCGAACATCTAAAGAACAGACCATGATTGTAAGTGTTGCCCATACAAGGTTGACGGCTGGACTCATGTGGGCCATGGTGCAGAAGCGAGCAAAGGAGAATGACGAGGGAAAGAGAAGAGTTCAGATGCGAGCTCGGGGCTCACTTGTGTGAAGCTATGATAAATGCTCTAGTCGCGATTGTTATAGATCGGCTAGCGCATAAGTAGAGGGTCCCTCTCACATTCCACCCGACGGGGTAAGGATCGTGAAACAGAAGTGGGTCTGTTTGAGAGGAAGATAACATGTTCGAGAAACGGATACATTCATATCATGCCGTTAACGCCCCTTGGGGCACGTTCCGGCTAACCGCGAGATGAGGTGACTATAGGTCCAGGAGCACATGGTGAGTGGGCCTAGTCGGGACTCGAACAGGTGCTAAAGAAGTGCTAAGTTTGTGTTACCTGCGAGGAGCCGGGGGTATTATTTGCTATCAACACAGCATCTAAGTATGATGAAGGCGGTTATCCTGTGCCGGGTCAGTTGGGCAAGATCGAACCGGTGATGGAAAATTGTTTACTAGTACTTCTTCATCGATTGATAAACAGTCAGTGCTGATACTAGTCCTGAGCGCTCGGTAACCTAGCATTTTTCGTCGCGTTGATGTTGGGATTCTGGGGTAAGTAGCATAGTCTCGCTTACCAATTGTAAACGAACCAGTATTACCGATTGGACCGGCCTCGGTCTTAGTGTAGATGAAGATATATATTTTCAGTGTCTTTTTAAACTGTCACGATGCTGCCCACAGACGATGACAAGGAAAATCTCCTCCTCTCATGTCGATACGACGATCTCGACGAAATCCAAGATTTTGTAACAAAATTCGGCCCAGAAGCCCTCTCCAGCGTCCGAGATGACAACGGAAACACTGTGCTACACATGACATGCGGTAATGGACACATAGGTGAGACGCGATCTCACTGTATCACGTTCCTATCAAGATTGATTCGTGAAAGGTATCTTGTAGACGTGCTGAATTATCTTCTTCCCCTTATCTCCCCTTCCATCCTGTCTGCACAAAATAGTGCTGGCTCGACTGCCTTGCACTGGGCAGCACTGAACCAGCATCTCGAAGTAGCGCAGAAGCTGGTTCACTGTACTGGGGGACCAGGCGTTGATCTGATTGATATCAAAAATACCGCCGGAATATCGCCCCTGGGTGAAGCCGAGATGATTGGGTGGGATGAGGGCGCAAGGTGGCTTGTACAGGAGATGAAACTCGATGAAACAAGTAGCCATGACGTCAATGATAGCAAAGAAGATGGCCCCGTGGAAACTTCGCGGGATATAGAGGTGGAGATCCGAGATGCGGACGGTGAAGTGGCCAAGATGACGATAAGCGACAGCGAATCCCCACTTGATTCTGCCATGATCTAAGTGGGTGTGTGCTTTTGGTCCGCCGGTACCTGCTGGGTGCACTAATCCTATCGTATGCTTTTACATAGCATTCACGTCAAGGCCTTGATACCATCAAATCAATCTGGCTGTGAACCCAAGAAACACCTGGTATCAGCTGGTATCGCCAGAGCATTTCACTTTTGGACGAGCACTCGGTTCCACAGAATTTCAGTTCTGAAGTCACACGATAGTAGCCATATCGAAAGTTCTCCACAGAACATGTTGATTGGATACTTGCATGTAATCACATGAAACTTGCAACTGAATTGAAGTTCAAAGTGTTCATCGATGCCATTCCCATAAGCTGAAGGTCTCGCAGGACCCTGAGTGCTGTCAAAATTCCTGCAGCCCTGAGCCCTGGGACCGCCTGGACATGAGTACTTCACAGCCAAATGCCACCATGATACAGAACGAGTGCACAACGATCAAAATTACCAAGGACATTGCAAGGACAAATCAAACATGTAGCGAAAACTGACAGGACCAGCAACCGTCAAATATTCCAGGGGAAAGAATCAAAAAGGCCTTCTTCGTCACGTTCCGAACGTTTCACATCGTTGGTGACCGTTCTTCCATAGGTCATGGCAGTGCTTTTGCGGAAGGGTGCGGGTGTTCAGTTGACAACCTTTTTCACTATCTTTCACCATGCACTTCCCTGTGGCGTGCTTCTCGGCAACGGAGCCTGAAAGCCAGTCATCCGGGTTTAGCGTCTTCCAATTTGCTCTCGCATACCACGATTTCTCGTTTCCCGCTTCGTCGATATTTGCGAATTCATCTGGTGGAGGATTGGGCAAGAAGAGCGCGCCGCGCTTCCACGCGATTGCTTCTGAAGTTGGGGAGTGTTGTGCGAACGGGCTCCAAGGAGACAAGGTAGACGCACAAGATCCCTTCTCCAGCTTAGGCGACGAAGATCCAAGTTTCATGCGCTCGGATCGATGTAGCATGGGTGACATCCGTTGTGGGACGGTGTAGACGAGCTCACCAGGCACACGCCGTTGCGGAGGAACGTACTTGGCATACGCACCGGAGCGTAAGGTCAATCCAGGGAAGTGCACTTGGCTGCATCAACGTTCAACACAGAACGACGATAACGGAATTTCAGGTCAACATACCTTTCAGCTTGATTGGAGGCCAACCCTGGTGTCCCCGGCTTTGGTACGAGATCATCGTCAAAGCGCTGATCGTGCGTCTCACGGGAATCGAGCGTTTGTGGTGAACTGTAAGAGCAAGGTGTCTTTTGCATAACAGTCGTCCAAGGGGGCGAGTAGGCTGCAGACGCGCTGGAAAGCCTTCTGTTCGGCCGGTCACCATCGGCGGTGGTAGTTTGAGGCGGGTCAACCGGCACAGTTCTGGCCCCCTTCGGTTTGAGCGGCTCCAGAGTCGTAAAAGTAGCGGTAACCCTCAATCTTTCTTGCACGGCTGCTTCCCAGAAGGAATCCGGCCCGTCAAATTTGCGTTCTGATCCACTTGACGGACTGTCATCCCGTTCGACCTCGGTGACGACAAATTTATTTGATGAGTTGCTTCTGCTAGAAGGGACCGGCGTGCTGGCGCTCCGACTGTGCGTATCGAATTGTGTAGCTGTGGGTATTGGATGACAAGGAAGAGCGGTGTCCGCTCCCGTGGTACAACACAGAGAATTGTGCTCTAGCATACCATCGCGTCTGGAGGTTGATGGTGGAAGATGTAATACATCGTGCTTTTTGTTCTTGTTCTTGGATAGTGGCATAGATATTCCGAGGGCGAATCGATCCCCTGAAGACTCGCTGTCGAAAGGCCCTTCTTCGAAACTTGAATCACCGCTTTCCTCAAGATCTGAACTGTCCGAAGCCCTGCGATACCAACTTCGCTTTTGAGGAACCATCGGTGAAAAAGATGATTGGATACTTGAGACAGAAAGAGGTCCGCCGTGATTGGGCCTTGCAGATGTAATAGTTTGAAGGTTGATGTCGTGAGGTGCACCATCTCGCTTGCGAGCTGACCGACGCGCATTGCTCGTTCTTGCTTTCTCATGTAATACAGCCTCAGCCAGTGGTGGAGAGTTGCGGACACGATGCACCAGGCGCGGGGATGTAAGTGAATCTGAAGGCTTAGCATTATGGGCGACAAGTTTAAAATCCGTAGGGCTCAACAATTTGAGGGAGGGTGAGAAGTTCAGGGAGTGGCAGGACCCAAGCTCTTGATTCACTGTGCTTTCGGTATCGCTACGATCGTCACCCGTTTCATGTGGCAGTACAAATCGAGTGTTATGTAGGTCTGAGGCTGTACCCTGAATTTCGGGACTGTCAAGATCGTCATGTAAGGTGTGTTTTTTGCGAACTCGCAGAGTGCCTCGTTGTGTGGCAAGTGAACCTAGTTCGTTGTGATACGCTTCTTGGTTGAGAGTAGCGCACACGCTCTCGATCCTATCTGTGGATTCGCCGATCCCAGATGATTCGCGCGGAGTCGCCAAGATTAGGGATCGCCTAACACCATGAAAAGTGCTGCGCCATGAAGGGGCCAGTAGGCGAATATTTCTTTGAGGCGGGAGGCGAATTGATGTAATAGAATAGAAACATAGAAGACCAAGACTGAGCGCGGCCAAGACCAGGAGGCTGCGAAAGCCACTGTTGAAATAAATCAACTGTTCGGAATATAGCAAAACTGATATAAAAGTTAGTAGAGATAACCACAATCTCGCGCACGACCTGACCCAGAGAATCCACGAAGTTGGAAAAATAGTGTTTGTGCTGGGAAACCAAGAGTGCATAGGTTAAAGCAGAGGATGACGGAGGGAAATTGTGGTTGAGAGTAGGCCTGTGGCTGCTTCTATTATTTGAGGTGAACCCGGCGAGGTGATAGTTTGCTGGCGGACTTGGCCCCAGGAAGTTCTGCCTCTCGAGGATTTTAGAATCTCCGTCGATGCACCGGATACTAGAACTGAGAGGATCCAGGGTCACGAGAAAAGGAGCCCATTGGAATAGTTTGAGAAGGGCTAACAAACTGTATCGCAAGAAGACCATGAAGCTGAACTTCGAAGGGATGCCGTTGATTTCAAAAGTTCGACATTTAACAAACAATCGACAAAGACGTTGTGTACGTCTATTTGTGTGACGTTCGAGGTTTCGAAGTCCGCTAGTACCTAACTATCGACAAGTTTGCTGATTAGCCCAGAATTTTCACAACCATGCGAGGTTCCGAGAAAACTACAACGCGTCTGGACATGCTAGAGGTTCAACGTTGAACGGCTGGCAACTTCAACCCTAGTCCCCAAGCTTAATTGCCTTTCGCAGTTGTTTGTTCGTGTTGAAAACGGAAGGCCTTGCCAAACATCGTATAAACACTTCCAAAAACACTCCAGTATTTACTGTGATACTTACGACTACTAGCCAATTTCGTACCATCTAGAGGGAAGAAGTAGCCTAGTATAGAATGCGTAGGGACCCCAGGAATGAATAGAGACACAACCTACTGGATTATTATGGCAGTGGATTACGACTATGACAATGACAAATCAGACAACTCCTCGTGTCGCAACTCGCGGAATCACTTCAAGCGTCGTGATCACCAAACGACGCGCTGTGAAGGCCTTATTTCAGGAAAGGTATAGAGAAAGGTGGAAGATCAAATGGATTCGTGATGGTGGTAGTCAGGGCTGTCGCGAAGTCCTGTCCACTAGCAGGGAAGAGTTCAAGACGTGCATGAGTGGGCGTCTCGGCCAGAAACCAAGCAGAGTGAGCGACTTCTCCTGTATCCTCAGAAATTGAACAAGTTGAAGGCAGCGTGGGTAGGCAAAATTTAGAAGGATGACTGTATGCGAATGGGTCCGCGATAAATGGGTCATCAAGATACGGGAAACTGGCTGGCGGCAGCGGTTGAAGCGCAGGATCGTCGATACTGTGGCTTGCTGGTCCGAAAAGGCCGATCGGGGAACGTAGTGGCCTGGGATGCTTCGCGCCAACGGACGTGATGAGTATGGTGGGTGCGGCGGCGACGTGCTCTTTGGCTGATGTGGAACGCGCAAATTTACACGTCCATCCCTTCTCCTGTAGCTGTTGTTTCAAATTTACAAGGTATCCAGATGCAAAAGAGTCTTTGAACTTTGGGGGACAATGGGGAGCAGGAGAGACGATCATGTCAGAAGAGGTTGGGGAGCCCTGGGAACCAGACATCACAATCGGGACCGTTTCTGGCACAGTGCATCGCCTATTCAGGGATCTGATTGAGAGGACGTCCTCCTCAAGCCTAGCGTACTGATCCTCGCCTAGCGAGAGCTTTTCCAAGGTTTTGCCAAGCTGACGCATGATGTAATCGCCCGCCGAATGAGAACGCAGGTCAAACATAGACGGAGATGATTCTAAAGCAGGAAATGTGTCAGAGGCGTCTGCGAACGGGTCTACAGGGGTCTTCGGGAGAAGAGCTGAAGTAGTCTTTGAAGGGCGCATATGAAAGATGTGATGTGATGACTCTTCGGATGAAGCTATGCTCTGTTCGGCGGTGGAAGGCAGGCTAGCAGATTCTGAGACAATGCGCGTGTTATTGACTCCTGGAAGGAGACTCAAAGAGTCGGTGTTCCATTCGTAGGGTTGCTGCTCAGATGCAGGTAACAAGCTCATAACAGCTTCAAGATGAGGTGATTGGGGTGAAGTAGTCTGCTGCTCCATCGCGACCTTTCCCTTCAGACGACGGTGCCTGATAGACTTGAAAATGTAGCCAAGTTTGATAGGCGAGGGTTCAGTGGTTGCACCGCGGGTTTTGCGATGTCGTTGCTGGTTTTTACCAGTCTTGAGCTTGCCAAATGAGAGAGAAGAAGGATGTGGCATTTCTAGTGATGTTGTAGAGCACAAGATCAATAATGAGCAAAGCAGGACTGCTCGCCCTGGATACTCGCTGACTGTCGAGCGATGAGAGTCAACATTAGAAAATTGACTGATAACTAGGACTTGTTTCCAGTGGAATCAGGGTCTTGACGAGGCGGTCTGGATATGAATATTCGGTTCTGAACAGACATACACTTACGCGCAAAGGACGGTTGCCTTCCTTCCATCGGAAGGATGAGGGAAGGCTGGAAAGTATTCACTCAGTTGCTCAGGTACATGGACTTAAGTAGCAAAAAGCGAGGCGTTACCAGGGTTCGAACCTGGGTTTCGGGAAGACCCGCAAGAACTGCATACGTCAAAATCCCGAGTGATAACCACTACACTATAACGCCACCATATTTGCTCGGAAGTGCAGAAATTTTGAAATTGACGAGCAGAGGTCAAGTATTTGCTAAAGTCACCGTAAGGATTAACTTAATGCGATTGATACCAACTAAAGCGCACCCAGCTTGGGCACGACCAATTAGCATCATCACCATCATCAAGTTACTGCAACTATACATCTAATCATCGTACTCTTTCACTGTGTCGAAGAGTATCCAGCAGGACAATTTTGGTATGCAAGACTACTCGAACCGCTGCGCATGTAGCAGGTCTTAGCAGAGATGCATTCCCCAGTGCAGTTCAGGCTTGCGATAGAGCTCTTTGATTGGTAGGTGTGATATGTCTGTCATGCCAAGTCAGTCCAACGATCGTCGCAAACATTGTTTTGGGTATCACCTGGACTAGAGCAGGATCGATCAGCATTTCTGTGACAAAAATAATCATTACGGTCGGCCCAAAGAGATGGGGGAAAAGAGACAAACGGTCAGTAACAAGGTGCCACCATGTTGCGTTGAGAGGGTCGTTTGCGCCCCAAGTGATATTGCCCCCGTATGCATCGCGAGTACTGTACTCTAGATAGTACGTTGGGCCGACCTCAGTCTGATTGTCCAATGCCGGGAACTCGTTCACGTCGCTGATATAGCTGCAATGTTTGAATGTGTGAGTCACAGTCCATCTACGCTCAATATTGCCGCCTACGTATATGCATCCAGGATGTCGAAAGTCTAATCAAGCATAAGTCCTCTGAGTAAAATTAAAGATGAAAGAAAACTTACAGCAGAATCGACTTCGTAGAAACGGAATCCAGAGTTGAGGTTCGTCAAGGGGGTGAGCGATGGCATGACCTGAATGATAAATTTCATAGACGTTCAAAATGGTTTTCTTGACTTCTTACCCAAGATGCAGCCAACGCAGTCTCGGAATTCATGACTGTGCCGTTGTTTGCGTAGAAGATCTGTGGATAGTTAGCACCAATCAGGTCAACATCAAAAGACATACGGAAAGCTGGTCCTCGTGAGTGTGGCCAAAGAAGATATCTGATCATGAAACTGTTACGATAAAGGTCAACCAATCTGAATGGCACGAGCTCACTGGAAATGACATGAGGCGAGTAGCGGTCAACACTAAAGTATGCGTAAATAACTTTCATTCCCCTTCGAGAATTGAGAAACATACATTTGGTAGACTCCATGCGAATTGATGTTAGAAATGCTGAGTACAACACTAGCATGAACTCACGTACAGAGATTACTCGGATTGACCTGTGCTTGGGTTCCGTCCCATCCGCTCAATACATGTCCGATAACCCAGACTGAAAGACGATCATTATTCAGATCATTCTATGTGTCAATTTCACGAACCTCTTTCACCAGCATCCTCGGAAGCCTGCAGCTCATCCGTGAGGAAACGCAAGATACCGAACGGATCAGGTTCCGTAGAGTTAACATAACTGTAGTAGTTATTACTGCAAAGAATGATCAAGATGGGTCATGAGAGCACTGAATCCCACCCAGACGTACGTATACCCTTCCAGGAGAGAAAAATCAGAGACATGTGAGATTTCTGTTAAAGAAAACCTACAAAGGTTGGTATCAATTGAGATGATTTTGAGGCCGTCCGTGCGTTTCACAGCATATGCAGCGTAGTGGGTTGCAGCATATGCGATCGACTCTTCAGGAAGCCAGCCTTCATACTGCCACATAGAAGAAATGTGTTCGTACAACCTGAAAGTGGTCATCATCTGGCGCACCTAAACACTTTCCGGCTTACCAGTTGAATTGCGTCCCGAGAGGACCGCCCATGGTGTATGGGATCATCTGGAACTGCATGTACGTGTCGTGGTTTCCGATTGTCGCGTAGATAGGTGCAGGGCCAACATATTTCTTCAGCAAGTTGTAGCTCACGACCTGACAACCCTCATGAAAATTCACTTCCAACAGGAGGATGATCACTGTACCTCGGCGTACTCAACATAGGCCCTGTCAGGCAGCATGAGGTTACCATGGTAAAACTGAATGAAATCGGAGACAACGAACCTTGAGTATTCGTTGTCAGGATCATGCGCAGTCAAATCACCAGTGAAGATGGTGAAGTCAAAGCCAGACTCTTCCGTACCGGTGAGAGGACCAATGGCTTGCATTGCCGCGAGCATCAAGTCCACTGGAAGATCACTATGAGTACGATGTTAATTTTTTTCTTCTCGTAGAGTCGACTATTCATTTTACCAGTAATAATTTCCGAAGCGAGATGCGGGAAGTACGATCTGGTCTGGGCTCGCCGCATTGAAGACATTATCACGGCAGCACATGTATGAGGAACAGTTAGCCTCAGAGCCTATCGAGTAGCCTGAAAAATGTGTGGTCACGTAGGGTTTAAGATTTCAATCAAACACAACGCACGAGGGTCGAGGTGAATATCAGAAATGTGAAGAACCTTCAGACGCTGCCCACTGGGCTGTTTCGGGGGCGGCAGCGGGTTTGGTTTCGGTTTTGCGAACCAGCCAGTGGTGTTGAGCGGAGCAGTTGGCGGCACGGGGCACAGTGAAAAATGCGCACAGAGGTTCTGAAAGGGGGAGGAAGTTCGTACATACTACCTCAATCGAAGTACAAGTAGCATACCTGGCCGTCATATCCGCCAGCGTTTGCAAACGCAAGAACTTGTGAAAACGTTGAACCGAGCGCAAGCTGACTATATTCATTGTAGCATGTTGTTGAGTAGTTGAAATACTCGCAAACTGCCTCGGCAAGTAAGGGGCCTTGTTCGGGAGCCCCAAGCACGAGCATCTTTCCAACTGCGAGAGAGGCTTGGCATCGTGCACAAGTGTCATTGCCAAAAATCGGATTGGCAGCAATTGCTTTAATTTGCGCAAGAGCTTGGTCCATAAGCTGCGATGGTGTCGCTGTCATTGGAAGGGGGTGAGGGTCCACTGTATCATTCTGATGAACGAGGTGTCATTCTGTTGGTTTGGTGCAGGGAAGGGTGACTAACCTTCGGGAAGTTGGCAGGGTCTGTCAGCTCATAGGGGAATATCTCATTCTGGCAAGTTGATAAAATTAGCGACATCTTCAAGATATTATGAAACAAGATATGTACATACCGTCACGGGATCGGTTATAACAGGCTGAGGCTGCGCCGAAGTAGCAGTAGGATCATTCCAATACGTCCCATATATCGAAGTCGGAAAGGCACCCGGAACAGTGTACACCGTAGTGCTGATCACGCTCGCTCGCGCTTGATAGGAAGCCAGTAATATGAAACCAGACAACCTCGAAAAGGGGAGCATCGTGGCGAACTGCCTTTCTTCGCTACACTGGGTTCGGTACGCAGGATTTTATATGCGGCCTTTACGATGATATTTTAAACACAAAATGGCAGCATGTGGAATGAAACTCTACATAACGCACGTTCGCATTGACGGCCCATCTACGAGAAGTGATGCTGTTCTCATGTGACAATAATGGCATGCACGAGTTCTCCATGAACTACACAAGGTTCTCCCAAACACTTGGTGCAATCCATCGACGGGATTGTCGTCCATAGTAGGGAAACAATGCGACCTTCACGGCGTTCCAATGTTGCCATCAGCGTAAACATCAGATCTCGTAGGATCTCGTCCAACTACTTACAGTATCAACCGTTGGCACACGTGATCGTGATGTTGGCCCCCCATAATACTTTCAGCCGCTCAGACAGCGAAATGATCACATGATGGAAAGATAAGACATGAATTTATCTATGCATTGACACGGTATGAGCGCTTCAGCTTCCAACAGAAAAATAGGAAGCATTGAAGTAAGTCACCACACCATGACAGTCGAACGTTGAACGGAAGTAGCGGAGGACCGTCATCGCACCAGCAAACTGCAAAAGGGCTCGAGATTAATGTTGAAGCGGCCCCCGGTGCATACACGGGAACACAACAAGACGAACAGAAAGGACCTAGCGCATGCTAAACTCGAGAGGATTTATTGTTGGTTCAATACTACTAAGAACCTCCCGCCCCCCGAGGGTGTTGAAGCAGCTGGTTATTCTTTCTGTTGGAAAACGAACCAGTACTAATTACGTAATCACACACAATAAGTATGTTTTACTTGTGCCCGCAGTTGGATATACATACCTTGCTTCTGACCATCATCGTCCTCCCCAGACAACTTGTTTTCTTACACTTTCTGCATGTGCTGGCGAGTTTTTGAGAAATTCTCATGACGTTGCACAAAGGGTAGAGTCAGTGCAAGAGATAGTGCCTGACACCTGAGATCAACTGGCACTCTCGCTGCATCGGACACTATGCGGACACTGCTGACTTGCCAAGGGACGGGTCCGAGTAACTTGAAGGAGAAAAAAGCGCTGCGGTCAGCAAAGATGTGGCCTTCCCATGGACATCGCACCTCGGTGATCAGTGTTACCTGGGTTTCAGCTTAGTCCAGCAGTATTCCACGTATTCATGGCGAGACCTCAGAAACCTCCTAATGCAAGAAATAGTATACTCTAAGCCTGTCACTCGATACTGCACATCGTGCTCGTCCTCCGTGCCACACACTGCTGCTTGCTGCATGCCCTCGGCGCATGGATGCTTTCATATTTTTCTTGGCACCGCTTGCGTTCAAGCTCTCATGCTTGCTGCACCATTTGTATCACTGCTACGAGCACCTTTTCCCCTGGCACTTGTGTTCGTGCCATACCGCAAACTGGTCCCTTGCTCCCCTTTCCATTGGTACATGTTCGACATATGTACCTCTTGCATGCCTCCTCGCGCCCACAATTCACCCACTAGAAGAGAAGACGAAATTCAGGTAAAAATTGCTGTTACTTGTCTGTCTTCAACTGATTGTAAAACTATGAATTTCCCATCATTTATTGGGGCCCTCTACGACATGCACTCATACTTCCAGTTGTACTATGTCATTGCGTGCATTCGTGTGCGCTCGTTGTGTTTCGCACACTATCAACGCCTCGAGTTTACTTCCACATAGATGCAAGAGAATAAGCGGTGATGAATCCATGAAGAATGCTAAGGTGCGTCGATAAGGACAAGGCAAGAAAAGAAAAAGGCGTACATGTGAGTAGGATTGGGTCCTTGTAAAAAGTATCAAACTCGTAATCATCCCTGAATATTGATTCCTTGTTCTATAAGCAATGGTGTCGGGGGCTTTGGTGCTGCTCGGGCATGAATCTTACCTCGTGCCGGAACCGAACGAAGCTGGCACCACATACTCGTTCCAGCTCGTTCCAGGGTATCGAGGGTTTGGACTCATGTTTCGGCCGGAAAGCCTGGAAAGCCCTGCGGGAAAACTGACGAGGGAGATTTTAATCTTAGCTTCACACCTCGAGTCGAATTTCCCGCGCGATGTACTCATAAGTACCTAGTACCTAGGTTCTATCCACGGTGATCAGGATCTCGACGCTGAGAATGGGTCGTATCTGGTTCAATTTGGTCATGAAGATACCTATGTTGACAAAAGTCATACTTGAAGACAGGAATGTTCCCAACCACTCTCCAGTTGGTACTCCCCTAAACTATCTGACTGCAATTTCTTGTCTGCAGCTGTTCATCACGATGCCGCCACTTCCGCCTGTGGCCGATACGCTCGTTCACAAAAGGCTTTCTCTTGCCCACAAGCTTGCTTTGCTTGCTATATTCTGTCTTGCCCGGTTCTTAGATTCCTTCAGTACCACAGCTCTTTTTGATGCGATCCTGGTACTCGATATATCCACGGACATGACTGAAACCTAATCTACTTGGATATCTACTTGGATGTTTATCTCATCCCGGTTGACTTTTTCATCATTCCTGCTCATCGTGCGTGATCATATCGTTAATGCCGATCCTCGATTCAACGTATTGTTTTAGAGTAGCCGTGTCAGTGACGTATACAATCCAAGTCAGTGCTTATACTACTGGTGTTAGACGGTGTGTTGACAGGCTAACAGAAACTGTCTAACCTTGGTGCCCTCTCACTGTGTGCCGGATTTATCGATACCAAAATTCCGTTGATCATTCTCAGAGCGCTCACTGGAATAGGCGAGCATCCGACCAACATTCGCCAATGTGTTTGTTCTGGCTGACGAAGACCAGTTTCTTCAACGACGATTACCTCTGCCCTTGCACTCCTCGTCAAGGTATTTCCCGATCCGCTCGAACAAGCTTGGGCAATAGGCATATTTGTAGGCTGTGGTGCGATCGCTGCCGGTGAGCATCCCGCATATCTGGTTATGCATGGCGAGCTTCATGGTTCCTTTACATAGTTAGTGGTCTCATGCTTGGTGCAATGTTTGTCCAATGGGTATCTTTCCACTGGGTCTTCTGGTTTGTAGCCTGCGCGGCTTTTCCGGTGGCTCTAGTTTGTATTTTTATTATACCGTCACACATTGCAGAGACTGCAGAGACTGAAGGCGCAAAATGGAAATCACTGGATTTAGTCGGCGTAGGTATTCTAACCGGTATGAACCTTTCAGGCACTCCTCTTTGCATCTCTCACGAGCCCTATAGTTGCCTTCATCTTATTCATCTTCACTGTGACATCCGGTTCAACTGAGGGTTGGAAATCCCCAATGGTGTTGGTCCTCCTGATCGTACCAACTTTACCGGTGGCTGGGTTTTTCTACTGGGAAACACTCTTGCCTGTGGGAACAGCTGCAATGTATTTGTCGGGAATTCTCGCGCACACACCATCGGCTGACTTTGTACCAGACCACCCCGGACGTGGTTTTATAAAAACTTCTCCGTTCTGTTCGCCGTTGCACTCTTGCCATACTTCTGGTGGAACACGATGATGACGATGTTTAGCACCATGTGGCAAAATGTGTTTAACTGGTCGGTAATATCGACGGCCGTATATATGTAAGGACCTCACGGTCACTCCATGTCGCTAATCATTAAACTATATTTCCTCGCTGGGTTGCCGCTCGGTACCGTGGCCTTCGTTTTGAGTTTTTTCACCGGATCACTTTCTCGCATCTTCAGTCCGAAGTGGCTTATTCTCACCGGTCTGTCACTGTGCATGGTCGCTACTGTATTGCTGGCGCCGAATGGGGGAAGCCTGAGAATTATTGGCCGTATGTGTTCCCATCTTTTTCACTGGGAACCGCAGGAAGCATGTTCACGTTCGGACTTACGATGTAAGTTCCAAATCTTCATGCTTTTTTGATCACGGTTTGATTGCTTCACATCATTGCTATTTTCCAGGCTGCGCCTTCATCTATGACTGGCACAGCTGGCGCCATCTTTAACGCTGCACTTCAATTTTGATCCGCAATTGGCCTCGCTGCTAGCGCCTCGATAGAAGCATCCGTGGAGGCTACCCATGGGGGTTTGCATGAGTACAACGGACGAGCGGCCACATGTTGGTTCATCCTTGGATTCAATTCATTTCGATGTCAATCTTTTATGACCGCAGTATGGACAACAAACCCCGACCAAAATACGACAACTCTGATCTTGCACTACATAGTACTGAATTCGACAAAAAAAATTAGCAATGCGCACGTAAACTACTGTAAAAGTTTGACAAAACAGCCAACCTAGGAGATTTGCGGGTGCATTTCTTTTGACAATTTGCAAGGCAGATGTATTTTCATCTTGTTATCAAGGATTAATCCCGAATAGTAAACTTCAAATAGTATTGTTTCAATCCACTTAACATCAATCCATACCAGCTGAGGATAGGAGGAAAATGAGGTTACATGTGTCATGTACATCGTGTTTGAGACGCTCCTCTATTTATTCGCACTCATCAAGTGGCTTAGGAAGAACAGTGTCCAGCAGAATCTTAATGGCAAAGTTCGAGTGTCCTCGACACTAGCCCCTTCTTCTTTTTGAACGATCTTCAAGGACATGTACGCACACGCACTTCGATGTCGGACTGAATACACTGGTTGTCTTGTGCATCATCCAAAAATGTACGCAAGTCGAGACATGGATATTTGAATGACAGAATTCGTACGGGAAGATTTCTAATGTTATTCAAGAGTCTCGTCGAGGCAGCAGGGAACTTTGTACAGAAGTAAGCATATTGATCGATTCCGCAACGAACTACATATCGTGCGATCGATCATCGTACCAACGCGAAAGCAGAAACACGACTCACTGTCGCGACATGCTCTGTCTGCCAAGCTCATCAGGAGATGGTTACTTGCAGCTGCTGTGAACGAAATTCTATTAGTACAAGGCGCAAAGAGTGAGTCATGGGGTTGAATCCCGGATGCAAACCGAACGACTCACTGTAGCCAAATGCGTCTCACAAGTGAGACCTGTGCAGCAATCTGCGGTGCTGTCGCAAAGCCCTTGTGCACTTACGCATGCACTGACAGAATAGATGTTGTCAAAGCGGGAACAGCAGCGCGGAGGAATGAGAAACGCATGGCTTGCGCTAGGTAATAGGGGATGCGTCAAGGGGGTTCTCGAATAATATCTGATACTGGCGGCAGGAATACGGCTTGCTTTTGTGTCCTGAAAATAGAAGCACTCAGCAGTTCTATCTGAATGGTTGTGCTTGGTAGATTTCAGGCAGAGAGTGTAGGCAGAACCACAGGGTCGCGGATAAACAATGGATCCTCCCCCCGCGGCTAGCGAAACAAGCCCAACAAGAGTGCCGCAGATCAATTTCAATGTGCGTGGTTGATGAGACCCTGCTTGATATTGATCAGGCTTGTTGAGAGGAGAGCTGTTGCCTTGTTTCGTTTTCGCTGTCTGAATCCTGCCGTTGCCGTCTCAAAATAGTCGTTCTGTACCCCACTGCCCGCTGTTCCCGTCGTTTAAATTTCCCATATGGACAGAGTGACGCCAATATATTTAATATATCTAGATTCTGCGGGCAAGGATAAGTTGAGGAGTGTGTGCGGTAACTTACTAGTAAGGACTTACGTAAGGCAAATCAGACTCCCTGTGGAAGCGCAGCCGAACGTTACGTCACGGTCGGTCTTATTCAAGACACATGACGACTAATAGTCACTCAATTGCCAGTTCTACTACTAGTAGTTCTACGCTGCGGCTGACATCCTCTGCTCGATATGATAAGATACGAACGATATCTCGTCTTCCCATAATTCCTCTCATCTCCTAGCAAAGATGGCACCGGTCCATGTCCTCGACCAATACTACCTCGGAATCACCCTTCTTGTCACCATCGCATGCCAGCTCATCGCATTTTCCGTTTCGTGGAAGCTCAAGACCGACAAGATTATTGACTTTGCCGGTGGTGCGTGCAGCGTCTATCTGAAACCCTACTCAGCCACTCACTTAGAGGATGCGAATAGGCGTAAACTTTTTGATCCTTGGTATGTGGGCAGGCCATGTCACAGAACTTGCATCCGACTAGAGTTATGGCGGGTTTCGTGTTACAGCGTTGATGACTCTCCTCCTGGGTAACACATTCTGTGGTCGAAATGTTGCGGCTAGTTTCTTCGTGATGATATGGGCGGCGCGGCTTGCAGGTAGGTCAAATTTCCGCCGTCTTGGTTTATCGATAACGTGTGTTGCAAGGTTTCTTGTTACTTCGCGTTTTGAATAGAGGACGTGATGCCAGGTTTGACGGTATTCGGGAGAACTTCGGAAAGGTCTTTGGTGCGTATTCCTAAACATATCATCTGCTGTGACTGAGCACTGTATCGTAGGGTTTTGGATAGGTGGGCTTTTCTCGCATTTCTAGTGAAAATGGAAATGAGAATGTGTTTGCTTATCTCCCTCGTAGGTCAAATTGTTTGGGTGCGTCTTGCTCTCCTTCCGTCCCTCCTCGATCATTTGTTGATGTCGTTCTAGGTCTGGGTTGTTTCGCTTCCCATCACCATCCTCAACTCTCCCTCTACTGTTGGTTTTGACGCACGCACGCACGTCTGCCACCCGGATTTCGGGACATCGCGTGATATCGCCGGCATCATTGTATGGGGGATCGGCTGGATTATTGAAGTCGTGGCAGACTTGCAGAAGGTCTCATTTCCTCAGTGCTGTCATTATTCGTGCCCACTGACTAGTTGTGTTAGTACTTGTTCAAGTCAATGGGTCCTCCACCGGAGATCATCATGGACGTAGGTATTTGGTCTAGAATGGCAAAGTTTTGCAGCCGACGCTGAGCTTGGTGACAGACAGGTCTTTGGCGATATTCTCGGCATCCCGCTTACTTTGGAGAGCATGTCCACTGCTCCTCTATTTTCTCTACCTGTACTGACAAACCACAGAATTCTTTGCTGGTGGGGCATCTGGATCATCTCAATTTCTCCGGCAACTTCTAGCGCATCAGGCCTCAGTAACTCTGCAAAGTCAGCGCTGTTTGGCGCCGTCGTGTCCCCGATCTTGACAATGATGTGAAAATTTATGTCTACTATTTTCCTCATGCCGACTAAAAAAGTCCAGTCTACTCCTCTTTGCGTCAGGTATCCCTCCAGCAGAACGTTCTATGGCGCGAAAGTTTCAGATGCTCTCTCAAGACGATACACCGCCTGCGAATGGCGCACAACACAATCCTGGAACCGCTCCAACAGTAAACGCTTCCCCTGCCCACAACACTTCGCCTGTCGATGCGGTGAACCCGACTTCCCACGGTTTTGAGTCCCTTCCAGAATTGCCTCCTGTACCAAGCCCTTGGGTGGCATACCAGGAGTACCTTGCGCGTACATCGATCCTCATTCCTGTTCCACCATTCCTGTACCTTCGCATCCCTCGTATTATCAAGGAGACAGTGCTGCTTGACTGGCCATGGTATCGTCGAGTGGATCCACCGAGAAATCACAGCAATGATGGCGAACGGGCGGAGCGCACCGGTGATGTCCCCCGAGCGGACAATGCTGCTTGAAATCTGGTCATCTGGGCTAAGTTGGACTATTGATCTACTTTCAAGTTTAGTATACGCCTGCGTTGATCGACCGTTATGTAGCGACCCGTTCCAACAAACTGCACGCGTTCTTAATCTACTCAGCCTGGCATGAGCAGATATGACCGCGATGCACCGTGCATAGGGTCCGCTACAACTAATAGCCATATCGAATGTTCCGTGGCTGGAGATCATGCATCATGCACATGACTGATGCCGGTGATTCAGATCATCGCCATTCACATGCTATGATACTAATACTTAGTACCTTCCGAACTTGTTCCGAACTGGAACTGAAGTCCAGCCAAATAGAGTCTTCTTCGTTATTCTTACCAGCAACGCGCCATCGATGGATGACAAGTATACATCACTGGCGGCTGATACTGTCCTTACTTACTGGTCATCTACTGCATCTTCGTGATCCGTAGGCCACCATCGCGTCGAAACTTGCTTCACCTCCAGAATTAGTCTATTTCGGTAACCTGGGCGCCAAGACATCAGTGGCGCGACCCATCGCACTTTTCCCAATCGATTCCTTGCTGTTGGTGAAGCGTTCGCCTCAACGAATATAAGAGGTGTGTTCGAAAACTCATGTCAGCTCAAGATCCTTAGTGGATACTCAGCAGGCTTGTGAGGACTCTTGTGGCCAGGTCATCATCTGCTTATTGGACAGGCTCCAGGCGCTCGGTTCTGAGATACGCCCGCTGATCTGTGAATACGCGTACAACGCTGCAGGTCATGGCAGGTCAGCCGAACATGGATGAAGACGTCGAACGAGCAGATCCTGGACCTTCTAACCAGCGCGCATATCACGGTATGCATTTGATAACATTCTATTAATCCAACAGAATGCTGAGAAATATGTCAGATGGCCAACGCGATGAGAAAGTCTGCGTCATGACTCGAGATAATTCAGCATTTGTAGCAGCCTGGATGCAACGACTCCAGATGCTCACGCTTATAGTAAGTCATTTGCGGCGTGCTCAGTGACTCTGGCTACATGTTTCTGGAATCACCCGTCAGACAACATTTCTCGCTTCGATCGACGGAGAACTCTTCACCCGTACCTCCACACCGTCGCTAGAAACAGTTGATGCAAGCATGGCATCCCAGGAACTTGTGTATGCCTGTTTTACTGGTGCCCTCGTTTTCCATGTTTGTGCTGGTGAGTGTCAAGATGGTTTGAGGAAGCGCGAGACACTCACGAGGTGACTTAGCAATCCTGGGATATGTGGCGTGTTTTGTTCTCATTCGATATCAGATCGTTGATGCAGCTTCTTCCGATGCAAAGGGCACCGAACCTTCTAATCCTGGTTTGCAACACCCCGAGACCATGCACAGAACGCAGCGTCTGCTTATACCCATTCCGCCTTTCGACGGCCCTCTTCAGATGCCCTTCGGGCTCCAAGTTCTATCCAGGATGTCCACTCCCCCACTAGATCTGCTGACTCGGTGCTACTATACGACTTTGGCGCTGAGTAGCGCTGGTTTTATCTTGGCACTTCTTGGTATCACCGCTTATGCATGGGTGATACTGCAGCAGACTGTTGGGATCTTCACAACGGCTTGTCTTGGTGTTAGTATCGTGGCATGTGTGTGGGCAGTAATGTGAACCACGTGCGTTGACTGCAGGTCTAGATTCTCTAAGTTTGTTAAAGTTGGTCGATGCCAGTACTGACAGTCGACGTCTTGTGGTCATTGCAGCGTGGACAACCAGATCACCTGCCTTACTGTGAAGCTCAGATCATGGATTAAAGGTTTACCTTGACATGTCCGAGGTCTTAAATCATCTCATGACCAGAGCTTGGGGTGGCTGGCCGAAAACAGTAAAACAGCTTGTCCGCCGTATTTTGTCCCACAGAACGGAACGGACATCCTGTATGGTGTCTATATCCCCGGTGAGGAGGGGAATCTCATGGACAAGTACTGGCTTACATGGCTGCTGTGGGAATATACACCTCAGGGCGGCTTGCGAATATCAGGTGAATGGTAGACGAGTACTAGCCTGGGCCCGAGAGCATCCCTGTTGGCAGTGTAGTGCTGGGTCGGCCTTGATGCAGCCTCTTCAGTACTTAGATCCCAAGACTCGTCAAGAACAGTCAAAAGCATCAACAACGATTTAATGGCATATTTCTTGACGGCATCTGAGATCTGATTCTCAACGCATCTGATGATGCCGAGATTTTCTAGGCGATTGATACACATAAGTAGCATTTTCCTGATTGCTCTCATGCATGTCCTCAGCGCTCAGCTACGTACGGTGAATGCGATAGATATATTTCCGACACTACATAGATATGATCAAGTCAAGTTCTATTATAATTACTATATAAGCGCTCGTGCGGGAGTTTTTCTCTGATTCCCAAAACGTCTGGTTCAAAACTTTCCGCAGAACCGCAAGTTGATGGAACCTTGCCGCGGTGGCGGCGAGAAACACTAAGAAAGATCGGGCGAGGACTAACAGGACAAAACCGTGAAATTGATAGCGTGATACAGGAGAGCAATATGGTGGTATGTAGGAGACCCGAGTCTGCGATAAACAAAGGACATCACGATGATATAAGGGGATCGAACACGTGGAATGATATTCGTAAGCAGCAGGCTTACAGTTGATTGACCATTATAATGTACGTAGATGAACGATGCGTCCACGATACATCGATGCATCACCAGCCACCTCAAAATTTCTGTGACCCGTGGTGATGTTCATCACTGGAGATCGCGACTCTTGTCGTGATCTCCGCTGTTGAACAAGTTCACGCTTCCGAATTGGAATCGAAGACAGCCCTTTCCGTCTGTTAGCAACGTGCCATCGATGGTCGATAAGCACCCCAACACGTTTCGCCAGCGGCTGATAAGTACTGTCCTACTTACCAAATACTTGGTGATCCGTAGACACCGTCGAAGCTTCAGGTGACCCCACTGCCTCCAGGATCATGAAGTTTTCGTAATCACATCGCCAAGAGATCCACAGTGGCGCATCCAGGTTGATTAATTGACTTCCTTGCGGTTAAGAAAGGGTTCAGCGCAAGGACTATAAAAGGTGAGCTCGAGAAGTATTGTTAACCGTGGACCCAGGCAACACTAAGGGTTGAACGCCCGTGAGGAATCTTCAGTGACCAGCTTATATCCACTTATCAGACGCTACAGGCGCTCAATTCTTAAGGACACGCAACCACCCACGACTTTGTTTTTCTCCCGTGAACTCGCTCAAAACGCTGCAGGTCATGTCTAGTCGAGCAGACCTCGAACGAGCAGACCCCGGGCCCGCTGTTCAGAACGCAGATGGTATGCATTTCATAACATCCTAATAATCCAGCAGAATTATTAAGAAAATACACAGATGGTCACGGCACGACTCAAAAGAATGCAAAAAGTGCTACAACAACTACAGGAGACTCGGACCTTGTGGCAGCGTGGATGCAACGACTCCAGACGCTCACTGTTATAGTAGGTTTATTCGTTGTCTGCTCAGTAATCCTAGTCACATGTTTCTGGAATCACCCGTCAGACAACATTTCTTGCTTCGATCGACGGAGAACTCTTCACCCTTACCAGCGCATCGTCGCAGGTGACAGTTAATGCCAGCTTGAAATCCCAGGAATTCGTGTATGCCTGTTTTACTGGTGCCCTCGTTTTCCATGTCTGTGCTTGTGAGTACCAAGATAGTTTGACGAAGCGCGAGGCCCTTACAGGCTGACTTAGCAATACTGGGATACCTGGCGTCCTTCGCTCTGATTCGATATGAAGTCATTGATGCAACCCCTTCCAGTACAAAGAGCAAAGAGCTGGGCGAGCCTTCTAATTCTGGTTTACAGCACCAAAAGCAGCTCCAGCTTAGACCCATTGTTCCTTTTGAAGCTGTCAAGAAGCTTCTTCAGACGCCCTTGGGGCTCCAATTTCAATCCAGGACGTCTACTCCCCCAATAAATCTCCTGACCCGGTGCTATTTCACGACTTTGGCCCTAAGTGGTGTTGGCTTTATCTTGGCACTTCTTGGTATCGCTACTTACGCATGGTTTGGACTGCAGCACGTTGTTGGGATATTCACAACGGCTTGTATAGGTGTTAGTTTCGTGGCATGTGTGTGGGCGATGGTGTACCCTTGACTACTTTCACTATCACTTATGTTACACTCGTTCACGACTTGTTTGAAGCTGTACACAACTTCGGGTGTTGTATTCAAGGTTCATTAATGCCAATATTGGTATCAGCATCGCAAACGGGAAATCATCGGTTCAGACGTTCAAGAATAAAGCATAAGCATCTCCATGCACACCATGTATGCAGCATGCCCAAGTACTTGAGATTCAAAGAGGGTGCTCGAGTGGCATTAAGCTCCTTGGTTATGGTGGATGCCTGGTGAACGGTTCGATTTGCCGTCATGCCGCACGCATTTTTCAGAGTCCGCTGTATTTATTATTGTATATACCAAAATACACGAGTCAGCGCCGCACGTTACCGAAATCTTCGTGCTCGCTATGGGCAACAGTGAGCTTAACTACTCGGGAGGACTCCGCATTCCATACGTACAGGTACAATGATACTTCATTAAGTTACAGGTGATTCGGAAATTATTGTCCGGGGTCGTCCGTCCGAGACTCCGAGTTCGTAAATTCAAAAATTCAAAACATAATACATAATAATAATAGGAAAATTCGTTCTCTGATCAGATCCTCCACAGCCTCGCAGATTGACTCATGAACGACACCGTACAGGCAAGATTATCAGCGGAGACATGAAAGAAAGAGCTTTGGAGCTGATTGACGAAGGTTGGACAGTAGAGGATAGCAGACATCCTACACGTCGTTCGGGAGACCCTCCAAATTGCCATAGACGACATCCACGACTTTTCACTACCGAGACCCGAGAAATTGTGCCAGCTCATCACCGAATCTCCCACCTTCTTGACGAAATCCAACCGGCGCTTCACGACAACCTTCGTGACTTACAAGTAGTATGACCCTCGTGGCGGGAGCGTTTGACCTTTCCACGGTGTCGCCCGGGAGGCAGCCAATTGAATTGAATTGATGGTGAGTTTTTCTTTTTTCTTCATGATCTCATCTAAAAAGTGTTGCATCTAGGAGGGGGGCGGTCTGTCTTCCAGGTTCTTCGTTGGAGCGGTGTATCCGCGACTGTGTGCCTGCGTATCGCGAGCAAGGCAAAGTGATGATGAGCACTACGCTACGACAAAGCCCGAAGGACACTGAGTGGCTGACTAAGCTACGGTGCTACCCGGCTGCTATTCGGCCCCTCGCCTAGGGGTCCCCCACTCCATCGTATTCAAGCCAGCCTTGCTTGTCATCAAGCTCTCCTCCTTCCTCATCACTATCCGACGGTTCCATAGCGTTCCGCATTCCATACTTACAGAAACATAACATATGTAAGTCAGAAAAGGAAAGAAAACCCCACAAGCTTTTGATGCACATCTCTTGTTCTATTTTTGTCAACAAAGTGGCCTTTTGTGGCAGGTGTTGTTTTTCTCGATTTGCTCGATTCTTTGACTTTTCCGTATCTCTCCCAAGTTCTCGTCTCGAGGCTGGTTTCGCTGTTGACAGTCCCGGGAATCATGTTCAAGGCACACGGATGACTATATATAAGTACAAAATACGGTATACCGGTGCAAAACTTAATCAGTGGCACATGTGCTTACGCCTGAATGCTGAAAGGAAGGTCCAGATTGAGGTGCGATACAGGCCACACGTCGCTCAAGCTCTGCACAGGTTTCAAGAAGAGATTGCGAAACACGATGGCCTTGTCTCGTCAACCGCATCACAGACACAAAGATAAAAGGTCTGACAAAGGTCTCTTTGAAGGAAGGCAATTTCTTTGTTTTTGTAGGAGCAAACTGCCATATCATATCCTTCACTCGCACATTGGGTCACTGTGCGCCGCTCTCTTGTTTTGTGTGTTCTGTGGCTCGGATTCTTCCAACAACCTCCCGGCATTACATTCGTTTTTCAGACGTAGGCATAGAAAACATGGCACCGAAGCTCATCTCGTTCTCGGTCATCGCCATCTTTCTGCTGGCTTGCCGTTCGTATCTGAATTATCATCCGTACCACTTCCACTTGATTTAAACTTCGTTCAGTATCCCTTCTTGCGTGTGCAAGTCCAATCCCCATTATTCTTCCACCCAGTGAGGGTATCACTCTGTTCAAGGATGTCGTTGCGGTAAGCAATCTTTTTCGTATTTTGTGCGCTCTTGAATGAGAAGACCTGCAGCGTGAGGCTTTACCCGAAGTAGGGATATTGAAACGCGTGGCTGCTCCCGCGTTGGACCTCCATGTCTTGTCGCGAGACGAAGACACAGGACATACCACGGAACCCTCCATACTCGTCGATGATCCTGACAATGGACTGGAAGCACGCATATGTCGCTATGGATGTCTTTGATTTCATCCAGCGGGCGCATTCACATATTGCATATTGCATATGACTACTTCCTTGCTTACCTGCTATATCCGTTACTTACGGTAGTATCTGGAGATCTGGTGTCGTTTCACTGTCCGCTCATTTATTTCTCCCCTCTATCATCCCCCTATGTATTCTGGGTAGTCTATCCTTTGATTTCGTACTGACGGACTCTCGCTCGATGCGACTGAGAAATTCTATATATATATCTTTATCTTCGTTGCTAGCCTGTATAACCTTTAGCCTAGTGTACTTTGAATGTACTAGACTCTCTAATATGCCTCTGTGCAGACCACGGGTTGCTGGATGGGCATGACTTGCCGAGATGTCCAAAATTCAAATCTGCCAGCAGCATGCAGAAACTTATTCGATTTATGGAGTGCGTCGTTAAAATTGCCTTCAACAGCTGACATGCTCTTCTGTGAGCTGCAGTCTGGAAAGTGAACACCAAGACAAAGTGTCGAGCGTGCGCGTGAAGCTCATCACCTATATAGTCGCTATCCTTGATCCCAAAAAGGCAGGTGCTGTAGATCAACCTGACGGATGCAAACCTTAGATTTCTGCTCACACCCATATACAGGGCTGTACAAGGGGACATCCAAATACGACGCGCCGCCGGTTTAATCGCGCCTTCATACCATATGGTTCTCGCCGGTTCTAATTTTCTCATCGCACAACAGATAAATTAAGAATCCAAGGGACACTGACGAACAAGCTAACGTCCCAATTTGGATTGAAGCTACCCCCCGAATGCGGTCGTTAGCTTTAGACCAACCTCCTTTGGCAAGGTCAAAGAGGTGAACTCATGCAAGGTAGTATAAAGACGTTACGAATAGACTGATCATGACTCGACAACCTTTTTGTGCACTCAGCTCTTATTGTTCTGAGCCCAGAATTCATCTTCCATTTATCGCTTTGGGTCTGACTCCTCAAACCTTCTTCCAAAAACCAACAGAACAATAAACCTCTCCCAAAAGCGCGATGTTTGCCAAGTTCACCCCCATCTACCTCGTTGCATGCTTTGCTGCTTTAGGTGGGTTTTATTTCCGGGTCCTGGCATATTTATCATGTTGACGCTTTATGACATAGCATTTGCATCACCTGTACCGGTCGCACTTCCTGAAGCTGTTTCCCTTGCTAACACGGAACTCCTTGCTGTGAGTCTTCCTGAATTTAACACCAAATGATCAGGTCGCTCATGAATTTTCGTTGTAGCGCGAGGCTCTGCCAGTTGCAGAAGCTTTTGTTGAACGCGAACCTACTCCTGAAGAGTTGGAAGACGTCGAGGCCAGGATATGCCGCTATGGCTGCCTGTGATCGAACCCCTGTTCCCACACCCACTTTTTGTATTATCAACGCCTCGCTATCCTTTCTACCGTCGCCTTCGTCGTGCGGTCCAGCTCGATGCGGACCGCAAACCCATTTTGTCATACCTAGCCGCTATTTTTTCTTCCCCGATGACCATTCCGGACAATATTCTGGATACCATTTTCTTACGCACATCACGAGTTTGATTTGTTAATTGGTGGAGTTCTGTAACTGTATTTTACTTGAGGGTCATAGATGCTGTATCGCTATCAAATTGTTTTCGTATGTTTCTATATAGAATGTCCACGTTGAACACATAGCTGCGGTGTGAAGTACCTGAGTCCTAATATGATCCTTGAAAAGAAGGAACGATTGTATTCATTCTTCCAAGGTGTCTGACTACGGGAGACTCTGATCGATCATGAAGGTTACGTATCACGTGACATTCCAGTGAATGTTGAACTCTCCGGAGTCCGCTGGACTTCCTTTGATGACTGCTTCCTCCATGATGGCGACTGCTGAAAGTCCAAACAACGTTGGCAGGTTTGAAAATTCAGTTGTGATGAAAGCAATGGCCTAATCTCACCTTTCCCTAGGCATCTTGATCTCTTGACTACTCTCCCAGACGTTATTTTGATCCATATTCTCCGTCTTGTTTTTGATCATACGAACCGATGCACTATCAACGCGCTCAGGATCAACCATCGCGTTTTCTCATTGGCAAAACCGATATTCCTCTCGACGATGATCTTACACTCGGAAGTTTCTGTTTTGCGCCTCATGCACCGTTGTATTGCCCCGAGTCAGGCAACTCTTACAGCTGCCGATAGAGAACACGTCAAGTGCATAGAAATCGATTTCTTACCATCATCTCAACGCCGGATTCTTTTGGCACCCAGCGTGCTCCGTGCTGCTACTGCTTTTCCAAACCTTCGCACTCTGAGGTTTCGCTTTAGCGTCGGGGTTCCGCTATCGTCGAACATGCCTACTCTAGAACTTCACCAGCAACTTGCCGCAGATATGGTCGCACACGCTCACTGGCTAAGAGTTGATTCGCCATTATTTAGTCTCTTATCGAGCCTCAATCCGCAGCGTTTTGAATGGATTTCTGAAGGTTCTTCTGGCCGATCGAAGTTAGCCCCATGCAGGAAGGAAACCGAAGCATCAGTTGCTCAACCGATTCGTGTTCTTGCTTTCCGTGGTGCTTTCCGTGCTCTTATCAAGCGCTGGGACAGCCTTACGCACGTGTATCTGGACGGCATCTGTCTACTTGCTAAATACTGCACATCGACCTTTCACCTTGCTCTCCTCGCAAAGCACATGCACATCAACGTAGACTCTTATGGCAACACCTTGTATCTTTTTTCGACATCTCCCCACGTGCTCTCGGGATCCCGCAAGTGCGAGAGTCTGGTGGTCGAGCGTCCTGGAGCGAAGGAAGACCGGGCTACTATCTGCAACGCCGTTCTTAGACCTGGAACGTTGCTTTCTTTTCGCGGCTTCTCGTCCGCTCAGTGCGCATCCTTCAAGCAGACGTTTCTTACCACAGACGACCAGCCATCTTTTGGGCCGGTACCACCAGAACAAGTTTTCCGAAGCGCCAGGGCCGGGGTCCGAGAGCTACGGAAGTTGAGCATTTCTCGGAAAAAATTGGCCACGAAAGATCGCGTCATCCGTACTTTAGCAACCGTCCCGTCTCGCGACAAGGCTACTACTGGCCCGTCTATGTCCGGAGATAGGAAAGCACACCCTACACTCACTTCTAGTGTCGCGACAGTCGACTTCATCACCATCATCAGCTGCTTATTTGGCGCCCTTATTGTTACTTCTCTAACCGTTTTGTCTGTGATGTCATTTCCTGCTCTCTACTATTTCGAGCGCCGTCGCGGTGCTGCCCCCGCCACTACCACCTCTGAGACCACCTCTACTCCTACCGCACGTCAGGACAAATCCCGGTCTAGGGTGTGTCGTCTACGCCAACACACAAATCTTTGTCGCAATAAGTATCCCACGCCATGAATATTTTTCTATTCTTCACACATAGATCCCTCTTCCTTGCATAATCCAGTTTTTCTATGAGTAGATTTGTAACTTTGAGCTGATGTAACTCCGTTGGGGGTTCGATCCGATCGAAGGCTTGGGTTAGCATGAAAGGTTGCTAATAACATATGCCTTCGATCGACTTTGAGATCTCAGGCGTGCGGGCCTCGGGGGTGAAGTCCACCCAATTCAAATTTTTATCCGTCACGGGAGTCTGTACTTTTAACAATGACCGACGAGAGCAAGGACGTGACGTCTGAGATCTGAGCCGACGATGTCAGTCAACCAACTACAGGCTTAGGAATCAGACGCAAATCATTCCATGTCGGCGATGGCAAGCCAGAAGCGTATATATACATATATGGTATATTTGAGAGCGCCAGCAGTGAGAACCAATGATAAACATGCAATAAAAAATTTGTATGTCAGTACACAGCAACGCTATGTAGATGGGACTCCCAAGGTCCTTTGTCACTAAAGCACCGCAAGCAAGGATGTCGGTCTCCACATTCTAGAGCTTTGCACGAGGTATCAGCTGTCCCTCCGCAACCTCCGTCTTCGCGCGCTCGCGAAGTTCGCGACGAAGGATCTTCCCAGCAGCACTATCAAAATCGCTTCAATCAGCCAGACAACACAATAACGAGACGGCGGTGTTAGCGGACCTTTTCGGCACCTTGTCGATGATGATAACTCCTCCTCTTAACCGTTTGTGTGGCGCGACACGCCGTGAAACCCAGTCTTGGACGCCTAGTGCGAATGAAGACGTTTCTTGAGAGGAAAGCGTGCGTGAGGGGACAATATATGCGCTGAGTGAAGATATGTTAGATGGGTTCACGAGAGAACGGGGTTCATGGGCTCACCGAGGCAATTCTGTTGCTTCTTCCTTGCTCTCAATCCCAATTACAGCCGCGTCCGCGACTTCGGCGTGTTGTAACAGCACTGACTCCAGCTCGGCGGGAGGAACTGAAGTGTGGGTTTATCAGTTGGAAAATCTCACTAAAGAATTGCATATACAGCTCACCTTGGAAGCCCTGCATGACTGAATGAGAAGTGTCAACAAGATACGTTGCAGCAATAGATTTACCTTGTATTTAATCAACTCTTTTCTCCGGTCCACGATCGTGAAGAACCCATCCTTGTCTCGCACAGCAATGTCACCAGTCTTGAACCACCCATCAGGCGTAATAGCTGCAGCAGTTGCAGTGGGATTGTTCAGGTATCCCTGATGTAAAGCGCGTGATTAGACCAATTTGAAGCATATTGTCATGCGGAGTACCTTCATGATCGTCGGCCCTCTCACCCATAACTCACCCGCACCTGGAATATCCGTATGCGCCTGGAGAATTCATCAATATGCTGACCTAGATGAACACACGGACCCAGGATTACTCACTTCGCCCTCAGATTCGACAACCAGTCTGAGCTCCAAGTTTGGGAGCAGTACTCCCGCACATCCCACATGACTACTGGCGTCGGGAATAGGAAGGAGGAATACCGTTGGTGAGGTTTCTGTGAGACCATAGCCTATGCAAATATTAGACCCAGCACTCCCAAGAGCTAGACGGAAGTGAAGAAAACACACCTTGTGGGATAGTCACATTCGCGCCAAAGCTTTTCATGCGCTTCATCACGGTTGAGACAAGCTCCGCGCCGAGGGGTGCGGCGCCTGAGAAAAGAATCTCGAGGGAGGTGAGATCATGTTTCTGGATAGCTGAAGGTACGTTTGTGTCAGAACTGAGCTAAATAATAGGGGTGAAGTATATGCGAACACAATGGAAAGAAAGTTACGTTTATGAAGAGCAGGTCAATATATGCGCGTCATACCGAAAGTCGAGATAGATTGTGGGGTAGGAAAATATAAGGAAGACCTGCCTGGGTGTCTCGCAAATACGACTAACATCGGAGGAACTACGAAACCAACCGTCACGCGGTACCTTGCGATTGCAGCGCAGAAGCCGTCAGGGTCGAACCCTGCCATGACAACAGATGGTGCACCTAAAAATAACGGCATATGAAGAAGCTTGACACCGCCATAAATGTGATAGTATGGCAGACACCCAAAGAGAACATCGACACCGCCCTGATCAGGAATGGATGGAGTAAGGCATGGTTTAGATGTGGGCCAGACAGGCTTGAGTATCTCGAGGACAGAGGTGAGATTATAATGCGTAGTCTCGACACCCTTTGGTTGGCCGGTCGTACCAGAGGAGTAGCAGAGATATACAGTTTCGTTTGAGCGTTCGCCGTCGAAACTGACTTCTTCTTTGAGCTCTCCACGTTCAAGGAGTTGAGATATTGTCACTAGGTCTTTTAGCTCGGCATCTGGAACGGAGGCGTCTTTGACACCTGTGATCCATTGAGCTCCAGCCACGACGATACGGCTCCGTATTTCCTGCTCGGAGCATCCAAGGGATCTTAGCATGGTTCGGGCTGTCCCAACCAGCGAAGGGTGGGCAAATACAAGATGAGCTCCTGCATCAATGTATTGATACTTTAGTTCATTTGGAGTGTATGCGCTGTTTGCAAGCGTTGCACAAAAGCCAGCGGCCACTGCACCAAACATCATGACAGGCCATGTGATTGAATTGGGAGAGAAAATGAGGATTGTCTTGGTGCGGTTCTCTAGCGGTTCAGGAAGATTGTGAAAGGAGAATGCTAACTGGAGAGCATATAAGCGAAGTGTTCCGCGAGAAATAGTTGCACCAGAAAGGGCATCAATGAATGCGGGGGATGACGCAGGGAAGCCACCAACTGTGCCCGGGGAAGACGGAGAAACACCAAGAAGATGAGTGAAGATAGAACGTCGACAAAGGGGAACAGACGGGTAAGACGACGTGTAAATGATGTCCGTCATCGTGTCGCTCGTTGTGCTCAAGTGGGAGGGAAAAGGTAGAATGCTGTACTCATGTCTCAGTTGGCAAGGTCCGTAAATAAAGCTAGTCGCAACCCATTTTAGACAGCAGGCAGTGATAACGTTCTTTTACGACACTCGGCATGCATCCCCATGATCATCATTCCCCATGGACGTGGGGAACAGTCACTCAAGCGTCGGCAACCGTAAGGCTCCGTGAGGCCATGTTACTTATTTGTGACAGGGTCGTTCGCCAACTTCCTGCAGTCGGTTACTAGTGCGAGTTGACAATGACGAGCCTGTAAAAGCTTTAGAAGGAACGACTGTCTGATCTTGCCCCACAGGTCCCGTAATGATTGTCATTAATCGACACTATGTATCCGATATTGTCGGTGACCCTGCATACTTCTGATCCCTTTTTAAGAGGAATCAAAACTCTGTACTTAATAACTATGGCGCAAGGATGCCGCATCGGGTGCGTATACTGCTCTGTACTAGGGCGTCTAGATCACCAATGATTTCATTTGCTCTTCTTAGCATTGTTACATTGCACAAGAGCGTCCGATTGGTGCAAAGCTCAATCATAGCGCCCAGACGTACATATCCAGCAAGATTCTTCAAAGAACAAAATCAGCAAGTCTGATGAAATTGTCGCGATGCCGGCGCCCATATGTACGTTGCGAGCCATTGGTAAGTGGAATAGGCCCGACCACGATATCATATACATGCACTATCTAATTAATATTTTCACATAAGTGACCATCTCACAATTTACTCTGCATCTCGGGGACCAGATCCTTTCCCTTGCCATCGCGAAGGAAGTCTCTCAAGTTAGTTAATGCGCGAACCTCCATATGACGTTGGGAATCCTGGTTCTCTGTCCCCATATGGGGTAGGAGGCAGTTTTGCGGGAATTCGAGCAAACGCGGATTCACGAACGGCTCATTTGGGTACACGTCTATACCGACAGACGAAAGCTGTGGATCCGGTCGCAATTTTTGTTTAACAAACAGTTCGAAAAAGAAAAAGAAACTCTGACGCACATGACCATCTTCGAGAGCACGGATCATTGCCTCCTCGTCAACGACCTTTCCACGCGCAGTATTAACTATGATGCTGCCCTTCTTCATCGCCCGAATCTCTTTCTCGCCTATCAGGTGAACTGTCTCCTCACGCAAAGGGACGTGCAGGCTCAGAACGTCACTTTCTCGGCAGAGCCCTTCCACGCTGTCAATGTACTCGCACCACTCTGGTGCATCGGCAATCTTCCTCCTTGAGTGATAGATAACACGCATGGGGAATGCGTGGACTAAATGAGCAAGTCGAAGGCCAATACCGCCAAGGCCCAAGATACCCAGCGTCCGTCCCGTGACGTCATGAGCACGCCCAGAATCGAGCACCGTTTTCCACGTCCCTTTGCGAAGGGATTGTTCGGCCCAAGCGTACTCTCTGAGGCAAGAAATGACCAGGTACAGCGCCGTTGTGGCAGTTGCGTCATCAACAGCACCAGGGGTGTTGGACACGCTGATGCCTAGATCAAGATGTAAGCGCACGAAACGTAACCGACGGCAGACTTTGACAGATGCAACGGATAAAAATATTTGCCTTTTTCTGCGCATCGAATGACATCGATTTGATCGTACCCTGCACCGTTATGTGCGATCCACTTGACGGTGCCCATCTCAGCCAGAGCATCGATGATCTCTTTGTCAAAAATGCCCATACGGTCTGCAGAGGTGTTGTGCCGGTATATGCCCACAATTCCTTCATACTTTCCCCCAGGTTTCAGTCCTGCGAGGAAATCTGCGCGATCTGGAGAATCCATAGACTGGAACATGTATTAGATATGAATAATTCTCAATCTAGGAAGCAAACGTACGACCACATCTGCGAGTCCGTCAAAGAGTTGTTTGGCATCTTCATGAGCCCAAACAAGGTTTCCTACAAGTCCAAATCCTGTAGGTATATAAAATTGCGACCGCGATGAGTCAGGACTCACCACAAATCATTATGCGAGGGCGGCCAGAAGACATCTTGCAGGATATGGGGATATGGGGATATGAGGGGGAGCCTTCCAGGGAATAACGGGTGTCCTTGTTCGAGGATAGACTGGAACTTAAAACCTTTCATTTTATAGCGAAAATGAAAGCTGTCAACTGATCAGTGATGATGAGGAGGTGATTCGGGACAGCGGGCCGGTCGCCGAATGCCCGTTTTGTTGTCTTATCTTAATGTCATCTGCCAGTGAATCCCCTTATCATATGCCAAATCACTATCCGAAGATCGGTGCTGGCTAGCAAGTTTGTATGAGATACGAATAATAACCCTACTCAATAACAGTTTCCAAATCACACTCAGCTTACTCCGAACACTTAACGCATGGAATAAACTGGCAAATAAACTGGCACTCAATAACGCTGTCAGTTTATTTTTCTTCGCTTGTCATTCAAACACGAAACAAATAAACTGTTATTGAGTAGGGTTAATATTACTGCAGCTCAGGGACAAGATCTCGTCCTGTGCCACTCGTCAAGAAATCCCTGAGATTTGTCAACGCGCGGATCTCCATCTTCTTCTCGCTATCTCTCGTGCGCGTACCCACGTGCGGTAGTAAGGTGTTCTGAGGAAAATCAAGCAACCTTGGGTTCACATTAGGCTCATCATAGAACACGTCCAACCCGACAGACGAAAGCTGGAAAATCATTTCAGCACACCCAGGTAAAATAAAGACTAGTGCAACTCATACGTGGCCGTCATCCAGTGCCCGTAGCAGCGCTTCTTCATCAACGACCTTTCCCCGCGCCGTATTGACCAAAATGCTACCACGCTTCATAGCACGGATCTGCTTCTCACCAACAAGGTTGACTGTGTCTGACCGGAGAGGAACGTGCACGCTTAGCACATCCACCTGTGCGCAAAGTTCGTCCATGCTGTCGACATACTCGCACCATTCTGGGGCTTCTGGGTTCCTGGAACGCGAATAGTACAACACTCGCATAGGGAATGCATGGACGAGGTATGCGAGGCGAAGTCCGATTCCCCCGAGTCCAAGAATGCCGATTGTGTGACCCGTAAGGTTGTGAGCGCCGCCAGAAGATATTGGGTATTTCCACTCTCCAGCCCTCAAACATCGCTGGGCGAGGGAGAAATGCCGCATGCATGAGATCACTAAATAGAATGCTGTTGTCGCTGTCGCGTCATCCACTGCGCCAGGCGTAGTTGGAGACACAGATTCCTGAGTGAAGTAGATGAAAGGTTGAGTAGAGTTTCAAGTAAGCCTGAGGCGCGCCTCCTTTACCTTTGGCCTTGCAAGCTCTTACATCGACGAGATCATACCCAGCTCCGTTGTGTGCAATCCACTTGACACTGGACGGAAATTGTTCGATGAGATCGGCATCATATATGCCGATCCGCGCGGCGGATATGTTACGCCTGTATATACCAACTGTGCCTTCGTATGGACCGCCAGGCTCGAAGCGCGCCAAAAATTCTGTGCGATTGGGTGCATCGTCTACCTGTTAGATGTTTAATAGGTCATCAATCGTTCGAAGTTGAGCATTGATATCGCCTCTTACAATTACTTCGGCGAGGTTCTTGAACAATTGGTCCACCTCCTCGTGTGTCCACCTCGGACTACCTAGATAGTAGACAAGTGTCAACACAGCAATATACTCAAGGTGATAATCGTACCGCATATCATAATTCGTGGTAGCTTCGCCATCACCGCTGACAATGTAGAAATATTGTGTGGATAACTGTACTTCAGCCATCGATATAAGTAAAGAGATCCAGATGGTCTGGTGACCAGGCATTCTCGAATTAGTTCACGCTAGCGCGCTGCTTATCGGCCCCCCGGAAGAGTCAAGCGCGCCGGTCATGCAATGAAATGAGGTAAACGTAAGAGTAGTAAGTATACTAATACACAGATAAAAGAGGATATGAAGAGAACGATACAGGTAAAATGGTAAACGGAATTGACTGGCTACAAATATTAGTACAGTACTTAAGTAGGAGGTGGTAGAATATGAAGACAACATACTAGGCTGAAAAACTCATCAAAAACAAATATCAAACGTGGCCTCGAAATTTACTCACTAGCTGCCCGAGACACCTCTGCTTCGAAAACTTTCATCTCAAACGCCTTCTTGAAGGGCTCGAATAATTTACCGGGAACGGCAAACACAACTTCTTCGAACGAGTCTTTGAACGCCGCGCGCGGGACAGTCGTCTTCCCATCTTCACGCTTCTCTTCGCCTTCCCCGCACATGAGGAGCCCTGCCCAGATCTCCGCGACCATTTCAACTTTGTTCTCGTTGGAACCACACCCGAATACACCAAGGACGAGAGCCCGGTCGCCACGCGCTTCAAAGATGCGAAGTGCCCTTGCCATGCGGTCCCGCATCTTGTCACGTATGCCGTCCTCAAAGATGTGGGCATCCGATGGAGTGATGCTGTAGTTCTGGCGTATTGCGGCTGCGTTAACAGGCACAGCGGAGAGAACATTAATAAGATAAGGGGGGATGAAGTCATTTGACGGCGCAGTCGTGAGCGGAGATGTGTCATCGCTATCATCTTGGCGAAAGGTGACAACACCTGGGCTGTACACCATGGAATGATCATAAATACCAGCCCCGTCGACACTGAGAAACTTCCTGTGGGTGATGTAGAATTGCTTGGCTGGGTCGGCCTGGAGACTAGCTACAAGTGATGAAGACCTAGCGAGGGCCTCTTCTTGCTCATTACCGCCGTGTAGATAGCCTCCGCCAGGACGTTTGGGAGATGCAAAGGAAAGCACCCCAATTGATGTAGTAGAGAGCGTATATGGCGAACTACGAGTAAGGTCTGGTCTCCGCTCGTGCAGTTGCCGAGTGGCCGTAAGCGTAGGGCTGGCAACAAACGAAATGCTAGTTGGCTTGGTTCGGAAAGGCGGAACCGCAGTGGGATTGCGCCAGTCAGCCAAAGATGGCAAGCAATGAGGGAAGAACGTTGTTCCCTGCTTGCTCAAAATGATCTGCGATGATATGTCATGCATGACATGCGTCGTGGTCATGGCGTGCTGTCCTGGAGAATGAGAAAGGTTCATTTGTGACAAGGCGTGATCAAGGCAAGGAACAGGTGGAGAGACATGGGTAGGGGGGATGATACGTGAGACAGATGTGGAAGAAAGTTTCTCTTCGACGTACTTGCCATCCCCAAGAACAATTCGTTGCGTTTCGCGAGCAGCTTGAGCCCAGCGTTCACGCCTTGACTTTTGGACCACAAAAGCAAGCCGCCTCCGCTCGCGTTTGAAATGTTCTTGCTTCAAGTGCCGTCGTTTAGATTCCAAAGATGGGCCCGCAGATTGCTTGATGGCGGTAACAGAACGCATCGGAGTGCTTGATCGTGTCTTCGATGCTGCGAGCTTGCGATTAGCCTGACGAGCCATGGATCTGTGAATAGGTTTTTGGTGCTGTTCGTGTTTGTCGTACTTGGTTGTAGAAAGAAAGCTCCAAGCGTGTCGCGCTCGTCATAAGCCAATGTTTGTAACTGTTTGTTTATCTTCTTCTGTTATTGTGCACTGCTTTGGCCTGATCGCAGCTGCCAGTGACTCTCTGTGTCCACAGCTGTGGTGGCAGTAAACTCAGTTCTAGCCCTATCACCAGCAAATTCCTGGCTCTCAAGCCCACTCAGCCAAATTGGGTCGTGAGTAAGGATCATTGGGTCTTTTACTAACCAACTTGCTAACAAGTAGTAGCTGGAAGTCAGTTTCCACACCACTCATGTGAATGTATGTTTTTTGGTACACTGCTCCCTTGAAGGTTCACGGCCTGGAAGACGAAGAAGCGTACCTTGGGAAGTTTCATTATCATTGATCAAAGTGTCGATATTTTCTTCGAAGCAGTCTGCTTAACCAATTACAAGCCACATTGCTTGGGCGGGTCCCGAACGCCACACTCTTTCTAGGCCGCCGTCTTAATGGAATGACACTTGATACTCGTCAAAATGTAGCGTCTCATATCTCAGGCCCTATCTCTCCCAAATCGTTTCATGATTAACTATCTAGAGCGATTGAGGCTACGTGAATCGAGAAGTTAATAGCACAGATCCGACGGTAAGAGTGGAGTCGGTCGCACTTTCTTCAATCCTCGCATCATCCCGAACGATGAGAGGAGCGTGGCAGCCATGGTTGCCATTCTCAAGCCACGATCGTGCCTTCTCCTCGGGTTGATCATGACTCCTTTTCATAGCCTGCCAGTAATATGACAATCTAGGCTCCCTTTCGGATGTTCCTGGCATCTTTTCATAGCCTGCTCACATTCTATCGATTTGGGCTCCCTCTTCTCTCCATCGTTTGCGAAGCAGTTGATCGTGAGATGCCAACAACGAGGCCCCTGGATCTTCTGACCTGCCTGGACAGAATTGAGGTACCAAGATGCCTGCTGCTCAAGACTTTTCAAGAGAATCAGACTTACGAAACGACTTGATTTAATTTGTTGCGGCTCCGATCAAGAAGTGTCATGTGAGGTCATCATATACTATTCAAATTTGTGGGGTAACAACCAATCGCAGATCATTGAATAGCATGGGGATGTGCTGCCATCGTGTGCATGCCTTGATGATCACGTTCTCTACCTCTTTCGTTCGTACGGGCCTCCGTGCCGACATTTTACAAGAATAGGAAGCGAGCTCCAGCTGATATGGCGTGTAATCCAATACCTTGCATCCATTTGCTAATTCCGCTCTGTCGCTGACAGCGACATTGCCAAATCTGAAAAGTTACTACATCGGTCGAACAGTTGGTGTGAATAAGTAATTGACCGCCAGTGGAAGAGACGCCCCGGCTATTCGTTGTGACTGGCTTCATGTCATGTGCTATTCATTGGCCCCATGTTATGGGCTATCGACTGGCCGCTGTGTCATGTCATGTGCTATTGACACCATATCGCTGAGGAGTCGGTTGTGTGCATTGTCTTCATCCTACCACCACCATGCCCAACAGTGTGGAGGGGGAAAAAAGAGACTCATACGATGAGGATGTCAACATCGTCGCCACAGAAGATAATCAACACATCCTGCACTCCGAGATACGCCAGGCTGCTGAAAGGAGGCTTGTGCGGAAACTCGATTTCCGCTTGCTGCCAACAATCGTAATTATATTCATCATGAACTACATCGATGTGAGTGCGATTTTTTGTTTAGTATCGAAGACGCTGACAGATAGTTTGAATAGCGTGTCGCGATAACATCTGCTAGACTGAAAGGTCTAGAGACGGACCTCGGATTGACTGGTCTGTATCAGTGTATCTTGTTTTTCGGCTAATCTACATTACATTCTTTTCCCCCTCAGACATCCAGTACGACACAGTCGTCGCGATCTTATATGCCTCTTATTGTCCAGCACAGGTACGTGCACAAGTGTGATTGAATGTCTGGAAAACTCATTTTGATGTTCTCTAGATCCCGTCCAACATGGTAAGCCTGATGGTAATTTCAGAGCATCCGGCACTCGATTGATGACTGCCATCTTAATAAGCTTCTCAATTATGTAACCAGGTCCGTATTCCTGAATCAATCTGCTGATTTCCCCTCCAATTGAGACATATCAGACCGTCCTTCTACATTGGTACTTGCGTAGTGCTATGGGGACTAACAAGTGCTCTGACTGGGGTCAGTGATCCATACCGCATGTTTCTTTCATAGACCTCAATTGTCTCTGTAGGTGACACACAACTTCGCCAGCATCATCGCCTGTCGGATATGCATCGGTCTACCGGAGGTATGCAACTTTCAAGGATACTCCTCCTGCGTATCTCAATGTCAGTTTTGACTAGGCGGCTTTTTATCCGGGTGCCATGTATCTACTTTCTCGATGGTACACTCGAAAGGTAAAGAAATGATCTTTTTCGCATGTACCCGTTGGTTAATTTATGTGTCTCAGGAATTGGCATTTAGGTCTGCTATCTTGTACTCAGGACTTTTGGTATCGAATGCCTTTGGCAGTGTACGTTTTTTCTGCTTTTTTTTTTGATTCTACATAATCATGTGGTCATTAGTTGATCGCTGCAGGCATACTTGGCAATATGCAAGGCAAATTAGGCATTGCGGCATGGAGATGGTTTGCGATCTTATTATGCAGTATTATCTCCAATCTTTACTCCATAAACACAGGCTCTTTTACATCGAAGGTGCCATTACAATATTCATTGGGTTCCAAGCCATGTACGTGATCTCACCATTGCAAAACCGCAACGACCTTACTTCTTTTGTGATACAGGTGGCTACTCCCTGATTATGTATGGACTTATCGCAACCTTGATAGTTCAATGTTGATTTTGCTTGTCAGCCGAACAACACTCGGTGGTTGACGCCAGCGGAGCGCCGATTGGCACAGGTGCGTCTGGCAGAGGATGCCGGCGAAGCCGATCAAGACTCTGCAGAAGCTTCGTATGCACCCTTCAGTATAATGCATGGCAGGCTACTTAATGTCCTCTAGGGTATTCGAAGGATTCATGATGGCCATCAAAGATCCCAAGGTTCCAATTTTCATGCTTATGTGCTGTGCACAGTTGCTGGGTTTGAGCTTCGTCAACTTCTTCCCAACGTAAGCAAACCATATCGTGTCTGCTCGAATAAATTCATGAATGTCTTCAGCCTTACGGGCACCCTCGGATATTCGACGACTGCGACTCTTCTAATGTCTGCGTAAGTTGCTTGTTACTCGCTTGATGGGCACTTTTAATGTCTATCTCTCTAGTCCTCCGTGGATCTTTGCCGCTATCTGCACCCTCGTCGGAGCTTGGCATGCTGGTAATTAACTTAAGATTGCCTTGGAACCCTCTAATTCAAAGTGTCTTTTACGCCTGACAGATAGGACAGGGGAGCGCTTTTTCCATCAAACGGGTTGGTGGTGGGTGGTTATGGTTGGCTATATCATTTCTCTGTCGACTATGGCAACTGCCGGGAGGTATTTCTCTATGTTTCTGATGACCACCGGGTACTGCGGTATGTTCCATTTGTCCAAAATAGCCGCATCGGTCTGAATTCTGTCTCGCCAGGATTTACTCTAACATTGGTCTGGGTGGCCAATGCAATTCCACGACCACCTGCAAAACGGTCAGTTGCAATGGGTCTGGTCAACGGTTTTGGTAACTTGGGAAACTTGTAAGCGCTGTGCTGATTTCGGTTCGCACACTGATTGTCGTCATTCTCAGAATGGGATCGTATATCTGGAAGGCAAACTGGAGTCCAAAATACCATCAATCTATGATTATTGCGTTGTGCTCCCTTGCGCTGGCAAGTCTTCTTAGTTTTGGTAAGTCCTACAAATCGTGACATCTCTTTCCACGTTGTTCAACTTTTGTACAGTGATCCGTTTCATGTTAGTCCGCGAAAACAAACGGATGGAACGAGAGGAGATGGATCTGATGCACGGTCCTGAACGTCAACGAATTGAAGAAGCTGCTAAACTGGAAGGAGTTACATTTGAAGAGGCAATCGAGCGTCGGAAAGGCTTCCGCTATCTGTACTAGTAAGATTTCATAGTATGTAGTCGTACTTAGTTCTAAGTACTGCGATGAGATATTTTGAACTCCGATGACAGCAGTTTCGGTTCCATAAATGTTCAACGTTTCAGGGTTCAATGAAATTCCAACATTCAATGCACACGCGGGTCCTAAGTTACTATCTGTTGTTTATCAATCGATGAACCCACATGAGAGGCCCCATGACGCGATTGGTCTTTTGGTTCAAGCAACTTGTGGTGCCAACATCTGAGGGACCCAGTTCGTCGTCCGCCGGGACGCAGCACCTGTCCAGGTGAATTACCCTCCTGACCTACTAGGAGTCTGATCGTCCGTTCACATAAAGGTCTTGAGGTGTCAACCCCGCAAGGGCAGGCACGTATTGAAACTCAGGTCCACGTACTGTAAGTGACCCAGCCGGCGGGGCGCACATTGTCATTTCTGGCATACTGTAACAGTGAAATCCCTGTAGACGTGGCATGCATAAAATTATGCGAAACACAGGCTATGTGTCATCCAATCTTCTCACATGAAGTACATTGACCCAACATACCTCCTCACTCGATCACACGACCCTTGGGGAGATTCTCCGGTAAGCACCTCGAAGCGGCTTTCGGAAAGAATGCTTTCGCCGGTCGATCCGAGGTGTTCCTGCCTCCGTGTGGGGAAACGTGAGTGCTTTCCACCTTGAAATGAATGAACATGGGCCATCATATCGTCATGCAGGCGACGATTGAACTGACGATTTGCACCACGAATGCCATTCCATTAGTCTTCAAAGCGACATGACTGCAGATATTTCCAAGACGAATCGACCCTCTCCAAACTGTACGTCATGTCAGTCGGTCCGCTCCCCACTATGGTATAAATAGACACAATGTCGGTGATCAATCTTTGTTCATGTCAATAGAAGCTGACACCGGGCCACGGAATTGGTCAAATGCTGCCACCATTCGCCATAATTAATAACCCTCTGTATTCTGGTTGCCTTCCGGATCTGCTTTTGGAGCAACATGCCCGGGCTCACTAAGTTCACGCGATAACGCCTCCAGTGACTTTGGTATAAAAGCCATCCGTTGGGATGCTTGAATCAGTGTGCTAAGTTGAGCTTAGCATTTCACTGCTCTTGCTTGCCCCACATGTCCATCGACGAGGAGAAGAAATCAGAATCCTTCACAGAAAATGTGGCTGTGGTGTCGAATAACGCTGATGACTCCATGCTGTTGACATTGGACGCCAGAAAAGCGGGAGAGCGGGCACTGGTGCGCAAATTAGATCGCCGGCTGATGCCCACTGCTGTGATCATATACCTCTTGAACTACATCGACGTATGCAACCATTCGTCTATGATTTCAGTGTGCTCACGTGTATGCGTAGCGTGTCGCCATTACTGCTGCACGGCTGCAGGGTTTAGAGGCAGACCTCGGTTTGTCAAGTGAGTGAAGTTGACAGTTGACGGCCGTACTATTCATGCTTACTCGATCAAATAGCCGTTCAGTATGAAACTATTCTGGCTATTCTCTATGTAACGTATTGCCCGGCACAAGTGAGGAAAACTTCTGAACAAATTATGCAATCTCACTCATAAAATCATATGTGCGACTAGATACCCTCGAATATGGTTTGTTAACGTGCTGTTGTTAATGGATGAAAGACTGACGCACTGTCTACAGATTTTGAGTTATATTTCACGGTTTGTTGTGATTGCAAACATTTTGCTCTAGTCAATACTAAGGAGACGTGACTCAGACCATCACTTTATATCGGGGCCTGCGTTGTTGGATGGGGTCTTACAAGTGCTTTAACTGGGGTAAGCCTTGTTGGAAGTCGCGACTTGTGCTTACTAACCGCCGCACAGGCCACAACGAACTTTGCGGGCATCATGGCTTGTCGTGTATTCATTGGTCTTCCCGAGGTAAATTTGTCCTTTTTTTATAAACACGTGGGAGTTCAACAAGTATGACTTTCCTCAGGCTGCATTTTATCCTGGAGTCATGTATCTACTCTCGCGGTGGTATACCAGCAAGGTGAGCATCCGGTTTCTAGAAACAAAATAAATGGCCACTCATGTAACACATGCAGGAGCTTGCCGTGAGGTCGGCCTGGTTCTATGTTGGGCTTCTAATCTCGAATGCATTCGGAAGTGTGAGCTTTCTATCGTCACGGTGGACTACAGCACCTGCTAACTATTCATATTAGTTAATTGCAGCTGGAATTCTTGCAAATATGCAAGGCAAACTGGGACTTTCAGCCTGGAGATGGTAGGATAAAATCTCTATTCTCAAGAGCAGTGCCCTGACCGCAGTGTCGTGTCGCAGGTTGTTCTTCATAGAGGTATATATTACTTCACTCCTGGATCTTGTGATCTGATCGGCGGCGTAGGGAGCTATTACCATGACCTTTGGCTTCTTGACCATGTGCGCATCTCCGTGCTTCTATTCTTACTCAAAGTTGACAGCTGCGGTTCCATCCAGGTGGCTTCTTCCAGATTTTGTAAGCAGTCCATTTTTAGAACGAATTTCGGAAGATCTGACATCACATCACACAGCCTCATAACACTCGATGGCTTAACGCAGCAGAGCGCCGCTTGGCTCAAGTTCGTCTCGCCGAAGATGCAGGAGAGGCCGATAAGGATGCCGATGACCTCACGTATGTCCAACTCGAGTTCCGTCCTTTCCCATCACTAACAAGGCACTGACCCATATCACTCTCGTTAATTGGCACATCGCTCTTGTGTTACAGCATTTACGATGGCTTGGTGCTGGCTATCAAGGATCCAAAGACCATCATTTTCATGTTCATGAGCTGCTCGCAACTTCTGGGCCTGAGTTACATCAACTTCTTCCCCACGTAAGTATGCAGATACTCTTGAATAAATTGCGCTAACATCAAGCGGGATAGCTTGACTGCTACGCTTGGTTTCAACAATACAATTACATTTTTGATGGCGGCGTAAGCGTGCTATTGTTACATTCACAATTGTGGCTCACCGTCATTTGATCACTAGTCCTCCATGGGTATTGGCGTCAGCCTGTTGCGTACTCAACGCATGGCATGCAGGTAAATATGATTCGAATGCAACACAGTCATTTTGACAGAATGAATAGATAGGACTGGGGAGCGTTTCTTCCACATCGCTAGCTGGTGGTGGGTGGTCATCATCGGATACATCGTCTCGCTATGCACCATGGCTACGGGCGGGCGATATTTTTCCTTGTTCCTCATGACCACTGGGTATTGTGGTAAGTGCTTGTTGGAAAGCTGAACGCAGGGGTTAACACGTTTCCGAAAGGATTTGCCTTGACATTGACCTGGGTTTCAAACGCCATTCCTCGTCCTCCAGCAAAACGCTCTGTAGCTATGGGACTTGTCAATGGGTTTGGAAACCTCGGTAACATGTGAGGTCTCTATGTTCAGTGAAACATCGGGTTGCTTACATGTCTTAACAGGATGGGCTCATACGTCTGGAATGCCGCATGGGGTCCTGAGTACCATCAATCCATGATTATAGCATTGTGCAGTCTCGTTTTTTCCACATTCCTGGGCTTGCGTGAGTAAAATCACAACTTGACCATTTTGATGTACTCAAGTATCGATAGTAATGCGGTGGATATTAATCAAGGAGAATAAGAAAATGGATATGGATGAGAAGCAAATAATGGAAGGCCCTGGACGCGAACGTATTGAGGAGGCTGCTAGATTGGAAGGAATTTCATTCGAAGAGGCTATGAAAAGAAGGAAGGGCTTCAGGTATCTGACTTGATCTTTCACGTACGACAGATCTGCTATGATAGAAGTGGACTCCCGTAACTTGGACCTTGTACTCCACCTGATTTAGAAATCGAAGTCGACTGCAAGAGCTTGAAATTGGACTAGCGCTTTCAGGTTGAATCCAGACAACCGGGTGTATTTCAGTGTATTTCACGTGGTCGCGGTTCTCTGCGCACCGGGCCATTCGAGCAAACGTACAAACTCAAATCGGCGACGAGGTGGTGACAAACAAAATTACAACAGTGTATGTAATTACTTATACCCGATTGCCATTTTCCTCATACCGTTCTGAGCGAGGAGAAGGATACCTACAGTCATTGAATCCCATATTTAGTTGTGCACTGCTGCTCGTAGGCCATCACGAAAGGGGGGAGGGTCGTGATGGCGAGGGTGTCAAGCGAATGCGGGGAAGATGAAAGTACATCAATAGTGTACGACAGACTCAGACAGAGATGTACTAGTGTGTGATAAAATGAATAGTTGATCTCTCACGTACAAACGGAAACTGCTCAGAGATCTGTGGTCTCCGGGGAGGATACATATAGCTACAATATTTCTAGAGTCCTGACTCTGGCCATCATGCTGTGAACAGAGGCCACGTCGTTCACCTGTGCAATGATATCATGATCCGATGCAATCCTTTTGTATTCTCCACCGCGCTGCTGCGCCAGCAAAAATGCGCCAAACGGCTGCCCAAGGCGAACCATCAATCGCAATGCTCGTGAATGAGAGTCCGAATCACCCAGTTCATGTTCCACAGGAGAACCGCCTGGCGAGTCGTCCAATGGAAACTCCGACTCGGACCAATCTCCCAAGCTTTCCGCGTCATCTGCAATGGAAGGCAGCTCTTCGAAGTCAGGTTGCCCGAGGAGGCGGCGGTCCCATGGACGGGCAAGGAAGAATGTCTGTCGAGCGGGCCTTGCATGCGAGAACTGGATCAGCTTCTCTTCTGTGGTAATCAAGAGGTTGCGAAGCCCATCTGCCTTGACTCCATACGTAAAACGAGTCTCGTAGGCAGGGCTACGCGTCCGTCTGAGTTCCGTGACACGGAATGCGATACAAGGCAGATGCAGTCTGCAGTTCGCGAAACGAGGAGCGCTCATATTTTCAAGCTCGTCATAAAGATTTGAAGCCAACTCGGCGGCCACGGTATTGTGCAGCAAAGAGATCTCTGTCTGCATTTCGTCTTCAGACAAAGATGGGAGGGCGCACGGTGGAGCTGCATATGAAGAAATGTCTGCGGGAAGACAACTATTGAACATGGATGGTTGTCCGACCCAGTCGAGGGCAGTAATGTCACCCGACCGAGCCACAATCTCCTGCAGGAGTCGCCCAAGCGCATTTTGCTTATTCTCGCCATAATGGATAGGAAGTCGGACGCCGAAGATCCCAAACAATGAGTATGCAATGTCTTCCGGCCTAGTGGTGGCGCGCGTGGACGCCCATTGAAGTTTCTCTCGGGTGTTTCTCATCCCCGGTTGAAACGCGACGAGGACGCGTGCATCTATGCCCGTCGCATCCTCCAACTCATCCATGATCTTGACAGACTTCTTGTGGTTGGGGGACTCGTCATTGAGATACAAAGTCCAATCCTGTTGGTAGAAACGAATGACTTTAGGAGCTAGGAACTCCGGGACGGTCCATCCTCGGGTGTTCCAAGCGCTCTTCGCCAGTGCGCCAGACGTGGATGAAGGCGGAACATCTGACAGGTAGACGGCCGTGAGCGCTGAATGGTGATACCAGGAAAACATGGAGTCAATTGATGTTTGGAGCTCGACATTGTTCGTCTGGTCGATGCAACACGAATCAACCCACGCCCAGTGATACCCCGCCTTAAGAGCAATTTCGCAGAATGACTGCAACTTCACGATATTGCCAGCTGCCTGCAACTCATATACGTCCTTGTCCTTGATGTCGTGCAGCAACGGTTCGGTCCCTTCCCACCTATGCGATAGCATGACGCACTGGAAGAACTTCACCACCTCCTCTGTGATGTGCTCCGTTCGGAGGCGAGGGTGGTTCATAATCGATAACAGAAGTTCTTTGTAATCTGTGCTCGTCTGGAAGGCGCTTATCTGCTCTTCTCTATTGCATAAGAGCCCGAAAGTGGTGCTGAGTAGACGATGCGGGGCCGTGTCAAGTTGAACATCGATGACCTTTCGAATAGCACATTCTGCATCGGATCGACTGAGATACTCCTCGCGCAGCTCTGAGGAAAAAGTTGAGAATAGTGGTGCATGTGTTACTTAGGGTAGGGCTCACTTCGTATCTGCCTGTCAGTAGCACTGTGCAATTTCGAGATCATCATTTCGAAGGCCTCGATAGCTTCATCATATCGTTGTGCGCCATGAAGCGCTGCATGCTTCACCTCGTATCCAACGTGAGATGAAGGGTTGAGTTCAATGACCTATGTGTTGTAAACATTGGCAACACAACAGGAGATGTCATTGTACCTTTTGCGCATCAAGAAGAGCATCCTCCCATAGCATTTTTTTTGACCTAGCCTTGCTGCGGTTTGCAAAGATGATCTCGCTTGCGGAATTCAGGTCGATTGCCACGGAATATGAGCTAATGGCCCTGTCGAAATCGCTTTCAGCGACGGCAGCATCTCCGCTAGCAAGATAGAGTGCGCTGCATTCGTTCTTGAAAGCTGAGTGAAATGTGGGTGAGCATTGCGGCTATCAGAACGTTACCGACTCCAAACTTGCCATTGGACCAGTCAAGGCAGCTGGCCTTTGTATTTTCGTCGCTCATATTCATCATATATCGATATGATTCTAGGGCGTCTCCAAGTCTATCTGCCTGATAAAGTGCATCACATCGTTTCTGGTGTGCATTTTTCCATAATGACTGCAAGTCCCATCCGAAGAGCTGCATAAGACACGCAGTTTGGCATGAAAAGCATGTTCGGATGCATCATATCAACGTACCATCACCAGGTTCTCGTATATAGAATCGATGGGTAATGTAGACGAGAAAGCGCAGGCGTTGACAGCGGCAGTAAAGTGATCGGCAGCTTCATTATGGTCCGCGGCGTTGATTCCGAGCTGAATACATAGATATGCCTGGTGTGCAAAAATCAGAAAAATCAGTGTAAATACAAGGGCTCGGTTAAATACTCACCTCCACGACGTGGCATGCAAGAGTATCATTATTCGGACACGTGGAAGCTAGCTTCCGGACGCGCAGAATTGCCTCCTCATGTTTATCCGCATCGAAAAAAGCAATAGCCTGACAGCCGTAATGAAGCATAGAGTACCATGTAAGAACGATTGAACGTACCTTAATCAAGAGAAGGAAATGTATAATCTTCGGATCTTCGTTCGTAAACATGAACGCGAGATCAAATGCCATCGTCGCGTCCCAGACCTGCCCTTTTCCGCATAGGGCGATGCCCTTGGAGATATGACCTGTCAAGGAGGGCTGAATGGTCACGGACTAAGTATGTCACAATTAAAGTTAGCGTTTCGTGAGAGTGCGATGATGGGTCAGTTTATCCCACCCTGTTTGCATCATCAAGCGCGTGGTCCCAGTCATGTTTTCGTGCCATAACAAACGAACGGTTGGCATACGAGATGTAGTTGTTTGCATCGGCGTTGATTTCTTGTGTGAATAATTCTTCAGCAATGGACAAGTCCCCCGTAATGCATGCATCGCGGGCGGTCGCATCAACAGCGAGGATCTGTGACATTAAGCATGCTCAAATTGTGTTATCAGAGTCGAGGATGGAAACATGCATCTACGCCCTTGGGTACTTCCCACTCGGAGATCATGTTATCATCAGCTCCACTGAAGATGTGCTTGCCGTCCATGGAAAACGTAACGCATGCCGCCGCGAGTGGGTGTTGGAAGATCGCGATGGTTCGTCGATCTGAGAACCGCCAGAGACGAACAGTGCGGTCTGCGGATACGGAAGCGACGTAGGTACCCGCAGGATGAACTGCAATATTGTGGATATTGCTAGCATGACCGGTCCAGGGATTACCGACCTGCTTCCAAGTGGATGTATCCCACTCTCGTATAGTCGGATCCTTTTCATTGCCCACTGAGAGAAGGCGTGTGCCATCGGGCGTCCACGCGAGTGAGTAGTTCCATTGTGTATGACCCTTGAAGTGTGCAACACATTCCCTGGTGCCTGAATTATAAATTTCGATAATGAGGTCTGTCGAAACCGCAAGAAGTTCACCAGACGGCGAATATCGAACGCAGAAGATTCCCCAATCACTACGAGTAAACTGGATTGGATCTCCTTGCATCCGCCAGGTGTTTGTGCACCACAGTTTCGTCGTTGCGTCATGTGAACAAGTGGCGAGTACGGTACCATCGGGAGAAAAGTCCAACGCCGAGATACCACCGGAATGTGCTTTAATGGGTTGGGTGAGAGGCTCCCCAGTTTCTCCGTGCCAGGCGATGATCTCTCCGCCCACATCAGCGCTTGCTATGATTTGCCCATCTCGGCGTGATACCGCCAACGCCCGCACCTCCCTGCGATGCCCCTCCATCTTCTTCAACACTGCACCTGTCTTCAAGTCCCACAGACCAAGCGTCTTGTCAAACGAGGCTGTGACCATTCGTCGTGTATCAGGGAAAACTGCTACATCCCATATGACAGCTGTATGATCTCTAAAAACTCGAAGGGGTGTGGTGCTTGGGATGAGCTGCGACATTGCACCGGAAGTTGATGATATTTGAGCACGGTCGAGGCGGTCTTGGGCGGAGGGACTCTGCTGCAGAGCCACGTGTACTGTCATTTTAAGACTACTACTGACCCAACCTGCCTCGTGTTCATAGACGCCCAGGGCAGAGCAGCAAGAATAATACACCATTATCACGAGTGTCTTCCTCGACGTATCACACTGGCATAACTCCTTCTGCTTCTGCATAAACGCAAGCGTCAGTTTAAGCTCTTCGGAAGGCATACGATCCCAGTGCTTCAGGGACCACGCATTCTAGGAGGTGGCGTCTGTAAAACTGTAAGTAGCACAGCATCAAGATGGGAACATCAGCTTGGGGTCAAAGCAGGGTCAAACGCAAGAGTTGTCGGACGGCCAAATGGCAAGTAGAATTTGCATCCCTCAGTCTACACAGGAAAGATTTTAGTGTGAGAAAGGCGCGGACGTTCACATAGGACATGCTGACTTGACATTTCACCCGGGGAGTGCACGCCTCAATTCTCAGTGAAATCGACATGAAATAACGCATCAGTAAAAATACAATCGAATTGATAATTATCATTACCCGATGCCAATGGATCACTACTCTAGTGCGTTCATCATGTGAGTTTGCTCTTACTCATTCAAGTACTGCTTGCCTGGAGGTGTGTTGCAAGGTGACGCGTTTTAGAAGTTTTGGAGATGCGTTGGAATTGAGGCGCACCGTTGATGAAGATGCTTATGACAATGGAGAGCATTCTGCAGCTTTTATAAGGAATGGAGTACTGATGAGACAATAACTTATCGCATGTGGGTTGACGCTGTGAAGGTACGGTACACGCACTTCTGGACACCCGTAATCCTTCCAGCAAGCACACCTCGACCGTTACAGGTGGAAGAAGCAGTGCATTTCATCCCTCTAGGCACCAACCCATAACCTGGCAGTGGTAGAATGACAGGGCGGTTGGTAGCTAGCAGTGATTGCAAGGGCCAATTGGATCTGCTGCTTTTGCTCGCTGGATTCGATGCATGCATTGCGGGCGGCCTTGTAGATAGCGAGGATCTGCGGTAATAGGATACACCCTTAAATTGCATTATCAGAGTTAATGATGAAAACATGCCTTTGAATGAGAGACTTGAGCGTTGGCACTACAAAAACATAGCGAATAAGCGGGAAATGAATGGGAAGTACCTACTTTATGTAATAAGTTGACGTCGGTTGCTAAAGACGACCGAATACCGAACGCAGCTGCAGACGAGATTTCCTTGCAGCTGTCAGTTTTTCGTGCACAACTCCGTCATTCGATCGGTTCAACCACTAGCAGTAGCCAGCACTGCACGCATCTAGAGAAGGTTCCTCATGGATTCTTTGTGCCAAGCAGCACTGCCGTTTGTCGTGAATAATCAACCACTGGGACCATGCCTCCAAGTTGCACCGCAAGCTTAGGGCCAGATTAGGACCACCATGAGGATCTGGGTCCTTCTACAGAGCGCTCAGACAACTTGTTCAGGGCGTTCAACCTTGTACCCTTATTCTTCCTGACCTGCTCGTTTGACTACACCATCTTCATTGCTGTCAGCTCGAAATCCACCCCAAGATCATGGCTCACCCTGTCATATGGAGAGGAAAAGTGTTCTTCTACCCTATCGGCAATACATCTGCAGTTTGCCTCACACAAGATCTTTGTCCAACCGAAAAAGCAGACGCGCTGCTTCTTGGGTGCGGTGACCCGAGGCATATTCTTTACACCGTATATACAAACAGCGCTGGCTTGCAAGGTAAAAGCATGCTCGAAGAATCTTTGATGGTGCTAATGTTCTGTGTTCAGGGTCACGAAAACTGGACTTCACTTGCTGCGACATCGAGGGTGCAGTAATCGGTGAGCCCAAACCCAACATTTGATACGTCTTCCTAAGGTATCAAACAGCTCGTAACGTTATACTATTCACTCTCCTTGCCGATGAAGATGTTGCGGAGAAATTGCCTCAAATTTGGAACATATTTTTCCACTTTTTCCTCGACAAAGACTCCCTTGACCTACTCATATCACAATGCAAGAAGTTGGTCGAGCTGTCTAGCAGTCTCGACAGCTGGAGCAAGGGTCCTTATGGACACTTCCTCCGTATCTGCACTGGAGATACTCTCGCCGAGTTGCGGCGCCTTTGGCAGCTCTACATCAAGACAACGACTTTCTCTCCTACCCAGGCAAAAGCATTTCAATCTGCATATGCTGCCGATATCAAGGCTTGCAGGGTTCAGTCTAATATCGTGTCTGCAGCAAGTCGGGCAGCTGGGCCATTGTCGCTGTATGCGATCGAAATGGCGGCAGACCACTACAACATTTACTGGGAGACAGGTGTATGCTCTGCCATCCGTGAGAGACCCTCGGAAGTATCACACCCAAATCCAACCTTAGCATACTCCATGGCTGGTGACAAATTTGCGGTCCACTACGGAACGGATCCTCTCGCTTGTTTCCACTTGGCAGAGGCCTTTGCGCCAGCGGTTGGAAGCTCTCCAGAGGACCTTACTCTGAAAGACGTAGTAAATGTGTGCAAGACACAGTTTTCCAGGTGGTGCACTTCAGTTTCCAAAGTCTTGCGTAGTCAGCCATCTTCTCCGAGCCCGCTCATCATTCGTTGCTTTGTGGGCGACGCCCTCAGCTTGTGCCCAGTCCTTGGCTACTGCCGCATCACAAACTCGACATCCACACCGTTCGCTGTTGCACCTTGGAAATACAGGTGCATCACGCTTGATCCTGACGCTTACGGGCCTCGTGCGCAGTCTCCCGCGCCGACCATATTCAATGTCATTGATACTTCTAACCTTCTTGACCACGTCGGAGGGTTGAATATCCTCGCTATTACTTCTCCCATTCTTCAGCGAACTCCATCCACTACATTGTATACGGAACGTCTTGCTGGGGCCAACCCAGAAGATACGTTGCCGCAACAACTCTGTGGAGATATTGCGACTCTTGGTCTGCTCCTCGGCCTCATTCCCGCTTCCTTCGTATCGCAGTTCACAAACCGGTCGAATATGCATGAGATGATCATGCAAGCGATACAACAGCAGACAACTCAGAATCACGAACGCCTCGCCTGGAAGGTGATTGGTGGGGCTGAGAAATTCGTGACTGATCTTGACCGCCCCATCGATATCGCCCCTGTGCAGCTTGCAGGCGCTCTGTTCCATATTTACCTCGGCATATTTTCTCATCAGAACTTGGCGCGACAGACGGCCATGTTGAAGAAGCAGTTGTCCGCGCCAATCCGGCACTCCGGGATCGTACATTACCAACTCCCTGGGGTCGTACATTATCATCATCGTTCTTTCGCGGAGATTTTATCCGTCGTCAAGAGGAGGGTGATCACAGAATGGAACTCGGCCATGAACACGCTTCTCGGCATGATTCAAGATGACATAACCCTTACGACCGGGAAGAACTTTTACCAAGACCTCTGCTGTCAGCTGCACCTTAGCGGTGTTTTCACTGTGGATTGGATGTCTCTACAAATGGTGCAGGAGATGCATCGCGTCGAACGGCCCTTTGTTTTTCGCGATTGGAAGACCCTCCCGCAAACTGTCTGTGTCGTCCTCGTCATTCCTCGGGACCGTCTTCAGCCGCTCTTACCTGATCTTGACGGGGCCGGAGAACCTGTGTTGCAATGCTACGTGGGAGGGGTAGTAACTGCAAATATATTCTCTTCCATCAACACAGTTTTTGGCACCGTTATGATCAGCGGCAAGGGCGATGGAAAAACTGCAGCCATGGTGGAGGACGCCACTGGACGCCATGGACTTTCTCCTCTCGTGGTGTGGTTCTGGCTACCGTCCATTGCGCTGATGAACGAGCCTCGTTTAAGGATTGTATTATCTGTGCTCTCCGTTCCAGCGACTTGCATGCTCGTCCCGAAGCTGGGGTTTGACCTTTCCTTATTCCGTGCGGACTTGGGAGACGAACAATTCGTGCATGTTCTCAGACAGCGCCCTGATACTGGTCCAGAGAGTCCCGAGGAGAAGAATGTGCAGATCGACGATTGTTCCATGAAGACGACTGGCGCATGTACATTGGTCACGTTAGATAAAGAATGCCAGAAACCTCTGACGTTCACCACTCGTGTGGATATCGTCGAACCGGAGATGAAAGCTTCCCTGACAAGCGGCGCTAATCCCACCGTGAATCAAGTTTCTATGCATTCAATCGCCCTCGTTCTTGGAGACCACTCTTTGAAATTCCCTTTCCCGCTCCCTATTGATGCCAAGAAAGCCCAGTTCCGCATTGCACGAAAATCGTCGTACATCGAAGTATGATTTTTCTCTCGATCTCCGAGTACTCGTTTCTCACTTGCTGCAGGTTATAATGCCTCTGAAACTCGCACTTGGAGGAGTTGACATGATGGACATGTTCCCTGTCATTCCGCAGGGAGGCGATCTTGCTCTTTGGAACATGCCCCGCGTCAACCTCGATCAATGTGTACCTTTCAGCATTGCCAGTCCGAAGGCTCTCGACTGGATCCACCCTCACGTTACCCTCATGATGTCTGAGCGTGAGAGAAGAGTCCCCAATCTATTCACGACGGGGTCCACGCTGCTAGATATCAAGCGTACAATATGTTCCATCTTTGGGAGCGCGAGCGGGCTCGCGCAGGGCAAGTCCCCTATATGCTATATCATGCAGGCGACAGAAGGAAGCGGTTTTGTTATGTTCTACATCACAGACCTCCGCTTGGACGTCGGCTCGCACGCCATAGTCGCTGATGCTTGGGTGATGTCGAATTCCCCCAGGATTGAGAAGTTCGAGGCTTTCCGCAAGGCCTGCATGCATCTGACGCCTGACGATATAATGACGATTGAGATGTGTGTTGAGGAGATGAAGGCATGGATGCACCTCCTCGTGGCCGCGACGGAGCGGTGCCGTACTTGGGAGCACAATCCCACCTGCGAGTATCGCGTCCAAGCCGCCATCCCTCTCACTTTGGAGCCAAACAAGAGTCCTATTTGTTCTTGCGGGGTCGGGGTGGGGACAGAGGCGTTTGTGAAGAAATACCCGATGCTTCGATCGCTTGCGCCCTGTTTGACGAGGATAGCAATTAGTCCGCTGTTCGCGCTTTCGTACTTGGAAAAAGTCGGTAATACAGACGGTGGTGCTGCCACGATGACACTATCGAAGGCTGCGCTGGCACCGACGATGCGTGCTGCTTGTGCTGCTTGTGGAAAGGAAGGATATGCTTCTGGGTCGTTGCTGGTCTGCAGCCGATGCAAGTGTGTGCGATATTGTTCAAAGGATTGTCAGCGCAAGGACTGGAAAGGGCACAAGAAGTTCTGTGTAGTACCATCTTCCTGAGGAACCGACGTTCATCCCCAAGTAGATCTTCAATTGTGTTTTTTTTTTGCCGAATTCAAGCACAGGCATTTCCCTCTTTACCTGATACTCACATTTCTCTTGCTATACAAGTTGGTACGAAGTTACATTGCCCATCCCCACTGATATGTCATGAGTGCCTTTGTGTCTATTCTGTTTTGTGCTGAGCTCTTCATGTGTAGATAAATGTAGACTTGTACTACTTGTAATTTTAGGGTCGAATTACTACTTCCATTGACGTGATGCATCGGGCTACGTTCTCTTAATGAACCGTAAACAGCAATCTTGTTGCAACATTGACATATGTACTCTTGACCGGTAAATCTGCCGGTGGGCGGAGGATTGGATGCAACAAAACCCTTAACTATGGGCTTTAATAAATTACAGGAGGAAAGAGTCATATAGTCCTTGGTATGAAGTACTGTCCGCCGCCAATCCACATGAAACAAACAGATCTTTTATTAGCGCCAAGCCTCGCCGCAAAGTGATCCCACGTCCAGAACCCTTTGTGACCAGCGCATTCACTGCGCCGTATACGTCGACACATTTCGCCAGTAGCTACATGCATCTAGCTCAGCACCTTGGCTCATCGCAAATATGGTACATTACTCACGCGCAACGCTCGAGCACGGCCATGTCAGTCTTGAAAGTGTACACGTCAGGAGCTCCCGCGGATGTCTCGTTGAACATCATCTCTGTGAAACCATGTCGCCAAGAATTCCAGGAAGGTGTGATGTCTTCTGGGGTGTATCTGTCGTCAGGAGTCTTGTACATGGCCATAGCCATGAATGAGTTCGAGAAAGCAGTGATAAACTGGGAATTGTTGTATGTAGGACCAAGCCTGGAGCAGTATGCATCAGAGTAGAGGTTGACTCATCGCATCAACTTACGAAGTGAAGTAATATGGAACATCATATGCGTGCAGGCCAGGTGGAATTGCAAACTCGCCCTGCTTTTGTTGAGCATATATAAATTAATACTTGCCTCGAACTTACCTTCCAAGCTTGCTCTCCAAATGCTTCGAGGAGATAATATGTAGGGCAAACGAATGTTGCTGTATCGACTCGTGAAATCAGGGACAGTAATGAATTTCTTGAAGGACACGTACATTCGCCTGTCGCGAGATTTGCCTGGTCTACGTTGCTTCCCTGGTTCTGGTACAGCATCACTGCTCCTGCAGCCTGAGCCGAACCGAAGTTCGGGAAAACCGTTTTGAGATAATCTGCGAGATCCATTGTCATCGATTGGTTCACGAAGAGGTTTCCCTCATGAGAATTGGTTACGGCAAGAAGGTAGTTCTAAGGGAAAAGGGTCTGAGTTTTGCTGATGAGATAGAATCCATAGATCATACGCCATTCAAGTGACCCTTGCTAATCGTCACGGTAGGTCTCTCCACAATGAAAGTGCCATCTACGACAGGGGCGAATGGGACCGTGCCAAGGAAGCTGTTGAGGTTGATGTTATAGTTCAATGTTTCCAGCGTATTGACGTCTGCAGCGCGCAAACAAGAGAGGGTATCCGAACTTGAGCTACAGCTGTAAGTCGAGGGTATTAGCTCGGGGATGGCCACATATAACCTTTGGAAGGTCTCACTTTGTTCCATCGATGACCTGACTATACAGCATCTGGCAGTGGCATTCAAGACGCAACAGACATTGACCTCATAGATAAAATTCACCTCGGGAATTCGGTCGTCATAGTTGTATTGTGATGGCAAAGCTGTGGAACTCGTCATGGCACCTCTGAAGAGGGGAGGCTGCGTGTTTCCTCCATGAGCAACAAGATGCTGTAGCACGGAACCGGCACCTGAAACGACGAGAGTTAACAAGGCTAATGATGACGAAGAGGGCCTAAAGCAGCTCACCAGCAGACTCTCCCCAAATCGTCACATTCGTGGGGTCGCCTCCGAAGCTACTTATCTGGACAGATAAGTTTCCTATTAATTGAGGTACAACACTCAAGTAGAAATGTCTGCTTACGTAGGCCTGGACCCACTGGAACGCATAATTTTGGTCAACTTAGAATATCAAGTTCAACCGAATCTGAAGGACTGAAAGATCACAATAATCACGTACGTAGTCCAGCATTGAGTGCACCCCCTTCTTTGACCGATTCTCCAGGAAGGAAACCTAGTAGGCAGCGTATACATTTGACAACCCAAATAAGTAGTGAGGACATACCGAATAAACCGAGGCGGTACTGGAGCACGACGATGATGACACCGTGATTTGATTCCATGACTAAGTCTGCGCCATTGTATAAATTCGCAGCTCCTGAAATATACCTGTACCAAAATTGACTCATCGACAGAGGAACATTGCATATGCTACTTACCCTCCTCCGTGAATCCATACGACAACTGGGAGTCCTCCCGACGGGGTGGCCACCACTTCACTTCCGGGAGTGTATACACTACCGGATGCAACCACCAATCGTAAATGTCGACATCATCCATCGTTCCATGGCAGGGCTTACTTTAAGAATAAACAATCTTCCGACTCACTAACATCCCTTTTCTTTATAGTGATGCTTTCATAGGGATTTGTCGAAGAATTGCTTGGGGGTGCTTGATAACATTCATTTGGTTGCGTGGTAGCTTGTTGAACCCCAGAGATGGTCGATGGAGGCTGGGGAGCTGCCCATCTGAAGTCACCTATGTGCTTAATGAGTAAACTGAGATTGTATACGACACACGAAGCTGAACGTACCAACTGGAGGAGCCGCGTAGCGTATTCCAAGAAAGCTGGTGATGTTTGTCGCTGTATCTACTGACCCCTGGTACTGAGCATAACCTAAGTCGATGATGGGTGCAGACGGGGTGGTCTGAGTCAATGGAGAAGATAATGCTTCTAGTGCAAGTAAAGCCTGTGACAAGGCCAACAGATTAGCTCTCATCGACATTTTCAATCTCATATGTCGCAGTGAGAGTCAGCTTCGACCAGGGTGTTGAAATATCGCGGTCTGCGCATGTCATTATAAGCCCTACGAGAGCAAACGCAAGCGGGTCTGACCCGGAGATGACACTAGCCGCATTTGAGAATATGGTCTCAGAACGATTACGTGCGAGTGCGGTGTAGCACGAACTGGTACAGGTCATGATTAAATTGGCTAGTAATAGTGATTATATATGTGACTGTCATCATCTTGTCAGTCCCCCGCACTGAAAATTCGAAATAGAAACTGAGAAAACCATATTTCTCACCATAGCTAGTTGTAGCACAGTATTAGAAGAGGATGACTGGGGTTGAAGCACACATGATCATGGTCAGTGACCGAGAGTCGTCAATGCACGCCGCAGCACACCGCAGCAGCGTTTTTCTTTCCATATATGGGGGTGCTACGATAGGTGCTGCGGTCGGTGCTGCAATAGCTGCGACGCTAGAAAAGTTGTGTTACACTCATGTTTTAATTAATGCGTAATAACCGTGACGTACCTGGTACCGTCCCCCAGAGTAGTAGTACTCAGCGGTTCGACAGTGGTTCGATTCTGAAACCACATCCTTTTCCATATTATGCATAAGTGATTAGTAGGCAGCGGTAGTAGCGAGCAGTGATTACAAGGGAGAGTTCAACATCAAGATCTCCACCTACGCGGCCTAAGCAGCTTTAAGTTTGATCCAATCACTGATCGGTGGTTATTCGGTATACGCCGACCTTGTAATGCGGGGTTATGGGAGAAGATGAAAGGGCGTCAATGGTGAACTAGTAGGACAGAAGGTACACTACTAGTGCTATGGTAATGACAATGTCTGCATATAGAGCAAGCGTCTGCATGTGCATATATGTCGTCGAGGTACAAACTAAAATTGCTCAGGGATCCCCAGTCTTTAAAAAAACATACAGCTACAGTATTTCTAGAGTCCTGACTCTGGCCATCATGCTGTGAACAGAAGCCCCGTCGTTCACCTGTGCGGTGATGTCGTTTTCGGATGCAATCCTCTTGTATTCTCCACCGCGCTGCTGCCCAAGGCGAACCATCAATCACAATGCTCGTGAGTGAGTCCGAATCACCCAGCTCATGTTCCACAGGAGAACCGCCGGACGAGTAGTCTAATGGAGACTTCGGCTCGGACCAGTCTCCCAAGCTTTCTGCATCGTCTACGGCGAGGATCTGTGACATCAAGCAGGCTCAAACTGTGTTATCAGAATCAAGAATGAAAACATGCCTCTGAATTTACGCCCTTGGGTACTTCCCATTCCGAGATCTTGTTTCCATAACCTCCGCTGAAGATATCCTTGCCGTCCATGCAGAAAGTGGCACATAATGTCGTGGAAGAGTGCTGGAAGATCCCGATGGTTCGTCGATCTGAGAGCCGCCACATACGGACATGTTTATCTTCACATGCGGAAACAACATGAGTCCCCGAGGGATGAATAAAAATGGCCCAGATCCTGTGAGTGTGGCCCATCTAGGGGTTATCGACCTGCTTCCAAGTGGATGCATCCCACTCCCGTATGGTCGGATCAAATTCATCACCCCCGGAGAGAAGGTGTGTACCATCGGGCATCCACGCGAGCGACAAGTTCTAGTGGGTGTGACCCTTGAACTTTGCAACGCGTTCCCTCGTGCGTGTATTATAAATTGCGATAATGTCAGTTGTTCCAATCGCAAGAAGTTCGCCAGACGGCGAATACCGAACACAGTGGACTCCCCAATCACTACGAGTAAACATTGGATATGCCAGGTTTCTGTGCACCACAATTTTGTCGTCGCGTCTGCTGAACCACTGGCCAGCACTGTACTATTGGGAGAAAAGTTCAACGACTAGCTATGACGGGAATGGGCTTTGATGCGTTGGAGAGGGTCCCCAGTTTCTCCGTGCCAGGCGATGAGCTCTCCGCTCACATCAGCACTTGCTATAAATTGCCCATCTTGTGATATCACCAATGTCTGCACCTCACTGCAACGCCCCTCCATCTTCTCCAACACTTCACCTGTCTTCAAGTCCCACAGACGAACCATCTTGTCAGCTGAGCCCGTGACCATACGTCGTCTATTAGGGAAAACTGATACATCCCATATGGTATATGTACGATCTTTAAACCGTCGATGGGGTGTAGTGCTTGGAATGAGCTGCGACATGTTACTAGAGGTTGATAGCGCTGAGCTCGGTTGAGGTGGACTTGTCCAGAGGGTTTGTGGGCTTGCTGCTGCAGAGACGCGTGCACGGCACCTATACTTCCCACATCGTAGCGGCGCTCGCGTAGGGTGTGATATGGGTAAAGGTTACTCGAGTACCCACCTGGGTGTCACCCGCGGACGGAACATGGGACAGACGGTAGCCAATCCCCGACTCCGTGATCGATACGATGATGAGGGATGAAATTTCTGCATCGCAGATTAGTAGAATGACGGAACCCGCGCCGGGGCATCTCATTACCCGCATCCACACACGCGACTTCCACTCGCAGCGACATGGGTATTCTGGCCGGAAAATATGTGTTCATCATGTCGAAGATGACGTTCTGGTTGTGCAGTATCGAGTCTAAGCTCGCCTACTTACAGCTCCGAGTACTGGAAGCGATTTCATTCGAAGAGGCTTAGTTATCATAGACGGCGTGCGTTAGCTAACTTACTGAAAGACATTTTCAGTGGCTGATGCCGTCACGTGAACTCAAGAATTCCAATTCGCAAGTTGGCAACACGAGGAGACAGATATGGGACGCAGCTGGCTCCCGTATTTGTCTCCAACTTACAGACATCGAGTGGCGAAGCCACGGTCATCTGCAAGTGATCGATAACGAAGGGGTTCTAGCAAGTATGGGATTACACCACATTCGCATCGTAACATGGAATCAGTACTAGAAGTAGGTATATATTGTAGTACATATGTGCTGACCTCGGTGCAAGTGTGGGTGGCCAGTATAGAAACTACGAACAACATTCTCGTGCTTCCTGCAGAGTAGTCGACAAGTGTCGATCATTTTGAGCGTTCCCAGTGCTACACATCACCGCCAATTTGACACATGTGTACTCCTGAAATCACTTGAAGTCACGCCAGTTCCTGTGTCGGCTTCGGCTTCGGCGGTTACAAGCTTAGCGTGATATTCTCGAATGTTAAGGATGAGGCGTGGCCCCAGCATAAACATCTGCAGGACCGAGAAGATGTTGAGAACACCATTGTAACCCATGAAATTTGAGTCCTATAGAAGTATGATGATGAACAGTAGGTCTACGCAAATATCAGTGAGAGATCGGCATACCGAGATCGTTGGAAAATAAAAAACGAGAGCGATGCAAGAACCAGCTGCAAAACTGGCGCCCAGTGCGCAACTTCAGCGGAGGAAGATAGCCGCAGTCTAACGACCAACTCACCTTGCAAAGTAAACCGCGTGAGTTCTCATTAAAATCCTGAATAATTCCTCGATGATTGGCGCCGTCGGTCGTTGCAGCTGTTTACGAATGTTTTTTACAGTAATCCAGACTGCAAGACACAGTGCGAGGACCTCCCATACAATGCGGAGTATCCAAGTTATGGGCATCAGAAGTCGGGCGTCTCCCTGATAGTCATAGGTGCACTGATAGGTGCCAGAGAGGATGGACTCCTCTGGTATTCATCCGATGAGCCTGATGTACTAAATCGTTCGTCCATAATTTAAGCTTACCCCCTGAAGTACGGTTGATTCCTGTTGCGGTGATCGTTCCGCAGGCGATTGTGAGAGACAGAAGGATTACAATGAGAAAGATAAGCATCTTTCTCGAGCGTAGATACATGGCATATAACCGAGTGGCTATGATGACTTACATGATGTTTCAGTCAAGTCAATATCACGGAGGTATTGCAGCCGAGTAACTCACCGCCCAACATGACAGTGACCGCCGCATTCATCCAATTTAGGGCGAAGAACAGATTATTGCCTGAAAACCCAGTTAGAGATGAGCATCGGAGAATCAAACACCCCGAACACACTCACAGCTGCTGAGGTCAATATAATGAACTAACACAGAAAGCCTCACTCACCCCTACATAGGAGTGCAGTCGTTTGGACGTGAATGGCAGGCATTGGTGCAGAAAACTCACTACATCTGTCAGCGAGACTGACGGAAGACTTCCTGTGTGCTACTGGTCAGCACAAACAATTGCAGTGTATTGAGAAGATATACCCAGCATGTAGATGCTGATTGAGAGAGGTGGCTTATCAGCAGTGTCAACTCAAGCTCGCTAGCCTTGCAAACATACACAGTATATAGTATCCCAGCATAGCGCACCTACGATATTTCGAAGTCAGCATCTGCCAACTGCGCTGATAACATAAGTTACGTGCACTGAGGTATAGAACAGTCATGAGGGACCACCGTTGCCTCTGAAATGAATCAATTGTCTCAACCTGTTGTTCTTCTGATATGGGCGCTGCTCACCCAGACCAGCTCAACCTATAAAACCATTATCAGTGAGGTGTCTGCTCCAGTGGTGGTGTCAACCTTCCTCTCGTCCGAATGCCAGTGCTGGAGGTACCATAAGGATAGCAATGATGATACAATACCAATTCGCTCACCCCAATCATATATCACTGCAACAAAGGAGACAACTGCAAAACCGCAGTCAAGATTAGACATCACCAACATTATCCAACTGGCTCTCCACGAACCTGCGATATAGCTGTAAAAACGATTGGAATTGATGATTAGCCACCAACTGGGATCATTTGAGACTAGAACCATATTCGACGGATGAGTGTGAGCGAGTGGCGAACTTCGTGGACGTGAAACGATGGGATTCGTGCTAGATATACCACCATTCAGTGCTTTTATCAGTACTACGGTGATGATATCCGTTCCTGCCTTGATTGACCGAGGTGAGTGTTGTCATGCAAAATCAAGTAGAAAGCGGGAGTCCCCGATCGAATCAAAGTAGTATTTGGCTGTGGATCACACGCGTGGCATGTTTGAACACCGGAAGAGTTCGAAAAGTTGTAGTTCGTGATGTCGATATCATTCTTTCTTGCTAAAATTGCACCAGTTCAGGAGTTCCATCTGTGAAATTCATCGCATGCCTAGGTGCGATGTTATCGTCGAAAAAGCCCGTCATTTTAATAATCACCGGCATTCTCTCCGCCTCGCCGGCCCGGCGGGCTGAGGAGTAGTACTAGGTAAGGTCTACTACCAGGGCCACAACCTGTCGGCATGAAAAGTCAGAACTGAAAGACAGAAGAGTTCCTCATGCAGCAAACAGATAACTCACCTCCCTCACCCCAGGTGCAACACCCGTCTGCAACACCTCCAAGAACATTCCTCAACGTCCAACCCTCTTCCAATGCGCCGCTGTCATCCCAAAAATCTTCGGTATCTGTCGCTCATACGCACCTCGTCACTTCTTGCCTCGGTGATCGGGCTATAATGTCATAAGGACGCGACTCTGATGGAAGACACGCAGAATCGCACCACAGTTGATGATATCAATTTGCACCATTAGATACTTTTGATTGATAATCTGTGATTGATCTGGCGCAGCAGCAATAATATTGAGAAGCCACAGGAAAAACGATTCAGACATGGCTGTACACCCACACAGGAAATCCGACTTCTTTGTTCTTCCAATTGCACATGGGCTCGTCTCGGAAAATATTGATGGTCGTTGTTTTTCAGTGATCTTCTGGCCGAACTTCCGGTCTATTTTTGCTACAACATCATGAGTGTGCGAGATTCTAGAAGGGCAAGGCAAAGAACTCACTACAAGATCTTCATCACAATTTGTGATGTTACGGGCAGGGCACAAACACCACACAGTAGTTCGGTGGATCCACCGTCAAAGTCATGAAACACATGTCACCACAGCGCGCGCGTTGTTTGAATTCTCCATCTCGAATGTAGGTCAAGCGCACATGCAACTTACAATTTCCAACAACCCATCCAAAGTTCGTCTTCAACCTTTGTGGCCAGCAAACTGGGGATCAAAAACGTGAATCTCTGTAGACCGGCACTTGCTTCTGTTAAATACCGACGAGATACCTCCTCAAAAGTGCTGGTTAGTTTTTCGGGTCGATAGTTATATATGAACAGCTCAATGCCCGAAGTTACTAAGTGACGAGCAGTGTGACGAGTCTCTGCAACCTTTCGTGCCACAATGGCCACTGCTGAATTGAACGTACTTGTGTGCTATGGTCACCGAGGCGCAGTGCTTGGGACCATCGCATGAGAGATTTTGAGAAGGTCGAACAACGCACAGCGCGCCAACGTTCCAACGCTTGTTATACTCGGCAATTTAAGCTACAGGCCCAAGTAATAAACTTATGTACGTAACCAGTCAGGTTGGCGTCGTGACGGTGTAGCAAAACTCAAATTTTCAGTAAAGTTTTTCACTGCTACTCTCATGCTGACTGGAAATTTTGGTGCAGGTTGCCATCTGTTCTAGGTTCATGAACCAACATGTCGGTGGTTCCAGTGAAGGAAAGCCCGACTTAGTTCGTGGAGTCACAATCCTCGTGCAGCCTCGTGCACCATCCTTTGTCAGGAATCAATTAATTAACCAGGCCTAGGACCATGTTTCGCGAGCTAGATTAGCACCGAGCCTACCATGAGGCTAACGGACCTTCTAGTGGCAGAGCGCTCAGTCGACTTGTTCAAGTTGTTGCTGTCCTTTCTGAATCTTGACCTGCTCGTTTGACTGCACGATCTTTGAAATCCACCCCAAGATCATGGCTCACCCTGTCATATGGAGAGGGAAAGTGTTCTTCTACCCTATTGGCAATACATCTGCAGTTTGCCTCACCCAGGATCTTTGTCCAACTGAAAAAGCAGACGCGCTGCTTCTTGGGTGCGGCGACCCGAGGCATATTCTTTACACCGTATACACAAACAGCGCTGGCTTGCAAGGTAAAAGCATGCTCGAAGAATCTTTGATGGTGCTAATGTTCTGTGTTCAGGGTCACGAAAACTGGACTTCACTTGCTGCGACATCGAGGGTGCAGTAATCGGTGAGCCCAAACCCAACATTTGATACGTCTTCCTAAGGTATCAAATAGCTCGTAACGTTATACTATTCACTCTACTTGCTGATGAAGATGTTGCGAAGAAATTGCCTCAAATTTGGAACATCTTTTTCCACTTTTTCCTCGACAAAGACTCCCTTGACCTGCTCATATCACAATGCAAGAAGTTGGTCGAGCTATCTAGCAGTCTCGACAGCTGGAACAATGGTCCTTATGGACACTTCCTCCGTATCTGCACTGGAGATACTCTCGCCGAGTTGCGGCGCCTTTGGCAGCTCTACATCAAGACAACGACTTTTTCCCCCACCCAGGCAAAAGCATTTCAATCTGCATATGCTGCCGATATCAAGGCTTGCAGGGTTCAGTCTATGAGCGTGTTTACAGCAAGTCGGGCAGCTGGGCCATTATCGATGTATGCGATCAACATGGCGGCAGATCACTACAACATTTACTGGGAGACAGGCGTATGCTCCGCCATCCGCAAGAGACCCTCGGAGGTGTCACACCCAAATCCAACCTTAGCATACTCCATGGCTGGTGACAAATTTGCGGTCCACTACGGAACGGATCCTCTCGCTTGTTTCCACTTGGCAGAGGCCTTTGCGCCAGCGGTTGGAAGCTCTCCAGAGGACCTTACTCTGAAAGACGTGGTAAATGTGTGCAAGGCGCAGTTTTCCAGGTGGTGCACTTCAGTTTCCAAAGTCTTGCGTAGTCATCCATCTTCTCCGAGCCCGCTCATCATTCGTTGCTTTGTGGGTGATGCCCTCAGTTTCTGTCAAGCCCTTGGCTACTACCACACCACGAAATCCACGTTGACACCATTCCCTGTTGCGCCTTGGAAGCACACTCGCATCACGCTTGATCCTAACGCTTATGGAACTTGTGCACAGTCATCCGCACCGACCGCATTCAATGTCATTGATACCTCCAACCTTCTTGATCATGTCGGATTGTTGAACATCCTCGCTTCTGCTTCTCCCATTCTCCAGCGAACTCCATCCGCTACATTGTACACAGAAGGTCTCGCTGGGGCCAGCCCAGAAGACACATTGTCACAACAACTCTGTGGAGATATCGCGACTCTTGGTCTGCTTCTCGGCCTCATTCCCGCTTCCTTCGTATCGCAGTTCACGAACCGGTCGAACATGCATGAGATGATCGTGCGGACGTCGCAACAGCATGCGCCCCAGAATCACGAGCGCCTCGCCTGGAAGATGATCGGCGGGGCTGAGAAACTCGTGACTGACCTTGACCGCCCCATCGACATCACTCCGGAGCAGCTTGCGGGCGTTCTGTTCAATATTTATCTCGGCATGTTTTCTCATGAGAACATGGGACGAAAGATGGCCATGCTCACACAATCGCCCGCGCTAGTCCAACTCTCTGGGATCATACATTACCATCGTCGTTCGTTCGCGGAGGTCTTGGGTGTCATCAAGAGGAGGGTGATTACAGCGTGGGACCCCACCATGAACATACTTCTTGACAAGATTCAAAATGACAGGAACCTTCTCACCGGGATGAACTTTTACCAAGAACTCTGCTGCCAGCTGCACCTTCGCGGTGTTTTCACTATGGATTGGATGTCTCTACAAAAGGCGCAGGAAATGCATCGCGTCGAAAGGCCTGTCGTCTTTCGCGGTTGGAAGACCCTCCCGCAAACAGTCTGTGTCGTCCTCGTCGTTCCTCGGGATCACCTCCAGCCGCTCTTACCTGTTCTTGACGGGGCTGGAACACCTGTGTTGCAGTGTCACGTGGCGGGGACAATGACCTCAAATACGTTCTCTATCAACGCAGTTTTCGGTGCCGTTAAGATCAAAGGCAAGGGCGGTGACAAAACTGCAGCCATCGAGGAGGACGTAACTGGACGCTATGGAACTTCCCCTCTCGTGGTGTGGTTCTGGTTGCCGTCCGTTGCGTTGTTGATGAACGAGCCTCATTTAAGGGTTTCACTAGCTGTTCTCTCCACCCCATCGACTGCCCCACTCGTCATGAAGCTGGGGTTCGACATGTCCTTATTCCGCGCGGACTTCGGAGACGAGCATTTCGTGCACGTTCTCAGACAGCGCCCTGATGCTGGTCCCGAGAGTCCCGAGGACAAGAATATGCAGATCAACGGTCGTTCCAAGAAGACGTCTGGTGCATGCACATTCGTCACGTTAGATAGAGAATGCCAGAAACCTCTGACGTTCACCACTCGTGTGGATATCGTTGAACCGGAGATGAAAGCTTCCCTGACAACTGGCGCTACTCCCACCGTAAATCAAATTTCTATGCATTCAATCGCCATCGCTCTTGGAGACCACTCTTTGAAATTCCCTTACCCGCTTCCTATTGATGCCAAGAAAGTCAAGCTCCGGATTGCACGAAAATCGCTATACATCGAAGTACGTCTTCTCTCTATATATCTCCAAATACTCATTTCTAACTCGGCGCAGGTTGTCTTGCCTCTGAAACTCGCTCTTGGAGGAACCGACATGATGGATATGTTCCCTGTTATTCCACAGGGAGGCGATCTTGTTCTCTGGAACATGCACCGCGTCAACCTCGATCAATGCGTGCCTTTCAGCATCGCCAACGAGAAGGCTCTTCACTGGGTCAACCCTCACGTCTCCCTCATGATGTCTGAGCGTGAAAGAAGCATCCCCCAGGGATTGGCAACAGGGTCCACGCTACTAGATATCAAGCGTACACTTCATCTCATCTTCGGACGCGCAAGCGGGCTCTCGATGGGCAAACCCCCTCTAGGGTATGCTATGCAGGCGACAGAAGAAAGCGAAATCTTTGTTATGTTCTATATTACGGACCTCCGCTTGGACGTCGGCTCGCACACCATGGTCGCTGATGCTTGGGTGATGCCGTCTTCTCCCACGGCTGAGAAGTTCGAGGCTTTCAGCAAGGCTTTTACGCATTTGACGCCTGCAAACATGCAGTCTGTTGGGATGGGTGTTGAAGAGAGGAAGGCATGGGCGCACCTCCTCGTGGCTGCGACGGAGCGGTGCCGTACCTGGGAGCACAAACCCAACTGCGAGTATCGCGTCCAAGGCACCATCCCTCTCACTTTGGAGCCAGACGAGAGTCCTATTTGTTCTTGCGGTGCCGGGGTGGGAACAGAGGCGTTTGTAAAGAAATTCCCGATGCTTCAGTCGCTTGCGCCCTGTTTGACGAGGGCAGCGATTAGTCCTCTGTTCGCACTTTCGTACTTGGAAAAGGTTGGTAATCTGGAAGGTGGTGCTACTGGGATGGGGACTCCACCGACGCCTGGGCCTGCGCCAGCACCAGTGATGCGTGGTGGTTGCGCTGTTTGTGGAAAGGCAGGAGGTGCTGCTGGGTCGTTGTTACTCTGCAGCAGGTGCAAGGTTGTGAAGTATTGTTCAGAGGGTTGTCAGCGCAAGGACTGGAAAGAGCACAAAAAGGGCTGTGTAGGTTCCTGAGGGAGTTCATCACGACTCACGTTGAACTCACGAGTAAATATCTTGTCGACTATTTTTGCCGAATTTATGCACGCTGTCAACGTGACTATTGTGACGTGACTGTGTGTGACTTTATTGGAGTTGCGTATGTTGGCGGCCCCGTCTGACGCAAACGTTCGCACCTTAGCTTCCATCGATATCCGGTCAGTAGGCTCTACTTGCCAGTAATTACGTTTTAGTCTGCTAACAATGACTTTCATTGACGGTGTAGCGTCGCGTGGTTTTTAGCTGCTCCGGAAACACGCGTCTTTCCATTTGAACCACGTCTACAGCAGCCATCAAACCCAGCGTCCCATTTTTCCTTGCTTCATCTCCCTCAGACTCTCTACTTCTTTCGATTAACGTCTTTTAAGGAGTCTACATTGTAACAAAATGGGTGGCACTGGTGCGTACAGCTCTTCTATCGCACCTCCTCGCTGACCTCAGATCATCCGTTCGCTCACTCATATTCTCAAACGCTGAATATGCCCTCGATTCATCGTTTTTTTTTTGCTGAACAGGCTGGTTGTTTTTGTTCTCTGTCCTCATGGCAGCTGGTTTGCTGTTCACGATGGTTTTCTTCGTGCGTCTTCCTTCCTGTCATATCCACGTCTACAGTCCCTCATTCCCACCGGGCAGATCATCATGTTCTCGGACTTGGAATGCGACTACATCAATCCCATAGATCTCTGCAACAAGCTCAACCAAGTACGTGTCGCCATTTTTCCCACCCACAGTACTATTCCTGACATACCCACGTTCCAGTTTGTCCTACCAGAAAACATTGCTCATGCCTTCCTAACCGTTCTGTTCCTGCTCTCTGGTCAATGGTTTGCGTTCCTTTTGAATCTCCCGCTCGTCTTGTTCAACGCCAACAAGTATGTCCCTATTCTTATCTCGGGCGCTCGGCAGTGGAGCTGATGCGCTGTGCAGGATACGCAACAAGAACCACATGTATGACGCCACAGAGATTTTCCGAACTCTTTCCGGTCATAAGAAGGAGAGTTTTATGAAGTTAGGGTTCTATCTCCTCTCGTTCTTCTACTATCTGTATAGGTGCGTGTGCGTGTCATTAGTATCTTCCCACGGATGCTGACGAGGTTTCTCAAGGATGATCGTTGCCCTCGTTTCTGAGAGTGAATGATCGCGCAGGTGGGCATAGCTCACAACGAACGTGATTATCGACCAGAGCTGGGTGGATCTGCGGGACGAGTTTTTATGGGTGAAGTCCATGGACATACAAGATGGTCCTGTTTGGTTGGGTATCATGATCTACTTCCTTTCACTATCACTTATTATGCCTGAATTGACGCTATCCTATGCTGATTTCACGCATGAGATAGTCGTGCCTTCGACTCGGCCGCACTGCGATTTAAATACTGAATGAGATGAGATGGGTTATAAGCACAAGGCAAAATACATATGCTAAGATAATTTGCACACAAGATGATGCAGGTGAATCCAACGCAAGTGGATGTTCATACTATTTCATCCATTCCATACCCAAGAAGATTCGTCCCTTAGTCAATCTCCATGCCTGCACCTCCTGCACCTCTCCTGCCACGACCTCCCCGACCACGGCCTCTGCCGCCACGGTGCCACTTCTGCGCATCCGGACGAGAATTTGACTGCTGGCTGTAATGCTTTGGGTCTGTACCTGGTGGCGCAACCAAGACAGACGCTCGAGGATCTGAGGCTATGATTGAATCCGACCTCATTTTTCTGTAAGAGCGGAGATAAGCTTTAAGTAAACCTTAAGCCTTGTAACTTACGATGCGCTTTCATCACTACCTTCCATAAGAACGTCCACACTATCATCTACGATGTCCACTCCACCGAGTCGTCCTGACAAACCAATCGCTTTCGTGCCCACGATGTTCACTTGCAGGATTTTCCCGTCTGCAGGCTGACCATTGAACTTGGCCACAGCTGCGTCCGCATGCGCGACTTGTTTGAATGTGAGGCGCACGATGACGTTCTCAGACGCCTTTGCAGATGCAGTCTCAGAGGAAACTATTGTGCCGCAGCGTTTAAAAATGGCCTACAAACCGTCAGTTGTCTTGAGAACGCCGCAAGCGCCGACGAGCGTACCTCCACATCAGCCGCAGTGGTGCCTCGTACAAGACCTTTCACCTCAACCACATTCCCCAACGGCGCTGAGCTAGCGCCTTTGATGCTCAGGCCCTTACTGTCTCCTGTAGCATCCCTAAGCGCGCGCTGCGCAAGTCGCGAATCAGGTTTACGAGGCTGAGCAGCGTTCAGGGTGAGTCTCGAGGATAGAGAAGGCTTGTCTGGGTCTTCGTAGAGATCATGCGACCATTGAGCGTCCGAATCGCCTTTTGGCGTTCGGTTCGGTCGGTTCTGAGGTATGCGACGCGGGTTGACCAAAAAAAATCAACGTAGTATTTCGAACGGTTGCGAAAGCATCGAGGGAGGATATGTCATTCTTTTACACTGAGCCCAGCGGGGATAGGAAAGCTGTACGCACGTATGGCGATGAGCGACTGCCTGATTTTGAACGAATGGGGCCTATGGAAGGGGCGCTGTCCATTGGGACGTTCAGACGTTCTAGGAGCGACATTTGAATGATTTAGAATATTAAGGGCTTAGAGGAAAGGAGGCGGGTATGAGGCACGTAGTCTCCGTGACAGTCGCGGTGTAAGTACAACTCTGAAGCTGTGTACTATTGTTTGCTGTGTGGCACTACCGCTTAAATCAGGATCTCGACTGCTGAACAGCCTAAGACAGTGCTGTATCGTAAACAGGTGTTCTGTAGGAATAACGTTCTTAAGCTATCCGAGACATGTGTTCCACACTCTGCAAATTTATACTCGTAATGGCACAAGCAAAAGGCTTTGGTTGACTGTTAGACGAGATCAGCACTGCCCAGATATTGAAAACAAAACTAACACGGCGAGACCAGCGGTATACTCCGGAATCACTGGAATATCTATGCCTTCAGAGGGTTTCGCTTTCGTGATGCGAACAGTAGACAAAATGGAAACCACAGCGGCCCATAAAGTGAGCTCAGCGAAGTGGCGCCCCGGGCAGATACGCCTATAAGTTGTCTGATTGAGAGATAAATTAACGAGCCTTGCGGGGTTATTTTACCTTCCAAAGCCAAAGCCGAAGTGTCCCGCAAGGGGTTCATCTTTCAATTTCCTCTCAGCGGTTAGATGTCTTTCAAGAGTAAATTGAGATGCCTGGGATAGAGGCCCTCGTCTCGAGATAGAGCCCTTGGTGCTATCTAGGTTGCAAGCGCAGACAGTGCTTTAAAGGCAAAGCACATACAATTCATTTACCACGACGATTGACCCTGCGATGTCCTTTGAGTTCAGTGTACTAAATATGCGGACCTTTCAGGATCAAGTATCCTTCGTAAACATCATCTTGAGACGCCACATGTGGCAGCCCTATGCGTAAACATGAGTAATATAATCAAATAGTCGGAACGCGACGCGACTGACCTAGTGGTCCGATGGGCTGCCATCTAAAAACTTCTCGATAAGTGGCTTCGATGTAGGGCAGTAATGGTTTGTGTTCAAAGCTTGGGATGTTATCTCCACAGACGGCATTGATGTCCGCGAGTGCGCGAGATTGCACGTCTGGGTGAAGTATCATCGCAAGCAGGAATGAGTGTAAAGTTGATGCAGTCTTGGGATGTAAAATGGTGAGTGAATGTCAGCGTCGACTACATAACCTCACTGTTTCTCTTCCGGCCGTGTAGGATGTGAGTTTAAAATTTACTTGTGGATTAGATCGTGCATTAACTCTATAAGGAAAGCTACACCTTTCATGAACTCTTCTCGTGCCGGAGACGTGTCGCCCTCGTTCAGGAATTTGGTTACCATAGAGGGCGGTAGTTCATCGCCCGTCTGTATTTTGCTTCCAGTTTGATACATCAAGAAAATGATGAGCGACACACCATCTTCTTCCCTATTTCGAAAGATTCATCCAACACCTGACGAAAAAGTTTCCTAGAATGAGGCGCCAAACGTCGATCTGCCGCCCCTGGAAACCACGAGGAAAGATATTCCACCGCTGAGGACACTAAATGATTGAATTGTGCAGCCGATGTCTGACACGTACGGAAAGGAAAGGCCATCAGCAGCACAGCTCTTTCAGGAGCCAGCACTCTCTTAGCTATCTCAGCAGCCTCCCGGGTGCGGCCGATAAGAGGGTCTCTCTGAGCTTCAAGGCTCTGACGACGATCCCGAGTCAGCAGAGAGCAGACTTGAGCTTGGGGACCATGTTATCAGGAAGGCTGTTGAACTGTGCTCTGTCTACCCGGGCGATACACCGATACCCGCACACACCACCACTCCGCAGAGACTGTTCGCCCCTTTATGGGAATGCGCAGTGATTCCACGATGGTTACAAGATGCAGATGACCCTGAGTTCAGTCACGAAGGCGGACCCAGTGAAATCAGAAGCGTCTTGCGTGCCGCCTTTCTTTCAGCAATGGAAGAATCTGACCTATACCCGGAATGGAGAGAGGCGTACGACATGGGTCGTCCCTTTCGACGGTTTACAAACCTGTTGGGCCTCTAACCACCTTGATACATGGGTAGATGGACCTCTCGAATGGGCCAAAACCCACCTTGGAACCAGATTGCCTGAAACAGACGCACAAATTTGATATCTGCCTTTGATCCTTGCCTACTTGCGAAGTCGCCATTCCGACATCGCTGCACAAGCAAGTGAAGTTCGTGGTAAGGATTGTGGAGTCAACTACAACTTTACAAGGCTCGAGAGGCTGAGAATAGTGGTGTGGTAATGTAGCATCGCTAGGTCAGTGTATAGTTGGTGTAAAGTAATGTCGTGTGCAGGACCAAGCCGGTGACCTGGCTAGTTATCGAGAATCATTTCTGCCATCTTGCTAGCTCTGTCCCTACTTCCTGAAGCCGAAAGCGAAGTTCTCGTCGTCCAGTAAGGTTCACCGGTCGACATCAGCGTTAACCTGCGATCGAGTAACTTGGGGTGTATGTGGAAAATGTGCGCTTTCACCCAGATGGTCATCCCACGGTTGATCTGCCGCACCCATAGCTGAAACCTCTGTTTTCCTTCTTTCTTGCAGGAGTGGATATAGACATCGCCAATCTTGGGTGCTATGCACTCACGAGGGTATCGAAGTTCTGATGCACTCTCGGATTTGTAACCAGCCCATGAAGAGATCCTTGTTGTTAAGCTTGCGCTCCATTCGGAGAAGTTTGGTGGTATTTGTGGTTGTAGACGCGCGAGGCTCTCTCTTTGGCTCTGCCTCCCTGGTTGCCGACTCGTGTCTCTTAGTCTTCATTCTTTCAGTCTTCAGTGTCTCCATTCCCTCGTTCTCCATTCTTTCAGTCTCCATTCTCTCAGCATCCGTCCTTTCAGCATCCGTCCTTTCATTATCCATCCTTTCACTATCCCTCCCCTCTGCCTCCCTCTCATCCGTTCCCCCTTTCTCTTTCTCCGCCGTCGCATTGCCTACGTTTGCAGGCCTAGATATTTCTGGCATAGATGAGGCGTCTAATTTGTCGGCAGTAACGATAGGGTCTACATGGCTGCCAGACGCGGAAGGTGACACAGTACTGGCAGGCGACCTTTGGTGGCAGGGGTGTACAGGCGGTTTGTTATCGTAACTCGCGAGTGGCCGAGGTGGCACGGTACTGGCAGGAGGCGGCACGACGCTTGTTATATCGTTGGTAGATTCAGAGTCTGATTGATATCTATAACTGATGTCAGACTGAATATACGCGCACGAATAACGGCACTGACTTGGACCAGAACCTTGGGGGAACATGGGATCTGGAACTGATGTCAGATCGAATATATGCGCGTGAAAAATGACACTTACTCTGACGAGAGTCTTCGGGTAACATCGGAATTTTCGAATTGCTTGTGAATCACATTTGCAGCGTCGTGTGTAGGAGCTGGCACGGCATTGGCTAACTCCTCACCTGTGCGACGTGAAGACGCGACAAAATTGACATGCTCTGGTAGAACCTGCTGCGTGCACGGCTGGGTATGGGTCCTGCAGCCCTAATCAGACTCAAGAGTACATTTGATCGCTGAGATTGTGATAGGCTGACCTCAAAGTCGGTAACTGGATATAAAATCCTCTGGAGTCCAGCACTTGCACGGGTTGTTCAGGCTACATTGTGGCGCTTGAACAAGGTGCCACAGAGAAGTAACTCTTACTGACCGCTTCTATGTCTAACTTCAAGTGTAGCCTCCATTGGTTTGCGGAAGTAACGCCAAAGGATACGCCAAGTCCGGGATGCAGCGTTTGCGCCGGATGCTGCGACGAACTCGGCTCAGAGGTCTGAAAAACCAAGCGTATCAGCGAATGTCTTCAGACGCGGCGCACTGTACGGTGACCGTGTACCTGTGATCGGAATACATTCGTGTATGGATTTCGAGATGGATCAGAGTAGCGGGCGAGAGTCTCCTGGAGACTCGCGTTGAACATCAGTACTAGCCGTGGTGAGCGCCACTGAAATTCAGAAATCTGTTATCGAGAGAGATAAAAGCAAGAGGAAATAAAGGAAAGCGTCGCGTTGTATCAATTTGTACTGACGGGCCTCATGCCACTTGTTCGATCGCATAAACCCCAAACCACGGGTAGATAAGGCGTGAATGACATTACGTACCGCAGAACATTGCACCATGCGCAAAACTTTGCTTCCATTTGGTTGCAGAATATCAATTCTCTGAAGGTGTACATCTTTACTGAAAATTTACATGGAGACGAACATTACGAGTCAGACTTGCAATACGCTGTCCACGCAACCCCACTATCCTGATGAATGGCCCACGGTATGTCTAATAAGGGAGAATCAGAATCAAGTTTCCAAGAAAATACAGAGTGTCAGAATGTCAAGTTGTGGAGCACACCCTCGAAGAGGTCAACTCCCTGAAGAAATTCAACGAAAAAAAAACCAACATCATGAATCAACAAAAATGAAGCAATTACTCACCATAATCAAAAACCGCGAACGACATTAAACATCTTGGATCGAACGGCGAACCGTTTGAATGCTCAAAAAATAACGCACGAAGGCGAAAAACCGCATCGAATGAGAGTGAGCCCCATTGAGTTGAAGACATGCCAGAAGCATTGTCGACAATCGCATAACTATGTCTATGAGCAACGAAGCGCCAACCGTCTTCCAAGATACTCAAACACGACCAGGCTCATATCTTCGCATAGTCGTGCAGTTGAAAGAGCACTTGAAGTCAAGTAAGCAACAGGGTAGGCAAGCGGAACTGGTCCTGAGCACGGTGACAAGTCCAATAAATCGACCTTCCCGACCAGTCTCGTTCCCCGCAGCGCTCTTAGAGCTGGGAGATTTCCATTGCGAACGAGAAGGCATAACCCTGTTTCTCCGGGGACTTTCCCCACAGCGAAAGAAGAAAGTAAACCTTTCTGTGCGTATGCTGCGACAGCGAATCTTCAGACAATGCGGTGAAAAGTCAAAATTTGCGCCAGCTGCTATAATGGGGACAATTGAAACTCCGAACCTCAATTTGCCGAGAGGCCGGCGCGGGGCTTGCGAGACATGCACCAAGGGCTGCCTAAGCCCTTGTTAACCGACTTTCACCGCGTTCTCTTATGAGTAACCCAATGGTCCCTCCAGACGCGGAAAACAAGGATTCTACTGGAAAGGAGCTACCTCATAATACTTCTACTCAATCAACCACGCGCAAGGAACCACAAAGCCGCTCAAGTATGTGGCCTCTCCCCTCCATTTCAGTGACTCGGCATCCCTCTGGCAAGTTCCTAATCTTCACTTACTGGAATCAGCTGTAACATCGAGCGCACTTTACAGGAAAGTTTTCACCACAGACCGATGAACGCTGCTTCTCCTACTGCTCTCAGACTACTCGCGGACGGACCGAGGGTCGTGAACCGTCTTGCCGTTCGGTGTGCTTCCGCAGGGTCTTCGCTCATGAGGTTAGAACAGCGATCGCCCACGATGATGCGCTCAAGGGGAAAGCCGCTCAGAAGGATTATGGTTTCCCCCTTCCACCAGAGGGCCAGCCCAATGCAGACAACTTATCATCGCCCAAGTCTGACGATATACGGTATTGGGAGGAGGGATGGTACCTTTGGACAAGTAGGAGCCGATGGGCAACACAAGAGAGACTGGATCTCATGATGTGGGACCTGGACCATCAGGATCATTGGCAGCGCCACAAGGACGATGTGCAGAAGCAGTGGGATGATTATTGGGCAGAGCACCAGCGACAGACCGGGGAGCAGATTCATGGCACGCCCACAGCAGCGGGTGCATCAGAAAACATACAGCTCGAGGGCACGCCATATCCAATCGATGGCCAGATGCTCCCTAAGCAAGAAGGGAGGCATCCATGGTGAGTCACGTCACTTATGTCATGATCGCTATTCGAGCTAAATGATATTTAACCCAGGCAAGAGTCTACATTAATCAAGCTACCTCCTCCTCTCACCCCTCTTTTGGAACCAATCCACGACCTTCTTTCACCATCCTTCAAGGTTCTGACCACTTTACAACGTAGTTTTGAATCGGGTGCCCACGCTGAACTCGCTGTTCGCATGTGGGAAAAGGCAAGGACGCCCGATCCCTTCATTCTTGCGAGCACGGTTTGCAGGAAGATGTGGGAGAAATGGAAGGAAGGACCTCCAGATCCCGACACCACTTCGGACATTTGATAACTTGACCTACAGTGTTATACCTCCCAACTAGAATACTGCTCTGACTACTCACAATACAATGTCTGGGGCTACATATTTATGTATTCATTTCATTTTTCGACACGTCATTTTTGCCAAATGGAAAACACCACCTACCCGGACAAAAAGATTTGACTAGAGTGAGATTCGAACTCACGCCCTTTCGGACTGGATCCTGATTCCAGCGCCTTAGACCGCTCGGCCATCTAGCCGTGATAGTTGGTCAATCTATTAGAATCTATCTATCATGGCGGCAACTTGCATGCGCAACTCCAGGTCCTTAGTAGATCGTTGACATCGTCAACGAGACTACTTCGCAGCCTGTACTACGCAACAACATGTTGTCGCCCCCGACGCCATTGATTGCTGACAGTGCCGCACCTGCAGTATGCACTAATATCAGCCAGCATTAAGCAAGGACGACGAAAAGAGTGTCTTGTGTTGCGGGTACTGCTTCTTGTTGTACTATGGTATGAGATCCACATACCAACGTGTATAGCACTCTGGTCTGTCATTCGGCCCCAAAAAGACTGAGCGCTTGGTACTATAGGCTATCATGCTCATCCCACGAGACCCCGCGTTTCGATACCAGCCAAGAACTCTCCCCAGAATCATTTTCGGACGAGAACACTACGTCACTGAAATATGTGATATGTTTGCTCCCTGCATTTCCCAGGCGCGATTTCGATGATGGGAGAGCAAATGGCCTCATAACTGACAGAAATGGCGTCACTGACAAGATCCATCAGATTTTGGAGAAACGGCGTTGAAGTAGCGTCCCGACAGCTGTCAGCTATCGCCTCGTTCCAGATGAGGTACAAGGTAACCTTGGTACACCCAAGCCGTTGACTTTGGGCGCCATGATATGTGACGCCTGACATGTGACTGGGTGACCAGGTCAACAAGAGCTACGCATATGATCAAGTAAGGTGATGAGCCTCCCGCAAGGTGCAGAGGGTTGCTCAGCGCCTCCCCCCACGTGGTGAGTACACCAGAGGGTATCTTTGCAATATCAGATTCGACGGTTTACTTGTCAGAGCACCCAGTGTGTGGGCCGATGAACCTAGAATGAAATACTTGAATCTACTGGCAGAGAGTCTGCCTACAAAGCATCTGAAGATACATCCGCGACAGGAGTGCCATCGACTCCGACTCATAGTGTTCCATGTAGAGTTTTGAGCCATTTGCGCAGTGCAATCGATTGTAATGTCAGTGCAGACAATTGACATGACGCAAAATAACTAGATGATAACGATTGGGAGCAATCGGGATCGACTTTATTGCAAACCCGGTCACCCAACCTGCGCCAGTGGACTGCATCCATGAAAGAAAACGGAAAGGGAGCCCTATGTAATTAGCGATAGCTGTCTAGCAAATATTCAATAAGAAGTTTAAGGCCTACTATTAGAGAGATCTCGAAGACAATCACGGTGGGAAAATGCGTATTCAAGTTCTCACCTGGTGATAAGTAAATTTATGCCCTTCTGGCAGTACTTTCAGTACCATTATGATGTATCCCATGCAGGCCATCCTGTTCGAACATCATGGTTAAAATTATCGATGGGACTTTGGCAAGATACATCGAGATACCTTCTCCATGATGGTACTTCCAGCAGTTTGGCATATCGGGCCTTGTCGCCGTACCGCGGTCTCCCGTCCACCTTCAGACGAGCTTGTGTATTGAACCGTGATTTCTAAAACCATTCGGAAATCATCGATTACTGACACTAGCCGGCCAGCCTCCCGCACTTGCTTTATGCCGAGCTAACCTGGATGTCGACCAGTCAACGCATTGCAGATCAGCTGGATTATAACAATCCCGGAGTCCGTAGAGGCTTATGAATCGAGCTTATCCGATAACCCGACACCATCGGTCATCAATCATTCAGACGTTGCATCAGCGTCAGGTGGACTGTCACACTTTGTCGCAGGGACAATGATCGCAGTTTTCAAATTCCATGAATGAGTGAGAACAGATAGTACCGATCTGTACCGATAGGATTTTGCTGACAAGTTATCATTGAGACACTTGTCTTGATGGCAGTTCCATCAGCTTGAGAGTCTTTTGCAATTGGTGCAGGACAGCCGCGGTCTTCCACGCAATTCGTATCAATTGCTATAGCTGCCATTTATGAAGCTGCTCGAACCTTACCGTTATTCATTGACACTTGACAGTCAGCGCCCCGCACACTTACTCCATGTCGAGCGCATAGGCCCGCATATCGAACAACCAACCCGTTGCGGCGGATGGGTTATAGCGACCTCGGGGTCCGTAGACTATTTTAATTTAGGCTTCCAGGATCCAACACCTTATCAATTCTCAGGAGGGCTCAGACAATTCACGCACGTCGATTTCTTGAGCATACGCTTCGAAGTAAATCTGCGAGTCTCACTGTCCGACAGGAACAGACGTCCACTGTGCGAAGGTCTGTTCTGTTAATCTTGTGATAAGCTATTGTGGGATTTATCTGACTAGATGGCCGGGGTACCTCCTGGGAGCATCAAAGGTATTGGGCCCTCAGCAGTCTTCTTGCCAGAAGGAACTATCACAAAAGGGAAGCCTTCAAGAAGTAAAGCTATCGGTCGCTCTACTGTGGAAGAATTATAAAGGCTTGCGAATATTTGCTCAGCCCTCTCATCACCTTATTTCACCCATCTACGAGCCCCCCACACAAACACGACGATGGCCAACAAAGCAAAACTTGAGGCTCTCCTAACTCTCATTAACACATCTGCACGAGATGCCATCGCTATGTATGAGCGGTACGGTGATGTACCCACCATTGACCAGATGGAACCCCATCCACTAGACGATGCTGTCGACCAAATTGCCTTGAAGAGTGCTATTCGTACCCTTGAAGGTGCTTGTTCTCAGCTATGCACGACACTTGCTCCACCTGCCCATACTGCCATTAACGTGAGAACTTGAATCATATATGCACTCTACTGCTAATCTGAATGCATGCAGCTTGTCCAAGTGTACGATTACGCTTGCATACGAGTAGCTGTTCGGGAAAATATCACAAATATTCTGTTGGACTACCCTAAGGGTATTCACGTCAACGAGCTCTCCAAAATTATCAACATCGAGCCGAAGAAACTGGCCAGGATGATGCGTCTCCTAGCTACGCGAGGTTGCTACAACGAAGGTAAGGTGCAATTTATCGTCTGGTTCGATTTCTTCTCAGAATTTGCCAGTTGATACGGACGTTTTTGGCAACAACCGTCTGTCTCTAATCCTTCACAGCGAGAACCCTGTCCGACACATGGTATCGCTTCATGTGGAGGCATGTGCCAAAGGAGCATCAGTTTTCTATGAGACTCTCAAAGACCCAAAGACTGCGTACTCGTATGAACCGACGGATGCGCCCATCATGTACATCAACAACAAAGAGGGCATCCAAGGAACGTTCTTCGACTGGATGAGGGAGGATGTACGTTTGCAAACGCTGCTCGCCATTAGTCTTCTAATATCTTTACCCTTAGGACAGTCGACGTGAGGTAGGGATGCTGGTCACTGCCCGCGAAGGTTTTCTGACATCTATAGTAGAGCTATCATCGCTCGATGAGAGGTCTGAACGGCATCATGGGCTCGCTCGCTGTCCTGACTCGTAAGTACTTGGGCGCCCAAAGACAAGGGGAATCCGCGCTGACCTAATGATAGATTTCCCATTCGAAAAATACTCAACCGTCGTCGATGTTGGAGGAGGTATCGGCGCATTTTCCCTGCCATTGGCCAACATGCACAAGAACGTGAAAATTACAATCCATGATCTTCCAGAGGCATTGGTTCAGGCGAAAGGCGTAAGTCAGCAGGAGGTTGCGCTTGTTGCCAAACTGACGGAATTTAGATTTGGGCGAGAGACTGCCCTGAAGCTGTGGCAGAAAACAGAGTCGAGTTCGAGGAGCTGAACTTCTTCGAACAAGTGCCCGTAAAGGGCAAGGACATCTACTACGTGAGTTCAAAACCCCGTTGGCGATAGTCAGTGAAGTTAACAGTAGCTGCAGCTCAGAAATATCATTCACGACTGGCCTGACCACGAATCTGCGCTCATCCTCCACAATGTTCGCCAGGCGCTGGGTCCAAACAGCCGCGTCCTTATCCGTATGTCAAATGTAGGGTAACCTGTCGTCCGCACCCTGACAAATTTCAGATGACTATGTGCTCCGCCAACTCAGCCGCAAGCAAGCAGCAGTTGAAGCTTCAATGCTGGGAGCTGTTGTGGTATGTTATGTCGGCTGGTTTACATTCATCTTCGTTCATCCATGCACCTAGGCTCCTGAACCCCTTCTTGCAAACTTTGGTGTTGGAAATATGCGTTCATATCAGCAAGACATGTCCATGCTGTTGTTACACAACGCGAAGGAGCGCACATTGCAAGACTGTCTCACACTCTCGTGAGTAACGTTTGATTGCTGCCTTGGTCTCACCTGATTGGGAAATAGCACTGCTGCTGGTCTGAAACTGGAGAAGGTCTGGGACCTTGCTGAAGCATGTGTCTTGGAGTATTCTGCCGCGTAATGTTCCTCGGGCTAATTAACTTTTGGCTTATGTGCTCATCCACGTAAGCATATAATTACACATGCTCCAACTCATCTTAAGATTGGTGGGTTTCACGATGCACCTGGGAACTAGTTATTGGCATGTATATCATAAAATAAACTTTGGCTAGACTTCCAAGATAAGCTCGACGCGATATAATTACCGTGTGATGGTCCACAGCTTCTCAACCAGCTTCCACACCTTGAGAACACCAGTACCGATGCTGAAGGGGATCACAACATCATTAGCAGTGATAAGCATAAGACGTGAGAGTACCTACTTTGTATCCTCTACTTGGGTGAGCGGTACCCACTGAACACTCAAGGTCTGCGGAATTGGATTAACCTCCGCCTCGGATACCTCGGATCGTTTTGAAGGTCTTTGCTTTCCCTTGGGGTTTTTGACGCAATTACCATTTTCCCTGGCACCTTGATCTGGGGAAACAGCTGGGCGAAGTTGTGGGGGCTCATCTCCCTCGCCCTCCAGCAACACCCACTGAACACGGTAGGTCTTCTTGATGTGCGAAAATACGTGAACAACATCGCCCGCGGGCGTCACGTGTGTTATTTTTGGAACGTGGTACGATGGGTTAGAGTTCGTTGGCTTCTTCGATGGCTCTTTTTCGCTGTGTAAGGAATGTGGTGGATGCATGAGAAGTTCCTGGAGAAGTCTGTATGGTACTTTAGCCATATCGGATGAAGAAGCTTTTGCGCCTGTCAAATTGGGTACTGTAGGAAATTCGTGTAAACCAGCTAAAAGTCCTATATCCACACAGAGTCAGGACGTATATCTTTGCGCAGACATTAACTCACCCCCTTGGGGTCGGCGGACCAGAAGAAACCAGCGATCTCCGTTGTTTATGCTTCGCCACTCTATGACATTCACAGAATCAAGCTCTTCTCTGGGCTTTTTGCGTGCAGTTTTCATGGGATATATAGTCACAGATCCATCGTCTTCATCAGATGGCATAGGATCGCAAACCAGGCAGAGGTCTTCGATATCAGCATCTACAGCACTTGGATGTGATGCCTACCAAAGTACTTCATTAGAAGGTGATCAGGACTCCATGAACTAGAAAGCTAACATTGGGCTGCGTCTTCTGATATCCCTTACACCATAGACGCAGGGGGCAATCGGAACACACAGGATCTCGGACTGTACAGACAGTGCTTCCTAGTTCTATCAAAGCTTGATTTATGTCGCCAGGGCGCTTCGATTGTTCTATGAATGATTCGGCGCCTGCCCATAAGATATCTAGGGTCCGTTTAGACTTCGGCTGTGCATGCAACGCTGTGAAGCGACTAAGAAGTCGATGTACATTGCCATCAAGCTATGAAGCAATGAGACACTTCGATGCAGTGATTCTGGCAGAAAGCCTACCACAGGTACACACTGATTATACGCAATAGAACATATTGCCCCTGCGCTGTATCTACCCACGCCTGGTATTTCTGCCTCCATATCTTTTGCATTATCGGGTAAGCGACCATGTAGTTCTTTGACGGCTTTCTGGGCACCACTCAGCAAGCGTGCTGCACGTGAGTAATAGCCTAACCCCTTCCACAAAGAGTTGACGGTCTCGATATCAGAAGCTGCAAGGTCCCTGATGGTGGGGAATCTAGACGAATTAGGTCAGACGATCCAGAGAACTGAGTGCGTCGACGTACTTTGCCATCCATTTATTATAATACGGTATCACTGTCGCGACTTGAGTCTGTTGTAGCATAATTTCCGAGATCCAGACCTAAGAATCTGTCAGAGTCAACTCTGAGCAGCCTTTTCGTGTTCGAAGTCAAATATTACCTCGTAGGCTCTTTGTGCACGCTCCTCAGTGTCGAACGAGGGGTCAAACTTCTTGCGCCAAGGCATTTTTCGAGCGTCATGGACTCTGTCATACCACTCCAGGAGCGCGACTCGCATTGACTCGACAGCACTTATGACGTGCATAGACGCTGAATGGCCTGAGATACTGTTAACCATAGTCGACCCATCACCCTCGTGGCCCTTCTTGCGCGTCGTACGCGTTGGTTGACGCGTCTTCCTAGTCTTCTTTGTCACCTCAGTGCGGGATGTTTCGTCGTAGGAACTATCAGAGTCATCTTCCCCCAATTCAGAGGCTGGACGTGGTGCGCGTTTTCGTTTAGGCATTTGCAACGGTGACTATAATAACAGTCAGGTGGAGCTAACAGGTTTTAGGACGTAGTGCTGCCGACTGAGAAGGACCAGATGTTGTGCATTTCAAACTCAGACTACTAGTCTCGACCACCTAAGCAACGAAATCGAATGCAGGTTGGGAGAGGACATAAGTACGGAGAACAGTCGTTTCCCCAACCCTGACAGGGATTAATTCGAATGATGGTAAATAAAAAGTATAGAAGATGAAAACAATGGGTCCTATTATCGAGCAAGAGGGTGAAGCCAAGCAAGAAGTTAAACCCAATGTAACACCCTTTTATTTAGACTTCTATATCAGTCGTGTCTGTCCACCAGGAAGAGTGCTCCGCCGTCTCCGTGCACGTTCGAGCGGTGGCAGGTTGTCTTCGTCTTTGGCAGACCTGATACTTGTATCTGCGTCTTGTGCTGCAAGGTGCTGTGCGTGAGTAACCACGAGTAAAGGAAATACCAGGAAAATGTACCTGGTGAGCCACTGCTATCATCTGGTTGTCGCTGTCCCTCACTGTCATCAGATGAGAGGTTGACCGGAATGTAATTCGACCCAACACTATCGGCCAGAGGTGACATATGCTTCGGAAGCATAGAACGTCGCCTCTGAAATGGAACGACATGAGAGCGTGAAGTGCGACCCCAGACGCTGCATACCTTGTTGGTGCCCGCAACGTTGACCAGTTCTAGATCAACTTTGAACTTCACCTCATCTACCCTCGATCTTTGCTCAACGCACTCCACTACCCATGCGATGCCAACGACGAGTGGTTTTGGGGCATTCAGAAGTCTAACGCAATGACCATTGAGGTCGTGGATGATGTTAACGAGAAACGACTGACCGATATCGGGCCAGCGTGCTCGCTGAACCATTCTTATATACAATATGTGTACAGCTCTGCCCCACACGACCGAGTATCTGGATGGAGGCAACCATTGAAAATCAATCAAGATCAAGTGGTACCACCTTATGTCACTTACTTTGGCGCCGAGCCCTCTTAACATGTCGATAAATAGACTCCCCGCGTCATCACCGTCATCCGTCCGCACATCCACAAATATTGCACACTTCTTCAACACTTTCAACACGCTCTTACCTGCACTGCCACCTTCCACGGGACTAGCAGCGGCGTCACTCTTGGAATGTACGTTCCGCTGCAGAGCTGCACTATCGATAATTTCGCTGACATTGATTTTGTCCTTCCCATCCGGAGCGGATTTGGAGCCTGAACCTGATGAACCATAGTATGTACTACTTGATGACCGAAGCCCTGTACGCGTGCCCGCCGCGACCAGCTTCGGCGGAGTCTTCGGCAGTGCAGAGAGGGATTGCGATAAAGCATGCAATGCGCTTGATGCACGGCGCGAGTCCCATCCTTCGCGTTGTTTGCCCTTGTCGGCTGAGCCTCGTAGTTCTTCAATCACGAGGTCGGCCTCCTTATTCTCTTCGGAGGTTTTACTGTCTGACGGTATGGGTGAGGTTGCCGCATCCAGTTGCTTCTCCTGCCCGGGATCCTCTTCCGCTCCTCCAAGACTCGCGGGGAAATGATTATCGTCAAAGGTGCCTCCGCCTTTCACTGGACTCGCCATGACACTTGGTAAACTCGTCTTTCGACTGGCCTTCATAGATGGCTTCACCAAACCTGAACCAAAGATACCAGTTGTCGTGCGCCCAAGTGCTCCGCTCCTATCTTTCATCTGCCCCACCAAGGTAATTCGGCTAGGACCAGCAATTGTAGCATGACGCTTTAGCGAAGATGCCGTCGGTCTCGCAAATGTCCTCGATGAGCCGGTGACAGCACCGTCATCCTTAACTACCGAATGCGCTGCTCTTGTGTGCCCGTCTTTGTCTGAATTGACATTGAAGCCCAAACTTGTGTTCGGCCGACTCGGCGGAGGCATAGCAAGCTTTTCTAGAGCTGATGACAATGTGAATAGGGAAGACTTGGGTTTCGATGGACCAAAAATGCTGGAGCCACTAATAAACGGCTTCTTTACTGGGGATGTTCCTGCATGCCGCTTAATCGGGGACACTGGAAGTGGAATCTTAGAGGGAGAAGGAGGTGGCTTTTGCACACAGGTGGATGACGATGAATCAGTTCTAGATAACGAAGGTGCAGGTTTGGCCTTCATAAAAGTGGCAAGCGATGTCTGTTTAAGCTTGGCAGGGTCTGGGAGACCTTTGACTGATGACTTGTCGAGAGTTGGAACTAGAAATGCAATTGTCAGAAAGGATGCCAGAATAATGCACTGCAGTTTACCCTTGAAAATCGAGCCCTGAGATGATGATGCCACACTGTCAGGCTCATCGCCTGTACTCAGTGAGGTGTTTAGAGTGCTGGCTTCGGGTGGTGCGTCGCCTTCATCCAGGCCTTCAGGCTTCTTATCTTTCATTGATACGCTACGTGTCACGCGGCGAGGGCCAGAAGGTGGAAGCATTGCCTTCTTGCCTTTGGATGCGTTTACAATAGGCTTTGAGCGTGCTGTGTGCGAACTTCCGACGGTTGCGGAGCGCCCCCGTTTCACTGGTACAGGTGGGGGAGGCACGAACGACGAAGCGGACGTGGATGGAAGCGGGAGGCGAGACGGAGCAGCTGAAGAGGTTGAAGATCCTGTAACACTGACTGTCAGCAGCGAAGAAGTGTTATCCGCAGCATCTTGAGACTGTCTGGCTTTCTTCTATCAAACCGAGTGTCAGTTTTCTGTAAATAATAGGTGGCCAAACTGACCTTAGCAGCGGCCGCTAACAGACTTTGTACGCCGGGAAGGCAACCTACAGATGAAGTAGGCGGGAGAGGCGTAAGAGGGGAAAGAGACATATGCAGAGGATATCCGTCTTGATATCGTGGCGTCGCAGACTCGATATTGATCATCTGGTTGGTTGGATCGGAAAGTTTGCGGTCAAGTATCGGGACGTTTGTGAAGTGGGACATAGCGGACGCAGTGTCAATATCCATTGCACGCTCTGTGGCGAGAGTACCCTCGTCGGTGGCAGAAAGTGGTGTGAGCGGAGATGTCGGAGCCGCTTCTGTGGGTGGAGGGACAGGAGTAATGTTCAGTTGGTTGGGCACCTTCCGAGGCGAACGTATTGGAGAAAGAGTTCGAAGGTCGAGTTCTGGAACATAGTCTGTAGGAAGGGGAACAGAGCGTGCACGCCCAAGGAAAATGAAGCCTGTTTTAACCTTGCAGTTCATAGCAGAAGGGGCAGCAGGTGTCTGTCGTGCCGATTCAGTGGCAGCGCGTACAAATGGTTTTGCCAATCTCCTGGTGGATTGTGATGCCAATTCCCGGTTCTCTACTGCGTCACCACCCATCAAAAGCAAGCTCAATGGCGGTAATAGGATCGATTTTGACGCGTTTCGGTTCGCGATAACTGGTAGGACTGAGCCCGTCTTCAGGACATGTATCGGACGACCGTTTGTTCTTCTTCGGCGACAGCAGGAGTTCATCATTCTCGTTCTTCTCTTCTTCCTCTTCAACATCCATATCTTCCTCGTCCTCCTCGTCTTTGTGTTCGTTGTATTTCCAACTGCAACTGGTTCCTCGACGTGACTCTGGCGTGCTTGAGAGGAGAGCGCGCGAGGGGTAACCTCAGGACATGATCAGGTACGGCTAGTTGTGATCGCGTTCTCTTGGAGATTTCGACGGACATGTATGTGTCACTGTACAGAAATATCGCGTGCCCGTTGTCCAATGCGATGAACTCAAGCACTGTAGCCGTCACGGATGTTCAGTACTCGGTGTCCGTTGATGTTAAACGTTTTGAGGTTCACTCACAGGTAACGTGGTGAGACACGTGACCAATAATTTTGGTGGTTAGTCACTCTGGTAAGTTAGTCACTGCGGCCACCCCGGTGACCACACGGTCCACCGTGACAGGCTTCAAAACCCACTATTCGTGTTAAGTTGTTGCTCCTCTTCCGTGACATTCAAGACTCAATTTTTATCTAGAAATGTTCCGTGAGTCATGGTTGCTCACAGCACAGCGCTCACCCTCCCGACTCGGGGGCTGCCGTTGCTTTGAGTAACAACGTCATGAACCATGATTGTGAAACTTACTAATACCAATGCAGCCGACTAGACTGAAAGCTTTAGCTTCAGCCTCAATGCGGAATACGCGTGCAATGTCGTGCATGTAATGACCTGAACAGCATGCTCCCCAACGCTTCATATACTATACGTTACGAAGTTAGGGCTGGCGCAATGCGCAGCGGGATGTGGGCATGCTCAGCCATTCTGGTAAGTTGTGTGCACCCATTCTAGACTATCCGCCGAGACTTGTAGTTTCAGAATGGAAAACTGCGCATGATGCGAACTTTGGGGTATGAATTTAATCCCAAACACTGCAATGTCGTTTGACCTCTTGTTACTCCTTACAGATGACGTGGTTCTCGTACTACACAGCTCTATCGGTCGCCGCTTCCTGATATATATACTTTACTCCATACGTCAAGAAATTCCTTGTGGTTTCTTGCAGTGGTGTGCCAACCCCACTCCACCAGTGACACAACAATTAATCATTACACGCATTGCTGCTGCCTGCATTTTCTATGTAGCATACAGCATACAAGCCGTACGCGTGTTTACCCAAGTCAGTCTCTTCCAGAAGTTGATTAACGAGTACCACTGCCATAGCGCTTTCTGCAAAATTTTGACCACCTAACTTCATCCGTCCTCGGTTCCTGGCAGGAAACTAGTAGAACCGAACCGCTCTTTCTTTTCTTTATCATGTCTGCACAGAACCTTCTCTAGGCGTTGGAAACTTCACCGTCAATCAAGCATCCGTGAGTCATCCTGTCCATAGCTTCTCAACTTACTGCGGTCCTGTCAAGCTATTTACGAGCATTTTATCCTGTGTCCTCCGATTAAGTGCTTGCGTGTGTCTGGAATAGCCTGACGCATCAGTCCCCCATTTCAAGTTCCAATGTAGCGGATCTAAATTTCCATTCAGTTGTTGTGCCCCAATCTCATTTGGGCGTACATCGTGACCTGTACTGAGTAGTGAGCGCACTCCCGTCATTATCCGCTTGCACATGGATGATGAACTTAGATTTTCCGCGAAGAAACATTACCAGAACACACGCCAGTCACTTGGATTTGCCATCCCAGCGACATAAAGGGGAACAATGTTACTTATTGTTGTCGCTGATAAAGCCGTCACAGCGCTGTGCCTGGTTGCGATGAAAATCCTTGTCCTCTCGCTCTCTTGCGCTCTCCCGCATCATTGCTAGCCCTTGTTTGCGTCGAAGCTCCCCCGGGTGATCGCGCTTGCTGTAGTGAAGTATTCCATGGCTCATTATCCCTTACTTGTCTTTCACATCGTTATTGCACCCTGACAGCTTGCAGGGTAATCTGTCGCTTGTCCTGGCCAGAATGGGTCCAGTAGATATGGAGATCTTCAGAGATATTTCTAACTATGTGAAGGGTCACATTTGCACCATGCAATACAGCGATAATTTGATTGATTAACCGTACTTCTTCAGGTTACTGAAAACCAACAATTAAACTTACTTGGTTTGAAGCACAATCTAATACACGTAGTAGGCTCTATCATAGTATCAATGGGATGATAAGAGGAAAACCCCCCCGGGTTCCCATGTTGTTTTTGCATAACTTGCAATCGGCAAGATCCTGTTGCCTTTTTCGTCAATTCCGCAGCGTCACATCATGGACTTGTCATGGGCGTTCATGGCCTTACCACCTATCTGCGAGAGAATCAGCGAATCCTCGCCAAAGCCATCGATTTCCCCTCGAGCTTGAACGACGTGAATTCGATCGTGGTTGATGGTTGGTCGTGAGTATATGAAGATCTCGTCGATGGCTTTGTGGCGACAGCGACTTATGTTATGCCCTTCAGGTTCATCTATGAGCTTTATGAAGAGTCTAAATTACCTTGGGTCTATGGTGGCGAGTACAAAGCTTTCTCTGCATGCGTCGAAGGTGTCGTGAAAGCATGGATGGCTGTGGGACTCAAAGTATATTTTGTCTTTGACGGTACATTCATTTCCCTATCATCGTGGCGGCATCTGAGCTCATCTAAGCCATCTCCTAAAAGGTTCTGCCCCCGAACTGAAGATTCCGACCCTCATCAGCCGTCTCAATCACTCGATCGTTGAACGGAGTCTTCTTTTCTTCAGAACCTCCGAAACATCACGCTCAACTCCCCGCTTTCTGCGTGAGACGCGGATGATCCCACCACTTGCATATCATGCATGCCTGCATGCACTTCGTGAAGTCGCCTCTTCAGCAAATACCCTGGAAGTGCATTTCGCAGATGAAGAAGGCGATCCTTATGCCGTCGAACTCGCCGGCAGGCTCGGGGCATTTGTCGTTGGTAATGACTCAGACTTTGTCATTCTCAATTCTGGGAAATATGCAGGATATATCCAGCTTGATGACATACTGTGGGCAGTACCTAACTCCGTGGATGCTGGCTCCGATGACGGGAATGGGGAGTTCCGCACAGTGAAGAAATCAAAGACAAAAAAGAAAAGCGCTGCTCAACAGGGGGTTCGCAGAGGTTTAATACCCCCAGAGCATAGCACGGATCTCAGTCTGTCAGTTTCGGTGTACACCCCGGCTGTCTTGGCATCCCACTTCAAGATTCCAGTCACCCTGTTACCTTTGCTGGGTGCCCTGGTGGGCAACGATTTTTCCAACCAGTCTTCCACACAACGAAACGTCCAAAACTTATTTTTCGAGCGCCAGTTAACGTTATCGCAACGCATTGCTCGTGTCGGGTCCACGTTAAGTGGGATACTCTCCGCTGCCACTCAGAAACGCAAAGCTAGGCATCAGGTCGGTTCAGTCATGGATTTGATTGACAGATCTGTGCATGCACTCCTGATCAGACCACCAAGTACCATGGCTTCCGGAGAGATAGATGCCATCGTTGACCGGATCGTAAATGCAGCATTGCAGTACGCAATTGAAAAATACGACGGAGATACATTTGGGCCGGATGGTCTTTGGCCTAGCAAAATTTGTGCACTGCATCGCGCAGAAACTTGCCGGTTGCCGGCTCTATTCTCCCGTGCGCAATTACTATCTAGCGATGATGGAGCCGACGACAACGCAGGGGAACATGACACTCAATTTCACCAGCTCCACACTCTCTACATCGCTGCATACCGGTCGGGCCACTTCCAACCGAAGCTCATGGATATGTTGAATACTGGCACTTTCTGGCCGAGGTTGTTTTTGGAGAACCCCGACGCGGAAAATGTCGCACGGAGTATCGGCCGACCTATCCGGGAGTGGATCTACGCCATTTTGGAAGATGCCGTAGGGTTGCCGGAAGCGCCCGAGGGAGCTGAGGAGCCTGAAGTAGGGCAATCTGACGCATCTCAAGTGGATGAGGATGACGAGGATGAGCTCATTGACGTCATGGAAGAAGACTCTGAAGACGATGGAGCCGATCTCCTCGCCCCATTGCGTGGTGAGCTCCAAAAACTCCGCGCGTCAGATGAAGAGTCAGAGATTCCGGCGTCGACTGCATCCCGATCCCGGTCACACCTTCCACCGCGGCCCAAATGTATCACAGAGTACGTTAGGCGAGGCACTCGCGTTGCCCCGGAGGGGGTGACGGTGCCAGATATTGGCAGGCTGTTGGCGTCGTCGGCATTCTGCGGCGACAGTCAAGAAAATTGGACCCCCTTACCACTAAGGTCCGCATCCGAGCGGATGTCAGTTTTCCTGCACGCCCTCCGTAGCGGTACCGCTGCTGTCCAGGGGTTACCGAGCGAACAACTCATGAGCGCCCTCGTTTTGCGATGGGTCGTGCAAATGATGCACCTACGGGCATTAGAATCCGCAAGTAAGGAACGAGAAAAAGAGAGGTGGACTAAAGCGGAGGCAAGTGCATTCTTGGCATTTTACATGTCGGAAGGGCATGGTCTCGATTTCCGTACTACGCCTGCACCTGCCGACTCAGAACATAACACCGGATCTGAGACCACCCCAATCAGCAGTCGTAATATCCAGCTTATGGCCCAGGTGCTGATGGCGATCGAGAGTATTCACCATTTATCACAAGTTCTCTCGGTATCAGAACGGGTTCCTGTTCGTGTCCATACGTTGTCAGGGCAGACGTTCCATACGTTCCTTGCACAGAAGTCCTCGAATTGTCGAGACACTTTGCCGCTCGGGCTGTGGGGCGCATGTATGGAGGGGATAGGGGATGCTTTTGCAGAAGAGCGTCCAGTCAAAGCCAAAAAATCCAAGATCAACGGAAAGTCCACTTCCTCGGTGCAGAAAGCAGTGCGTCATGTTGGGACAATGGGTAGCCAGTTTGGACTATTAGCTGATCTTCAGGTTTAACGTACTTGTCGACTTCCTGTACTGTTTGTTGATATTAAAGGAATACCAGTCGGTGTTAATGCATTAATGGACTAATTAGACTACTAGTGGGTAGTTGGCAGCTGTGTGTGGCTGTGTGGCTGTACGTGTGCTGTGGTTTGTTGTTCTCCAGATTGCATAGCCCAATGTTTATTTGGCACCACGCTGTGGACCCGGGCCACAGCCAGAGCCCCCGCCTGTGACCGTCAGATAATTTGGGTGATTACGGCGGCGCTACGGTAGTATTAATGGTACATAAAGAATCTGTTTCGCGTAGTATAAAGCCACAACACGGCCAGGGCTTTCCTCTGCATAACAAGCCTACCGCGCGCACTACTCATTACTCGTCATGCGAACCTCAATAAGACGCCAATCCCCCGCTCCTGCAGACGTTATCACGTATCGTTTGAATAACCAAATGATGTATGTTCCCCCAGCGCAGAGTTTTGATGTGAGTATTTCAACCCTAGGAGTTTGTGCACTAACTCAGGAAAATCGTTGCAGCAAGCAGTCACTTTTGCCAGATCAGCATTCGAGACTGATCTCACCGGGATTGACAAAAGCCGGATATCCTTCTCATTGAATGTGCTCGCGAATGGGAAGCAGGGTTCTGTGGGCATCAGCTCTGTGGCATGGCCGACAATAATGTCACGTCTGGCACGCTATGAGATCATAGATGTGCACGTCCAACCAGAGCTCAAAGTGTCCGGACCCCCGCCGAGCTATCGGTCTGGCGGCTCGACAGAGCGTGCTGAGAGAGAGCAGCATTCACACACATCATCAGCTCTCAGCGGTCTCGTTCCCAGACGTCTGTTTCAGCGGCTGAGTGGCTGATTGCGCCATCGTACCGGGCCCCTTTGCACCTCCTACTTTACTAGAACTATCTTCACATGCAGACTCTTATGGGCAGTAATGTTTCAATTCAACTTGGATACCCGAGCGCCGCATTTTGCGCTGAACACGCCCATTCTTTTGTATTACGTTCCCTCATTTCATTTAATGTTGAGTGGTGCGACGTTCATTATGTTTCAATATTGTTTCATATGTCCTTATGATTTGCTGTATCAATTCAGAAAGGAAATTTGTTGAAATAAAGATATGTAATACTACTAGGTACTACTAGGGCGTTGTGGATGAGCGCGAGCTCGCATCAAATCACATACAGCACTCGATATGTGCGTCTATGATAATACGGAGACAATGCAATGAACAGGTCTTTAAATGAAATTTACCTGTTCCTTAATTCACTAACAATTAATTGAGAAGCTGCGTCCACAAGGTCAACAGTGCATAAACGCTGATGCAGTCCAGCAACTCACGGATTCCGTCGTGGTGAAATCATTGATGATTTGCCGCTAGCATTGCCTACCCCAAAGGACACATGGTGTATCACTACACGATTAAGTATCAAAGGCGCTCGATTAAGCGTCATCCAAGACCGAGCGCCGCCTAAGAGCTTCACATCGAGCGTCAAATACAGCATGTAACGGAAGAACGGTATCTTCGGTGATTACCTCGAACTCAAGTTTTAGGGCTGTAACGAAGAAGTGCCTTGCTCCTAAATGTTGCGTTGTACTGCAACAAATTATTGATATCTCGAACCCAATCATCCTCTTTCCCTGGCCCAACGCCTTCCTCGCCTGGCTGTTCGTCTCCATAATCGGATATGGACGAGCGGTTAATGCAAGGAACTGGGTATGGCGAAGCTTGTACCGTAACGGACTCCCCTGGATTAAGAACATGCGATACCCGCCCGTCCATCGAGACACCTGCTGCAGCACGGGAACGATCGCCAATCTAATAGCCACAACCGCATGTTTGAGTAACTGCTTCCACGTGCTGTCAAAGCAAGCGGGACGGGCAACTCACACGCAGAGTCACAGATGAAGACGAAGGGAACACCAGTGGCCGGAACGATAAACTTCGTGGACATATTGGCACGAGCACCACAGCACTCAAGGAGGGATGTACGATAGGCCCTCCAGCCGAGAGGGAGTATGCCGTTGATCCTGTAGGTGTGGACACAATCACGCCGTCGGACTACGGAAATCAGTAACGCGCGGTGTTTGGGAGATAGTAGTACGTACGACAGCCTCCGTGAGATGTTGCCCGTCTACATAAATATCGATGGTATTAAGGTGTGGACTTGACCCACGGTGCAGTGCAATTTCATTCATGACCTGCCATTCTGTGTTTGAGTTAGCATCATGAGTACACGCGATGTTGCAACCCCGACCATCACCAGAGGACCCTATTTTTTTGCGATCTTTGTCATAGAAAGTGCACGACAAGCGCATGCGGTTGAGGATGGTTGCCTTGCCCTGAAACACTGCCTCAAGCCCTTTCACAAAGTCGTCGATATCTGTGGCATGTTCAGTGACGTCCTGGTTTTAGGAGTTGTACACCCACGGAACGGAAGCAGAAATCCAAGGGTTCCCATTGAGAAACTTAGCACGGGAGGGACCGCTCCTAGGCTAAAAAGCGAAGCAGCATGCAGAATGGTACCGTCACCTCCAAGCGTCACAACAAGATCGATTTTTTCGGCATTAGGCCCTGTGATAGGTTCAAGCAAATTGCTTTCAGCATGTACAATCTACTCACCGGGACGCCACACTTCTGCACCGGAAGGAATGTCCGGGCGGTCTTCAGAGAACACCTTCACACCTGGATATGTCTTTTGTACGTGGCTGTTGGGTGTTGAGCACAACGTGTTAATTGGCTGAATGATGTATCACGCACTCTAGTAGTTCATCAATTGCCCCAACCACAGGCTCTGTCCGGAGTTTGTTCACAATTAGGATGGATCGCGGAGGATATGACGCTTCCTGTTGGCTGTCTTGTTGAGCGTTAGCGGTCCACGATTCTTAAGGGGAGACGGCAGACACACGCTTGCGCTGATGAAAGTGCACGAGAAAGACGTGTGTGTGTTAGTAGTTGTGAGTTGAACGGATTCCCGCGCGATGGTGAAAGTAGTGACGGTCGACTTCGTACTCTGGTGTGCAGACAACGTCGAAAAGGAGAATACAGGAGAGCTCGCTGCGCATGGCCGACCATAGTAGTTGACATGGCTGCCAGCAAGTCTTGAGTCAACTGCACCACAGTGCAATAATTCCAAGTTGACTCAAGACCGTACGTAACTATCTTTCTTCTTGCCACAACCTTTGCAAATGTTCTCACCCGTTTTTAAAATCGACCCTCTTCCAACGAATCCAAAGACACTCATATTCTGGAGCTTTCTATAGCACTGTCAGTCCAATGGTGATGTTATGAACGAATGTTTTGGTCAGTTTCTCAATATTGACTCTATCATGACTCCTCTGTCTTGACGCCGACAGCACTGCTCAGAGCCTGGGCCAAACATAGTACATGACAGTACAGCACGTCAGTTTATGTATTCTAGGCCTCAGGAGAGGGGCGCCCTTCATGGATCAGTTCCATATGTATACAGTGCAAGCACAGTGCACGAGTACCCGGGTCCTTGACAAGTCCTTGATGTACTATTTAGTTCGCACTGGCAGTGATTGCTTGGCACTTTGAAATCGATACTCTAGGAGAAGTTGTCGTATTGAATGCAGCGAGTTCACTTGGACTGCTGTGTTCGTGATGCATCTGCAAGCGGCTGTCAAGGGGCATTGGCTATCTCCGAGATGGGTTCACCACTCTGTCTTGAACAACGGGCTGTATCGACGACAGACGTATTACCTTTCACCGAGGTCGGCCCTGTCTTGCCCTAGGCTCTTAGGCTTTCTCCTATCAGTCTCAAGCATCGGAGCGTGGTGGTCAATTTCGACACGACCTGACTTTCCAGTGAAAACGATCCAGAAGATCACGCCTGAAGAGGAATGCCTTTGGCTTCTAGTATTAGCTCTGATAGACCTGGGTCCTGTATAGCTAGCGGTAAATCTGATTATGATCTGAGATTCGGTAACTATCTATTGATGACTCGTGCAGAAAAAAAACGAACATCTCGAACGAGTAAAATTTCTTTCATCGAATCGATCGCGGCGTCTCCATCGAACTATATATCGGCCCATCGGGATTTGGCTAATCTCCGTACTTTCCTAGGCCGGCAGCGTGGACGTCGGGAACACAGACATCCCGCATGCTAAGCAGGTAGAAGTCACTCCTGTACCAATTCACATCGGGGGACGATGGTTGGATCCCTTTTTTTTCAACAAGGTATTGCCACCAGGGGGATTTTTATTGTCGACGAGAGCCTTGGCTGTTTAATATTAGTTATTCGCATCCTTTCTGACTCTGAACCACCTTCAAGAATATCTTGATGAGCAGCCAGTTATCGATATATCACGTTCCGTGTTCTGGCTCTGCCAGACATCCCTTGATCCCGACGCCGTATCTGCCGCCGCGAGATGGATTCCCGAAGTCCCTTTTCCAAATCATGGTTATGGGTCATGGGCGATTTGGGGCAAACTCTTCAGGCTAGTTCAGGACGGGCTCGATTGTCCCTCTCCATCCCCTTCGGTCTTGATATATGCGAAAGCCTTGACTTCTTTGTATTTCTTTGCTCACACCAGCAATAATCGGTTTTCGCCCTTCTTTAGCCATGTCAACTATCATCATGTAGCAATGCTTCGTGTGGATGAGCACTGCAGTCATGATACAGAGCTGCTGCTGTTCGTGGTGACTGTGCTTCAATAATGGTTCGACGTCGTTGACGGCGCATCGGAAAGTACGATTCCCGAAGGAAATAACATAATCAGTGCGCTTGGTCCAAACATTAATCTCGACGACGTACTCTGGAATGGTTCTTACATCCTCTCTTGCATGGCCTTTGTAGATCGTCACTGCCATGGTACTTGAAGAAGGAAAACCATTGCCGTCATTTGTTCTTGCAACCTCTGGCGATCAGTATATCATCCGCAGGCTGCTGCCCATTGATCGAGCGCGTCCTCTTCCTTCCCAAAAAACCATTGCAAGATGTCCCATGTCATGATCGCGATCCTCAATTGGCAGACGATTAATCTCGAGGAAATCAAAATCATAGATAACAGGTACGCATACCGACTTTCTTCACGTGTGGTGGGGCTGATAATCAAATGTGTGTAGTGACAAGATTACAATGATCCTCCCCCGTGTCCCGACTCTTATGCTAAGTCCAGATATCACTACCGTAATTCAAAATGATCCTACTCCCACTCCCCACCCGGCATATTTTCGTATCCGCCCCTGTCCTTTTTCTCACAATCACCAAGGTCACGTACGTTTTCCGCAACCAAGGTCTCACATTTTAGAGCTATATTGGAGCCTTTAGCCCGCCTTGCCAGCGAAACGGAATTCAGAAGTCATTTCGAGGACAGCGGGGTGGAAACGTGGAACATTGGTGTCTTCAAAGCTACCGTACCTAGCAATATTGAAATCGCGTCTGCATCAGCATTCTGCCTTGCCGCATGTTGTGCTATGGATGACCTCTTCAAACCAGGGGTCGTGCACACCAGAATGATCTGGAGTCCGGCAGCTCCCTGGAAGGCAAATGTGGACGCCTCTGTGCTGCTCGACTATCTCAATCAAGTCCATCGCCAGCCCACCTATGTTAACCGGCTCCGTCGTGCTCGCCTAGGCACGGATCTGCGTAACAGCATTGCACTTGCTTGTGCGCTGCTGATGCTGACGAAGCCATCTTCACTCTTGAGACGACAGCTGCGGTAGTGCCTTGCATCATTTTCGCGATGGAGCAGACAGAATCCCCTTTCATCAGACATGTTGGGTTGAAGACCGCCCATGTTATCAGAGAGCAACTATCGAATATTATAGATGATGTCCGTGATTAAGTCCTCCCGGCCTTACGTTCCGTGACCTTCGGAAGTATCCAGGACGATAGCATTGCTCCTGGTGATACATCACCTGATCGATTTATCCATCTAGAACGTGATCTTCATTATCTGGAAATATTCTTCGCCCTCGCAAACAGCGAGTATTGGCTCTCACAGTTCCGCCAAGGCAGCTGCGATCAATCATCACATACACCGCTGTGTTTCCATATCCGAAATCCTTCATACACCGTCACAGAATACAGAAGACTACAGAGAACTCTCGCTACGACTCATCTTGATATTTACTCGCAATGCCTGCGCTGACGATTGTGTATGGCCGGAATGGGACGTCTGGTTTGCAGCGCGCCCGGACAATCAGGTGTTACTTGCCCAGCAAGCTTGAGAGTATCCACGAATACCGAACGAGTGCCCTGATGTGGTCCCTCTTCTCGTTGCTTTCACGGACAAGATGTTGTCGAGTCTTGATGATGTAAGTGAGGGGGACTTAGTGAAGCTCGATAAGGACGCAGTGATTGCGGCGCTAGGTGGCATTTTCCAGCAGGTGCATATAGTAGCTGGACGCTAGTGTGGATGTAGACGGCATGCAGATTGCTTTGGAGGCATTTGGGACAAGGGTGCTGATTTCGAGAGACGAGCTATTGAGGAAATTCGGTGTACAGTGATTGTAAAACTTTTCGCTATCTGCCAGTACTAGATCTGTTTGCATATTATCCGACTACTCCAGAGTCCAGAAGCTACTGAGAGAAGGTCTTCGAGGTCAAAATTTCTTCAGCCGTATCAACGATTTCTACGCCTGCCTTGGTCATCTCGATCCATTCTGTACCCTCATCAGACACGCTCTTGACCGCATCCCTGATCACAAACGTCCTGAAGCCGTGTTTCTTTGCATCAAGTGCACTAAACTTGACGCAATAATCTCCCGCTATGCCGACCACGAAAACATTCGATATCTCCTTGCTCCTCAGCTTGTCCTTGAGCCCAGTGTTCGTAAGTCCCCATGGATCTTCAAATGCAGAGTAACACTCGATCCCGACGTCGCAGCCTTTACGTACGACATCCAGGCACTCGTGCTTCAGGCCGTCCACAAATGCTGCACCAGTCGTGTCCTGTACGCAGTGCACAGGCCACAGCACCTGTTCGAGCGCTTCTAGTGGCAGTTTATCCTCAGGCTTCCTCTTTGCTAACAACTCTGCGGGAGGAGATATGGTAATCTTCTCGAACTCCTTCTTGCCTGCATGATTGCGCGCAAAGGAGATGTGGTTGGCGGGATGGTAGTCTTGTGTGCCGATTTTAAGAGCGAATGGAAGCGTGAGGAGTGCATTGACGGTGTCGATGATCTGCTCTGCGTCGCGAACGGCGAGGCTGCCGCTGACGAAGTCATTCTGTACGTCAATGACGAGTAAAGCAGACTTGGAGGGTTGAATGGATTCGAGGTCTACTAGCATCGTTACGGTGTGGCTTATGATGAATTATGGGCTGATATCTGTGCTAGCTCCGTTGTTTATATACCCCATGATTATCTTATCAACGGAATCATTTCATTCCGGCTATTATTCTTCAAGCAGCTTTGCGTTTGTTTGTTCTGCTGCTTCAATTCTTGAGACACGGCGACTGCAGACACTGAGACAGGGTAGTGCTGTACAGGAGGTAGATGTTTTCACATTATGTTTTCTGACCAGCAAGCGTGTTGACTATGAACTTTCGCAGCCATGTCCAACTTGTCGCAACGGACAAGAACTTGGTCAACGAGCGATGCAGCCGAACCCTCGTCCGATACTAGTGACACCGGAAAGGAACAGGATCAGCTGCAGCTTAATAGGGTACTAGTACACGACGCGCAACTGGAATTTAAACGTCAAGCGAAGATTTTCGATGCTCAGATGCACAAGATGAAGGTATGTTCGGCGCATTGTGGTTCGTTTCAATATCAGCTCATAGTGATCCGTCCTAGAAAGAACGTCGGTTCTTCGTCAAGGCTCGTTTCCTGTTCCCGCTCGGAATCCTGCGTATGTTATTTATACATTATCTCCAAGCTATGATGACATACGTCGTACAGTTGGAATATTATTGGGTTTCATCCTCATCCAGCCTTCAGACTTTCAGGATATTCACAGCAACCTTCTTCTCCTCATAGAAGAGTACGACATCTCGCTCAAAATACCAGACATTGATCTGTCACGCGTCGAATTAGAATGGACCCGATTTCGGAGCAATATTCCAGAGGTCTGGAAGCTGAATAATGACGGACGCGAGTTTCAGGCTGGAGAGGCGATGAAAGCACGAGGCTTGACGGCGCACTATCCCATCGTGCTCGTGCCTGGCATCGTATCCACCGTAAGCCTATCTATTAAACTGCGTCTACTTGATATTCATTACCGTCCGAACGCGACTAGGGTTTGGAATCGTGGTCTACTTCACCCGACCATCGCGCTTTTTTCCGCGAAAAACTCTGGGGAGGCTTCAATATGGTCACACAAGTAGCTTTCAATCGTGACAAGTGGATAGCAGCGATGATGCTGGATCCGGTCACCGGTCTCGACCCTCCAGGTGCCAAAATTCGAGCTGCGGAAGGAATAGGTGCTGCAAGCAGCTTCATGACTGGGTACTGGATTTGGTGCGTCTCTTATAACGTGACGTTCTTTTGAGAATTAGAAGTGACAGCATATACACAGGTCCAAGGTCGTTGAGAATCTTGCCGTAGTAAACTATGACACGAACAATCTTCACTTGACCCCATATGACTGGAGGCTTTCCATGTGGAACCTGGAAGAACGAGACGGCTACTTCTCAAGGTTGAAGTCTACAATAGAAGGGTTCAAGTATGGTGCTAAAACGCGAATATCACACCAGACAAGTTTATATTCTATGACAGGAAACGACAAGGCAAGAAGACCGTCATCGCTGCACACTCAATGGGTAGCACAGTATGTCCATGTGTCTCTCGTTGCTGTCACCGTCTCAATTGTGGTACTTTTAGGTAATGCTGGTAAGGTCTAGGCTCTAAGATAGTTCCCTCCTGTAAAACTGATGAATTGGTAAAAAGTACTTGTAGGTCTTAGATCTCTTAGGCGTAGAGTTGACGATTTCTTCTTGACCTCTTTCTTCTAGCTTCAAATGGGTCGAGTCTCCCGAACATGGAGGCGGCGGACTAGATTGGGTAGAGGTCAGCCCCTGGCCCCCTCGTACCACAAGACGCTGAAAATTCTGCTTAGAATCACATCGAGTCCTACATTACCATTGGAGGGACACATCTCGTAAGTCTTTCCCTCCCTTGAATAACAATTACTTATTGCGTTTTCAGGGCGTGGTAATCCCCGTTTCATTGACATTACCGTTGTTTGCTGCTGATGAGTTTATCGTTTGAATTTTTGAAGGCAAAGGCTATGGCCGCTTTCTTGTCTGGTGAAATGAAGGATACAGTGCAAATGAATCCTGCTGGCGCATACGGTCAGGGCGGTTCATGTTTCTAAGTTATCATCTGATGATACCCTGCAGTCCTCGAGCGCTTTTTCTCGCGAAAGGAGCGGCAGAAGCTATTCTGTAGTTGGGCTGGCAGTGCTAGCATGTGGATCAAGGCGAGTACAGACCATCATCTTCGGTCAAGCGCCTCTGCAACAATTTTCAGGGAGGAACGGATGTTTGGGGCGATGCCAGCTGGGCACCTGATGACGAGCCCGGTTCATCACATACTCATGGTGAATTGATTGCCTTCCGACAAGCAGCCGTGCCACTATCTGCGCATGGCAGTATCTCAAGTATCGAGCAAACAAAGAACATGACGGCTGATGACGCAAGCACATGGATTTTGGAGCGTACTCCTTCAACATTTCAGGTTGATGACCGACTCTCTCTTGTTTGTACAATCATGCTCACAAAGAGACAGAAAATGATTTGGGATAACTACTCGTTCGGTATTGAGCGGGATGAAGAAGTACTCAAGAAGAATGCGCTAGATCCGAGGAAATGGTCAAACCCTTTGGAAGTACAGTATGTTATTCATAGTTCGTCTTATAAAAAACCTGACGGTGAGTTGCCTAGGCTACCAAATGCGCCTTCCATGAAGATCATTTGTGTTTACGGCCATGGAAAGGAAACTGAAGTACTCCCTAAGATTTGCTATTGTGTTTTCCAAGACTGAATTCGATAACAGAGATCATACTGGTATGCTCATGGACCACACGAACATGACGAGTCGTTCGCAGAGGTCGAGCATTCGACTTGCACCGACCCTACCGACAAATGCAACTATACAGTACGCCCACCCTTAGATATGCCAGTTTCCAGGACGAGCTGGATAGATGCTGATTACACGCATGAGACCACAACGCCCAAGGTGAGCTAGCGACTTTTATTATGCACGTTATATGTAAGCCGATTATAGGTGCGTAATGGTGTGAAAATGGGTGAAGGAGATGGCACCGTCAGCCTATTGAGCCTGGGAGCGATGTGTGTAGAAGGCTGGAAGAGACCAAGATGGAATCCGGGGGGAATTAACGTTACCACTGTTGAGGTACGTTGTCCATGCCCCCTCCAGTCATACAACATCTCTCATACCCTCAAAATACAGTTTCCTCATCAACCTGTTCCCAACATTCCCCGGGGTGGCGCAAATACTTCGGATCATGTTGATATCCTTGGGTCAACAGGTCTGAATGAGCTCATCATCAAAGTCGCCACTGGTGTCGGACATGAAGTCGAGGATCAATTTGTCTCTCGAATTCGGGAGTATGCTCGGCGAGTGCGATGGGATTGACCACGTATTGTTTTGTAGCGTATTTGTGCACATAATTCTCCGCTTTCCATCAGAACATGTGTTTCTGGGGACTTTCGAAATACTGACGGAGCATTTTCAAGATCACACTTCGCGTCAATCCGCCCTCGGTAATAAACCTCATGTGTCGCTTGAGCGACAGAGCACCATACTTATATTATCCATTCAGTAGGCTTAGAGGGTAATTACCTTTCATCTGCCCGAGCATGATCGACTGACCACTCGACGTCCAAGGATATGAATCTCAGAGATAAGCTCCGCAAATACATGCATATGTACACCAAGTTCACACCGGATTCATTCTGGATCCTAGTCTAGGGTTGGACCATTCCATTAAAGCTCCGACCTTTGGTGAAATCCAAGCCGAGAACCTCTCATGCCATATGTTGGTCGACATCTTGTTGCCAAACTGGCTCTAACTAGCTACAATTTTTCCGCGTCGAAAACGCCACGGAAACAGGTGTTTTCCTCCTCCTGAACCTTTGTGTGACTAACGGAAGGTTCGGGGCTGGTCACAGCCACATTTTTCTTTTATATTTTCTACCGTGCCCAAGGGACCAGCTCAATCTAAACATTGCTTAATCGTAGCTTCAGCGAGTTCTTAGCGAGTTCAGAATTTACTTTGAGGAACACTAGTAATTGTATGCAAGAACCACCTCACCCAATCTACTCTGACTGAATGAATGCCGATGCTAAAGTGGGCACAGCCCGGGGGGAGGAGGACGAATGAGTGTGCGGATGCCTGGAATCCAGCCTCCGTAGAAAGACGCAGAAATTCGATCACTGTAAAGGCCCCTCACAGGCCCTCTATCCCCTCCAGCATCTCCACCACAACACGCCCGACTCTCCCATCCCTGATCGCCTCACAGATAACTGAAACCCCGTTCCCGATCGTCCCGTCTCCCCCATCTAGGCCATCCCGCGTCCCAAACACATCCCCCTTGAGATTCCTAGCCCCGTGCATTCGCACGCCCAGTGTCACCCTCACAAACATGTACAGCGCACGCGTCCGCGGCGCGAGGTACTTGCTTGCCGGGGCAGGCCCGCGCCACGCCACCTCTGTCTCCTCAGCACTCGGGCTTGCACCGCGCACCGCATTCGGCTGTACGCCCAGATACGCGCACCGCAGTTCCGTCAACTTCTTCACCAACCGCGTGGCAAACGATGCAATGAACACCGGGAGCTCGCCCAGATCTGCGCCCTGCACTGGAGAGGTTGACAGCGCCGTGATGAGCGATACCACACATGCGCCTGCAACTTTGTGCATCCGCGCGCTTGTCTCGAGCGTCGTTGTGTGGTCGAGCGTCTCTGTGAGCGCTGGGAGGCAAGCGGCCACGAGCGAGGTAGCTGTGGTGTCGTCAGTGAGCGAAGGGAAGGCGTTGAGGAGGGATGAGCGGACGAGTCCTGGGAGCGCCTCCCGCAGCTCCTCGCCGAGTGCGCGGAGATCGAGCGCCTGGCAGATCACGATGAGGTGTGAGGCGGCGAGTAGAGTGGACACTTCGAGTGCGGTCAGGGTGTACCTTGCTGAGATGAGCGCGAGGGAACTGTAGAGGTATAAAGTGATGTAAGGTTAATTCAGGAAAGAAAGAAAAAGAAAAGACGTACTTGACGCTCTGGTTGTGCATCTCAGCGCTCACGTTGCCGACGCCGACGTTCATGCCACCCAGTGCATTCAACTCGCCCGTATATGACGCAGCAGCGATGTCAACACCCTGTCCGCATCATTACTATCAGCCGTCATGTCCACCCGCAGTCAGACCAAGATCACGCACCTTGAACCCGAAATCCAATCCGACCTCTCCACCAGCCAAATTGGGGAACAAGCCCCTGTTCATGGCTGGGTTCACAATTTCCGTGAGCTGCACGAACATCAGCTTGCCGATGTGAGCGAGGCTGAGACGGACGTGGTCCATCGCGTTCGTAATGGCGAGCGCTTGGAAGTTGCCTGCATGATGAATCTGTCCGGTCTGGTTGTTGGACGCAGAAGGGGGTTCGATGAGCGGGTTGTCGGTGGCTGTTGGGTAATGTGATAAGTTGGTATGTGGCTACGGGACTGGGGTAGGACTTACTGGAGTTAACCTCGGTTGTGATTACTTGTGCTGCATTTGCGAGGTCCTCGAATTGGGGACCGAGCCATTGGGGGGCTGTGCGGAGAGAGTAACTGCGTGCGGAGTTAATGTTCAGTTTCAACGTGACGAAGAAAAGCGGAACTTGCCGATCCTGCCTCAACACGCCGGCATCGTCCTCAATCTTGACTTCTACCTCATGTGCACTTGCAAAGGAAGACCCGTCGAGCAGAGTGTACATAAGATGTGCGGAGTGGATCTGCGTTGAGTCACCAGGAGATTACGAGTGTTTGCGGTGCGAAAATGCATGAATTTTTCGGAGGTTAGTCATCAGAAGAAAACGACGAGAAAAAAAACAATCAGTTCTCTGGACCGCTCGAAAAATCCGAAAAAATGTACTTGTCCAATGTGTGGCCTTGCCTCGCCGACGAATGGATCGAAGCTGCCCCTCGCACCGAGCATCGCTTCAACAGACATGGCTGTTAGACCTATAAGCGCAAACAGGTCAGTCTCATGCAGGAGACAAATGAAGAAACCACTCACGGCACCTAGCACACCCATCCCCCGCGCACCTCTCACAACTAACGCACTTACGGCTGCACTAAATGCCGTGCCATTCAGGATCCCTAGATGCTCCTTACTCGAGAGCGGGAGGGGAGTGATGCCGGCAACCTGCAAGGCCTGCGGGGCAGGAAGGAGGGCGTAAGGTTCGTAGTTGTCCAATTTGGGAGTTTCTATTGGTAGGGGAAGGGCATCGGCTGAGGGAGGAAGTGGGGTAGACACAGAGAAGGGTGACAATTGGGGTGAGGAGTGTGGCGAAGATGTTACAGTTGAAAAGGGGGTTGAGGATGTACTGGGTACCGCTGAAGAGGGGCGGGGCAAAGGAACCCAAGCCCTGATAGCAGGGTTTCCGATGAGTGTTGCGGCAATGTAAGAGAGGGAAGATAGGTCTGTGGGAGGGGTGGGTTAGTACCACAGAAAGGTACAAAACTAAAAATAGATTACTCCCCTCCACTAGAACTGACGCTGCCCCTGATAGGAACAACAGGGGTAACGCCTTTGTTTATAAGCTCTGTCATTTTCTGGACAAGTTCCCAGCGGACACCACTGTGTCCGCGCATGATACTGTTAGCGCGGACAAGGAGAGCGGCGCGTGTCCAAGGGGGTGGCATAGTAGTACTGGTGAATGGGTCAGAGAGCGGGGCGGGGGAAGGGAAAACGTTGAGATGAGAGTTGCTAAAAGAAGAGAGGGTCGGGATAGCAGTGGGTGCGTAAGTAGGGAGAATAACGCCGGCATGCTGGTGCTGCAGGAGGGCGGCGCCGAGTGCAATAGGGTCATCCGTCCTTGTATCTGCGCTACCACCAAAACCAGTGCTGACACCATAGACACTAATGCCTGCTGCGACCTTGCTCTCGATGACAGCACGGGAAGCAGATGCTTTTGCTTTGACATTCTGGTCATCAGTAAGTTGGAGTTTAACGGGATTACTGCGAGAAGAAGGCGGGTAGAGGGCGATAGCAGCAATCTGAGAAAGAGACAGGGTAGACCCTGTGAGGGTGATTGGAGATCCTGTACTGCAAGGCAATTGAGTATTAGGACTAGAAGCAAGTGAAACGAGGTTACTCACAGGTAAGAGTCAAGCTCCTTGACATCCTGGATGTACTGGGAGACGAGAGCATGAGTAGCCATGATGAATGATATCTAGGATGAAGGAGGTAAGTCACAGTCTAGGTATTAAGTAGCTTATATAGCGGTGTCAGTCTGGATTAAAAGTCATACTCATACTAGCTGCAGCTTTTCTATCTCGCCTCCAACAAACGGTTTGATCCGCCCGCCAATTAAGCTGAAGTCGTTGTATTTTGTGAACAGGAAATTTTTACATGACACAGTTGGTGACTTGAGGGAGGGCCGAGTTTCGCCGGCAGGTACCTTTTTCACCGCCGTGTCGAAAACACCCAGTGGCATATCCTGAAATAAAATAACGCGGAGGGCCGCGGTGCACTATGAGAGAGTTGGATAACATATTTCAAAGGGAAATTGGACGAAACTGCACATGCTAAGCTAGGACAAATTTTTAGTATCTTTGAGTAAAGTGAACATCATTGCCTTGAAGCTTACGCCAAGCTCAGTTCTTCGACTACTCGACACGACTTTTCTTGCTGGAGCAGCGGGCCGCGGTGCGACTGTAATGATAGTTCATCTGCCAGACAGCGCTTCTTGACGGGGTTGCAAGGACCACTTGATGGCTTGCGCCGTACTATGAGCTCTCGAAGTACAGCATTGGAGACTGACTTCTCCTAATTCCGTGATGCACAAGCGTGAAGTGCACTTCGGCAATTGTACCAGCCAGCTTGCCATCATAATTCTCCGCTATAATGAGCTGAAAGCCTTTGTCATATAGGAGTGGTAAAACGCAATGGGTATGCACGATATTCGCGAGCTCTTCCTTGTACCTCTCTTGTACGGGCCAGAAAGATACACTAGTCTCTGTTCGAGCATTCTGTTTCTGGTTCAAAATTGTGCGAGTCAGATAACGAAGAGATCTCGTGAGACGGCATACTCGGAGACGAGCGCCGAGGTCAAACTACGGTTTCCTCCAGCATATGTCAATGAACTTGATCGTATGTAAAGGATAAACATCCATGAATCACGTACGCAGGCCCCTGTAGAACTCGAAACCCTAGAGCAAAGTGTGCTACCGCTAGCACCGATGCAGAGGACATGTAGCATTCATGGACCGGGGGAAAAAGAAAACTGCCGTTGACTTCTGCATACGCGTTCACAGACTACCGGTCGCGAGGATAAACTATCAACCACTCGATAATTGATATTGGCACTCTCCACCCAGCGGAAAACTCGCTTCATTTAATGGGTATGTTGCACGATCCTGAGGATATGGCAAAGATCACATTCGTGTGAGGATTTTGACGAGGGTCTGTTAACGACACATCCATGCGGACATCGGAGTCCGAGTGGAGGCTGGAGAGGTTGGACAAAGAAACGAAGCAATGGTGGGAAGAAAAGTCAAGACAGTTGTAATATGATTCATAGAAATATGATGAGCGCCTGAACATAGAACAAGATGAGATCTTCGGGTATCAGATATAGTTTGACACGTCGATATTTGTATCCCTATCACTCCCAGAGTATTCCTCGGATTCCAGATAAGTTAGCACGTACCCTCACACAAAGTTCGATACCTCCTCACTGCTCGTTTCTCCCTGTTTAATTTTCAGGCTGTGCGGAACTGATTCGACCTCACTGAGACAAACACTCTCCTAGTACATACCCGCATCCTCAATCCTCCGACTTTCAGCTTCACCGAATGAGAATATGTCTTCGACTCCAGGTTATTTCACGCCAGAGGATTCACTTGACTCGTGGCACCCAATGATGATCATCGATTCGTTGTCGCCACGAATATACATTATGTAATATGGCATGTATTTGTACACAGCATTATACCACTGTGGCTAGTAAATACCATGAACTTCAGAGGTTTGGAAGTTCAGTGGAAATAGTTTTAATCCTACGCTTTTTAGTGCACCACAAATGTTACTCTAATGTGTTCCAGTGCATTCAAGGTACATACGGTACAAGCAATTTAATCACAAAGTTGCTAAAGTGCGAGTTAAGTCTGTTTAAGGTAAGCTTAAGTAACATGCACTTTTCCTGATGAAGTGCAGCTAACCCAACCATTGACTGACCCGCCCTCCCCCGGTCGCCACCTCACTACCCACTGAGTGTTCTTGGCAAGAACACTCAGTGAGCTGGACTTGCCACGGGACCCATGCCTAGGATGGGAAATTGGGCCTAGCGTAACACACAGGACACGGGTGACGAGAGCCAGTGCATGGCGGCCGCGTAGGTACTGGCGCTGCGAGCACAGAACCATGACAGCAGCAAGGTTGCCGAGTCCAATTTGTAGGAGCTGCAGGAAGCTTTCATAAGATAGCATCTCCATGGCGCCGACAACTTTTGTTTTGTGAGGACTGACGTATCGACTTCGGTGGAGACTGTGATTAGGCTGAACGGAAGACGGACCGACTCGGAATGTGAAACCACCCGGAGTCGCGTTGACGCTTGTGCCCAGGATTCGGGGCGGTTCTTCTTGTGCAACCATTTTATCGTCTTCAGACATTTGTATGCCTTCTATCTGTAATGTATCTGGTGCTGCTACTTAGCACCGCGAACTTAATTGACTTACATGTCTAGCTCTTTTAATCATTTATCTCGTCTCGCCCTCGGTGGATTACCACATTGTCCCCAATTTCCAACTGTGAGCAATGTGCAATGTTATCTTATTTTATTTTATTTAGCATCAGCCTCAAGCCAGACACAGTCTCGATCCATCAACATCGATCAACTCAGCTAGAGAAGAAGGTACCTCTCGGACGCCTTGGGTGACTTGAAGACCCCCTCAAAATAGAACGGCATCCGTCTGGACTCTGGAGATCGCTGTGACGAGATTTGGGTAACGGGGAAGTACTCTATTGCACATTGCACATCACCGGAAGCCGGCCCCATTTCCCTATGTCATGACGAATCCTCGTGACTGCAGGGTCTTCTCGAGACCTAGAGTAACGACTGCCTGTTACTGTTCCGAAATTGTTCGGCTCCCAAATCTTCAGAAGAACAAGGTACGTGCACAGATCAACTTACATAACAGGCCAGGACTCCAGTCACCTGTCTTCAACACGTAAGGCGCAAATCTATGGTGCAACGACACTCTCTCCCAAGGTTGGTATCGCCGTCGAGACTCGGGTCTCGGTGCCACTGCAGACACCGTTTCTGCTTCGCTATCCGTCGACTTCCCTTTGTTCATGGTCCTGATCATTTCCCTGTTGATAGTATCTCCCAGTTGTGATCGTCTCGCAGGCGCTGATCTTCCTCACTGTTCACACGGCTTCTTCATGAAACGCGTCCATGTCTGCACGTGCTTGTCTCGTGCGTCTATGCTTGTCCGCGTGCGTTTCCTCTTGTTTGCCCTCCGTATTTTCACTTTGCTCATCTACGGTTCGCGCCGCCACTCACTCGTATGATGTTTTCCTCAGTAATTGCACGTTTTTCAACCTGATCTCCGCGCCCTCTCAAGTTTTCGAACTTCCAAATATCCTATGTAAGTACTCTATTGATGCTCTCTCCAAGTCCTTCTGGAATCTGGATCATGCGCTCAAGCTCGTCCTATCTGTTCTAATATTTACTCCCTCATCTGCCCTTGTCTGTGCTTGCAGCTACTCGTCTGCACTTGCCTACACCTGCCTCCGCACATTTTTGCTTGTTCCCGCATCTCGCCATCTGTTTTTGCTGGTTCACCCTTGTATGGACCTGCTGCCACTCGTTTTACTCGTTTAAAGCACACTTCCCGCCGCCAAAAGACATTCACCTCTTGGTGCGCTTGGCCCCAAGATGCCGTTCGTGAGCACACCCAGCGCTTGTACAGAGCTATGGGCTAGTGTATTGTCTGTTCTCTAGGGTAATTTTATGTATTTTTCTCTTGTCTACACCACTGTCCAACAGCGCCCATCCACTCGCTTTCCATCCGCCTGCCCACTTAAATACCACCTATTAATACCGCTGCTGCCGATGACGGCGTCAGACTTCCCGCCCCTCAACCTTGACTGCACCAAACTACACTCCTCCACCACATTCGCCGCTCTCGTCCTCCAGCGTTTGAAGGTGAGCTTCCCCAATCATGTTCTAATTTTTTTCTGTGTCTCATACACCACTATCTAGTATTTAATAACAATCTCCACCACAGCAGCCTGCCTCTCATCCGGCTACCCTCTCGAAAACGCCACGTAGCCAACGACGCCAGAGACCTCTCCTCTTGGTATCAACCAATCCCGCCCTAGATTCACGCTTCGACTGTCCCACCAGTGTATGCACCAACTAGATGAGCATGACTCGTTCAACATCAACATCACTATCATCATGGCTGCTGTACACGGTCCTATAGTGCCTACCCGTTTGTCCCCCTTTCAGAATGCCCAGAGATATTCTCGTATGGGTACCATCCCGCACCATCTGTGAGGTACACTAATATCCTCGAGGAAGGTGATACGTTTTTCGTTAATTGTTAGGTAGATAGGTCTAGTTTTGTAGCCCTTAGAATAGCACTCCGTAATCTCTGATAACTTATGAAGACTATCACTATTGCATCTATCTACATAGCTAATGTAAACTGTAAATTACCGGGCCTTCCGGAGAACCCCGGGTCTCAACAGCAGGCAGGTTCAGGCGAGCCTCTGAAGTCACAGCGGCAGCGCTAAGTCCTGAGGTTGTAGTAGAGGATAGCAGCAGCATTGGTCTGTCTGTGGTGCGAGTTTCTGGTCTGTAACTGCAGTAGAACACTTGCTTTCCTCTCGCTGTCAGCAAGGGCTTCGCCTCGTTCTCGGACACCATCTAGCACTGCTACTCTCAAGTCAGCTGGAATCAAGAATGTCGCCGCCGCAGATCCAGCTTGACTCCAGGCCTTACAACAAGATAGCGGCAGCCCTTCCATCTGTATGACCAATGCGTTGATGATATACGCCGCTAAGGTTGGTATGGGGAGTCCACCAGCGTTTTGTAGGCTACTCGTTCTCCAGCAGTTTCTTCTCATCTTTTTCATACAGACACGTTCCTGGGGGATACTTACTGGAAGCTCAAATTCCTGGATCAGGGCCAGTAAACCTTACGTGGAGGCTAGCCACTGCGAGCCAGGATACAGACAATTCTTTTGTGCGTATTCGTAGGTTCTACATGCTTGGTATTCACAATAACAACTTTTGCCAGCTGGCATATGGCATACGGCAGCGGGAATGATTTCGTTTCTACTTCTAGAGAGGAATATTCAGATATACCCTTAGCCCCAGGTGTTCTTCTCACTTCCCAGCTGCATCCGCTGGTGATGCTCGTGGCGAGCTCACATCCGGCAGCTATGATGCCTCTAAAATTATTGGAGACATCAACTATGTGCCTATCACATCAACATCTCCGGTGAGTAAATATCTGTGCGTTGAGTAATCCATCAGTTATAGGACCACGTCTGATTTGAACAAGACACTTGGTATCGAACTTTTATTCTCGTTGCCGTTGGTGGGTGTTCTTTACGACATCGAATTCCTGCAACAGGTATAAGTTGGAGACAGGTGCAAGCCATGATGGAGCAACCGGCTTGCTAAAGATTTCACTTCAATATAACAAGCTGCTCTCATCCTTGTATTATTGGCGGCCCCTAATGCGCAAATCTGACCTCGATCGTTGGACATTGTCATTCGCAGTACTCCCGACGGCATATACCTGATTGTTAGTAACATCGGGAGTAACTCTGGTTCTAACTTCGAGTCTGTCAACGGCTATTGTTTCTTGTATGCTGAATCGTTCTTTCCCAGAGAGCAGCTTTTACTCGATGTACGACACGACGAACTCCGACGACGTGTTCAAGTAACTAACTTCTTTCGGCATCTGACAGGTTACATAAATATCTCAAGTATTTCGACCCTTTCACTAGTACTTTCCAACTTGCGTACCAGAACAGCAAAATGAAGAGGACTAAATTTCCTCTTTGACTTTGAGTTGGTTTGGCGCAGCTATGTATGTGTTCTGAATGCTACGGTTACTGGTATTGAATAACTCACGAATTCAATACGTCTAAGGTCCTTGCAAATATCAATTGATTTTCCACGACAAAGGTCACCAGAACAAGGAAGGCTTTACTAATACCGTATATATATGCAGTGACTGGAGCGTGAAGGAACTGACGAATCGATACGATTACACCGGGACTCCCACCGAAGTTTGACGTGTTCCAAATTAGTTCGGGAAGTGTTCTTCCATAGATTTGCAATATCGCTGGGACCTGATCTGTTCAGGTGCGCCGAGTACAAAAGCTCAGAGCATTGGCAAACATCGTCAATTCATTTTACATTCGATGGCCTCAAAGATACCGAAGGTTGGTCCTTCAGCAGATCTGCTAGCAGCACTGACATCGACGCCGCTGCGTAGCATGCTCAAATCGTTGTCGTCGGCGGAGGTCCCTCTGGCAGTTATACTGCCTCGGCTCTTGCCAGGGAAGGGCTTGACGTCGTGTTGTTGGAGGCTGCTCAGTTTCCTCGGTAATAGACTTATCCAAAGTATTCATGCGTTCCCCTTGATCATTATCATGTAGGTATCACATCGGGGAGAGCCTAATTCCTTCGGTTCGTCACTACCTGAGATTCATCGACGCGGAGCAAAAATTGGTTGAGATGGGTTTCAAACATAAGGTGCGGCAAAAGCGTTCTCGAATAATAGGGCCCAATGATACATTGTCAGCAACAGCCCGGAGCTGCCATGAAATTCAATCAATTCAAACGGGAAGGATGTAGGTGATAATAGCAATGAGCCGAAGAGATACTCACCTGCGCTTAGACACAGATTTCGTTGCGCTTGGGCATGCCAATAGTTCATGGAATGTGGTATGTACTTGACATCTTGTTTTTTCTTGAAAGTCAATGCCCCAAATAGGTGCGCTCAGCATTCGACAAGATGTTGCTTGACCATGCGGGATCCTGCGGAACAAAGGTGTTTGAACGGACCAGAGTGAAATCCTTCCGCTTCTCTGCGACCGAGCCGTTCAGGCCTGTGGCTGCCGAGTGGCTATGTGCCGCAGATGGAGAAACCGGAGTGATTTCATTCGATTATCTTGTTGATGCATCCGGACGCTCAGGCTTGATGTCGACGAAATACTTACATGACCGTCACTTCAACACGTCATTGAAGAACATTGCGCTCTGGGGTTATTGGACGGGAGTCGGTACATACGGCATGAATACTCCAAGGGAGGGTGCCCCTTGGTTTGAGACACTGACAGGTGCGCGTCGTATTTCCCTGGATGGTGAGAATGTGCCGATGTGTATTAGACGAATCCGGCTGGAGTTGGTTTATTCCTCTACACGATGGAACGACTTCGATCGGCGTCGTTATGAATCAGGTGAATTATAACGAGAAAGTTCGTGCCTCGAAAGGCAGTTCTCTAGAAGATCGCTATCGGCTTTCCATATCCCTCGCCCCAGCATTAGTCAAGCTCATCGGATCTGGCAGGATAGTGCAAAAGGAGGCTGCTGAGGGACAACCTGGGCAACTTGACCTATTGATACGATCAGCGTCTGACTTCAGTTACTCTGCTTCGAGCTACGGGGGACCTGGATTTCGTTTGGTCGGGGACGCTGGTGGTACAGACTTCAGCATCTTCTTTGTGTATGATGACACTGATTTCCAAGCCTTCAGCGTTCATAGATCCATTCTTCTCCTCCGGGATACACCTTGCAATGACCTCCGGACTATCTGCGGCAGTGTCTATATGCGCTGCAGTCCGAGGAGATTGTTCAGAAGTCGATGCAGCTGCGTGGCACACGAAGAGGTTTTCGTTGAGTTACACAAGGTTTATCCATAAGCAGATGTATTTGTTCTTGCTAACAAAAGTACCGTATGCAACATACCCCAGATTCCAGATGGTGGTCATGAGCGCCTATCAACAGATACGATCGACGGATCTTGATATTCTGAGCGACGTTGATGAGGACAACTATGATCGAGCGTTCGCTGCTATTCGACCAGGTGCCATTCTTGTATAGTATATGCGACGATGAAAATGCTCACTATCATTCCAATGCAGTCATCCAGGGTGCATCAGAGATGGGGAAGTCGACTGAGTGAGGAAGAGCTTCACAGTGCACTGGAGTTCTGCAAGAAATGCTTTAACCCCACGTCGCCTGACCACCTCGCGCTCCCTTCGAAAGAAGGCCTTCCAAAAGATTTGCTCGATATTACAGCCCCGCTCATGGATCCGCGCGCTATTGAAAGTATTATCTCGGAGGCGTTCGGGCAGACGAATCCAAAAGGCGACCAGAACTTCTGTGGATCTACGGAAGACCTGAAACTCGTTCTAGATCAAATAAACGGCAGAAGAGTCGTGCATCGCGAGTACTCTATCAATAATCTCGAGGCTGAGGACGTGAATGGATTCGTGGTGAAGTTGAGAAGGGGACATCTCGGATTGATGCGCACGTGCACTATTTCGAGCGTTGATTGAAAATTGTTGCCCTATTTGCATAGGTTGGGGTTGGTGCTGGATCGAAGATGGGTATACTATATAGTGATGCGGGCCAGCGCCAAGCGGTTCAATGCATGGAATGATGAGATCGATGATGCGATGGAAGTGCATTTCTGCTATTATGTAATGGTTGTTGAACAACTTGAACTTGACACCCATGGTGCTTGTCGGTCGATGATCTGCTATCATCTGTAGTGAACATGCTGCCAAGACCTTGCAAAAGAAGGAACGACTCTGTTTTTTTAAGGTCTGTCTGACTGCGGAAAACTAAGTGGCTGTTGTACTACTGTAACTGTAAGTTTTGACGAAACTTCAAAAAGGTTCCAGTCAACTGACTGACACTCAGCTCGACTCGCGTTAAACGTATTCTCAGTGATAAACAGGATAATACACGGGCTAGGTCAGCACCTAACCGTCCACCATGCGCCCAACTGCCCGGTGCTAACGAACATATATGTGCTATCTTGGTTCTTAATAGAAGATCTACGAAAGTCCATATGATTGGATCGCCGTTTTCATAGCCAAGCTTGACGATGTCATAGCGAGTTTCCTAAAGCCTCCTTAAGACGAACTGCGTACGCAAATCGGAAGATAGCCATAACGTGGGTGGAACAATGTGCATTGTTCAGCATTCAGCGCGCATGGCCTCCATGTACATATATGAACGTCATCCAATGATGACTCTCCAAATTTCGGGGCGTTGTTGTCAGACATAACGTACGTGCCAGGAGTCTCCGAGGCACAACACTTGTCATAGCACGAGTAACGATTTTGAAACTCCTCGAGTTGTTACGGATGGGCTGTGATTATGCATACGGTTGGAATGGTGAGCTGGTATGATGAGCTGACATGTTTCTTCAGGGCGTTGAGAAAAGATCGCGATGCCATATACGAAGTATTCAAGTTCGTACACTATCATGGACTCTCTGCTATCTTCATCTGATGGGGATTTATGCTTCCCTGGTTAGCTCTTATCATGTTTCAAAAGATGTTCTTTGCACCGATTCTTTCAAGAACCAATATGGTAGGCAACTTACTTGATCACGATGGCAATCTAAAGCATCCTGGTGATAATCCAGATATCAAGGTAAATACTCTGAGCGATCACTGGGCGGCTGTCGGCGCGAAGATCTTGGCTCCTGGTTCGGCGATTTTGACAGCGACGAATCATCTGATGACGTGCAGCAATGTGGATATTGCAGTAACCAATAGAACATCCAGAAGTTCACTTCTGCTGCTCACAAGAATTAAATCCCAGATTGCGAATATCACATGGCCAAGGTGGAGGTCAACGCATATAAAGTCTTTGCGTTGGTCATTGAAACCTCAATTCGAGTTGGTCTCACTCGGTACCTTCGAACGCCATCAGCCTGCCCAAATGTTCCCCTCTAAGGCTCTCCTGTTTATTCTCCTCGTTGCGCTGTCCTCTGTGGACGCATCTCCCTTGCGCCGTGAGGATGGCAGGGTAACCCTCAGCTTCGCCGCTAGGGTGAACGCCAGGGGTGCCGTTAATGTCGCCGCAGCCGACAGGGCTCGCGCTCAGGCGATGAAGCAGGCTGGTTCCAAGGGCAAGCGTACTGGCAAATCCTCTTTCAGCATAACCAACTCTGTCGTTTCTTACACTGCCCAAGTTGGTGTCGGCAGCCCCGCCACTGAGTGTAAGACTAGTCGTTATGAGACTCCAGATGACTTCTGATTGAAAGGCTTACCAGATACACTTATCATTGATACGGGCAGCTCCAACACCTGGGTAGGTGCAGACACACCATACAATCCCACTAGTACTAGCGTGGATACTGGTAACACTGTCGTATGTCTTTTCCTCTCTGCTTATAAAAAGTTGCCTATGACAACTTCGTAGGACGTCTCTTATGGTTCCGGTTCTTTCTCCGGAGAGGAATACACGGACAAAGTTACTTTATCTTCTGGTTTGGTCATTGCTACACAATCTATCGGAGTCGCGAGCCAAGCAACCGGCTTCGACGGCGTGGATGGGATTCTCGGAGTCGGACCGACTGACCTGACGGAAGGCACCGTCTCTAGCGTTGATGAAGTCCCCACTGTCATCGACAACCTTTACAGCCAGGGACACATCGGCACATCAGCCCTCGGGATCTACTTTGTTCCTGCCTCTGCCCCTAACAGCGCCGGCGAGCTTACCTTTGGTGGTCACGATAGCTCAAAGATAACGAGCCCAGTGACCTACGTCCCTCGCACGACCACGTCACCTGCTAGCAATTACTGGGGTATCGACCAGTCTATTGCCTATGGGCATTCCACCATTTTGTCCGAGACTGCTGGTATTGTCGACACCGGCACGACTCTCGTCCTCATTGCCTCCGGTAGGATAAGTTACTCATAAATGAGCCATCCCAACTGATTGGAATTTATTAGATGCGTTCAGCCAGTACCAGACTGCCACTGGTGCTACGATGGATGAGACCACTGGTCTCCTGACGATCAGTTCTGATCAGTATGCTAAGCTGCAGTCCCTGACGTTCAAGATTGGCGGCAAGGCCTACGTCCTGACGCCCAACGCCCAAATCTGGCCCCGTTCCCTCAACAGTGACGTGGGCGGCAGCAGCGACAGCATCTACCTTATCGTTTCTGATTTGGGCAGCGACTCTGGTTCTGGCTTGGACTTCATCAACGGTTATGCATTCCTGTTGGTGTTTGAGTGACCTCAAAATTGGTACGAGGCTGACGACCTGTCCCACAGTCAACGCTACTACTCGGTCTTCGACACTACCAACAGCCAAATCGGCTTCGCAACTACCTCAGATACCGATGCCGTGTGCAACTAACATAACCATCTTCTGACTTGACGCTCATATGCGCGGCGGGAACAGATGCATATTGCTGTAGATGGTTATTCGGGGTTGATGGGGGCGTTTTGAGTGTGTAACGTTGAGCGTGTATTCATTGGAAATCGTTTGCTTCTCAAGAGTGAGCTGAGGTGATGCATCAAGGCGCTAATAGCAGAATAAGTATGCTGGACAGGGCTCAAACATTGGAAACCAGAGTCAATAATTTGCTGGTATGGCGTAGAGCATTCCGTGACATATTGCCCGGAACTTCCCGCAAGCGTGATTTCCGTGTCGAGATGTCGAGAAGGCGCTACCGCACAAGTCTTGGTGCAAATCGGTTCGTCGATTGGCAACAGTAATCCGTGGTAAGTCCGTGGAGCACTAATACTAACTAGATTAGCGGCTGAGCACAATTACCGTCCCGTGTGGGGAAGAACTTATGAATAGATTACGAAACTATGATGGAATGCACGTTCTTGTCCGTTGTCTGAAGTGTTTCATTTGATCTGGACAGTACTAGTAGTCACGCACGTTGCCAAGTACTGTGTGTCCATGCACCCAATACTAGTATCAAGGGGCAGTGTGAGGCTGCGACTTAAGCAGGGAGTGAACATGGTGGTTCACTTCTACTAAGCACTATAGTAGAAGGACGTCATTATATAATGCGTGCAGCAGTACTTCCTTTCCTCCCAACAGACCATGATATTCAAGCTCAAGAGTCCTAGTCAAGACCCGTGTCACGTCGAGCGCCAGACGCGCTTATCACCGGTAAATGTATGTATCACCATGCAGTGCACAGAACAACCAAGCTTTACTGCGTACGTGACTTAGTCTTAGGCTACATCATGTATGGACATGTTTGGTGTGATCTATATCCTGTACACCCTCCCTTAAGCTTCACCGCACCAAGTATTTTCTTCATCTCTCTCACTATCTTCCTTCCGTAGGACTTATCTGAACTTCAGCAGACCCTGCTAACCGAATTTCAAGCTTGAGTAACGGGTCTAGCCATGAGCCGCCAGCCAATCTCGCGTCACACTTTCACCGCCCTCAATAGCACTTTCGTCGTCGATGGCGAGTACCAGTTCGTCAAGGAACTTGGTCAGGGTGCATACGGCTGTGTTGTTGCTGCCCGCCACCGTCGATCTGGCGAGGGATGCGCGATCAAGAAGATCACTAACATTAACACCAAGGTGCCCATCTCTGCGCTTGTTCATTTCAAATCGGGCTGATCGGTCACTGTATCATAGCGGATCCTCACCAAGCGATGCTTGAGAGAGATCAGGTGCTGTTGTGGAACCAAGTACACCATGAATATAGGACTGATCATGGACAACTCAGATTGTTACATCATTTCAGGGGGCACAAGAACGTACGCCGCAGCTGCGTGCTTTAGGTTTCCATTTTAAATACTCGCTTCACAGATAACATGCCTATACGACATGGATATCGTCTTTCAACCCAGCGGGAACTTCGACGAAGTTTACCTCTACGTCAGTTCGCCTCATTATCCGCTTCGGGTCCTACTGATCCTTAAATCAGGAAGAATTGATGGAGGCTGATCTTCATGCCATCGTGCGTCCTTTCCATGTCCTAACTGATTTGACGCTCAGATCGACCCTTGTACGCAGATCCGGTCTGGCCAACCGCTCACCGACGCACACTTCCAGTCCTTCCTTTACCAGACCCTATGTGGGCTTAAGTACATTCACAGTGCTAACGTACTCCACCGCGATCTCAAGCCCGGAAACCTTCTTGTCAACGCGGACTGCGAGCTAAAAATATGTGACTTTGGCCTAGGCAAGAGGGTACGTACCTCTTTCAACAGTATGTTTGCAGTCGATGGACTAATTTCCACGTTGTACATAGCTTTACCCCCGGTGGCGGCACGAGCAAGAGCGCTGGGAACCAAGGGTTCATGACAGAGTATGTCGCAACGCGATGGTACCGTGCCCCTGAAATCATGCTTAGCTTCGCAAATTACGTGCGTGAACTACTTTCCTTCCTTTTCCATCGCGTCGTTGTGCTCGAAATATGTATTGTCGCCGCTTATACTGTTCAAGGTTGATTTACACTGGCTGACCATCACCCTCACAGACAACGGCCATTGATGTCTGGTCCGTCGGCTGTATCCTTGCCGAGCTCTTGGGCGGTAAGCCGATTTTCAAAGGACGGGAGTAGGTTTCTTCCCACTTCATTCGTGTTCGAGCATTCTGCGCATGCGTTCGATCGATGACATTGATACTGACCCTCGGATAAATTATATAGCTATGTCGACCAGCTGAACCAAATCCTCCACTACCTTGGTACACCCTCTGAGGACACTCTCCGGCGCGTCGGATCTCCAAGGGTATGTGCTCTGTTAAACTCACCAGTATACTCAGCTCACCTGAATCATACAGGCACAAGACTACATTCGCTCTCTCCCCATCAAGCCCCGCGTGCCTTTCCAGACACTCTACCCACACGCCAACCCACTCGCCATCGACCTCCTGCAGCAGATGCTCTGCTTCGATCCCGCCAAGCGCATCAGCTGTGAGGCTGCACTCAACCACCCCTATCTGCAGGTGTGGCACGATCCCGCCGATGAGCCAGTCTGCGACACTGTAAGTTTTTGTTCCATATGAAGAACGAGGATGCTCATACTAGATTGACGCGCAGAAATTTGACTTCTCATTCGAGGAGGAAGACTCTATCGAGGGAATGAAGAGGCTCATTATCGAGGAAGTCCAATCGTTCCGTGCCGAGGTCCGCGCGCAGGCGAGGGCCACGGGCCAGATCAAGAGACAAGACAGGTCAGCATATCCTTGCACTTTTCTTCATTACCGATCTGATCATCCATTCTAGCCTTCCCATCCCCTCGCGGGACGAGATCATCAGCTCGCCGGTGCAGGAATACGGCCCCGTACACGGCGCAACGTCTGGCTACACCGCGCCATCCCAGCGCCCGTCGTCGCCGGTCATGGATGACCCTAGTGATGCGCTTGAGAAGGAGCTTGCGGGGACGCATATTGCGAGGCGGTGATTGATTTGCTACTAGTTACTTGGTTTGAGCATGTTTGTTTGCTTCGTGTTTAATACTCCTGAGTGTTGTGATTGTTAGAATTGTACTTATGTACGGAATGGAGGGGAACTGACATGGAAAATGCAACAATACTATATACTATGTAGATACCCACCGTACTGAAGTTATTTCTAGCCGTTCGAGTGCAAAGATAGCGTTTCCCGTTAGTGGAGGTCTGAGGAGGGCTTTGTGATATTGAATATGATAAGAAAAGAGGCGAAACGGTCTTGATCTTGTAGTGGCTATGTAGATACCCACTACTGGAGTTGTTTGTTGTATCGTTTTCGGTCAACTGCGACCTACTGCAGTCTGCGACAGTGCACAGTGCGGCACTGTGCCTGCGGGAGAATCAGTTCTATCTTATCCGATCAATTTAGATCACGTCTTGGAGGCCGCTGTCAATGCTCCATGTGCTTGCCCTTCGAAGCTATGAATGTGCGAATTCAGGTGTCTCTCCCGCCCAAAGCAGTTTGCCGGCTGGGCGGCAAAGCAGCTTGGTGGTATTGTGCTTGTACTCAAACCACGTCAATCGCATATATAGAGGTGCAGCTGGGAGGCCATCTTCGTTTGCTACATCTTCATCCCCTCATTAACGATTGATATCGGTGAGCGCTCAGTACTTCTTGTGATCGTGCATACGTTGGTTAACTGAGGTGTCGAGAAGAGTTGTTATAATACCCAGTGCCTGATGTCGCTCTTCCTCTGTGTCGATTGCGGTGGTTCCAAGACGTCTGCTGTCATCGCAGACAGATCTGGCACCATCCTCGGGCGCGCTCTGGGAGGTACCATCTAACTTTGCATACATGTCCGCGGCTGCATTTACAGATGCTGTTCGAGTAGCAGTATCTAATGCACTGAAGACATGCGTCTCTCCGCCATCTATCAACCCCATTTCCCTCCCTCCCAACACTGAATTATTTGCATCCGCATGGTTCGGTATTTCCGGCGTCGATTCCCCTGCCGCGAGCACCAATGCCTCAATAGCGCTCTCCGCACTCCTCGGGATACCCATGGGTCCACGGCTAGTCGTAGCCAACGATACTCATCTTCTTGCTGCCCCCCTTCGGCTTCATCCTGATATCAAACACGCTATCGCTGCGATAGGCGGCACAGGATCTTGTGTCGTTTCATTTCAGCACGAGCCCTCAGGCATGCTCAGTGAGCTTGCACGGACTGGTGGATGGGGATGGATTTTGGGAGACGAGGGGGGAGGATTTCATGTTGGCCGCGAGACGATGCGTCAGATGATGTACGATGCTGCGCGTTCGTCGTTAGGGATGGAGCCGTCACCCCCAAGTAGCCTCAAAGCGAAAGTGCTCGAAAGATTTGGGATCCAAGGGGTAGAGAACGCCCCGGAGGTGCTGCCTGTGGTGCACTTACCCGAGCCGAGTCTTACAGCAGAGACAGCTGCGACTGTTCCCTCGTACCTCCTCGTCGCGCGCGAGAAGCGGTTAAGCCAGCTTGCTCCACTCGTTTTCGAGGCTGCATTTAAGGACAAGGATCCCTTCGCGTTGAATGTGTTGAGGATCTGTGCTGGTGGACTTGCGGATCAGATCGCGATGCTCTGCCGTGAGCCTGGGGAAGATCAGAGTGTCAAGCCGAGAGCGGTGGAAGCAAAGGAGACCGTGTTGTGTTATGGAGGGAGCTTGGTTGGCATTGAGGATTATAGGGAATTGGTAAATGAGGCGTTGGCGGAGAAGGGGCATGTCTTCAAATATGTGGAGTTCGTTGATGATGCTGCGGCTGTAGGAGCAGTCGGGCTAGCGTCTTTGGGGATTGGACTCGGCGGAAAGTAGTACTGAGAGGAGGATATCTACTAACTGTGAGTTAGTATTATGGAACTTGGTGTGGACAGAGTAATATATATATTTTATGAAGATAAATATCGGCTCACAGACAACTTCGGCGCGATCAGGCCTGCCCTAAATATTCTCACGATTCCCATATAAAAACCACCTTGCGTTCTTTCCTTTCTCTTTGTGCGGCGACACGGCCAAAATTTTCCCCATGTTGCTCATAGCTGCCCATAATCCACGCGGCTGTTCGAGTGTCAGGCTGTGTTCCGAACAACTGGACGTCTTAGCACCCATTATCGCGTCATCCTACTTTTCTGGAGAGGCGATGGGTCGGTGGTTCATACATCTTTTGACGGCGTATTCCTGTCTTTTAACAAACTTGTTCAACAATGTAATTTATACAACTTTAGTAAAATTCACACCTAATGATACTGCACCCAGTGCACTTGGATAAATTCAAGGAGCCCGCCTAAGAGCTCACTGCCACGTATACATGCCACCCTGTTTGCCTTGGGTTGCTTCTATCGAAGACATAGATTGCTGTACGGCGGTGGCCCAAGTTAATAAGATGGAAAATCTAAAGTGAGTGGATCAACATAATAGCAGTGAACTGTGCACAAGCAGCAGAATATGCCCTATACAAACGATCTGGTGTAAAAATGAGACGGCGCGCATGATGGAGTGTCGTAAATCTTAATATAAGTATGAATGGAGAGGAAGTGTCCCTACGTGGAAGTAATCATTAAGAAAGGCGGGGGCGGGGGCTCAGCGCTCAACAATGTCCAAACTCTATAAAGTGGGCTCGAGAGCAACCCGGGTGCTGCTTACGATGCTTGGCAGCACAGTCATTCCGAGCCATCGTTATACCACAGACAGAGCACTTGAGTCTGATGCCAATGTGGGTGATGACATGCCGCCCCAAACTCTGGATCTTCAGCTGCTTCTTACAGACACCGTGAGGTGTGACCCATAGGCAACGGCAGAATTCCTTGTTGTCTACTCCAATGCGATGATGTTCGCGCAAATGGGCGAGAATATCTTTAGATGTAGCCTGAAACTCGTGACTGCAAAGCCTCCCTTCGTTGTCCCACCGACAGAGATAGGTACTATGGGACTTATGAGGGCGTTCAATATGATACGAGTCGAAGCGACCAGGACCGTGGTTACGGGGAGGAGGGTGTGATGGTGGATTGTCGGGGACGTTGCGGTGGATATGGAGCGGGTTGTCCTGCATGGGGGAGGGGGCGGAGGGTCGAAGGATGCTCAGTCCCACTGTCTGGTTGTTTATCGGCGAGCAAGAGCCCGTGTACGCAGAATCTAGATGAAAGCACCCACCAAATGAGAGGGGTGTTCTCGATGATGATCAAAATTCTCACCATACCACCGGTAAATTGGGCGCAGTATGGGCTGCGGCTCGTGTAATACATGACTGGGGTATGCGGGACCATCAGCCACAGTTATGCTTCGACTAGAACAACCATGTTACCGGTGAATGGTAAAATTACAAAGAACGGACGCACTTCTCAAAAGACAGAGGAGCTCCATAATCGAGTGTTGTGTTTGTGGTGGTATCGAGTGTCATCGATTGATACGAGAGATGTTCAGAATGAATGCACATTTCACAGCTAAGAGGCACAGAATCATGATGCGAATCTACAGTTTGGCAGGCAGAGATTGATGTATGACAAGCAGGTACCTCTAACGAACCATAAAGAAAACAAGAAGGGTCAGTAGGATCCATCAGCGCTGTTCAGCAGAAAGCGTCGTTCTGTTGAGGGAGAGGCGATTGTAGTTCACTGTGGTCTTCCAGCATGTCGGCCCTGCGTTTTTATCAGTACTGAAGCCCCTGTAAGGTCACCAAGCGCGTGCATAGCGTCAGGGTGGCAGCTGGCTCGGGACGTTATAATGGAAGAATTTTGGCGTAACGGTTGTAGAGATCGTTGGCAAAGGTGAACGTGTGTACACAGCGGCCGACGCAAAAGGATTTGCCTCCGATATGTAGAAGCTCCAACGGAGATTATGCACGACATATTCTCTATGATAATCACCGGAAATTCGAATGGCACCTGGTGGGGTGGTGCCCATGTCCCAATGAGGGCCTGCCAACCCGCATCGCGGCAGCCAACAGAGCGAGCCCAGCCCAGCCGATGATGTGTGTTCCTGAAAGAACGTTGTTGTTTCAGAATTTGAGCGATTGCAGATTGTTACAGTGCATTCGACAAAATTAAGGGTGAAGAAAAAGTTCCTGCATCGTGCAAGCACAAAATTAATTTGCCCCATGGAAGCCACGTGCACGTGCTCACAACGTCGGGAAATTAGATCAAATATTGCGAGGGAAATAACGAGCCTTCAAGCCGCAGATCGCTGTGGACTGTCTGGACAAGGATGAGGTAGGGATCACTGGATCCCGATCACATGCATTATATATAAGTACTTACTCATTGTAGTCTCTGTCACCCACAGCTTCCGCGTATTTGCCTCGCCGGCCCATCTGAGTCTGCGGTGATACGCACAAAAAGCTGTATAATAGCGTGACTTTGATAATCGGTAGAAGTCCTTAAATCTGAAAGCCCGTTGGCTTACCTGAGTTCCCATAATCAGCGTAAATACTGTCCGAGGTAATGAAGCGTGAGCGCTGAGCTTTCATTATCACTGCCTTTTGGCGTAACGGTTAAGGGATGACGGTCTCGACTACTTACATAATCCTCTCGGAACTTTGTACATAGGGCCAACCCCAATTGAAGCGCGTCGAGTTGCTTCAAGTGTGCCGATGCAGCAGTACACACGTATAACGATTGTTCTGGTTTCTAGTAGTAGTATTAGTATAACCAAAAAGTCAGACTGCGGGATCATACCACCGATCACTAATCAGAGTGAGTCACGCTTTTCGCAGGGATTGTTGTGATAGGTGCGACGTTCATTAGCTACGCATGTCCGCTAACACCTTGTACCGCCCCACCCGAAAGGCGGTGTTTTTGAGTTTCGGAGTACTATTTAAACCGCGGTGGCTAGGTACACTAATGTTCATTAAACTTCGTTGTTCTTACAGAGGTGCTTTACTTCCGCAGACGGAGATACAACTAAGCCATGGCGTGGTATGTAGCGGAACAAGTGAACACTGTTTTGCTGCTCCGCCTACTTCGAGCATGCTCTATCGAAACCGAACATGATGAAGCCGCTTCGTATGGAGGTTCGGCACCGAGCGCAACTTACCGCAACAGTCTTGAATCTTCTTGGTCCCTCTCTCGAAGACCTCTTTCTGCAACTGCAAGTTCACCCTTAAGATCGTTATACACCTCCCCAATACTTCCCGACATTGCTCCTCTGTCTCTCGGTATCTAGAATCGTTGGTGCTCTCATGACCACCACCCTCATCAAGCACAACACCCGTTCCCACTAAAAAGTCCCTCATAGACGGGCTGATCTTCGAGGTGTCCTGAGAACTTTCTGAGCCCACTCGTTTTCAGTACCTGCGAAACACCGCACTCCCAGACCAACCCCCCTTAGTATGCACACCCAATAGCTGTGTACACAACCTATCCTTGTTTGCCTTAATGTTGACTTACACCGCAGTTACGCTCCATAAATTACGATACATATACATAAGATAGGATTAATTAATATGAACCAATATAATATAGGGAATTGTGTGCAAGTAAACCGAATCCTGTGTAGTTGCGTCTGATAAGTGTGAGATGAAGTAGAACATGTCCCTCAAGGGCGATTGCAACTGTATAAACGATACGGAGACCGTAATATCGTAAGAATGAGACGGCGAATGATGGCGCCTATACCTCGGCGTCATGAATCGACCATAACGCGCGAGGTACATACAACTCGTGTATGAATAAGGAATTGCCAACGTCCGCATGCGGAGTCGGAAACAATGATTGATGATCCGACCAAGCAGGTAGCCGGTGCGTGCGAGGGGGTTCCAGCCCAAAAGTCCGTAGGAAAGGCGGAGCTAGTGACGAGTAGTGAGGTTCGACAACGTCAAGACGCTGCGACCAAAAATAATAAAAACAGAGAATCGCGCCCAGCTGAGAGAGGCTTATGTAAGCATGCGCTTACTTTCATGTGATTAACGCGCCCTTCGTTGATTGGACACCGTGCCATAATTGTCGGTGTTTGGCTGCTAACGCTCATTCAGTATATATAGCTCACCGCTGATGTATCGATATCTTATCTCGTACCGTATCACCGAATCCCATACGCTCATCCACGTTACCGCTGTCTGATTGTCCGCTAGTGTTGATCGTCTACTGTGACGACCTTCCACTTTTTTTTAACGTCCAGCTGAGCATTATCTGTTGAAGAACCGTTACGTCTTTTCCTTACTGTTATCCTTACCGTTCTCTCGAACCAACCGTTGGGTATTGACCGCCGGTCAACCCATCACCGTATAGACAACAAACTGCCTCCCCGCCGCCCTAAGATACCGATACCGCTGTCTGTCACAACGCGCAGTCGTGACAAACTTCTAGCGGTGCTCGCTGATATCCAACCAGTGACCACATCTACAACGTCTACATTAACAACACCACCCACCTCTCCGAACTCGCCCTTGCAACCATCCCCCTTGACTTCTTGCTCCCATTCGCGAGTCGACACGCATATATCCACCGATTCTGACTCTACCGATCCCCACGCCTACAACACACCTACCATGTCAACCACACCGAAGGTTGCATGTGTTGAACAGACAGCCGCGAGTAAGCCGCCCCTTCTCACAGCGGGCGAGCTGACTCCAGAGGCACTACGCTCCTGGGAAATGGGTTGCACGCAGTTCTTTCTGCACAAGGAGGTGAAGGACGAGGAAATGGTAAAGAAGGTTGCTTGGGGAATGCAAGAGGCGGTTATCCAGGACTGGTACATTAACGACCGCGAGCGAATTGACAAGCTCACCTTTGCAGAGTATATGGCTGAAGTCCGCAGCTACTGGCTCCCTTCGGGTTGGTCCGACATTGTCCGACGCAAGATGCTGGCATCTACTCAGGGACATCGCCCCTTCAACGAGTGGGCAGTTGACGTCCAGAGTCAGAACACCCTCTTGCGTGGGACGGCATCTCATCTTACAGAAGTCAATATCCGGTATCACCTTGAGTCCCACATGAATTCCAAACTCGCTGCTGATTACCATGCTGAACACATTACCGAAACGGATCTACGCAAGTGGATTGAGAAGGTACGCTTGCTCGACGAGAAGCGAATGCGCTATCTTGTTCGGCAGCGAGAGGCTGTAGATGCTGCCTTGCGCATGGAACGTGCACGCTCGAGCGGGGAGAAGAAGCTCACTGCGGGCACACGTTTCAATGCGAAGGCAGGGCAAGCTACTAGTGTCTCTACCACCACCTCCGCAAAGACCTTTACACGCCTACCCTCTCTCACAGATAACGAGCGCCAACTCCTTCGGGACAATGATGGATGCTTCAAGTGTCGCGAACCTTTCGCAGGTCACACATCCGCCACTTGCCCGAAAGGCTTCCCAGATGGCGCATCATATAAAACCCTTACAGCTGCTCTGATCGCTTCGAAGAAGCCGAAGAAGACGGGTGAAGTTGTTGCAGCGGTTGATGTTGAAGAACGACACACTATCGCAGTTGTGATGCTGTCAGCAGTGCTCGGTGATGGTACTGACTCTGGCGAAGAGTGCGTGGCTCCGCTACAGACCCCTCATCTGTGTTGGGACTGTCTCGTTGATGGGCCTGCTGTTTCTTCTTCTGTTGTTGTATCCGCTCTCATTGACCATGGTTCTTCTCTAGTTCTGATTGATGAAGCACTTGTCGACAAACTTGGACTACGCCGTCGCCAACTATCAAAACCGTTACCTGTTTCGCTCGCATTGTCTCACGATAATTCCTTTCTTCTCTCGCAATATGTCAAATTGTCTTGTTCGTCTCTCGATCAGAAATACACGTCTCGGACTGTACAGTGCAATAATCGCACCGAATCTTTGTACTCCCCTGTTACTTGGAGGCCCATTCCTCGAACATAATCGCATCGTGATTGACCACGAGCTGCGTACCTGCATTGTAAAGGACCTGAACTATGACCTTCTTCATCCTCCCGCAGCTGTTGTGTCTTCTCAGCGGATCTCGCCGTCAGGCCCTCAATTATTTTGGATGAAGCATGATGTTGTCAACGAACTCAAGTCTGTCTTACCGGAACTCAAAGCTATTGTTGACGACGAATGCGAGCCAGTAAAGGGAGTTGATCTTGTGGCCGCTGTGCAATCACGCATCACCATGCTCGAATATCAAGATGAATTGAGTGCATTGGACGCCAAGCTGAAAGCGGAGTTCAAAGATCGCTTTCCGACCGATATTCCACACAACGACACAATGCCATCTGAAGTTTTGTTTCGCATCCATCTGAAAGATGCTAATAAAATTGTTCAACAGCGCTCTTATGACTGTCCGAAGAAGTATCGCGCTGCCTGGAAAACCCTGTTGGACTCACATCTTGACAGTGGGCGTTTGCGCCATTCTGAGAGTGAGTGGTCGTCGCCGTCGTTTATTATACCGAAGGCAGACCCAACTGTCTTGCCACGATGGGTTAATGACTTCCGACTGTTGAACGACAATACTGTCGCAGACAACCATCCATTGCCGCGTATTGACGAGATTCTGAAGGACTGCGCTAAAGGAAAGTTTTTTGGAAAAATTGATATGACTAACGCATTCTTTCAGACGCGAGTACACCCAGATGATATGAAGTTCCTGGCGATTCATACTCCCTTTGGGAAGTATGAATGGACGGTAATGCCCATGGGTGTACGAAATGCTCCAGCGGTACATCAACGACGGATGACGACAGCGCTACGACATTTGATTGGTAAGATTTGCCATGTGTACCTGGATGACATCATCATTTGGTCACAAACGCTCGAGGAACACGAGGCAAATGTGCGACAGGTCCTACTGGCATTACGGACAGCACATTTGTATTGTTCTCCAAAAAAGACGTCACTCTTTAACACCGAAATTGATTTCTTAGGTCACCACATCTCTGCTCGGGGTATCGAAGTTGATAGCTCGAAGGTTGCTCGCATCCTGGACTGGCCGCAGCCACGTAACGCGACTGAAGTGCGCGCGTTCTTAGGTATCGTCCGGTACCTCTCAGACCACTTACCTAACATCGCTGGACATACGCGTGTTCTTACTGCACTGACAACAAAATCTGCAGAATTGGAGTTTCCGAGCTGGAACAAGGACCATGCAAACGCCTTTCAAGCCATCAAAGACCTCGTCGTCAGCCCACGATGTCTCACAACAATCGATCACGATAATCCAGGGGACAACAAGATCTTCCTTACTTGTGACGCCTCTGACTACGCGACGGGCGCCATGTTATCCTGGGGCCTGACTCGCGAGACAGCGCGACCGGTTGCTTTTGATTCAATGCAGCTGCGGAGTGCAGAACTAAACTATCCAGTACATGAAAAGGAGCTCCTGGCGATCATTCGGGCGCTGAAGAAGTGGCGTTTGGACCTGCTGGGTGCGCATGTTGATGTATACACTGACCATCGGACCCTCCTGAACTTCAACACGCAACGAGATCTCTCTCGTCGCCAAGCACGCTGGGCGGAATATATGTCTCAGTACGACATGACATTACACTACATTAAGGGGGAAGACAATGTAGCCGCTGATGCTCTTTCACGGCGAAGGGACACTGTGTCGACTGCTGATCTGTGTGCAGCTCTACTTACCATACAGTCAGACGCAGCCCTCCTGGACCGGATTATCAAAGGGTACGCTATTGATCCCTGGTGTAGTAAGCTGAACAGTCTGCTAGGATCATTACCCGGCTTGTCTTGTGACGAACGAGGGCTCTTCTATATTGTGGACCGACTGGTGATTCCACGGGTAGATGACCTTCGGGAACATCTCTTCAACGCTGCCCATGATGCTGCTGGTCACTTTGGTGCGGACAAGTCGTATGCTCTACTGCGAAGTTCCTACTACTGGCCGAACATGCGGCGCGACCTCATTGATTCTTATATTCCCTCCTGCACAGAGTGCATGCGTAACAAGTCTCGCACAACAGCAACCGCAGGGCCGTTACATCCTCTACCAGTTCCAGATGGTCGTGGCGATTCTGTGGCTATCGATTTCATTGGGCCGTTGCCAGAAGACAGTGGATTTAACATGCTTGTTTCGATGACAGACCGGTTGAATTCTGATATCCGTTTAGTGCCTTGCAAGGACAACATATCGGCGGAACACTTCGCAGGCTTGTTTTTCGACCATTGGTACTGCGAGAATGGCCTACCACAAGAGATTGTCTCGGACCGCGATAAGCTTTTTTTGTCAAAGTTCTGGCGTGCACTGCATAAACTGACTGGTGTTAAGCTTAAACTGTCATCCTCTTATCATCCGGAAACGGACGGCGCAAGTGAACGTACCAATAAAACAGTCAATCAATGTCTTCGCTACTACGTCGACAGAAATCACAAGGGTTGGGTTCGTGCGCTGCCCCGTGTACGTTTCCACATCATGAACACTGTCAATGCAAGTACTGGCTTCTCTCCTTTTCAGTTGCACCTCGGGCGTTCGCCCCGTATGTTGCCACCACTGATTCCAAAGGCTACCGTCTCCGAAGAGTCTGAAGAAGAACGCGCACGTGTCTTGCTGTCACAGCTCAAGCACGATGTAATGGAAGCACAAGATAATCTACTCGCAGCAAAGGCAGCCCAAGCGGCGAACATCAACAAGAGTCGTGCGCCAGCTCTCGCGTTACAGGTCGGTGATCGTGTCATGCTCGCCACCAAACATCGTCGTCGGGAGTATATGCAGAAGGGGGACAAAAGAGTTGCGAAGTTCATGCCTAGATATGACGGTCCATACGTCATTCTGGACGCACACCCAGGAAGCTCAACATACACACTTGATTTACCAAACTCCCCAAACATATTCCCAACCTTCCACGCCAGCCAATTGCGCCCGTACCACGCGAACGACCCCATTCTTTTCCCTACACGCGAACATCCGCGACCTGGACCCGTGGTGACGGAGAACGGACAACTAGAAACCTTCATCGATAGAATCATCGACGAACGAAAGGTCGGAAGGGGAAAGAAGTACCTCGTACGTTGGGTTGGCTTTGGCGAAGAAGATGACGAGTGGCTGCCGAGGAGGGACTTGGAAGACTGCGAGGCTCTGGACAATTGGGAGAAGGGACGTTCTCAAGGATAGTGGGGAAGGGTGTAAGCATGCGCTTACTTTCATGTGATTAACGCGCCCTTCGTTGATTGGACACCGTGCCATAATTGTCGGTGTTTGGCTGCTAACGCTCATTCAGTATATATAGCTCACCGCTGATGTATCGATATCTTATCTCGTACCGTATCACCGAATCCCATACGCTCATCCACGTTACCGCTGTCTGATTGTCCGCTAGTGTTGATCGTCTACTGTGACGACCTTCCAGCTTAGCTAGATATAGAAAGAGTGTCTGGGTTTGGGATGATGAACTTCCAGGAGGGTTGAACACTAACCTATCATGTAACTCATGCGACAAACCATCCGCCACATCGCAAAGGATAGGTGGACATGGTCATAGAAACGGCTAAGCATTGCTACCTGGAATAGTAATGAAGCCGGCTTGAGAGCAACTCGGGTGCTGCTGACGATGCTTGGCGGCGCAGTCATTTCGAGCCACCGTAATGCCACAGACCAGCATTTGATTCGGATACCGATGTGTGTAATGACATGCCGCCCAAAGCTCTGGATCTTCAGCTGTTTCTCACAGAGACCATGAGGTGTAGCCCATAGGCAACGGCAGGATTCCTTGTTGTCGACCCCAATGCGATGGTGTTCGCGCAGATGGGCAAGAACATCTTTAGGTGTAGCCTGAAGCTCATGGTTGCAAAGCCTTCCTTCGTTGTCCCACTGACAAAAATAGGTACTATGGTACTCATGAGGGTGGTATGGGTGGAAGCGACCACTGCGGTTATGCGGAGGAACAGGAGGCCGTGGATAATCGCAGACGTTGCGGAAATTTTCAAGCAAATTATCCTGCATCGCGAGAATGGGGGAGGGGGCGGAAGATCGAGAGACGTCCATCTGGTTGTTCATCAGCGAGTAAGCGTAAGGAGAATCTAAATGAAAGCGCCACTAAGTAAGATGGGTGTTCATGATAATGATGGATATTCTCACCATGACACCACTGGTAAATGAGGGGATGTCTGGGCTGTGGCGCATGTAGTACACGAGTATGCCATGCGGAATCATCAGCCACAGTCCTGTTTTGACACAAGAACCAAGTTGTCACTAGCTAATCGTAAAATTATAAAGAATGAACGCACTTCTCGAAAGACGGAGTGGCTAGTAAATAATCATCCAATGGTATATTTGTGTTACTGTTGATTCTCGTCAAATAATATAAGGGGCGTTCAGAATAAGTGCACCTTTCATCGCTGAGCGCCATAGGCACAAGATCAAAGTACGAACCTGCAGGCTGGTGGGCAGAGACTGATATATTGAGTGCATCATCGTCAAAAAGAAAAAGAGAAGAAGCCATGAATACAGCTGAGCAAGCGTTGTGCTGTTAAGGGGAGGGACGGTGGTTGTTCACTTGTTTTCCAGACGGTCAGCAGGTGCCTACAAATTTATCATTACTAAAATCTTTGCAATGCCAAGTGCGCGCACAGCACCGGAATAGGAGCCAGGCCAGAATATTAACGTGGAAAGCAGACATAGAATGTTGGCGTGATGAATGTAGACATCGTTGGCAAAGGTGAAGTAAAGATACCGGCCAACATGAAGATCTTGCCACCGATAGTTATTTTCCCTAGAAGCTGCAACGGAGATTATCCTCATAAACAAAAACATATTTTTGAGGATGACCACCTTGGATTCTGGCATGACACTGCCCAAGTCCCACAAGACGTATAGGGCCATATCGCGGCAGCCTCCTGGAGGCTGGCCAACTGAGAGAGCGATGGCAATGTCCTGGATTCAAGAAAGGCATGATGAAGTCCTGATGGAGTCGCTGTTGCAGATCGAGCCAATATTAAGTTACATCCGGAACCGCCTGCATTGCGTCAAACGTCGTGACGTTTCAAAAAGGGAGTACGAGGATCTATGTAGCCTCCGTCGCCTGCGGCTTTGTCGTATTTGCCTTGCACAAACCTCGCCCGTCTGTGGAAGTGATATTAATCAGTGCGATGTGCAAAAAGGTTGCTAAATCATAATGGTGGTAGCTCAAGCTCTCAAGAGTCAGACCAGACGATCTTAGGCTGGGACCACCACCGGGATCTTCCGAGGTTCCAGCTGTACGATAGTATCGTATCATAGTGAGGATAATAACCGGCGATAGAGCGGTAAAGTTCCCGGAAAACAGAACTTGGCAGAGTCAAACCGCGGAAGTAAGTAATGGATGTACTTGAGACAATCAATATGCGACATATGGTAGATGGGCCAACCCACTTTACTTGAAGCACATCAGATGGCTGAGCGCGGCCGGTGTCTTCAAGTACACGTAATGAACCAACTTTGAATTACCGGTATTCGTTCCTTCTCCCAAAATACCTTTTATATGGTACATACCTCGGACTCCGACAATATTTTGTTTTGAGTTCCTTCAAGTTGGCATCGAGGCTCGTTTAATTTGTGATCAAAATATGTTGATATCTGATACTACGAGAAGGGCCACTTCAAACGCGGCAGAATGTCCTGAGCGACAGTTGACGCCGGCTGAAGAAGTCACCACAGGTACTGTAAGAGAAACTCTTTGCATGGATCCCCAGGGACTCCCCCTTGTGACTGGCAACCTCTAACTTACTAAAGCTCTCTCCGTGCGTCTGCCATGTCGCCGCACCTCGCACCCGTGCTAACATCATGATCGTGCGTGTTCTGTGTTCAACACTACGTCCCACAATCCAGCTGATCGCACTGTGCCGGATTGTGTGATTGTGTGGGTTGCGGCTTGTCAATCATAGTTCTGAGAGGAGTCAAAGTCAAAGTCACCGGTCCTAGCCGACATACTCACCTACATACTGGTGGCCACTGATATCGCCTCTATCAAATTCATATACTGACTCCGGAAAATCTGATTCGTGTATGTGAGCAGCTTTACACGAGCATGTTAGAACAGCTCTCATCCATGTGTTAGAGCGGAAACAGGCAAGAGGAAATCAGGGATAGGGAGATTTCAGGCAGTTATACCTTGACTTTGGTTGTCGCACTGTGAGCGGTCATATCTCGGTCGTATCAGATCCCTGCTCATGATGCGGTTATGAGGGCCATCATGCCTACAGCAAACAATATATTGTTATCCTCGAATCCTTTCGTGCCGCATCACTGCCGCGTTGTAAGCGGTGCTTCGAAGCTGGTCTGTGAAGTATGGTATCCGAAGGCAATTGTATCGTTGTAAAAATAGCAAGCACCGGTCTGCCCCCAACAGCATATGCCGAAGTTCCCTGGCTGTACTTAAGGTCACTTGTGAGCGGTGATTATTCTTTAGAGATCCATTTTTCGCTCACCGAGTGCCAAGTAGATCTAGAGAGCCCAGCCCTGCCGACTAGCGCTCATTCTAGCGCCTGCCTACTCGGCGCATCTTCGATCCATCGTTGAACTTACTTTTTTGAGTTCGACCTCGGTCATCTAATGCTCAAGTCGTCAGATTAGTAGAGATTGCAGCGCGCTGCCGAGTACTAAATATTAAGTGGGAACGAACCTTCAACATCGACAAAAAGTGTATACCTCCTTTTGTACCCGTCATTGGCGCCCATCTGTATGCGTATCGTGATCCTGGAGGTGCATTTTTTTCCCAACGCATTGAGTACGTCTGACCTATTCCCGCTTCGTCTAGCGCCACTTATCACTTCATAATAATCATCCTTTACATTCACCCTCCTGCAGACTTTCGCGTTGCACAAGGCATCGAAAATTCCCAGACTGTATCCGCACCAAGTTTCCGGTAGCCTCAATCTCCGTCTCGAATACGTGTTAACGGCATTTACTCAGCGAGGATTTGTCTCCCATGCGGTGATTGGCCTCTACACAGCTGCGGCGCCAAGCGACGAGCTTCTGCACCACTTTTGGTGTTGTCAGTGCGACCTACAAATAACCAATGATTATTTTTGCCCTAACGTCGTGTGGACGTCATTTCCAAATACCAAACGCCATTTGGACATGATGAACGGGTCGATTGCTGCACGCTCTAATGTAAATGCCAACCTGGCAGGTCGGTACCCTGAGCCAGGGGTAGCCAAAGCTATGAAGAACCCATTATTACCGTGGAAGATACTCCATTTGCTACTGGCTGCCACCATGGTGTTGCATTTGTCCGATAGATTAAATATTTCGGGGGTGCTTCGTGTCTTCAATCCAGCGACACGCTCACTGCTCATGGTCACCGTCTGCTTGCCAATTTTCTGTTGTGATCCGGCTGGGATGATCGCGATCTCAGAGGGGAATAATAATGTCGAAGTAAAAATGGAACGAGTGTTCTGTTGTATACAGCAAGGCGACGCGGGTAAGTTAAGGTTTGAAGCAATGAGGTTTCTCTGCTGTACACACTGCACGGCTGGTCGACCCAGACAAGTTTGATTAGTGTGCTTTACGTTCAGCGTTTGCACTTCGAGCTTCGATATATTATGTTATCAGATAAGATGCAATAACCGAACTTGCAAACGTGGCATTTCAGAAATTTATTGGTTCCGCTCAGTTAGCCAGTTGGTGTTGCGGCTCGTTCAACAAAGTGGGTCACCATTGCCAAATTTCGTGTAAAGTTCTCGACTGAGCTTCTAGGCGTCACAAGCTACTACCATTCATGAAGTCATGAGCTCTCGAAAAAACGCAAGTTCAAGGCGGGCAACGTGGTTAGCCTTTGGCTTGGTGGCGCTCGCTGCGTTCTCCGCCTCAGCCCAGCCTCAAACTGTCAGTGTTATGGTATTTACACGGTCATGAATGCTAACGTATCCTTTAGGATAGTCTTGAGTCCACCCTATTAGAACGGGAGCAACAGAGTGCCCAAGTCCCAAACGACGTATGCAGGCAGAATCAGGATATCCGCGTGTGTGGATTTAATGCTCATTCTTGTGTAGGCTACCGTGTATTCGGAACCAGAGTTCGACCAGGGTGCAGAAGGTGAGAAGGGTTTCCTTGAGCACACCAGGAATCTAACACGTGTATATCGCGCAGCGACAAGAGCATACAAGTCTGCTCTATTCACACTTTCTAACCTCACCGCACATGCACCATCACATACCCACGACGTATTCTCCCAACCAACCACTACAACGCCCTCTCTTCTCTCCGCGCTTCTTCCTAATCTACAAGGCCAAGGCCCTCTAGGAAGTGCAATTCGCATAGCACTGAAACTTCGTCAACAATTCTTTATTTTCCGTCTGTTTGGTGGACCCAGTGGAAATGCTGCGAGGAGAAAAGATGAGGAGATGCGTGGAAAGGCAATAAAGGTGGTGGATTTACTGCAACATTCTGCTGAGCTAGGGAATCTAGGATGCGCTTTTTACGCTTGGTTATATATCTCTGGTAGGCCTTGCTTCCACATCTTCTAAGACTTAGCGCATTAACTTCTGTGTTTAGTTCCCTCCAAGCTCTCATTTCCCGTCCGACCCTAAACTCGCATACGATTCACTGTCGCACCACGCTGCACTGACAGGCAACGCTTCCTCGCAAGCTCTTCTCGCCTTTTTTCATGCCACAGGTTTTGCAGATGTCGTTCCCATCGACCAAGCCCAAGCATTGTTATATTACACATTTGCTGCTCAGGGCGGTGACAAAGGCGCACAAATGGCCCTCGGATATCGATACTGGAGTGGTATCAGCACAATTGAAGACTGCGATCGTGCAGTTGAATGGTATGAGGCTGCCGCAGATGAAGGTGAATAACCGACAATCCCCGAGTTTCCAAAGTTCTTATAAACCATCCTAGCGATGTCAATGTTCCTGTCTGGTCCTCCTGGTGGTCAAACCCTACCGCAGACCGCGACGCGCCTGTCTGACTTAGATGGGGGTGTATTCGGCCCGGGCGCCAGTGTTGCATCCACCGGCTTGAACGTTATTAAGCCCGCAGTCAAGGCTGGCCTAGCACATACCGCTGGTGAGACATGGGACGACGTTCTCGAGTACTACATTGTGGGTTTTCCTCCATAGTGTGTTGCTCGCTGCTCATGTAAGTTCAGTTCAACGCAGACAGAGGAGAAACGGACTTTGCATTCAAGTTAGGGAAGATCTATTACCAGGGTAGCATCTACGCTTCTGCAGGTGGTATCGGTTCTGGCTCAGAAGGGGTTGGACGGGTCCCTCAGGACTTCCATCAAGCTCAGACTTACTTCCTCCAGATTGCGCGGCAGGTCTGGCCTCGTGACCCTCCGAACCCCTTGTTGCATAATGCACCTGGTTATAAGGCGGAAAACATCAAGCAGCCTGGATACGCAGCAAAGAGCGCGGCATATCTTGGGCGGATGTATCTCCGGGGCGAAGGCGTGAAACAAGACTATGCAATGGCCATGATGTGGTTTGAACGAGGGGTCGAGTTCGAGGAAAGAGAGTGCCTCAATCTGTTGGGTATCATGTGGAGAGACGAGCTTGTGCCTGGACGCCAGGACATGAAGACAGCTATCGAATTCTTCAGCAGGGCAGCAGCTCAGGAACTCGCAGAGGCCCATGTCAATCTTGGAAAGTACAACTACTGTAAGTTTATCTTTGTTCAAACATAACGCCAGCATTTTCTCAATAACAAACAGACCGCGGCGAGTTCAAACTCGCTGTCACGTACTTCGAAACTGCAGTCCGTTTTGGCTCAACGTTTGAGGCTCACTTTTACCTTGCAAAGATTCACACCCTGAACATGCGTGCCGCAAATCAAGATTTTGCAGCAGGTTTCTGCGCTTCTGCAGTTTCGTTCTTCAAACTTGTTGCTGAGCGGGGAGTTTGGGATGATGACCTCCTGATAGATGCGGAAGTTGCCTGGTATAGTGGCACCGAACGTGGCAAGGAAGTTGCGATCCTTAAATGGTGGGTTGCGGCGGAGAGAGGGTCTGAGATAGCACAGAATAATCTAGCTTATGTCCTAGACCAAGGTAAGCCCAATGAAAGTCGAGGCCCTAGCAATCTAATCTATTTACAGACCAGAGCATGCTCCGTCTCACACGTTTCGCCCCTATTGAGGCATCCAATGATACCGCTCTCCTCGCCCTCACTCAGTGGACGCGTTCCGCTGCTCAGCGAAATATTGATGCACTGGTTAAGGTCGGTGACTATTACTACCACGGCCTTGGTGTTCCCGATGAGCCCGAGGCACTCAGATGGGAAAAAGCGGCCAAGTATTATCAGAGCGCTGCTGACACGCAGGTCAGTGCGCTGGCGATGTGGAATTTGGGCTGGATGTATGAGAATGGTATTGGTGTACCTCAGGTAAGCATTTATACTCTCGTATGTTACTCTGGTTAATGAACACGCTTCACAGGATTTCCATCTTGCAAAGAGGCATTATGATATGGCGGTTGACACGAATAGCGAGGCATACCTGCCTGTGCTGCTCTCCTTGATGAAGTTGTATGCCCGCAGTCTCTGGTACACTCTTCAGGGTGGCAAGGATGGTCTTAATCTATGGACATATGATGAGGATAAATGTGCGGCACTTCTTGTCATGAGTCCGCAATTTCAGCTGACATGCTGCCAGTATCTGTAGCAGAGAGGACGAGCTTGAAACGAGAAATAGATGGCAACTCCCAAGAAACGCCTCAGAAGGACAGCGGCGCTCAACCTGCCCTCCACAAGGAGGAGAGGGTCGTCGAAGAGTTTGAGGATGATGAGAGTCCATGGTATCCAGGTAAAGCTCGCGACGATTTCCGCAGACGAAGGCAGGGCGAAGCCGCGCGTGCTACTGCTGCTGAAGATGACGATCCAGTCCAGGCGAGTATTTCCTCCATCATTTCATCGCACCCTTTCTTATTCTCAAACACAGTGGGCACGAGAGAGACGGAACGCGGAAAATGAAAGGGACGCTGATTTTGGTCCTGAGGACTATTTTGACGGTGCTATTCGTGGCGGACACCGAAGGGAGGAAGAAGTGGACGAGTTTGCAGAGACGATGTTGCTGGTGGCTCTTTGTGCTGTTGTTGCGGTCCTGATCTACGTCCGCACACGCATTGTGGATAGAGCCAGGAGGCAAGAACAAGAACAGCAGCAAGATCAGGGGGGTCAGAGAGATTTGGGGGTGTTCCCGCCACCAGGCGATCCCGCCCGACAGGAGTGGAACATCGTGCATTAGTGCATCGCACGTTATTTATTGTGGTTGTAGGTATCTAGCCATGATAGGACATCAAGACGTAATTTGGGGCCATTAGGTCCAGTTTGAATCCTTTTGAACAAGTAAAACCGTCGGGGCACCTATTTATGGCTATTTGGCCAGCTCAGCTCAGACATCCCCGTGTGCGAGCCCGGCGGCGGGCTGTCAAAGTGTCGAGATTGACGTCAACCCTGGGAATCAGCGTAACTACAAGAAGTATACACTTCTTGGTCTTCTGATCCCGAATCCTATAGATCCTTATAGACCCCCTTTCAAACCTCGAGCAGAGTTTCACGCTTACGTCGCCTGAGCTGGCACCCAGCATCACCACCATGAGCTTCAACCTCAAAGATCTTGAAGGCCCCATTACGCTCATCCTCACTGCTCCAGGTGTTGATTTGAGTACCATCAGCGCGAAGCGCGTTCGCCAGAAGTTGTTGGAGGACACCGCGTTGGGTCTGACCACTCAAGGGCTGAAGAAGCGGAGGACAGAGGTGGACACGATGATTTCGAATATTTTTGAAAATATTAGTCGGCAGGCACAAGCAGACGACTCGAAGAGGAAACGCGACGAAGAGACGGATGAAGCCACAGAGCAGGATGATCAAGGGGAGGTTTCGGAGGAACAGGATGAGCAAGAGGATGCTGTGGAGGAGCAGGACGCAGAAGCATCTGAGGAAGAGGACGAGAAACCTCCACCGCCGAAGAAAAAGAAGAGCGCTGCGAAAAGCGTCGAAGAGGCCGATGCTGAGTTGGCCAGGAAACTTGCATCAGAACTCAACTCCCGGTCGCGGCGTGGCGCGTCAAATGGCGCATCTACTACGCCCAAGAAGCGTAAGACGAAGAAGAGTGCAGCCGTGGTGGATTCCGGTGGCGAGAACGATGACGAAGATGAGGAGAAGCCAAAGAAGAAACGTAGTGGAGGTGCAAGAGGAGGCTTCGCAAAGGAATACATACTCAGGTGCTTCAAACGCCCCTGTTTACGTCTTTTGTACCGTGCGATCTCCTCATCTTTTCTTCATTTTACAGCGAATCCCTGTCAGTGGTTGTTGGCGTGGACAAGCTCTCCCGCCCCCAAGTCGTGAAGAAACTATGGGAGTATATTCGTGGTCATGAACTTCAAAACCCGTCCAATAGGCGTGAGATCATGTGCGACGACAACATGCGAGCTGTCTTCGGTACCGAAAAGGTTGACATGTTCCGGATGAACAAAGTCTTGGGACGGTATGTCTACTCTAACTGCTTCGAGACGCATATTCTCAGTGATCCTGCATTTAGGCATTTACATGCCCAGTGACAACGTTTGGGAGAGGTACATCAAGTGTGTCGTTAGTTTTATGGTGTCAGTTCCTGCTGTATCCATCACGCATTATTTATGACCTGTAGTAAGTCTTGCGCGTTATATATTGAGTATGAAAACGACGGCCTATGCAACACATCCGAAAAGACAAACATACACGGAGAAAGCAGAATGTCGTAGACTCATAGCAAATTCGTAAGTAGGTAATAGTATGGTATGGCTCGCAGGTGGATCATATTGAGTATCGTGGATGACTTCAGAAAAACACCGGCTAGTTCAAATTTTGCAGCTTCATCCACTCCTTATCGTCTGCATTGAAATCCACACCTTTATTCTTCCACCACTTCCTTGCTTTGTCCCCACCGCCAATCGCGTCCTCCAGTGCTTCTTCGATGTCACACATACGATATTGAATCGGTAACCTACTTTTATCCCACCATTCCAACACTTCGCTTCGATTATGCCGTGTCGCGCCGGTCAGCACATCCTGGTCGAATATGATCTGTAGCCCGCTTCCAAGCCACCACTGCAAAACTTCCACCTTCCCCACGCAGCTAGCATGGTGCATGACATGACGGTCATACGTATACTCCAGCTGCGACGTCGCCCACCACTTGAGTACGTCCACATGCCCTGCCTGACTCGCCAATTCCATAACGCGCCCGACCTTCAGGGGCAGGTTATTGGTAAGATTCTGGTACTTCCACCATTCCAGGACATTAATACGATTTTTTGCGCTAGCACCTTCAAGAGCAGCTTCTGTGTAGTCCAGCGGAAGCCCAGACGACACCCACCAGTCCAGAGACTGCACTTGACCGCTACGAGAGGCTCTATCGATAGCACGAGCAATAGACCCAGGTTTTGGAGGATGCACTAGATCTGGGTGTTGCTCAAACCCATGTTTCCACCACGAGAGTACTGATGTGCGACCGTGCTGCGATGCATGGAAAGGGATCAGATCGTCTTTGAAGGTAGATAAAAATACGGGGTGGTATTGCGTAACGAAAAATTCCAGCACATTGACGTAACCAAATCGCACAGAGGCGATGGCACTGTGAATTGAAGGCGGATTGGCTGCGGGATCTGCTGCACGGATGAGGGGGATAGAACCTGTGAGAATGGAGAGGTCGATGGGTGAAGCATCGTTCCATTCGCTAGGGGGAGGCAGCGAAGTAGGGACGCTCAAGGCACGAGAGAGCTCCCAGTCACCAAGATGATCAAAGATATCAGCCAGAACTTCGACGGGGAGATCTACAGGACGTTCGGTGGTCGTCTGTTCCTTCCCTTTGCCCATGGAAGACATTGGCGCATCACTAGAGATTGTAGGAAAATGATAGGTATGGAAATCATGCTGGGCTAATCTCGATGCGAGCTCTTTATCCGTACCCGATGTTGGGAGATTGCGAACTTTGAGGAAAAGTACGAGCTCGTCGTGGGGTAGCCGACAATAGGCAATGAAAACAGCTTTAAATGGACCATCGTGGTTCTAAAGAGAGTTATAAGATCAGTACTAGTGTGAGACGGATGAATGATGAGAAATATATTGACCTCCATATGCAGATGCCCAGAAAGATGTGGCTTGGGAATGAGAGCTGTCAGAGGCTGGGAGGTGATTTGGCCACGTGGTCTCTGAAGTCGAGCTCCAACAACTCAAGAGTTGCTCAACGTTGGATTTGATTCTTGTTCAAGACCTTTTATTAAAATTTTCGCAGCCTGCAGGACGCTTAGCGTCTACCGGCTGTCAGACAAGGATCAAGCCGCGAGGGGGATATCGTTAGCTCCCGAAACCTTCGAATTCAGATCAGCTCCAAACAGGCTTGTTCGAGGTGTCTTAAGGAACGTGCTGCCAGCGTTCTGTCTTAATGATTAGCGTCTGGATGATGCGCACAACGGCACCGCCTTGATATGATCAAGAGCCTGGAAGACTTACACCCCGTTCAACTCGGACCTATCGAGAAGCAAGAGTTCCAGGCTCCGCCGAACCACACTTCATCTTCTCGGAGGATGCATGCTGCATCTACTAACCTTCAGATGAGGCTCCAGAGTCGGAGTGGGTGGATTGACGAGTGGGGATATTTATTATATCCCGGGCGCTATTTTACCTCCAAATGGCGAGTGTCATCTCGTTGTTCGCCTGAGCAACTATCAGAGTTGATATTGATCGTACGAATGCAGGGTCTTCAGTGCAGGCTTCTCAAATAAATAGGTTTTCCTAGTATACTGCCACGAGTAGCATGCGAATAGCAGGTCCTATGTAGAACACTTTGCTGTATGTGAGTCCAGTGTCAATTATTTTGGCACTAGTGGTGTCCGAGAAGCTGACTCCTCATCCCTGCATATAACCAAGTACAGCGATCAAATGTACGTTCAGAGTATCCGATGACAGCCCTAATGACTGAAACTATGATCACATGTATCATCAACTACAACTGCTTCAGCACTGCTCGGAGGAGTTCTCAGTCATTCATTGTTCGCCCGTTGACTACATCTATCAATATCCGAGGCGATAACTCCTTCATTGTGTACCATGGTTCCCTCGGGATACAGGAAGAGCACGTTGATCAACTTCTGGAACGTAATAATGACGTACCTTGTACTTTGCAGACACTTCGATTGCGGCAGTTCCTGTGGCCGGTGGCGTACCTTTCCGACGCACAGCAAAGTTGACATGCCAAAACTTTGTCTCTCTATTGTTCTCCAAATTTTTGTTCAAGCTATTCGGGAAAAGGTTGACGCCCTTCTAAAGCGAGTCGTCTGCATTCACGGGTGCCTTTTCTCTAGTGGGAATCGAACAAAGGGACCTCAAGATTCACAGCTGTTCAGTGGACAACACAGGAGGTAAGTCATCACGTGCTACTCGATCATATTCGCATTCGATGGGCCCGCCAATCAAGGGTCAGTTGTAGTTGATTGAGTGCTTGTGGTGCTCGTTTTTCATCGTTTACAGCGAACACTCGAGCACTTGTTGCTAAGGCTGTAATACCAAGGTATTGGAGCAAATGTCGCACGAACTGTGATTGATCAGCGCTCACAATCAACTGCGCCGATTCGGACTTGCTATCGCCCCTGCGATTTTTCTTTTGGTAAATGACGGTTTGGGCTGTTCACGTACCTGCGATTATTCGTGCGCTTGCCATTGGTTGCGAAGTTATAGGTACGGGGCTGCGGTGGCCTTCGACGTGACTCCAACTAGCTGTTCTTGGCTGTGCCAAACATCTTAGACCAAATACATGCACAATGTTGTTCACATTTTGTTGTCCTCCTTTGATCTGAAAATTGAATGGCGCGGAGACGACGATCACACGTCACAGTCCAGGGCGATCATAGCGTCACCGCGGTGATCAAGCTTAATTCCGTAGCGTTCAAGAGCGTTAGTCGGACCCAGGTAAGTTGTATACATACTCTGTAAACGGGCGGGAAAAGATGTCACCTTGTTTTAGGTATAAATGATCCGTGCCAGTGCCTCGTGCACATGTACTTGAGTACGTACTTCGGTTTTGATTAGATTAGCACAGGGTACTGTATTCAATCTCGGAAATGGACGGTCACTGCTTTTCTGCTGTGGATTCTAATCATTCTCCTGTGGCGACAGGAACACAGAAACCTGACAATGCAGGGTCAAGGAAAACTCTGATCCCTGAGCGTCCGGTTCCGATTCTTATGTATATATATATACTCCTCGCCGCCCCATTGATGACCCAGTCTTAGACATGTTCACAAAACTTGCCAGCTACTTATGCGGTGGACGGTATGTCATGCTAAATGTCACTTTACCGATATTTCGCTCATGTTGGATATCAGCGACCAAGTCGGTCAAGCTAGGGGACCACAGTTTAACCTTTCTGGAAGCGCTCAGAAAAAGGACAAAGTGTATGAGATATATACCGACCAACTTTTGGGATGAACTGACCTTTGAAATAGCACAAAACCTACTGTGAATGTCCGAAAGACTGAAGGGTCGAGGTATGTACTAGCATGCTGTTGGGATTTCTTGGAATGGTTGACAAGGCTTCTAGTGGTACTCGACCTCGGCCCCCTCCAGACTCCACTAGATATCAAAGTCCCAATCAATCAAATGGTGTACAACCAAGGACATAGACTAGACCTCCATGATGTCTTGGGTGAGCAGTGCTAGTAAATGTTGAGTAGGTGCGTTCATCATCTTCGATATTCAATTGTCACACTCACGAACACTTGATTGTGATGCCGGCACAGATGCTTTTGCATGTAAAAATCTCCATGTGCTTCCGATGTGCATATATGTCTTATGCTTTTCTAAAGTCCTCCTGTAAAGCGACTTCTTCTACAGTACTACATGAAATTCATTGGATGGTTCATGCCGTTTTTTGAGCATATATTTATTACGTGGATGGTGGCTTTTGGTGATTTGTCTTCTCCCTTAAACGGACTGTATTCTATCATGTAGACGAGGAAAGACAGTTAATCCTTCTATGCTATGTTCTTGTTCAGCCTGCTGGTGTGCAATGGTCACAAGGTAGTTGAACTGTCGATTCCTGCCTTCAGCTCAGGGACAACGTCATCTCCAACTCCGCCCAGCACAAAAGCCTTCAAGTTACCTAATGCCTGCAGTTCTCTCGTTCTCCACGCCTCTGCTGACTCTCCCCCAATATGCGGTAGAAGTGTACAGCACGGGAAGTTCAATAGACGCGGATCTACGCGCGGTTCATCGGGGTATACATCCAAGCCAACTGATGAAAGCTGAAAGCTATCAGAAAAGGCATCAACCAAGAAGATAGAAGAAGTGTTACATGACCGTCTTCTAGCGCTCGTATTATTGCCTCTTGATCCACTACCCGTCCTCGTGATGTATTTAGAAGCACGCTACCCCGTCGCAAAGTCCTGATCTCCTTCTCTCCAATCATCCCAGTTGTGGATTTGTTGAGAGGGACGTGTAGGCTGAGTATGTCGCTCTGCTTGCACAGCTCTTCCACACTTGAGACATACTCGCACCAGTCTGGGACAGACTCTAACTTTCTTCGTGAGAAGTATATGATGCGCATTGGAAAGGCATGCGCAAGATGAGCGAATCTCAGACCAATGGCGCCTAAGCCCACGATACCAAGCGTACGCCCAGTAATGTCGTGAGTTTTCGCTGCTTCAAAGGGTCTCTTCCATGTACCAGAGCGAAGGGAGCGTTCTGCCATCGAGAAGTGCCTCAGGCACGATAGCATAAGGTACAAAGTGGCTGTGGCAGTCGCATCCTCGTTTGCTCCTGGAGTATTCGACACCAAAATTCCTGTAGAAAACGCACACGTTAGCAACGGTTGATTCTACTTGAGAGCGGATATTACCTCGTTCTTTGCAGGCTTGCACGTCGATTTCATCGTAACCACCGCCACTCTGAGCGATCCAGCGTATCGTGCTCGTGTCGGCTAGAGCATGGATTAATGGTGCGTCAAATTTTCCTATGACTTCAGAAGACGTGTTGCGCCTGTACACGGCGACAGTCCCCTCATATGGCCCACCGGGACCGAATGAAGAGAGGAAATGAGAACGAGATTCTGAAACCAGAGGCTGAAGACACACATAAAGCTGGAATCCATTCACAAGGAAACCCACTTACTATCACTTCGGCGATCCCATGGAACATCTCCTTGAACTCGTCCTGGACATACTCAATCTCACCTAAAATATATCAGAGACCGAATTGCCATGGAATTAACCTAGAAACCCACCACACAATAATATGCGGGGGAGCATTTCAGCGTACGCGGTTTATCGCAAGCCCTGTTGGGGAGGACAAGACTCGGGAACTTGTTATCTTTGATCAATCGAACACGTGTTGAGAACATGGGACTAAAATAACTAATTGACATACCATGAGATCCACAATGCAGCAAAGGTGAATTGCTTGGGCACAATCATCACAGACATATCACGTATCATTTCCGTCGCTAACATTGCAATCTCGCGTGGTACAAGTAGAAGAACGCCCGATACTGACATGCCAACTACAATCTACCCTCCATCATCTGTTGAAGGAACGTCAGACACATGCATCAAAGGTACGCAACACCGGCGTGAAACTCGCCAGAGCAGCAATTTTCGATACGCCTCTGATTTTCTTGCATTCCTCTTGAACATTATATCCGTGGCTAGTGTTAAGCGTTCCAGAGTCGTAGTGGCGTTTCAGGTACCTAGTGAACAAGATATTATGTATTGCTCAGATGACATCGCCTGTGGTTGTGATAAGCCCGAGAACGAACCGAAGGCAGACTTCCTCTTTGAAGTCTTGATATAACTTGCGGTTACTCTTGCGCTGATACACGTCCTCAAATCAAGAGTTGATGAATACGAGAGAACAAAATATACCTCAAGTTTTCGTGCTTCCTCCTCGTACGGGTGACTCTGGTGCACAAGGAAGTGATCCGCGAGGACATAAAACGACATGCCGGAGAGGAACATTTCATAGAGACAAGCGGCCTTGTTCCCTCCATATCCAACAAAGCGTTCATCACACCTGGAAAGATTAAATCAGACGGAGCAATACAAAATTTTGACCCGGATATAGTTGGCACCATGGTGGCCCTTCCTTTCTAAAGATCACGTAAGGCTCGTATGCGGGGTGGTACTGCGTAACTTTGTAAACTTCACCAGGGGCGGCGGCATAAAATCGTGGATAATCGGTACTGTTATGTCCAGGAACCCAAGAGCGGTGGAACATGTCGATCTTCTTCGCCTTGACCAACGAAAGCAACGTCTGAAACAACACTATTCAGTGACTTCCTCGAGTATTTCGTTCGTCATCCTAGACCTTCTTATCACGAGGGAAATATTTCTGGTGCAGGCCATCTTGCTGTTTCACATATTCGAACGCAGGCACCACCAGAGCAGCATCTCCCTCCTTAAGCATTCGGCCGATCTTAGCATCTCGACTAGCCCTGACGGCAGAACGGAAGTTGGTACAAATGGCAAAGTCAACGTCAAGCATCATGACGAATTCAGTGCGGGCAAATAGACGCGCAGCATTTCGCCAAGCATTCAGTTGACGGTCGAAGGGTGTGAGAACGAGGTGTATGTCGACATAGGTTGACATCGCGGGCGTTGACACATACAGGTCATGCAAAGCATCCAAAAGGGCGTGTGTTGCACTAGGTTTGACATGGACGGTTGCCGAAATCGGACCTTGACAAAAAAAAATAAGGAAAGACTGAAAACACAGACGATATAAAGACCGGAGCAGACCTTGGTAATGCTTCACCAGCTCAGAAAAGACCTTGAATCGGTTGAATGTGACTAGAGTGGTGATGGTAATATCGTCCTGCTCGAATGTACCTGAAGCTCTATAGTAGTAGGGGACCACTTGAAGAGGGTGCATGGATTGCGAGAATGCCTTGGACAGAAATAGATCTTCGCTCATTGGAATTCCATCTGTTGTCCCAGTCGTATGTTCGGGTGACAAGGATAATGTAGGCCAAAGTAGCATTTCCTGGGACGTCTTGCCAGCGACCTCGGCGTTTGGATGAACCTGGATAGCGGTCGCATCGTAGGAAGCCATGTATGACCTCGCCAATGTCCGTAGTGGAGACAGTATATGGGTTGTTGTGTAGAGGACCGCGATTGCAACATACAAAGAAGCAATCAGACGGATAAACCTGAGACCACGACTAAAATCTGACATGTGCAGTGGTGGAATCCAAAAGGAATACGGGATGCTAGTGGATCCGAGACACTTGCAATTGGAGAGTCGGTGCAGAAGTTCAATTGCGCTGTGTTTGTCACTACTTGTTGGACGTACGTTTCAGAACGCCCGTGATCAGATCGTAGCGGCGCTTACACACCAAGTCCCCGACTCCGATTGATACAACGTCAGCTTGTAGCAAAAGTTATTGAAGTTACTTGGTATCGATGTTTTGACTGAAATCAAAGCCAACATCGCTCAAAGTTCTTCACATGTATTGGGTTTTGAGAGTCATACTTATCATAGGGTGTATGTCACAAGTGACGCACAGGGAGCTTATCGGCTCAGCCTCAAACCAACACGCTCCCCGTGTAAGGACAAACGTGGTTGTATATTTACCGCCTCTCATCGTCTCGAAAAGCACGTTGACCAGATGGGCTCTCTGAGAGCAGTTGATAGGAGACAATATTCCATACGGAAACAGCCGAGGTGCACAGCTTTTTGCAGAGGTTTTTCGGTGATGGCCTTCCTCTCTACTAACGCAGAAGTCGGGGATATGACAGAAACATTAGTTTCGACATCCTTCAGGTTGCTTGCTTCCCTGCTACTCAGACCTCCGTGAGCCACAATAGAATTACTTTGTTGACGTTGCGGCTGATGTGCTCGGTCGTGCCCTGCGTTATAGTGCAACCGTCGAAGTGCTCCCTGGCGATGCCTCCACCTGGATCTCCGATGGGGCAGAATCACCCCATTCCCCTTTTCTGCTTATGGAAAACAACCTTGGTGTGCCTGAGAAAGAACTTCGTCGGTCCTACCTGTTCGCTGTGCATGTTTTCGCTGCTGCACGCAAGGTTTCCGGACTTCATACGTTTCAGAATGCCTCCACCCTTACCATGACTCCAGCGATTCAGGATATAATCGATTCTTCTGCTGTCCTCATTTTGATGAATCCGGCTCACCAGACTGCACTCAATGCTAGAAAGCGACTTGTTGAGCGGAACCTCATAAATGTGGGGCAAGAACTCAAGTTTACAGCTGCTCTACTTTCGAGCAAGCACTGTTGCAAACAGGCCGAGCTATGGTACCACAGGCGATGGATTTTCCGGCGCATATACCCAATCCCAACCTCTCCTCAAGGGTCCATTGCTGACATAGCCCCCGATTCAACAAATTTCTATCTTCTTCCCAATGACCTCTCTGTGGAAATCAGTCTTGTCATAAGAGCTTGCGAACTCTATCCCCGCAACTATTTTGGCTGGATGCACCGCACAATATGCATTAAATCTATCATCGCATCAGCGATGCATTTTATCACATCAGACGTATTCGTTGAAATCGTTACAAAAGAGATCCTCGACGTCACGCAGTGGATCGAGTCTCACATCTCGGACTATAGTGCTGTGCATCACCTCAAAACTCTTGCTTATCTCGTTGACGAAATGGAGTGTACGTTCCTCCCAGACAATCTTCAACATTTACTTTCCCCGATCGGACATGCCCTCATGCTCGTACGTGCATTTCCGGGGCACGAAACACTTTGGCAGTATCTCCGCCTATTTTGGGATGAGGGGGATGTCACTGCAGCGTTTATCGCGTCGTTTGTGGCACCTCTACAAAGTACTGGGATGGTGGACGAGGGAAACGAGTATCGAGAATGTTTTAGTGCCGCGCAACATGCTCGCCACTTCCTCGAGTGGAGGAATCAGAGGTTGAGGTGACACAACTGCTTGTACTTGGTACCGTATGCCACGCGTTATCATGCAATCATTAATCAATTCATGCCAGCACGACAGGTTGTCTTCACGATTAATTGACACCATAGCGCCTTAAATTAATTAACACCTTCACAGATAAATCAAATCATTATACTTTTTGATCCTCGCGATCGGTGGAAATCAGCGACCCGTGCGTTTCAAAACGCGAAGATTACGACTGGCTGTGTCCTTGAAATATAATATCGAATGCAATTTCCCCAACTCCCTAATTTGTCCCCCACTCTTAAACGGGCAAAATCAATTAGATCAAGGGGACCTCAGGGGATGCTTTCAGGGGATGCCGTGTCATGCACACTTATTCGAGCATACTAGTTCCAAGGACTTTATGGAACTCACGGCTGATTCGATTTCGGGTGCTCATATCGGAGCGGCGCTTGGTCGCGCTAGTCCCCAACTCCTCCGGCAAGCACCGGCAATACTCAGGATCTGCGCGATATGTCAATAGCTTTCCATTCCAAGTGCATACACTCACACCATGGATCCAGACATGGATCATAATATACAATTCAAGAAAATCATAAGAGCGGTACGGAGTTCAGCCGAGGTGGGGAACAGATTTGGCGACATCTTTCCTGTGCATAAAAACAGGTGCCTGGCCGATCCGATCCTAAAAAAACTCTTCCCACTTCGTGGAGTCGGATCGTGCACGACATTACTCGTTGAAATGTGCGTCTATAAGAGCAACCATCACGGAGTGAGTGTTTAGTTCAATATTGCCCTTGTGCTATATTTGATAGATGATGATGCTCGTCCTTAGCTTTCTTCTCCTATGTATGCATTTAGCAAATGCAACATCAATAATCTCGCAATCCCATTCCTATCCACTTGGCTCTTATTCTAATATGCTGGGCCCTGAAACCGATCTAATAATTTCTAATAAATTTATAGCTCCAGACGGGTTCAAACGCTCGTGAGTTTTCTTGTGCTCATGTTTTTTTTTGCAGTTCAAGCATTGCTATAGTGCAACTCTCGCTGGAGGAACGTTTCCAGGTCCAATTATCGCCGCCCAGAAGGTGCTTTTAAATTCTGCCCATTTGATCGACTCATCAGTGGCTGACAGAATTGCAGGGTGACAAATTTGCGATCAACGTCGTGAACAGACTCACTGATGATTCAATGCTCAAAAGTACGAGCGTGGTGAGTAGATCTGTTCGCCAGTCAGAGTCATATTGTGTCAGGCTTACCACTCTGCAGCACTGGCATGGAATCTTTCAGAATGGCACCAACTATGCGGATGGAGTCGCATTCGTTACTCAATGCCCCATTGCGCAAAACCACTCATTTCGATACTCCTTCGAGGCTCGGAACCAGGCGGGAACCTATTGGTATCATAGCCACTACTCGACCCAGCAGTGGTTTGTTGATTCGAAATATCTTAACTTAGGCAATTTGTGACCCCAAACCGTTTAGCGATGGCCTACGTGGAGCTTTGATTATATACGATCCCAAGGACCCTCTATCCTACCTATACGATATTGACGATGGTCAGTGATCATGTCATGGTCACGATTACCCTCACTTTAATCATTCACAGAGACCACCGTCATTACCCTTGCTGACTGGTACATCTCAAAATTGTTTGCGGCCTGTATCCACCTGACTATTTAATGACAGGTACCATGTGGTTGCCCCTGTTTTGAACCATTTCATCAATACCGGTGGTAAGACAACACTCATCAACGGTCTTGGTCGATACCAAGGGGGGCCCAACTCCGAACTTGCGGTGGTCAACGTCGAGTATGGTAAAAGATACCGTTTACGCCTCATAGCAATGTCTTGCGATCCCTATTTTATGTTCTCCATCCACAAGCACAACCTGACGGTCATTGAAGCTGATGGTGTGCTGACGGAGCCCCTCCTCGTGGACTCGCTCCAGATACTTGCCGGACAGCGATACTCTGTCGTGCTGAATGCGAATCAGCCAGTAGACAATTACTGGGTACGAGCGCTCGCGTATACCCCGAACGCGACGTTCGACGGTGGCCAGAACTCGGCCATCTTGCGATACTATGGCGCACCCGTCGCAGAGCCAACTACGAACCAGACCAAAAGCACCATGCCGCTCGTTGAAACCAATTTGCATGCGCTCATTAATCCAGGTGCACCTGGTATCCCGGAATATGGAAAGGCAGATATCAACTTGATGATGGTGGTCAACAAAACCAGCGGAACATTCTATATAAACGACATTGCATTCCAGCCTCCGTCGGTGCCCGTGCTGCTCCAGATCCTTAGCGGCGCACGAGAGGCAATCGACCTTCTCCCAGACGGAAGTGTCTATGTTTTAGAGCCTAACAAGGTCGTCGAATTGACGATGATAAATGGCGACTGGGAACTCGTTGGTCCTGTAAGTTTCACGCTTATTCGGACCTTGTATTACATACATCTCATGGCATATTCCTAGCATCCAATTCATCTTCACGGCGTAAGCACTTCTGGATACGACTTGACCCTAAATTCCTCATTTTACATTGTAGCATATCTTTGATGTCGTGCAGAGCGCTGGCAACAGCTCTTTCAACTACCTCAATCCCGTGCGCAGGGATGTAGTATCCATCGGACTTCAAGACCAACAGATGGTGATCAGATGGGTCACGGATAACTCTGGTCCATGGTTCCTGCATTGGTGAGCACAGCGACCTTTGTCAATCTAGCGATAGCACTGATCTTCTTGTTTACCCAGTCACATAGACTGGCATCTTAAGGAGTGCGTACCTTGAGCGCTTTGAAAGCTCTCCTGTAATTTGATGTATTTTGCCAGTGGTTTTGCTGTAGTTATGGCCGAAAGTCCCTCGGAGACTCGGAAGCATCTCCACCGCTTACCCGGTAAAATTTTATATTCCATTTTACCTTCTGGTTGAACTGATGGTAAACACAGATGCGTGGCATAAACTTTGCCCGAATATTCAACTCGTTAACTCCAGCCCAGATTGGAACAGAGAACTCGTATCAGGAAGCAGAAAATCTCGCCATCGCCTCAGGGCAAAACATCACCGTAGCGCTGTTTCCCGATGTATAATATGCGGCACCGCAACCCTTGCCTTTTTAACAACCAAAATCTTCATGATTTGATTGTCTTCCATCTATCTACATAGCTAGTGTGAGGACAGAGTGTTTGCGACCGCGAAAGCAATTCATATCACATGTGCGAACTCCATTTGAACCTTTTCACTCCTTCCCTGCGCCGATCCCCCGTTGAGCCTCCGCTGTCTCTCTTTCGGAAGACCACGGCATGTCCAAAAACTACTTTAGCCCCTCTTTTGCATACCGTGCCTCTTGCCCGATGGCTGTACTTACATGTGGGCAAGGATCGATTATATTAATATACCATTAACTTCACGCGCAATATACGTGGAGCAACAGCGTGGTATTGACCTTCCTCTGAGCATGTATAACATGATCCAACTTTGAGTCCACACATGCCGATGCGGTTGTTTGGATCTAAGGGCTTTGCCAAACCAAGCTGCGAATTCGTATGTCCACGTCATCACACGATGACGCGTTGTGGCGCGCCACACTCCATATCGGGTAATAGCTGACTTCAGCTATTTTTGTGATGTGCTATAACTTAATGTTACATTAACGCTTCAGTTTCATCTCCCCAAGGGCTCAACATATGTTATTCTACATCAGTCCCGGAGATAATAATTCCAATCCCGTCAACACTCAAGAGTTGACGGAAACGAAACATATCTATTCTTTTGCCTCAGCTGGTTCCAGAGAACTTGAAGAAGTCCAGATCCACACATGCCAGCCTACGACGTCGACTTCATAAATGGTTGGATCAGAGGACATGCATTAATTCGGGTTTCCCATACCTACAACATGTATCGTCGTTTATTCAATGGTTTCCTGATGTAGTTCACTTTGTAGGCGCGCAGAAATGATGCATATCAAGGCCAGCCAAGCAGAGCAGGAATCGCGCACTGAACCACTGTGACCTCAATGACGCATCAGGTGCATATTGAAGCTACTTGAGTAGGGGCCAGTCAAGGTGAGCCAGAGGAGGTTTGACTGTATCGGCCTAGCCGAGGCAAGTTGGGGAAGAGCCTTCGGAAGCGTAGGAGCGCTCCATACGAGGTGTTCGGATAAGCCACTCACTACTTTCCGATCTTACAAATCCCTCCCGGGATTATAATTGCAGGTCTCAATGTCAACGCTTACTTCAAATTCATACATGTAACCGCGTATTACTTTGCACTTGTAGGCTTTTTTTCAGAGCAGGGTGCTAATGTGCTTCCATGCGGTTGCCGAAATCCATCTGTTTTCTCTAGGACAGCAGCCAAACATGCTACGACTCTAGCGAGCAGTACTAAAATAAAACGATCAATTTCACCGCCACTTCACAGCCTGCACGATCAATGCCTCACTTCACAAATCTAAAAATCCACTACTCTAGACTACTCTCCACAAGATTCCACTACTGCAGTAGCCTGGAATTAGTATGAATTAACACCGTGACCAGACACCATCCTACACCATCTGTTTTCTTTAAAATCGATGCAATAAACGAGAATAGACGCCATAACAACAGTTGTCTTCATATATGACGTCGACACCATGGGACACTATTGTTAGTGACTCTCAATAGCAGTCAAAATGGCTTGCATGGCTCCCAAGAGACTCTCGATACCAGTCAGAATAGCTCTCAATCGCTCTCACGAGGCTCACCGAACGCAAATGAGCAGGACTCAGCGCGTTGTTGATCGGTTGAGCCATGGAGTGACATCTGGTCAATAACGGATATTTTACTCGGGTCTGTAATTGCCATGTTGTTGCCCGCAGTAGCTAACCTGACACACACCTGGTAGCCAATGGTTTTGAGCGCGATAACATTGTGACGATTTGAACCGCATGAGGTAGCAAGGACAGATCAAATCATGGTACTTCTCTTTATCCATGCGATCAACGGAAGTTAGAAGACCCGCGCGCTTCAGAACGCTTGAAGGATTGCGGCCGGTTGCATCCTCACGGTGTGGCATCGAACGCAACTTCCTCGAATCTTTGAGTTATCGCCCTTTCCGGGAACTCAGCGTCTTCGCCAAACAGGCAAAAACAACCAGAGGGGATCGAGAATCGAGATGCCATGCGCAGCCATTCAAGCATGCTACATGATTCCGAGGAATCTACAGCTAGGGGCCGTAACAACCCGATGGTGGTCTCGGATATCATCGTCTGGCGCGACACACTGATTAACATTAACTCCATGGAACTCTACGGCTGAATCGATTTTGCGTTGCATATCATGTATATTGTGCCACGTCGAAATGCGGATCTATAAGAGCAACTATAACGGGGTGAGAATTTGGTTAAACATCTAGTTTTAATATTGCCCTTGCACTAGAATGCTCTTCCTTGGCTTTCTTCTCCTATTGCTGCATCTCGCACATGCTGCATCCATAATCTCGCGGTCCCATTCCTTTCCACTCAACTCTCGTTCGATTACCCTGGGCCCTGAAACCGACCTAGTAATTGCTAATAAACTTATAGCTCCAGACGGGTTCGAGCGCTCGTGAGTTTGTCTTTTTTTCGTGTTGGTATTTTAATCATTGTTACAGTTCAACTCTCGCCGGGGGAACGTTTCCGGGTCCAATTATTGCAGCCAAGAAGGTGCTTTTCTGCCAATTTGATCCGCCCATCAGGAACTGACAATCATTGAAGGGTGATAAATTTGCGATCAACGTTGTGAACAAACTCACCGATGATTCGATGTTCAAAAGTACCAGTGTGGTGAGTAAATCTGTTCAAGACTCGCATTATGGGCTTACCGTACTCTGCAGCACTGGCATGGAATCTTTCAGAACGGGACTAACTATGCGGATGGAGTCGCATCCGTTACTCAATGCCCCATTGCGCAAAACGTCTCGTTTCGATACTCCTTCGAGGCTCGGAACCAGGCGGGAACCTACTGGTATCATAGCCACTACTCGACGCAATATTGGTTTGTTGATCCGAAGCTCTTCAACTTCTGCATTTTGTGACCCGAGACCGTTTAGCGATGGCCTGCGTGGGGCTTTGATTATCTACGATCCTGAAGACCCTCTGTCCTACCTATACGACGTTGATGATGGTACGGAGATCATGTCATAGTCATCAATACGCTCACTTAAAGCATTCACAGAGACCACTGTCATCACCCTTTCTGACTGGTAAATCTCAAAAATATTTGTAGCCTGCACCCACCTCACTATTCAATATAGGTACCATGTGATTGCCCCTGTTTTAAACCATTTTGTCACTGTCAATGGTAATTCAACACTGATTAACGGTCTCGGTCGATACCAAGGGGGGCCCAACTCCGAACTTGCGGTGGTCAATGTCGAATATGGTAAACGATATCGCTTACGCATCATAGGAATGTCTTGCGACCCCAATTTTGTGTTCTCCATCGATAATCACGACCTGACGGTAATTGAAGCTGATGGTGAGCTGACGGAGCCCCTCCTTGTGGACTCGCTCCAGATACTTGCCGGACAGCGATATTCTGTCGTGCTGAATGCGAATCAGCCAGTCGACAATTACTGGATACGAGCACTCCCAAATACCGCGAACTCGACATACGATGGTGGTCAAAACTCGGCCATCTTGCGATACCATGATGCACCCGTCGCAGAGCCAACCACGAACCAGACTCAAAGTACCATGCCACTCCTCGAGACCAACTTGCATGCGCTCATTAATCCCGGCGCACCTGGTATCCCGGGGTATGGAAAGGCGGATATCAACTTGATGATGGTGGTCAACAAAACCAATGGAATATTCTATATCAACGGCGTTGCCTTCCAGCCTCCGTCGGTGCCCGTGCTGCTCCAGATCCTCAGCGGCGCACAAGAGGCAACCGATCTCCTTCCAGATGGAAGTGTTTATGTTTTAGAGCCTAACAAAGTCGTTGAATTGACGATGATAAATGGTGAACTTCGTGGTCCCGTAAGTTTCACGCTCATTCGAACCCCCTATTACATACATCTCATGATCTCTGCCTAGCATCCCATTCATCTTCACGGCGTAAGCACTTCTGGATACGACTTGACATTAAATTACTCATTGTGCATTGTAGCATAGTTTTGATGTCGTGCAGAGCGCTGGCAACGGCTCTTTCAATTACGTCAATCCCGTGCGCAGGGATGTAGCATCTATTGGGATTCAAGACCAACAAATGGTGATCAGATGGGTCACAGATAACTCCGGTCCATGGTTCCTGCATTGGTGAGCACAGCGGCATTTATCGATCTAGTACTAACATTGATAACGATATCATTGTTTACTTAGTCACATCGACTGGCATCTTGAGGAGTGCGTACCTGGAGCCATTTGAAACTTTTCCGTAATTTGACGCATTTTGCCAGTGGTTTTGCTGTAGTTATGGCCGAAAGTCCCTCAGAGACTCAGAAGCATCTCCACCACTTACCCAGTAAATGTTTGGTTTTCGATCTTGGCTTCTGATTGAACTGATGGTAGACACAGATGCATGGCAAAATCTCTGCCCAACATTCAACTCGTTAACCCCAGCTCAGATTGGGGCAGATAATTCGTATTGGGAAGCAGAAAATGTGGCCATTGCCTCAGGAGAAAATATTACCACAGCACTGTTTCCTATGTAAGAAACGGCGGTACTGTAACCCTTACCTTTGTCAAAACCTAAATCTTCACAATTTGATCGTCTTTCCGTCTATCACTCGACGCAATGATGATCCCGATGAGGGGATGTATAGCGATGAAAATGATCAAGCGAACGGGCTTGAAGAGAAAGAACAGACCTTCTGAGCGTGTTCTGATCTGTACTGTGCGCAGACTCGCGCGGGCCTGAAGGTGACACAAGTCTAAACCAAAACACATTGAGATATAAGATGTGATGGTGGGTGGCCCGTGGGTCGAAAAAATATCTCACGCGCGTCGCACGGGAAGATAAAAAAGAGAAGCGCGATCTTATACGATACGCAGTGCGCACGGGCCTTAATGCTTCGCTATTATGAAGGAAGCACTGGGATGGAGGATCAATCACGTGACCGCGTTACAAGGGCCTAGCTTCACTGAGCACTCGCTGGTGCCCTCCCTCTGGACTCCAGCAGATTGCCAACGCACCCTGACATCAGTAAATTCACACACTGCTTATTTCAACTTATTTGACACTTATCCCTACTTTTGTCACTTATCAATAATGGGATCTACTTATTTTTCTTCAACTAGCCACCTGGGCCCACCACCCTCAACTAGAGTACACCAAAATATTTGTTAGACTATAGAAGCTCATTTGACAATATTAAAATAACCACATTGGTTGTTTTAGTCAAGTGGAAATGCCAAAACAGTAGCAAGAAGATTTTGACTTAAATGCTTTCCCTAGGCAGCTACACTTGAGAAGACTATATTCTATCATTATCAAACATGTATTTGATATGTTATTAGCAATTTGAAACACTCAAGTGGAGGGTGGTGGGCTG